CAGTTTTACCCTTTTTACCTTCTCTTTGAACAGTGTCTTTGAAACCAACTTCCCAATGAGCAGCTTTTAAAGTAGCTTGTTCCATTGGGTCACCAACAACTTCCCCATCATTCAATTTAACCAAAGCATGGGCAGCTCCCAAAACATAAGAAGTAGTTTCTGGAGCATCATCACAAATGTGTAAATGATGAATATCATCATGTTTAAAACCAGCCAAACCTTCAAAGACCAAATCTTCGGCAGTTAAAGTACCAGTCTTATCAAAACAACAAACATCGATTCTACCGGCCAATGGGATTCTGAATGGTTCAGTACAGTACACATAGTATTTCAGCAATTTAGCCAAAGAGGAGTTAACAGCCATAGTCAATTCCATTGGCAATTCTGGAGGAACAACAGAAGTGATGACAATAATACAATCCAAGATCAATTTAGATTGGACTCTGCCCATTCTGGTACCTTCAACCCAAACATACCAAGAAGCAGCAATGGCAAAAATTAACAAGAATAAGATAAACAAAAATGCTTCTTTATTACCAACAGAGACACGTTCACTTGAGAAAATCATTGTACGAACCAAAGAACCTTGAGACGTTTCAAACCCAGTTTTAGTAACTACAGCCAAAGCACCTTCATCAGGAGCAGCATGAACAATTGGAGATTCAGGTTTAGTAACTTGCAAAGCCATAGTACCACCATGTAAGATAGAATTTTTATCAAAACCTTCTGGTTGTAAAATATCATCGGAAGGTCTCAATTTGATAGATTCTTTCAATAATGGAGTAGATTCACCGGACAACATTGCTTCATTAACGATGGCTGAACCATCAACTAATAGTAAATCACATGGTAATGCACTTCCTTCATTAGTTCTAGTAATAGAAATCAAATCACCTGGCAATAAATCCGTAGTTGGGATCTTAATCCATGAGCCATCTCTATGAACATAAACATCATAAGGTTTAATACCCATACTTTGGAACTCAGACATTGTGGTTCTTCTTTGGAACACAGTAGTCATTTCAAAGGAAACTAACATAAACAAAGAAAACAATGAATAATACCATTGTTCATCCATACACCAAAGAGCAACACAAAAGATTTGGAAGACAAAAAATGGAGCAACAGCATGTTCTTTGAATAATTCCATAAAAGTAGGAATTGGGATATCAAATTTATTTGTACCATAATTTCTAATCATCTTCTCTAAATCACCACTTAAACCTTTAGTATTTTGATAAACGGATAATTTTGGAGATTCATCAAAGATAAATTCTGGAGGAGAAAATTTTTGTAATTTAGAATGATACAAGTATCTTCTCTTTTGATACAAGAAACTGACTTGTTTTTCACCATCATGGAAAGTTTCACGATTAATTTCAGATATTTCACCAACACCTGAGTTTGGAGCTGGAGTGATTTTGATAAAAGATGCATCAGCAATCTTATCCACTTTAGAATAGTTGAACTTAGCATTAATGTCAAGATTCCAATGAGGCATTAACCAGAATAACAAGTTAAATGAAACAATAGTTATAGTATAAACAAAAGTCCATTCTTTACCACCGATGTACTTATCATAATGTTGAAAATAAATCTGGAAAAAAATCGGATAGATAATTGAAAATGGCCAAACGTACGGTCTTAGGAAATATGGTTTGGGAACCAACAATTCAGCTTTTTGAATTGCCAGACTGGCAACTATATCAGACATGATTATAGTTAATTCAATGTTGTTTTAAAAAGAACACGAAATGTAGTTGATAAAACAAACGGCAAAAACCTGAAAGCTATTTTTCCATTTTCAAAATTTTTTTTTTCCAACGAATTTTTTTTTTCCAGAGATTTTGTCTTTTTTTTTTAAGTTTTGTTTTTATTAAGCTTTAAAAAGTTAATGCAACAGATTCTCAACTTTAAGAGATGATCTGATCTTAACGGATAAATTTGAGACTTACAAGATTGTCACCTGAAGAAGACCAGCCACCTTCAAGAATTGTCCACACTTATAGATCTTTGAAAGTATCGTATTTTGACGTAGTGTGAATGTCATTTGTTGGGCCACGTAGGGTTCAATTAAATTTATTAAAGATATCGCGACACATTCACGTGATCTCAAACACGAGATGAATTAAACAAAACATTATTATTACTATTATTACTATTAGTATTAAACATATACACTTTCTAAGTCTACTTGTTATCTCTAGCATAATATTCTTCATCTTTAATATATTCAACATCAGATGATGATTCTTGATTACCTTCTAAATCTTCTTCAGCATCATAAGTTTTAACACCAAATTTACCTTTCCAACCTTGATCAATCAAGTAATTTTTAAATTTGACATCTTCTTCCATTAAATCTTCTTCTTTTAAGTGAGGAACAAAGATAAAAGTAACTAAAACACCAGCTAATCCACAGATAGCAGCAATTATAAAAGTCCATCTATCACCTAAATTTTTTTGAATTGGTGCAAAAGTTTTAGTACCAACAACAGCTCCAACTTTACCAATTGCAGCCGAGAGACCATATGCGGTACCTCTTATTGGAGTAGCATACGATTCAGAAGAAATAGTACCCATAACATTACCAGGACCAAAATTACCACAACTCATCATTAATCCATAAAATACAATGAATAAACCAGTGATTGGTTTGATTTGTTTATAAGCACAACCAACAACTAATCCAAAGACAATATAACCTGAAAATCCAATCATCATGGTGTATTTTCTACCAATTTTATCAATAACCATAGCACCTAAGAAAACACCAGGAAGAGCAATAGCACCTAATAATAAATTCCATTCAGCGATTTTTTCCAAATTATTCTTTTCCAGAGGAGAAATAACATTGGAAATGATACCAGCTGAGAAAATACCATTTGGGAAAGTAACAAAATCATACAAGAACCATGCAACACAAGTACCAATTAAACGTGGCCAATAATATTTGAATGCTAACCAATAAGGAGCTCTTTGTTTAATAGCTGATTTGGTATATAATTCAGAAGTGACCATTTTCAAACGGAAATATAACACAGATAATGGCCAAAAACAACCAATGGCAAACATTGTTCTCCAAGTAGCATCTAAGTGTTTACCACAAATTTTGTTAACAATTAAGAATATACTTAAAGCAAATGGACCACCAAAAGATAATGGTAAATTTGTTGCCAAAACAAAAGCACGACCTCTTTTTTTAACCGATTCATTTGCTGCTTCACTTGCAGTAACTGAAGATGATGGATATTCAGCACCAATACCAAAGCCAGTGACACCTCTAAAAATAGTCAACATCCAAAACATTCCTCTAACAGTCACACCATGAGATGCAGCACACATCATTGATCCAAAAATTAACAAGAATGTAGCAGTAACAATTGACCATTTTCTACCAATATAATCAACAGTTAATCCAAAACAAACTTGACCTAAAATAGTACCAACTAAAGAAGCATTAGAAACTTGAGTAGACATTCCAGAATCATAAACTGAAGGATATTCAATGGCAAAAACTTTATTTAACATTGACATAACATTATTTTGATAACCATCTGAGATTAATGCAAACCCAGCACATAAAATCATCATTATATCTTTTAATTTTGCACCACCTGCTAAACGTTGTCTACGTTCTTCAGCATCATATTTGAAATGTTTGGCAGTTGGGACTTCTGTAGTTTCAATAACTTCAGGATTCTTGGAATTTGTCTCTGACATGAGTGATTAGATATATTAATTGATAGTTGTTAGATAAAATCAAGAATTTTTTTAAAATTTTCGAAACTAAAAGGATATTGGAGACTATTTATATATTGCCAGAAACAAACAAGCTAGAAAGAGAAGATTTAATATGTGGGGGGATAAATATATTTGGATTCTACATGACTAAGCAAACAATGAATGGGGGAAGTTAAATCCCATTAATAAACAATGTATGGTATGGCTATAAATTAGTTGAAGCAATAATAATAATAAAACATGGGAGAATATAATAATTTCTGCATAAGTTGATTCTAATTAAGCATCAAAAAAGAATAATTAAAGCCTTGCCCTATGAATTGGAACCATATTCAGCACAATGACTTCAAAGATGGTATTAAACAATGCCCACGTTGCTATAGATCTATATTAATGATGTATGATAGGTCACTACACGGGTTAGTTCTTTTCATTTCAATTAAGCCCATGAGTATCATAAGACAATGATTCCTATTAAATTCCTTAAAATTATTTTGACGCCATGTCTATATTACCTTTATATTGTATTTAACCGGCTTTGCAGATTGCATAGTAGAGATAAAAAAAAAATAGTATAAAGAGATAGCAAGTGGGGACACGTGCGGAGATCTGATCTTTGTTCATTTAGAAAATTTTGAAAATGAAGAGAAGTTGTTCACACTAGTGGAAGATCTTTATATAATTGATACAGATGATTTGGTTTCAACATAAGATGAATCATGATATCAAAGATTATGTCATTCTGGTCAAGAAAAATCCGGAACCAAGAAATTTGATAGTTGACAGATATTGCGAGGGAATTTATTAATTTTCTCTTTTTCCCCTTTCTGGATAAATTTCCAAACCTCATTGCTTTTATTTTTTCTTATTCTTATTTGTAGTTGGTGATAATTTCAACACAGAAAACAATGAAATATCATATTGCATGTACGGCTAAAAAAACAGAAAGAGAGTGAATGAAAAGGAGGATATTCAACGGATATTCAAAATCTATTTTGTATTATGAAATATGCCGTTCAACGAATCAACGCAACACGTTTCTACCACCATAAATAATTCATACATTTTTATGGTGCTACTTTGAAAGAGTTATCCATCAGACCGCTTTTGACACTGGAGGCATGCTTTAAACTATTTAGAAAGAAATCTAACACTACTCCCTACTCTTAATATCGATAATCTTATACTTAAACTTCAAAAGTAACAGATGCTATTAGTAAGATTAATGAAATGCAAATAAAATTGAACGTTTGGTGAATCAGTATTAGAGCGCACATGCGCAAACCATAAAGTTCGACAAGAACGTGCCAACAGCACAATGGCTACATATCATTAAATTGAAGACATTGCACGTGCTACATCATGAATTTATTCAGAGAGAGGGGGGCTTTTGCTTGAATTATTGAAAGCATACAAGAAATCAGGGAGCACAAGAAAAGAAAAAAAAATATTAAAGATTGATTACTGATTCTATGAGAAATAGATTTCCTATAACCTTTGGGATAATATCATTTCCGCATAACAGTAGCTAATCAAAATCAATTATCGGATGGTTATTCCTACCAGCTAACTTCTAGAATATTACCATGTTTAGTTTGAAATGAAATCTGGAAAACAATGTGAAATTAAAGCAACAATGGAAAAACCCTGTGGATAAAATGATCTTAATTACTTTCTTTTAATCCAAATTATGAGACGAAATGAGATGAGATGAGATTGGTTATTTTAATCAGAATGTCCAGACTAAGAATAGTTTTCTAATTCTTGATTTATTTAAGGGATATTCAGATGTCGTACCACAGTAGTCCATTCGCGATCTCCAAACTGTAAAAAAAAAAAGAAAAAGAAAAGGAAAAATAGAAATCAAATTAATTGGCACATAACCTTTAATTAGTTGGCTTTCCACATTAGTTTTTAAAGTAATATAAACGGTTTAATTAATGAAGAATTAGAAAAATATTTTCATGGAACAGTAATTTTTTTTTGCAACCAGATTCATCTCAACGATGTTTAATTACGAATACTTTATGTGCAATTAATTAATCTGTCTTCAAAACTTTTTTTCTTAGCTTTGACTTTGCAGTCGTTTCATTTTGCTCTACATAAACGGTTCATATTTCTATAACATTTAAAATTGTCAGTACCAGAGAGAGAAACTAATGCTAGTTATGAGTTTGATTTTGCGTATTTAAAGCAAAAAGAAACAACGAGGACCAATTGTAGTTGCAATTAGTACTGAGTCTTTTCTTTTTTAGAATCTTGTGTAAGCAGCATTAAGAACGTGCATCGAGACTGATTTTCAAACTTAAGGCACGTGCAAAGTCAACAGATGTCATGACATCTCCCTATGTCGGTAATGGTACGATTAATTAGTAATCATGTCAGAACGGAGAATACTTAACGGTAAAGTAAGCCTTCATTTATTTTTTTGGGTTGTCGTTTAGGCGATGATCTGGAAGTATCGGAGTTGCACAAATTATAACAGGTGCAACCACAATTGGTAGCAACTCAGATGGGACAGTAGAAGAAGAAAAAATAAAAAAAAAATAGGAGATCGGAAATCGTTTATTTATCTTAAGGTATAATATCCGAGTCATGCGGCATTTTTTTTTTGCATTTTATTTTTTTATCTTTTACCACAGGCAAAGAAAAATTATAATCTTTTATCAGTAAAAAATATATTGAACAATAAATTACAAGTTATTGGTTATTGGTTTTGTTTAATTTTATTTTATTTCTTTGATAGATCTAAGATATCTTTTAAATGAATCCACAGTGTAATTAATGATAATATTAGATATATCAACAGGGAAATGATTAACCACAGTTGTTTAGCGGTTAACTGACGGTTTAGGTTCAGCTATTGTCTCCTTGTTTTTATGGTTTTCTTTGTCATTACATCACAAAACAGTGGTGGAATCCGGAGTTTGATCCGTCGCATGACGTAATCTGCGACACGCGGAGAACCGAGGGGAGAGCGAACAAGCAAGCAGAGCAACAGAAAGACACGATACACGTGACAGGTTGAGTTTATTTTCAATGAACGGCAATTGAGCAGCAAAATAGAAGACAAGAAATAAAGAAAAAATAAGAGATAATTTTGTACGATTGACAAATTTGTTCATCCCCACGTGTTACAAACCATCGCTTGTCTCAGGACAAAAACTTTTGACGCGCGGGGGCTCAAAATTATATTATTGGATGGGCATTAGCAAAAAAAAAAAAATAATACTCTTGAAAGAAGGACATCGCTCGTGTGAATCCGATGAATAAGAGTAAGATAGAAAATTGGCGGGAATAATTAACCGGATGTTACCCCGACTTTTCTCATTGTAGGGTTACTTCATACCCTTACGGATGACTATTACGTGAGAATATGTATTAAGGAGGGCAATTACAACAATCAGCAACCTGACAGTAACAAAACCCAAAAAGAAAGAAATAAAAAGCCGTAGACACAAGAGGGGAGAGGGGACGAGGAGGAGGGGGGAGGGACAGAGAGAAAGCGAATGTTGAATATGTTGGCAATCAAATTTATGTGTGTCTTTGAATTTGTTGGCTATTATCCATTACAGCGGAGAAAAAAAAATAGAGCGAATAAAACTTGGTGCTAAAATAATTTTCTTCGGTGGGCGGAGATGGACTAAAAAAAAAAAATCTCGTTACAATAATTATACATTTGATTGAAATGATTATTTTTGTCATTAATTATTGATTAGTGCTTATCAATTTCAGTAATAATAATCGCAAATTTCTGTAATTTATTCTAAAACGAAACAACAACAAAAAAACAGATGACCTTTCATTCCTTCTTTCACCATCTTCTACGAATTACCTTACAATTGGTTCTCATTGGCTATAACCATCTTAAAAATTGTGCCATTTATCACTTTAATAATTAACTCATTTGTAAACAGGACAGAAGAAAATTAATTCAAAAATGAAAAAAAAAGGTTAATACAAAAGGTTGGTTTTGTTACCGCTAAACCGATTGTTCCTGTATACTCTCTTTCAGAAATAAAACAAAAGGCACTTTCACTAACTTCATCCCTTTCCCTCCCCCAGTATTGTGTCCAGTTGTCCGTTCATTCGTTTTCTTTCGATCCACAAGTTCTTGAGCATGCATAATGATTACCGCAACTCTTCTTCATCTTCTGTTGACAATTCAAATAAGCAGTGATTATCTAATAAATATTAAATATTGCTTTATCTCTGATTTATCATGCCATTTTTTTTTTGTTTTTGATGTGGAAAGGATATTGATTTTAATTCTGTCCAACGGTTAATATCCAATATTATTATTATTATAACACTACTTCCTTAATACACAAGAGAGAGAGAGACAGAGATGCAAAAGTGGCTTTTATTAGTTTTATTCCAAATAACCTCAAGGGATATATTGGCCATGAGTCGTGTCCCGGTAAATTACTGGAAAATAAATGTCATTTCTGCAGGTTGAGCAACAGCAACCTGTAAAAAAACAAAAATGTCTCTCTTTTTCTCTCTCCTTTTCGGCGTGAGATTAACTAATTTGTGTTAGACAACGAATCCACACATTTCTTTTTTTTTTTTTTTTTTTTGCTTTAGTTCTCCGTTGTGGTGAAAACCAAACACCAAAGTAAAAGAAATAAAACTGTTGCTTCTTTGTTTTGTCTGTATGGGATTGAATTTTTTTTTTTTTCTTTTAATATTTATATGAAATCCACTTATTTCTTTTTTCGATTTTTTTTTTGACAACCACATGTTGCCAATTTTTCTTTTAATTACTTTATCTCCAATTAATTATAGACAACCCTATTTTGATATATATATTTGAACAAGTTCTAGTATAGCTACTTATGATTCTACAGCCATGTTAGTAATTGACTCTTCGCCATCAACTCATCATCATAATCATCAAGCAAATTATTTACAACCAGATGATTTCTCAACGGATGTGATTTCTTTGCAAAATAGTGAAATGACTATTGAAACAACCAACAACATCAACAACAACCACAACCACAGTCACAATCATAATGAACAACAACAGCATAATCACTCCCATCATTTCTCAATATCATCCACAAAAAATCAAGAATCAAATCAACCACTGCCCCCAGATTCCCCTACTTTAGTCCGCAAAAAATCTACTGCATCTTCTATTTTCAGACTACATTCAAATAAAAGTACCAAATCTCAACATCAACAAGAACCAGCACCACCACCACCACAACAACAATATCAGCCTCCAACTTCACCAAGTTCTACGTCTCGTCCAAATTTAAGAAGTTTACTACGAATCGGTTCATTTTCAGGGAATGCTCGTAGACCATCTACTATTAGTCTTCTACCGGAAAGTAGATATTCCGTCATTGGTGAAACAACGCTAGAAGGTGAAGAAACCCTAGGAAATTCAATCGATGAAGAAGATGATGAATTAGCATGCTTGTCAGACCTGGAATCTGATCTCAACTATGATCCAAAGGCTGAAGAATCCACGGCTGATTATAAACATGGTGGTTACCATCCAGTTTGTAAAGGTGAGATTTACTACTCCAAGAAAATTCCTAATCGAGAATACATAATTTTACGTAAACTAGGTTGGGGTCATTTTTCAACCGTATGGTTAGCGAAAGCAAGATACAATAGCTCATTGGCTGATGTAGAAACCCATGAGAATTCCGACATGGAAGAACAGTATGTTGCTTTGAAATTTGTTAAATCAAATAAAAACTATATGGAAGCTGCCAAAGATGAAATTAAAATCATGAGTGCATTATGTGACCCAATCACTAATAATGATCACATACTGGATGAAGATAAAGAATTTTTCGGTGGTGATAACAAATCTCATCCTGGTTTCAAGCATGTGATGCAGCTTTTAGATGATTTTGAAATTTCTGGTCCTCACGGGGAACATATTTGTATGGTGTTTGAAATCCTTGGAGAAAATTTACTCAACTTAATTTACAAATACAAGAGATTACACAGAAGTTTAAGCACTGAGATTAAGCGTAAAGAAACTGAAGACTGTCCTGTTCAACAAATGAAATTCAACAAATGGGATTCAAAGAGCTGGAAAAAGAGTACTAAATCCATGTTGAGTTTGGGTCTTGGTAGTAGAAAAGATTCAAGTAATGGAAGTGAGCAAACACAAAATCCACCAAGTGTTGGTTCCACTAATTCATCCACCTCGTCGGGGTCATCATGTGCTCCAATTGAATTAACCATTGAACTGGAAGACACAGAATCCTCCACTACTGTTGAAACCTGGGAAGATGATTTGGACAGAAGATTAAGGTCAATGACTTCTGAATCTTTGGCAAAATTAATGGAAACATCCAAGACTTATGGTGGCATTCCTTTCACTCTTGTTAAACAAATTGCTAAACAAATGTTGATGGCAATTGATTATATCCACCATTGTGGAGTGATTCATACCGATTTGAAGCCGGAAAACGTTTTGATTGAAATCAAAGACATTAACAAGTTGATTAGTAAATTTGAAGATGAAAAAATTTCCAAATTCAGAGCTAATTCTGGTAGTAGAAGATCTTCATTGTTTAGAAGAAACCTGAGCAAACTACATGTACCATCCCGTAATCCATCTTGCCAACATGTTCGTACATTATCTAATAGCTCACAAAGTTACAAGATGCTGAAGAATTCTACTTCATCGACTGGTCCTATTAGATCATCGAAGCCAATCACTTCATTATCATCAGACTCTATTTTCAAGGATTTTGACTTTGATTCCAAAGCTAGGAAATCATCGTTTAAAAATATCAGTCCGAGAAATTTCTCGTTTGTTGGTAGTTTCCATTCCCATGAACAAAACAGAACTAATTGCCACAACAGCTGTGAAATTTCTGTCAAAATCGCTGATTTTGGTAATTCTGCGTGGGTTGATCATCATTTCACTGACAATATCCAAACCAGACAATATAGAAGTCCTGAGGTTATTTTATCGCTGCCTTGGAACTCCCTGGCCGATATTTGGTCAATTGGTTGTTTAATCTTTGAATTATTAACTGGTGATTATTTATTTGATCCAAGAGATGGTGGTTCATTCAATAAAGATGATGATCATCTTGCACAAATTCAAGAATTGTTGGGTGAATTCCCAAGAAAGTTGGTGTCTCGTTATGGTAAGAATTATTTCAATTGTCATGGTGAATTATTAAGAATCCGAGTATTGAAACCATGGGATTTGAAACTGGTTTTAATAGAAAAGTATCATATCGAAGTTGAAGAAGCTGAATTGATCACCAGTTTCTTGTTACCAATGTTGGAAATTCTGCCGGAGAAACGTGCCGATGCTGGCAGTTTGATCAATCATCCATGGTTATCTTCCTAATCAAATTAGAATATTTGTTATGTGTTTACGTTTGTATTTTATTATTATTATTATTATTATTATTATATTTGGTTTTATTATTATTTGGTTATTTTTGTTGATATACATTCATTTAATTCTTCATTAGTTATAATTTTTTTTTTTGTAGGTTTTTTGATGAATAGATATTGTTATTCATATGGGTACAATATGAATATGAAATTGTAGTTTTCTGTATTTGCAACCAATCATCAGAGAAGCATAAATATTCGGGCGAATTAAATTGACCCCTGTATAGAATTAGTAGCTCTTCTCTTGTTCTGTCATGTTGTCAAATACATCGCCCCTTTCCTTGTTAATGTATTCAAGAAATGTCAATTCAAAACAAGCCACAAAGAAATGACAAATTTCGGCCGAATGATATTTGATTGTGGATAAGTGTCAAAAAATTTTTCCTTTTTTTTTTTCTGTTGTGCAACCCAATTCTCGGATTTTCTAAATTGTATTGTTCTTTTTTATTCCCTCTCTAATGAATTACAAAGGGAATTTAGTTTAATAAAGGATAACATTATAGAGTTTAATTAAAAGTTAATATTAAGAGAAACTATTGCTAATAAGGATAGCAATGAATGAAATTGAGCAATTGAGGCAATTTTTTGAATTTTGATGGTTAGCTAGCATTTTAGTGTGGTTGACAGTGCGGATTATTTCCTGTTTAGGGTTAATCCGGCCGATTTTCACCAACCACAAAAAGATACGACGGATGAATAAGTGAATGAAAATTTCTTTTTTTTTTCTTTTTCCTTTTTCCCTTTGAATTCAGGAACTTCATGCTTGACCAGTGAAACCCATTACGTAAAGTCCTGGAATGACGAAGAACGATAACATCTATAAATAAGAGAAGATAATCCTCTGAAAATTGTCAATTCATTTTTTTTCATATTATCCAATTATTTACACAATCAATTAAAATTTATACATATCAAATCAAATCATAATGTCTTCTACTTCTGTTTTCGTTTCTGGTGCTTCTGGTTATATTGCCCAAGAATTAGTTAAACAATTGATTCAAAAGAACTATAAAGTTGTTGGTACTGTTAGATCTAATGAAAAAGGTGATTCATTAAAAGAAAATTTAAAAGCTGCTGGTTTACAATCTGAAAACTTCTCCTATGAAATTGTTAAAGATATTGCTGTTGAAGGTGCATTTGATGAAGCTTTGAAAGCTCACCCAGAAGTTACTATTTTCTTACATACAGCATCTCCATTCCATTTTAATGTTACTGATGTTGAAAAAGAATTATTACTTCCTGCAATTAATGGTACCAAGAATGCTTTACAAGCTATTAAGACATATGGACCACAAATTAAACATGTTGTTGTTACTTCTTCATATGCTGCCATTGGTGCATTTTTTGATCTTGCTGATCCTTCCAAATCTAAAGATGAATCTGACTGGAATCCAATTAATTATGAACAAGCTAAATCTAATCCACATAGTGGTTATGTTGGATCCAAAAAATTTGCTGAACAAGAAGCTTGGGAATTTTTGAAAAATGAAAAACCAAATTTCACTTTATCTACAGTTAATCCAGTTTATGTATTTGGACCACAAGCATTTGAAATTAAAGATAGATCACAATTAAATACATCTGCTGAAATTGTTAATTCTGTTTTGAAATTAAATAAAGATTCTCAAGTTTCTCCAAATTTAACAGGTTATTTCATTGATGTTAGAGATGTTGCAAAAGCTCATATTAGTTCATTTGAAAATAAGGAAATTATTGGTAAAAGATTACTTTTGGCTTGTTCTGCATTCTCAACTCAATCAGTTTTAGATATTATTCGTAATGATTTCCCAACTTTAAAAGAAATCTTACCAGTTGGTGATCCTTCTCAAGCTGATGATTGGAAAAAACTTGAAAGTGAAATTAAAAATGATAAAACTAAAGAATTATTAGGTTTTGAATTTATCGATTTCAAGAAATCTGTTGATGATACTGTTTCTCAAATCATTGCTTAAATTGATGTTTATAGAAATTATTTAATTAATATTATAGAGATGTTATAATATGTGTGTGCGATGTTACGTTAATCAATTTCTTGCAACCAAGAATTGGCCAAATCAAAATGTAGTTATCGGCGTTGATTAAGTATGGACTTTTTTTCAATTAACCTTGCAACATATGTTCTTAAAATTTCTATGATATTGTTCAATCTACTAACAGTCTATATGAAACTTACACCTTGAAGGGATTATACGAGGGAATGCAAAACTTAGCAGTTGAAGTGATAGTATGGAATCAGAATCCCCCGCCTCCACCACCACCGCATCCCCCTGAAATACATCCTACCGAGGAACCACAATTGACACCACCGGCATTACCAACACATCCGCCACCACCAACACACCCGCCACCTCCTCCACACGCAGCACCATTTTCTCCACTTCCACAATTACCACCGGCACCACAACCTCCCATATATGCAGCACCAATGAATGCACCTCCTAAATAAACAGCACCGATATGTGCACATGTAGCCATACCAGCACAAGCACCTGGAGTACCAGCACATTTGACGAATTGTACCACAGAACAATGTTCACCAACATGTGTCATACCTTCTCCATTCTGTAAGAATAATGGACTTGATTGCATTGTTTCTTGTTCAGCTTTCAATTTCTTCAGTGATTTGAATGCCCGGGATATTTTACTGCGTTTACTTGCTCTCTTAGCAACGCAATAGTTACAGAAACAAACAGAATACTCTTCTTTAAACTTCAATTTATATAACTTAGACGTGAATGCAAATCCATCATCTAAAGGTTTTTGTCCCACTTTATCATTATGATCAATCACTCTTTGGCATGGAGATGATTTACAGTCTCTAATATATCCATACAACAGTAACTGATGAGTGTGCCACATTAAGTCAATATCTAAAGTAGGCACCAACATACGATTCAAGGTTTTCTCGGTCAATAGTTCAAAAAATCTTCGATATCTAACCAAAGATTCAGATAACCCTTCATTTCTCAATGGTGAATTTAACCAATTAAGCTTATTCATCTTTTCAACAAAACTACCTTGACGAATGACACAATCCACTAAATCTTCACCAATCTGAATACTATTAGGAACAGTAAAACTGATCACATTGAATTTATAATATCCTCCTAAAATCAACCGTTGAGCAGCCAGACGATATCGATTATTTGAACGAACTCTTCGTAAGATATCTTGAAAAGATGGAACTGCTGGGTTAGGTTTTTTGGAAATATCGGCATGAAATTCCTGAGATGTGGTCGTGACATCCTTGGAAATTTCATCATTAATCCTATCAGGATGTCTAGTCACAAGCATTGGACCTACCATTATTCGTGAATAAAATTTAATCAAACCTTCTAGAATCCTCAGTTGTTGAATATCAAAATCTAGTAAAAACTTCCGCAATTCATCATGTGTGATATACTTTGTACCCATCCCTATATTCTGGAGATTTCTATATTTGAATCCCATGTTGTCGGTAATAAATCCTTCATCAATAAATCCAGTACCGTCAGAAGTGGTTAATGGTATATCATTGCTGATTGGATTTCCAGTGTAAGGACAGTATAAAATTACTGTATGTTCACGAAATGTAATCAAATCCGGATCGTACTGCAAATCATTAGCATTCCTGGTGAAGCCACCAATGAATGATAAATAGTTCTTTTTCAACTCATCAGGAACAACAAACTCAAAAGTTGAATCATTTATATAAGCATTGATTATATGCAATGGGAATGGGTAATTGATGAAATAATACATGTCGTTTCTGACAAATACATCATAAAACGTCAATGGATTCAACATGAATGCGTGCCAAACCATAATAACGTCCAATGGAGGAATCAATTGATTAGCCATGGTTGTAAATGCTTGACTTCGATTATCGATAGTTGTTTCCAAATTCCTGTCACCTCTTGTAAAACCATTACTGCGTTGTTTCAAAGCTGATATGAATATAATGAATCGTCTAACAGCAAGGGTGACAAACATTTTCCAGTCTTTATCATCTGAACTTTTAGTTGATTTCAGTTCAAGTACCTTCTTTTTCAATTCCCCAAAAGCTTTCAATAATTTTAAATGAGCAGTTGCTTCTGTTGTATTGGGCATGTGTTGAGGTGGTTGGGTCTGATTGAATTTGACCTCTTCGTCTCTTGGTAAAAAAGTATATTGATAACTTCGAAAACTTGCATATTCTGGGTTTTGAGTACGATTTTCCGTATATGTGGGTGGTTCATCCTCTTTGTAATCTGGTAATACGTTCATTATTCGTTGAGGAAGAAAAACTCGTCCAGTTGGATTGTTGAAATTCGATGAAACATGGATCTTTTTTATATCCCTTGTCAAACATTCAAACTTACAAACTTACGAATCAGAAAAAGAAAATGCATGGCGGGTGTACTCAAACTACGAGTTTCTTGGTTCATTCTTGACATGATTGGATAACACATGACTGCAACTATGAAATATGAAATTGGCAATGTATAATGAAATTAATGACCAAATATACACCGAGTGGGTAAGCTAAGGACAATTATAGTACTTTTACTTCCATATAAATTGAACAAATTTGTTGAAAGTACCAATTTGAACTTCCACACTACTTTTCTTTTCTCGGCCGAAATTCAAAGATGAAATTGGGCATGTTGTTCCAGGTAGAAATGCTAATTGTCAGAAGAAACTGGAACTGAGAATCATGTCAATGAATCAACTGTATTAACTTCTTCGAGAGTATATTCGACACATTCAAACACCTGCGTGGAGCAGACAATAAGTAATGGTAAATTAATTTCGGATTATTTCCCAATTAAGAAACAGCCGCTTTAGACAGCCGAATATTATTTCAGACGATTGATGAACAAACAATACAATGAATTTGGGATACTGGACTATACATACTACCCGTTAGTCGACTTTAAACCCTATTGTCACAAGACGGGAACATAATAAAATGGGAAGGAAAACAAGACGAAAAAAAAAATTATCTGCCGCGCCGTTTTCTTATCCGCTTTCCTTCCCTATCCAAAAATTTTTCACGATATAAATATAGCAATCATTTTTCTTCATTAACCTCCATTCCTTATTTTCTTTCTTCTACCCACATCACAAACAACAAATAACAACTTTACATAAAACATGAGTACATTTATATTAGGAGCTACTGGATTTGTTGGAACTCAAATTGTTAAATTTGCTGAATCTTCTTCAGTTTTCAATTCAATTGTTACAGTTACAAGAAGAACCCCAAATTTTAATGACCCATCTAAAAAAATCAAATCATTAGAAGATAAAAATACTGACAATTGGCCGGAATTAATTAAATCAAATGAATCAACAGATGCTTTTATTTCTTCTTTTGGTACAACTAGAGCAAAAGCCGGGTCTGCTGAAAATTTCAAAAAAATCGATTATGGTATAAACTATGCCGCTGCTAAAGCAGCTAAAGAAAATGGAACTAAAGTATATGTTTTAGTTAGTTCTATGGGTGCCAATTCTGGATCAAGATTTTTATATATGAAAACAAAAGGTCAATTAGAAGATGATGTCATTGCTTTAGGTTTTGATCATACTGTTATTTTAAGACCTGGTATTTTGCTTGGTCAACGTGAAGGCAGTCATGGTCTTGGTAATGATGTATCAGCAACTATTGGTAGTTGGGCTAAAAATACTTTCTTACAACGTTGGTTGAATTCAATAGATGCTAGTGATGTTGGTAAAGTTGCTGTTGATTTTGCAGCAAAAGGAGTTAAAGGTGAATTGAAAGAAAAAGTTTTGATTGTTGAAAGTGCAGAAATGATTAAAATTGCCAAGGGCTTGTAATATGGACATAGTATAGTTATATTTAATTTATTGGACATTCTTTTATATGACTCTTTATGAAATGTAGTCGATTGTGAGTTACCAAAATGTATACTCCAGTGTATTTGAATATTGAACAATAGAGGTGGAACTATTCCATGACCAGGGGTCCACAAATCCATACTGGCCACTACTAACCCCGCTGAGACAAACGGAACTGTTAAATACGAGATACCAATAGATCAGCATGCTAACCAGAAAATTCAATCATTTCAACTAGATATCTTTTTGTGGATCTATCCAGTATAATCATAAGCAATGGATGCCATGTAAAAAACTTGGTATATGCCATCATTAATTTATCACTAAAAAGTGATTAAGCTATTAAAGTAAATATGAGCTCGTAAATCTTAACAGACTATTTCTTGACTCGAAGTATCAACCGTTGCTAGTTTTTAGTTACTTGTACTGACACGCTCTAGTATCAACAAAGCAATTCTTACCACCTAAACGTATCAACTTTCAACAACTGTACCATCCTATTGTTCAATTGCCTCGCTGGTGGGTAATTTGCTTGCAACAGGTAACTATTGACTCATAATATGAACAAGACTGCAAGTTATCAAAAACAACTGTAATCCATCTCTAGAATCAATACCGATAAGTAGATCTCATCATGTTATCATTCAGAGTCGAAACCATATCTCGCGATTAACTTCCCAATCCATGTTTAAAGAACATACATAATTTCAAGGACGCCCATAAACACATGATCATACGGCGAATCCATTATAAATATGGTCTTATCGATATAGTAATTGACAACACTAATTGTAAGTTCCTAATTAATGAGCTGTAATTGTAGTACATATGATTTCTATTTCGTATAGAAGATATAAGAATCCGATTGTGTTATCTTTCGCAATCACCTGTTCCTACCAAAGCGGAAAGAGGGACTCACCTGTCAACCTAAATGAGAGAGAGAAAAAACAAATTGCACCTGTTTTATATTTCAGACTCCGAATTACGGATAAATAGAAATTTCATAATAAAGAATATCGACGGAGATTCAAGGATCCCCATATCCCGGGACCAAAATGTATATAAACAAAACTATTTACCTTCTACATAGTTTTTAACTCTTTTTCTTCCTTCTTTTACATTGTATTCCGTTTTTCTATTTTATTATTTCATTATGATTTCGTCATCCACTAACACTTCATCTTCATCCTGATTGTATCTGCCATGCCAACTTTATTCCATAGATATAATGAATTATTGAAAAGACGTCCATGGATAATGAATTCCATTGGATGTGGATTATTTTTCACTTTAGGAGATTATGTAGCACAATCATTATTTCCTAAAGAACCTAATCAACCAATAGATCGCAAGAGAATAATTCGAGCAGGTATTTATGGATCTTGTTTCTTTGCTCCGATTAGTGTTCTATGGCATGGTAAAACATTACCAAAGATCAAAAATCCTTTCATTAATATATTTCATAGACAAAAAATGAAAGAAGTTCCTCATATGAAACAAAAAATTCATTTTTATGATACTGTTTTTAGAATGGGTATTGATCAATTGATATTTCCTGGGTTAGTATGGATCCCTTTATATAATACAGTCATGGTTATTTTAGCAGGTAGAGAAGATCCATTTCTGGTTATTCAAGATAAATTATATAATAATTGGTGGAGAGTTTTAAGTGCAAATTGGACAGTTTGGCCAGGTTTCCAATTATTTAATTTATTTTTCATTCCTGTTCATTTAAGAATTGTTGCTCAAAATATTTGGGCTACTGGTTGGAATACTTTCTTGAGTTTTGTTCATAATACTAAAGGTCATGGTCATGGTAGTGGTCATATATTGGAAGAAATTGTGGATATAGAAGATGAAGATCAAGAGTTTTACATGTTCTATGATTGAGAACCATGTACAAGATATATATATTCTATAGATGATTATGCTTGTTATTATAACTGGATAATATATGTAATGTTTCTTTGATGTGACTCAAATTCTGTACATTTGGTAGTTCTGATCTCACTAAGACTCAGAATCATCTTCATCCAACAAAAAAGATCGCGAAAAAAAAAAATAAACTGAAAAGAATCAATTTCACAGCCATAATAATCTTTTCTCTTCCAACAATCCTTCATTCCCCCCAAGATGAGACACTTATTTACAGCTTATAATTCTTTATTAAAAAAGTATCCAATAACGACTAATTGTATTTCCACTGGTATATTAATGGGTCTGGGTGATATTCTTGCACAATATTTATTCCCTACTAATCAATCCAATAAATCATCAACTTTTGATTATCAACGAACTTTTAGAGCATTTATATTTGGTTCTTGTATATTTGGTCCTATTGGTCATACATGGTACAAATTCTTAGGTACAAAAATTCAATGGAAGAGTAATAATCGATCTTATACAAAATTGAAAACTACTTTATTTAGAGTATTAATTGATCAAACTATATTTGTTCCTTTCATTTGTTACCCTATATATTATGGTTCTATGACTTTACTTGAAGGAAAACAACCAATTTGGCAAAATTTAAAATTGAAATTTGAAGAGAAATGGTGGGATACTGTAAGAACTAATTGGATGGTTTGGCCATTTGTTCAATTTGCAAATTTTTATTTATTACCTCCTCATTTACGATTATTAATGATTAATTTTGTAAGCATCGGTTGGAATACTTTCTTAAGTTATATTTTACATAGAACAAAGTAAATAGATTAGAAATTAAAGACAAAATTTTTATTAAAATAGTAATGGAAGTTATTCCTTTTTCATTCACAAGTGTTTAATATCTCTATCACGACTTCTGTAAAAATTGTACACAAAAGTTCATTTCATCTTCAGTTAAAGATGAAATATAAAGACATTTGGATAATAACTCCAGTTGAACATCGAATCTATAATTTTTAGCCCATTCAATACATTGTGATAATGATTTAACAATTGCTACTGATGTTCTGAATTTACCAAAATTAATCAATCTATCATTAATCTTACCAACTCTTTCATTATTATAAACCAAATCATTAATGTATAATCCAACAAATGGAATACACCCTTTGGAAGGTTGAATATTATTAGTGGCTTTTCTAAGTTGATAAAAGTTGTTCAAAGGTGAACATAATTTTTTCAACAGTTCATCAACTTCATCATCAACATATTTTTCAATTTTCAGCGAACTTAAAGCAACAACAATTTGCATAGTAGTGGCGAAATTTTGTAATTGAACACAATGATGAGCAATATGAATAAATCTTTTAATCACTTCATCACGTTCATCTTGAGATAATAAAACCTCAGAGATGATCCAATTTACCATGAGATTAAACCTGTCAATAACTAAATTGACCCCCGCAAAATCTCTAAGAATAACTTGTAACCAACTTGTAACACCAGTTACTAAATGATTCCATTTCAATTCAATCAAATCTTTCCAATCTAATGACAATGAAAGATCAGCTTCAATAAGTGTCATGTGTTTGGCAATTTCCTCGGAATCATATGATAAAACAAAAGAAATATGCGCATTATTTAGCATAATATCATCTACTGACAATGATGATGAAAAATTATCCAACATAACACTTGGTGAATCAAGTTGACGTGATTGAGAGTGTGATTGAGAATATTGGTATTGTTGTCCTTGAGAATCATCACCTGTTATATTTGTACTATCATTAATTCTCTTCTTGATTGGTGTCAAAGGAGTTGCAGAAACATCAAATGCTTCTTCATCATCATCAAAACTGATGACGTCAACAGTCTTGGCATTATTTATCTCATTCAAGATATCTTCAGTATCATCCATTCTGTTGACTTCTTCTTCCTCTTCTTCAACTTTCTTCTTTAATGTCAGTTTAGATGAAGATTTACCTTCAAGCTTATGTAATGCAAATTGTATAGGATCTTCAGCTGATTGAATACTTTCATCTGGAATAGCAGCCAATTCTTTCAATGCAAAACTACTGATTCCTGGTATAGCAACAGAATTACTACTTGATCCAGTATACGCAGTAGAATGGAATGATTCCTTGTTGGTAGTTCTAATGGAACTCTTGCATGCCGATGAAAAAATAGAACTATCTGCCACATCAGCAGATGATTGTTTGGAAAGACGAGCCAATTCATGAAATGGTAACTCGGTTAAAGCACATAATACACTATACCTAATACTTTTGGAACTACTACGTGAAATCGAAGTTATCTGATTTTCATCCGCCCCTGCGGCAATACGAAGATTATTAAAACCAGTCTTCTTTTTCAAACCGTTGTATTCGGTATTCTCATATTTAATTGAATTGTGTTCGTTGAAAATCGAGAAAGCAGAATCATAACTCACATATGATTTGATTGAATCTCTTCTGAATACTGAACCATTGGAATTTCTAGACCACATGGAGAGTCTCTTGTTATGAGTCAAACTAGTGTTAGCATTCTCACAGAAACTAATTCTTTTCGGTTTTTCCAGATGTGGACTCATTGCAATACCAAGATCAGCAACTTCAGCATCATATTGCGTGATATTACTTGGGGTTGAGATAGAAGAATGACCTGTTGATTGATTCGGATTTTGGAAACTGAAACCCGGTTCTGAGTATTGTGAAGCTCTCTTTTTCTGCGGTTCTTCAGTCAGGAAATTAAATTCATCAAATTCTTCTTCCAATGGAGTTTTATCACCAATATTAATATTATCTTCGTCATTCCAATTAATACTGGCTGGACTCTGAAATGAAGATGAACCTTCTGAGTCATCTTGTTTCTCTTCCATTCCCTCCTCTTCTTCAAGGATGTTACTAGATGATATGTTTCTTGGAACTTTGACATTGTAAACGTTATCACTATCGTTGATTAAGTTGTCAATTTTGACAATGTTCAAATCAGATAAATCATTTATATCCATTTCATCTTCTTCATCTTTCTCTGGAACACCTTCTGTGGGTTTCAAATGATCTTCTTCTTTAAGTATGATGGGTTCCTTAACATTTTGGTCATCCTCTTCAACGTTTTTAACCTCATTTTCAGATGCAATTCCACCACTGCTAGTACGTACACTATCAGTATTACTCTTATTCCCATTTGAAGTTTGATCAGAAAATTGTGAATGCAGTTCAATAATTGCACTGCTGGTTTCACTGCGGATACAGTTTCTTATCAAATATTCCAATTCGTCAATGATTCTAGCACTTAAAGCATCAACTCTTCTTCCAACATCTTTCTTGTCATCCATAACATTGATTGCATCTGTTATTAACCTATTGAGATCTTCAGTCGAAGGTTTAGAAGTTAACATTTGATCAGCTGTAGTGGTGGTGGTACCGGCGGTAGCAGTAGACATACGAGAAGCTGAATCTTTGTGCACAACTAAGGTTTTCTTCCAACTGTCCATCAACTTTCGTATAGAGCCTCGTCTATTCAAACTATCATGGTCGGAAAATATAGATGAATTTGATGGAAGTTGCGGTGGGGCAAACGCTTTTGGTGACATAAAAGACTGTGCATCCGTGGAAGCATAATCCATAACTTTGACTGGTGTCGAAGGAACAATCCCAGCAACTTTAGAAGTAGGTAATTTAATATGACCATTTGTGGCAAACCCAGCTTCATTGAAATATTTTGTCTTTGTTGGTGTGGTTTGTGTTAGTGGTGGAAAGTTCTCTTGGTTATCATGCGACTTATGTTGAACTGTCTTCGTCTTCTTTAAATCCAATGACGAATCCTTGATATTCATATGATTATGCCTGGATGCCTGTTTCATTGTACGTCTTTCCTTGACCTGAGGTGCTCCTTTTGTTGGTGAAATACTTGTAGCCATAGAAAGAGGGGAACTTCTTGGTAGACTAAATGAGCTTGAAAATGTTGGAGACTTGACCAACTTCTTACGTTGTTGCATTTGATGGATCTTATTGTTGATTGATATTCTGGAGGAATCGTGTTGTAAAAACAAGTTATTAATGGATAATTGTGTACGTTCTGCTTGGAGATTGTTTTCGTCATCAAACATTAATGTTTTGTGATGGGTTTTTGAATCATATAACGAAAGCATTGCCGATCTACGGAATGATGGGTTGGTATGGATTGATATTTCAGTATTTGACTTGGACAATTTCTTGTTGTTATTCAATGAAGTTGCTAATGGTATGACATAATTGTACGCATTGTTACTATTCATAATAGCATCAAAATCCAAGTCCAATAACCAAAACTCATTGATAATCTTCAACCAATGAATCTTTAAATCTCCAAGAATTTTTGATGTGAAGATGGAGTTATTGATTGTGGCTTCAGTTTGTTCAACACCATGCTTTACCACCAAGTTTGACTCTAGGGTTATACTATTCATGGTTTTGGCAAACAAGTCACATAATTGATAATCATTATTGAAATCATCAATGAAATAATTAAGGATCCAATGTCTTAAAACAACAAATGTTCGCAACAACACTAGTTTTCCAATTTTAATATTATCTTCTACTGGTGAGTTAAGATATTGTAGAGCCCAAATCAATCTTGTCAATAATAAATCCATAACTTCACGACTATTGGAGAACAATCTATAAGTCAAAAAGAAATCACAGATCAAATCATAGTCAATTATTTCTGGGGATGTCATATGTACTATTAGTGCTTTGATGGTTGCTTGATTGATTAATTCTGGGTTGGTATCATCATATTTAACTAGATCGTCTCTGCTTTGTGTTGGTAGACAAGGAAATAATTCTTCATCATCAAATATAGATTCGTTGTGTCTATTGTAAAGAAAATCAGGATGCACACTTGCTGCATGAATGGCAATTTCTTGCTGTTGTTGAAAATTGTGGTTTGAAGTGGATGTGGAAAGTATATCATTTGATAAATTGACTAGTGAATTGTTGTCATCGAGATTATTCAGTAGTTGTTGCTCTTCCTCTTCTTCTCTCTGTTCCTCAAATTCTTGGTTATCCAGATCCTGTGTAAAATTGTTGTCACTATTGCATTCCAACATAGTTTCTGCTGGTGATGAATCTTTGTCAACTTCACCCGTAAGATTGGAAGCCTGTTGATGTTCGTCTGTCATTTTTAAGATGTGTGCAAAATTACAATTAAAGAAAGAATTGAACGTAGTAATTAAAAAATAACAAATTTAAAAATAAAAGGTAACGAATGTAATGAAATGAAAGTGATGTTCTATCCAAAGAATTGAATTCAATTAATATGGTAATGACAACAACAACAACGACGACGACGATAATGAGAAGTTGATAATGAAAACAGACAGCAATAACTTGATGATGAATGAAAGTTAGCCTAAAAAAAAAAGAGGTCGCTGTGATGTTACAAACTCACAACAACAAATGAGTTAAGGCAAGAAAAATTTTCCTTAGTTTTAACACTCGCACCATATTTGTTTACTTTAAAATTATACACACTGGACAAAATTATTTGACACCACATACAAAAGAAAAAAAAGCTTTTGTGATGCATAGCTGAAATAGACGACCCAATAATAAATGGAGAATGTTAAACAATGAATTAATGAGAAAATGGGACAGTCAAAGAAAGTTATAATACCCACATAGCATAAATAACCTGTTTCATCTATTGTGCATGTTCTTTCTGATTGTACTTGACATTTAGCCAGTAATGGTGTACAGGTTTTATTTAACGTTGGTCAAAATTCAACAACATGGCAGCCATTTGGGACAACCACAAACAGAAAAAAAAAAAATTGGCAACCCAGTGGAACAGATTTGTTTACATTCTTTAAACTATGGAGTGACACAAATTTATGAAATGTAAACAAACGCGAACAAAATTGTTGGTTTTTGTGTTGCCAAAATCTTTCTCGCTTTACTTTACTTTACCTTACTTAGTGATCTCTCTCTCTCTCTGTATGTGTGCGTGTAAATGTGCACAATATTTTGTTTCGTAAGAAAGAAAGAAAGAAAGTTGCTAATTTTGATTTGGCTTAGATTTTCCTAAACCCCAGCCAACTAACTTTTGCTAAATCTTTAGTGTCGAAATTAGTCGATACAACTCTAATGCATGTTTTTTTTTCTTTCCATTTCAAGATAATGACAATTAAATGAAGTGACATAGTTATAGCACTTGTATGTTTTTGACTTCTATTGTTATGTTGGTTATATTGCCCCATAGTTTACCGGTTACAGTACAACGCGTCTGGCAACAGTCTATTGAGAAAAAAAAGGCGGTAAATTAAGTAAAAAAAAATTCCCCTTTAATTATGTCGTTCAAACATTCCTTTAGCTAAACAAAGGATGATCCGCCACACACACATGAAATAGACTAAAGCATGTAATTAAACAGCCAATGAGATACCATTATAGCTTACTAATCAAGAAGAATGTTACCAACTCAACTAATCTTTTGCATTGCGCCACGGAAAAAATTTGGCAGCACTTTACAGAGTCCCTCGCCTGTATAAAGTCATCTTGGAAGGAATATTCAATAGAGTTGGTGCTGATGTTATATGACTTCGTAATGTCAAGTCTATTGATGGGCTCATAATTTTCTTGCTCTTCGTGTTTTAGTCTTTTCTGTTTCGTAGTTTTACCACTAACCGGTCGTCACCAAATGAAAATAAAGTAGTACATATCTACTCTATTGTTCTACTCTACTCCTTTTTTTTTGCAGCACAACAAGAGATACGATAGTGTATGATTGAACCATAACACAAGGCAAAGACAAAAAAAAAACATCTAAATCGTGTATTCTTACAAGTCTGTTATCAATTACTTAGAATTGTTTTGCAAGTTTTGTTGAATCATACTTTTTAATGATGCAAAATTTGAATCTCTATTTTGCAAAGCTGTTTTAAACATCACACTTTCCTGCTTTAAAATTTGTTTGATCCCACTTGCTTTGGTTGGATTTGGTTTGTTTTCACGTTTGACTTTATTTATAAACAATTTAGTATCTTCTTTCTTCGTACTACCAGTTTTATCATTATTATCATCTTCATCTGGTAAATTCAGTAACAAATCATCTAATTTTGGTTTCAATTGTTCTTTTGCTTTTCTTTTTCTTCTACGTAATGCTGATTTACTTATTCTTGTTTCTCCCAGAACCAATTTATTAACGAAATTATCACTCTTGATTTGTTGTTTTTCCTTTTTTGTACTTTTAGCTAATTTCAAAAATGGATTTTCATGATAATTTGGATCTGATTGTGTTGTTGTAGGTTCAGTTTGGGCTAGTTCTTGTTTGAACTCATTGACTTTGGCTAATTGTGATTTCTTGGATGCTTTATCTCTTAATGAACTCTTTTTCTTTATTCCTGCCTGATGATAACTAATGTTAGTAATACTCTCCAATCATAATAAAAGTACATGTTACAATATCAACATACCATTGTTTATGCTCTATATTACTGGTATCCCCTTCTTTCTCCTTTGATATCTCGCGATGATGTAAATTTTTTTTTTTTTTCTTTTTCCATACTCTTTTTTTTTTTGCTTGGTACTCATTTTTGTTTTTTTGGTTTAGCGGAATTGAATAAAATACACAAAGCTATGATCCCTTATATCTTTTGCAACCAATGGACAAGATGTGAATTGGATTTAAATAATTCCTTATATTAACAATATAGATACATATAGAATAATATTAACAATATTAACTAATTAATGGCAACACAGATAAAACATGCATGCATATATGTAAAAAAATATATTCACTCTTTTTTAGTGCAATAATAATTCTCGTTGAAAATCTCTACCAAAATCGAAAGAAAAGTAACAATGTAATTAAGAAATATTCAAATACACTTAGTTCAATATCAGTAATAGTTGTTTCATTCTTAGTTCTTGTCTTTGTAGTCTTAGCTTCTGTAACATTGAATTGTGAATCTTCACGTGATGAATTATTATCGATGTTAATATTCAGACTCGTAAAATTTTGTTCGTTGTTCATATGCGCGAACCTAAATAAAGGATCTGGTAGCATTTCTAACATGTTTAATCTTTGCATGTCCCAATCCAATGTACTTTCAGTTTTCCAGCACCAAAATATCCACCCACTTCCCTTTTCTTCATAAACATAAAATTGCTCTTGTAAAAATTTCATCACGTCCTCTTTAAACCAATTGTGATTCGGATCATCTCGCCCAAGACAAGATCCATTTTGTCTACTTTCGAATGTTCCTTCCCACCGTGAACCTTTTCCAACACCATTAATATACTTGGTACAATCAGTCAAGGCACCAGAAAACTCTCCCACAATACTCCTTTGTCCTGATCTCTCAATACTTTCCCCTTGTCTTCGAATGGTATCTAAATGTTGCTCAACACTAAGGGTAATTTGCCACTCAGAAAATATTTCATATAAATGATGATCTAGAATGTATTCACCAGGAAAATTTTTCCATGCTTCAATATTGAGAAAAGCATCATGAAATACAAGTTTTGCTTGAATATTTTTTTCAACAACCTGATCAAGACAATACGTATAAAAATTCATCAACTTTTCTTTGTTTAATATTAATCCCATTGGCTCGTTTACCAACTGAATCGAGTGCACCGTTGAATGATTACCATATTTATCAAGCACATAGTTCACCACTTCATAAGTCAATTCCATATTTTCTGGAACTTCTAACCATGACGGTGTAGCAGTAGAGTGACCTGAATTATCGAATCCATTTTGAGATCCTGGCATTCCATGTATACCAACCTGAACTTTTAAATTATGATTAGTAGCCCAAACTATTGCTTTGTCCAAATATTCTTCTTGTCCTTGAACAAATGGATCATCTTCTAATAAACCAAATGCCCAATATCCAATAGGAATTCTCACCAAATTTAATCCAAGGTTTGCAATTTCTTCAAAATCATCTTCTGAATAGAAATCTTCCCAATGTGGCTGCAAATACTCTAACGCAATGTCTTTACCCAAAGTTGCCGTTAAGGTGTATTCATCCACTGGCATAGGTCTAACGTAAATATTTTGTACATTCTCATATAATGTTGGTGTTATCCACGGTTCTGTAACTAACCAACCACCTAAGCTTACTCCGTATATTTTCTGTAACTCATCTTCATAAACAGAAGACATCGACTGGTACAGGTTATTAAAGTAACCTTGAAGTATAAAAGTGGTACTTAAAAACTCATCTTTATCGTTGACTCGACAAATTGCCATTTGAGGTAGGAATAAGATAATCAAATGTACAAGATTCATAGTGAGATCGGTTGACTTGTAAAATTGTAGATCGTATTTGCGTATATCAGTTGGAAATCAATAGAATCAGTAATCCGAAATAAGACAAACACTTAATTGATTGATTAGAACCAAAAACAAATCAATGCCTTTATGCGATAATCATCTTGTCTTTGTTCTCTCTCTTTTTTTTTTTTTTGGTTTGGTTTTGCAACAAAATAAACTTCGTGATACAATTTTTTCCCACTCTCTCCTTATACGACTCACGTGACATTCGCACAAAAAATCTAGGAAAGAAATTCTAAATTTTCAAAACTTTCTTTCGCTCGTTATAGAAAAATCACAACAAAAAAACGTTTATCTGCTCATCTCCTAGTATAGATTACACTAGTTGTACCGAACACTATAATCAACTGATAAACTATTTGATCACTCCCGAAAAGCCGTGTTCTCAATTTTCATTTACTTGAGTAGCTCTTGTCATAAATTTTTTCCCCTTTGTTATTGAATGATTTATTGATTTATCTATTCCCCCAGTCACCAAATCGGATTGAAGAAAAAAAACAACAACAACAACAACAACAACAAGAACAGAAAATATATAAACAACACAATTATAGCGTTAGAGTCGAAGGTAACATTTTACATATCCAACAAATATGAGTAGTACAGATGATCCTATCAATAAATCACTTAGGGAATCTCATGAATCATCACATTTGTTACAATCACCTCGAGACATTGACTTAACTTTGACATCCGAGATTAAACTTGAGGTACCGAATGTTATTTCCACATTAAGTCACGAAGATGAAATTAATCAACTATTTGATGATGCAACTCAACCTGCTTCTGGGGACTTAAAATCAACAGTTAAAACAGAGGATAAACCACAAGAACAACTTCATGAAGATGATCCTAAAGCAGTGCCGTTAATTTCTCCAATTGACGAATCGAAAACAGCAAGTACTTCAATATCACCAAACCTTTTTCCAGCAGATGGAAAACAAACACCGACAAACCAGAAGGAACTAAGGCGTAAATCAACTTTTGTGCCAGTTACTTCAGACACTAAAATTATGGACGTTTCAGAAGAAGACAATTCAAGAATTTCTGCCTATGCCAGATTGGATTTTGATAACTTTACATTTTTCGTACAAACTTTACAAGTTGTTTTAGGGAGAAAATCTAATGATGAATCTTTACAACAAAATGTCGATGTTCATTTGTCTTCCAAAAAGGCGATTTCTAGAAGACACGCCAAAATCTTTTATAATTTTGGATCCCAGAGATTTGAAATTACAATTTTAGGAAGAAATGGGGCATTTGTTGATAATGTTTTTGTTGGAAAAGGATTAACTGTTCCATTGAAGGATGGAACCAAAATTCAAATTGGTGATATTCCATTTCAATTTGTACTTCCACCATCTAGCGAATCAAACAAAGAAAGAGAATTCGAATCGTCATCGAAACAATTCAATCCTTCTGACGCAATCAATTTAAAATCAAATCTTTACTCAGCAACCCCTACCCCTAAAGCATCTCCAAAAAAGAAGTCAGTTGATGATTCGAAATCAAAACTTGAAACTGAACCACCACTAGCGAAGGCTAAACCTACATCTCGAAAGTCTTCTGCATCTAATCAAGCAACAGCAAAATCAATATCACCAAAATCATCCACTACAACTACCAAAGCGGCAACTGATTCCGCTATATCCGCAACTCCAGCACCAGCACCAGCACCATCAACCCCAACCCCAACTACAACTACAACTCCAACCCCGACCAACACCACCACATCGACAACTGCGGCGCGCAAAAATTCCATTCAAAGAAGAAACTCACTACTAAAAATCAGACGATTATCCAACGCAAGAAGAAAATCATTAGCAGCTAATGATGAAATCAATGAATTATTGAAGGATTTGGGAGTGACATCAATTGATGCTATCAATGAAGAAAATTCTGATTTATTAGATGCTCAAATTCAAAGTTTATTAGATGAAGATAGTGAGAATTTGGGTGGATTAGAAGACAGCTTAATGAAATTAGCAGAATTTAATGAGTCTGCCATTGACGATGGTGACGACGAAGAAGAAGATCCTAACAAGAGTACAGCCGCTGATACTACTACCACCACTGCCACCAACAGTACGACCAAAAACAACAACAATAACAACAGCAGTAACAATAACAACGATAATCATGAGTTTGATCGTCTTGTCAAAGGAATTGAACATGATGCACTTGATGATGAAATTAAAGACATTGATGCAAGTTTGTCACTATTAAACCAAGAAATTGCGCAGTTGGAACCATTGATTGACGAACATAATCAAGGATTAATGAGAGAAAAGGAAGAAAAGAAGAAACAATTGGAAGAGCAAAAAAGAAAAAAGCAATTGCAACAGTTACAAAGGAAGAATACATTGGCAAAATTACCTTTGCGCTCAGCCCCACTTATGGGAAAACCAGCATCTATACAACCACCAGCATCATCATCCATCTATAGTCGCATCAATGGATTGGATAAAATTGGCAAAATTATTCCACCGAGACAACCACCCCCAAAATTGGTTGCTCCTGTATTATTAATAACTTCTGAACCTTCCGCAATTCGTTCACGACCACCACTTCGTGCAATAACTGTTAGTGATGCTTCATACCTTGCCACATTCTCATATCCAAAGACTATTGAAGAACCTTCCAAATATCCAAAACCTAAACTCAAGAAAGAACCTCATAAGAAATCATCCAAGAAAGTTTACACTACTGATGAAATCCCAACCCAATATCGTTCCAAGCCAAATATCAATTTCCAGACTATGATTACCAATGTTTTAAAAACAGAGGCAGCAAGAAATGGGTTAACAATTAGTGAGATAACAGAGGCTATTAGGGAAGTTTATCCTTACTATAAATATTGTCCGGATGGATGGCAATTTTCGGTCAATCATTGTATTAAGTTTACAAAAATCTACAAGAGGTTACTGAAAAGAGGCAATGAATGGTTATATGCCATGGATGAGTTGTATATCAATGAACGTGAGAACATTAGAATCAAACAAAGAGAATTAGCAAAAGCTAGAGCCAAAGCAGAAGCCATGAGACAAGAAGAGATTAGACAACGACAAAGGTTAGAGGCCCAGAAATCGTTGTCTCATAATATTGTTGGGAGAAACTTTGCACTGCCTTATCCTAATACAAGAGTTCCATCTAATCAATATGGTCAGTATGTTGCAGGTAGTGCCACTGGTACTTCTAACCAAGGATATGGTACAGGAACAACTGCTGGAACTTCTGGAGGTCAAAAAACGATTAAAGCTCAATTGGCAGCGGTTAGAGGTAACACCAATTCCTCTTCATCAAAACAAACTCTGCCGGGATTACCATCAATGGATGATCCTAGGACTCAGAAATCATTGGTTTATTTGCGAAAAGAATTATTTACTTTATATAAAGCAAGAAAGTTGACTTACGATTTACCTACTGCTACATCACTTATCACAAAAGCAGTGGCAACCACCATTGCTCAAGTCAACAGTATTGGTGCCAAAAGGGGAGCTGGGGACAATGCATTGGGATATTTGGTTGAACAAGCTCCACAACAAGTTAGTAAAATTCTAGGAATTGCATTGAATAATGCAATTAAAGAGCACGAGGGCCATTCATCAGGACCATCGTCTCGTTCTGCGACCCCTGCTAGTAAATCAACAACTTCAATAAGCAAAGTATCAACTCCTGCTCCTGCACCTGCTTCTGCACCTGTTGTTACACCAACATCAACAACTGCACCTGTTCCAGCTAAGATCACACAACCAGCAGCACCAATTGTCACTCCTGCTGTGAAAAGTACTACACCTGCCAAGATACCAACCACAACCGCAACACCACCATCAATATCAGCATCACCAGTGGTAGTTAAAACAGAACCAAAGTCACCTGCACCACAACCGCCAGCTAGTTCTACCACAACTAAATCATCTCCTACTGCTGCAGTTGTTGCTTCACCACCAGCACCACCATCAACTAAAGAGACAATTAAATCACCGCCTACTACTGCAACAACAACAACAACAACCCCTACTGTTCCAGCACCAGCACCAGCACCAGCACCAGCACCAGTACAAAAACCAAAACCAACACCTCCAACAAACTTACCAAGGCCACTGTTTGGTAAACCACCAGGTTTGAAACCTGGTGCTTCTTTAGGTCGTCCACTGGCATTTGGAAAACCACCAAGTGCAGCGGGTGGTGGATTTTCTAGAGCTGCACCTACATTTTTATCAAATAAACCAAGTTTCCAAAGTACTAAGAGAGAATTGGAATCAGATGATTCAGAAAAAGCGACTAAGATTCAAAAGACAGAATAAATATAAAGAAAAAGGTTATCAATAGAATATGTATTATTATTATTATTATTATTATTTAAGATTTATGTGTAGTTGTATTTTATTTTGCATCTATGATTTATTTTTTCTTTTTTTTTAAGTATTCGATCTATTTTTGTGCTTTCTCACACGACTTTATTACCAAAAGAAAAATGAGTGGCAACAACGACAAAAACAGAACACTGAGAAATATCGCTTGAACGATAAATAACAATAAGGGTCAATAATCACGACTATCTTTATTTACTTCTTCTTACTACATCAATTACATTACTTATCATCATAAACTTCGACATAAAGATATAATTCAATTAGGATGAATAGTATTGCTCAAAGATTTTCACATTCCCAAAACAATGATATTCTTAAAGAATTAAATTCTGTTAATGAATCACGTACACCAACATCAGCATCTCAATTAGAATTAGCACCATCAATTGCAGTTCCACCAATTTCTCAACCAACTGAATTTTTACGTGCTCATACTGATGATTCAGCTAATCCAGATTGTAAGATTAAAATTGCTCATGGTACAACTACATTAGCATTTAGATTTCAAGGAGGAATTATTGTAGCTGTTGATTCTCGAGCTACTGCAGGAAATTGGATTGCTTCACAAACAGTTAATAAAGTTATTCGAATTAATCCATTTTTGTTAGGTACTATGGCTGGTGGTGCTGCTGATTGTCAATATTGGGAAACTTGGTTAGGTACACAATGTAGATTACATGAATTAAGAGAAAAGGAAAGAATTTCAGTTGCTGCTGCTTCTAAAATTTTAAGTAATTTAGTTTATCAATATAAAGGTATGGGATTAAGTATGGGTACTATGGTTTGTGGTCATACTGCTAAAGAAGGTCCAACTATTTATTATGTTGATAGTGATGGTACCAGATTAAAAGGTGATGTATTTTGTGTTGGTTCTGGTCAAACTTTTGCATATGGGGTATTGGATACCGAATATAAATGGGATTTAACTGTTGAAGAAGCTTTGTATTTAGGTAAGAGAAGTATATTGGCTGCCACTCATAGAGACGCTTATTCCGGTGGTTCTATTAACTTGTACCATGTTACTGAACAAGGTTGGACTTATCATGGTAACTATAACGTCGGTGATCTTTTCTGGGAAATCAAAGAAAAAGAACAATCTTTTGTTAACGTTGATGGATAGGCAGTAAATACTTTTGTTAGATAGATAATACAAGGAAAAAATCATATTATAAGGAATTGATAAATTAAAAATGATAAAAGGCTTGTATGTTATGGATGAATTTTGTGTTGCAAAACAATTAGGGCTTCTAAATAGCCCTAATTGTTTACACGTGATTGAAAACCATCTCCTGCACTTAAAGTCGTGTATAACCAATTTTTTTATATTGGTGAGTGCAAGATTTTTTTTGTACTAGGAGTAGAGTATTGCGCGACTCACACGCACTTTCTATCGCACACACACACTGTACTGACAATTTTCTTAGTATAGAGAAAAATTCTTTTTGGAAAGTTTCAATAGTTTCATTCTAAGAAGACCATATACAGTAACTGCCAAAGATGGTATGTTTAGAGATAGATAATGAAGATATGGATAATTGGAGAGAATAGAGCAAGATAGAAATAGTTGATTTATGACATGGGCTATATTTGGAAAGAATGACAATAGTCAAAGCAAATGCCTTTGGAAAGTGAAAAATCGAAAGAATCTACTTAAACCAGAAATTTCTAAAAGTTGTTCAAGAGATACCTGTGAAATGTTTTTGATCCAATTCATATCCAAATTCAATAAAGAACCAATTAATACTAACTTTATTCTTTTAATAGTCTGACAAATCCCAAAATGTTATGCGTGAATTGCGTATTGAAAAATTAGTTTTAAACATTTGTGTTGGTGAATCCGGTGATAGATTAACCAGAGCCTCCAAAGTTTTAGAACAATTATCTGGTCAAACTCCAGTTCAATCTAAAGCTAGATACACTGTCAGAACTTTCGGTATCAGAAGAAACGAAAAGATTTCTGTTCACGTTACCGTCAGAGGTCCAAAAGCTGAAGAAATCTTGGAAAGAGGTTTGAAAGTTAAAGAATATCAATTGAAAGCCAGAAACTTCTCTGCCACTGGTAACTTTGGTTTCGGTATTGACGAACACATTGATTTGGGTATCAAATATGACCCAGCTATCGGTATTTACGGTATGGATTTCTACGTTGTTATGGGTAGAGCTGGTGCCAGAATCACCAGAAGAAAGAGAGCTAGATCTACTATTGGTAACTCCCACAAAACCAACAAAGAAGATACCATCCAATGGTTCAAGACTAGATACGATGCTGAAGTTTTGGAAAAATAAATTTAATGTATTAAGTTTGTGTATATTAAAATAATAAAAATTTATTAATCATTTCAGAGGTTCATTGATTGATTATTGTAGAGATTTTCCAATGATTGGGAAGTGTACGCATATGTAACATACCATGTGATACTAGTCACGTGAAAAAGATTTTTTTTTTTTTTTGCAAAACCGGATAAATGCCTTGTCATGATATGGAAGCAAATACGACAATAGGCAAAAAAATCTATCTATGGCATCAGAAGTTGTGTTCTATCAAAGTTGCATTTGTTTAATAATTCCGCTATCTTAGTGGACGTTATGGGCATTTATCTTACGGCATTTAAAGAGTACATTAAACCACGCGACTGCGCAATGTGTTGAACAATTGACCCGAATGGCATGGTTGAAGTACTCTGTGCTTGCGGTGATCACAATTGGAAGTAAAACAATAGCAATGATGGTAGAAACTCACAACTCCCCCCCACTCAAATCAGTAATAAAAGACAATTGGGAAAAAAAAGAAAAGGCGCACTTACATACAATCTAATTTCCTTGTTTCTTTTTTTGGAGCCACATGATAAGAGGGATTTAGCAGCGTAAACGCCGATTACTTACTTGAGGTAATATGAAGACATATACAGCCACCAAGGTTGATGGTTGCGTACGTTGTTCTAGAACCAACACGGACGGACTATATTCCAAAACGGGGGAATATGTCATTTTGAATTGGTGGGCCAAGGAATCAAATGGCAATGGTTACAAGGCGAAAAAAAATAAGCGGAATTGTCTCAAAATATTGCGAATAGCAAAGAAAAGCCTTGGGGGAAGAAGAAGAAGAAGACGAAGAAGAATGAATTACGAGTTTTAATTTAATTACTAATATACTATGATATCAATATACTCCACATTGAAAGTGGAAAACTTATCTTGATATTCATTAGACCGTTACAGGGGTTAGTTCCTCCAACACTTTCAAAGATATACCAAGATGAAACGAGCCACATATTTAGTAGGAAAGAATTAAACTCCACTTTTTGTACATTTTTTTTTTTTTTTGGAGAAGTAGTAAGCTTTAAGTTGAAACACCGGTTTTTTATTGGTTCTTCATAAAGAGTACAATATCAATCAATCTGTGTAGAACGTTATCTTTTAGTCAGTTGGTTAGTCTTATTAACCGAATGTAGAGCACACAGACACACAAAGAATAATTGCCACCTTCACACGCACGCAATACAATTTCAGTCTAAAATTTTTTTTTCTTTCTCTCACTTGTTATATATTTGTTGAGAGAGAACAGTGAACTTAGTATGGATAGTTAGTTTTTTATTTTTTTTTTTTTTCCCTCTTTCTTAATTGCCCTTTTCATTCCACTGGTAGATATATATTTATGTATATATAACCATTGATATTTTCTTATTCATAACCCCACAGTCTAGAATTTATTGTTGTGTTAGTACTAGCACTAAAACTACATGTTTTTAGGTGTATAAATAATTTATAATTTCATCCTACAAAATATTCTGCATTATCAACATTATCGACAAAATAAAAAGTAATGGTTACTATAAACTCAGAACCTTTGGAACATCTACCATACATCGATGAAAATATAAGTCCAGAAGAAAGATCAAATGTTGAGAATCTTATAAGATTAGAATTAGCCAACCAATTTAATAATAATGTTAATAGTATAACACATAATGGAAACATACTACTAGATGATTCTCAACTACTACAACAGCAACAACAACAGCAGCAGCAACAACAACAAGATAATGATATCATACCCAACACATTACATCCTTTAGTTGATCAATTATTACCATTAAATTCAAGTCTACATCAAAGAAGTTCTATCATGAATTTAACTTTACAAGATTATGAAGAGGAATCAGATGACGAAGACGATGATGGGGTTGATTTGTCAAAATACACTCAATTTAATATTACATCTCCTTTAGAAGATAATAACAACGGTAATGTTAGTGGTAGTGGTAATAGTGGTAATATAGATTATACCAATTTATATACCACTTTGGGACATGCAAATTTACAGCAAAGAAATTTGGAGTTTTTAGTAAGGAACAGAAATGATTTACAATATTTACAACAACAAGAATTGGCACGCTTGGATGAATTAAACAACGAGTTGTCCAAAAATATCAATAATAAAAGAAGTATGATTGATGATGTATCTAATTCAAGAAAAAGAAGACAAGTGAATGAATATCAACTTGCACAACAAGAACTTGAAGAAAGATGGAAAGAAAATATTAATGCCACAATAGAAGCTACTATTGAAACGGCAAAGAATTTATAAATAATATATACATAATGTATGGGAATGTATTATTTTTTATATTTATTTATATATGTACCAGTATTATCTATGATGTAGACTTTGATTTTTCTCTTTAGATTTCATATAAATCATATCTGTTTTATTTCCCCCAACATTTATGATTCTAGGACATCCTTCACGATGCTTTTCCATACGAACACATTCAAGACAATAATAAGCAGGTACACCATCATCATTGTTAGCACCTAAATAATTTGCACATAATATACATTTATTACGTAAATGACCTTGAGAACAATCTTGACAAATTTTGACTTTATCTGTTGGTTTAACAAATGAATCGCATATTGGACATCTCCCATCACAGTTTGTACATAGTAGACCTATTGATTTTCCTGGTTGTTTCATACATTGAATTAAATCATATTGATGTCGTGACATGATGATGATAGTGGCGTGTAGTAGAAGTTGTTGTTGTTGTTGTTGTTGTTGTTGTTACGAATGAAGAATTCAAAGAAATTATAAAAAATGCAACTAGTTTTTTTTTTTTGGTTGTCTGGTTGTCTGGTTGTCTCTTCTCTTTCTCTTTTCTTTTCTTTACTATTGTGTACTATTGGTCTCTTTTTTTTGCCCTTCAGTAGTAATCCATAAAATCCACAATTTTACAACCTAACCAACACAATAATTTGTCAAAATATAAAAATGAATGAAGAGAGTAGCCAGATAGAAGAGTGCTTGATTTGCCTTGAATCAATATTACCAACCAATAAAGTTGGTAAAATCCCGTGTTGTCCAAGTAAAAGATATCATGATCAATGTGTATTACAATGGTCAAGAACTAGTAATAGTTGTCCAACGTGTCGGAATAGATTTCATAAGATTGAAATAACTGATAATCAAAACATTTTGGAAACTGTTTCTATCCAAGATCGTTTATTGCCGAATCCTGCAATAAATGATATTCCCCTGCAATTTATTATTCGCGAACAACCACCAACAAATCCTGTGGTTGAAGATGATTTAAATGATGAATCCTGCTATATGTGTAGCAATTTTACATCAAGAAATGGGATTAGCTGTCAACAATGTGGATGCCATTTTCATTTAAATTGTCTAGGAGTTGAAACTATAGATGAGTCTATTTGTTGGTGTTGTCCGATATGTGATTATAACCAAGAATCTAACGTCCCACAAAGAGCTCGAAGAAGAAGGATGCAAAATAATTTTCCTTTAAATGTTGATTACACTGATAATAGTTCGAGAATGAAAAGAAGAGGACAAGAACAGAGAAATCGTTTGGTTATTCATAATGATAATGATGAATTAGATGTCGATTTCTTATATGAAGATGACGATGTATTACTAGAGGAAATGAATTATTCGCAACAGCATTTTTTACCTTATCATAGCCCGGTCATAAATGGTGGTGTTATTTCACGTAGAGAACAAAAACAAAGAGCAAAGTTGACGCAGGAAGAAGTTCAATCATGGGAAATGTTTGATGTTGCTAGAAAAGATAATGAAGAATATGCACTGGTGGATGCAGAAGGTGGAAGTAATTTTACACATCCGGAGAAACGTGGCGAAACGGGAGATGAAAATGAGAGTGACAAGAATAAAAGAAGGAGAAAGAGAAAGAAAGTTACTCCAATTGAAGTAGGCTCATCTTCATCAACATCATCATCCAATCCTGTTAATCAACCGGTTAATCATTCGACTAGTCGAATATCTCAATTAATTGATCAATTGAAAACTCCCGGAAGGAAACCGATCACATTAACCAATCATCAAACAATAATACAGCCTAATAATGCATTTCCACTACCGTCAACTAATATCATGCCAAGTGATTCACCAATGTCTATATCACCTGCTGCTAATAGTCCGATGGAACTGGTTTCGTATTCAAGTGATGATAATGATTATACAAGACAAGTTCAACTACAAAAACAACAGAACCCAATGATACAATCAAGACAATCAGTCAAGGAATTAACATTGGATCAAAAGATTGAAATTCAGAAACATATAAGAAATAAACTAAGACCAAGGTATAAACCAGGACAAGTTAAAAATGAAAACAACCCCGATGTTATAACAAGTGAGGAGAATTATATTACAATAAACAAGACAATTTCTCGAAAGATATACAATCATATTTTAAATCAATCTGAACCAATTGAAGAATTCTTCAAGAGTGATGATATAAAATTACGAGACATAATTGACAAGTATATAGAATGAGTATAAAATAATAGTTAATAACATTTATCTACGTCTTGGACCCCTTGGTTTATTAAATTTCAACCCAGCTTTAGAGGAAGAAGAAGCAGAACTAATTGATTCTGAATCTTCACCTTGTTGTTGTTGTTCTTCTTCTGGTTGCAAATCACTTAATTCTAATTCATCTAAATCACCAACTTCTAAATTTTTATCAATCGTCAAACCAGATTTTGAAAGTTTATCTTTTAAATGATTGATTAAACTATTTTTAAAGGAAGCATAAATCATTCTATCTTTAACAGCAGAACCAGAAGGACAAGAATAAATAAATGCTAAATTACCATTTTTATTATAGTTATAAATTGAATATTGAGGACTTTTAGATTCATTTGAAGATTCTAAAGTTTGAATTAATTGATTAATCAGAATATTTGATTTGATATTTTGTAATTTAACCAATTCATTAGATAAATCAATATTAAAAACAATTAATTTTTCATAATCATTTGAAGTTAAATTATCAATTGCATTTGTTAATTCATTATCAAATTTATATAAAATATCTTGATTATTTGATAAATCTTCACTACCTCCCATTGATGCTAATTTTTTTTTAAATCCATGATTTCCAAAACTTGATAAATTATTAATACCTTGTAAAATTTTTTCATCTTCAGTTAATAATCCTTCATTTGTATTATTACTATTATCATTTAAACATTTTAAATAATAATCATTTGTTAATTCATCTAATTCAGTAAATGAAAATTTTTGATTTATACCATTACTTAAATTATTAATAATTGTATTTCTAGTACTAGCATAAAGCATTTTTGATCTTAATTTAGCAACATCGGGAATGAAACTAATAAATGTTTTATCATTTCCATTTCCTTTTTCATTATTAATAATAATATATGAAGGATCAGGAAATTCTTTTGATATATATGAATTTAATTCTGAAAATAATGTTGATAATGAAGTTGAAGTTATCGTTTTTTCAGGAATTAATTTTGTTGAATCTGAAGAAATTTTAATAATTAATGCTGAAGATGATGGTAAAGATTTAAAAGATTCAGTTAATTCTTCCGATGATGTAATACCTGATTGGGTAGACATTATTAATTGAGTTAGTAGTAGTAGTTGTATTGATGGTGATGATAGTTGGTTGTAACTAAAATCGAGTTGAGATTTTTTGTTTGTCTCCTTGTTGGTTGTCGTCGTCGGCTTGTTCGTTTGATTGTTGGACGGAGAGTTGCGTCGTTGGTTCGGCTGGTCGGGTGAACCAAGGTCGGAACTCGGCTAATTTTCGGCCGAAGTGTAAATTCCTTTTTTTTTTGTCTTAGTTGCCAAATTGGTAGAGATCAAAAATATAACATAACCTTCATTGTACAATAATAACAAAGAACAAAAAAATTTTTTCTTTCTTCTCTTTCAGCCTTCTCTTCAATTGATATCAACCATTAAAGATAAGATTTTGAACAGTTTACAATCATTGGGCTATTAGTCTAGTCAGAGACAGGGAAGTTTATTCATTTCCATTATGGGATTATTTGATTTACTTTCATTTTCATCTTCTTCATCTTCTACCTCCACATCATCAAGTATAATACCAACTTATGATCAAAATCAAGATTCAATAAATCTTCAAATTAAATCCTTATTATATCTATTCAAAAGATTACAAATTGATAAACTATCAACATTACCAAATAAAGATGGAACACTTCGATATATTGTCAAAAAGAATGAATTGGTAGTAGATGATGATCCAACATTTAATAAATTGGATAAAATTTATGATGTTGATAAATTTTTAAATATTTTACTTAATGATGAATATAGAATACTTGTTGATTTTATTAAAAATAAGTTCCGTTCAATGTGTATGATTGTTGAATATCCTAGTAATTTATCATCCCGACCTTCATCTCCTATAAAAGGACAATCAACTAATAATCCCACTATGATTTTTCCAGATTTTAAAGATTATAAAGATAGAAATATGAATGGGAAAAATTTCAAATTTGTATTATTCCCATTAAATGATGTATCAATTGATAAAATTGCTCAAATATTAGTGAATTCAGATATTTATATTGAACATAAAGTATCATATTCTAAAAGATATTCAATAGCTTTAGAATCAATAAAATCAGTAATTTCAATTAATCAAAAACGGATAACAATAAATGAAAAAAATCAAATTATTAGAAATTATTTAATTAAATTATCTTTTCATGTTCAATTATTAAGAATTTATCAAGAATATATTAAATTAAATTCCTTGAATCCTACATCACCACTACCACCATCACAACAACCACCCAGTTCACCAACTAAAAAACCAATAACTTTAAGAAAATCAATGTCAAATTTAAATCTTAATAAATCTTCTCCAACCTTGCAACAAAATACTTCACCTACAAAATTATCTCATAAGAAATCTATTAATCAACTAAGTAAAAAACCATCAATACCAAGATTTAAATTAGATGAATTGTACAATCCTGTAACATCACCAAGAAAGCCAATTCCGGTCCAGAATAATAATAATAATAATTATAATAAACCAGAGAGTGATTCAAGTAGTAGCAATAATGACCTAGATCAAGAGAATTTAAGGGTTGATATTTATGAAAAATGTAAAATGGCAATTCTTGATAAATTAAACCATGAAAAATCAAAACTTTGTGTACAAGTCACGTGATGTCTCCAATATAAATTCATATATTTCGTATTACGTAATTGGACTCTCTTTTTTTCTCTCACCCGCATCAAATAACATAGCCAAAGCCAAAGAAGTAGAAGAAAAAAATATGACATCCCAAATATCAAAAACCATCATTATTTACACCATTGAGCAACGTTATGTTACGACAATTCATTAAACATCAAAGACAACTTCATAGTTCACCATCACCCATTTTAAGTTTATTTGGATCAGGTAGACCAATTAAACATAGACCATCACCAGAACAAATTTTAAGACCACCACAAAATAAATCTCAAGCACCAGCAAATCCAGCAGATATATTGAAAAAAAATGATATATTAATGTATTCAAATAAACCAATAAATTATATTGAAAGTGTTAAAGATAATGGATTTTATTTATCTAATAATTATTTAATCACATCACCTGATTTAAAAGGTAATAAAATTGGATTATTATTGATTCATTCAGAAACTTTTGAAATTGAATTAAATGAAGAAAATCAATCAGTTAATATTGAAAATGATTGGTATGTTACTTTTAATAATGAATTATTGAAAATATTTGAATTAATTCATCCAAAACCTGAAATTTTAGTTATTGGATTAGGTAAAAAAAGTCGAATGTTAAGTATTGAAAATAGAAAAATTTTAACTAATTTAGGTATACAATTAGAAATTAGTGATTCTAATAATGCTGCTCAAATATTTGATTTATTAGCTACTGAAAGACCAAATGTTATTGGGGCTTTATTATTACCTCCTAATATGTAACTCCCTTATGTATGCTTTTTTGATATTCATGCTGTATATAGTTTAACAAATTTGAATTTTTATTTATTTATTTTCGAAATTTATTTATTGTACATAATTACAAAGTAACAAAACTATGGGAGTTAGAAACGTTCCTACTCTATTGAATCATCAAATGGATGATGTCTTTGTTGATTGTTAAATGTGGAATTAGTATTATGATAAATTGAAATACCTTGTGGTGTAGTACTAGTATTTGTTGCAAAAGTATATAATGCATCCGGTGAAGTATTGTTATCTCCAGTACTAGAATACAATTGAGGATTATAATTTATAATTCCTTGATGTTGTGGGGTAGACATTGTCATTGTCATCATTGGCATTTGTTGTTGTTGCTGTGGTGGTAAATATTGTATTGGTTGTTGTTTATTTGATGATGAAATAATTATCGGAGGTGGCATTGAACCATCTTGCAGTGATTGACTTTGTGCTTGTTGTAAAGCATGAATCATTTGTTGATGTTGATGTTGTTGCTGTGTCATTTGTACCATTTGTTGTTGCTGTTGTTGTTGTTGTTGGTGAATAAAATAATTCGTTTGTGGTGAAGTTTTTTCAAATATTTTATCTAGTAGAAACTTTGAATTTGGTGTAGATGCAAAATTACCACCTAATTCAAATGATGAATGATCGGTGGTCATATTCAAATGACTTGTATTCATTGTGTTGTTACCTCCTGATATGATGCTACTATGTTCTTTTGTACTGTTCATGGTAATATTATGATCAGTCATATTAGACAGTTGTGCATTCAATTGTACTGGTGGTATTTGTTGTGACAGTGATGCTACAGATGATGATGAAGATGATTGGGGCGGCACTTGTAAAGGTGGATGTAGTTGATTGTTTGATGGTTGTTTACTAATAGATTTCTTATCCATTGTGTTTTTCAGTTCATCTTTAGGTTTCTTCTTTTTGGAATTTACCAAAGTATGAACATCAGTTAATACAATTTGAAATTTATTCATGCCTGCTTGCATTTTTGCCTTGTTAGCTGCCCTTCGTTTAGAATCATCAACATTAACTGAAGTATTATTGGATGATGATGAGGATGCCTGTTTGGTCTTTGGCTTAGATTTTGGCTTTGGTTTGCTTTTATTATTATTATTAGTAGTAGTGGTGGTAGATTTTGATTGACTAGAATTTTGACTCAGGGTAGATTTTTGAGTAGGTTGTGTCAGAGGTTTCTTTGAAGTTTCACCTTTAGTTGTAGTAGATGGTTTCTTTTCATTGAAAACTCCCATAACTGGTGTTATTGGTAAATTCTTTGCTGGTGTTGGACTTGGAGGTCCATTAATCATCATATCCATAGTTGAATCATTTTCTTTTCGGGAAAGAAAGCTCTTTTTTGGCTTAACACTACTTCCTTTTGTTGGACTCGATAATATAATAGTTGATGGTGAACTAGGAGCAAGTAATTTTTGTTTTGCTGGAGTTTGAAATTGAGTAGTTGGTGGTTTATTAGTTATATCTTTAAGTACTTTTGATGGAGTTTGTAAAAGTGCTTTTTTATCAAAAGCATCATTGTCATCATCGTCATAGTCATCCTCATCGTTGTCTTCATCATTAACAACGCCTCGGTTTTTTCCTGGTATTATATTTTCATCATCGGTTTCGTTTTCTTTATCATCTTTTTCAGCTTTGGTAGAAATACTCAATTTATGAGGTTGTCGAGGCGGTGTATCAAGTAAAGCAATTGAACGTTTAGTTGCACTTTTCAATGGATCTTGCAAGATTTTCTTATTTGCCACAGAATTAAGACTAAATTTTGAAGGAGTTATAGCTTGAATCTCATTGGTACTAGTATTACCAAATCTAATTGGAGAATCAATATAAAAATCATTTGAATTATGGAATATTTTCTCATGATAAGGTGTAAGACTATTAAATTGATTCATTGATGATGCACTTCCTAATACGTTTATGTTATGGTTTAGAAAAGGAGTTAAACCAAACCCTTGAAAATCCAAATCATTAACTCCTGATACATTGTTCATACTATTGTTATTATTTGTAGAATTTGAAGTTTGGAGTAATAATTTATTTGGAGTTGAATTGAATGACAAGATTTGTTCATTGGTATAAGTTTTAGATATCAAAGGAGTCCATCCCAGCAAGTTTAAAGGTTGATTGAGATATTTAGATGCTGACGCAGTAACATTAAAAAATTGTCCTTGTGGTGGTAGTTGACCTTGTTGTTGTCCAAGCTGTTGTTGAGTCTTTGAAGATGACTTCGTTAGTGGGAATGAAGATGTTGATATTTTATTATGTAAAGGAGTTTGAGTAGGCATCATAATGTTCATACTCAGATGATCATTTTTATGGGAATCCCCATCACCACGAGAAGGCGATGAAGATTGTAGGAATTCACTTGACATGACCCACTAGAATGATTTGGTTTATTTGATTGAATAAGAAGAGATAAACAAACAAGAAAGTTAGGGATGGGCAAATCAAAAACTCAACAATTGCAAAGGGGAAAAAAAAAAAGAAAAAAAACAAGCCAGGGAACGACACAACTTATATCTTGTCTGGTATATAAATGATACTTGCTTGTTGATAGCTGATAGCTGATAGCTGATAGTTGATAGTTGATAAAGTGTGTCAATATGTAACTTCAAGCAAGAAGATAATCCAAAACAAAAAAAGAAATAGGATTAGAAATTGGTGATAAAGCAATGAAAGTTAAAGGAAAAGAAAGAGAGAGAAAGAAAGAAGCGTGTTTAATTGTAAACAAAACAATTTCAACTTCAACAACAACAAAAAAAAAAAATCAATTTGTATGGAGGTCGTGTGCAAGTTGAGAAAAACACCACAAAATGTAAACAAATGAAATTTTTTTTTTTCCTTTGTTTTGATTTCGGGTTTTCCGGTTTGTGTCATTTATAATGCGGAAGAATATTTCGAATCATCACATTACAACCAGGAACCACTTCACCAATACAACAGTACAATTTAGGTAGCAGATATTGAGAGATTGGGACTCAGTCGTGCCAAGTGTAGACAGAGATAAAGAGAGGTGGGTAAAATTATACCGTTACATCGTGATTTATCAAATGAGAAGGTGGTAGCAGAAAGAGAGACTACACAACAAGTGAGAGAGAGCCCTTAAGGTATTACAAAGTAGTCATGAAGTAGCACTGCCATCCGATACTTTATATTCAAATAGAGAAAGGGGACGAAAAAGACTAAGAAAACACAGAAATGAAAATTTCATCATCATCATCACTTGAAATCGCGTAAGTGTAGGGGACAAAAAGTTAAGGAATCAAACATAAATTGTAAACCTCTTGTAGGATAATACAACTGTAAATATCAAGGAGTCGCCTTAGTTGAATTCGAATCCCCGATAACAGAATTAAATAATATTCTTTAGAGAGAGAGAGCAAAACGAGTAAATGTAACAGTATTAAAGATTATTTAAATGGAAAAACTATTCTCCCACTATCTGTACTTCTTACGCGTTTTTTGTGTTATTGTTACAAAGCTATTCTTTCTTTCTTTCCATGATGGATTTGTATTTTTCTATATCCTATCATTATGAACCATCGAATTCGAACCTTAATCCGAGTGAAAAAGGGTAAAAGAAGAACAAGAACAAGAAGAAAAGAAATATTATCATGTAAAAGAATAAATATAATAGAAGAAAGTAAAAACTTTAATTTATGATTTATATTGTTTCTTGTTTGTTTCAATCCACACAGTATCGTCTTGCTCTTCGTAACTTAGCTTAACTCGTCTAACTATCTTATACTTTAATATCGTACATCCAATACTTTATTTTCTATCACCATCTCCATGTTTCAATTTTCATCTTACTTGTCAATGAAAATGATTTTCTTGTTTTCTTCTAACTCTGAAGATATTTCATGCACGTGATGCAATTGATCATTTTCACACGACTCTAACTCGTTTCAGAGAAGAATTATTCCTTTTCTGGCGGATTATTCTTTGCTGATGAGGAAATCCGAACAAATTCACAAAAACACGCCACCGGAAAAGCCAAATATAGAACCAGATCGAGTCACTTTGCTCACTCGAATGATTGTATCACATCTAAATTTCTAGCCCAGTAAAGTAATCAATTTTCAACAATATCATCGATAACGATAATAAAGATCATGATGGATGATGAGGATGTGTACCAATTGATAGTTCTCCACAATTCAGGGTCATCAAATTGTAAAATATAATATACGTATATATACATAAAACAAAAAGTAAAAAAAAAAAAAAATAACTTAGATACAATATAAAAAAAAATCACTTATATAAAAGACAAAGAGCTATACAAGTAATTAAACAAACAACAATAAAGTCGAAGAATTAGATAAAATGAAATGAAACAAACAAAACAAAAAAAAAATACAACTCATATAATTAACAATAATAGTAATGATAACAATTTAAGAATAATAATAAAAAAAAAGAATGAACAATAAATCAATCAAAAATCAATACTTTTCTCATAATTTTTTTATTTTAGTTTTAATAACGATATATTCAAAAAAAAATAGATGAGAATAAAACAACTGGATAAAATTCGTTTATTCAATTTTTCATATTCTTTTTCTTTTTTTTTTTTTTTTCTTAAACAAAAACACTTTCTCTTGTGGGTTTACATCCTCATTTAGTTAGCAACATGAGCTTCAACTTCTTCGAAATCTTTTTCAGCAATTCTCAAATTTTCAGCTTCATCAGCCAATTCATCATCAAGGTAAGCATCTTCTTCATCTTCATGAGCAGCCAAGGACAAAGTTGGACGAACAACAGCAGAATCAAAAGTCCATGAAGCCAAAGCATTTTCAGCATCAATAATGATTTGTTTAGAAGCTTCGTAACCATCGTAAGCTGGTCTGGTTTCACCTGGAGTAACTGGACTTTCATCCAATAATTCTAACAAAGCTTTACCGTAACCAGCAATCAAAGCAATCTTTTCAGAATGTTCTCTCATAGAATCAAATTGATAGTTGAAAGCAGTCTTTAATTTTTCTCTAGTGATGTTACTCAATTGAGCTTCAGCAACCAAAGATTCAGCTTCAGCTCTAACCAATTCTTGTTCTAAAACATTGATTTTTGGAGATTGTGGGTCCTTGTATTTCAAGTAAGCAATTTGGTCGGTAATTTTTTGTTTTCTTTCTCTACTTGGTTGAACAGAACCTTCAATGTCTCTAATGGATTTTAAAGTGATTCTATATTGATCATATCTATCAATGAATTGATCTTCCAATTCACCAATTTCAAAGATTAAAACACCCAATTTATCAGTGATATCAGAGATATCATCTTCATTGGTTTCACCCCAAAGAGACAATTGTTTGGCAACATCTTTTCTTTCTCTAGAAGTGATTTCAATAGATCTCATCAAGTTTTTTTCCATTTTAATCAAAATGGCCAATTGACGAGACAATTCTGGGCCAGTGGCACCAGCAGTAGCTTTACGGAAAGAATGACTGATGGAACCTTTACCAAAGAATTTTGATTTGGTAGAAGATGGTGGTGGAGGTGGAGCTTGTAATTGAGAAGCAGTTGGAGCTCTAGCAGATCTTAAAGAATATGTTCTATGCATGTTTAATTGATATTATTGAATTCAATACTTTTGGTTGTCAAAAAAGAAGAAAAAAAAAAGAAGAAGAAGAAGAAGAAGAAGGAAAAGAAAAAAAAAATATATGGAAAAAAAAGGAGGAGGAGGAGGAGTTGAAAATCGATTGGAAGAAAAAAAAAGGCTGTCCTTGGAAGAAAGTAAATGACGACAATGAGAAATGAGAATTGGGCAACACAGAACAAAACACAGAGAACGAAAGAAACAAAAAAAACAAAAAGTGAAAAAATTGCTATACATTTTTAGACAACAGCGACAAAATTGCGAGCAACCCAAATAAATCTTTACAACTAATTTTGGAATGATCAATCAAATACGCAGAATTTGGGGGAATGATCAGATATCGAGCACTCCACCTGACTCTCACACATTGGTCTCAGTATAACACTACTCAATCAAATTGTTGTTTCGACCACATTTCAATACGGTTTGGATATCCTTGAACAATGATTTAAATTGGTACATGGGGGGAGGGCTATTGTATTAATTTTACAACCAAATTGATAAGAAAAAAAAAAAATTGTCGACGTGTAATGGCTGGTCGTGTGCCCTGTGCCCAAAATTTGAAGCCTTACAAAAAGAAATTTTTTCTCTATAGTTTTTATTTTACGTCCCTCGTTTTCTTCGAGGAAAATTTCATCTTTCTTTTTTTTTCGCTTTGTTAAAGCCGCCTTTTCATTTTTTTTTTTATACAACCAACCAGCAACCATCATTGTAATGCCCACAGTAATCAATTTCAAATAACCACCACCACCACATGATCCATTATTCAAGATCGGCAATTTATTAATAAAATATTTTATTTATTTAATCAAATTGTGAACTCAACAATCACAAGATCACGTGGTACACATACATTATTTTTTGATGTTTAGTTACAACTCCTATTTGTAGTTTTTTACTAAAATCAAAAGACAGCCCGAAACAATTGTGAACTGGGTTTAATTTTCAATCTCACACAAAACTGTTGCACTTTTGATTTTGATTCTATACCCTTTGATCTAATTTCTATAGTCGTGTGCACGTGCACAATCATTAATTTCCCAGGCATCTCCGGATATTTGAACCAATTGTAATTAATTTCACCCAATTAGGCAATACAAAACGTAAAACCATTAGGTATCTCATCAAAAGTATAACCATTATCACTATTAGACACGCGTATGCGTTTAATAGGTTAGTATTAAAAGAGATGAATAAATACTATATTTCATTGAGTGTGTGTACGCCGAGGGTGGGGGTGATCTTGAGGCAACCACGGAGATTTAGTTTTCTAAATTGTTTCAGGTTGAAATTACCACTCTCCGCTATTCCCCCACCATAATCTACGCATTTACAACCAATTATGTATCATTTAAGATTTGCATTAAAAAAAATACATATTTTGCAACACATCTTATTCAAACTCTATTCAGAACTATCAAGCAACAGTTCAACCGAATCAATAATAGAATCATCTAAACCAATATATTTAAATCCAAGTATTGCTTCCGTTTTAGAAGTATCTGTTGTCCAACAATCGTTTTGAAGTTGTTCTTCACTTTTAACAACATCTCCTTTTGGAATATTAAGTTGTGGGAAATTAGAACTAATTATATGTGCAATTAATTCATTGGTGAATCTTTCATTAGTTAATAATAATCTTTGATTAATCGCTTCATCCTTTTCAAATGCAACTAAATGAGCTTTTGCAACATCTCTAACGTCAATAAAGTATCCTAAATTTTCTGGAATTTCATCATCTGGCTTCATTTGTAATAATGACTTAATTATACCTGATGTAAAATTTAATTTCGTGTTATCATCCACTTTATATGCTTGCGGTCCAAATACAAACAGTGGAAGTACAAATGATACTTTAAATTTGGGTTTTTCAGTTTCCATAAATTTCCAAACTTCTTTTTCAGCAAATGTTTTCCCAGCACTATAAGCAGCAAATGCATTTGCAACACCTTGCTCTTCAGTAATTGGATTAAAATCTTCTTCAGTGAAAACTCTAGCTTCTTTAGGTGATTGACCGGTACCAAATGGAAGAACACAAACTGTACTTGAAGTATAAACAAATCTTTCAACATTAGTACCATATTTCTGAACAGCGACTAATACATTCTTAGTACCTTCAACAGCTGGATCCAAGATTTCTTTCTTAACATCATCAGAAGTGAAAAATACTGGACTTGCAGTATGTAAAACAACTTTGATTTCTGGATTTTCTTTTAAAGTTTCATCAAATGCTCCTGGTGTTCCTATTTCTGGTACAATGGTATATTTGAAATTTGAAGAATTGATCAACTTTTCCAAATCTTGCCCCTTTTTTTCAGATCTAACACTTCCAATGACTTTATAATCCTTGGATAATAATTCTTTTATGATATTTTGAGCAATGAATCCAGTTGCTCCTGAAACAAAAACAGTAGTTGACATGATACAATTGAAAGTTGTAATGTTAAATAAGTGTAAGTGAAAAATAAAAAAGTCTATAGAAGGCTAAGGAAATCAGTGGACTTTTTTATATTGGTTTTCTGCGGGGGATTGCGATACGACAGGGAGGTCGACAAAAAATAAATAAAAAAAAAAATGTAAGGAAGATCGGGGTACGTGTATAAACCAGGTGAATTACTAATCATCAATTGCAACCAATTGTAGTCTACCGAGAGCAATATTGATGCCATTAATCAATAATCCATGCTTGGGCAGTGATGAGTGCTTAGTAAAAGTGACTAATTGTATAAGAAAAATTTTGCAACCAATGAAAGAATTCTTGAACACTGCAAATGATCATTTCTATTCAGTATATATTTCCAAGAATTAGACCTGTTTATCAACCAGATACTATTCTCTATAACTTAGAACTACCACTTTTGGTGTCAAGAATTTGTTTAACCGAGTCAACAACACTTCTTTCAAGCCCAATATATTCAAATTCCAAGATTTTCTTGGTAGCTTTAGTATTCCATTTATCCACCTTTCCGGTGATTCCCTTTGATGAATCACCTTTAGGTAAATTCAATTGTGGGAAATTCTTATTAACGATATCTAATAAATCATATCCATTATACATTTCAGCAACAAGTAATAATCTTTTCCCCTTTGCATCATCATTTTCAAATGCTACTATATGTGCTCTTGCAACATCTCTCACATCAATATATGTCCCTTCAAGTGAATTTATTTTATCTCCAGGTTTTAACTTTAACAAACTATTGATTTCTTCAGAAGATGTATTTAATTCTCTTGTTGAAGTAATAGGGAAAGCTTGTGGTCCCAAAACCATAGCAGGATTAACCGTCGATAATTTAAAATTTGGTTTTTCAGTATTGATAAATTCCCAAGCTGACTTTTCAGCAAATTTCTTTGATCCAAAATATCCATAAAATGGATTTTTCTTACTCGTTTCATAATCAATTGGATTCCAATCAGTTTCATTAAATTTATCATTAGCACCAGCATATTTCCCATATTTTCCCACAGCTACTACTGATGATGTTACCACGACATGTTTAATTTGTGGTCCATATTTAACTATTGCTTTTAATGCATTTGTAGTACCATTAATTGCAGGGATTAACATTTCATTTTCAATATCTTTGGCTCTAAAATGAAATGGAGATGCAGTATGTAAGAAAACTGTAACTTCTGGATGTTTCTTCAATGCTTCATCAAATGCACATTCAACAGCAATATCTTTAACGACTTCATAACTAAAATTATCAGATTTTAAGCCTGCTGATTTTAAGTAATCTTTTAATGAATCACCTTTTTGTGGAGATCTAACTGATCCAACGACATGGTAGTTCTTTGCAATTAATTGTTTGATTAATTCTTGAGCAATAAATCCTGAAGCACCGGATACAAACACAGTCACTACTGGCATAATCTATGGGTTGTTGAAAAGAAAGAAATGTTTACCTATCCGCTAGATTTTTTTTTTTGTCTTTTCATTTATCACATTCATGGTTTATATATTGTGGAGAATTAAAAGTCGTGGTTGGGGAAAAAATATCCGGCGCGGTTAGAACAGGGACATAGCGGTACGATTTATATATTTTTTACGCCGCGGTTAGCGCACAGTAGTCCAAATCAATTATTCGTATAATATCAAACTATACTAACATCCTATGGATTCATTTTTTTTATTGATATCTAATCTCTAAATTTTTATGTCAACATTAGCAGTTCATTTATAAACAGTCTTGTAGAAATCATGACCTTGTTTATTGGCAATTTCTTTTTCCAAATTAGAAACTTTTCTAGAACCATCAGCACCAGCAAAAGTACCAGCACCCCATGGAGAACCACCATGAACTTCATCTAAATTGGTAATACCAGGATGACCATAACCAAATGGAACGAAAACAAGACCATGATGAATCCAAGTACTTAAAGAATTAATAATGGTAGTTTCTTGTCCACCACCTGGAGTACCAGTTGAAACAAAAACACCAAAATATTTACCTCTTAAAGCTTGTTGAGCCCATAATCCACCAGTACGATCAATCAATTTCTTCCATTGTTCTGGATAATTACCAAATCTAGTTGGAATACCAAATAAGAATGCATCATATTCAGTTAATGTATCTTTAGTAGCAGTTGGTAAATCTGGTTTTGGTTTAGCATGCATTTTACCTAAAACTTCTTCAGATAAAGTTTCACCAACCAAGTAAAGATCAACTTCACCACCTGCTGATTTGATACCTTCAGCTTCAGCTAAAGCTAAATCATAAACGTGATCATATAAAGTGTAAAGAATAATAGCAACTTTTCCCATTGTAATTGAATTTGTTGTAGAGTAATGGTTAAAGAAATAGAAAGAATTGGGAGTTTAAAGAGAAAATTGTCGACATATTTATACAATTTTTTAATCCCTACGTTTGTATTGATCGGACTGATATAAGGAAAGATCATTTTTTTTTTTTTTTAACATTGCTATACTGTGGCATTGCTAACAGGGTAGAATCCCCTAAAAGTTGAAAAACTCCTTAAATGAAAAAAAAAAAAAAAAAAATTGACCAATTACACAAAATTAGAATGTGTATAACAAAATTTTTACTAATATTTATATAATGTAACTAAAGTAAACGAATAAATTTTGACATCTATTCAACAACGATGAAATTTAGCAAATTAAACGAACAACTTGCCATCAACAACAATATTACTCCACTTCTTTGTACTAATTATTTATGCCAAATTATGTAATGAAGGTTTGAAGAAATTGATTAAAACCGACTTGACCCATCCCCCGGAAATACACCATAACCGAGGGCGGATGGGGTGAAATATGAGAATCAAATAGCAAGAATGTAAACTTGAAATTGGCATTTTTTATGGAAATATGAAATTGATAACAATGAACAAGTCACGTGTTTCTATTCATATGATTAGACCCCTCTGTCCCCGGTAAACTATTCTTCAACCTTCCATTGACAGCAATCTAAAAACTTTATTTAAACATTTTAAAATAACCCTTGAAAATGGAAAATAAAGTTCCTAAACCACCAACCATCAATCATGGCTACAACTACTACTGTTTTCGTTACTGGAGCAACAGGATTCATTGCTCAACATATAGTTATTGAATTACTTAAAAACGGATATAAAGTAATTGGAACAGTTCGATCTGAATCCAAAGGAGATTCATTGATATCAAATCTTAAACAATACAATATTCCAAATCAAGAAAATTTTAAATATGAAATAGTTGCAGATATTTCCAAACCTGATGCATTTGATAATGCATTAAAATCAAATCAAGATATTTCAGTATTTATTCATACTGCATCACCATTTCATTTTAAAGCTAAAGATATTAAAAAAGAATTATTAGAACCTGCAATTGAAGGTACTAAAAATGCATTAAATTCAATTGTTAATTTTGCTCCAGAAGTTAAAAGAGTTGTTATTACTTCTTCAATAGCTGCAGTTCAAACTTTTGGTAAATTATCAAATCCAAATGATGTTCATAATGAAGAAAGTTGGGATAAAATTTCATTTGAAGAATCTTGTACTGATCCATTTTTAGGTTATATTGGATCTAAAAAATTTGCTGAAAAAGAAGCTTGGGATTTTATTAATTCAAATAATGTTAATTTTTCATTATCTGTAGTTAATCCAGCTGCTGTTTTTGGTCCTCAAGCTTTTCCTATTACTTCTTCAAGAGAATTGAATACTTCATCTGAAGAAATTAATAAATTATTGAAATTAAAACCTGATGATAAAGTCCCAGATGATAAAGGTGCATTCATCGATGTTAGAGATGTTGCAAAAGCTCATCTTGTTGCATTTGAAAAAGATGATGCTAAAGGTAAAAGATTACTTCTAGTATCTGGGCCCTATAATTCTCAAGCAATTATTAATATAGTTAGAAATGATTTTAAATCGTTGGATTTGGTTTTACCTGAAGGAAATCCTGAATCAGGTAAATTACCTATTCATTCAGATAGATGGGATAATGAGAAAACTAAAAAGATTTTAGGATTTGATTTTATTCATCTTGATGAATGTATTCATGATTCTGTTCAACAAATCCTTGGCGATTCCTTACCTTAGAGAAGTAGATATCTTTTGTAAACAACAATTTATATATATATATATATTTATATTCATCTCCTCGTAGTTAAATTATTTGATAATTTCTATTATAAATTCCAGAAATCAGTCAAATTTCCACCAGCGCCATTAAATGCTAAAATATTTGGTGAAGTGGAATCTAAACCAGTTAAAACCCCTTTAGTACCGTATTTAATCAATTTATTTTTTAATGTTTGTGGATCAATAGCTTGAGTGTAATATTCAGAAGAAACATCTGGTTGTAATGACAAGTAATAGGACAATAAACCTGCAATATGTGGAGATGCCATTGATGTACCGGACATAACAGTGGTATCTGACCAAATAAATGTTGATGTGATATCTTCACCAGGAGCAAACAAATCAACACAAGTACCCCAATTGGAGAAGCTGGCCTTTTCATCACGAACATTAGATGCACCAATAGTAATCGGACCACTGGCTCTAGCTGGAGAATATTGACAGGCATCAGCATTATCATTACCAGCAGCAACTGAAATATGCAAACCAGCTTTAGTACCAGCATTAACAGCCAAATCTAAAGCTTCAGAAATACCACCACCAATAGACATATTAACTGTTGAACCTTTGAACCCCTTCTTTTTGGATTTAACATCATTTTGATGTTGGTTAACCACAAATTCAATACCTTTGATAATATCTGAAGTGGAACCTGCACCCAACATATTCATAACTCCAACAGCAACAAGATTAACCTTCTTAGCAATACCATAAGTTTTTGATCCAATAGTACCAGCACAATGAGTCCCATGACCATTATAATCTTGTTTGATATTTGGGAATGCAATAGATGCACCCCATTCTGCACGTTGTTCAAAATCTGGATGATCAACTTTAATACCAGTATCAATAACATAGGCAGTGACACCTTCACCACCATCATCATCAAATAAATATTGACCATCATTGGTATTCTCACGATGACTTATACGAGAAATACCCCAAGTAGCATCCTTTTGAATATCAAATTCAACAGTATGGAAAATGGAATCCTTTTCAACAAAGTTAACATCCGGATTTTCCAAGATTCTAGCAATCAAATTCTCCGTAAAAAATCCAGTATAACCTCTAACAAAATTATCTATTTGGAAAAATTCCAATGGTTTTGTCATACCCTTTTGATTTGTATTAACCGCCATCATAGCAACATGTTCCGTTTGAATCCAATTATTGTGTTGGGAGATTTGAGATTCGGATAAGCCATCTTTCAACACAATGACATAATGATCAGGAATAATGGTATTTAAAGGATTAGAAAGAAGACCAGGGATGTATTCATCATCTGTCTGTTGTTGTTTCTGTGTAGATTCTTGATAATCTTGATTAACTAAAGGAACTTGCTTCTGTTGAGGAATTAATATTTGGTTGATATTGCTAAAGAACGAAGATATCTCTGGGATAACTAACGATGATACTGTTGAAGCCACAGCAGCAACAGATAAAGTAGTAGTGATTTTCATAATTTGTATTTGTTTATCATAAAAGAAAAAAAAAAGTGGTTCTAAAGATGGCAAATTGAAACAAGGAAATTGATAGCAATTTATACTCTTCTTTTTTTTGTTATCAGCTGGCTGTGGCTATGTATGTGTATGTGTATGTGGGCGTCACTTTGCGTGTGAAATTGAGCGGGGCTTCCGCCCAAAGTTCGCACGAGAGAAGCGAAATAAAAATGTGTGATGCACTGGCCGAAACAACGACACAACGAAACAAGGGATAGGGAAAGGGGGAGAAGAAGAAGGAGGAGGAGAAGGAGGGGCACGGAGAATGCGAAACACCACAATGGTTGTTGGCCAATCACACACGACTACATGGAAATAATGTAACCTCGACTGATAACCACCCATGAGTCATTGTTGTAGATTAATGACACACACACTTTGTATACACACTTTGTATATAAACTTTTCTATTTATCTACTTATTCATCTTTGTATAATGTAGGATCAACACCACCCCAAGTCAACACTTCATGGGAATCCGGTTTATTTAACTTTTCAATGATTGCAGGGTCCAAATCAACAATACCTAAATTAACATTCTCTTGTAATTCATCATCATCTCTCTTACCACATGGTAACACATCCAAATTTTGTTTAATTCTGTCAGGTTTATCGGTTTTAACTAAAACAATAAACCCTTGAAGATAAGACCATTTAAGTAAAATATCAATCTTGCTAATCTTGTATTCCTCCGCGAGTTGTAATAATTCTGGATCATTTAATTTATAACCTTGAGTAAGTGGAGAATAAGCTTCCACTAAAATATCATGTTTATATAAATATTCTCTTAATTCTAATCTAGGCAACCATGGATGTAATTCCAATTGGTTAACAACTGGTTTAATTAAAAATCCATCCCAGTTGAATAATTCCTCTAAATGAGCAACCCCATAATTAGAAACACCAACTGATTTCAAGTTTAATACTTCATTGTTTGGGTTCAATATCAATTCTTGTAAATATTTATACGTGCCTAAACGACGTTCCTTTGATGTTTTTGGAGAATGAATCAAAATCAAATCGACATAATCAATAAAAGGTTTGACTTCTTTTGAAATTAGTTGAACGGCTCTTTTGGTTTCCTCATAACCTTGAGATGGATTGTCGATCTTTGTAGTAAACCAAATATCTTCCCTTTTAACATCTGGGTGATCTTTTAAGAATTTTGCAATTCCTTGAGCAACTTCACCTTGATTTTGATAAGCAATCGCGGTATCGATATGACGATAACCATCTTCTAAAGCTTTATATACCAAATCGGAAGCTTTTGATTTGTCAATTAAATAGGTACCGAAAGCAGCAACGGGAATATGAAGACCGTTATTTAATTTATAAGTTGATTGTTTAGTTAATTGAATAGAAGATGTTAAATTAGACATTGTTAGTTAATTGTAGAATAAAAAAAAAAATATAGAAAAATAGGATAAATGAAAATTAACTCGAGGAGAAGAAAAGTAGAGGACCATCGATTGTATTTATAGTTTTCTTGCTTTATTTTATTTTTCATTGTTAGAGCAATTGGAGTATGTCGGTATAATGGCAATTACGGTCAACTGTGGCAATTAAAATTTTTTATTTTTAGTATTTAGTTTTTAGTTGGGTTAGCACCCAAATCATCCGGACTTTTGTCGGTATATTTATTACGTAATGCACGCATTTACCCGCATTAGGAAATTTCCCGCACACAAAATTTCATCTTTTCGATTGTCGTTCTTGGTGGTGGTGGTAGTGGTGGTAGTTAACCCGTGGGACAGAGGAGTGTCGATTTTCACATTTCCGGGAAATACTTAACTTTGGTTCCACTCAATTTCAACAAACAATTTTCTTGTACTAGTTCTTCATTTTTGTTGAGTAGTAATTAGTAATTTGCTAAACGTGACTCATGTCATGTTGTTTTGAATATGACGTAGTAGCAACTATTTAGAAGTTCTTATGTTGCATGCAGCTCATTTACCTTCCTTTCGTTCTGCCAAAAAGAAAACCACTCTCCACTAGACTGATGAGCCATTCACATCCTATGCTTATTATGTACTTCGTTCAAAAAGATAAAAAAAAATGAAAATGATAACGTCCCGATAACAACGACAATTCTTTCACAAGAGAAAAAATGTGTCGTGTGAACCTGCCCAAAAATTAATGGGATCCTGCACATAAGCCCGTCGTTTTATCGTCAGGAAATAGCCAAAAAAAAAAAAGACAGAATCTACTTTTACGCAACAAAGCAAAGCAAAAGCAAAAAAGCAAAAAAAAAAAAAAACATTAACTACCAACTATCAATAAGCGAAAGTACAAACAATCGTTGTCAGACTTGTTCTACGATACCAGTTCATTAGTAAATATCTACATCAATTTACAAATGTCATCATCAAGAAAGAAAACATTATTGAAAGTTATCATTTTGGGAGATTCAGGAGTTGGTAAGACTTCTCTTATGCAACAGTTTGTTAATAACAAATTCTCCCATCAATATAAGGCAACAATTGGTGCTGATTTCTTAACTAAAGAAATCACTATTGATAATAATAAACAAGTCGCATTACAAATCTGGGATACTGCTGGTCAAGAAAGATTCCAAAGTTTGGGTGTGGCATTTTACAGAGGTGCTGATTGTTGTGTATTATGTTTTGATGTAACAAATGAAAAATCTTTAAATAATTTAACTAGTTGGAAAGATGAATTTTTAGTTCAATCAAATGTTTCTAATCCTCAAGATTTCCCATTTATTATAATAGGTAATAAAATAGATGTTGACGACTCAAAGAAAATACCTTCCTTATCTAAAAAATTAAACAATATTACAAATAATCAATTGGGCGGTTTCAATTATCCAGTATTTGAAACAAGTGCTAAAGATGGAGTTAATGTTGAAGCTGCATTCGAAGTGATTGCCAAGATGGCTTTACAACAAGAAGAATTAAATGCAAATAATGGTAATGATGCAAATGATGACTACAATGATCCAATAAATATCCATTTGGACTCAGAATCAAGTGCATGTGGATGTTAGATACTTGTATTCTTGTCCCCAGTACACACACGCACCTAAAAACATATACACATATACACCTCCTCCTATTTAATTTTGTATCTACATTATTATTAAATGTTTTGTTTAATTCATAAGTAAGGAAGTGAAAGTATGAATGTACTACAATACTGAATATTTCTTACTTCTATCTAAGTTCGTATAATAAACGCTTTATTTTTTTTTTTTAAGAAAAGTATTCTATTAACTAATTCTACTTACTATTAATACAAGCACAAAAGACTTTAAGAACCAAGTCAAACAATCCATTACCGGTTTTAATGTCTTGTTGTCCTTGTTGTTGTTGTTGATAATGTTGTTGGTTATTACCATGGTATTGTTGTTGTTGTTGTTGTTGTTGATGGTTTTGGTATTGTGGTTGACCGGTTCCTTGGTAAGCTTGTTGTGGTTTAGTGATATTTGAAGTACCTTGAGACCAAGTATTAGGAAGTTGGTTAACGTTGACCCCTTTCAAATCAATCACCAAAACACCTGTATTTTTCTGATCAATATAATGTTTTAAACCAACTTCATCACATAATTCGTCAACTGCAGGTTTAATTTTTGCAACCCCATTAGCTGAATGTAAACCTTTACCAACAATAACATTTAAATGTGATTGATTAGTTTGAACAGCATAATATATTCTTCTTTGTAAAATCCATTCTGCTTCTTTAACATATAATCCATGCAAATCAATTTCATCAGGTCCACTATCTTCATTATTTTCACGGAAAACATATTCTGCAGCTTTACGATTATATTCTTCAGCTTTTTGTAATATTTGTTTCAGTTCTTCACTTAATTCATGAGCTCGTTGTTTATCTCCTTGTTTAAATGCCTGTTGTGATTGTTGACTTAATTTTTGTCTTTTCTTGTATAATTGATCAGCTTCAGCTCGGAATTTTTTGTATTCTGAATCGGTGGCATGGTTATAATCACGTTCAGTGGTGTTATCATCAAATAATCTGGCGCCTCTATCAATAATATCAGTCATCTTTAAATTAGGTTGGTCTCTATAAAGAAAGAGATGTTATGGCTTATTGTGAGAAATTTCCCTCATCGTAAAACGTGAAATTAAGTCGATGTGGCTGTTCTCTTTGGTTTGTTTACCCAAAGCCAGCAGATTTTCAGGTCCGACACACACACAAAAAAAAATAAGACGGCACGACAATAATTTCCTAATTAGGAATGTGATTGCAAAAACATATTCTATTCGTATAAATCTATACATGATCTTGTTCTATTCTATACTATACTATACTATATTATACAACAACAACCCTACCACATTCTTTCCCAGAATCCAAGTTGTGATTTGTTTTGTTTGTTTTGTCTCTCACTATTTGGTAACATCATCCAAAGGAAGACCATAGTTGAATACAATGCAATAAATACTGGTAAAACAACAAAAGTGCCTACTTTTTGCAGTAAAACACCTACAATGAACGGGAATAATGCACCTCCAGTTGATCCAAATGCTGTCATTATAGTTATTGAGACAACTTGGATTTTTCTAGGAATTAACCCCGGTAAAGCAGCAAATGTAATTAATAATGGATAATTTGGACCAATGAAAACACCAGCAATTGAAACAAACACTGCTTCAACTATAATCGTAGGAATAACCCATGTTAAAATAACCAATACTATTGATAACACGGACACAATAAATACTCCTCTTCTTAATCCAATATATTTGTGAATTGGTCGAGTTAATAATAATCTTCCTAATGTTAATCCGGCCCAGAGACCAGAAGCAACATAACCAGTACTGTTTGGATTTGAATGACGATAGTCTAATAAGAAAGTGACAATCCAGCCCGCTAATGAAACTTCTGCTCCTTGGTAACATAAACAGAAGAAAGCAATCAACCAAGTAACTGGATTTTTCAATGCCAATAACATTTCTGAAGGTTGATTATCGTCTGGTGTAACAGTGGTAGTGCTATGACCAGATGGATTCAATGTCAGTAATTCAACACTTGAATCTTGTACATCATCTTGATCCCAAGGTTTTAAATCTTCATCAGCATTTTGGAATGAAGTATATAAACTTACACCAGTAGCAGCCATCATTCCTAACAATATCAAATAAAAGTAATTCCAAGGAACTCCACTATTAACCATCCCAGTAGCAATTAAAGGACTAATAGTAGCACCAATTCCATAACCACCATGATAATATGCAAGATACTTACTTTGCTTATCCAATCTACTTAAAAAAATATTACATTGTGCCGCAACTAATGCTAATCCACAACCACCAAAAAAGAAACCCACAACAATAACAGGAAATTTAGTACCACTGGCTACCATTGCATACATTATACAACTTAAAAAATTGCCAATTGGTAAACTATTTTGTTTTCCAAGCCAAGGTTGAATTTTATGAGACATTGTAGCAATTAAAATAAATCCCACCGCATTACTCACCCAAATACAAGATGTAATGGCATAATTAATATTATAATAACTTTCAATATGGGGTAATAAAGCACCTGGAGCAGCATCACTAAATCCAGCTGTGAAATTAAATAAAATACTTGAAACTATTCTCCATTTATTTCTTGGTGGATTTGAAGCTGTCATTAAATTAGAAGAAGATCCAACATCTTGATCCGAATCACTTAATGCTTCAGATACAATTGGTTGTAATGGTGGTAAGCTATTAATATCAGAAAATGGAGAATTCTGTGGTTGTTTATCTTGAACCTGGGTTTCTGTTCCAGTAGCACTAAACCTTCTCATCTTTTAATTAATTTAACAATTGTTGAACAACATGAAGAAGAAGAAAAGGAAGAAGTAAATAAAAAAAAAGTGAAAAAAAAAAATGATTCAAGTGGGAAAATGGTCAAGAATATATCATTACCAAGATCAAGGGATAATTGATCCAATCGGTGAAAATTTCGGAATGTTTATGCAATTTAGCGATGTTTAAATGAAAAAGATCTAAATTAATTTGCAAATAAATGCCCGCCCACAAAATACTAAAAACAAAAAAGACTTGGAAAGCCTCTTATTGTGTGGGGTGTGTGGAGAGAGAGCCTACGTGAGGAAAATGCCGCAAGTATGACTACTATTTGATTATTAATGTGCATTTAGGGGCTGTGAGATGATAACAGTGTATAAATAGCAAGTTTTTACCAATGGTTACATGTAAAGTATCTAATCTCCGTTAATGTGTCATTGTTGAAGGACGACACATCTGCGACATATCACGTGATATATAAATGTCGTAAACGATACCACGACACGACACGACCAAGAGAAAAGAAAAAAAAAAAACTTTCCTAATAATGAAAATTCAACAAGGCAATATCAAACAACCCAACCACCGACCACCAAAGAATTAACTACAATCATGCCAGCACCAGATGTTCCAAAGTAAGTAATATTTGTATTGAGTTTTAACAGAAATGAATGAAGTTACTAACAATTATTTTTATTAAAGATCGGTTATTCAAAAATTGATGTTTTTCACCGCTTTAATGGTTATTTTCCCATTATTGGCATTCTTCATACTACAATATTTCACCACCAATTCAATTATTAGTGGAGGTGTAGCTGCATTGGTTGCAAACATTGTGTTGATTGGTTATATAATTGTTGCTTTCACTGAAGATACTTCCAAATTGGGTGATGAAAAGGTAGAATCAAAGAAAGATATGTAGGTCGTGTATTTCGTGATAAATTTTATTGTGTTTTATTTTTTTTTTATGATTTTTTTTTTTTTTTTCATTTCCGTCCGTAAACGTAAACTATCAACAAACTACTTTTACCAATCGTTATTATCAATTCAACAATGGTTCATCAGTTGTCTTTAGTATCATCAATTCCTCATAATAAATATTTACAAACCATTTCTACACTACAAGCGCTTACTGGATTAAGTCAGCCGCAATCAATTTCAACTTATACATTATTGACAAAACCATCATACGCATTTAAACCTAAATTTGAACCAGGGAAAGTAAACCAAATAGAACAATATTATATGAGATGTGTCTCGACCTGGACAGGACAAAATTTGGCAGATGATGGGAATGATATTGATATTCTGGAACCTATAATAACTGGAGAATCTAATATTATAGTAAGGAAATTATTTTCAGGTGATGATAATCAAATTGAAAGAGTTTGGACTTTGCAAATTAGTGATATTCCAATAGCTGGGAAAAATCAAGGCTGTTCTCAACAACAAATCTATGAAAGTACTTTGGTTCATACTCATACTAATGTTGAAGTTGAATCTAGCCCTGTTGAGAATGATGCAATGGATATTGATATCGTCGAAATTAAACAAGAACAGAACGACAACACTACTACTACTACTGAGGTGAAACAAGAACAAAAAGAAGACAATACTAATTCAAACGCAAATGACAGTGTAGATGATGTTCCATTATTGAAACTTGAAGAACATAAGTCAAATACAACAACAGAGGTACCAAAGGAAACTCAACCTAATGGTGATGATTCAGATATAATGGAGATTGATCCACCAAAAGAAGAACAAATTAAAGAGGAACAACCTATCAAGGAAGGGCCAAACACAGAAGAATCAAAACCAGAAGGGCCAAAATTAGACGAGCCAAAGTCAGAAATGACAAACACAGACAAGCCAAAATCAGAAAAATACGTCGTAAGAAAAGATTCATTTTTGGTGTTTCTTTCTGATTTAGGATATGAAGTAATAAATCAGTATTGGTTAAAAGGAATCAGATTCTTTTATGGAGATATAATTATTGAAATTTACAAGATATTTATTAGAGATGATACAGATTCTCATGTTTCAACCAACGGTATTAAGTTGAAATTATTAGATGAATCAAATCAATTTCAAATTAAAACTTATATTAATATTAATAAGTCTACAGAAATTGATCTAATCAATCTGGGAGTTAAAGAATTGATTAAATTACAAGATGCTCTTAAAAATTTGTTTGTTTTAGAAATACCTGATAGAATGTACATGGATAGTCGAGTTAGACAGTAAATATATACACGTAAACTACTTCTTGTTTATAACAAATGAATCACGTTGTAGATCTTTAATTCCAAATCCAATCTCCCCTTTTTCTTCACTTGGTTCCAACTTATTTATTTCATCCATTAACGTATCTAGATCCAATGGACGTTGAGGAATATGATCACTAGCTAGTAATCTGAACATGCAATTATTATCATTCACTTTCTTCTCAGCATTATTACCCAGTTTATCGTATAAATGATTTATAAACATCATTTGAAGGTTTAATGATTTTCTAATATTTTGAATATCTTGTGAATCACTCAATCCTGAAAGTTTCAACATTTTAGTAACCACATCAGAGGAAACTTCTTTCGTAGTTGTATTTGTTAAAGGTTGTTGTAGTAATTCTTTGATTGACCATGTCGAATTATTAAGAAATTTTTCAATATCTTTTGAAGTTTTTAATTCATCTAATAGTCTATTAGCAGTTGTTATTCTTCGTATCTGGTGTCTTAACATGGTTGTTGATCTATAACTTCTTGTGGAGATTTTTGATTCTTGAAATTTTTTTTCTTTTTTTTTTGACATTTTTTGTTTGTTCGCCTTAAACTAGGGACGACAGCTCTTCATCTACCGCCACAAAAGGTTGTTTCATGGCGAGTTTCGCCCTACAAAGTCCCATATTGACTATTTTACACATATTTGATTAACAAACTATATAGCTAGAACCTTTATTTGTTCAATTTCTTCAATTGTTCCTTCTTCTTTTCCAATTGCTTCTTCTTCTTGGTTAATTCTCTTTCTCTGGTTTCCTTCTTTTCAATACCGTATTGCATCTTGTTGTACAATTTCTTTTGTTTATTGGTCATCATGATCTTCTTCAATTCTTTCTCTTCATCAACTGGTTTAGTTGAGGATTGTTTAGCTTTAGCTTTCTTTTGCTTCTTCTTATCTTCTTCATTGACTTCGGAGAATTTAACACCAGCAGCTTCTAATTCTAATTCTTTTTGTGCTTTAAGATCTTCATCAACTTCTTCTTCCTCTTCTTCTTGATCTTTATCACCTTCTTGAACTTCGATTTCTTCTTCTTCTTCTTCCTCTTCCTCTTCTTCTTCGTCATCTTCTTCTTCGCCTTCAGCCTTTTTGATAACCTTACTTGGATCATAACCACCGGCATCACCCCATGGAGATAAATGAGGTGGTAAAGTTTCACCAATGGCATAATCATTAACGTTAACTAATTCTTGTTTGTTAATACAATCAAATACCCATTGTGGTTGTATATATGTTCTACCAGGGACTTTTTGTAAAATTTTTGGTCTATCAACAATTTGATGAGTTATATTGGATAAATTCAATTGTTTAAAAGCTTCTGGATCATTGGCTCTTAATTCATCAATTTGAATTTCTGAAATAACTTTACCACCACATGATAATATACAAAATTCCAAAATATCTAATGGAACTTCTCTACCAATATAAAAGATGAAATTTGAAAATAATTCTGAAGTTGGTGATTGATTTTTGGATGGTTGTAATAATGAATCTTCTTTTGTGCTGGTGAATTCATCTAATTCAACATCTTCATTACTAACAGCAGCACCTTCACTGTCCTTTTCTTCTTCTTCTTCTACATCACCTTCTTTATCGGCCTTAATGGCTTTTGAAATTTCCTTAGCTGACAAGTTTTTACCTTCTTCGTCATTTTTTTCTTCCTTCTTTTTCAATGGAGCATTTTTGTCTTCCAATACATAACCACTTAAACCAATTGATTTTTCAATAGTCGGAGGATATACTAAACCAGCTTCATTGTATAATTTATATAAGACGAAATGTAATAAAGTAGAATAAAATTCCAAAAATGTCAACATAATTCTAAAATCAACATCAGTTGGAATATTAGTTGGGAATTTATAAGGAACTAACCATCTAATTTCTTGACCTTTAACGGTAGCTTGATAATAAACCCCTTTAATAGATACGAAAACTTTTTTTAAACATTTTTCTTTAGCAACAAATGCTAACCATTGATTACATAAGTTTTCAGCATCAGTAACAATTTTAGTGGAAACTTTATCAGTAGAAGGCATATTGGCAAATAAAAACAACATATTTAAAGGATCATCCAAATCACGTAATGCATCATTGAAAGTAGGATATCTTTCTTTAATAATATGATTCAAAGTATATCTTGGTCTATGCTTATCTAATCTATAAGCGTCTCCAATTTCACCTCTACCTAAAGCTTTTTGTAATTTTTTAGCAAAAGTTTTATGTTGTCTAAATTTGGCCAACACTGGTTCATGTAATAAATATTGAATATCTTTTGAATAATAGAAAGTAACTGGAGCTGTTGATCCTTTATTAGCCTTCTTCTTATTTCTTGGTTCTCTTGGATAAATTCCTTTGAAAATACAAAGACGACGGAAATCGGCTAATGAAACTTGTAATTTTTTAATAGCTTGAGTTCTGGTAATGAAATTCTTAGCATTACCAGAGGTTCCCTTCTTCTTTATTCTACCCATAATGTCTTTCTGTAGTGTTATTTACTTTTCAATATAATAAAAGAAAAGGAAAACAATATAACTTTGGATAAAGGATTGGAAAAATGAAAAAAAAAAAAAATTCCCATCTCATCGCTTTGCCTAACAAAATTGAACTGAGAGAAAAATTTTGGCTGAGAGAGAAATTATTGGTGTGATGTGCACGACCATTTATTATTGATGATGATGATAATGATGGACGATCTTGATAAACTCTTGTTTGAACAAATAAGTAATGATCCACATCTCATTGTATCTGCAACGTTTCAGTATCCAGCTAATGGTTTCATTGGTGGTCTTACGTATTAATACCGATTCAGCTTGTTCATTTTCAAGTTCATCAATTATCCAAACAGGAATATAGAAAATTTCAGAATACATATCGGCAATCATAAAACTTAAGTATTGAATATTGGTTAACGGGTATAATTTCAAATCATCTAATTGCGTGCTGTAAAATAAATCTTCTGCCGCTGTGTGAATTATTTTGATAAGTTGATTGTAAACTATGTTGTGCAATGGGTTGTCTGAAGCAAAGTTGAGAATTTTGTAGATTTGTGATTCAGTGAAGTGAATATTTGCATTGATGATTAAGTAAGTTAATGATACGTTGTTTGGTTGATCGTGTAGTGTTGGTGAATTGCCAATTGGCATTGTTTTTGTTGAAAATGAATATTTGTTATTGTTGCAAAAAGAAATACTAGGACCAAAAAAAAAAATTGGAAACACAATTTACATCTCTTTTGGAATTACCCGCCACTTAGAATGTTTGTACTTTCATTAAAGGATTCCTCGATAGAATCTAAAAAATATTCATCATTGGTTGACTTGAAACATTTATATGGATGTTTATATCTGAAATGCTTTTCAACAATGTCACTTACTTCTCCAACACGATTACAAATACATAATTTATGTATGATCATGAATATCAAAATTGAAATCAAAAGGTTATTACAAGATTGTGGAATGTCCTATCAACAATATCAACTATTAATTCATAATAATGAATTATTTGGTAATGTTTATGAAATGTTCAATTTGAATTCCAATAGTGTTATAACAATTAAATTCAATGATTTTCCAGATTTTAGTCCTAAATCTATGCAAAATTGTATAACAATTGAAAATTTTGAATACTACATCAATAACAAATTTATTCCAGGTCTTGAAACCACTGATACCCCTGATGTTCGTTTGAGTTTTGAAGATTTTACTATCAATTATTAATCAAAGAAACGTGGTTCGCCCATGAGCTACCACTTGTCGTGGTATTAATCACGCCCACAAAAAAAAAATAATTTAAACCCAAAAAACTTCTCAATCGTATAAACCCAAAAAAAAAAAAAAATTTTTCAACTTCTTTGTTTTTTTTACTAATCCGAAATCAAGAGAACGTGTCTACAGTTATTACTATCCGAGAAAGAAAGACGAGATGTCATTTCAAGATGTGTTGACTAGAGGGGATGATTTTCTTAATGATTATCCCAGAACTCATCCATTATGGAATTTAGCATCACATGCTACTTGTTTATTCATGATTACTGGATCGAAAATTGTTTTAAATACTATGTATAAACCATATTTACATAATATAGAGAAATTAGATTATGCTTTAACCAAAGCAAGATTAGAAAATAGAAGTTTATTAACAGTTATGAATCATATGTCCGTTGTTGATGATCCAGCATTTTATGCTGCATTACCTTGGAGATATCATTTAGATGTTGATACTATTAGATGGGGATTTGGAGCTCATAATGTTTGTTTTAGTACTACTATACAAAGTTGGTTTTTCAATCTAGGTAAAATCTTGGGTACTAAAAGGTTTGGTGAGGGCCCATTTCAAGGTTCAATAGATGCAGCAATCAGAATATTAAGTCCTGATGATACTTTAGATCTTGAATTCACACCAGGAGTTAAAGAAGAAGAAAAACCTTTATTATTACAAACAGTTAATAATATTGGGGATGCACGAACTAGTACTGATTTAGTTAAATTTATTAAACCGACCCCTGAATCAACTAATGTGTTATTAAGAAAAAACCCATTTATTAGAACTAAAACATCATGGTTTCATGTTTTCCCTGAAGGGTTTGTATTACAATTACAAGAACCACATCATAATTCAATGAGATATTTTAAATGGGGGGTTTCGAGACTTATACTTGAAAGTACTAGAACCCCAATAGTTGTTCCATTATTTTCATTTGGTTTTGAAAAAGTTGCCCCTGAAGATAAATCTGACGTTGGATTTAAAAGATGGTTGCCATCTAATTTCGGAGCTGAAATTCATATTTGTGTTGGAGATCCAATTAAGGATGAAGTTTTAGAAGATTATCGAGAACAATGGAGAAAATTAGTCAAGAAATATATAAATAAATCAAATCCAACTGATCTTTCTGATGAATTAAAGCATGGTAAAAAAGCTCAGAAATTAAGATCTGATTTAGCTGCTTATCTTAGAGAAAGAGTCGTTGAAATTAGAAATCAAACAGGTATGTTTGATCCTGAAGATAAAAGATTTAAGGATCCACATTTTTGGAAACTTTTCACAAATACTGAAGGATTAAGTGAACCAAATGTTAAGTTTGTGGGTAAGAATTGGGCTATTAAAAGATTACAATCCCATTTACCAGAATACAGACCAGATGATGATAATGATATGAACGAAACTAATGATGTCAAAAAAACATAATACTTATTCAAAATTCTTTTAATTTATTTATAATTACTCTGTATATAGCTTCAATAAATATTTTCCTCACGTGCATGTATCACGTGTGAAAAAGATGAAAAAAGAAAAAAAAAATTTTTGCACTTTAAAAAGAAAGCCAGGTAGGAAGAGCCCAACAAAGATTTGACATTGATATCTCTATAGATCCAAGAGATGATTCCTGTTAGAGTATTGTTAGTACGAATACCAGTACTTCTATATCCCACGTCACAAACTTTCATTAGATCTTTTTCAAGTACAAGCCCCATACTAGCAAAATCATTATTGAAGAACTTTGTTGGATCCAAAATCAAATCAAAGAACAAGAATAAGAATAAGAATAAGAAGAAAAAGGAATATATAATTGAAGAACCTACTATATATCAAAATGAAACTATTCAAAAGTATTATAATGGGATATCTCCATATTTGGTAGAAGAAGAGTCTAGCGATTTAACCAATGAGTTAAAAGTGAAAATGATGAGTACAAAAATTGAAGAATTATTAAATAATGTTGAAGAAATTGAAGGAAATGATGAATTAATCGAAGTATTAGAATTAAGTATTAAAAACGGATTTAAGGATATTAATAATAATAATAGAACAAATATACCTATAGAATTATCAATTTTATTATTTGATAAATTATATAATGAAATCATTATTAAACAACCTGGATTTAGTAAACAAATAATTGAATCATTACTTTTAAATATTGAAAAATTACCAAATTTAACAATTATTCAATTAGTTACTTATATTCAAGATTCAAAATCAAGTAAATTAAATCAAATTTTGAAAAGTTTACTAAATAGAATAAATTTTGATTCATTCTTGAAGGATTATCTTGAATACTTATATGAAAAGAAGAAATTAAGTTTAGAAATATTTGAGGAGTTGATTGAATTGGAGATGATTAAAGATGATATGATTAAATATCTAAATAAACATATTGAAGATTTATTCAAGGAGACTACTCCAGAAGTTCATTGTTATTTAAATTTAGAATATAATATAGACAGAATTCAATATGTTATTAATCAGATGATCAATAAACTACAGTTTAGCGGGATTAGTTTGGATTCTTTGTTAACGATATTCAAATTAAATTGGGAAATTTTACAAGTAAATAAATGTCAAGAAAGTTCAGATAATAATGATAAAATATTGAATTATCTTCAAGATAAAACTAATCAAGTTAAAGATGAGATTTTTAGACAAAATTTAGATGATGAATCCTTAGCTGAGTGTTTGTTATTTACAAGTTGGAAATATAACAATAAGATGTTAGCTAATGAAATAACCGAGTTTATTAGTAAAGATGAGGTTAAATTCCTGCAAATGTTAAGATATCAATCAGAAGTTTACAAAATTGTGCATAATAGCTTGCTGAATAATGTGGTTGAACAGATCATTGCTAAGCTTCCTGAACATATGGAAAATCCTTCTGAAGTATATGAGAAATCAATTCAAGCAATTATGACATCGGATATTTCTCCAACAAGTGAAATCATTGATCAATTACAAATTCAATTAAGTACAGAAAAGTCCATTTACTCCTACAAGTATCTTCTTGATCGAGCCATTGAAATGAATGATTATGAAGTATCCATGAAGATATTCAATGCAAGTGTTTCTGATTTCACACCTTGGGCACAATATAATACTGATCCAACAATTTCTAAAACTATAAACGATTTAATTCAATGTGTTGTTAATAACAATCCTATGAAGCAAGCTTTTCCAATTTTCCAGTCTATAAAAGCTCAATTACAACAACAAATAAATATTGATACTATAAATTCTATTGTACCAAAGATTTTACAAGAAGATTTAACTGGTGATGTGATTGAATTGATGACTAGAGAATTACCTAAAATGGAACAAGAACAACCAGATAAATTCCCAATTGATAAACCATTTGGATATAAGTATTATAAATTGTATGATATGATTCATACTTATTGTATTACCAACACCAATGATTCAAGAATGGTTAATAATTGGTATTTATACGTTCATTGTTATAATTACTTCTTCATTCCTCATGAAAGATTATTACCAACAATGAAATTTTTTTGTGAAAATCAAAGATGGAATGCAGCTTTAAGAATCTTTAGATCACTGCTTGAATTATCGAAATTACATGGTGAACATAATCATAAACCGCCAAGTCGAGAAATGTATTTATATTTAATCAATGAATTTGGTGATAAATTATATGAAGAAGGGATCATTGAAATTCATGAATCTTTAAAAATGGATCTTACTTTAGATTATCAAGATAGAGAGTTGATTCATTCAATAATGAATGCATATTGTAATTTACAAGAAGTTAGTAAAGTTAGAGATTTATTCCTTACCATGAGTTTAAATCCTAAAGATGAAGGTGGAGTTGATGAAACAAGTGCAATGTTGATGATTAAAGCTTATACTTATCATGATTTGATGTATGTTGAAAAATTTTGGAATAATTTAACTACATTTGGTTTAATACCTGATTATAAATTATTAAAACAATATTTGATTGCTTATTCATATCATGGATTAATTGATAAATCAATTGAAATTGTTGAAAATATTGAGCAAGATTATGATTTAGAATTAAATGATGATTTATTAATTAATATGTATAATTATTGTTATGAAATTCAAGGACAACAAAAATTGCAAAATTGGGCTACCAAAAATCATCCTGAAATTTGGAATAATATTGTTAAATCAGGTAAATTAATTCAAGCTTCAGGTTATAAACCAAATGAAAATTTCTTAGTTGATGGTTCAACAAATGATCCAAAAAGATTAAATGAACCTATATTTAAATAGACAAACTCTTGTATATATATATACCCTTATTTATTTACTTATTAATTTTGGTGTTGTTCACTTTTGTAGCAAATCTTAACGAATTGATAGTTTCATTTAAATCCTTATTTAAAGGAGATATATTAACAAACATCAATGTTTTCGAATTCCCACCAAGACTATTCTTTAATAAATAAGTTAATTTTGAATTTCTAAAAGGCACATGAATCGAATCCTTTAAATTCAATGAATAAATAACATCTCCAAGACATGATAATGATTTATTTATAGCTTGAGTTTCTTTTAATCTTTCACCCTCAGCTCGTGAATTATTTAATCTTTCAGATCCCGGCTAAATCAATTAAATTTAATATTCCATTACTTGATTCACCAGTTATGGAATTATCTCCCTGAAGTTCAATTATGAAAATTGAATGTGATCTTGATGAATGATCATTTGATTTAGTAGCTGCTGTACTTCTTTTCTTGTTTGCCATTGTTAATATTTCATGTGCTTGATTAGGTGACGTTATTTCAATAGTGGTTATATTTGTCACTGTAGTTTTATTAACTGAATCATCGTGTTTAATTTCATGTTTCATGGAATTAGTAGGGTTTAAAAGATCTATAATAGATTCATTGTAAATTTCAATAAATTTCCCAAATATGGAATAACTCCAACCTTTCTCTTTTAAATCGTCAATATCTTGGAAAATTTTCATTATTGATAAAGGAATCATTCCATTTTGAGGGTGTGACATTGTGAATGTTTTACCTGAACCCGTTTGTCCATAAGCAAATACACAAACATTAGTGCCATCTAATGAACATTGAATTAATTGTGATAGCTCATCAAAGATCATATCGTTGGTATGTTCAGGTGGAAATATCTTATCAAACAGGAAACGGTATGTCGCATTATTGGTATTGTTATTATTATTAGTTTTAGTAATTAATAAATCCTGCTTAGATTCGTCATTTATATCTTGAGGTATTTGATATTTAACCAAATCTGAACTAGTTGCATTTCTAATACGACAAAATACTCTAATATTACCTTTTAAATCTTGCAATTTCCCATGAAGCTTTCTTCTTTTAGTCTCTTGGTTAATTAATTCGGATTTCATTCTAGCTATTTCAAAATTCAAACGTTTTAATTCTTCCGATCGCTCTTCTGAACTTTGATGTAATGATTTTACCTTTGACTTTTTATTCAGTATTTGATTTTCTAGATTATCAATTTCATTTTGTTTATGATTATTTTTTATTTTTAATTGTTCTAAAAGATTCATAAATCGTGCATGCTCTTTTTCCAATTGGGTGAATTTATTCAATTTTATATCATCGATCTGATTAGTTTTCACAATTATCTCTTGCGTAATCGTTTCAATTTCCGTTTTGGATTTATCACATTCATCTTGTAATTCACCAATCATTGATGATTCCTTCGTATGGTGGTTTTCTTTTAGTAATATCAATTTTTTATCCATATCCGCTTCAACCTTCACCTTCAGTTCCATCATTTCATTAATTTCTTTGGTTAACTCGTTAATCTCCTTTTCATACTTCTCTTGTTTCTTGGTTAATAAGTCATCAACTTTTTTGGTAATTTCTTCTTTAATATCATTTAATTTCTCCTGATGATTCATATTTAATCTTTTTTGTTCTAATTCATATTTTTTACTTAATGATATTAAAGATTGTTCTTTATATCCCATTAGTTCATTAATTTTAAGATTTAAATCATTTAAAGTAATTTCCAAATTCTGAAAATTTGAATCAATTCGATAATTTTCTAAATTTTGCAGTTCAATTTCATTTCTTAAACTTATTGAATTAATTTTAATGTTCTCTATCTCTAACGTTTTATCATTTATAAGTTGTCGAAATCTATTCATCTCTTCATGATTGCTAGAAGAAGAGATTGGTAATCTTGATGATGATTGGAATTTCCTCATTTTGTTCAAATTTGTTGAATCATCTAAAGGTCTCTTGCTCTTGTTAATGTTTAATGTTGATGCTAATTTGGACTTTAGTTTGCTATTTATATTATTTAGGTTTTCTTCCTCCATTATAGCTGTTCTTGTCGTTGTTGTTATAGTTGTAGTGGGTTGTTGTTCTTGTTGTTTCAAATCAATCTTCAAACAAAATCAAAACAAAAAAAAATCGCGATTAAAAATGACATGTGCCGATAGTCATGTGTATGTTTCCACGTGCAAGATGCAAGGATCAAGAAGAAGAAGAAGGGAAAAAAAATTAAAAATAAATTCGATTCTTCGATGAGATGAATTTAAATATATTCAAAATCATTTCATTTATTTAAAAACAACAATAACTACAGTAACAAGATATTCACCATGGGACCGACATTGAAGAAACAAAAGATTAATAAAAATGGAAAATCTATAAATAAAAAGACAACACAGAAAGAAGAAAAGAAACCAAAAGTAACAATTGAACAAGAAGAAGAAGAGTCAAGTAGTGAATCAGAGGAAGAAAAAGAAGAAGAAGAAGAAGAAGAAGAAGAAGAATCTGAATTAGAAGAACAACAAGATAGTGAATTGGATGAAGAAATAGGATCAGATGATGAAGTCGATTTAGCAGATGTATCCTCCTCTTCTGACGATGATGAAGATGAAGATGAATCAAATTTCCCAAAATTGAAAAAGAATAAAGGTAAATCAATAGATGATGGATCAGAATCATTTGCTACTGCATTGACATCTATTGTTAATTCTAAATTAAAATCATATGATAGAAAAGATCCAATATTAGTTCGAAATAAAACAACTTTAAAAAAATTAGAAAGTGATAAATTGGAATTAAAAGCTAAAAAAGCATTATTACAAGAAAAGAAAAATTTCCAAGATAAATATCGAATTAAAAATTTATTACCTATTGATAATGAACAAGAACCTGGTAAAGTTAGAGAATTGATTCAAAAGGAGAAAGATTTAAAGAAAGTTGCTCAAAGAGGTGTAGTTAAATTATTTAATGCTGTTTTATCAACTCAAATTAAAACTAATCAAGAATTAGGTAAAGAAGTGATTAGAGGTCAAACTAAAAAGGAAGAATTGATGAATGATGTTTCAAAAGAGAAATTCTTGGATTTAATTGCTGCTGCTGGTAATGAAGATTAGTGTTTATTTAGCAATGTATATGTTGATAATAAATAATAGATAAATTTAATTAAGTCGTGTACATTTGGTCAAATAATTTTACTTCTACCACCACGCGCCGCTTTGCTCGCACCAGTCAGGACGAACTAACGAACCAACTCACCAACAATCAAACAAAAAAAAAATTTCATGTTCAACAACAAGGACAACGACAAGAACAACGATAAGGATAAGGATAAGGATAGCAAGTCAGCCGTCAACAACAACAACAATGGTATCAATTGTACAATTATCTACATGTTTTGGATTTGTATTCCCAATTGTTATGGGATTTTCAAACACTGGTCAAGTTATGATTGACGCATTGGCTGGTCAGTTGAAAGATGACGTTAATCAAATTATTAAATTGGAAAACTTCAAGGAAACATTGATTGAAGAAACTAAAAAAATTTGTCAATCAGAGAATCGTAATAATGTTTATATTTATCAAGTTGATGATATTACAATTAAACCAGAAGAAGCCGTATTGGGTTTAAAATTTAATCAAATTTTATATCATGATGATAAAAGTGTTAATTTAACTAAAGATATGATTTTTGATGGATGTGAAATTAAAGAATATAAACAAGTTGAACAAATTTCAATGCAAGATATTTTCAATGAACGTAAATCTGATGAAGATCTTGTTATTGTTCAAGTTTTACCAAGTTTCAAAAGTAAAGGATCTTTAGAAAACATCAAGGAACAAGTTTATGATTTGTATAATGATGATGATATCGTTATTCAAAAGAGAGGTAATGAACAAGAACAAGAAGAAGAAGATGCAGTTATTGAAGAAGAAATTGAACATGATTTTGAAGAAGCTGAATCTTTGGCATCTGAAGAAACTGATCCAGTTAATATTTTAGCTAATAGCAACAAAGATAAACAATCAAATAATGGAACAACCATCAAGCATGACAATTTATTTACTAAATATCAATTTTTCACCAGTGGTATTTGGTCAGGAATTATTGTTTCATTATTTTTATTGACTATTTTATATGGAGCTTTGAGTTGGCTTACAAGTTTGGAAATTACTTATGCTTCATTTGAAAAACAAGTCGATTATGATAAAAAGAATGAATAGACTTATTTTAGCCCATACGATATGTATACATTGTATCTATCTATGTATCTTAGTAAATATATGGAATGATTTTGTATGGAACTAATTTTTCATAAGTTTCCCAATCTTTACCATATTTAGCTCTACATTTCATTTCATCTCTAGTTTGACGATGAATCAACAAGGATGCAAAATAGATAACGTAGAAATAAGTCAATGGGGTTTGAAAACCAGTTGGTAAACACCAAGATAAACCAATTAACCAATCACCAAAATAATTAATATGTTGACTTAAACCCCACCAACCTTCAATTAATAATTTTGAGCCGGTTTTAGTTTTAATTGATTTAAGATGAGGCAATTTACCTTGTCTGAAATCGGATTTTTGCTTATTTGCTGATCTGAAAATATAAAATCCCAATGCTTGTAATGCAACGATTGATAAACTCAAGAATAATCCAAGGTTGATTTCATTTCCTTCAATAGATAAATATCTACATTGTAAAGAATAAGTCCAAGGAACCCAAGCCAAATCACCAAAACTTAACATGAAACCAAAACCATCAGTTGTAATATCAATCATTGTTAAACACCCTTTCTTCATTCAAAACACCATCGAAAATATAAAATGATTGTAATAAATTAACCACAATGATTGAATCAGTAACATAGCCTAGTTTATGATATTGATGATGAGCACAACTAAGATTGATCAATAACCATAACAACATACCGGGACGTAATTCACAAAATAATTTAATATCCCATGAACCAATTCTTGGGTTTAATTCTCTACCAATGAACCAGTCGTAAAATGGATTATAAGTATTTCCATTAATACTCAAAATTCTGTCTCTTGTATTCAAACCATTTGGTTTAACCAATGGAATAAAAGACATGATATAGCATATAACAGCCAAAATAAATGAAAACAAGAAACAAACCATGATCAATTGTGCTTGATTTGAATAAATGAAATCTAATTCTGGTAAATAATAATTATCCAGTTGAATTAACCTAGCAGATAATAAAGTAACCAATAATAAACTCATACTTAATCCATTAATTTTGTAATTTAATGAAGTACCATCTCTAAGAGTAACACCATTTAATGATTTACCAGGTAAGATGAAATCAAATGCAACCAAGATGAAAAACCATAAAAGATAGACTGTCCAACAAGTTTTATCAAATAATAAGTTCATTAAATCATCGGTAGATGAAGGTAATTGTTCAATAACTTTGTTTAAATCAAGATTAATCCCTTGGATTGAATATGAATTATTACATATTAATTGAAAAAAATAAATCAATACAGGTAAACCAAAAGAAATGGCAATTGCACCAGTAGTACCATTGAACTCTTTATGAGTTGTAAAAGGATTTAACTTTGTTGCCGCCATTTATATTCGATGTTTTAGACTACTTTGGTGGAATTTGTTGACCAATTTCAAATTAGCATCAAGATCAAGATGAGGTTTTATATTTTCATCAAAAGGTGATTCTTATTCATCGTATAATTTTCGGAACGAGACATGGACACGTGACGCGATCGGACAAAAAGACTAAGAATATACGATTGTGTAAGTAATTCCAAAAATTACACTACGAAACAGCCGAGGAAACATCCTGAAAAGAATGACAACTACCGTCAATCGTCTGTTTGGTTTTAAGGATAAACCCTTTTCTTTTTTACTCGCTATCATTATTGTAGATTAGGTTACGGTTTCCGGCACGTGTTGTAAATCACGTGTTGTGTAGTGTGTCAACCAATTGTTTAATTGAGACACGCAATCAAATGGATTGAGGATAATAATAATTTGGTTAATAAACACGTACTATAAGTAATATATCAATGTGATATTTCTTGTTGTAGTTGTTTTAATTTGCTGATGTTGATGTTGAAATTTATTATGAAAAATTTTGTGAAAATATTCAGTGAAATAATTCAAAGTTACATTCATTTAAGTGATTAATATTGATTATTATTATTATAGACTACAAATTAACCAAGGGCGGCATTAAAACCAATGAGAAGTAATAATAATAATAATAATAATTTTAAATATTAAGGTTTATCATCTGCTTCAATATCATCATTATCATCATCACCTTCTTCTTCTTTTTACTTCTTCATTGTGTATGTTTGATCAATGGCGTACAAAATTTTAAACCTTTCCAATAATTTTTCCCTTTTAGGAAATGTAATTACCGAAAACAAAACATAAAAATATTAACCTTAAAAGAACACGTCTTCTATGTATGAGCACACATACAATAAACTATTATACATAACTTACATTTCTAACTACTCTTATATACTCATCAACCGTCAACTACCTTCCCTATTAACAACCCTTGTTAGTATACCCCTAATCCGTTGTTAATTACTTGCATCAATTGGTAGCAGTGCCATAGTAATCTGAAACCTAAAAATTTTTTTTTTTTTTTTTTTCGCTCAAAGTTTCAACTTTCAACAAACAACGAAACTTTTAATTTTAATTTAACATTTTGAACCAATCGTCTTCCCATTATTTCCCTTTGAAGTTCAATTGAATGAAAAGAACGGCTATTGCTTAATGATTGGATAATACTCAACTACTACTATATTTCATCTCACTATACTTTTTATTTGCTATTCCTTCTTCTTTCTTGGTTCACCTATCTATCTATTGACCTTCCCTCTCCTTCCCCCTTAAACTGAAATTATCTTTTATTTTGTACCATGTCAAATAATTATCATCAGAATCAACATCCTCCTCCTCCTCATGATCATCATCCACCTCATCATCCGCCGGCACTCAACCATCATCAACAACAACAACAACAACATCAAATGGGTCCATATCCAATGCAAATCATTAATCAACAGCAACAGCAACAACAGTACTATCAACAACCACAACAAATGAACCAGCACCAATTTACAGCCGTCATTCATCAACAACAAAATACTTTCACTGTTCCCCATGGTATTCCTCCTCAATCTCATCACCATCAGCAACATCAACAACAGGTTAATCAAAACTATCCTTTACCTCCTCCTCAAGCTATAATATCAAATATCAAAGATATTCCTAATCCCATATCAGCTTCAACTACTCCTATCAAATCCAGTCCTACTAAATCAAACAATAAGTCAGCATCGCAATTAAAAACTCCTAAAAAGAAGAGAGGTAGACCTCCAAAACCGAATTCATTGGCTCAAAAAATCACCACCACTTTAAATATTAGTATCAATACTTCTCCTCTGAACTCCAACCCCGCTGAATTAAATTCCAATCTGATGGTTAAAAGAGGTGCCCCTGATGCGTTCACACCATTGATGAGAGTAAGTCCTTCATCAACTCATACTTCTACTAGAAGAAGAAGAAAATCTTCAATTGGCAGTTCGACTTCTGGTTCTCCTCCTATTAAAAGATCTAAGTCATCCAAGAAACTAGCCAACAACACTACCACTGCCAATGATCCACCACATTTGGTTACTCCGTTGTCTTCTTCTTCTGATGGCCATTTTCCTACTTCAGAACCTTCCTATCAAATAAATTATAAGACTTTGGATAAATTATCAATGGTTACACAATCTGAAGGGTATTATAATACTCCTCCACCAACTTCTACCAATCCTTCCTTTTCAACTCCTAGTAGTAGTAGTAATAATAATAACCAACCGCCACCCTTCCCAACCATGGACCAACCAAAGAGCAGCTCCATGAGATCTCCCCAACTTTCCAAAATTAATGAATCTAAACAAGAATCTACTTCTCCGAGTAGAAATTTATTACCTCCTGTTTCATTAACTTCCAACAATTCTCAATTGAAAAGTTCTCCAGTTAAACAATCTTCTCCGGTAGAAAGTGTTTCTAAATCTAATGATGAATCAAGCAACAAACCAACATCAGCATCAGCAGACAATTTCCTGTTTAAATTAACTATTGATGATCTGGGTAAAGCTGTGTTATCTGGTGATTTATTCAATCCCACAAAAATTCCTTTGGAACTGGTTCCTTCTCATCCAGAATCTCCAAGAGAATCAGTTCTGCCAAAATCACCATCTCTGACTCGTGCAATTCCTATAAGTACAGGAACTCCTTTGGTTCATACAAATTCTGTTATTGGAATAGAAACTTATAATTCTGAGAATAAATCAAAAGCTCCTTTGAGAAGGCATAATTCAGATATTACAAATTTTACTTCATCTACAAAAGATTCAATTCCTTCTTTATCTTCAATTAACGAGGCCATATCAACCAATTCAATTAATAATCCTCAAACTCCAAAAGAAACATATACTTATGTTTCAACTGGGTTAACTCCATTGTTTAATTTGACTCCTCAATTCAATGCATTGATGTATTCTGTGATGAATATAAATGGCTCTCCACCTCCTTTTAAAAGAGGCAACAATCCATTTTTAGTTAATCAAGAAATATTTACTGGTTGTGGTGTAAATGAATCCAATTCTCACCAACCTTCATCTTCTTCTTCTTCACAATCACAGCAGTTAGAAGAACTTATTGAACAACCACATTTAGAAGGTCATCATAACAATAATGAACTTTCGTCAGATTTATTACCTACTAAAGACCCTCATCAGTACACCAAGGACAGTAATACAGAAATGGTTCAAAATAATTATCTGCTGACTTCATCTTCATCTGACGATTCCGGTGATGCAAGATTAGCTTTAAAGAAGATTATTCATGTTAAAAGAAGATAGACATTCTTTTCTACTTTCCTTTTCCTCCCACTCACTTCGTTGCTTTTTCTTTTTAATTTAGTTCGTTAATTGTTTATTAGTTTATTTTTTGTTTTTATATATATTAATTATTTATACTATTAGAATTCAATGTACAATATTAGTTTTAGATAGACAGAACTATGGTACTTTTAATTATTTTGCAATATGTCGATCATAAATCCGGGTAATTTATTCATCCTGCATATTAGTATACCACCACGCAATAGGAGCAAAGAAAGTCGTGTACCGACAAAATTGGAAAAAAATTTTTTTTTTCATCTCAATGGTTTCACACCAACTCATAAGGAAGAGAAGATTTTTTTATATCAACATTATCTTTACTGTTATTTTCTTCTTCTTCTTTTTCTTTTCTCCTCATCTTATATTTGATATTTACCAACAATGTCTCACAGAAAGTACGAAGCTCCACGTCACGGTTCCTTAGGTTTCTTACCAAGAAAAAGAGCTGCTAAGCAAAGAGGAAGAGTAAAGTCCTTCCCAAAGGATGTTAAATCCAAGCCAGTCGCTTTAACTGCCTTTTTAGGTTACAAAGCTGGTATGACCACCATCGTCAGAGATTTGGACAGACCAGGTTCTAAAATGCACAAGAGAGAAGTTGTTGAAGCTGCTACTGTTGTTGACACTCCACCAATGGTTGTTGTTGGTGTTGTTGGTTATGTCGAAACCCCAAGAGGTTTAAGATCATTAACTACTGTTTGGGCTGAACACTTGTCTGAAGAAGTTAGAAGAAGATTCTACAAGAACTGGTACAAGTCCAAGAAGAAGGCTTTCACCAAATACTCTGGCAAATACGCCACTGATGCTAAACAAATTGAAACTGAATTGGCTAGAATTAAGAAGTACGCTTCAGTTGTCAGAGTTTTGGCTCACACCCAAATTAAAAAGACTCCATTGTCCCAAAAGAAAGCTCACTTGGCTGAAATCCAAATTAACGGTGGTTCTGTCTCTGATAAAGTTGACTGGGCTAGAGAACACTTTGAAAAAGAAGTTTCTGTTGACTCTGTTTTCGAACAAGATGAAATGATTGATGTCATTGCTGTCACTAAAGGTCACGGTTTCGAGGGTGTTACCCACAGATGGGGTACCAAGAAATTGCCAAGAAAGACCCACAGAGGTTTGAGAAAGGTTGCTTGTATTGGTGCTTGGCATCCAGCTAATGTTAACTGGACCGTTGCCAGAGCTGGTCAAAACGGTTACCACCACAGAACTTCTATTAACCACAAGGTTTACAGAGTTGGTAAAGGTTCCGATGAAGCCAATGGTGCTACTGAATTTGACAGAACCAAGAAAACCATTAACCCAATGGGTGGTTTCGTTAGATACGGTAACGTCCAAAACGATTTCGTTTTGTTGAAGGGTTCTATTCCAGGTATCAAGAAGAGAGTTGTTACCTTGAGAAAATCCTTGTACGTTGACACTTCCAGAAGAGCTTTGGAAAAGGTTAACTTGAAATGGATCGATACCGCTTCTAGATTCGGTAAAGGTAGATTCCAAACCCCAGCTGAAAAACATGCTTTCATGGGTACCTTGAAAAAGGACTTGGAAAACTAAGTTTTTTCTTTTGAGAACTGGTGATAAGTAGTTATTGATCATTTTATAACATTTATGTATAGTTTTAAAGATTAATAATATAACTTTTGGAATTGTTTCTTAAAAATGTTGATTTTTGTTGTAAATGATAATTATTGATGATGTTGTAGAAAAGTGTGCGATTACCAATATTTTTATTTTCCAATTTTTGGTTTTGTTTGCGATGAGAAGCGAAGAAAAAGATTTCAATTTTTTTTTTTAGTTTCATAAACCACCATCACCATTATCATCAACCACATCACTTCACATCTACTACGATAATGTCATCTGCAAAACAAGGACTTCCACAAGTTAGAGCACCAACATTACCATCTAAAACAACACCAGAACAAAGATATTGGAGAAGTTATATTAATCCACAATTAATTAAAGAAAACCATCCAATTACAAATATTGAATTTAATCCAGTAACTCAAGATTTTGCAATTTCATCATCGACAAAAATTCAAATATTTTCAAATAAAACAAGACAGGTCATTAAAACATTTTCAAGATTTAAAGATACTTTAAATTATATAAATTATAGATATGATGGTAAATTAATAGTTGCAAGTGATGCATCAGGATTAATTTCAATCTATGATTGTGCTAAACCAAATAATTTATTAGTTTCATTTAAACCAAGTTCATTTAATACAAAAGTTGTTAAATTTCATCCAAATCTTGGTAATCAATTGATTACTGGTTCAAATGATAAAACTTTAAGAATTTTTGATATTTCTCAAACTTCTCAAGGTCCAATTTTAGAAATTAAAGATCAACATGATGATTATATTTCAAGTTTTGATTTTATAAATAATAATTTATTAGCTACTGGTTGTTATGATGGTAAAATTAGATTATTTGATACAAGAATTAATCCAAATAATATTATAACTACTTTCGATCAAGAAAATCCTGTTGAAGATGTTCTTTGTTTAACTTCAAATTTATTAACTTCTTCAGGTGGCTCTTATGTTAAGGTTTTTGATCTTAATAGAATGACTACAATTCATCAATTAAATAATTTCACAAAGTCAACCACATCTTTAAAGAAAACATTCAGTAGTAGTACAAGTAATAGCAGTAATGGATTAATGGTTGGTTCATTAGATGGTACTGTCAAAATATTTGATTCAAGTTCAATTAATTGGAAGGTTCAATTTGGTTGGAAATTCGGTGATGGTGTTTTATCATGTGGTGTTTCACCTATTAATCAAAAACATTTCGTTACTGGGTTAACTTCAGGTTTAATTACTATTAGATCTAAGAAAACTGAAAAATTGGATCCAAGCAAACCAATGGTTAAATCTGGTGGCTATGCTAGAATGATGAAAGGTAGAGATTATACAGGTGATGAAGAAGATCATATAATCAAGAACATTTCAAGCACTACCACTAGCAAGAAAATCACTGGGAATGTTGGTGACTTGATGGCCAATTATAAAAAATCATTACAAATTGAAGATATCAAACCAAATGAATTAAACCAACAAATCAATGAAGCTAAACAAGCTCAAGAAATCTGTGGTATGTTGGAACTTTTAGGTGTATAAAGACAATATTCAATACATGAAGCATCGATTCTCCTAAGAAATAAACAACTATATAAATATATCAGTAATTGGATGTTTCAATCTTTCTAAATTACTACGAATTCTGAATTTTGGTTCTAATTTATTATCTCTCAAATCAATCTCTTTAAGTTTTTCAAAGCCTTTAAAATTCCCAGTGATTTTTTTAATCCTATTATGTCGTAAATTTAAAAACTCAAGATTTCCACTTGGAAATATTGTTGGCTTGATTGAAATAAGTAGATTATCTGATAAATCAATTTCTCGTAATCGACGGAAATTTTGAAAATTCAATGAATGCAACTTATTCGATTTTAAATTATTACGTGCTAAATTCAAATACTCTAATTCTTCAGGAAATAAAGACCAGTCAAATGAATCTTGAATGTAATTACAATATAATGATAATTTTTTTAAAGTATATGGAAAATTATTGGCTTGTTCTAAGATATTCTGATTTAAATCTAAAATTTGTAAATTGCTGGGCCATTTAACATTTGGTTTGATCTCTGTAACACGATTTCCATACATAATCAATTCCTCTAAACCAGACGGTACAATCAATGTATCCTGGTCAATTATCGTTATATTATTTTTTGATATATCCAATTTCTTAAGTCTTCCCCCCGTAACGTTGATTCTACTAAGTCCACAAGATATTATTGATAACACCTTTAAATTATTTGACACATCAAATTTATTTTCATTCTCCAACGCAAAGCAATTAGCAAATTCCAATTCCTCCACTACATCCAATTGTTGCAAAATTTTGCAATCATATTTTTCAATAGTTAAAGTAACTTTTTTAAGCGATCGAGGAATATTTCCAATGAAATTTAAACTTGAAAGTGCTCTACCCTCAAAATATTCTAATTTAGGTAGTTTCATACTATTGAAATTTAAAGAAACGGGAACCAGCCTATCGTTGCATGTGCCTATTTTCAATAATTTTATTGATTCCCCAAACATAACTTTTGGTTCAAGAATCTTTCGTCGTTTAAATTCATCGATATTAATGCTAGTACTATCCTGGTCTCTAAAATATTTGTTACTCAATGACAAGTCTTCAATCCTATCCGAAAATATAAGGTCTTCCTTCACAATCATTTGAGATGCAACCGGAGAAAGATCAAGTTTCCGTATTTTTGGACAATTTAACCTGAGATCTTGCAAAACAGTTCTTGCATCTGAATCAATTTCACGAATACTCTGGGGAAAAATACAACTTAAAGCTAGTGCATTTCGTACCTTAATATACTGTAAGTGCTGCAAATGTTCAAATGATGCACTTCTATCCAAGAGCAGGCGAGGTGCAGCCCTTTCAAACACAATACTTAACCATTGCAAATTTGGTGGTAAACAGAGTTTGATATTGGTTTTATCTTCATTGTTAGGCGGTATTTTAATGCGACCACAGAATTTCAATAATTGACTTGGGATTAATTTTAATTCATCTAAAGTAAGACTATTACTATATTTTGTTAATTCCAACTTGCGTAATCGGGGAAAATCATGGTCGTGAAATGTCGCTCTCTCTACTGAAGACAACGTGCCCACAATAGAGTCACAATTTGCAATCACTTTAAGTATATTAGGAGACATCCTAGTAAGACCTTTTACTGAATGAATATTTTTTGTAAATTCTTCTAGTTTCTTTTCAGAAAGACCTTCCAAATAGTTAAAATCTGAATCCTTCAATGTGACTGACAATCGAACATTGCCATACTCTATAATTTGTAGCTTTAAAGCCAATAATCTATGGAGCATTTCTCTCAGTTTTAACAGAATTCTCTTTATTCTTGCTTCTGGAATTTCCTTTACCAACTTCTCTAAATGTAATACATCTTGTACTTCAACACAATTATCTTTAATTACACCATACATGCTCTCGTGTCTCATATCGATAATTCCAGGACGATACATGAATTTTTTAACTATTCCAGAACTATTTATCACTTCAGTAATAACAATATTAGTATACATAGATTGCAACGCGGGACCGCGTAATTCAGGGATATCCTTCAATTTGTACAACTGTGTATTGGGTACAAAAGTGAAGATAAGTGCTAGCAATTCATTAGGCAAATCAGTTAATCCCAAACCCGTCATCTCTTTCGTCTAGTCATAAATAAACACAACCCAATTGGTAAAAGAGTTGGTTGCCGACACGTTGAACTTTTGAAATTAAATACGTGTGTCTATTTTATTTTTTTCTGCTTTTTTTTTTGAATGTTGTTGTCTTTTGCAAACTTAGCAACAACGGGGAATGTGAAACTTGATAATTGATTAATAATTGAACCCTCATACACGAAAGCCACGTGTTGTAAAATCATGTGATTGATATCTGAGAATACACTATCATCACCAATTTACAAATTATTCATCTTCTAATAAATAATACATTCTAGGTCTAACTACTTATAATCCTACCCAAGAACGAACCAATTCTCTTACAGCATTGATACTGGCCATGATAACCATAACGGTACCAAAGACAGAGAAACTTAAACTGGACATTGAGGCAGCTCTTGGATCAACATTTAATAAATGAGCTGTGGCGATAGCACCACAATTAATACCAAGTGTTACTCCTCTAGTAACATAATCTTGCTTATCAACTCGCAATAATTTAAATAATGGTTCGTTAATTAAAACTCCCAAAATTCCTGATAATATGGTACAAACTGCCATTAATGATACTGATCCACCTAATGCTTGAATTAAGGGAGTACCCAATGCTAACGTAACTGAACGTCCAATAAAACCAATTGATCTACCTGCTTCGATTCCAATAGAATGACAAACTATTGGATAAATGAAAAATGTCAATCCAATACTTGCTAATATTGTAGGAGCTAATATGTGGAAATTATTAATGAAATCTCTACGATAACTGAACATTGGAAGTGATAAACTGACAATACTTATATCCATAAGAGAAGACAAAAAATCACCACATCCAGGCCATTGTGGAGTTGATGTTGGGTCTTTGGTTGGAACAGTATCTGATTTGCCATTATTATTTAAAGTCATTCCACTAAATAAATTTAAATAATTTTTACCAGTTTTGTAAAATTTCAAATCTTGTAAAAACCCATCTGGATGGTGGTGATAAATCAATGATCCAATAAAACAAATAAATAAAATGATTCCAGTTGATATGATTATCGGATGGGCAAATTTTTTTGTGACGGGGTATTTCTGTGGAATTAATAATGCAACATAATAAGATAACACAGTGATGCTTAAATGATAAGGTAGATATGTATGAATGGATGAGACATAGTACAATGGTAATGAAATAATAAATAAAACAAAGTATAAAACCCAATCAATATAATTGGTAATAAATACTGTTATAGGGGATAATTCTTGTAATTCTTCTTGTTGTTCAACAGCGATACTTTCTTGTTCTTGACTCAGATCACTTCCCTGTTGTTGTTGTTGAGCTGGTGGTAGTCGATGAGTTCTTGGATATGTATCCACATGGTGTGGCTTATGATAAATTGGTTCAGGCTCTGGTAAATTTGAACTAGTTGTGTCATCAAATGGGTTTTCATTGATGGCCCTTGGTGGTGTAACTTCTCGATTACTTCTATTAGGTTGTAAACTATCAAGATCAATTGTAGTAATATCATCCCTCATACTAGTGAATGTTCTTGCACTACTTTGAATAATCTCCATTTCAATTTCATCTTCTTCATCAGAATGGATTTTCTCTTCTTTGTATCCAAACTTTTCAAGTACCAATTTAAACACTCTAATCATTCCAACATCTGCCAATATCAAAGCAGCCAATCCAACCACAAACACACCAGCGATTTTCAAACATTCAATAAATGAAATTGGTTCAGATAAAGGTAAAATAACAAACGAGGGAATGAAGAAAACATTAATCCATTTCAATGTAAAATTCATAGATGGTTTAATCAATCGCAAATAGTTCGTCAATATCCATGATGATCCATTATTTAAACGTTTTATGAATTTAGAATCTCCTCTTAATTCACTAAGTACGCTTAAAACACATAAAAACACCAAATTTATCAATAACCCCAAAACCGAACTTGGGAATTTGATTTTAGCAATATCTGCCAATAAAATATTAAGACCATATAAGATGATTAATAGGATGATTATACCAATGGGAATTATTAGATAACTATGGATTAAATGTTGTCGTGAATACCATATACCTTTCCATATCAGATGCCAAATACTTTCATTCTCCATTGCTACTAAAATCTTTCTTACCAATAAGTGTTGATCAATGTTTGGAAGAAATAGGAATGACAAATGATTTGAAAAAAAAAAAGAACACTAATTCTAAGAAATATTTTTTTGTGGGGAGTCCTGGTGGTGGGGTCGACGCAATTCAACGTTACGGGTCTTATCTTTTGTAGTCCAGGCGCCGAGAAGGGAAATTATTACCACGGAGAAACGGCGCACGTAAAAAAAAAATTGACTCGACCCAGCTCGGGGCGAGATTATGGAACAAGAGAAAAATGCAAATCGGACATAAACTCCATGACTTTTGCACGTATACACAGTCACATGAAAGAACCCGATTATCGGAAATCGTATAAATCAAGTATGAAATAAATCACCTTTTTATATCTTTTTTTTTATTATTATTATCATTAATATACAATAAATTATGTGCTTCTTTAAGCTTCACCAGCTTCAATGGCTTCTTTGAATTCTTCTTTAGCATATCTTAAACCGCAGTAACCACAGGTAGCTGCTTTTGGTTGATCCAAATTGATGAAAACTTTAGGATGACCTTGTAAAGTGCTTCCTCTATTACCATCACAAACAGCAATATTACCTTCTTCATGAGTTAAGTATCTTATTGGTTCTTTAGCAATTAAATCTATAGCAGCATATGGTCTTGGTTGTTGTTCCAAATCTCTTTGAACAAATCTATGTGGAAATTTATTGACAACTTCTATTCTTTCTTCTTGAGATGGAGACCATGTTACGTTTCTGTTTGGTGCTTGTTGAACATATTCATTATTTTTCAAATCTTTGACATTTAATTGTGAAGCTTCTGGTCTAGCTAAAGTTGAATTCAAACGCAAAAATGAAAGTGGTCTAGCTGAAAGTCTAGTTATTCTCAACATCGTGATTATGATATATATGTATGATTATGAATAGATAATGATTGGTGGAAGAAGTTGAATTGTAGTTGTTAACTTTTGTTTGGATTTTGTATGAGAAGAACAAGGAGAAGAAAAAAAAATGGTTAAGCAAAATTTCTCTCGCTGTTATTGGGTGAACTAAAAAAAAGAGACAATTCTGTTGGTAAAGACACGACTATATAAAACCGTAGCAAATCTCTTAGAAAACATTATATATACTTTGGTGTATACTATCCAAAAGCTATAAAGGTTTACTTCAGCATGGTATATAGCTAAAAAACTAGTCATTAAACACAGAGAGTTATAACCACAGGAATTATAGACAATATCACACAAATGAAAGTACCAAAAGAACCAAATTTGATTGAATTACCTTCATTAGCAGCGGGAACTGCTGTTGGATATTCGACGGCTAGATTGGTAGCTGTTGACTCAACCGAATTTACAGTTTTGGTTGTACACTTGTGGGTTAAAAATTTTGTGTTAATTTCTACCTCAGTAATGTATTCTTCACACATGGTTTCCTCAGCTATGGTGGTCAGAATCATTTCAAATGCTCTTACATTAACAACACTGCAGTTAGTCAGACTATCACAATCAAAGGGGTAAATTGATGTGACTTTCTCCTCTATCGTATCATTAATAACAGAGATTAAATTGTGAAACTCAAACTCTGTTGTGATGAAACTAAGAACCTTGGAGGCATTTATAGCTTCTATGATAGGAGAGGACTCTAATTCAATGAATATATCTTCTTGCTTAAAAGAAGAAACTGATTTATCAATGGTATCGGGTTTTTCTTCCACTAATACTGTTTCTTCCTTTGCAACATAGTTTTGCAAGGTGATATTGTCAAGTTTACTGCATTTATCTTGTGAGGCATAAACGATCGACTTTCCTTCAGCATTAAAGCATGATGAAAACTCCACTAGTTCATTATTCAAAGCAAATTTATCATCCGTCAAACTCCAACCGGAAGTCGCTTCATCTTTTGTCCCAACAAGTATCATTTGTCCTTGCTCTGGTATAGTCGTCTCTTCATCATCTATCTGTATTATTCTAATCCATCTATCATCACCAACTTGTAAATAACCATCACTAATTGTAAACAATGCAATTGTTTCACCAGCAATAGTGATATATGTTCCATCAGTACCGAACCCAAGATCAAGAAATGAACTATGATAAGTTACTTTGATTGGTTTTTCTGAATCAATTTTACGGAATGGAATAGCAGTTTGGATCATGATCTGTTCTGATGAATCACGTTCAATAATGACTGAATTTTCATCTTTGTCAACACAAATTGGAGTATTGGTTACTGCACTTTCAAATACAAGCTTATTTTCTATTAAACTAATGCCATTAGTGATTTTGATTACATTATCATCAATATCCTCATCTTTAAAGTTATCCTCTTCAATATAATTTGAGGGAATGTAGTATTCATTAAATATTGCATTGCTCTCGCTACTATCTAATTTATTAGAATTTATTATTGTTGATAATGCTACTATATTCTCATTCATAACAATTTGTAAATCATTGATAGGAAAACATGAAACATCATCTTGGATCGAAACAACATATGGAGGCGAAGTACCACAGGCATATAATTCTTCAGAATAGGACAATAATCCATCATCTATACTCCAAGAAATATTATTGTCTTTAGTTTCTTGAACAGGAAAACCTTGTAATCTAGGATCATCAACTCCATAAGAAATAGCATATCCCAGTTGACTTACTAATTCTAACAATGAATCCTGTGTTAATTGAAACAAATCTCCTTTATGAGCTTGCAATTTGAGTTGACCATCAACTTTGAAAAAGTATTCAGTACCTTCAATATCAGTCTTGATTTTGAATTGATTTGCTAATATTGATGATAAAGTTAACAATATAAATCGTAAAATAGTATGAATCTTCATGAGGACTTGATCTCAGAACTAGTTCATTAATTTAAGATTTATGAACATCATGGGCATTATAAGATACTTTCAAAAATGACATCCATTGTCAAATACGATGTTTGATGCAATTTTCTGCAACATTATGTATGATTCTGTAATATTCATTCAGTTAAAGATTCTTAATGGAAAAGAAGATTATAATAGAATTATAATTATAAACAAAATGTAACCATTTGAAGATTCTAACTAAAATAAAACGGTTGCAATCTTACTATTGTACCATAGTTGTGCTTGTTGAATACACACGATGCATACTTTTGTGGGTAAGTCAACATAACAGTTATACAATTTTCATTCACAACACACCAGTTGCCAGATAATCGACCCTTAAGACTCATTTTAGATACGTCATTATACGGTTACATATCTCAAACCGTTATTGTGATGTCAAAAAGGTATGCCATTTTCTAAATTGATATTACTAGAAGAGGTAATTCCGTGCATATATTTCCGACCACCCGGAAATATAAAATATGGTAGAAAATCCAAGCCAACTCCACAGTTTGATTGACCGTTTATAAACGATGAGCGTCCTTGATGATTTGTATCTGCTACCTGCTCCTACAATAGGGGTCTATGAGGTACCCTTTTGTCTTCTTTTTTTTTTTACATCCACAGCATGCATACTACCAACTTGACAAATAATTACATAAAGTGAAACACCACAATTGTGTTCCAAACCCAAACAAAAAAAAAAAAGAAGGAGCAAAATTCATTTGAACAACGCATGCAATATGGATTAAGTTTGCTATTTCCAAAATATTTCCCATAGTTCATCAAACCATCGAAAATGGACGATTTCCGGTTGGTATTTATTATATAAAACTAAGGTGATTTCCCGCCTTCTAAAGAATTCAATTCTTCTTTAGTTATCCCCTTTTTTTTTACAATATCAATTTTTTTTTCTTTATACTTATAACTATTCAAATATAACAATGGCTCCACCAAGAACAGCAATTATACTCTACTCCCTTTATCACCATATCTATGAATTGGGTGTAGCTCAAAGAGCAGGTGTTTTAAAAGCAGGTGGTCAAGCTGATATTTTTCAAGTTCCAGAAACTTTGACTCCAGAAATTTTAAAATTAGTTAAAGCTCCAGAAAAACCAGATATCCCAATTGCTGAAACTAAAATTTTGACAGAGTATGATGCTTTCTTATTTGGAGTTCCTACTAGATTTGGTAATTTCCCAGCTCAATGGAAAAGTTTTATTGATGGAACTGGTGGATTATGGGCTAAACAAGCATTAAGAGGAAAATATGCTGGTGTTTTTGTTTCTACTGGTACTTTAGGTGGTGGTCAAGAAACTACTGCCATTAATACTTTGAGTACTTTAGCACATCATGGTATTATTTATGTTCCATTTGGTTATGGACATCCTGGTCTTACCACCTTTGATGAAATTCATGGTGGTTCTCCATGGGGTGCTGGTACATTTGCTGGTTCTGATGGTTCCAGAAAAGTTACTGACTTGGAAAAGGCTATTGCTGAACAACAAGGTCATGATTTCTATAAACTGATTACCAAAACCTGGTAATTATCATACATGTAGATGTAGGTGTAGATTATTTATTTACTTATTTGTATTCTTTGATTCATTAGCAACAATAATACATATTGGATGTCCCCAATTTGACAGTCGTGTGGAAACCGTTTTTCATCAATTGAAACCAAACCAAACCAAACCAAACCAAACCAAACCAAACCAAACCAAAAAAAAAAAAATTTGTGAGCGTAACGACTTTCAACAAAAACATCAAATTTTCATTGACAAAATCCGAACCACAAGCAATTCAACAAACAAAGAAAAGACAAAGGGAAATCATGTCGTCGTCAAATAAACCTCAGAAGTCAATGAAACAAGATTACATTGCTAAAGTTCGTTATACAAATAACTTACCACCTCCACCATTGAATCCAAAATTTATTGCATATAATACCACTGACCCAATATCAACAAAACAGGAAGGTGAATATTTAATGGCATCATTATTTCGTAAAGAAAATTTTCAAAACTTAATGGAAAGGATAGATGATCAACTTGGATTAAATTTAAATTTAATAAATAACCATGGATTTTTATCTGAAGAAAAAATCGAAGCGATTGGAAAATTAAAATATGATCAATTACATCCAAAGGATCGTATACTATTAAGAGATGCAGGTATTGGAAGAATTTCTAAAAACGAACCTGGAGTTTCATTTTTAAGAAGAACTGAATATATTTCTGAACGTCCATTATCTAAAGGATCAAGTGGGTTAAGTACTGCTAATGAAGAAGTTAAAAATAAAGAAAGATTATCAAAAGATGAACATTTTGATGCATCATCTCAATTACTTAAAGTTGAAGAAGGTTTCACTGTTGCTAATGAATCCTTAAATGATTTAAGTAAATTGAAACATCCAAGAAAGAGACATTTGAAAGCAGTTGGTGCTTGGCCATTATTACCAGATACTTCGATGATGGATAATAAATTTTTCAATTTAAAATTCATTGGAAGTGCATCTATTGAAAGAGAATTAAAACAACAACAAGATAGAAATAAATCTAATAAAGAAATAATTAATAAAGCTTTAGAAAGTTCACTTTTCAGACCAATTAAATCCGATGATGGTGAATGGGTTTCAATGTTTAAAATTGAAGATGAAGAACAAATTAAGAACTTGTATGAAAAATTACATTCTACTAAAAGAGAACAACCTATAAATTTATTAGATGAAGAAGAAGAAGTTATTGAAGAATTTAAATTTAAATATAAGAAAAACTATGACATGAGTTTCCAAGAATTTAAACAAGAGAATGAAGAATTGGCAATTAAATTTGTTCCTGTTGATGAGGATAATTCAGAACAATTGAATGGTAAATCCATTAAAAAGAGAAAAATTGCATATTATTATCCAATTAATGGTAAGATTGATTTGAAGAAACACAGAGCTTCAACTAATTCCGAAATTAATAAATATATTAAAGAACAAACATTTGATGGAATAAATTTCAAATTAAGAGAACCAACAACAAATGAATTGAAGAAAATGGATACAATCAGATCTGAATATGATCCTATGGAATATGAAGGAGAAGATGAAGAAGAAGAAGACGACGATGATGACGATGATGAACACGGGGAAGACAACCAAGAACCTTCTCAGTTACATACACAAGCTGTTACAGATGAAAAAGAAAGTAGTGTTGAAAATGGTGACAACCATGAATAATGGGGCATTACTTGTGATTAAAAAAAATGTATAATATTAAATAATAATAAATCATGTCTATGTAATAATACAATGTTTCTTCTTTTTCTGGGTAGTATCTGTTTTAATATCAGTCAGTTCTTTAAGCTTATGAGTTCCAGGATTAGTCCTTGACGAACTGGACTTTGATGGAGGTGCTGTATTATTAGAATCGTTTTTGGTATTGTTGCTGGGTTTTCTCTTGTCGTATCTTTTTTGTAATCCAGCAGCTAATTTCTGATCCTCCTCTTCTTGTAACTGCTTCAACAACAAATAATCACTGTTACCTGTATCTGGAGCAAAATTTGGTAAATCTTGATCAATATCCAATACGGGGTTGAAATCACCAGTGAAAAATAAATCATCATTTCCAGACACACTATTTAAAGATTGCCAAATAATTTGTGATGATTTATTGCTAGTATGACTAGATCCAACAAATGATGAATCAGTTAATAATAAATAAAACTCATTTTCTGATTTTTTAAATAATGTGTTGAAATGATTATTTCTGAAAAATACAATAAATTCATTGGTATCTAACTTATCATTCAATTCAGCAATACCTTGTTGAGTCAATTGAGTTTGATTTAAACTTAACCATTTAGAAAGAAATTCTTTATTTTGATGAATTTGTGGATCATCGTCATCATCATCATGTAATAAATAATCTTGAATCTTATCAAAATTCTCCAATGAATTAATCAATTCAACTAAGGTGTTATACTCTGCATCATTCCATAAAGTTGGCTCATGATTAGTAGAATCAACGACCCAACCATGTTTAAATTTCAATTCAAAAATATCAAATAGTTCCGTACCCAAATCCTGTTGGAATTCACTTGAATATAAAATAGGATTAACATTTAAACCGGTGTGTAATTTTGGTAAATTTGATAAGAATTCATCAATGGTGAATTTAAATCGATCTTCGATACCTTCAATATAAACCAATAATAAATCAGCAATATATTGTAAGACTTCATCTAAATTAATTTTACCTTGATTATGATACTTATTAATTAATTTTGATTTAAAATTATCCATCGAAATTTCCTTTGATCGTTCTTGATTATTAGCAAAATAAGTTGGATCTTCATCCAGGACAGATTTGTTATTTGTTTGCATATCATGGTTTAATAATAATGTATTGCATAAAGCAATTAAAGGACAAGGGCCGTTCTTCTCTTGTAATAAAATAGGTGTTGATAATAAATCATGATTTGAATCTAATTTCCAATTTATTAACTTAAGTGGGAATTGCACTGAATCTTGCGGGGTATTTGCTGTTGATAAAGAACCACTTGCTTCAGGAAGTGGTGGTGGTGTTGCTGCTATATCTGACATGATGATACACTAGTAATGACGAGGAATAATTGAGTGTTGTACAAATATGGGCAATCAAATAGGTATAAATAAACTCGAAAGGGTATTTTTGAAATCGGCATACGGGGCGAAGTTATAACCGTTGATTAATTACAATGAACAACCATGGGGGACCGAGAGTGAGAAAAAAAAAAGTCACGGTACTCGGAGATATAATTTTCTTTTTCTTTTGAACACAGCCCGAATGCTACCATTTGATTCAGTATTCTTCAAAGCGCAAGGATAGCTTAAGCCAAGGGAATCAACAATTCGTTTTGGATAGTGGATTACCAAGAGCTAAAGCTTAATTTTAAAAGTACTTTGAGACCAATAAAATTGAATAGTTTTCATCAAATAAAGCATATATAAACTTAATTTACAAAATTAAAAAAGAAAAAAAAAAAAAAAAAAGAAAAAACTATAAACTCAACATGGACATACTCTCTTTGTCTTACTCCTCTTTGTTTAAAAAAAAAAATAAATCAATTACGGATGAAGTAAATCAAACCAGCAATTAATACACTGATACTAAAGAATACAACATTAAAGTTGAAGTCTTCTTGTTCAATAATTCTCTGTATAGAGTTGTCAACTTTTTCTCTAGCAGCAATAGTTTTGGAATATTTATTTTCCGGAACAGTGGTCATAGTTGATGGTAAAGCATCCTTGTTTGGATACAACATTTCACAGCATTGTTCAATTTGACCACATTTAATACCAATCTTCAAATAGTTTGGATCCCTTGGGTGTGACTTATGGTTGATGACTTGAATGTAATGTTTAAAGATTTCAACAACTCCTGGGAAAGTTCTACTTTGTAAAATCAATTTACAAGTGGTTCCCTTTCTGATTTTAACAACTCCATGTAAAACTTTTGGATTATTGTAAACTTCAGCTAAAGTGGCAACGGCCATTACTTGTGGAATAGCACAGAATGAGAAACTAGATGGGTCTTTAACCAAAGACAAATATTCAAGACAATCAGTGACATGATTTAATGCATTTAAAACCAATTCATTAATACAGCTCACACCATCAAATTCTTTTGCTGGGTCATTGTGGAAAGCTGGCAATTTATCAGTATATTTACCCCATATTTCTTTTGGCCAGAAGCTTCTTCCATCTTCCAAATCCTCATGATAATCTCTGATAATATTGGTTTTTTGTAAGAATAATCCCATGGATTCAGCTTTTTCAAAATTGTTTGCGCTTAAAGATTGATCACCAAATTTAACTAAAACCAAAAATTCAGTTAATCCTTCACCAACTAAACCAGCAACATAATGACAGTACAAATCATAGTCCTTAACAGTAACAACACCGTTGACATTGAAATTTTCATCCAAGATATAATCGGCCATACCATTACCCATTTTCTTGGTGATGTCTTTGATGATAGCTTGGTATTCTGGTTTAAATCTGTGATATACACGTAAAATCTTGTCAAATTCAACCAAAACAGCTCTATCCTTTTCATTTGGACCATTTCCATCAAATGTCCAATCTTCAGTATCTAATTTATCATCAAATGATCTCAATAATGGAACTTTGACTGCTGGTTTAATAGACATATCATCTTCAATAGTATCCAATGCTCTCAAAACAAGGTAGAAAATCATGATAGCATCACGCAAATCAGGATGTAATTCTTTAATAACAGCAGCGAATGATCTTGAAGTTAATTTTAACAATTCATAACATCTTATCAAGTCAGTATCATTTGGGTCTATTTTCTGTGGATGTAAAGTTTGTCTGAATCCCAATATCTTTACGGCAGCAACAAATTCAGTTGGATGAGCTAACAATTGAAATAATTTACCCATGGTAAGTAATCAAAGTCCAGATAGTAAATAAAGAAAGAAGAAGAGAAGAGGTTTGTTTGGTAACGTTTAACTGTCTTTTTTTTTTTTAGGCAACCAAAAAAATAAACGAAAATTTTTCTCTCTTGAGAATACGAACGTGGTAGTAGAAACTTTGCGGGTGGTGGCCCGACATAACAGGTGAGGTTACTCTCTGCGTCGTCGACCGCACACCACGAGCAGAGAAACAGAAGAGAAGAAGAAGGTGACAAGAAAACGATCGCCGATTTAAACGAGACACACCTTTAAAAAAAATAAGCGTATTCTATACGACGACGAAGAGGATAATGCTATTTTACAACGTCAGCAACTATAGAATGATAACGACAGTTTCAGATGAAACTAAGACTCTATCACAAAAAGGTACATTTACTTTTCAATAAACCAAAGCGAAGATGCTCATTTCTCTATTGAACTATTCATTATTCTCAATCTTTTCAAACCATTTCCTGGCAGCTTTTATGTTGTCTAAAATTAATAACTCTTCATGTTGTTGTTGAATTGATCTGTTTCCCTCTTTGTTGTCTTTTAATACAATCATGATAAACATGTTGTCAGTGATTATATCAATGTAGAAATTGGTACCATCACTGCCTCTAATGATTAAATTCTTAAAATTGGTCCTCAATTTGGTTATTGATTGTTTATATGTTTTGATTATATTGGAAATTTTTTCAAATCTTTTAGGATCCAATTCTTCTAATTCTGATTCTGGCTCTTTCATGTGGTTCTCCAGTCCATTTTCAATTTGTTTCTGTTGACTTTTTATTGATGCTGTTGAAGAGATGACCAAAAATGTTGTCTTTTCAAACAAGATGATTTCTTCAGCATCAAGAATAGAATTGAATTTAATCAAGTTATTATTAAACAAGTTGATATTAGGAATTAATGAGCAAACTATTTGTGACCAAGCTTTATATAAACTTTCATCCCAAATAGATGTGGGGAATCCAATCAATTTAAAATGATAAGGATTAGATATTTTTTGTAATTTCTCCATCATAATTTGAAACAATTCTTGACGCTTATCAATCTGCACCAAATCCATCTTGTGTAGTAATACAAAAACTTTTGCTCCTGGCAGGTATTGTTGTAAATTAGTCAATGATTTGATGAATATCTCGATATCTTTATTTATCAGTTTACTTTCAACGTCAAAAACATGAATCAAAACCTGAACCATTTTAAATATATGATCTTTTTGAGATGTAAAATAATTATCCATAAATACCGTTTGACCTCCACAATCCCATAAATTCAATGTCATATTACCCAAGAATCTCAAATGCAGTAATTCCACATCAATAGTAGCGCCCAATCTTCTTGTATCTAATGCTGAATAATTGGAAAATATAATTGACCTCATCGAGGATTTACCGGAACCAGAACGTCCCATTAGTAATAATTTCTTCCTTGAAGTTGTAGACGATGACATAATAAACGTGTTATTCTAAATTTAGTAGTGGATGCTTAATGGATTGAATCTAATGATAAGGGGCGTTCTTGTTATTTATCTGTTACTTGTTTTATTTTTATTTTTTTTTTTTCTTTGCTCCTTCTTCCAAACGAAAATATGAAATCTCTCCCTAGATTAAGTTGGTCTTTCATTTTACTTAGTTATACGTGTGATTATCATCGTGAGGTTCCCCTGTTGGTTGAATACAACAAGTAACCAGCCATCATAGTATAGTGGTCAGTACGAGTCGTTGTGGAAAAACGCAACAAATCCGACTAGACCCAGGTTCGATTTCTGGTGATGGCATTTCTTTTTTGTTTGTATTCTCTTTAAACAAGGTAGATTTTTTTTTGCACCAATTGCAAATTTAAACCATTGTCTCTAATTTTTTTTTCTCTTTAATCTACACCAGCCATCTTTTAATCACCTACATTATTGTTCGTCAAATGCATTCAGAAACTAAAATTTCTACAATGTTAATTTTAAATTAATATGCGTTTAAATAAAGCAATATATTACAGAAAAAAATGCAATCTATATAAAATTGTACAACCGAAATCATACCATACCTGGTATCCGAAATATGGTCATTGAAATAACTGACCAGGGAAAAATCAATATTAAATGAAAAGATTAATAACCTAATAGAAATAACCTCTATTAAAAATCACCGAAAATAAGAAAAAAATTAGAATATTCAAGCAAAAATCGAAAATGCAAATAATTATTACCACAAGAAATTGAAAAAAATGAATAATATTATAGTTAAACCATTAATATTAATAGGCTTAGAAGAAGTAAGCCAATGGGATCATAGCCAAAGCTAAGAAAGAAGCACCGTTGACGGCAGCGGAACCTTCGTAAGTGGAGATAACACCGGTTTCTGAACCAGAAGCAACAGCGGAACCAGAAGCAGAAGCAGTGGTAACAGTGGTTGGACCAGCTGGAGTTTCAGCAGCTTCAGTAGTACCTTCAGTAGCTTTAGAAACGGTCTTGTAAACAACGGTTTCGTAAGTAGAACCTTCAGAGGTAACTTCAACAGTTTCTGGAACGTAGACGGAACCTTCAGAAGTAACAACTTCGGTAGCAACAGTTTCACCTGGAGCAGTAGTAACTGGGCAGTAAGTAACGTACTCGGTAACTTCGGTTTCACCAGCAACAGTACCAGAAGTAGTAGATGGAGTAGCTTCAACGGTGGTTTCGTGACATTTGTCTTCGCTACAAACAACTTGAGTGATGATCTTGGTAGATTCAACAGTTTCAACAGAAGATTCTGGGCAGTAAGTAGTGTAGACAGTAGTTTCACCACCTGGAGCAGCAGTAGAGACAGTGGTCTTGACAGCTGGGACGGTAGTAGCGACACAGACGTCGTTGGAACAAGAAGTAACAGTGACGATCTTGGTAGATTCTTCTTCAGCACCTTCAGCACCAGAAGTAACTGGACAGTAGGTGACGTATTCAGTAGTAGTACCTTCAACAACAGTTTCAGCAGTAGATGGAGTAGCTTCAACGGTAGTTTCTTCACATTTATCTTCAGAACAAGAGGTAACAGTGATGATCTTGGTAGATTCAACAGTTTCAACAGAAGATTCTGGGCAGTAGGTAGTGTAGACAGTGGTTTCACCGTTTGGAGCAGCGGTAGAGACAGTGGTCTTGACACCTGGGACAGTGGTAGCAACACAGATATCGTTGGAACAAGAAGTAACAGTGATGATCTTGGTAGATTCTTCTTCAGCACCAGAAGAAAGTGGACAGTAAGTAACGTATTCAGTAACGGTACCTTCAGTAACGGTTTCAGTGGTGAGTGGAGTAGCTTCAACGGTGGTTTCTTCACATTTGTTGTCAGAACAAGAAGTAACAGTGATGATCTTGGTAGATTCGACAGTTTCGACAGAAGAAACTGGGCAGTAAGTGGTGTAGATAGTAGTAGTACCAGAAACAGTGGTAGTAACAGTAGTTTCAGCACCTGGGACGGTAGTACCGACACAAATATCGTTAGAACAAGAAGTAACAGTAATGATAACTTCAGATTCAGTGGTAACAGTAACTTCTGGAGCACCAGTAGTAGATTCTTCAGCACCGGAAACAGCAGAAGATTCTTCAGCACCAGAAGTAGCAGCAGAAGATTCTTCAGCACCGGAAGCAGCGGTGGAAGATTCTTCAGCAGTAGAGGCACCAGCAGCAGAAGAAGATTCAACAACATCTTCAACTTGTAAGATAAGGTCACCACCTTCAACAGCGGTACCTTCAGTGTCTTCAATAGAAGCAATGAAGTCGTCAACTTCATCTCTCTTGGCAATTGGGACTTCCTTCATCAATCTCTTTCTGATAGCAGCAGTAGAGTTAGAAGCTGGTTCTTTTTCCAAGTGAACTTGGAACAATGGAGCACCTGGTCTACCGTACAACAAACGGGCTGGGACGTTGATAACTCTACCAGCGTTTCTGATATCAGTGCTGTATTTTTCGTTGTCGATACGGGTGTAGTACCATTCAACATCGTAATCTTCTGGAGAAACAAATCTGAAGGAAACTGGGTATTTTTCTGGGACAGTAAATGGACAAGTACCAGTTTCTAAGTCAACAACATCAACTTGTTTGTTATCAACAATACAAGCGACTTGTTTAGCTACGGCAGAAGTAGCAAATAAGGTGGTAGCAAAAGCAGCAACGGTTGAGAATCTCATTTTCAATCTTATAGTAAGCGAGTGAATAAAATTGACAATTGGTTCACAATGGTTAAAAAAGAGAATAGAACAAATGAAAATATACAGGGGTTATCATATGTTTAAATACTTTTTTTTACCAGCCGTCGAGTGGATAGGATAAACCAAAAAAAATTTTTATTTATATTTTTATTAATATGATTTTGGTGTGATAATCACAAAATACTATTGTTTATGACGTACAAAGCAGGTCGGTATTGACTATACCGTAGCTTTGTTGATTATAAATTTCTTTTTCTTTTTTTTTTTTTTTGCAGTTTTCCATTTTAGCACTTTGCACAGATGCAAAAACAATCAAAATGTATACAAACACAACAATCAACAAGTACAAAACCAGTCAAAATCCCAGATTTGAGAATTCCAGATTTAATTCATATTTGCATGTTTTTGGATCGTACTGCAGACAGGAAAGATTCGGAGAATTACCAAAATAACATACATATTTAAAGGAGGATCGCGACAGTATATATATGGTTCGATAGAAATGAATTCAAGTATACCTACATTTGATGAATATAAGATTAGCGTTGATTGAGAGTACATAACCCCCACACCAGGACGATTGAACTGAAAATTAGAACAAAAAAAAGGATTTTCCTGTCTCCACGAGTTTGGAGCAACGACATCTTGTCTATAATCAACGCAATGGTTACAATAATTTTCTGTCTCTTCCTATTCTTTCTGCCTATCATATTTCACCTCCTCTCCCCCTTTCACCACTTTTGAACACAAAAAAGTGACGTAAACAATGAAAAGAAGGCTTACCGAACTTGCTTTTTGAGTACGTTGGTATATGTTTGTGGTTTAGACAATGTATGATCTAACTGTATTTGTGCATCAACACTTTGGCCAAGAAATTGCAGATGAGATCTTCAAATCGGAGTGATTTTTTATCAGAATTGGTCATCTTAGACACTATCAGAATGGCTATGTACAGTTGATATCAACTATACTACGTTACCTCTTGTCAAAATGACTAGACAACTAGTGAATGATATGTATGGAAGCTCATTACGAGTGTTAGTAACACTGAAGAGTCTTAGAATTGTTGCAATCAGGGTGAGGTTAATTGAGGTTCATATCCATAATGGAATTGCAATCTCACAATCTATTAAAGAATGAAATAATGAATTACAAAAGTAACGTTAGATAAAAGTAGTTGATTTGTAAGCTGAAATTATATATTGATTGGGTATTTCGGATCGAATATTTCAGTAGAAATGGAAATTTCAAAACCTTTTTGATTTATCTCCTGAATGAATAATCTAAATATAACTTTTGGTATCATTCATTGCTCTTCTTCCCCCCCCCCCCAAAGAAAAATAAGAATTTCAAACTTACTAAAAAAAAAGCATTTCTTTGTGATGATAACCACTCGTTTAGGCTCCAAAAAGATATTAGAAAGATGGTGGAACGATATCAAGGTACAAGTGAGTCAATTGTATCGTATTAATTGGTTTGAGATCGATTTGTATTAGGTCAAAGAATTACCAACAGTCGGATTCAATCACCAACAAAATTTCCTCTCTGTATTACGCTAATTGTTGCTCCCAAAAAAAAAAAAAAAACGAAAAATCTTGATCAGCGACGAAGGTATTCCTATTTCCAGATAAAGGACGGCAGTGTCGTGCTGAATTATTTATGTAATCATTCTTAATATTAAAATGACTTTAACGGTAACAGAAACAGCGACAAAACTAATGTAAGGCCAAAACCTACCATTTCTAATTTCAATTTGTTTCATCTGAATATCATCAACTTTCGAATTTCAGATCGACTAATCATCGGAATCTAGTGTTCGAACTCCTATCACTAGAGATACAGAGTTGCATAAACAGTAGTTTTGCATTTTGTTCCTCCCCTCCCCCCTCCTAATATCTCTCAATATTTCTCCACTGGTAGCTTTGCGACCATCTGAAATGTGATCTAGCCCTTGTGAATTATTATATTCTTGTACGTATTGTTTCATTTGGGAGGGAGTGAGTAGACAGTGGTTTTGGGGTTGGGATTAGTGTACGTAGTTGATTAAGCGAATTAAGTTTGTATGCATATACAATCATTAATTGTTCGGTGTTTTATGAGCTCCTCCAAAGCCTTACTGTCTAGATTTATATTAGTCACCTGGTACATCAATGGTTTTAATATGTGCGAATATGCATTGTTTAATTTGGAATTTAGTTGGTTTTAAATATTTTTCTTTTATTTCACTGAACGAACCGGTATTCAATGCAGTCTAATATTAACGAATAAAATCTGGTGATATCAGTTGGTAGTAGATATCCCTCGCTCAATAATTGTAATAGACTAGATTGTATATCAATGCTTTAAGCTAAGGGACAATATGCTAGTTTTTCTATTTTATCTTTATTCTCATCTGTAATAATTCTTGTGACAAGAGTATTATTCTTCATGATTGCTACTTCATGAATGGCCCCCTATTGTTGACTGCTGATATTTTTATTTATCACATTTATTATTTAAAGAATACAATGAACATTCTATTGACTGTAAGATAGTGCGCGTAGTTTGTGCAATTATCTATAGTGGTGGGAGCATGTGTACGTATTGACTATACCCCTAGATAGTAAGTACGAAGTAAAAATAGCAAATCAATATAAGCTTCACGAACCTGACTCCACCAAATGCAAGCTAAGAAATATGTTTGCAGAGTAAACCGTACGATACAGTTACCAGAAGGGAGAAGAGAGAAAACTAATTAATAGGATATGATTAGAAAATGCATGAAATTCATTAAAAAAATATATACATTATGGAAACTAAAGGATTGTTCTTTGACTATTGTTTTTTGATTATGCTATTGTATCTGCGAGTGATCAAAAGCAGTAACGCACTAACCAGATAGGTTGAATCATGAAACAGAGTTGAATGGTTTATCAATACAATCGTTGGGTTATTCAAGTAAAAAAAAAAATAAAGGATCGCCAAGACGATAAATTAAGCAGAAAGAGTTTGCTTATACTTGTACATTTACATGTACTTCAGCAATTTGCGAGTCGAGGTAATAGACATTCACATTACCCAAATTGAAAACTGATTAAATTTCCGTCCTATTAGTGGGCTCCCATTATGAGCTCTGTTGTTTGTGAAAGGTGAATGTGAGTTGCCTCCTTGTTTTTATCTACATTATCCTTCCTTCTTGGCTACGTATTGCATATATATTAAATAATTCTGATTATAAAGCATTGTTCATTGGCGACGAAGGAATTTTGTATTGTTAATAGTCAATAGAATGTTTTTGTGCAGCAATTGCAAATTGTTTTTGAGTATTGTTCAAATTCTCAACCACCCACCCAACTGAACGTCGGACTGGATTTCCACTTTCTTGAGTGCTAATTTCAAATCACACCATCGTGATGGTTACAAACGCAGAACATGTTTGTTTTCAAAATAAAATATTCCCATTTTAGTCTGTGTGGTTCATGAAAAATAAAGGTTCACAAAGAATTGCATTTTGGGAATCTTTCTAAAATCCGATACAGATTAAAATCACTAAAGAAACAAAAACAAAAAATGAGGAAATGAGAAAATGAAATTTTCAGATTTTTCTTTGTACCGTTAATCTGTTTCTGTATCTCTTTTATTAATCCTGATCAGTGGTTTTCACTTCCTATTTCATTCATTCATTCGTACTAACAATTCATCATGTGTACGTTTCATGCTAAATTAAGAGATCACGATGAAATTCACCAAGGGCTTAGTTCATTGAATGTCATTTATTTCACATATCCCCAAACTCAAGAATATTTTGGAACTCTAACCCTCTTTTGAACTAACTAAACTTTATTCCATTTGATGAAAAATCATCCCTTTCTCAGATAGAGGGTGTTAGGGTTATTAAAACCTTTGTTGTTTCTAACCTACTTCCCTACTTCTCTCCCTCCCCCTTTTTTATATTGTAATTATTATTTTTCTTTTACTAACCCTGTTACTTTTAGTTCCCACGTTGACGATTAGGAACCTAGCTATTGTACTGAGAAAATTATATATAACAAAATATAACGCTCCTCCTTCTATGACTCTGCATAAAGTATTCATATTTTATTAGTGTCATGCATGTACCTGATTTCAAAAGAGTGTAGAATTGTGAGACTCTTCTTTTGATAAACGGAATTTTATCTTGATTTGTGTATGCAATACAGACATTTTTCCGTTTTCTTTTTTTTTTTTTTTTTTTTTTTTTTTGGAATTTATCTTTCCATTTCGTTCTATTCAACCACTAAGAGAGCACACATATCGAAATGTTGATTACAAATATTGAAATCCACAATCTATTGTAGTAAACCTAGACTAAGGCCGCTCATTAAAGTAATTGGACTTTATCCATTTGTCAAGTCACGTGAACCTCACACTAAAAACAACAGTAAAAAGTAAGTTTCCTTTTACTTTCTTTTTCCTTTTCTAATTTTGTTTAAAACTTTGTTTGATTTCGCAATGAAAAAAAATTTTGCAACTAACCAGAATGAAATTAATCCAATATAACCATTATGACCAGTGTAATTAATTGAAATTCAAAATTAATCAGTTCATTATGTTCGTAACTATTACAGATAACAAAATATTGGTTTACAAGGAACCGACTTATCCAGTTATATATTCTCTGTTTATTCATTGGTTAATTTTTTTTTGGTTTAGTTTGTGTAATTCGCATTGGAATTGTAAATCGTCAACACAAAGTACATACAAAATCCAATTTTATTTCATACCCTTATCAATCCTACATGATTAATCGGATTGACGACTGATTATCGTCTTGAGGACCGTATCAATGGTTATAATTAATTACATAAAGGATTTACTATGGGAAATCTTGATGTATTGTGAATCCTAATTGAGATTCGTGTATTGGTCTACATAAACAATTTTAAAAATCCAAATATTCTTTTATATTTATTCATAATATACTTAAATTCAAAAGAATATATCTATAAATATAATCGAAACCGAAAATGAAAAGAAAAATATCAAAAACAAAAACAAACACATATTAATCTATATCAAGATAAATAATAGTGAAACCGAAACAATAATAAAAAATCAAGCAATTGAACATGCTTTTAGATCTATGAGATATACAATATACCCAATTAAAGATCAACCGAAAGTAATGCAAAATAATAATAAAATCAAGCCTTCTATAATTCAAGATATGAAAAACCTTTATAACCGAAATATTTGAATGATAAACAATAGTAGAACAAAAATATTAAAAGCAAATTCTCTCAAAATTAACATAATTGAAACAAAAAAAAAAAAATGGGCAAATGAAAATTCAAGAAAATAATAATAATAGAAATGGTCAAAACAAAAGACACTCTTTACTACCTTAGATGAAATATCCCAATGGAATCAAAGCCAATGCCAAAATGGAGACACCTCTAGAAGATGCGCTACCAGCATAACTTGAAATTGCTGGTGAGGAGCCAGTTGCAATAGATGATGATTGAGAAGCTAATGTAGTTCCTGGTGTAGCAACTGAAACACTAACATAGCTTGTAGAAACATAACTAGATTCACCAGAGGTAACAACAGTAGATTGTGGAACATAAGTGACACCTTCAGAGGTAACCAATTCAGTAGCAATAACTTCTCCACCAGAAGCTGAAGATGGACAATAAGTGACATATTCGGAAGTTGTACCTTCAATAACAGTATTGGTGGTAGATGGAGTTGCAATAGCAGAAGTGGCATAACATTTATCACCACTACAAGCAACGACAGGAATTACTTTGCTTGATTCAACTGTTTCAACAGAAGAAACAGGTTGCATGGTGCTATAAGTAGTTTCAACACCATTAACAGTGGTTGTTACACCAGTAGAAACAGCAGGAACAGTAGTTCCAACACAAATAGCTTCACTACAAGAAGTAACTGAAATGTAATCTTCAGTTACGATAGTTGTAGATGGTTTTTGGAATTCAGTACCAACGGAAACACTAATCAATGAAACAGAAGTTTCAACTGATTTACCAGATGAAATAACAGTGGTTTGTGGAACATATGGAACCCCTTCAGAAGTAATAACAGTGGAAGCAAAAACTGGACCACCAGCGCTAGCTTCTGTATTAGCGGATTGAGTTGGTTTGTAGGTAACATATTCATTAGTAGTACCTTCAACAACAGTGGTACCAACTTCTGGAGTGGCAACAGCGGTAGTGGCGAAACAGTTATCACTACTACAAGCAACAACAGTGATGACTTTGGAAGATTCAACGGTTTCAATTGAAGAAGCTGGGTAGAAAGTAGAATAAGTAGTTTTTGCGCCATTAACACTAGTAGTAACCTCAGTCAAGGTAGCTATCACAGTTGTTGGATGACAAATATCATTGTTACAAACAGTGACAGAAACAATTGAGCTTGGAACTTGTTCATTTTCACCAGCAGTAGTGGCAGCAGTAGTTTCAGTGTTAACTGTAACCTTAGAGACACTGACATAAGAAACAGTACTTTGGGTCTTACCACCAGAAGTAATAACAGTAGGTTTTGGAACATAGATTTCACTACTTGAAGTGATAGCACCAGTAACAATGGTTTCACCACCAGTCAACACACTGGTTGTTGGACAGTAAGTGACGTATGTGGAAGTAGTACCTTCATAAACAGTTTCAGTAGTGGATGGAGTAGCACCAACAGTACCGGCATGACAAGTTTGTTCATCACAAGCCCAAACAGTGATATCTTTTGATGATTCAACAGTTTCAATGGAAGATGCTGGACCGTAAGTAGTGTAAACGGTGGTTTCGCCTCCTGGAGCAGTAGTAGTAACAGTAGTTTTAGTACCTGGAACAACGGTTTCATGACAAACATCATTATCACATGCAGTAGCAGTAACGACAACTTCACCACTTTCAGTTTTATCTTCAGCACCAGAAGTAACTGGACAGTAGGTGACGTATTCAGTAGTAGTACCTTCAACAACAGTTTCAGCAGTAGATGGAGTAGCTTCAACGGTAGTTTCTTCACATTTATCTTCAGAACAAGAGGTAACAGTGATGATCTTGGTAGATTCAACAGTTTCAACAGAAGATTCTGGGCAGTAGGTAGTGTAGACAGTGGTTTCACCGTTTGGAGCAGCGGTAGAGACAGTGGTCTTGACACCTGGGACAGTGGTAGCAACACAGATATCGTTGGAACAAGAAGTAACAGTGATGATCTTGGTAGATTCTTCTTCAGCACCAGAAGAAAGTGGACAGTAAGTAACGTATTCAGTAACGGTACCTTCAGTAACGGTTTCAGTGGTGAGTGGAGTAGCTTCAACGGTGGTTTCTTCACATTTGTTGTCAGAACAAGAAGTAACAGTGATGATCTTGGTAGATTCGACAGTTTCGACAGAAGAAACTGGGCAGTAAGTGGTGTAGATAGTAGTAGTACCAGAAACAGTGGTAGTAACAGTAGTTTCAGCACCTGGGACGGTAGTACCGACACAAATATCGTTAGAACAAGAAGTAACAGTAATGATAACTTCAGATTCAGTGGTAACAGTAGCTTCTGGAGCACCAGTAGTAGATTCTTCAGCACCGGAAGCAACAGAAGATTCTTCAGCACCAGAAGTAGCAGCAGAAGATTCTTCAGCACCAGAGGAAGCAGAAGCAGAAGCAGTACCTTCAGTCGATGAAACAGGTTCTTCAGCACTGGTAGATTCTGAAACAGATTCGAAAGAAGTGGATTCAGCAGATGCAACAGATTCAGAACCAGAGACGGAAGAGACAGCTTCCGATGAAGCAGCAGAAGAACCAACAGAACTGGAAGCAGCGACAGAAGATTCTTCAGCAGAGCTAGAAGCAGATTCTTCAGAAGCAGCAGAGGAAACAGCAGAGCTAGAAGCAGCTTCGGAACTAGAAGCAGCAGAAGTTTCTTCAGAAGAAACAGGAGAGCTAGATGCAGCAGAAGTTTCTTCAGATGAAGCAGCAGAGCTAGAAGCAGCAGCAGAAGATTCCTCGGATGTAGAAGACACTTCAGAAGAAACAGAAGCAGATGCGGAATTGGATTCTTCAGAAGAAGTAATAGCGGAAGTTGATTCTTGAGAAACAGATGATTCAGAGGAAATTGGTTCACCTACACTGATATCAGCATCAGGAAGTTCTTCTCCTTCAACATCACCAATTTCACTGAGCCAATCATCAATTTCATCTTTTTTAACCAATGGAACATCTTTCATGAATCTTCTTCTTAAAGCTTCAGTAGAATTAGAAGCAGGTGTTTTTTCTAAATGAACTTGATATAATGGAATTCTTTGACCATATAAATCACGGGCTGGGACTTCAATGATTCTACCTTTGTTTCTAATATCGGTATTGTGTCTTTTACTATTAACAACACTGTAATAATATTCAACATTATAATCATTTCGGGAAACAAACGAGAAAGCAACAGGTAAATTACTAGGAATTGGGAATTTACATGTTCCAGTATCATAATCAACTATTTCAACTTGTTTGTTATCAACAAAACAAGCAACATCTCTACTTGATACCGCAGATATCAAGGTACCTGTCAAAAGTGCCAAACTTGCGGAAAACTTCATAGTTCTTTAGTGGTTGTCAGCAAAGAAGAATAAAATTGTTGGTGATTAAATAAAAATCAATATGAATTCTAAAAGTGGGAAACATGTTCATTAAATACCCTTCTCCAGGAGAGTAATGTGAAAGGGGGAAGAAACTTGGAAATGTTAAAAACCAAAGACCACTGCAATTATGAAATTTTGAATATGTATTTCTCAGCTAAACTCCCCCCCTGTAATAATAGCGCAAGTTGCAAAAATAGAATTACATATGGCATCTAATGCATTATGCACGATACAAAGAACAACGCCAAACAACCAAATCCAAAAGTTCCTATTAAGCTAAAAAAATAACAATAATTATACTGAAATTAACCATGGAACACTTGAAATTCTAACCATGTATTATTGATCCCAATACAAAGTTAGTTCGGATCTCTTATCCGTTCACACTGGCCCTCTATCTTTGAACCCTGTGGCCAGAGATAACCAATCTTCATCTTGATATTTTCTTTTTCATTAATCGTAATTATTTGCAGTATACGAGTAATGTATCATAGTCTCAAAATTTCAAATATAATCATTCGTTTGTAATTATTAGAAAGAAAGGTAACAGTTTCTAATTCAACATTTAGTGCTATCATCATTTCTGCTAGTAATGGTAGTATTTCATCTTTGCCCAGGTCATATTTTGAACATTGATGCATATTATATTTTTGCATAGAAGGAGATGAAATTTTCTCATGTTAGTTGCATAAGGAATATATGATTTTTTAAACAACACCAATTTGTTCACAAATTCACCAAAAAAAAATATGAGATGTGTTTCGATATGTTATGCATAAAAATCAAATTGAGACCGCTAATATCAGAAAACTGACTGTAATTGACCGCCTTTGCACATAGTGGAAAGTATTGTGATAGTCTGTTTATATACTGGTTGTTAAAATGCGACTCCCTTTGTACTAACCTTTTTTTTATTTTTTGCTCTTTGGTTGTCTTGTATTTCCTGTTGTCGTTGATTTTGCGCTGCATTATCAACAAAAAAAAAAAATGTGGTGGTATGAAAGTTCTAAAATTAGAAGAAAGAGGATTCGTCAAGACAACTAATTCAATTCTGTGCTGGTTGGTAATCAAGGAAGGTGGAGAGGGAATGAATGGGATAATTTATCCGTTCAATCCTTATACATTCATTTAATTCTCCTGTATTTTAGCGAATCATTCTAACATAAAATAGATGAAACTGCACCACAATTATCAAGATCATTTCGTGCGTTTCAAGAGATTCTCAACGACAAGCCAGCTAGCTAGCATTTGTTGTAAACCGATCCTCATTTACAAATGTATATATATAAAAAAAGTTCAATCAACTGTAACAGTGAATCAGTTAGAAATAGAGTAACTTGATTTCTAACATTATCAACAGGGTTGGTTTCTTCTGATTATGATCGTATCAGTGTCACAATTAAAAGAAATTACCGTTGTAGATACGTTCGTTCCCTCTTTCATAACCTCAACAAGAATTTTACACATTTGAATTTGTGAATCAATTCTTTTTATCTCCGCTTAACCCTACCTCCCTCTCCATAGTTCGTAAGATTGTAAATCCCTGTAGATCACATTTAATGTCTATTGTTCAATTTTTATTAATTGAATGTAGAATTTACATTTATCCAGTCTCTCATGGAAGTAGATTAGAAAGCAATTTGAGCCTTTTACTCAATCACCTGTTATTCTTTTTAATGTATGCTTTCATGTTGTACTACTTGACATGCACTGCTAGTAATTTTGTAACCAACGCACAACACAGTCCAATATTATATAGATTATGCTTGTAAGAATAGAAATACTTGAGCCATTTGTAGAGGGGATGTATCCCAATGAGGAGTTCCGATAACTTCAATCACTTGCATCTTTTAAATATTTGATTATGACCACTATAATACCCCTTGAACCTCATATTTGCTCGTTTAATTATGCCTACAATGAAAAGGTATTTAATTTTGCATTTTGCATTTTCATAAAAGAGTTACGATCATTGGTGTAGAAAGTGTTTGGATCATCCTATTTCTCCTACTACTCCTTAAACTCATGTATGCCATTAATTAAGTGATATTCAACATCACACCTTTTTTTTTAATTAATATTATTATTATTGAAGTTGTCAAGTATACTTCATATATTGAAGCAGATTAATGCCATTATTTTCTCGACAAACAATAGCAGTAACATTTCATAACCAAAGCAGACGATTCTAGACTACGTATATGATTTCTCATCATTCATCGAGTCAATTCAATTCAATTCATTTGTAATATTACAATTGATTACTATTACTAAATAATTTAGAACAATATATGTGTATACACATACATATATAAAAATAAACCCTTTCTTTAACTATGAACAAAAAAAAAAATAAAAACTACTAATAACAATAATAATAATAACAAATGATAACAAGAATCAGGAACCCAGTTTTAAAGAAGGACAATTAGGAGATATAGATGTCTTTTCTTTTCTTTTCTTTTCTTTTTTTTTTATTTTTGACCTATCTGATCTGTGCTATGTTTATGGATTGAAGTCAGCTAATTGCTTGCCATCTTTCAAACTTTTATCTATATCAACATCATCAACACCTGACCAATCAACATGTATCTTTCGTACATTATTCATATCTGTGTTCTTTAAGAATTTATTTCTTTCTTTATTCCAAACTTCTTGAACGTCTTCAAAAGCTTTGTTCCAAACTTTATCATAAACTTTTCTAATCTTGGCTTCTTCTTGTTGACGAACTTCTTCAGAGGCCATCCATTCCATATGTTTCAAATCATCAGATGAAGGTTCATAGATATGCCATATGACGTAGTGAGGTAAACCAACAACTGAATATCCCATTCTTTTACTTAATTTACCAAATGCTTCAGTTTCAGCATGTTTTTCAAATGAGAATGCAGGGAAATGTGAACCTGTTCTAAAAACTTTTGCTTTGGTTAAAATAGAGACACCACCAATACCATCTAATTCCATTTCAACTTCCGGATCACCATATGGATCACGCAAATAAGCCAAATGAGGTCTCCAAGTTTGATATTCAACATAACCTTCAACAATACAAGCATCTTCGTCTAAAGTTTCAGCCAATTGTAAACCACCTTCACTTTCTTGCCATGAATTCAAATCATAAGGTTGCTGGTTACCTAGCCAATCAGGTAATGGACGCCAAACATTTGGAACAATGACGTCTTTATCATGATGCATCAAATCTTCCAAAATAGTTGGAGGAACGGTTTCAACATCTGCATCTCTCCAATAAACAAAGGAATGATGAGGCTTCAAAGCTACTGACCATAACCAATTTCTTGCTCTAGCCATCAATTTTCTTCTTGGACCTTGTGCAGCAAAACCATGACGATCAGAAAAACCTTGACCAATAGATTGACCAAAATCTTTTTCAAAAATTTCAATTTCTCCAAATGCTAAATTTGGATCCTTTTGAACTTCATTCAAATGTTTTTTCAATTCTCCCATTGTATCATCAGAGGAATCAGAAACTAAAAATGCTAAATCAATTAAATGATGTGGATATGTTAAATTCTTCATATGACCAAAAAACATTGGTAAATGAGCAGCGGCATCTCTCAATGGCACACAAAATAATACTCTTTCATCATATTGCCAACCATTTGCGGAACCTTGATAATTTGCTAAATCAAAGAATTGAACTTGATTACTATCAAATTGTGATAAATTTGGTGCGTAACCATATTTTGAAGTAATCATTTGATTAATTATTGTAAATAGGGATATTATACCAAGTACCACAATGACGATTATAGTTCTTAGGTTATAAAAAAACCCAAAATAATTGGTTGGTTTCAACTTCTTTTCATTATCATCATGATAATCATACGGTGTCACCAGTTGTATAGGATGTGTTGATGTCATCTATCAAATGCAAGAAAATATATATATGAATGTGTGTATGTGTTAAACCAAATCAAACCCAAAATGAAAATGAAAATGATATTACAGTGAATATGATCTGAAATAAAATGAATCAGGAACTAAATGGAGATGATTATTGAAAATGTGAATGATTTCGTTTCTGTCTTTCTTTCACTCTCACTCTTTGATTGTTTGATTCCTATTTGTTAGATTTTTTTTTTCTTTATAAATATACTTCCTTCCACTTCCAAAAACAAGTAAATAGTAGTGAATGAATATTTCTCTTTTCCTGATTTCTATATGAAATGACTTAATGTTTTCAAAAGTTCAACTGAGTAAATGTAGTATCTCTTCTTCCTTGATTGAAAGGAACTAAAATTTTTAAGAATGATAATTGAAAACTTTTGTTGTTCTTTTTTTATTTTTTTTTTCTTTCTTTTTTTTTTTTTTTTTCTCCTGTTCTTCTTCTTCTTCTTCTTGTTCATCTTGGTGGTAATCGTCTGTGTGTGTGTGTGTGTGTGTGTGGATGGGTGTTGTTGTAGTAGTGTGTTAAGAAGAGCAGGCGAAAAAAAAAAGAAAATTTACTCTGAAATTTTGTCACTGGCACACGACCCACTTTACACAAAAGAAAATTTTTTTTACAATACAATACATATCAAGAGGTTATTCACTTGGTTAGTGTTATAACTTGGTGTACCTGTAAAAAATATATATTTCTTTATGTAGTAGTATTGATTTTGTGACCATTCATTTCATTCAAATGTACTGCCTGTTGTTATATTGTTGTGTATTACTCTTGGTAAACGCGTCTTAGTACAACTTTTTTTTTGTTCTTTTTGTCGTTGTTTTTCATTTAAGTGTATATATTTGTTTCTTCTACCCACTTTAAGTAATCTAATAAATATTGACTTACATGACGGATACAACAGATGTACCATCTTGGAACCTTGTTCGGAATACTCTATTGGCATTAGTAAACATACCTTCTTTCAATGAAACAACGATAAATTGTGATCCTTTGAATCTGGTCTTGATAAGATGTCCAATATTTTGGGTATGCGAAAGATCCAATGCTGCATCAACTTCATCTAAAATATACATCGGAGCTGGTTTAAATTGCAACAATGCCATGATTAAAGATAATGCAATTAAGGAACGTTGACCACCAGACAACTCGACTAAACTCTCTTTCCAAACTTCTCCTAATTTAACTTTAACTTCAAGACCTTGAGTAACATCCATCATATTCACCGGAACCAACTTGGCAAATGACCCTGGTAATAAGTCAGAGAATATTTGACCAAAATCAACTGAAACCTTTTGATATGTTGTGTTTAAAGTATCTCTCTTGTACCCATTTAATTTATTGATGGTATTAACAATCTTACTTTTATCCTTTTCAATTGTCTTAACCATAGTTTTCAATGATGCCTCCTTTTTCTCCACATTATCAATCATACTCATGATATTTACATTCACTTTACGTCTCATGCTTTGGAATTTCTCTTGCAATACACTCAACTGTTCTTTACTTTCATCAATGTTGATATTTGGATATTGTTGGATAATATTGTCCACAATAAGACCATCAATAACCCATTCATGTTCACTAATGATTTCATCTAACCTTGCTTTCAAATTCTTCGTGATCCCTTTAGATTTTTCCAACTCATGAGTAATTTTCTGAATCTCCAATTTTGATGAATTTACCACCTCTGCTTTGTGTTTGAGTATGTTTGTTAGCTCATTTATTTCTTCATCTAATCCCAACAATTTGGTTCTTGCATCATCCAACTCGGCACGAACATTGGATAATTCATCTTGCAATCTATCATGATCCTGTTCTTGACTCTTCAATTTGTTGGTTAATTCCTCAATTTGTCTTTCACTATTGATAATTGATTCTTGAACATTAACGATTTCAGCCTTCTGTTGCTCACTTTCAACTTGTGCTGCTTGGAAACTATCTGTTTGTCCATCTAGTTCTTTTTCCTTTTTACCAACCTGTTGTTTCAATTGTGCAACTTGTTTCTTTAAATCATTGATTTTTGAACCCTTGTCACTATTGAACTCAGAAATATCCTTTTCAATTCGGGCAATCTCTTGTCTGAACTCATTACATTTTTGTTCATGTTCCTCAATACCATTTGTCAACTTGATTATCTCCTGTTGGTTGGACTCGTTTTGTTTTAAAATCAAAGAAGCTGGATTACTTTCTAATCGTTTCTCTAATAAAGACAATTCATGCTTTTTAAGATTGATTTCATTTTGTATTGTTGTAGTGGAACTAATCAACGAATCCATATGATGCAACTCTCGCCTTACATCATCTAACTCAGCCTCCACTTGTTTCAATTCACCAGCAATTTTATTATACTGACGAACTTTTAACAATATTGTCGAGTTATTTTTTCTAGAACCACCAGAAAGATTCCCTTCTGGGTCGTAAATATCACCTTCCAAAGTAATAGATCTCTTTTTAATCTTGGGATCAAATGTGACGGCTTTGGCCGAATTAGGATCATCACAAATAAAAGTTGACCCAAAAATATAGGCCATAGCTTTGTACAACTCTTCTTCAAATTCAATCAAGTTAAGTGCAAGCTCCACTTTATTTGGTGCTACTTGTTTAGCATAATCAATGACTTTTGGATCAATAGTGCGCGACGAAATCTTATCCAAAGGAATAATAGTTACTCGTCTTCTTAATCTACCCTTTTCTAATAATTGTGAAGCAACAGCACTATTGTCAACAACAACATTATATAATCTGCCACCAGCACATACTTGTAACGCAAGTGCTTTGTTATGTGCACTATCAGGTAAGTTGAACAATTGAGCAACAACTCCTCTCACTAATTCATCCTTAAAATCAGCAGATGGTCGACTATATTGGAAATCCAAATTACTGATATCTCGTTTCATATAATTCAAATCCAGATTCAACTTATTATGTCTTGTAATCAAATTTGATTCCACGTCTCGAAGCTCACGGATTTTCGATGGCTCAAATCCTAATTTCGAATCTATTTCCGTTTGCTTATCCAAAATAAATTCACGGTGTTTTTCAATGGATGACAAAAGGGATTCATTTTCTGTTTTTGCTTTGACCAATTTCACTTGATCACTGCTAATCTGTTGATTGAGATGCTCAATTTTCAATTTGGAAGTTTTGATATAGTTTTCAGAAGAATTCAAATTTTCCTTGGCTTCGTTAAGTTCACCAGTATAGGCACCAGCTGTATTACCCTTTGATGATATACCAGTAGACAAAGTGGATAACAACTCTTGTTTCTTCGAAAATTCCTCTTTCAATTTATTTAACTCAGCTTGATGCTTTTTATACTCTTGTTCATGATTGCTAAAACTATCTTCATTCTGTTTTAGTTGATCCTTTAATTGTTGTAGTTGTTTTTGCAATCTTTCATGTTTCTTCCTTTCATCCTTCAAATTTTCCAAGGTTATATCCCTGGCAGTATTTAGTCTTGTCAACTCGTTTGATAATTGATTTTCTTTACTTTCTAAGTCAGCCAAGTTGCCATCTGTTTTCAAATTTTCTTCCTTTTTAGCTTTTGCTTGGTTTAAATCCTCATTCAAATTTTGAATCTCGTGGTTCAATTTATCAATTTCCAAATGCAAGGCATTAACTCTATTTTCATGTTGATTCAAATAATTTGATTGATCCGTGAAATATTTGGATAAAGATGTGTAATCATAAGCAGCTATTATTCTGGACATTTTCTCCAAATCGATTTGAGTTTGTTGATATTCAAGGAAATTTCTCTTTTCATTCCTAAGTTTCTCTAGTTTTGGTTCGATTTCTTCTTTCAATAAATTCCTAATCTCTGTCAATTTTGCTTCCTTTTTAGCCATGGTTTTTTGAGCTTTATCTTTTCTCTCTTCAAATGTTCTAGTACCAGCTGCTTCTTCAATTAAGGATAATATTTCTGAAGGTTTCATATTTAAAACTTTGGTGATTTTCCCTTGCATAATAAGAAAATTTGGATTATTGATATTTAATTGGACTGATTGGAATAAATTCAATACTGTTTGTTGTTGAGCTTTATGACCATTAATTAAATATTTAGAAGTTCCTCCAAGAATAATTTGTCTAGTAACACTTATAGTTGGACAATTCTCAAATCCAATAGGAGATTTAGATACTTCACTATTATTGAAAACAATAGTAACACTTGCTTTAGTAACACCAGCTTGACCTCTTTTATAAATTAAATCTTGTAAATTAGAGGCTCTAACAGTTGACATTGATGCAATACCCAAAACAAAACAAATGGCGTCAAGAATATTTGATTTCCCCGACCCATTCAACCCAGTGATGGCATTAAATTGTGAATCCCATCCTGAAATCACGGTACGGGCCGCATATGATTTAAACCCATCAATAATCAATTCCTCAACCTTCATTTAAACCGATTATTGATCTCGTTGTTTGTGTTGTCTGTGCGAGTTCGATTGATTTGTTTTGATTTGATTTCTCTTAATTTTTTTTTTTTCTTGGGTGTAATCGCATCGGTGGTGGTGGTTGTTGTTTTTTTTTGGAAGGAAAACAAAACGCGTAAAAATTGTACAAGTCCGACATTCACGTGAGAGGAATATAAGCACTTGTAACATAAACTTTTATCGTATATAATAAAGAAAATTGATGAACCAGCAAACATGTAGTAATAACTATGAAGCTCTAAATAGTAAATAAAAGTTATGGTGATTATAAGTTATTGTTGAAAGAGGGTGAATCGCTATATCCCCAGTTTATCAAGTCAAATTGAACTACCAAGGAATCACTTTGATCATTATCGAGCTCTGTAAGCTATACTCTATTATTGAGATAATGATAACTCGTGGTCAAGGAAATATCATCATTGCTCTTAATAAACTTACTGCCTCTTTAGTAATTTGGTACAATATATCTACAAAATCAAACAAAAAAAGGTTTATCAATGTTCTATTTTAGTAAATACAATGCTTAAAGCTACAATAGAAATATAGTTAAGCTTTCAAACACGATTCTTCAATCTTTATACTTTCATCTTCTTCTCTTCTCCTCAACATAAAAGAAGAAGAAGAAGAAGAAGGCGTTTTTAAGGAGAATATCGTGTTTTTCTCCAGACGTGCACGACCACCAAAATTTTTCTTATGAGAAATAGACTTGGAGGCTGTACTTTTATTTATTCATCTACTTATTCTTTTTCTTATCAACAATAAATAAGAATAGCAATCATACGTGGAACATGTTACATTGAGTGTACTAATTAGGAAGAGATTCATTCAAAAGTGGTTATCTATTACTTATTTGTCAATTCATAGTGGAGTGCAATAAGCTTCTTAGCTTTTACTTGGCAAGTACGTAATGGAAACCTATGTCAATTATCAAAATCTAGATTTGGGTTTAGTTTGTAGTCTGTTATTAAGGTTATTGGGATTATGTAATCTCAATTGCATATCAAAAATGGCAATGCAAAAACAGTACTCTTGTGCATATTCCAATGACTAATCATTTGGGAAAAGTTTTTTGTACACCTATTTCATTAGCGACACTCAAATATTATAAGGTCATTTCAACTTCTCCTCTATTCTCATCCTCCAGAACCATCTGATTTCAGAATTGCATGAGAATTTCAAATTTATCTGCAAGTGATGATTACACGATCCTAATTAGATCTAACATGCATCGTACATGACGCATATGCAAGTAAGGACATGAACAAACTCTTCCGAATGCCAAGATAGATGAATATTTCAAACTCACAAAAATTGCAAATTTAAATCCGAATCCGAAAACTACAAAAACTAAAAATGGTTTAGTTCATTTCACGTGAGTTATTTTTTATTTTTAGCTATGTCTATTTCCATCGTTGAACTTCATCTTTCTTAACGATGACTAGTTTATTGTTATCCACGTGGAATAAGTTTACTACTGGACACCAAGAACGATCGACCATTGTTTCCCCGTAACTATATGCTTAATTGAAAAGCATTATCTACATATACTTGAGATATATATCATTCTATGCATATGTTTATTCTACTATCAACTTTATGCCTATACAAGCGATGAAATTTCCAGAGGTCATACTATGCGTCAAAGGCGACTATGCTATGTCGGAGATTGAACAACTTTCTCCAATTTTTTTTTTTCATCGCGGTGATTGTTTTTGTGAACATAATATTGTCCGATAGATTCCTCCATGATAGTGAAAATGAATGGTTTGATGATAGAGAAGCGATGGTGACATATTGAGAAAGGAACACAGTCGACCTCCACAGTAGTTGATTATATAACAATAGAACTTCTTCAAAATTAACTTTTCTTGTTCATTCTACTTGCAAAGTCAAAAATATCTTTCAACTAGTAGTGTATTAGTAATGAGGAATGGTTACACATTTCTTTGAATCTTAAAAAAGTGTACAAATTTACAATTTGAGTTAAACTTTAAACAATTCCAATTTTTTTTTACATTTTAGTCAAGTTTAAAATAAAAATCTTGAACGAATTGAATGAAATTATCATTACACTGGCATTTTTGTGTGCGTATACTCCTCGATGGAATCTAAATTTGCAACTATGTTAAACTCGCATACAATGCTTACATGGATTGGATGATATGATCAAATATCCTCTTCTATTTTTTTTTCAACACTATAGCAAATATTTAAACGATTCAAAATCCTTCACCTTGTAAATGATGGTTCTTTAAAAATTTTTCAAAAATAAATTGATTTTGAATAATACCTATTGTCAAGAATATAACATATTTTTTTGATAATGTTACCTTCACTTTTATGGGCATTTCTTGCCACAACTTTCGCTACAACTGTATTAGGTGCTGATGTTGCTTGTGTGTTGAATGGAGAAACTGTTGATATTGTTGACTATGATACTGGTGTTTGTACATTCACCATTCCAGATGAATATCCAGCTTATGTCAACTTCTATTCTGATGAAGAATTCGATGCTTACTACTATTATATTGAAGTTGGTGAAAACCAAAATACTACTGACATTTATGAAAACGGTAGAGCAATTGCTATTGATGCTAGAGTTTTAAATGGTGAATCTGCTCAAATTGTTCAAGTTTATGTTAATCATCTTCAAAATGAAACTGATTCCAGTGAACCATTAAGAACTGGTAGTGAATTGACTGATGAAGACAAACAAATCTTTGAAAACCATGATGTTGCCGATGATGACACTGATACTCCGCTTGATCTTATTGTTAGTATTCAAGAAATTGCTGAAAGCTCCACTGAAGAAGCTACTGAAGAACCAACTGAAACTTCTACTGAAGAACCAACTGAAGAACCAACTGAAGAACCAACTGAAGAACCAACTGAAGAACCAACTGAAACTTCTACTGATGAACCAGCTGAATCTTCTACTGAAGAAGCTACTGAATCAGATGAACTTTCTGGTGTCCCAACTGAAGAGCCAACTGAAGAATCATCTGCAACACCTTCTGGCGAATCAACCGAATCATCTGAAGAATCCACCATTGCTCCAACTGAATCAGATGAAGAATCTACTGAAGAACCAACTGAAGAGCCAAGTGGTGAACCAACTGAAACTTCTGCTATTCCAACAGCATCCGATGAAGAATCTACTGAAGAAATTTCTAATGCTCCAACAGCTTCAGATGAAGAATCTACTGAAGAAATCTCCAGTGTTCCAACAGCATCAAATGAAGAAACTTCTGGCGAACCAACTGTATCCGATGAAGAATCATCTAGTGAACCAACCGAAGAACCAACCGAATCAGATGAACATTCTACTGCTGAGACTAGTGAATCAGATGAACAATCTACTGCTGAACCTAGTGAGTCAGATGAACAATCTACTAGCGAACCAACTGCATCTGATAACGAGTCAACTGAAGGACCATCTGAAACTTCTACACCATCTGAAACCCCATCTTTGGTTGCATGTTTGATGAATGATGAAACTGTTTCTGTTGTTAGTTACGCTACCGGTGTTTGTACATTCACTATCCCTGATGAGTACGAAATTTTCTTCAACTATATTTCCAATAATGAATTTGACATCCAATACTACTATGCTAGAGTTTCTGGTAACCAATACACCAATAACATTCGTAATGCTGGTAGAACTCTTTCAATCCCAGCTAGAATATTGTTCAACTTAGTCCTGCAAGTTCATCAAGTTCATTTACAAGAACCAGCTTCAAGTTCCTCATCTGGATTTGAAAAAAGAGATGAAATTGATGATTTCCTTGACTCTGTTCTGGATACTGATGGTACTCCTGTTGACATTAATCTTTCTGCTGTGGCTGCAGACGATGAATCTTCTGTTAGTGAATCTGGTACTGAATCTGGTACTGAATCTGTCACCGATGTTGAATCCGAATCTGTTAGTGAAACTATCCAACCATCCGAATCAGTATCTGAAACAGAAGACCAAACTAGTGAAGAAACTTCATCTGAAAGCAGTGAACCATTTGAATCCGAATCTGAAACTGCATCTGCATCTGAAACTGAATCTGCATCTGTTTTTGAAACTGAATCTGCTACTGAATCTGATGATGAAGTCACCACCATTAGATCTACCAGCATCATTACTGAATCTGTTTGTTCAGATGAACATGTTTCTTCAACTATTGAAGATAATGCTGCTGAAGCCACTGGTACTGATGATGCCGATACTGAAGCTACTGGTACCGATGATGCCAATACTGAAGTCACTGGTACTGATGATGCCGATACTGAAGCTACTGCTACCGATGATAACAATACTGAAGCTACTGGTGCCGATGATAACAATACTGAAGCAACTGGTGCCGATGATGAAACAACTAACAAAGGTACTGTTGCTGGTACTACCCACAAAGACACTTCAACTGTTACTGGAACTGAAATTGTTACTGTTACATCTTGTAAGAATGATGCTTGTCATGTTACAACTGTTCCAGGTACAGAGACTACTGTTACTACTACAGTCAATGGAGTTGAAACCATTTATACCACTTATTGTCCAGTTTCATCCATTGAAACAGTCCAAGAAAGCAAAACCATCACTGTTATTGCTTGTAAAGAAGACAAATGTCATGAAACTACTGCCGTTGCTGTTCCATCCACAGTTCAAGAAGTCGTTGAACAAACCACCACTGTTTACATTACCTATAAACCAGTTTCTACTCCTGCTGATGAAACAATTGCTACTAATGTTGTTACATCTGGAAGTGGCATTTATGTTCCAGTTCCAACTGCTATTACCTCAGGTGAAACAGTTGTTGAAAGTACTGTGTATGTCACCGTCACAAAAATTTCTGATACACATCCATCAACTATTGGTGCTCCATTACCTCCTGCAACTATTGCCGAAAATCCAGAACCAGTAACTCTTATCTCAGAAGGTACTACTATTCATACCACTGCTGTTGGTGAAGGTATTTCCCCAGGTAGTACTGTATACACTATCCTCACTGGTGAAACTTCTGTCAGTCAACAAGTTCCTAGTGAAACAATTGCTTCTATTTCTACATTCACTGGTGGTGCAGCATCTAGAAGTGTCTCATCCTTATTGGGTATGCTTTTGATTCCAATTCTTTACCTCATCTAGGGGATTGATATAATCTTTCTTTTCTTTATATTATTATTTGATTTCATTTCAGTTCATGTGATTTTATTTTCTTTACTGTGATTTTTCTTATTCACATTGTTTATATTTATACCGACCATGGTCGTGGTCAAAGAAGTTGTTTGCTTTATTTTCGGTTTCGTGCTTCCTATTTTTCGTGCTAAGATTCTAATATATTCCATTAGCTCATCAACTATTTATTTTCGGTCTGTTAGGTATACCTAATTATATTATTATTTCGGTCTTAATTCTGTATTGTAATTTCAATATATATCATTATTTTTATATGTTTTAATGATTAGAATCTTCTTCTTTAAATTGCGTCATATCAATATTTGAACACACGTGACGCGGCAATTTATTACCGACATCCATCTCTTTAAAACGAGAGGTTTTTTTTTTTGGCATTGCGCTAGATTTCCTTTTTTTATCCATACTTCATTATACAATACAGCAAATATAAGTACATACAACATAGGCAATCATGCTACAAATAAGACGCATCCCTAAGGAATATACAACTATTGTACTTCGAAGTAGCTATTCATCTTCAACAAAGAAGATACGAATACCAGACTGGAGAGCCAGGGAGAAACAGCCTTCAAATAAAGCACCAAAGATAAACCATTCATTCAATGGGGATGACTCTTTCTTCAAGGACTTGTTTCAAAACCGACCAAAAATAGTAAGGACAAATATAGGAGAACAATCTAATGTTGAGGCACTTAGGAAGCTTATAAAGAATAAGCCAAAGATAACTAAACCTACAGATATGTCAGAAGTGAAACTTGATCTTTCAAAATCAAATAAACAATTGGTGAAAATGATTCAAAATAAATCACAAAAGAACAACAAAGAAAGATACGATATTCCATCTGAAGATTGGTTGAAGAATTTTTCTGAATCCGAAATTAAGGAAATTAGTAGGCTTTTCAAGAAATTGGCAACAACTGCAAAAGTATCAGGTAAATCTATGGACCAACCAATAAGTATTGGAGATTTGGTTACTTTGGGTACGGAAAATTTAAGACTATATATGGTTGTTGGAACTCCCAAAATCATTTGATTCAAGGATTTGTACATTTTTAAGTGATAAGGGTGAGATTATTTTTACTACTTTTCACAGTATCGGTTATAGATTTTCAGGAGTTATCCCCGAGAAATTTCATGATATTTTGAAAAAGTTTATTGTTTTAGAAAAGAAATATCTAGATACTACACCAGTGGGTGTTCCAGATGCAAAGTTTTCTAAATCGAATGATGCTCTTCCAAAGGAATTACAAGACGAAAATGCAAGTGGTATAGTTGAAGAAGGCGAAGGAGAGGAGTCTGAATATGAACCAAATAATTTAATTGTTCAGCAGGCATCTTCACAATTGTTAACAAATACTGATGTTAGAACATTTATTGTTCCTCTTGTTGCCAGATCAATTTATAAACAAGCGTTGATTGATATTTCAAATTTATCGTCAGATAAACTAGGCTCAATGAATTTGTTATTGGAAGAATTACACACCGAGTTGCAATACGATGACCATGGTCAATTAAATGCACCACGAACTATATCAATATTTGAAATTCTTTACCGATTGAAGTATGTTGGTCCAGATAACAAGACAGACCTGAATCTAGGTAAATCACTTAACAATGTCAAAGATTATGAAAATATGGAATATCCAATAACCGATGTTTTGGCATTACTTGCATTATTGAAGGTTCAAAGCAAACTTTGGAAGATCATACCAGCCAAATCATCCTTCACACCAACAAAAGTAAGAATTTCATCTGTTGCACAAATATCAGAAGAAGATAGACTTTCGAAATTCTTAGCATCAAACAAAGGAATGGATGAAATAGTGAAGAGTTTCAAATTTTCATTAACTGGAAAACAAATCAGCAAGAAAAACATGAAACAGTTTAAGGATATAGTAGCCTTGATGAAGGAGTATATTAACGATAGATTCAAAGATGATAATGCTATGTCGACTCAGGTAAATTCAGTGATTAGAAAGTTAGACAAGTTGTTAATTGAGTTAAAAATCCCAATTGATGAACTTTACAAGAACGAGTACTCGAGTGGAAGAGCATATGATTTACTTACAAAGTTAAATAATGGTACAAATTTTAATCCATTATTGTGGTCCAAAGAAACAGGAATTTCAAATAAATCACCTTCGGTTGATGTTTACTCCAAACAAAAAGTATACGAATACTTTGATTCTAGAGATGACTGTGAGGAAGATAAGTTACTCAAAATCAGCATGGAGGCAAATTTTTATTCAACTGATCCTTTGAAAGATGTCCGAGAAGATATGAAGGACACCGCGATCTACTGTATTGATAGTCCAAATGCTCACGAAATCGATGATGGTATATCCATAGAAGAAGATGGTGATGAGTATGCAGTGTCGATTCACGTTGCTGAACCGACATCTTTCATCAAGCCAGATTCAACTATAAGTTCAATTGCATTTGAGAAGGCTTCTACTACATACATGCCTGATGAAGCATTTCCAATGTTGCCAAAGGTAATTTCAGATATGGCTGGTTTGGGTATACCAGATAAGGATACACGTACATTTGTAGTACAATATCGAATTGAAAAACAATTGCTAGATGAATTTATAAACAAAAAACTCGAGTTGGCAAACTATACACCATCAGAAGAGTTACTCCAAAAGATTGAAAAACAAATAAACGCAAAAAACAAGATTTTTTTTGCAACAACAAGGAATTATCGTCAGGGATTTACTTATGATAAGGTTAACGAGGTGCTAGCAACTAAAGAGTTGAGAGAACAATACAAATTGACCGGAGAAACAAAAGATTCTGATTTCAACAATTTAATCAAATTGGAACATATTTCTTCATTACTTATGTCAATCAGAAGATCAAAGCATGCATTTATCCATGCAAATTCTAATTCTCAAGTCTATGTTGAAAAATCAGATACTTCTTATACTGAATCAAGTTTTGAACGTACCGACGAGAATAAGCTTATTATTGAGCTTGCAAATTCCCTGGATGCTATTATTATGAGCCAATCGTCTATAACCGGAGTTTCAACCTTATTGGTTTCAGAAAACATGATTATAGCCAATTATTTGACTGCCAAATTTGCTTCAGACAATAATATCAAGATACTTTATAGATACCTTGATCCAAATTTCAATGAAGAACTTGTCAAGGAGTATAATGATATTATGAAGGAACAAGATTCTACAGGTACTGATCAATTGGTTCAAATGTATTCATTTTTTACCAGAGGTGCAATTACAGACAAGCCAAGAAAGCACTTCCTTATGGGATTATCAATGTATTCTAATATCACATCTCCATTGAGAAGATATATCGATTTAGTGAACCAATGGAAAATTCAGGATTATTTTTTGGATAGGGTTACAGTCGCAGATGAGAGTATTCCAGGAATTGTGAGTTACTTGAATGGTCAAAATGAAGTAATTAGAAATAACCAAGAAAGGGCAACATCCTTCTGGCAAGGTTTGTTTTTAAGAACATATCGTGACAAATTGAATGAAGGTGGTGTTGATAAACCAATAGATTTTAAGTTAAGACTTGTTACCAGTCCTAAGAAAGGAGCAAGTGTGAGTGTCTACATGCCAGATTTCAAAGGAATCAAGGCACATGTTGAGGTTTCTCCAGAATTGTTAAAGGATGTTGAAAGTGAGAAACTCAAAGTTGGTGGAATCTTGGATTCCAATAGATTACGCATGAAACAAGTTGATTTCTTAGAAAACGAGGTAATCTTTGAATACAAGTAGAGAGAGAGAGAGTTAATATTTAGAAATGTAAATAGATTGTAATAATAAATTTAATTTGTACATAAGAAACGTCATTATGAAAAAGAAAAAAAAAATAAAGATATACTAATAATGATGCAAAAAAAAACAGTAATAAACAGGAGTGAAAAGAAAGTGTTTTCAAGTAACCAGGACTCTACATTAAACCTAAGCCCATTTACCAAGGAAAGCCATAATACCTGCTCCCAAACTGAACAGTAAAAGGGCCAAAACCAATAATTTCATATCCTTGTCTCTAAATTCTTCAGAATAAATGAAATCGGCAGCCATTAATTCAGAAACCCCACTATAGATTAAAACACCAGCACAAGCAGCATTGAAAACACCAGTAGTAATCAACCCAGTTCTTGATTCAACAGAATAAGTTTTTCTAACTCCTAAACCTCCAGCCATTGCAACTGGGGTAGCTAAACTAAAAATAAATCCCAGCAACCAGGGGACATAGTTATATTTCTTTGGCCATTCAAGACTGGCAAATCGTGTACCCAAACCCATACCTTCAAAAAATTGATGGAAACAAATAGCTATATATAATGTGATAAATTCATTTCCTGACATGGCTAAGGATAATCCAACAAATACTGAATGAAATACAACACCGGCTTCAAGAATAACACAATTCAACATTCTTTTCATTAAAAGTTCTTTTGTGTAAAATTCATCAACCATATGGGATGGACCATTTTGTTTTTTGAGATCCAGCTCTAAATCTTCATTAAGTTTATGGTCAGTAACATCAGTAATAACATCAAGATTATCATTGGATTCACTTTCACTACAACTACCGTCTCTAAGATCACTTTGAAATTTCTTGTGGGCAATAACATCAAAGACAAAAATGGTAAATAAAGACATAAGCACTATAGCTTGAGCCCATGGATATTCCACCCAGGTACCTCCCAAACAAGGTTTAGTTAAAGTAGCACTTGTATCTACTAATAAATGAACAAAAGCAGTTGATACAATAGCTCCACTACCAAAATATCTAGCAAGGAAGAAAAACCAAGTTGGTAATTTAATTCTTTTCCATTTTGCTGCAATTAATGGTAAAAGTGCCCCTGCAGCAGAAAGAGCAAGTAAAACAAAAACGGCAGAAATTCTAACCGACATATGACTATCAACATCGACACTGCCATACTCCAATAAGCAAGCATCCTCTTCTCGTGGATTAATTTGAACGTTCATTGATATTGTTTTGTACGTTATAAAATGATTATATTATTGTGATTAATCAAAAATTAGCAATTGATAAATATAGTTATATACAAATGAAATCTTCCAATATTGAAAAAAAAAATTCATTAATCATGGCCATTGATCTTGATTTATATAGATAATTCGACAATTAGATAACCGTCGCTTTCCTAAAAGGATCAAATATTAATCAAAAATCTTATAATTGATATTCTTCAGTTATAATTAATGATACAGAAGTATTGCAACCAGATGAGATAATTTTATTATTTGTGGTATTTAAATATCACACCACATATTGATATAATCAGATTGATCAAAATTATGACGAAAATTTATAGACAGAATCAATATGTTACCAGCCGTATATGAAATAACTTATTCTATATTTACGTCATAATGAGAAAGTTCAATTTTTTTATTTGTTTGTTTTTTTTTTTTTTTTTTTTTTAACAAAGAAATCATCAACTGCTTCAGGTCTAACTTATCATTGAATATATTCTTTGACTAAAAAGCGAATCCCGGAAAAGTCAGCCGTCCTTGGTACACTTTCTATTTCTTTCTTTTTATTATTATTTGATTAATTTATTACCTTTATAATTTTTTTTTTGCTTTTTTCGTAATCGGTAGTGTAGAGGGTCGTGTCCTGTGGTCAATTTCTGCGACAACAAAACTGCAAAATGGTTAAAAGGAACAATTAAAAGTAATGAATCTACAATACATATTTGCTTTAGAATTTACCAAGAAATATTTCCATTTAATTAATTAATTTATTCAAAGAACAATAGAATTTGTAATATTCTAGGCTATTTAAAATAATAAATATACATTCAAGAAGAAGTAAAAGAGAGAGAGAGAGAATAAAAAAATAGAATAATAATAATATAATATCACGCCAACTGATCATCATCTTTTATGTCCAATTTCCGATGATGGCCATAGATAATGCTCCTAATCCTAATATGAAAATACCCAGCAACATAGATCTGATGCTTTTAAACTCTGAGGCGTATATGAAATCGTATCCCATCAATTCGGCAACACTATTATAGATTAATATCCCACCGCAAGCTGCATCAAATATACCGGAAGTTATTAATCCGTTTCGTGACCCAATAGAAAATGAGTTCCTAATTCCTAAACCAACCCCAATGGCCAACGGAGTTGATAAACTGAAAATTATTGCCATAATCCATGGAAGGTACCAATACTTTCTTGGCCATATTATATCAGCAAATCTTGTACCTAACCCCAACCCTTCAAAAAATTGATGAAATGAAAGGGCAATATATAACGTAGTGAACTCTGAGTTTGAGACGGCTAAAGATAATCCTATGAATATAGAATGAATTACAATACCACATTCTAGAATTATACAATTTAACATTTTTTCTTTGGATATTTCAGTAGTTGTAGTTGATTCCGCATTAGAAATTTCTTCTGTGTATATGTCTGGGGACTTTTTCTTTATTAAAGATGGACCAGTCAGAGCATTGCAACAACCCAATAATTCTGATGTTTCCTGAACTTTATTCATTACTGATTGATCCTGTAACTGTTTATGAGCCAAAGCATCAAACGTAAACACCAGAAATAAACTCATCAATGCAATTGCTTCTGCCCAGGGATAATCTTCAAAGGTACCTCCTATACAAGGATCAGTTAATGATTCCAGAGCATCAGCTAATAAATGAATAAACCCAGTAGAAAGAATAACACCACTACCAAAGTATTTGGTGATAAAGAAGACCCAATTGGGAGGTTGAAATTTTTTGCATCGATTTGAAATTAATGGGAAAAATGAACCAAGTGAGGATACAACAGCTATGACAAAAATAGATGAAATTCTAATTCCCAAATCATTATTTATATCATGGTTATATGTATAACATGTGTCTGTTCTTTCTGTAATTAATATTCTATCCATTATTAGTGTTGATGTATGAAAAATTCCATTGATCCTATGGATTTAGCAATGACTTTATATGTAGAATAAAAAAAAATGTTCTATAACCATTACTGTTACAAACTAGAATAATAAAAAAACAAGTTACAGTTATACATAAACATTCAATGACCTTGAGGAATAACCATTACAAATATTAATGGTTACCACTGAGGTGTTGATGAATTTGATCACCAGGGTGTCTTGAGAATTACACAAAATCATGCTTACGTAAGAACACGACATAGTGCGTGTAAACTGTACCAATCCTTAATAATGGAGAAAAAAAAATAACAACAATAAACTACAAATCAAAACAAGCAAGATTCTAACTAATTAGTCAATACAATCTAATCATCATTATCAATGACAGACGAGGAAACGGATTTCCCATCGATTTCACTTCAGAATTCATTTATTTCCACACTAGACCATTTACCATGTGATATTGTACGATCTTTATGGCTAATACAATCATGTAATATCAAGATTGAAAATTCCAAGAAAGAGATCAATGAAATACTATCGCAACGCTATAACTTAACACCAGGGAGTCAAAAACTAATCAGATTGTATGAATTAAAGAAAACAATACGGCATTTATCCAATGAATCAATACAGGAAACAAAAGCAATGAAGAATCAATTAATTACTCATAAATTGAATTTATTACAAGAAATGGAACAATTAACTAAAATTGAAATTTTCAGAACCAACAATGATCAAATAGATGAATGTGCAAGAAAAGAGTTAAGAGAACAATTAAAGAAGCATTACCTTGAAAATCCATTAGCTTCACAGGTGGAAGCAGTTAGGGAACAGAACAAGGAGAATGAAACAAAAACAGAAATAGAGACAGAAAAGGAAAATGAGAATGAGAATGCTGATGAAATACAATCAATATTAGAGATTCCACAACAGGATAAAGTAGAAAAACCTACTGATAAAAAAGTAGTCAAGAAGATTGAAACCAAAACAGAAACAAAGGATGAAATCAATCCAGAGACCAAGGACGAAGCGGTACCAAAGACTAAGAAAAGAAAATACAAAAAGTCAAAGGTTATTTCAAATGAAGACGACGATTCTGACGAAGATGGTACATTATACTGCTTCTGTAAACAAAAATCCTTTGGTAATATGATATCGTGTGATAATGAAGATTCTTGTATTAATGGAGAATGGTTCCATTACAAATGTGTTGGTTTATTAAATCGTGTGGATGCATTGAAGTACACCACTGGGAAGATTAAATGGTATTGTTCAGATAAATGTAAAGAGATTGCCGAATCTAAATCTGAAGAGAAGCCAGTAAAGAAGAGAAGAAAACGTAGAAAGAAGTGGTACAAATAGATTTCAGATTCTGTAAAATTCGATCGCGTTTATATAGATGAAAAAAAAAAAATATATATTTAGCGATGGATCGTAATTAACAATAAAAGATTTCTATTGACTACCAACAACGACTTTACATTTCCTCTTATGTGTGGGATATTATTGAGAGTTTCAAATTCATCAGTGGAGACACCATCTTGCATTTCATGTTTATCAAATGTTGATGGAAAGTATGAACAATGGGATACTCTAGATCCCGAGATAATTCAAAGTTTTCTTGACAATGGATCAAAATTATCACCATTGACTGAACAACAACTATACAAACTTGATAACCTTCCTCTTCTAAGAGAGTTGAATAATCAATTACTGAAGATTAAAAATAATGTAAAAGCTGACCCGGTTGTTAGACAACAACAAATTGACGAAGTTCAAAATCAAATCGACGCTATTTCAAAAGAAGAAGAAATAATCATGGAAAAAGATGATATGAACCAATTAATTTACAAGATTTCAAATCGTGGACCTAATTATTTAAATTATACCGAGTTTGAACATTCTGGATTTACATTTCAATCATTTCTGGCAATTCTTTCATTAAGACAACCATTTACTAAACAACCAATAATTAAAGATCAATTTGTATTACAATTTAACGGTGAATTATATAATGAAGAATGTTTGAATAAAAATGATACACAATATATTATTGATAAATTGCATGAAAATTTGCAATCCAAATCTCGAAACATGGCAATTTTAGAAACATTAAAATACCTCGATGGTGAATTTGCAATTATTCTTGTTGATTTAGTTGATAACAAGATTTATTTTGGTCGTGATTCGGTTGGGAAAAGATCATTATGTTATGAATTGACAGATAATGATCTTATTATCAGTTCTGTTTCAACTGTGGGATTTGTTAATTGTAAGAATGAGATTTATGAATATGATATAAAATCTCATACTGTGGTCAATCATGTTTTACATAAACTTGCAGAATACCAGCAAAACATAAATTCAGAAAAACAGATTGTTATACAGTTATATGAGGAACTCAAAAAATCAGCATTCAAGCGCCAAGATGAAATTCATCCATTACACGAAGAAGAAGAGAAAGACAGGAGTAAATTAGCTGTTTTATTTAGTGGTGGATTGGATTGTACAATAGTAGCTGCTTTAATTTGTGAACATTTGTCTAATCAGTCGATTTCCTCAACTATTGATTTATTAACAGTTGGGTTTGAGAATCCAAGAACAAACCAGAAGAGTAGTAATAGTCCTGATCGTCAGTTAGCTGTTAAATCATGGTTTCATTTGTGTAAACAATTTCCTAAAGTTAACATCCAATTGATTGAAATCAATGTTGATTATAGATCATGGTATTCACATAAACAAAGGGTCAGAAATCTAATGTATCCTTACAACACAGAAATGGATCTTTCAATTGCAATTGCTTTTTATTTTGCATCGAGTTGTTTACCTGATCTAACCACCAAAGTTGTATTAACTGATAAGACTATTTCATGGGACGATTTTCAAACTGATCCATTGAAATATACTACTCGAATCGAAGGGTATGAATCTAATGCAAAGGTATTATTCAGTGGACTTGGTGCTGATGAATTATTTGCAGGATATTCACGCCATGAAGCGATATTCAATTCCAACGGAGGAACTCATGATAATGATGATGAACTTTATCAAGAACTTCAAGAATCATTAAATTATGACATTACAATAATCCACGAACGAAACCTTAGTCGTGATGATAGAGTGGTTAGTTGTTGGGGCAAAGAATTAAGATATCCTTACTTAGATGAAGGATTCATTAATTGGGTGGTTAAAAACATCCCACCACAATTGAAATTCAAATATGATTATATTCCAAGTAAAAAGAAAGCCAATAAATTGATTTTCACCGCGGTTAGAAAATATATTCTAAGACAATTAGCGGAGTATCTAGATATGGGATATGTATCTCAAGAATTGAAAAGAGCTATTCAATTTGGAGCAAAATCAGCCAAACTAAATATTGGAGATAGTAAAGTGAAAGGAACCGATAGTTTATAAACAATTGATGGTTTTTGATGATGATCCCTGTGTGGCGCGTTAAAACATTTCCTGATTTAGAAAATTTCTTCTATGGGTAAACAAATTTTTTCTCTTGTTCCCCAACCTTAATATAATCATCTTGTGATAAAGTAACACCAGAACAAGGGGGGAGGGATTGGAGAAATAGTATCAAGATTTATAGATAACGATGTAGAAGTATAAATAGACAAGTGAATCAAAAGAAGATGTATTCTTTTTTTTTTTATTTTTACATAATATCATCTTCTGTATAATTTACTACGTATTTTCATACATATTTTTGCAACCATGAGTAGTGGACGTTCATCATCATCTTCATCCAGTCTTGTTTTAAATGATTATCTTGCTGCACTAGTTTTAATATTTGTTGGTTTACTAGTAGTGGTAAAGAAATTAGATGGTATTACTAATGAGTTACAAACATTGAATGCTAATATAAAAGTGTTAACAGCATCAAATTAAAGCTCCCCATAGACAATGACAAATGTTAAATAAATAAATAAATAAATAAATTGAATACACACATGTTATATAAACAATTCTATTCTAATCAAGCCAATTTATCAACCCATTTTGGTTCGATTACTAATACTTTACATTGGGCTAATAAGTTTTCTGGTTTATCAATAGTTAAATCGCCATCTTGTGGAATACCTTCATCAACTTTATAAACTTCACCTCTAACCCAACATTTTCTTCCTTTTTTCTCTAAAATAGTACATTTAACCATCATATATTGATCAGCTAATGCAGGTTGTTTATAATCAATATTTAAGTTTGCAGTAACTCCTTTACGACTTTCAAAATTTAAAAATGCTAATCTACAAGTAAGTTCATCACCTAAAGTAGCAGTTATACCACCATGAAGAACACCTAAATGAGACGTTAAGCCATTACCTAAATGGAAAAATGTAATTGAATAATTATTACCTTCATAATCTTGAGGAATATCTTTATAAATTTCTAAAAATTTATCTTCAATGAAATACATTGTTGGAGTTCTAAGATTAATCTTATTATCACCAACCAAAGTAACTCCTGTAAAATTTGGAGTTAATTTTTCATTAATACTAAGTTTTTGAGTATGAGTATTAGTGAAATCAATATATTCTTTTTGAATTTGAACAAATCTTGGATTGGATTGTAATCTTGACTCAAAGGAGATATCAGGCGAGTTGACTAAAGTTGGTGGGGCAGTCATGATATAGATCACAAAAAAAAAATATATATATAACGGTTGATGAAATAATGAAAAATTGATGCAAACAATTAAATGATAATAATAACAATAATGATAATAATAATAATAATAATAATATTAAAAAAAAAAAAAACCTAATCAGTAATCAAGAGTGGGAAACGGCTTGTATTTATGTAGTGTTTGTGGTACGGCAGATGAAAATGTAGTTTTAGTATTATCAAAAATATGATTTGATATCAATTTTTTTTTTTTTTTTCACTCTGCATTAAGATAAACAATACAAATGTAACCCTTTCCATTTTAAATTATCACCGAATATGTAATACATTCTATGCTTGATTAAAGATGGTATGGGGAAAAGGAAGATATTTTTCTTCATTTTAAATTATGGCGCCATCTTTGTGGCTACCTCGGTAGGAATTCCTGGCAAGTTGGTGCGGGTTTGGACTCAATATCCCCGGATATCTTAAATTATACTTGAGAGACTCAAATGACTAAGCAACAAGCTTTCTCTGGTTCCGACATCTACAAATTTAACAGGATTAAGTAAAACCGTATCAAGAATATAAATAATAATGGGGTAAAATAAAACTAAAATTCTAAATATCAAATTATTTACTATATATATAAAAAGGGGGAAGATCGAATAAAAGTAAAAGAAGAAAGCAACATATAGAAACGTATAAACTACCAGATTGTATCATTTTGAAGTAATAATTTCAAATGAAATTGTCATAGTTAATTGGTATTCCTGTTAGTATTTGTAACTCCATAAAAGTTATCTATACAGGTAGTGAAAAATTCAAATATTTCTGAAGTATTATAAAACTTCAATAACGTTTAAACAGTAATGAAAAACAATTCTTTTTTTTTTTATTTTTCTATAACGCAATCATTAAACAATAAAATCACCTACTCATTACCAAAACCTAGCGTTTCTTCAATAGCAAACGTTAGTTTCAGTTTCAAAGTCTCATAATCAGTATATGGTGGTAAATCAACTCTATTGAAACATGTATGAGATTTAGGTAATTGGTTAGGTTCACCAGCTTTTTCAATAGTGAATCGTCTTGGACCATCACTACCTTGTAAATCTTTGAACCCATTGACAGGTATACGGGAAGTACCTGTTGTAAATTGTAATAATCTTGCCTTTTGTTCGGAATCCCATTCACCAATACATTTCCAGAACCATTGAATAACTTGATCACTTTCTTGGTATCCACGGTAATCAGTATGCTTCTTCCAATCTTCACAATCAATATCAGCCAAACCACCAATTAACAATTCCAATTCACGTTCATCAAAAACGTTAACCAATTCTTGAGGAATCAATTCATTGAAACCATCAATAAATGCCTTGAATTGCTCTTCCACACGTTTACTGATTCTCCATTCGGTTATCAATTCAACATATTCGTGTTTATTTTCTTCGGTAACTTCAATATCTCTGCCACCTGGTTTCAAATCAACTTCAACAATCTCACCAAATGACTCTTCTTCTGCACTGAATGTCAATTCCAAAATATCAGTAATATCATTGTCTAATATCCATTTCAATGATCTGTAAAATTCGGCATCAACACCTTCCATATCTTGTAAAACAACTTTCTTATGCAACATCATCTTATACAATGCACCAACAAAGAATGCATCTAAGAAACGTCTGTGGAAAACACCCAAACCGACAACACGACCAATGAACTTGAAGTAGTTCAAATGTTCTGGGTTGATACCGGAGTTTGGATTGATTTGTAAAGTATAATTGTCATGGGAAGAATATTCGAACAAACAATAGAATGGGTTAAACATATCATGGGATAACAAGAAGAAGAATTCACGAGAAACACCACCATAATCCAAACCTTCTTCACCATCGAACTTGATCATTAATCTCTTCTTCAAATCTTCTGGTGTTTGTCTCATGATTTCTTGGTATGAATCTTCAAAGATATGATCTCTTCTAACCTTGATATGACATTGTCCAGGCAAGATTCTCAATGCTGGTTGTGAACGGAAATAAATAACTTTTCTTCTGAAATCACGTTTGTATTGTGGAACGTTTTGGTCCAATGAAGATGGCAATCTTGGATCATCCCAAGTAGTGGTCTTGGTGTTATGATCAACGAAATATACACGGGCAGTATTTGTCAATCTCATTTCCCAACCAGAAGGCAATGGACCCAACTGACTAACAGGTTGTTGTTGAATTGTAGTGTTTTGACCATAAGTTCTAATATATTGTTGTCGTCTTGGATCAACCCAAGTTGTTGTTCTGGTATTGTGATCAACAAAATATGGTCTTCCTTCAGTTGTAAATCTTTGTTCCCATCCAGAAGGTAATTCACCCAACCCACTTGTGGTGGCACCAGAGGCAGCCATAGATACTGCAGCAGCTGGATTAACTGGTACATTTGAACCAGTAGCATTTACAGTAACATTACCGGTGGTCACCGAATTTCCAGTTGGAGTCGTTGGTAATGGTGAGTTTGGACCTTCTCCTGGCAATGTTCTACCACGATGTTGTCTTCTTTCAGCCTCAGTTTCAGTTTGTCGTTGTTGACCTCTTTCAGTTTCAGATTGATCTAATGTTGGACGTTGCCAAGTGGTGGTTCTTGAATTGTGGTCAACATAATATGTTCTACCAAAGTTATCGGTTCTACGTTCCCAACCTGGAGGTAATCTACCAAATTGATCTTCAAATGATGAATACTGTCTATGACTTGCCGATCCACCAGTAGAAGTGGCCGCAGCGGCAGCAGAACCAGTAATGTTTGAAGAAGCTGCCATAGATCCGTTAGTTACTCCGTTTGAAAAATCACCAACAGCAGATGCAGCAATAGTAGATCCATTCATGGCATTGCTGTGAATAGCTGCTGAAGAAGATGATGCACCGGTGTTTGGAGCACCTGTTGTGTTGCCATTTGAGTTGTTTCTATTGTGTGATATAACAACGATAATTTTACCAGAAACAGCCAAGTTTTCATTTGATTTTTTTAAATCTCTGGTGATGGTTTCTTCAGAATTGTTTAACGATAAATCAATAACATCACCAATTCTGACATTTATAACACCAAGAAAACCTTGATCCTTCTTTTTAAATTTCTTTTGATCAAATACTTGAATAACCAAGATAGAATCTTCCATTGCTTGAAAATTAAAAGTTTCGTTCCAATAAGGGTTCAATGTCTTTTTGGCAGTGACAGTGGTTTTGGTTTGAGATCCGTCAACGGTGATGACAGCAAATGGATCTGGTTGACGAAATACATCCCTTTTATATAATGACTCAGCAGCCACTACTTTAACATTGATAGTAGTACTCCCTGATGATGGATTAGGTGCCATAATTATACTGGGATATCAACTAAATAAATATATATATATATATGGTAGTCTTGAGGAGGTCAGGCACAAATGCTGGATAACAAAAATGTATGAATGAAATTAACAGGAAAAAAAAAAGGGAGAACGAAAAAAAAAAAAAAATAATAATGAAAATAAAAAAACGAAATTGAAAACGGATTAGAAATCTAAGAATGCTTTCAATGAAACAAGTGGTTAGTTGTCCGTGTTTTTTTTTCTTCTTGATAAAGTAACAGTATTGAATATATGAAGGGTGAAGTTGATAACAATGAAATCAAATATACACCTTATATATGATTGTGTAGATTAAAACAGATAAAAAAAAGTCACTGTTGTAAAATAGTGGTGGTAAAAAAAATGAACAATCAAATAAATGGATACTATGGGAAAGCAAAAAATGTTTGGAATTGTTGATTTTTTTTTTGTCCTTTTGCTTTTGCTTTTGCTTTTGCTTTTTGTCTCTCTCTCTCTAATTCTTCTGCTTGTTGTTGTGTGATGCAATTTTTCGTTCTTCTCGCAAACAGAATTGGGCAAAGCCAATTTTTTTTAGTGAACACACACTAAATTGAGAATCACTGCCACTATTCTCTACAATCCGATTAACCAATATGGTTTATATAAATTCGCCATTAAGGGAGGGGCACGAGAGAGAGAGAGAGGAAATTTCCTATATCTACTTTGATTAACAGATTGAGAGAATTATAATTAGTCCTGTTCTTCTTAATTCTTTGCAGAACCTAATATGTACATCATCATCCAGGAGAAATAGACAACAACATGTTCAACGTATCAAGTGAGATCAATTCGATTGGAGAAGTAATCGGGGGAAAATTGGTAAGTACACGATTAGCTGTTTTTTGAATTTGTAAACCATATTAGTCATATGGTTACATTTATGTGAATAATATATTACAATGAGAGGATTATTAATATGCGTATCCTTTTACAATTACGACGTATTCATTATAATCGACAATAAACTCCTATTTTAAACAATTAGGTTGTCTGAATATTTTATTTTGTTTTGTTTTGTCTATTCTTTTGCCTTCCAGGCTGGTTGTAACTTTTTTAATTTTTTTTTTTTTTCATTTGTCGGCTGGCCTGTATTACTATTTACTTGCATTTCCGATCCTAAATTTTCGGTTTTGTGCACTACGATTGATTCATATTCTGGTGATTACATAAAAATTCATTAATTTTGACTAATAACGTCAATCTATCTATTTATATACTTCATTAGAAACAATACATATACTTCTATAGTAATAACAAGTTATTATTATGATTATTGGTGTTGAGATTTAAATCGTGATTGAAACTAGGCACTAGCTTTTTAAAGTGATGAATAGGACTTTCATTACCAACTTCCGTAGCATTTGTTGATAAAGTCTCAGTGGAGTTGTTCACTTGACTTCTATTGGAGGACATACTTGACAAAGAAGAATATCTTTCATTTCTTGGTTTTGTAGTATTAAATGTGAATTCATCATCACTTTCAAAAGTGGAAGAAACCGATTTAGTTGGGCTATTGACCAAAGTATCATTGGAATGATTATGAATGGAAATAACACTGTTGTCTCCAATAGAGTTTGATGGACTGTGACTTGATTTGATAGGAATTGGTGTTGTAATTGCAGTTGGCTTTCTTGAAATAGTCAATGGCTTAACTAAACTGTCAGTAGAGTAGTTTTGTAAATCACCAACCAATGTATCATTAGAAATACCACAACTATTACTAATTTCACTTTGTATCAACAATTGTATGTCTTCTTCAGTGTAATAAAGCTTGTTGGTATTGATATTGACGTTAAATGATTCAGATATCTTATTGTGTACACCCAAGAAGGAGGAGCCATCAATTGACATAATCTTGGTATCAGCATCATCTTCAGTCTTAATGGAACACATAGAAACAATGTTTGAATTAGATGCTGGTAAAACAGTACCACATTGTCTTTGGTTTAATTTAGCCTCTAGAGCATTAGCTTTACCATTAAATTGAACACTATCAAAACCATCCTTCAAACCACATGAAATACTATTGGTATTAGATAAATCATTCAACGCCAAATCTGAAGACAAATCCCAATGGATAATATTACCATCTTTACCACCAGTGTACAAGTCATTTTCACTCCATTCAATGCTAGTGACAGTGTTGGTGTTATGACCGTCAAGTTCAGCAACAAATGACTCTTGCTTTCTAACATCCCATAATCGTACGACTCCATCCCCATGACCAGCAGCTAAGATATTTGTGTTTAATGGGTTCCATTTAACAACATGAGCAGACAATTTCTTGTAGGATTGATTCTTTTCAGAATGATCTGGGATATTAAATTTGCTATCTCTTAAATCAAATAATGAAACACCAAATCTACCACAGATAACAACAGAAGAAGAATTTGTATCTTGTAAAACATCAAAATTCTTAATACCAGCAACAGAAGTAATTGTAATAGGAGAAGGTCTAATTTGTTGTTCACAATTATTAATATCCCAGTAAAATAAAAAATCATTGTAAATAGACATTAAATTTTCATAATTATTTAAAAAATTCAAGTGTCGAATTGGTGATGCAGCAGATACGTCATCATAAGACCCTTTTTCTTTCAAATGCTTTCTGTGATTAAATCTCTTGCATATTTCAGCAGAATTACCAGATTCATCGTCGTCATCATAACTTTGACCATCTTCACCATTGAAAACATCACGTGTTGCTAATTTTGGAGTGGAAACTAAATGTGCATAACCTTTGTTGTTACCAGTCACCAAGTATCGTGTGTTATTGATCCATTTCATAGCATGGATATTTGGCAATGTGATAGTATGGTGGTGAATCAAGTGGTTGTTAAATAGGTTCAATTCATATATGTACAAGTTTGAATCTGTTTTAGCTGATGAAATGGCCATAATAGGATTGGATCCATGATTAGAATTAATACACATTGAAGTCAAATTCATACTTTGATCAGGTATTTTCCAATAGTTAGATTTAATATTAGTACGATTTAAAGAACATGATTGATTCAAAATAGCTGTGTCTTTTGGATTATAGTTGTTTAACAACCATGATGAATTGGAGTTTTGATAAATGGAAGAATTGGAATCTGTTAATGCTAAACTCTCAACACTTGAAATTGGAGACAAACTTGGACTGAATCTCTTAATGGCGTTTTGTCTGAACAATAAAGTAGGTTCGTAGTATTCTGACATTGTCAATATTAGGGATAAACAGTGAGGAACTAGTGGGAATTTGAACAAGAAAAAAAACAGGGGTCGTAGGGAAAGTGGCTTCTATTTATAATATGGAACAATTATGTTGAATTGCTTAAATTAAGAATTAATGAATGAGTGGTTGTAAGGGTATCTTTTGGAATGTTATAGTGAAACAATAAGTTGCTAAAAAATTCACAGTAATTATCAACACTTGGTAGTGAGGAAAAATAATAATAGATTTATGGGGAAGAAAAAAAAAAGGAATGTAAAAACGAATGGAAGTTTTATTAATAAAAAGAACTAACTTTGAATAAATTAAACAAAAAATTCAAATTAAAACCATATAAGGCTGTATTTATATAAAAATATAGAATATTCAAAAAAGTAAAAAAAAAAAAAAAAAACCTATCCCCCCAAAGGTTCCATTGATTAGTAAAGATTTAATCTTGATGTGCTGGTTGATGCTTCCAAATTGAGGTCTATTACTGCCAATTTTTCCGTTCGCGACTATTTTTTTTTTCTCTCCTAGATTTTGTGTTGCATGCACGCATTTTATTTGGGTTGTCAATTTGCAAGTAAGGTTAAATTTTGTGCGTTAATCATTTCACTTAACTAATTAATTAATTGCATTTGCTTCCCCCTTTTGAATTTTTTATTTTTTTTTACAACCAACATTATCTAAAAGATGAACGCAAAAATAATTCATGGAATTCACATTCATCAGTTTTTAATGCTGGATACCGTCATGCTGGCTCAACCAACCCGATTTAAGGAATCCTGTCTTACCATTTACTGGTTCAAATCGTGTTGTTGAAAAACTTTGATTGCAAGATCTACGTCATCAATCGGGTCATCGCTAATGCTCTAAATCAGTTTCAAATCAATTGAATGCTACTTGTTAAACTTCAGGCGACATCATTCTATGGGAATGTGTTTCTAAAAAAGAAAATCATAGCATCTTACCTGTACATGGTAAAGTTATGAATTTTCCGGTCATGCAACTATCTGTATGTTTATGTGTTTCTCCATTTCAGCTCATGTTGTCCATAAACTAACTCGTCGTTTACTTGATTTTACTCAATTAGTTCTTGTATTTAGCCTTGATGTTTTAGACTCTAAAAACTAGACTTTAAATATATCACTTTAAATTATTGAAATGGACTGCTAGTTTTTGTTTTTGTTATTGTTGTTGAGTTTTGTTTTTCTTTTTTGCAAAATTATAAATATCGACGTGTCTGTGATCGATTTTGTTTAATTAAAAACTAATGAGGACAAGTGATTTATCTGTACTGTATCACGCATTGTATAATTCAATTGAACCATTTGCTCCTTGCACTTCAGTTCACTTCACCTCTCCCCCTTTGGCGAAACTAGTTAGTATTTCGACATTAATTTGCAATACACTGCAATTGCAAGGGATGAAACGGAACGCAGAAGATCTAATTCAGAGGTAATTTGGCACATGACCTATGACCTTGACTACAACAGTTATTGCTCAAGAATTTTATAAATAAACTTCGTATTTCCGTATTGTACTGTACATAATTATACACGTTATCTATAAATAATTCCATCATCTCCCTCCCCCCCCCCCCCACACACACACACACACACAAAGGATAGACATGAATTATCTTCTCTTGTATATACATGGTTTCAACAACCATTCACCTTCAGCTTTCTCATTACGTTTATTTTCCAATTTTTCTAAATCAGTTTGATCATCTTCATCTTCAATAAACTTCTTTTTCTTTCTTTCCATTTTCAATTGACGTTCTTTTAAAATATCTGGAGGAGGTTTGAAAAACTCAAATCTAGTAAACATTTTATTGGAATTATCTGTCAGTTTATGGAAAAATCCAAATGCTTTTAATGAATTAACAAACTCTTCACCAATTTTTTCAGAATCCTTGGCAGTTGAAGATTCACCAAATCTAGATTTAATTTCAGCTATCCATAATTCACCTCTTGGTATTAAAATCCTCCATGCTTCTTTAATAAAATCCAAGAAATTAGTTCCCATTAAAGCCAAACAAAATATCACAACTGAACAAGATTCATCTGGAATTGGAACATTTTTAATATCAGCAACAGTAATTCTTTCATTGTGTTTTTTCAAATCAAAACTATGAACTAAAACTTCCAAATTCTTCTTTTTGTTTTTTTTATTATATTGATTGACAAATTTACTAACATCTAAACTTAATTTAGCTTCACCACATCCCATATCAGCAATAACAACTTGCTTGTTTTTCAATCCAGGTAATCCACCAGGAGCATTAACTGGTCTAGCCTTGGCTCTTGTTTTAATTTGATCAACAAATACGTCAACTGGATTTTCTGGCCATGATGCAACTTGTTGAGTAAATCCTTGATGATATTCATCAAATAAAGATGGAGTATCTTTGATCAATTTCAAGGCATCTTCTGAACTAATAGTATATAATTGTTCATTTATCCATCTAAATCTAGATCCAGATAATTTAGCCATCATTTTTTGTTGTAATGGAGTTAGTTTCTTACCAGAAAACAATGGTTTCACTGATTCTTCTCTCGATTCTTCAGATTTGGTTTTCTTTACTGGCTTTTTATCTTCATTATCTTCTTGTTTTCTCTTTTTATTCTTCAGTTTCTTATCTTTTGGCAGTTCTTCTGCAATTTGTTGTTCTTTTGGTTCTGGGACTTTAGATGCTTGTTCTTGTTCTATTTGTTCTTGTTCTTGAATTCTTTGAGCATTTTTTCTTTCTTTTCTCTTCTGGGTCTTACTTTTTTTATCAGGCAATCCACCTATTTCAATCTTTTTGGTCTTTAAATTCCAACCATTTGCTTCAAATAAAACCATTTTATATTGTTGTATGAATAGCGATGAGATGGATTATTGAATTTTTTTTTTTTCCTTCGTAATTTTTTTTTCTCCCCCTTCTTTTGCAAGGAGATGGGTCGAGCATACTGTTGAATTCTTATTAAACACTGATTGAACCTGATGGACAAGGAAGTAGACAGCTCTGTGGTGAGTTTACAATTATCACAATAGCATGATACCTCACTTTTCAAGCAAACTGAAAAGCTACATAAACTTGTTGTGGGTAATGACATTTCAGAACTCCATTCCCCTATAGAAGAGCCAATACAAACAAACAAGCAAACTCTCCGCCAAAAGAAAAGTAACACGATTTGCGTCACAAATTTTTTTTGTTTCTCTTATGAAATCAAAACAATACACCAATCGATCAACTTATCTCTCCACATATCACATTACACGGATTATGATAACACTATGAAAGATAATCGATTACTATATCCAAAAACCAAAATAGATTGGGGTCCAGGAGAAAATCATATATGTTTGAAAACACCATTTAAGAATTTCTATGTTATTGAATTATTTCATCAAGCTCCTACCTTTGATAAAACAATCCCTTTATTTATTTCCGACATTAATAATTCACCTAACTTATATGGAATCTACAATTATATAGCAGATCATTTACGTCATGTTGTTCTTGTTAATAACTATCCGGTTAATCAAATCAATATATTTGGGAAAATCGTGTATGAACAATATAAGGAAAAGGAATTCAATGGAGTTGAAGAATCATATGTTATTCTTGTAATATCCGATTTCATTGGAATAGATTCTAAAATTAGAGTTAGGTTATCCCAAGAACAATTTAAAGAAGTTGGACTTACGTTAGATAAGAAGAATTATGGTAAAATTGTGGAACTTGAAGGTGAAATTTACAATTGGTATGATTCTATTAATGTGAGTAAGAAACCAGATCGTGAACTTAAAGTTAGTAAAATAACGGTATTGTCTCATAGACCAGACGGATTGCATTTTGAATTTGAACAATGGAAGAAAAGAATGGAATTTCGAAAGAATAATTTGGTAGAACCATGGGTGTTTATTCCAACCCCACAACGTGAAAACAGAATTATTGATTATAAATTTACAGAGGATGATACAAAGAAGAAGCAACAACAACGGGATTTAGATTTGGGAGTTTATTCACTTAAAGAAATTGATAATGTACCCGTTGAAGAAGACAGTTTGCTTGTACATGCCATACATAAATCGGATTCAAGAATTAAACAGGATCTTCCTAGTCCATCATCCAATAAATTATCGTTGGTTAAATCAGTGGATAGAATTCATACTCAACGTTATATAAAACCCACTGATCTGGAAGACACTCCATTGAAAGTTGTCACTGATTTCCAATTAACTACTGAAATAATCAAATTTATAATTAAAAAAGGTTTCGTCAAGGTGAAATTATTAGATATTTATCGAGATCCACGAATATCGGAACTACTCACGAATTATACCAACTTACAGTTAGTAACGTTAGAAGCAATACCAAAGTTTAAGAACTTATCATTCAAGGACTATAAGTTAATTATATTTCACAGACAAAGACACAAACTACAGAAAAATCTTCAATTAATTACAATAAGTAAAACTCAACTGGTTCGACTGGTTTGTTTGAAAAACTTGTATTCAAGTGTTTTAAAAATTCTTAAATCATTAAAAAATTCCAAAACCACTTCTCCCTTTAATGTTATGGATTATTTGGACATGTTAAAAAATAAGAAATTACTATTAGGAGATATTAATTATAAATTAATGAACTATATAATTGAGTATATACTTGAAAATGTTTTATTTGATGATGATAATTGGCATTATGACACCAATTCAATATCTTGGTCTTATATAGCACCTGGTTAATGTACACGACTTTCTTTTCCAAGATTTCGGTTATCTGCGATTGATTTAATCCTTTTATTTTTTTTCTGCCGCTTGTTATCAAAAGTATAAATACCAAACGCAAAATCCTTCCCCCACGGTTTTATTCCAAAACCCTCTGACAGAAAAAGTGGTAAAATACACCAACCAATAATCATATATATATATTCAATAATTAATATGTCAGTGGCACCAATTACATGTCATATATTAGATACAACAAGAGGTAAACCAGCATCAAATGTAGTTGTACAATTATATCATATATCTTCAAATCCAAAAGATTTAGATAATTCATCAATTCCAATACATTTTGCAAGTTCAAAAACAGATTCTGATGGTAGAATTAAAAATTGGATATTTGATCCTAATCAAAATCTTGAAAATTTAGGTATTATTGAACAAAATTGGGATGATTTAAAACCAGGAATTTATAAAGTTAAATTTTTAACTGGGAAATATTTTTTAAATTTATCTAATGATAGAACATTTTTCCCATTTGTTGAAATTATTTTCATTATTGAAGATCCTCCTGATAATCATTATCATATTCCTTTGTTATTAAGTAATCATAGTTATACTACTTATCGTGGAAGTTAATTAGAATATATGTATGAAATTAGTTTTATTGAAAATAGAAATAAAAAAATAAATGTCTAATTAAAATATATATATATAATTTAAATACGGTGGTGGGAGAAAAAGAATATATAAAGATGGGAAGAAAAAAATAGATAATTAAATATTGTTACAAATTGTCTCTAGTAAAAATCTAGTAAAAAAAATGGGTATTGTTTTGGGAACTTTCATGAACCAACATCTCGTTACATTTATAATAATTCAATTCGTTCTTAATCTTGTTGATTTCTTTTGGATCATTTAACGAGTATTGTGTTACCGCCTTGTTGTATCTCTTATACATATCACTTGCAAATGTTTCATTGATAGAAATCTTATTGGAGAAAACAACATTTCGAGATCCTTTTTTACCACCATCAAGCATGGATTTTTTACCACTGCCACCTTTTCTACGTCTCTTTAAAATTGGTGCACTCTTACCATTTTCATCAACAGAAAATTCAATTTTAGATAAATCTTCAAATTTCTTCATATTAACTTCAATTGATTGATAATCTTTGAATTGACGAATATACTTCAAGTGTGGTGGTAAATTTCTCTTTTCATCATCAGTCAAATTGTTGAAAATGTAATGTAATTCTTGATTTTCAATAACAATAGATTCACCTTCTTGACTGAGATCATCATCAACAAGTACTGGGTCAATATCTTCATCAGTAATAGCAGCATTTGGACCACGAAGTATTTGTGGTGGTCCGACTAATGGTTGGTTAAATGAACTATCCACTGGAGTAGACACATCACCTTCAGAAGATGCCATAGAAATATCTGGGGCAGCAATACTGGCAGCTGCCATTAATTGCTCTCTAAACTTTTTAATCTCTGGGTTATTTTCTTCATCAATTGTGTACAGATTCTTGTCAATATGTGATTTGATAGCACCTTCATCCATAGTAGCCCAATACGCTTCGTTTCGAAGGAATGCCATATTTTCAGCATAATTTTCATCATTGATATTCACCGAATATCCTCCAATCGTATCTGTTCCGCCATTGTTATTGCCAAGATCATCATCCTTCAATTGTTGATCTTTTATTTGATCAATTGATAACTCATCATCTCTTAAAAATGGTTCATTCATACTACTTCTATTGGTAGAAATCTTGTGTATAAATACTGGAGGTGAAGTTGGTGTTAATTCACTTTCAAACTTTTCATCAAATGTAATCATCATTTCTTCCAACAATCCAGTTTCTTCCGGTTCAAAATCAGGTAATGATCCCAATTTAATAGATGGTGCAATTTCACTAAAAACAGAAATTCTGTTACTATTTGCATTAGCAGCAACTGGTGGTCCTAATTTGGATTGCTCAACAATTATTGGCAAATCAGTCAAATCTTGTTCATCTTTCTTGGTCTTCATAAATTTAAATATTTTTGAACCACTAGATCCTGATGATGACAATGATGTGGTAGAATTGGATTTATCCATTGTTTTCTCATGTGGATGTGGTTTAAACATTTTAAAGAATGATTTCAAGTTTGCACCACCTCCGTTTGCACCTTTCTTGGAATTATTGTTACTATCATCTCCGATTTTTGGACTGTGATAAACGTGACGTTTCATATTTGGTTCAGGTGATTGAGCCTGTGTCACCGGTGGTTGTGCAGATAAGTTTGGTGAAGATTTTTGAGCACCTTGTGTCTGAGAGTGAGGAGGAGGAGGTGGTGGTGGTGGTGGATGTGGAATAGGATTGTTGGTATCAATACGTGGTCTAGACGTGGGTGGAAGTGGTGCTGGTGCAGATGCTGGTGCAGATGCTGATACTGGTGCTGATGGGGCTACTCCAATTAGTTGATGGGTGGTATTTACAGCAACTCTCTCCTTGTCATGAATTTCAGGTGGTCTTCTTGAAGGTTCAAAACGGCGATGGTTTGTTGAAGTTTGGTGTTGTTTATCAGATGATGGTAATAAGGAATCGGAAATCTTTTGCGGCTTTTCCGGAGCCATCGTCGGTAATGACGAAGTTTTTTTAATTGTCTTCGCGTTATTTGGCGGTTCAAATTGTGGACCCATGGGTAACTTCTTATTTTGAATGCTTTCATCCTGCAACAACAACGAACGAATTGGTTTAGCTGATTTCTTCACTGGAGTGGTTGGCTCCTTTTCTTTCACTTGTTTATTCTTTTCCTCGAGTTCACGCATTTCCTGAGCTTGTTGTTCTTGTAAAGTTCTTGGTGTATCATACAAAACCAGCTTTGATGGACTTGGATCTCTTTCACCGTCATCATTCTTGAAAATCAGGTTTGGCGCAGCATCAAGAACTGGTGTGACTGGCTGTTCATTGACCTTTCTCTTAATTGGTTGTGTTTGAATTGCAATTGGTATAGTGAATTCTTCAGTCTCTTTCTTTTGACTGTGCTCAGAACCCTTTCTAGGAACTGCCGTATTCTCATGTTCTCTTGGCTTCTGCTCCACAGAGGCAGCAAGTTTTGATTCATCGGGATTTGATTTCTTCTTATCGGATTTATGTTCACCATCTTTTCTTGGTCTTCTCTTTTTTGGTCTACCTTTGACTCTCATACCTGGTGATTTCTCAATTGGCGGTGGAGGTGGTGGAGATTCAAGATTCTTTGGTGTGACAACCTCCTGAATTGGACTTCTCTTTGGTGTTGATGGACCAGGATTGGCAGGGGTATTGGTATTAGTTTGAGAATTATTAGCTGAGTTGATGAAAAAATCATTGGCAGAGGACGTAGATGATGCATTTCTGCTATGTTTTCTAATCTTCTTATTATTGACAATCATCACATCTCCTCTAGGAGGAATATCCGGTTGTGTATCATTCACAAACTTATTAAATGTAGTTGAATCAATGTCATAATACCTCGAACTTCTTGGTGTATCAGTCTTGGAATTAGTAGGAGATGACACAAATTTAATAGCCTGCTCATCAGTAACTTGAATAACATGCTCCTTTGGAGGCAAGTGCAGCTGATGAGTCATTTGGAACAGCTGGCGTTTCTCATTGATATGTTTCGTGTATTCCTCTTGTTCATTAGCCATTTTTTCACGTTCAAGTTGTTGTTGTTGCTGCTGATGGTGTTGTCTTGTTGGTGTAGTATTCAAGTTAGAAATAATCTCACTCAACTGATACAGCTCTGGAGATGATTCGTTAAAGTATTGCTCCACAAATGATTCAGTGTCTATTGTAGGCTCTGGTAACAAACTAATCTGACTCTTTCTATTACTAGTTCCGCCACTACTGCTAGAATTAGTACTACTGCTAGTGTCGGTATTCAGTCTCTCAAAATGTAATAATGATCGAGCACTTATACGAGGAGGACGGAAAGTATTAATATTATTCGGTGGAGTGATGATTGGTGTAGCAGTTTTCACAGAAGTTGGAGATGGTGGTGTCATTGTTGGAGTACCTTTAAATTCTTTAAAAACCTCCTTGTCTGGTGTACTAACTGGAGTTCTAAATATTTCTTCTTCACTCGACATCTCAGATGATCTTGATATATCTCTCAAGATAGGTTTCATTGGAGCACCTAATCTGTGGATACTTCCTGGGTTGGAGCTGTCATACAACGAGTTAGGTGAATCGGAACCAGAAGTGTTCGTTGCTCTTTGTTTGACAACTTCCAATGGGGCAATTGAATCATACATTGACGATGGAGTATGGCCGTATGTTGATGTTGATGTTGGAGTTTGACCATAGGCGGATGATGAAGGAGTGTTCTCATAAACTGATGATGGGGTATTCCCATAAGCTGGTGAGCTTGGTGAATCAGTACTAATTGCCGGATTCGGAGAAGACGAATTAGCTGACATCAGTTGTTGATTTTGTAAGTTTCTTGTTCTCAAAGCATGTTTTCTTTCACTTGGTGAAACAGAAGAGTTTGATTCCTCTCTGATTAAACGATGTGGTTCAGGTGTGTTTCTGTTGTCCCATGATGAATTTGCTGAATGGCCCGCACTTGAACTGCCAAAGTTTGAAGCCAGCATACTTTTGAAAGTCTCTTCACTTGTTTCATTCAACGTACTCAAAGCAGTGTCATCAGTGATTGTTTCTACTGGTTGGTTACATTCATCGGAGGATGAACCGGTACTATTTCGAATTTCATTGGACAATCTGTTATGGTCGTCACTTATAGATGTTGAAGGAGTATTGGTGGCTGATCGATTAACATTTGAATTGGAATTTTCGTCATCGTGATCGGCTAATAAATCAGATACATTAGAAGCATTTGAAGTTTGTGATGAAAAAGATGAGGTGTTGGAATACTGCTCGGTCTTGGTGATATTTTGTGATTGAAACTTGTGGGAATTCTTCAAACTTGTACTGCTGTTGCTGTTACGGTAATTTTCATAAGGAATCTTTGGGGAAGTATCTTCAAGGACAATATTTGTTGTGATATCGCCTTTACTATTTCTAATGTTCTGTACTAAACTCTGTTTGTTCATGAGCTTGATGTTCTGAATTGAAGCAGATTTAGGTAGGGAACTATGAGAATTATTGGAATGAATACTAGGAGCAACAACTGACCCAGCAGTTCCACTATTTGTTGACGAGTTTGAGGATGAGTGATTTGATTTAGGTGAATCAAGGGAAACGTTGGGATTTAATGGTGGTGGAACTGGACTGCTTGCTCCACTATCATTTGGGGAAATATCTTGTTGAAGTTTACTTGGCCTGTTTCTCTTGGCAGGGGTTGTTCTTGGTCGAAACACTTCACCATTTGGAAAATAGTAGACACCTTCCTTTGCATAGAATGCGCTTCCTGGGCTGTTATTATTACCAGCACCACTGCGTAAAGTTGAATCGTTGATAAGCTTTGGGGAAATCCCATTACTGTTGGGAAATTTCTTGGTTGGTTTCTTGACAAATTTACTATCCACAGCTATCAAATTATCAGTTGACAAATCATGACCTGAAATATTATTTTGTGATGACGTGGTGGTATTAGCGGTTGCTAGCGAAGTCATTGAATTTCTTCTTGATTGTGGGCCTGACATGGTTGGAATATATTGAAGAATTAAAAAATACGTCTAGGTGAACTGAAAAATAATTGGAAATCTAGGTACGATGATATATTTACTGTCTTGTATATGGGAAACTTTTGGGCATAAACTCGGAAATATATGAAAAAATAAAATTAGAATTAAAATAATTAAAAAATAACCAGGGTCTCCCGAATGAGATGAAGAAATATATCTATAATCACAAGTATCTAAGATGAAAAGGGGAGTATTATCCAATACAATCAAATAATTTTAAAAGTTATTATCCACTAACAAATTAATAATACTTGAGAATAATTTCTAAAATAAAATAAATAAACAATAATAATAATAATTGACTTCTCTTTCTTCCACTTGCTGATAAAAAAAATGTGTGAAATCTAGTAAATTGTTCTGTTATAAAGATAGCGAATGGATTGAGTTAAATATGATAAACAATGACTGTATTTGACCTGGCTGTTTGGGGTTTGTTTATATTCAATAAATAATAGACAACTTTCAAATGGGAAACAAAAAAAAGAAGCGGTTCTTGTTTTTCTTTTTTTTTTTGGTTGTGGTTTGGAAATTTATCAAGGGACGGGGGTAGAAAGGTAAAAAAAAATATGTTTGTGTGTGAATATTTTTTTTTCGTTTTCTTCTTATTTCTCTCTAGTAGTAAAGCCTGTGTGTGTGTGTGTATTCTTGGTCGCTTCGGGATGGTTGTATGTTGTTAGCTTTGTGCCTAAAATTTTCTTTTGATACGGCGTCGTAACGAGATACTACGGCTAGTTTTGGATTGAATGATACTGTTGATTAATTCAATTGAAAAGCACCAATGATGATTAATAGAATACAAAGGTTGTTGTTGTTGTTGTAAAAAGAAGAAACAAATGAATAAATTTTTTTTAAAAAAAGGCAATGGTAATGTTTTTCTTTTTGGGAGGAGGACAGAGAAGGATATTTGAACTGATATGCATTGAAGTGAAAAAGAGACTTTCAATGAGAGAGTGAAAAGCATACATTATTTTTTTTCTCTTCTATGTATATTTTTATTTCGGTTGTCTTTCTTTCTGTGTGCGCTTTTTTTTTCGCTTCACTAAAATTTGTCAAATACTTTTGTCCATTCAAGGGTGTGTTGTCTACAACAATACAACCAAAATAAAAAGAAGGAATCAGTATTCAACATGAACATTAATTGACCAATTAAACGTTTTATGGGTAATCATCTACATTTAACTTGCTAGTTGTGGATCATTTTTGTTTGTTTGACTTGTTTTGTTTGCAAAAACAAGAAGCTAACTCACTGGATAGTGGTTGCTTGCATTATTTGGAAGATCAGTGGATGGGTTGTTTTTTTTTTGTTGTTTGTCGTGGGACGGGCGGGCGGTCGATGCACTGGATTAATTTATTCGCTCAATTTTCATTTGAAACACTCACATACTTTGAACAATAGAATGTTATTTACCTTTGCTATAAATCATGACAAAATAAATTGAACCTCACTATATGCATCAAGGCTTAAGACTTCCTTGTGTTAATCACACAAACATCTGTTATCGAACGGGAATTTTATATACAGCAAGTTTTCCTCCCTGTGAGTATAGTATGCAGTAATGAAAGAAAAAAAATTCAGGCAACAAAATCGAAAATCTTAGGGCAGCTAGACACGTACAATTTGCCCTGATCCACAACTTACAAACTTCAAGTCTTGTTGCGTAACTCACTTTCCATGGAATTAACCTAGAGGTCATATTTTTCTGTTGTCGTCGTCGTCGTCGTTATCGTAAGAAATTAATGGTGGGCTTATAGTTCGTGTACCTGTTAATAACCATTGTCTTACTGTTAATTGTTTGCATAATTTTGTGTCAGTAGCAAAGTTATTAATTATAACTGGAAGGTGAGAACAATAGTAAAAAAGGAGAGTGGAAGAAAAAAAGGACGAGATAAAATGGAGAATAATTTAAGGTACCGAGATATCTTGGGTAACACTGAATACAACCACAAACAATCAATTAATTTGGGCTAAAGGCGGTATGGTACCGTTAGTAGTGGCTTCTACTGTACCAAAATAAGGAACATAGTAAATATGGGAAATTCTGATGAAATACAAGAAGGCATTCAATTACAAAACTTGTGTCACATTACAGTTTGTTACCAGTGATACTTGCAAGCCATGGTGAGTAGGGAAAAAAAGCCATCCATGGAATATCAAATTTTAATTTTTAATTTTGTTTGTTCTCCTAGGATGAATCGGCATTAACCTGCCTTGAAATAAGCCCAATTTAGTTGTTGAAAATCTTCGTTTCTACAGACACATATTAGGATCTAGATTCACTTAATTAAGAATATATTTTCGAGAAAAAATAGAAAAACCAACTGTACCTTACATTTCAAGTGTGAATGTGTTGATTTGGGTTCTCTTCTTCAAGCTGATCATTCATGATGAAATTAGTTATGAACTGAAATTACGCTTTATTAATAACGACGCGTTTATGAAATTGCAAATAATTTTCACCTTTATATTTTGTAACTAGGATTTTTTCTTGTCATACGGACCCTTTATTTTTAAATTTTAGTAGTTTTGAATCACAATACATAGTCTTTTCTTGCCTTGTGGTGCATTATCTTAGTATTTAGGTTTTGAATCTCATTGGTTACTTGCCCTATTTGAACCCAAAAAGAAATACATGAGGGATTCGCGAATGTAAAATAGTGCATGCATGTGTTTTTACCGTGAAAATAATAATTTCCGTGTTGAACCAGAATAATAAACAAAAAATTTTTTCTCAATATTGTTGTGAAACATCAAAACAAAAACAAATGAAATTAATTTTTTCTTGATTAGACCACGACTAATTATTTCTTTTGTGATATACACCATCGTATTGGATTCTGTATATGGATATGTGTCTTAACGGGCACGATTTCCTTGTTCATACCTAAGATCCATAATTCGGTGAAATATTTGTGTAAAGTGACAAAGTTCGTCTAGTTTACGATTTTAGGGGTCTAATGCTATGCGACAACTTATTTTTTCCGTCGGTGAAACTTTCTGTTATGGTTGCAAAAATATTACAAACCAAAGGTGTGGAAATAAAATAACAAACTATGTAGTGAGAATGTCATTAACTTGAAAAAACACAATTCTCTTGATTGAGCTATATAAGTCGTTAATCATGAAGATATATCTCCTTATCCCAATTATATGGCTCATTGTTTTTCTCCAACATACAACCGCAGTGGAATTGACTATAAACGATGAAGAAATCGATAATCCTGGATTGATCCTTAAATCAAAATTTAAACAATATTTACCAGAATTACAAGAAAACTTAGAAATTCCCGTTAATGAAAAACAACAATCAATCAGAGAATCATTTATTCCTAAAAAAATCAATTATCATCATTTTGGCTTACGATCAAGGTTTAAAAAAGATGTATCGGTAACAACTACAACTGCGATTGTATTAGAACCAACTTTAGCAAAATCAAATCCCGAGAATGTTGACTCAAACCACACCGATACTGATACAGATTCTGATTCTGACGTTAATGAAGACATCTCTAGTTCAGCATCTTCAACACCAAAAGTTCATTCACGTAGATCATGGATTAAGGACTTCTTAATGTTCAAAGAGCAAGACACTGGCACATCAGACAAATCCAAAAATAAGAAGAAAACATCCAAAGAAAAACATGAGAATTCAAAACTACAATCTAAAATCACAAACTACGATGATACAGTTAGTGATCCGAGAGATTTAAAACGTTGGGTCAGATTGATTGCTGATGAAGGTAAAGATCAACCATATGTTCAATCCAAATATGTTTATAATAACGAGATTGAATTAGATGTTGAAGAATTCATCAAGTATTTGGTAGAAGAACAAGGTTTTAATGTTACAGATTTGGAATTCTTAAGGTCAAAAAATTTGGATTATGGACTTGGTGAAATTGAACAAGAGTTGAATAAACTTAAAGAAACAAAAGGTTCACCAAAAGTGATAGATATCGGTGGTGAACATGATAGTGATGGTAGCGATTCTGGATCAAGTTTGAATTCATTCAAATCTATTACAAATGCTTATTTTGCTATCGTAATTCTGTGTTTATTTTTCATTTAGTAATAATACGATTATATACTCTGTCTCTCTTGTCTTTTTGCTTCTATTCATCTAATTTCTCCAATACTTCAATATTGGTGGAACTTAATCTCCATAAAATCATCATTAAAACCGTTCTATATGGTTCGAATGGTCTAGCAGCATATTTAACATATCCATCATGAATTGGAGTCCAAGTTCTTTTCGAATCACTCTTGTTGAAAAACTTCAGTTTCTTCTTTAACAACAACTGTGTCTCATCATCATTGGCACTATCAAGTTTAATTTTTTTTAACAAATCTGGTCGTTTATTCAAATATCTTGCCATGCCCCGAGCAATACCTAAATCATCTTCAGCAAATACATCCATTTCTTCCAATGTAAAAATTGCAAACATTTTAGCTGACCACATTCCAATTCCTTTCAATTTACACAATTCAACTAATATTTCATTCAATGGGGATTTTTCATAGAATTCCAAATGAGTTAAATGATTATTCGGATCATTAAACGCTTCACTAATACTTTGAACATACTTGACTTTCATATTAGATAATCCAACTGCTCTCAAGTCCTCGGCAGAAAACTCCAATGTTTTACCAGGAGTTGGTACATCACCGTTGAATAACCCTTCGAAACGCGTCTGTATGGATTTAGCAGCGGCACCACTGACTTGTTGTCCAATAACTGATCTAATCAATGAGTACCAATAAGTATGAATTTTATTCTCTTCATTGTGTTTCTTTTCAGTTATTGCACTGCCAAATCTTGTAAAATCTTGATGTACAACCACGGGATATAAAGAAGGATCAATTTTCAAGACGTGTTCAATTCCTTTAATAAACTCTTCTGAGTGATTATCTATATATTTCTGTGGGAGTTTAAGATCATCAGGTATTTTTATATGTGTCAATAAGCTTTCTAAATCCAGGGTTGATTTGGTTAACTTTGGTTTCGATTTTGTTAATTTAGGCTTGGTGATTTTAGGTTTAGCAACACTTGGTTTGTCAATAACTGTTTCAACAGATGAGGTCTTCACCACAACTTTGGTTGATCTAGAACGCGTAACTGGAGCCATTCTTGTTAATAATACACGTGATGAAAAAGAAAGAAGTTTATTGAATATGTTGAATGAATTTATAGTATGGAGTAAAATCATGGAAATATGAAATTGCTTATAAATTATTTTTCTCTTTCTCCCTCCCCAATTTTTTTTTTGATTTCTTAATTTTGTGACCATCAATGAAAAATGTGCTGAAAAAATTTAGCAATCATATTTCCGGTTCCAATAGGCATGGGTGCATAAACTTTTGCTCCAAAAAAAAAAAAAAGAGAGAAACCGAACTTACTGATGTAACTGATATGCTCTCGAATCATTAAACAACCATTCCCTAATTCAAAAGGGTGCAATCCACCACATTTAATGTGTTTATATTAATCCATCATTTAAATTTCGCATGATGTGTTTAAATTTTGGCAACCAAACGAACGACGTCATTCTTTAACACACTTGTTTGTTTATTTTTTTTTCTCTCTCTTTTTCCTTCATCTATTTTTTGGCAACACATTTATATCAAAATTCTTATCCCTTATTCCAAATTCAAATCAATAGAAAGTGTGTATTTCTTTTCTAGTTCTAATCTATTCCATAATAGTTGGTGATTGTGAATTATTAGAGTAATGACATATTCTTCAGAATGGGAACGTTATTGTCATGAACATGAATTGAGAATTGATCCATCAAATTCAAGATGTGCCATATTGGGGTCTCCTTCTCCTATGTCATCAACTGAAATTTATACATATGAATCACAACTTTCAATGGTATATAATGAAAATCACAATGTAGAAATTTTAAAGGAATCAACCATAATGACAAGTATAAAGAGATTTTGGCCATTTAAAAAATTGATTAAACCTATGTGGTCAAAATTTAAAAAATCAAAATTGAAATTTAAAAGGAAGAAAAAGAAGTCTAAGAAAAAACAAGTTCTTGATCTTAATGATTTTAAAGATCAAACTACTGCTGCGGTTCCTGCTCGTCATGTTTCAACACCATTGGCTATCCCATTGTTTGCTAAAAGTTGTTTGAAAAGTAAAATCTCACAGGATTTTAATCATCTTTTGGCGATATCTAAAACTTCATTAAGTTCACAAAAATCATCTGTGAAATCGGTATTTGATACTAGTTCAAATATTCATACTAATGCAACTACTCCAAATTGATATATCATTGTTTGTTTTTAATTCTTCCCATTACTATAGAAAATGTACTTATTATATATGTATAGAAATCTCATAATTTGCTAGGTAATTCAATATCTCCAAATAAATCCTTTAATACCTCAGTTCTTAACTTTTGTTTGTATTCAGAACCATATTTCTTCTTAAAATCATCATCAGTTGTTTGTTGGTTCTTTTCAAAGCAATCCAAAACAAAATCATTAACTAAATTCATAACCAAGTCTGGGTTTTCCGCATGCATATTATGATACATTCCTTCTAAAAATTCAATGTTTGCAAAACTCAAGTCATCATCCTTATATAGATTGATCAATGCCGACATTCCATCATTGGTACCACATAACATCTTTGTTGGCACTTTAACTTGTTGATATAATGCTTTGGTTTCTGGAATTGAAAATCTCAGATTATAATAATTAATATAATCTTCAAACCCATCATGTTTCAATTCAACTGTATCATAATGACTCTTTCGATCATAAAACTCAGGAATTTCATCTTCCAACATATTACGCAAAACAATTGGATCAAAATTCTTATAGAATGAACGTTTACTGTAATGTTCATAAATTTGATGGTACCAATTGACATTTTCTGGGATTTTATCAAAATAAAATTTCACAAAGCCACGTTCAAACCAATCACGATAAGTCCTGTCAAAGTCTTTGTTATCACCTGGTACAGTTACACAAACAGGATTTATCAACACTGAAGATTGGAACAAATTTGGTTCAATTGCCGTCATTTGAATAGCTGCAAATCCACCCATTGAATGAGCAACAACAACATTGAAAGCATTTGGATGAAGAAAGCTCTCTCTTTCATGAACTTTGGTTAACATGATAGCATCTTTTGCAAAATCATTCCAATCACTGACATGACCCAATTTACCACGATTAACATAAGCAGAATCTCCCATGTTTACGTGATCAGCAGCAATAATTGTATCAATATGTAATTCTGGGAAACTTATTTCATAGGTTGCAAATAATTTATCGATTTGAGAATGCCAAATACCTTTATTCATCCCATTGCCATGTAAAAACAAAAAATTGATACGTTTGGCATTATGTGGAATTACTCTAGTTGTGACATACTTCCGATAAGCAATTTTCAATTGATAATCTTCACGTAAAGTACTTGGCTGTGACAACACAACTGATCCAGGTGCCCTGGGACTAGCTGCATCTTTAATCTTTAATGTATGTTCATAAAATGGAGAAGTATTTGGTGTCAATGTCATAATTAAAAATCAAAAAGTCTGTGGATACGTCTATGAATAACTGAAACAAAAAAAATGGCATAAAATTCGTCAAGTTTATATATTGTCTGATCTCAAACAAACACGGGGGGAAGATTCAATAAATGCTCCACTTTTTTTTTTTTCTTTTTCGGATTGTGATATTTTTTGGCGGGAGCTAATTTCTAGGGGGGAAAGAGGGGGGACAGAAGAAGTCTAAACTTTCGCACAGTCCGTGGGATACTTTGAAAAATGTGGGGTCATCTTTCCATTTATACCAGATTAACAATGATTGAAACAACTTGTAGATTAATGGAGGTATTATTCATGATGAGTTGGTGGTTGATTTTGCACTGAGGATGTTGGATGTGTAATTGTAGCTTGTCTGAGTTGGTTGTCAAATAACGAACGATTCGTGTAGTCCTCAGCAGTTACATTCTTTTCGTTCCTGGTGAATCCGATAAACCTGTAAGCTGGTAATTCTTAATAGTCATCTGGAGGACGGCTAGATGGTTTATGGAATAACTGTAGTCTATTTCGGACTTCTTATCGAGTTTCACCAGATTGGGAAATGCGTATCTTTTTTTTTTTCTTCTTCTTTGAATTGATTAAACCCGTTACAACACACGCGAATGTCAAGATTGTTAAAAAAAAAAAAAATACAAGAAAAAACTTACTTCTATCATAGAAATATTTACATTCTATTAACCAAACAATAGATCGCACCTACATATTCATTCATTTGTATCATCATCCTATAATTACATGTACTATTAGATTCACTGTATTATTGACGTACAAGAATGACAACTTTTAAACCCTTAGCTGGATTGGCGTTCTGTTGTACTGGAATTGATGCCAAAGAAAAACGAGACGTGGTTGAGAAAATAAACGTCCTTGGAGGGATCCACTATTATGATTTAATGACAGATGTTGATTATTTAATTGTTGGTAGTAGATCAACTGAGAAGTACATATTTTCTGTCAAGAATAGATCAGATATAAGGTTTATTGGTACTGATGCCATCAATGCAATACATAAACATTGGCTTGATGGAGTGGATGAAACACTGGAAAATCTAAATATCAAAAATTATCTCCTTCCTATATTCAATGATATGACTATTTGTTTCTCACGAATACAGATGACATCAGCACAAATAAATCATCTTATTCATAACGTCAACTTTCGACCGAAAGATGACCCAGAAGAATATTATAAACCGAAGAATTTGTACAAATTATTTGTCAAACATGGTGGAAGTGCAAAGGAATCATTACTGAAAACACATAAAATTATGGTTACTACTGATCCTCGAGGTACCAGATATGAAAAGGCAGTCGAATGGGGAGTTAAGATTCTTCATCCAGTTTGGATCGTGGATAGTATTGTACGAGGTGCAGCAATGTGTCCTGAAGATTATTTAATTACTGAAAACCCAAATGAGACATACGAGAAAGGATGTGATGTTTGGAATGAAATAAAAAGCAATGAAGATATTGTCAGACAAGAGTCAAACCTTACAATTCGAAGGTCGGAGTCAGCTGAACCTGAACAGAAGAAGAAAGCAGCTGTCAACAAAGCCAACGCTGATATCTGGCATTCGATTATGGATCATACTGAAAGGCATAATAAACAGTTGATTCGAGATAAAACCTGGGATGAAGAAGATGATGAGGACGAGGACGAGGATGATAATTCGTATACTCAGTCTCGTGATATAGATAGTGAAGGTAATGATGGAGGTCCAATTCTTGCTGATAAACGTGAATCCTCAACTGCTCTGGAGAGTCAACTTTTTTTGGGATTTAATTTTCTCACTATAGGATTTGATTCAAGACAGTTTGATTTGTTATCCAAAACGATTGAGAGTTTTCTGGGTGAAGTTGCCAATGATCCAAATGATGATTCAATTACCCATGTTGTGATGCCATCGATTAAAGGAAGTCAGTATATAACTGTGTTAAAAGTATTACCATCTGAATTGAAACTGCGGATTACCAATGGGTTTGTCAAAGTAGTAACGGAATTTTTCATTGAAAGATGCATGTTTTACAAGAAAATCGTTTTAGATAGATGGGGTCAGCCAATGAAGGGGCTACTTTCTTCAAAGAAAATATTCAAGATTTGTATAACTGGTTTTACTGGAGTTGAGTTGATGCACATTGAAAAGTTGATGAAGGCATTGAATTTTGAATATTGTGAATCATTGGCCGAAGACAGAGATTTGTTAATTCTTAATATTAATCTATTTAAACCTAGTTTCATTAAAAACTCTCCGAGATTATTCCAATACAAATGTAAGGAAATCGTCAATTGTCCAACAGGTGGTTCTGTGTCCCTCATGTCTGCCAAAAACAAAATTGATGCAGCAAAACAATGGAATATCCCAGTCGTTTCTGTTGCGTATCTTTGGGATATAATGGAACAATCAGCAAGCAAATCACATATTGTCATGCCAGACATCACTGATTTACAATGGTGTATATTCGCTCCTAGTAACTACAACAAGCCTAAATCGTTATTGGAGTATGTGAAGAATCTAGATAAAGCCAGTCGAGAAGGTTCTGTTGCAGACACTACCGCTGTCGCTAATGAAGATGGAGATAATGACCAGGAGACACACACCACAACAAGCGATAATTCTGCGTCTACAGCTCTGGTTAAATTACCATCACCAAGACGAACAAATGCCAAGAGAAAGTATGGGAAATTGATAGCTGCTGATAAATCACCCAAATCAATACGATCAAAATTGTTAGAGGCTGCAAATACTAAATCTATGGATGACGATGAGTCAGAACAAAACGTAAACCCCGACGTCACAATGGAAGAGGATATGATGTCACAGATAAGATATCAAGATAATGACTCATTGTTTAATCAAGAAAGACTACTAGAAAAACTTGAAAGTTCTGTTCTCCCAAATAATTACTCACATAAACGAAGAAGAAAAGAATAAATGTAAATAATTTTATATTAGTGAGGGTTGTAACCCTAATTTAATGTATGCGAGAATACTTTTTGCACGTGCGCAACATTTTTGTATGGAGTGTTAACATTTTGTATGGGCGCACTCAAATAAATTTGCCCGCTATTTTTTCTGTATTTGCTCTTCGCTGTTATCAGCCAATTTTGGTCATTTCTTTTTTGTTTGTTTGTTGGTTTTCTCCCGTTTTGGGCTGGGCCTCCCCAATTCTCACGCATTCTCTCACTTACTCACTCTTGCCTCTTCAAAAAAAAAATTTTTCTTTCCATTTTTTTCTTCTTGATTCTAACTCTTTTTTTTTTCTTTCTTCTTTTTCCTCTTCACATCTATAGAAATAATCAATCATGGGTAAAGAAAAAACTCACGTTAACGTCGTTGTTATTGGTCACGTCGATTCTGGTAAATCTACTACCACCGGTCACTTGATTTACAAGTGTGGTGGTATTGACAAGAGAACCATTGAAAAATTCGAAAAAGAAGCCGCTGAATTGGGTAAAGGTTCTTTCAAATACGCTTGGGTCTTGGATAAATTGAAGGCTGAAAGAGAAAGAGGTATCACCATTGATATCGCTTTGTGGAAATTCGAAACTCCAAAATACCACGTTACCGTTATTGATGCTCCAGGTCACAGAGATTTCATCAAGAACATGATTACTGGTACTTCCCAAGCTGATTGTGCTATTTTGATTATTGCTGGTGGTACTGGTGAATTCGAAGCTGGTATTTCTAAAGATGGTCAAACCAGAGAACACGCTTTGTTGGCTTACACCTTGGGTGTCAAACAATTGATTGTTGCTGTCAACAAGATGGACTCTGTTAAATGGGACAAAAACAGATTTGAAGAAATTATCAAGGAAACTTCTAACTTCGTCAAGAAGGTTGGTTACAACCCTAAGGCTGTTCCATTCGTTCCAATCTCTGGTTGGAATGGTGACAACATGATTGAAGCTTCTACCAACTGTCCATGGTACAAGGGTTGGGAAAAAGAAACCAAGGCTGGTAAGGTTACCGGTAAGACTTTGTTGGAAGCCATTGATGCTATTGAACCACCTTCAAGACCAACTGACAAGCCATTGAGATTGCCATTGCAAGATGTTTACAAGATTGGTGGTATTGGTACTGTGCCAGTCGGTAGAGTTGAAACTGGTGTCATCAAAGCCGGTATGGTTGTTACTTTCGCCCCAGCTGGTGTTACCACTGAAGTCAAATCCGTTGAAATGCACCACGAACAATTGGCTGAAGGTGTCCCAGGTGACAATGTTGGTTTCAACGTTAAGAACGTTTCTGTTAAAGAAATTAGAAGAGGTAACGTTTGTGGTGACTCCAAGAACGATCCACCAAAGGGTTGTGACTCTTTCAACGCTCAAGTTATTGTCTTGAACCACCCAGGTCAAATCTCTGCTGGTTACTCTCCAGTCTTGGATTGTCACACTGCTCATATTGCTTGTAAATTCGACACCTTGGTTGAAAAGATTGACAGAAGAACTGGTAAGAAATTGGAAGAAAATCCAAAATTCGTCAAATCCGGTGATGCTGCTATTGTCAAGATGGTTCCAACCAAACCAATGTGTGTTGAAGCTTTCACTGACTACCCACCATTAGGTAGATTCGCTGTCAGAGATATGAGACAAACCGTTGCTGTTGGTGTCATCAAATCTGTTGAAAAATCCGACAAAGCTGGTAAAGTTACCAAAGCTGCCCAAAAAGCTGCTAAGAAATAAACAACTTGAATATTTTGGTTAATATCGTTTAGAGTTTTTCTTTTGTATTCATTTATTTAGTTTATTTTCTTATTATATTTGAAATATAATATATTATATTTTATAAAATTTCGAAATTGTAGATTTGTGTTGATTTTGATAAGAATGCATGGTTAAGGTTGCTGATCCAAAATTTCAGTTCTTGCATATTTTTTTATCAAGATTTTCGTTGAATAAATATTCTATGAAATTATAGCCAATATAAAAACATTTTAGTAATATGCAATTGTTGTTCCGAAATGAACGATATGTGTAATTTACGAACTTTACACCCACCTTTGTTTACTCGGATTAAAGTTGTTGATGATAAAAGAATGAAGAATTAATATTTTTTTTAAAACTATTGATGATGGAAAGTTGGATCCGATAGATATTTTTTGATTAGTATCGAAGTACTGTCATTCTTCCATTAAATCAATAATTCAATTTGTTGGTCCAATTTAAGTCTAAGCATCGTTTGTATTATTCAATTTAAGGTTAGTTCTTGTTTTATAACCTGCCATATAAATAAAAGAGTTCTTACGTAATCGCAATATCTTCATGCACTTATTAGATTGGCAAAATTAATCATTCCTAAATATATTTTCTCCCCACGAAATATAAGCCTCTTCGATATCAAGGTAGAATAAGCTAAAACATATAATAGAGCCACGAAATATAATTCTCCAATTGGACAACGGTATCATTCATACTATTATCCCCCCTCCCTCCCTCCTTTTTTTTCAACATATTCAACTGTCGTATAAATACAGTGATGATGATCTTTAATTTCAATACAAAAATTTGATCTTTCTTTTTTTTGTTTGTTTGCTCTTCAAATTATTCAGTATTAATCTTCTTGATGAATAATTTTATCTCCAAGGTCTCTTTGCCTGATGCTTCACTTTCTAAACGTTCCAATGCTGATCATATAGGAGTTGGTATCGCCAGTTTTGTGTTTGTTGTATGTTTTATGATATTTCTTATTGTTTATTGTCAAAGACGAAGAAGAAGAATGGATACCAAAAAATGTGATGATCTTGAAGGAATACAACAAATGAGAAGATCACTTGGTAATCAAACTATGAATAATGGTAATCCCGAACAACAAAACAATCTGTCTAGGTCTTTAAATCCTATTCAAAGCATCTATGACTTTGTTCCTCCTTACAATGTTACAGCTGATGAAAAAATCGATCTAGGGTATTATGATTCTGACTGGAAATTTCATTCTATTGACAATATCAAATTGCCAAGCACACCAGAAAAGGCACAAGTTAGACAATGACAGTTGTAAAGTGCACAAACTTATAGTTTAATTACATTTAATATATGATTTCCACTAGCAGCAAGTTTGTGTCTACTTAAATTTTGATTATGTAATCAAAAAACAGCCGCAAACATATTTACGAGTTCCACAGTAGCAAAATGACAGTAGGTAAGAAAAACTCCAATGACTACATTGTGAGTCTTTCTTGGCACTAGACAACTTGGAAGTTATTTTGCATTACTATAAATACAGACACTGAATCCCTTTCCCAGGAAACGTTGTCTGTTTTTTTCCAATTGATTATTCACTTTTCAATGCTCTTATTTTATCATGATCAAAACCATGCTACCTATAATAATCTAACAAAGAGGTCTATTTCTCATTCCCCTGGTTCAATCATTGCGATTGTAAATATGTGTGTAGGATGGAGTATTGCTGGTATAATGAGCATTCACAAGTGGCAACGAAACAGAAATGTTCGTCGTCGATTACAAAATGATACTATTTGTGCTGTATCTTCTACAGAAAACCGAACATCTGTTGTTGCTCCACCAAGTATAGGAACTGTTCCCAGTGAAATAACAATGGAAACTACTCAATATAATCCACCCCCATCTCAACCAAATGATTCTGATGTTCCAAATGATTTTGTACCTCCTTATAGTGAAACACCACAGCATGCCAACGATATGGGATATTACGATATAGAAGGAAAATTTCATAGAGTTGATAGTTTCAAACCTCCTTCTTCTCCTCCAATTGCATATACTAGATAGATAGATATATTATATAACAACAAGTGTATATAGAATTAATTCTAGATTATTAATATTGTTCTATTAATATGAGGCGTTTCGTTCTCTAGAATGTGTGATGATGTTAATACATATTCATTTGTTGTTTAATTTATCGGCGCAAGACTTGCAATTCTAATAGAGAACAATTTACGAATTGAAAGCCCAATGAAATTTCACTGTCACGAATGACACTTGCGGTGGGGGATAATAAAGAAGCAATAATAATAATAAAAAAAATCAATTTCGAATAATATATAAAGCTCATCCATTTCTTTGCTGTAAATATCTTGTAGTATTAAAGAATAGTTTTTAAACCGATATCTATTCAGAAATGTTTTTATATCACAAAGACGAACCCGTTTTGCATCTTTATAAACGTTCCGGTAGTGGTGTTGTTGCTGGTGCTATTATAACTGTGGTTGTGGTTACTATCATATGGGTTTTATTATTTGTTTCCGTTGTAAAAAGACATAAACGACTTAGGGAAGAACATAGACAGGCTCAAGGTCGACAAACTTATGTATTAAGACCTCGAAGAGCAGGTTTTGTACCGCGAGCAAATAATACCAGTTATCCCACTACTGAGAGGCCAACAGGTGCGACCCGTTCAGAAATTCCGGAAGAAACCGTTCCACCTTACAGTGAGACAGCACAAGATTCAAATGATATGGGGTATTATGATCAAGATGGAAGATTTCACAAAATACATCAAAACGTACCAATATCACCTCCACCAGTTGCTCGTGTATAGATTAAAATTGATTTTCTACTTTTAAAATATACATTCATTCAATCTGAACAATACTAGATTCTAAACTTACCATTGTTGTTTCTTTTTTTTTTTTTTTTACAGATTTAATTCCCCCCTCTCCCGACTCCTGAATTATAAATTGCAAACCATTTCTTCACATCAGGATTAACTGGATCATGTATCCAAAAAAAAATAACTATTAGTTTGCCCTTCTTAGGATATTCATCGAACAGTCGAATTCAATTCTTTTATCAATCCTAATTGATTTTTTTTGTTTTATACAAGCAGTGCCTTACCACGTTACCTGTGTTGTTTAATATTATTGTGATTCTTCAGAGTATTCCAACATGTTTTTGTTCCATGAAAACCGAGATATAGTCCATCAAGTTTTAACCAAAAGAGATGGAACCATTGCCGGAGCTATAGCGTTTCCCATTGCACTTTTTGTCATTGGAATTCTAGTTGTTATTACCATTATAGTCCAGAGGAATAAGCAAAAGGGGGTACCACATGAACTACCACACATGAGGAATTCTATCCCGGTACCACAACCATTGTCACTGGGACGAGTCATACTGTACCGTGACAGACAAAGACAAGGACTGAGAACTAGTGAAATGACTGCTACAAGTATGATATATTCAAATCAATCTGAACAACCGGATGATTTTGTTCCGCCGTATACGGCTAATGTTAATGAGAATGATATGGGATACTATGATTCAGAAGGTAAGTTTCATGCTATAGATTATATAAAACCACCACTTCTGCCACCACTTGCTTATACTAGATAGTGTTTATAGTTTGATTAATATATCTACATTTTTACATTTGATATTGATATTAATTACACTCCGGCAATTATGGGGTCACACAAGTGATTGTAAAACAATAAGAAAGAAAAAATAAAAAGGAAAAAAAAAAAAGTTGCTATTTTGTTTCCCCATTTTTCTGTTCATAATAAAATAAAGAATACATTGGTAACACTAGCCTACACTTGAATCGTCAAGAATGTACCTATTTAACAAATATTGTATTGAATATGTTCATTTGCAGAAAAGAGATGCTAGTTATGGTATAGGTACCGGGCTCATACTTGCTGCATTTATAGTTGCAGCATTAATTGTATTTGCCAGTGCCAAAAGGAAACAAAATGCAAGGAACTTTGTTCAACAACAACAGCAACAACAAGAAGAAACCACAATCTCACAATCTCATGGACAAACAAATCATTCATCAGGAACTGAAGTTCGATCCCCTCCAATAGCTCATCTATCTAATCGTGATGAGAACCCTAACGATTATGTTCCTCCATATAGTGCTACACCAGATGAGAAAAACGACCTCGGTTATTATGATCAAGAAGGTAAGTTTCATCCAAGTACAGGTAATTCAAGATTAGTTTCCCCTCCTCCATTACTTTATACCCGTTAATATATGAACTCCTATGCGTCACGTTTTTTTGAGTCCGTGTATGATGGGCTATGTAATAGTTGCAACAATCAACGGATTTTTTTCTTTTAATTGATTTTGTAACTGCATCAACAATGGATGATAAATCTCCTGGATAAATTCATATATGTATATATAATCTACATGATTGTTTATAACTCAGCCTTTAATGAATCAAGGTTCTTCTCTCTGGGGTATTTAAATTCAATACTATCTCTCCGTGAATAAAAAAAAAAATAGAACAACAGAGAGAGAGTTGAGAAGAAATTTGTTCACTATATCCAATCCCCCCCCCCCCTGAATTCTGGTTATTATGTTTGCTATAATTTTTGCAATTGGTGCAATTAAATCAAGAAAGAAAACAGATAATGATGAAACTCCAATAGATCGAGTCTTGAAAGATCATAGACAAAGAGCAGAACGTCGTGAAAGACGTCGGGAACAAAGACGTACTCGTCAAGCACGTCAGTTTGAACAGCTGCTTCGTTCATCAGGTACAACACAACAAACCGTTCAACATTCTAGACGTAATAATCAATCCCGCTCTAGAAATCGTAATGAAAGAACTTTACCTACTAATCAAACAGAGTATCCAGATGATTATGTTCCGCCTTATACAATTAATGCTAATGAGAATGATATGGGATATTATGATTCACAAGGAAACTTCCACTTTGTTGAATTTACGCCTCCTGAATCATATGTAAAATAGGTTATAATAAATAGTAAGTATCAATTTTTCTCATATAGTTTATTCTATATCGTATTGATCGTTAGATAATTGTAGCATTTCTAGATTGATTATAGACATTGTGTGACGCAAAGTTGATCCTGGCACGGCTAATTATCACTCCCACAGCACCAACACTTTATTTTACCGAAAGATCCACAACGGTTTTCAGATATCTCAGCAAGTTATCATTGAGAGACAGTCATTCTATAATAAATGAGTGACTTGACAGTCTGTTTAGAATCATTAAATACTAAAACTAGAGGACGTTTAAATAATTCATATATGACAGTGGTTTGCATTTTTTTTTTCTGACCTATTTTACGACGCTGGTCACTACGTAATCCAAGAAATACCAATTACCGGAACTAGACTAAGAGAAAAATATCGACCTTATCTCCTATGCTTCATTGACTAAATTTGATGTAGGGATTAATGGTAGGCACGTTGTTTTCACTTTTTTTTGGTGGTAATTTCATTACCTACAATTCACTCCTGAGCTATAAATACAAGTAATAGCTAGTTATTCTTTTTTTTATATATTTTTTGATTAAACATGTATAAATCAAGGAAAAACTCGTCCAACATTCAATGTACCTTTATCAATCAACAGAAGAATTATCTAAATTTGTTAATTTGCAAAAACGATCCCTGGGGGTAATTGCCGGTGCTGCAATTGGAATAATTGTACTTGTGTTATTTATATTTTCCCTTATTATTGCATATTGTTGTTCAAGCAAAAGACTTGATGAACAAGGTGAACGAGCTTTATATACTAGTCAATATCAAAGAGAAGAAGAAGCACAAATGCAAGAAAGACAGCAATCTGCTTTGATGAATACTTTTCAAGGTCCATTAATAATATACAATAATGGCGCTGAACATAATATAACTCCTGTTAATCAAACTGAGAATCCCGAAGATTTTGTCCCACCTTATTCAGCTAATGCAAATGACAATGATATGGGATATTATGATCCAGAAGGGAAATTTCATCCTGTTGATTCAATGAAACCTCCATCTAGTCCTCCAGTGGCATATGTTAGATGAATCTAAGAAAATAGAAATACACATGTATTTATTTGAGTAATCTACAAGTTGTAAATTGTATTGTCTATATTCTTCAGTTTGCAGGTCACACAATAGTCAAGCAAGCTGCCATTGAAGAAAAACTTCTGTCATCTAAGTAGTGTAACAATTATTATCAACTCGCACGTTTTTAGCTTCACAGATGATCGCATTTAGTATAAAGACGTTCAATCCCATTTGGAAGTACCGACGGGAGGATTAATCCATAGATGTAAGATAACCAGTTATTCTTACAAATGATTATGATGATAGATTTACAATATATCAAGTTCACGTGGCTTATTGTATTCTACGAACTACGAGGTGACCTTATTACATAAGCACCAAGAACTAAAAAAATTAAAATGAATGTTCCCATTGTCAAGTCATAACTAGTTTTTTTGAAGGGGTGTATGGGAGTGAATGTGGAGCAATGTCATTCTCTCCTATAAATACAAAGGATGTGTTTTGGTTTCTTTCCATCAATTGATACAATTGAATAACTAACAATTCCAACTTTATCTAATGTACCTTTATCAATCAAATCAAGAACTGGTAAAATCTGTTAATTTGGAGAAACGAGCCGTGGGATCAGCAGCTGGTTATACAATTGCAATTATTTTTGTTATTATAGTGGTATTCTTCACTATTGGTCTGGCAGTGGGTGTTTCGAATAAAGCTAAAACTAGAAGGCTTCAGGAGGAAAGAGAACGGGAAGAACAACAAAGGCAGGAAACTACACAATCAAATGGTCTAGTACCTAGGTCAACATCAAGGAATAATGAACCAAATGAAAATGAAGATCCTACTAATCAATCAGAATACCCTGATGATCTTGTACCTCCATATACAGCTAAAACAAATGAAAACGATATGGGATATTTTGATGATGATGGTGTTTTCCATGAAAATATAGATGCTCTTCAAGTACCTCCAATGGCATATATTAGACTGAATGAAAGATCTTTTGGTGAAGAAAATGAATCACTAGCTAGTTCTCCAGTTCTGCCTGATCAACAACAACAGCAACAACCGCCACCACCAAGAGTCACACCAATGATGTTACGTACTTTGCGTTACTGAATGAATTTGCAACATGTCTCTTTTCATTGATAGATTCTCTAAATTTATACATATATTAATATAATCAAGAAAACGTACTAAAAAAAAAATAGAAACCTTTCGATATACCAACCTGACTAAACATTAATTAACCCTTCACCTTTTGATCTTAAATAACTAATCAATTCATTATTTTCATACATTTCAATTATTTCTTTACTAGTACCAACTGGTAATCCACCCAAGAATAATCTTGGAATATTCTCCACATCCGAATGATTAATATTTTTCAAATATTTCAAAATATTGAGATAATTAGGATGTCTTGACAAGTTTATTATTTTTGGTTCTGGACTAATATTCAAATTCAAAAGAATTGTATTCAATTTATCTATTTGATTATTCAATGATAATACAATGATTGGATTAACTGAAAATATTTCCTTTAAATTTTCTTGAACTAAAATATGCATGTCAGGATCTTGCTCTAGATCATCATTTTCTTCTATTATTGCATCTATATTTGATTTGCTATTAGAGATATCATAATCATTATCGTTTTCTTCATTATCATCTTTTTCTTCTTGGGAACCACTATCAACAACTGAACCTTCTTGTGGTTGTTTTTGTGATAATGGTGCAGAAACTCTAGTATGTGGGGTATGATGTTGGTGCTTTAATTCTTCTTGAACTTCATTAGAAAGGGATAAACCAGTACCCCCATTGTTGACATCATCATAATTTGACATCAACTCATCTTTTAAAATAGAAATCTCTGGTGAATTTGCGTTTGAAGTAGATGAAAGTAATATTGATTGATCCAATTGTAAGTTATTGTTCCATAATGAACGATAATTATAAATAAAATACACTGAACACATTATACAAAGTGAAAAAAATGTAACTGTCAAAAAATTTGATTTCCCATTGTTGATTTTCAGCTTGAAATGTTTATGTTGTTTATCATCATATGGTAATCCATTTTTCTCAATATCAATGTAGAATGATCCTACTCTAGATTTTCTTTGAGGCATATTCTTCTTCTGTTAAATAAGATAAGTGTTATCTAATGTTGTTCAAAGGAAAGGATAAGTGAAATAAGTAGTCAAAAAATAAATAAAAAAAAAAAAATTTTTTGTTAAATCAAGTGGGATAAATGTAAATATATAAACAAGGGATAAAAATTATTGGTGTGGGTAGTTTGTGAAGTCAAAAGCCAAATATTAATGTGCTCTACACGACAATTTTCTGGTCTTTTTTTTTTGTTCTGTAGAATAGGGCGGCACCTACACATGCACCTACACATGTACACATTAAGTTTATCGACATTATTAAGAAAATTTAAAAGATCCATTCTAAACTAATAAGATTACTATTATATTTAACTATTAAGTAATTAATTCTCTATTAATAACATTGGTAATATAATAAAATAAAAAGTAACATTGATTTGTAATAGATTATCTGCTTTTGTAAATCATGTTGTATATCTAAATCTACCTATCTCCCTACTTCTACCCCTCTATATCCCCCCGTTTCAATTTAAATTATGTAAGATATTTTTACAATCATTACTTTCTTTTGTTTGGGGTTACATTTTCACTCCTGTCCAACAAATTGTACAGTACAGTACATCAATTAATTAATTAATCAATAATTGGGCGTGTAGAATTGCAAAAACAAATTTGATTTACGAACAATTTCCATTTGGTAGCGTGTGCATCTTAACTTTAAAAAAAAAATTGTGGAGATGTCCAAGAAAAAAAATAAAAAGCCGGCAGTTTCAACTGTGAAGTACAAAAATGCAAAGCAGACTTGGGTGAAAATGAAATGATGTTTTGATATGACAACATCATTTATAGGTAATAAAAATGGATTGACAACCCTTTGTTGGTTAATTTCAGGTTAACAATAGTAACAGTAGTCTCGAATTGGATTGTGCATCGTATAGTTTTAAGATTCATTGATAATGAAATTTTCGATTATTACCGATTTTATCAAAATCAATTTTTTACTTTTGATTTTATTCCAAAAATAGATGAAAAATTATTTCGGTCATAATTGTGTTAATTGAATAAACTGCCGTTATTTTAAAGTCTTGTGACATAAATTTATGATGGGTTCTGTTCTAGTTCAACAATATCTGAGCTGGAATATTTGCCATACTTGTGGTTAAAGTTGTGTTTCAACCAGCTATGAATGTATAGAAATGAAGATATATGCTATGTACTATTTATAGAAATCACAGTATTATTTACTGTGATATCATACAACGTGTGTTGACTCCCTACTATATCCAGTTCTTCATTCATGGCTTGTTTTCTATTGTCAGTTTACAAAACCATCAATTTAGAGATGATTTTTAACACGCGACACGTTAATTTTTTTTTTCTATCTCTCTAAAGTATGCGCTTCTCACTTAGTTCCAGTTTCGTCGGTTCCTCCATCGAGAAGTGAACGAAAAAGAAAGAAAGAAAAAAAAAATGTACGAAACCAAAACAAACACCAAAAACAAAATTTTTTTTTTTTTTACAAATAAACGTTGTATCTAATGCACATAGGTTATTCACACAAAACATAACAATGCTAATATGAGTAAAAGATCAGATTTAATAAATTTAGGAGATCCTTTACCGTTGAGTTATAAGCCTGTAAGGCAAAGACCAATTCCTAACCAAAATCAAGATCATCAACAACAACAAGAACATCGACAAGTTTCGAATCCAATTCCGATCCATAATACTAATATGAATACACTGGTATCTTATAATACTAGTCTACGACTGTTCACATCGGGAAACAGACCATATATACGATCGAATCTTACCACTAAAGAAAGAGTAAGAAATAAGTTACGACAATTGATACATGAAGTAAATGAAATTGAACAAATCAATGAGATCCAATTACTTGAATTAGAGGAAAGGTTAAATGGATTATTTGAACTTTTACACCAGGACAATGGAAAACAATTGGAAATACTCGAACAAGAAGTAAACGATGAAGATGAAATGATAACTGAATTTGAAAACGCAAGGTCAAGTCTACAAAATTGAAACAGTTAAATAAAATGAACTATAATTTTATAAATAATTGGAAGTATTGGTTCATCATTGGTCTAGTAATATCTGTGGTATTTTTTTTATTAAGTTCATTAATCATGGCTGATTTCAAATATCAATATTGTTATTACTTTTGTTGAACAAATTATAGTACATTCCCTTATCAATTATTTATTTACTTCTCCAACAGTATTATTATTATTATAATTATTATCATCATTATATACAAGATTTTCTCTCCAATTTCCACCCAAATTAATAGACAATTAATAATAATTATATATCATAATCATTTTCTGGAGGTGGTGCAGAATCACTGTTTAAATACATATCAATAGCCAAACTGAATGCAGCAAAACCGGCACAACCCATAAATGCAGCATGAGGACCAGCCTTGATAGCCAACCCAGCACCAGTTATACACCCAGCACTGACACCATTATAAATATCATGTTTTGCTCTTAAACTTTCGACAGTACATTCAACACCCAGGTATACCATACCAATATATCCGAAATTTTTAGCACTTGAATAAGATCTTTTAGCCATATCTGTAAATTGTAATTTCATTTGTTGTTTAAATGGTAATTCAGAAATACCTTTAACAGATGCTGTTCCTATAGGAGCATCATATGCCATAGATGCCATGAATAAACCAAAGAAAGCACCCAACCCAAAACCAGATACAGCAGACATGATGGTTTTTCCGGGACATGATTGCATAAATGAAATCATCTGTCGAGCACCTTCTTCTGCTTGCTCTTGTTGAGTCATTTCTTGAATAGATTTCTTAGGTGGTGCTGGACCAGTATATACTCCCCATAAACTCATGATATATATGTAACGGTATAATGTATAATGATGGAGAAAGACTATTGAGTAAGTGAAGTACTAGTTGAACCTCTCATAATGAAAATTTTTCTCCCTTTTTTTCTTCAGTTCTCATTTTTGCTGTACTGTTACTTTAGATTATGAAAGTTTTTTTTTCTGTTGATTTTTTTTTTGGTTGGTTGCCTCTCAGTGACTTGCGAAATGGTTTGGCATCAAGAGTGGTTGCAAGATAATCAAAGAAATCCGATCAAGGAAAATTCGCAAAAGAGTATATTCAATGATCTGTAATGGTTTAGATATTGTTTTAAAATACAGAAGAGATATACTATTGATCTAAAGTCAGGTTCCATTATTCGCAATTCACATTTCACAATTCACAATCGGAGTGTGCATTATGCATCAACTAACAACACCATCACAATTACTACAAAGATATAGCCAATTCCATGTTCTATATACGACCACGGAATAGTGTTTTCCACAACGTTATTTGAGAGGATAGAGAGAAAATAGGGGGAAGAAGGAACATTAAAACTTGGCTTACACGTTTCATTTTCCTTTATCAAAAGTTACTCAAATAGTTAAACCCATTATTTATCGGGAATGAAAACGTTTTGTTGGAGAAGCTGGTTGGGGAGAAAAAGGGGGACAACCTGAAATTAATCTGTATGTAGTATTTCGTCTCGTCATAACCATTTTCATTATTTGACAGCATTTGTTTAGTGACACCAGGGTACGTAATAATCCGGAGAAATTATTCCTCTACACTCAAATCCCGATTACACCCATGAATATGTAAACATATGGAGTTGAAGTATCATGATCCCATATTCATCACCAAACTAAAACATAATAAATCGAATAATTCTGAATTATTTGATAAGCAATTACAAACAAACAAACAAACAAACTAAAAAGTGGTGTTACTCTTCGTTCTCCACACAGAACTTTAGTAAAATTTTTTGGGGTCACAGTATTTCTTCGTGTTCATCAAATCTCACCCCCCTCCCCTTGATCAAACGACTCACAAAAAAAAATACTGTACAAGATGAGACACACTCACACATTAATTTCCTTGGTAATTACACGCCATCTATAGATGAAGCTATTTTTCCGGTTCCTCTTTTTGAATCTTTATATTACGATATTGGAGTCATAGAATATCAAATTTTTCAAAGATCATAGTCATCTTGAAAAAAAAAGAACTAAAACCCTAACTGTTTGGGCATTAACATGAAAAGAAATAAAAAGAAACGAAATGGAAAAAAGAAACGAAATGGAAAAAAGTTGTTGAAATCAAGGTGTTGGCTTGAATTAAAATTAGTGGAGAGATTTTTTTTGAATTTGGGGTCATAGAATTTTTAATCAATTGGGGTGAATCACACGACTATATTATTTTTTCTTTGTCTCTTTGTTTCTTTCCCCCCTAGAAATGCAACAGTAGCCAGTAAGAATTAATTCGCATACAGAAAAAAAAAAAGAAAACATAGCAAGTGTTGGGTGAACTTCTTCTTCTCCTCCCCCCTTGGTTCATACAAGATCTCCTGCTCCCTTTTGTCTTTCCTAAAGTGAAATACGATAAAAAAAGAGTATAAATACACCCATAATTTCCCTTGTAGAAATTTCTCTGATTTTCATATTTCCTTTTCTCTTTTCTATTCACTATCAAGCAATCAATCAATCTAAGATTACTACTTAGTATATCAATTCAATAGCTGATTAAATTTCATTTGTTTGGTGTACTATTTTAACTGCGCTCAAATTTTTTTGCAACCACTTTTTTTTTGACAACACTTATTTATTTATATCCACGTTGGATTATACATTTACATAACACTAACTTACATTTTCATATAACACACGATCATGGCGGGAAAGAAGAAGTCTAAGTCTGATTCAGTACCATTAGATTTAGGCAATATTAAACCATTAGAAAAATTACAACCAGTCCCAAAGACTAGATCATCCTCAATTACTTCAATTGAATCTGCTGATGAACCAGGTACTATGAAGCAAGTTTTATTACCTCCTACTATTAGAGAATTTGACGAATTGGAACAATTTGAAGCTTTTGTTAGAGATGAAACTTGGGATAATGAATTTGATTATTTCCACGGTAGATTACATTACTATCCACCATTTGTCATGAAGGCTTGTCATGATGATGTTGAAAAGATCAAACCTACAGTTAATAAAAATTCCAAAAAGTTTAGACGTGATTTACAACATCATATTCAAAAACATTTAATTAAAGATTTGGAGAAATGTTGTGGTTATGAATTAAATTTCGGTAAAGGTGAAGTTGTTGAAACTGATTCAAAAGTCACTTGGAAATTTAAGGATGAAACTGATCATGGTTTTAGTAAAGAAGAAGAAGATATGTATGATAGACATTGGAGATTAGAATTAGATGTCACTTGTACTAATGAATCAGCTATGGTTGATGTCGAGTACAAGTCAATTCCTTTGTAATTAAAAAGGGGTTTTTTATTTCTTCTCTTATTATTTTTAGTTGCTAATTAGCTAAGTCTGGTTTCTTTTTGCTATTAGTTTTTTTACTTTACTTTTATGATCTATGTTTCTGCTATGTTTCTATTTTTTTAAATAATTAAATAATGTTTTACGAATTGATGAGAGAAAAATTTTTTTAAGAATATAAATGATTTTTATTTTTACTTTCAATTGACTTGTTCTTTTACTTGTGTAATGGAATTGATTGTTTATATAAATATAATAGCAATTACATTGTATATAGATTAGACAGCTATTTGAATATACGATTTCATTTATTTAAGTTCTAGCTAATCGATCATATTGTGGACTAGTGTAATCATAAGTGTTTTTGTAGATATCAATTCTATTCAGTAGAAATTCAGCTAATTCCTCTAATTCCAGTACCAAGACAGTTGTAGATACACCATCCATTGTAGTTGAACTAATTAAACTTGGTAATAAAACAATTAATCTTAACAAATGTTCAACACCATATACTTTACTTTGAGATGATTCAATATTAATAGTATCTTCTTTTAAAAAATTCAAATATTGCAAGTTTTCAAATTTATATAACAAAATCAAACTTAAAGATTTGTTAAAATAAGTTTCCAATCCATTTAATATTTCATGTAATTTTGAAAGTTGTTTACTTGATAATTTTTTTGTTCTATATGATTTATAATCTTGTAAAATTTGATAAATGGTATATTTACTTGGTAAAGATATTAATTTTCTATCTTTTGAAACATTCTTCCAATCTTCAACCAAGATAGTCTTCAATTCATCGGGAATTTTTAATTGTATGGATCGACGAGGAGTTGGAGTTGTTGATTTTTTACCATTGACAGTTTTTTGTTTCTTTGACGGGGTTTGACTATTATTATTTGTTGTGCTAGCCAGTCTTTTTGAATTCGATTGTCTAGTTGTTACTGTTGTAGTTGTTGTTGTTGTTGTTGCGGTTGATGATGAAAGTGATCCAGCAGGTGCTTTCTTCTTTTTCGTCAACTGATCTAGTTCTAATTTCTTAAACTTATTTTCATTATTAAGTTCCATAATTCTATCAATTCCTACCCATTCATCCCATTTTGCATTCCAACCTTGATAATGTAAATAATAACAATTTTGATTTTTCCATTTAGCTTTATCAAAACGTGGTTCATTAGATTCTATAGTTTCTTGCTGTAGATCATGGTTTATTATAAAGGATTCATTTTTCTTCTTTATTTTCAATATTTTAGCTTCATAAATCAATGGTCCATGATAGGCATATACTAATTGATTTGGCTTATACTCTACTGTGGCCACCATTTCTATGTTTGATATTCTCCTCTTCTTCTACGTTGTTAAGTATTGGTTGCAAAGAAAAGACCGATTATAAAAGAAATAAAGGACAAGGGGGGAGCCAGATAATATGAATTAAGAAAGCCTAATTTTTGTAAAAGTTGTTTTGATTTTATTGTTTCTGCGATTTTTGGTTTTTTTTTACAACTCGTTTTCACTTGCACATTTTCCTGTATCCAGTAATAAAAAAAAAACAAGAGCAAGAAAGAGAGAGAGAGAGAAAAACAAAAAAAAAACCTCTCATGTTATTTTCTTGCTCTGATTTTTTTTTTTTTTTTGATTGTTTAATCGGCGGAGGACGACTTGCACACTAACACTCACACAGAGTAAAATTCTCAAAAACAACATCAAACTTGAAAGAGTTTTTTTTTTGTCTTTATCTCCACCACACCATCCAACGTATCAACAAACACACGGATAAGTACTGGTTCAGAGATTTAAAAAAGAGATAAATACAGAGTTTATATTATTGTCAGTATACAAATGCCATGTCTTCGTCGAATAATAGTATAGTTGGAGTACACTACAAGGTTGGAAAAAAAATAGGAGAAGGTTCTTTTGGAATCATTTTTGAAGGAATTAATATATTAAATAATCAACAAGTTGCCATTAAATTTGAACCAAGAAAATGTGAAGCACCTCAGTTACGTGATGAATATAGAGCTTATAGAATATTGAATGGTACTAAAGGGATCCTCAAGCTTATTTTTTTGGTCAGGAAGGACTTACATTCAATTTTAATTATTGACCTAATTGGGTCCTTCTTTGGAGGATTTGTTTGATTGGTGTAATAGAAAATTTTCTGTTAAAACAGTAATACAAGTTGCTAAACAAATGATCGAAAGAGTACAATCTATTCATGAAAATAATTTGATTTATCGCGATATTAAACCTGATAATTTTTTAATTGGTAAACCCTGATACCCCCTGAAGCTAATCAAGTTTATATTGTGGATTTTGGAATGGCTAAACAATATAGGGATCCTAAAACCAAGGTGCATATTCCTTATCGTGAAAAGAAAGCATTGAGTGGGACAGCAAGATATATGTCAATAAACACCCATTTGGGAAGAGAACAACTGAGACGAGATGATTTAGAAAGTTTGGGTCATGTTTTCATGTATTTCTTGAGGGGATCATTACCATGGCAGGGTTTAAAAGCACCTACTAATAAACAAAAGTATGAAAAAATTGGTATGAAGAAGCAAACAACATCAATTAATGAATTATGTTATGGATTTCCAATTCAATTTGCACAATATTTGACATATGTGCGTAATTTAAAGTTTGATGAAACACCGGATTATAAATATTTGATAAATTTAATGGATAAAGCTCTGATTTCAATAAGTGTTGAAGAAGATGGACATTTTGATTGGATGGATTTAAATGGGGGTAAAGGTTGGGATGCTGCATTAAATAAAAAAGCTAATTTACATGGTTATGGCAATCCACATCCTCCTGCTCATTATAGAAAACATCAACAACAACTTCAGCAGCAGCAGCAACAGCAGCAACTTCAAAATTCTCAAAATCAACCATTACTAGGAAGAAGCCATTCTAGAAATAACTCAGCATCATCACCTAGAAATAACAACAATAGATTTGGTTATCAATCTATACAACAAAATCAACAAGATTCACGAAATATTCAATTTTTAAACAATAATAGCAGGTTTACTCAACAACAATATTTACAAAATGGTATGATACCAGTAAGAGACAATGAAGAATTGCATTCAGATACATCGAGTTTTAATAGAAAGAAAAATAGAAGTTGCTTATCTTGGATATTTTGTTGTTGCTATTAAGAGGTTTTTATTCTATATATATATATATCAATTTTCACCAAAGTTTTACAACACCCACATTTATACATAGATCAGAATTATCTTTTTATACTTCTTTAGTTCATTTTCAATTCATCATTACTACATTTTTCATTATCACAAACTTGAATAATATCAAATTAGAATTACATACATACATATATACATACAAAATAAGAGAAAATAAAAAACGAATTTCAATAAAAAATAAATATATTTATGTATATATATAAATGGAACTATAGAAGAGAAATAATTTGCAACACTATCAACGATCAACGATCAACGTCTCTCTGTTTCTGATATTAGACTATTCACTAACACTACTCATTCTTGATCTATCACCAACATTCTTCATATCAGCTTCTTCACTCATTGAAGAAACACTCATTTGCCTATCAACTCTAATATCACCACTAGTCATTTGATCATCCTTATGTTGTTGTTTAGGTAACCAATAATTATTATTACTTGCACTACTGGTATAACTATAAAATTTACCAGTATTTACTTGTGATGCACCACCATAATGATGAACTGATTTACCACCATTAATTCTTGAACCGATTTTATTAAAGAAATTATCAAATAAGTCTGGCATTTTGAATTTATATTGTTTATTATTAAAATAATCAAATGAAATGAAATGAAAAGATTAAAATATAAATTTGAAAAATTGTTTTGATAGTGATTCGTTAATTGGAACCTGTTTATATATGATTGAATTTTTATCAGGGGATGGATTTAATAGGAATTACTAATATTATTAAATTTACAATAGAGGGGATGGTGATGGATAAAGGAGAGATATTTAACTTACCACCACCACCACCACCACAAGTTAACTTTTTAGTAAAACAATATCATTCATTGGTACGACAAAACAAAAAGGAGGAGAAGTAAAAATGAAAAAAAAAAAAAAAGAAACAAGGAGCAATATAATATTTGAATCCTTATCAAATGGGGATTATATGTAAGATTACATATAATAATGTATGATCAATGATTCAAACTTTTTAGTAAACATGGGGGGGAATTGTGGAGGGCAAAAGATTGATTGATAAATGGCGGGGAATTATTAGATAAACGGGGACATTGAATTTACTTTCTCCAACTTTCCTAATTCTTTACCTTTTTGTTGGCTTAAGAAAAATCAGTTGATGTGGTTACTTTAACATACGTTTACTTCAAGTGATAATTGTATGATTTGTAAATCTAGAATTCATCAATTGGGTAATGATGTCAAAATCTTTTGGTTTGTGTCGTCGTGGGATTGTCTTTTTTTTTTTTTTGCAACCTGTTGTGATTCTCCAATAATTGAATGACATCTGTATATTTCGAGAAACTCCCGTTTTTTTTTTGTGCAATTATTCGGAAGTGCACCGCATTTGGAAATATCCCGAATCTCTACAAGTTATCAATATTAAACAGAATATATATACATTCAATATTAACTTACAGAACTAAACAATATTAACGTACAGAGCTAAACGATTACAAAAACACATCTTTAAAAGTTTGTCTTGCATTCTCAGTGATAACATTACCATGGCACATCACAATTGTGTTAAAATCCCAAGAATAAATACCTTCTAAACCAGCTTTACTAGCATTAACATTAACAAATTTTCTAAACATAAATCTTCCAACTTTAGAATAAGGTTGTAAATATCTTGTCATAAATGACCAACCAGAATGAGGATTAAAACCTTTTGCAAAACCCAATTCAGGTGAATATTGTTCCAATATAGTGGTTCCTTGAACTGTACCTGGTACACCTAAATTAAACAACAAATCAGCTTCAAATAAAGTTTTTGCCTTTTTTTCAAATATAACCAATTCTTGATTTGTATGTTTTGGTAAATAAACAAATTCAAAATTATTTACAATATCATCATCATTTATAAAATTCTTCAATTCTTCATCTTTAATAATTTTATTCCCCATTGATTCAGTAAATTTATAATCAATATTTATATTTTTAATCCCTTCCATACCAATAATTTTACAATCTGGGAAAACTTCTTGATATTTTTTACCAGCTAAATTATGTTCACGATCAGGTATAATAACATAATTAATTTTTAAATCAGATTCTTGTGAAATTCCAGTAAATTTTAATATAGTATCAATAACTTGTGGTGTATAAGGTAATGGTGACCATAATATGATTTTCTGATCTCCTCCTCTTCCTCCTCCTTGTTCTTGTTCTTGTTCTTGTTGTGATAATTTGAAAATTGCCATACGTGCACCAAAATTCAATTTATCAACTCTTGAAAATGCACTTGATGCTAATAAAATATTATCTGTAATTGCTTTAGTTACAATTTTGAAATTTTCAGGATATCCCATTATGAATTAATTGATTATAATGATTGCGCTATTACTTGTTGAAGGTAATTGATGAAAAATGAATTATGTAGAAGATGTAATTCTATTTATATATTTATAGGAAAGTTTTTTTTTCCGTCTTCTTCTTCTTCTTTCTCTATTTATTCTCCCTTTTTTTTGCCTTGTATTGCAATTGTTACTTAATTGGATGAATGATTAATAATTGCCCATTTTTTTTTTTTTATTTATAAGGTCATCTTTGTGCATTGTTCAACATGCAAAGAACGACAATAAGGAAAGATTGCAATAGAAGAATTTTCTTTTTCCCTTTTTTTTTTTAGTTTGCGGTGGTAGACATGTCTCGGCCGAATAGCCAATCGTTCTAGCCTCGTATGGAACACCACGTAATCATGAGGTTTATCTACACGACCAAATTTACAAAATTTTCAAACCATGAAATATATATTATTCTCTTTACTAATATCAAATATTCTAGATCATTTGCTATTTATTGTTCTTTTGTAATACTTATAAAAATGAAAAAAAAAAAATAATGAAACATCCATTGAGATGATAAGAAAGTGTTTTAACTGGAAAAGTACCAAGCCTCTTCTTAAACAATTTCAAAATCATACAAGACAAAAGGTTCATAATCTGTATCAACCAATGATGCGTATTCATGTAAATTAGAACTGTTTGAAAAACCATCTCCACCAAGATAACCAAATTTCTGTACTAATTCCTTTTTAGCTTTTGAAACATTCTTTAAATTGTTACCTTCAAATTTAATTAAATAGTTGTCAAATTCAGGTGGTAAACCATATCTTAACACAGCTTCAACATAAGTTCTAATCACTTTAATATGGAACCAACTGGCAACAATGTCCAGGTATGCAGTTTTACTCAATCTAATTAAATCATTTTTCAATTTCATTTCTGTTGCTTGAGTTAAATCAAATTCTTTTCTTAAATTATTCAATACTTCTTCATTATAAGTGAAATCAGTTCTTGGATGCCATCTATGTTCTCTAGCATTAGTTATGAATTCTTGTTGGAATTTCTTAAATAAAGTAACGCCAAATAAAGTGAATTCTTGATCTTTAGCAATAACTTCAGCAGATCTAGGAATGACAAATTCAGTTAAAGTTTCATAAGTTTTATAAAAATCGGCAACTAAATTATTTGGTACAGCAATCAATATAGTAGTCAAATGTTCAGAATCTAAAACAAATTGTTCTGGTTTAACAATTTCATGTAATGATTTAATTGATAAATCCCCATTTTTCTTTCTATCAGCTGCTAAGAAATTTGATTTAGCAGCTTGATAATTTTGGAAACTTGCTCTAACATCATTATCTAAAGTTATAGCTTCATTTGAAATTATTTTAACTAATTCTTGAATTGGTTTATCTAATCTATATTTTGAACTATTCCATTGAAAATTTTGAATATAATCAAAAATAGATCTTGATTGAACAATTCTTGAAGTATTATTTTTAGTATCAACAATAGAATTCAAAATTTCAATGACTTTAGAAACTGATGCTCCTAATTGTTGATCAATTTTAGTCAATTCTTCACTTTCTTGAACCAATGAATCTAAAGTACCACTTTGAAAATCCGGGATCTTTAAATTATATAATGGTTGTTTCCCATTATTTAATGATTGTTCTAACCATTCATGTGCATTAGTAGATTGTGGTAATGAAAGTATTAAATAATCAGCAATTGCTTGATTAGATGAAGATGATGACATGATAAGTTAATCACAAATAGTAAATTATCAAATTAATTTCCCTTGTTTTACTGAAAAAGAAAAATTAAATTAAATTAAAACCCTATCGTGGTGGTTTGAGATATCAACGAACGAAATTTTAAATTGGTTGGACACTTAATTTCAACTCACTCGTTTCTTTCAGAAAAAAAAAAAAAAAAAATTAGACAGCACGAGATTGTTTAGATATACACGACTTAAATTATCAATGGTCTCAAATGTTGCAGCACAGTAAAGTAGTAAATGATTTACTTAAGAAATGTTGTCTTTTTAATTGATATATATTAGATTATTAAGGCTATTATATAACAGAGAGATTTATTTGCAAACTAATCACCAATGAATATTGTCATCTAAAAGGGCCCTTTTTAATATATGCTTCTCCCCATCTACACGCTGAAGAGTAAAATTAAGAGAAATCACATTCCATCGCAACACAGAAAAAAAAAAATTTAAAGAGAAAAACGAAAAATTTCCTAAATACATCTTATTGAATCAAACGAAAAGGGTAGTATTTAATTCAAGATACAGTCACCATGAGTAATTCCTTAGAAGTATGTGTTTGTTATTTATATTCTTGTTGAATATTCAAGAAATAATAGAGTTAGAAGACAAAAATTATTAACACATTTTCTTATTTCATTAAAGGAACGTCTCAAAACTCATTCATCAGCATTTGATGGATTATTATCTTTAATTCCAGCCAAATATTATTATGATGATGCTACTCAAGATCAATGGCAACAAAAGAAAAAGAGTAAACAAGAACTTAAAAGTAATAAACGAGCAAAATTGAATCCAGAAAGTAAACAAAATGCTGATGAATACTTAAATTCTCATGCTAGTGCAAAAGATGTCATGGATAATAAAGCTAAAAATGCTAATCAAGTTAAATTACCTAAGAAACTTCCAAAACCGATCACTGAAGAAAGTGATGATGATGATGATGATGTAGAAATACCAGATATGGATGTGAGTGGAGATGATGATGATGAGGAGGAAGAAGAAGAAGAAGAAAAGAAAGTTAAAGAATCAGATGATGACCTTATGAATGAAGAAGGTGGTTTAATATTTGATGACGAAGGAAATGAAGTCGAAGTAACAGGAACATTTAAAAAACAAGAAATCATTGATAAAAAGAATAAAAAGAAAGAATTATCAGAAGAGGAAAAACTCAAAAAGCAAGAAAATTTAAAGAAATTACGTGAAAAATTAGAATCCAAGATTAATAATTTAAGAGAAAAGAGAAAAGCTATAGGTACTAAAACTGCCGGAGCACCAAAATCTCGTGATCAAATATTAGCTGAACGTCAAAGAAAAGAAGAATTAAAGAAACAACAACAAAAGAGAAAACATGACGAACTTGAAGATGAAGATTCAGATTCAGATATGGACTCGGATGTTGAAGAAGAGGGTGAAAAAACAAGTAAAGATGTTTTATTTGGTAATATTGTATTTAATGATGGATCTCAAGTTACATCTGATTTAACCAAGATTCGTAATTCAGCAGATAAAAAGAAACAAAAGGGACCAGCTAATAATGATATTAAAGCTCATTTGAATAAATTAGAAAAAAAGAAAAAGAAATTGGCCTCAATGAGTGCTGAAGATCAAGAAAAACAAAAAGAAAAGGATAAATGGCAAAGAGTTATGGCACAAGCTGAAGGTATCAAAATTAAAGATGATGAAAAATTGTTGAAAAAGGCATTAAAGCGTAAAGAAAAACAGAAATTAAGAAGTGAAATTGAATGGAGAGAACGTAAACAAGTTGTTAAAGATACTGTTGCTGCCCGTGCTAAGAGAAGAGAAGAAAACTTGAAAGCTAGAAGAGATAATAAAGGTAAGAAACATAAGCCAAGATTAAAGAAATTCACTGGTACTGTAAATAAAGCCCAAATTAAAAAGAAGAGAGCAGGATTTGAAGGTAGCGCAAAGGCCAAACCAAAGAAAAAGTAGATATATCTTAATGTATGTATATATATGTATATATATGTTTCTAGTAATAATAACAATCTATAATTGTCATAACCTCAAAGTCTTGTTCCTTTTTATTCGGGTCTAATCCTTGTGGTATAATTATTGCTAAGTTGATCCATCGGAGATATTTAATTGGAACAACAACAGCAACAAAAAAAAAGGTTTTATTCGAATGAGGTCGCAAAATCAAATTGATTTTTATTTTTATTTGGCGGAAGGGGAAAGTTTTGCTGTTCTTTTTATTTTTGTGTGTGAGTGAGAGTGAGAGTGAGAGAGAATAAATGGGCAGGAAAAATTTATGGAGTTTTGACTCGCAGCAGCAATACCGCAGTACTAGCGCGCGCACCGTTGCAATTGCTGCTGTTTCATTTCGTTGTTGATGATGATGAAGGACAGAAGAAAGAACGAAAAAAGAAAAAAATTTTGTAATGGAAAATGAAATTGAAATTTTTTTTTTTTTGCTTGCTTTTACTTTTTTTTTTCCCTCTTTTTCTGTTAATTCGCCATTGTCTTATCAATTAACTCAAGTTATATTTGATAAATTATCAATTCAATTGTTCAACCATGTCATTCCAAGATCAAGCTAAAAGATATTTATCTCAAATTGATAAAGTATGTTTAGTTCTTATCTCTCAATGTTGCAATTAGTGTACAAGGAGTTACCGGTGTCCTGAATCGTTCCCGAGGTATCCCTTGTTCCTAATTTTTTATTTTTATTTATTTTTCATCCCGACTGGTAACAACCAACGTATTACTAACATCTATAATTCTTAGTCTTCTAAAAACGTTTCCGTTTTAAACCAATTCGAAACTAAAACTGGTTTACCAAGATCATACGCTGTTCTTGGTGCTGGTGCTTTGTACTTGTTGTTGATCATTTTCAACTTTGGTGGAATTGGTCAATTGTTATCAAACATTGCTGGTTTTGTTATTCCAGGTTACTATTCCCTTGTTGCCTTGAAAACTGTCACTACTACTGATGACACTCAATTATTGACCTACTGGGTTGTTTTTGCTTTCATCAATGTTATTGAATTCTGGTCCAAAACCATTTTGTACTGGGTTCCATTCTACTTCCTTTTGAAGACTGTTTTCCTTATCTACTTGTCTGCTTTCGGTGGTGCTAACCTTGTTTACAACACTGTTATTAGACCACTTTCTGACAAATACATTCAAGTTGACAATGTTGCTCCAATTTCCAGCAAGATTCAAGAAACTGCTGAAGGTGTTTCTACTGCTCTCCACGATTAAGGAATTAAAATAAAATAAAACAAAATAAAAATAAAAAGTGTGGCATTACTTTGTGTTTTAATATTCATGATAATTGCTCCCCATTTTATTTTTTGTTTAGTTTTCCTTTTTCTTTAATTGATGGCTTTGTATTTGTATTTGTATTTTATATATTTTTATTTGTGTTTATGAGACAACTATAAGTAAATATATTTGATAACAGATATCTAGATGGTTAACGCTCTTGTGACTTCTTACTATGGGTCGACATATAAACATTCGACATCTTCCAAACCTGTCAATGCAAGTAATCTCATTCTATCATGTTTAATGAAACTTTTTTTAAATATAAATTCTTGTAATTTTTCATTCCAATTGAGTTTTTTATAATAAGGGGTTAAATTAGCAATGATTGGATATATTTTAATCATAACTGTTTTACCAGGATTAACAGAACATGAATAAATGATTGACATACTTGAAATTAAATCTACTTCGGGTGATAATCTACCACCAGTTAATAAACCAACAGCTAGATAAAATCCAGTATAAAAACTTAAAGTTATATCATATTCTAAAGCAATTTTTTTCAAAGTTGACCAAGTATATGCTATTTCTCCTAATAAATGTGGATTATCAATAGTTTCATGAATCATAACCACAATTCCATTTTGATCAATTTCTTTTTCTACATCTTTTATATAAAATTCAACCCAATTTAAAGGTACCCCATGTGAGTCTTTTGAATTGGAGTTATCATCTGGGATCAAATATGTATTTGAGTCAGTCAATTGAATGATTATTTGTGAAGTGTTTATATTTTTAGTGAAAATTTGTTGCAAATGTTGTTGTAAAATTTCTAAATTCGAGTAAACTAAATATAAAGGGATATCTTGATCCAATTGTTTGGACATTGGATATTGAAACATCGATGTTAACGAATCACAACATACAATTGCAAATAAGAATATGATAATTACATATAAATTCATGTTCAATCCAATTCATTTGATTATCTTGCAACAGAGATGCTGCAATTCTTAAAATAATTAAATACAAAAAAAAAAAAAAAAAAAATAATAAGTCAATCCTACATGTAAAAGAAGGAGGTAGACAAATTTTAATCTATCTTGCCTACCCTGAAAAATAGGCAATCAAGAATGTCTACTCTTCTTCTTGGTGTTTTTAATGCAGTGAATATTTTTGATTTCATTGAATAGGGAAACATCATTGGTTAAACTCATACCAAATGATTATGAGACCCATACAGTACAAACCATCTTTTCACGAACTTCTAAAGATTTTTTATTGCTTTGCTTTCCCGTTGTTTAGCCGGTTTCGCATAAAAATGGTTCTGTCAGATGTATCGCAGTGGGACAAAATCATTACCATCTTGAGTCGAACAAAAAATTTTTTTCTTTCTATTTTCTTTCCATCGAATCGCGATTTATTTTTTTTTGTACCGTGAAGAACACAAGAATGGTCTAATACTATTGGGGGTATTTTAGTGTTGTTTTCTAAACGTCAAAGATATCTTTGTGTGGATTTAATTAACGTCTAAGTTCGATGAAGTCATGTGAATTTCTTTTTATTTTCAGCCTTGTAATTCAATGGTGTTGCTGGTCAGGGCAATTATGAATATTTCACACTACCATGAATCTCCCAAAATAGAAACGTTTTTCTTCCTTCTATTTGTTCGTGGGATGGTGATGTCATTGGGCAATAATAAATTTTGTTCATAACCTAATTAAGCAATGAAACATTCAGTATTACGCGGCTGAGCGTATGACCCATTAAAATTGCTTTTGCTTTTTAACTTTGCTGTTTAAGGTACATGTTTAGCATCAATGCAACAAGGGAGTGAGAAGGAGGGTGATTAAATTTCAAGTGGGATCGACTTGCTTTGGCTTGCTTCTAGTTTCAATTAAATATAGCAAAAGCACAAATGAAAAAAAAAAAAAGAAAGAAAAAGCAATGATAAAGGTCTGAATCCTCGTACAAATTAACAATGCGACCATGTGTGTTTAGGAGTATAAATGTGTACCAATTTTTCACCCTTTAAGTTGCTAATTACACTTTTCAAAAGGGGATGATATTCTTATAGTGAATATGGTGTCTATATATTTTATTTTATTTCAGTTTGGAAAACTTTAGCAATTATATTTCAGAATGGTTATAATTGAATGAAAGGGTTTTTCATTGGTAGTATTATCCCAGTAAAGCAAGTTAAAATTTATTATAGATAAGCATCAGTTTATCTAATCCCAAACGATTTAAGATTAAGTTTGCTAATTCTCTTATACGGCAGGTTTTGTTTGAAGTGAGCTATTCACGAGCAGTACTACCACCACATGTAGAAGTAATATATATATATACACACACACACACACACACACATTGAGCTATGCTGGTTACCATATGAGCCCACTGTTGTTAATTGCAATGGATCAATGCCTCCCTGTCTCATACATTGTTCTTCTTCTTTTTTTGTTTATTTATTTCAACTGGGTCACGGTGAAACGAGCTGAGGAATTTTTAAGAGTGGCTTGTATGCAAGAGTGCGTTCTTTGTGTAAAATTCCACCTGTATGATGTCTAAAAACCATCATACCAAACCAATCACACATACAAATAAAATAGCACTAAACTAACAAACTAACAAACTAAAAAAAAAAAAAAAATTTACATAGTTCGTTTATTCTCCCACGGTATACAAAAATATAAAATCAAAACAAATTGTCTTCAACTAAACCAAACCTCATCTTGACCACTGTTTTTTTTTTTTGCTTTTGCTTCTGCTCCTAGTCCCCACGATTGGTGTTTCAAACATAATTAGTTATCAATTTATCCTGTGAATAACTAGAGTATTCATACAACCTCCCCATTTCGTATCTAATTGTTCGTTTTAAAAACATCACTATCATTCAAATATATTTTTTTTAAGCGATGGCTGATGACCAAAACCCCCAGAATACCAATTCCTCGGTATCACAATTTTTATCCACTTTGATTCCAACTTTAGTGATCTCAGTGGTGTTCACATTGGCCTTTATTCTTGTTCGTAATAAGAGAAAGAGAGTTTATGAACCTCGTGCTGTTGTTAAATCACTCCCGCAAGATTTAAGACCAGAACCTTCTCCTGGTGGTCTTTTCAGTTGGTTGACTACTTTGTTGAGAAAACCAAGTACTTTTCTCATTCAATTTGCTTCTACTGATGGTTATTTCTTTTTAAGGTTCTTGTTTGAATTCTTCTGTATCTGTGTTTTAGGTGCTATCATTACATGGCCAATTCTTTTCCCAGTCAATGCTACCAACGGTAAAAATAACGAACCAAATTCAAATGTTAAAGGCTTTGATATTTTGACTTTTTCTAATATTAAAGACAAATGGAGAACTTTTGCTCATGTTTTCTTGTCTTGGTTATTGTTTGGTGCAGTTATTTTCCTTATTTATCGTGAATTGGTTTATTACGTTACCTACCGTCATGCATTGCAAACCACCCCATTGTATGATTCCTTGTTGAGTTCTAGAACTCTTTTGTTGACTGAAATCAATACTAAATACTTGGATGACGAACAATTGAGAACTTATTTCCCAACTGCTACTAACATCTGGTACGCTAGAGATTATAAGAAATTGGAAAAGACTGTTAAAGAAAGAACCAAGTTGGCCAGTAAATATGAAGGTACTCTTAATAAGGTTTTAAGTAAAGCTGTCAAATTGAGAAACAAATGTATTAAAAAGGGTAAACCAGCTCCAGAACCAGAAGATGATATTGACAAATATTTGAAAGATGGTAAAAAGAGACCAACACATAAATTGAAATTCTTAATTGGTAAGAAAGTTGATACTTTAAGCTATGCCCCGGAAAAATTGGGTGAATTGAACAAGGATATTGCTAAACAACAAGCTGAATATCAAACTTATGAACAATTACCTGCTGTTTTCATTGAATTCCCAAGTCAATTGGAATTGCAAAAAGCTTACCAAGGTATTCCTTACCAACCTGATTTCAAAGGTGTCAAAACTGTTATTAATGCTGCTCCAGAAGATATCATTTGGGAAAACTTGCAATTGACCCCAGTCAAGAGAATTATCAAAAAAATTATTGCCAATACTATTTTAACTTTGATGATCATTTTCTGGTGTATCCCGGTTGCTGTTGTTGGTGCTATTTCCAATATTAATGTTTTGACCGATAAAGTTCACTTTTTAAGATTTATTCTTAATATGCCAAAGGTAATTATGGGTGTCATTACTGGTTTACTTCCTGTTGTTGCCTTGGCTATTTTGATGTCTTTGGTTCCTCCATTTATCAAGTGGATGGGTAAACTTTCTGGTCGTTTGACTGTTCAACAAGTTGAAAGTTATTGTCAATCATGGTTCTTTGCCTTCCAAGTTGTTAATGTTTTCCTTGCCATGGCTTTGGGTTCATCTGCTGCTGCTGTTGCAACTCAAATTGTTGAAGATCCAGGTAAAGCTTTACAACAATTGTCATCCAATTTCCCAAAATCTGTCAATTTCTATTACTCTTATTTGTGTCTTCAAGGTTTAACCATTAGTTCTGGTACTTTACTTCAACTTGTTGCTTTGATTTTATCTCATATTTTGGGTAGAATTTTGGATGGTACTCCAAGAGCTAAGTGGAATAGATGGAACACTTTGGGTCAACCAGCTTATTCAACTCTTTATCCTGGTTTCCAATTGTTGACAGTTATTGCTCTTGCCTATTCTGTTATTGCTCCATTGATTTTAGGATTCACTGCTATTGCTTTCATTTTGTTTTACTTTGCTTATATTTACACTTTTGTTTATGTCTTGAGACCAAGTACTGTTGATGCCAGAGGTACCAACTATGTTAAATCCATGTTTCAACTTTTCACCGGTCTTTATTTGGCTCAACTTTGGATCACTGCCATCTTTGTTTTCTCCAAGAACTGGGCCTGTGTTGTCTTGGAAGCAGTTATTGTTGTAGTCACATTTGTCTCCCACATGTGGATGAAGAGACGTTTCTTGCCATTGATTGATGCTGTTCCAATTTCTGCCATTAGATATGCTGCTGGTGATTCATCTTCTGCTTACCCAATGGAAGATCAAGGATATAGAGAAATCAAGAGAGAAGGTGAAAACTATTGGGAAGGTGGTAATCAATTGGGATTGACTCAAGAACCAAAGGATCAAGTTTTGCCAAGTAGAATTCCACAATCTAATATTGATCATGTCCAACCAGGACGTCGTGAATCTGATTCTTCAGCTATTGACACCAAAGTTGGTCATGGTGAACTGTTTGAAAAAGCTCATAGCCCATTTTCTGATGCTAATAGACATGATCCTGAAAAATCTACCGGTATTGTTAATCCAATCAATGCTGCCGTTTCTGCTCCAGGTAAAGGTGTTTCTTGGTTAACCAGATTTTTCCAACCAAAGAAGGAAACTTTTGATATGATTAAGAGCATATTACCAGATTGTTATTACAATTATATTGAATATAATGAAGAATTCATCAGACATGCTTATGATGATCCTGCTGTTACCGACGAAGAACCACATATTTGGGTTGCTAAAGATCCAATGGGATTATCTGAAATTGAAAAGAATAAAGCTTTGAAAGAAGGTGTTGATGTTTCTGATGAAAATGCCACTTTTGATGATAAAGGTCAATTGATCTTTACTGGTCCTCCACCTTCATACGAAGAAGCCATTAGAGTTTAATCATTGTTCTTATTATTATTATTATTATTATTATTAGTATTGCTTTTTAATGCCTATTATTCTTTTTCTTCTCTCTTCGTTATTAAGTATTATTTCATATATTTATATATTTACGTAATTTCTTTATTGTTAATTGTATTTTAATGTTTATTTTTTTTGATATTTATTTCCTATATATATATAAAATTTTTTAATCATTGGGATTGCTTATCCCAATGGAGACCAATTTTAACATCCTTTATAATTTAGTCGAATGTTTTACTTAAAGTATCACCTTTCCACCATTTGAATCCTAAACCATAACCCCATGGATCACAAATGAATCTTTGTGGATCTTTAACACCAATTTGATACAATTCATCCATTTCTTCTTTGGTCAATTCAGGTAATTTAATAATTGATTTAATTCTTTCAAGATTTGAAGATCTTGGTAAAGTTACTCTGTTATTTAAAATATGATAAGCATTAACAATTTCGTTTTCAGAAACTTGATATTTTTTAGCCAATTCTTTAATTAAAGGATTTTTCAAAACTGGAGCACCAAAACTACCAACTGGAGAATAACAAGAAATAACAATATTATTCTTATTACAATAATCAACTAAATCTTGTTGTGGCAAATAAGGATGATATTCAATTTGATTAATAACAGGAGTATGTTTTTTAACATTTGGTAATAATTCACGAAGTTTAGGAATTGAATAATTTGAAACACCAATTGATTTAACTTTATTAGTATTTTCTAAAATATCTTCTAATTTATGATAAACTTCAATAAATTTTTTACCATCAACTGGATCATCATCATAAATTAATTCACCATTATCATCTTTTGGAACTTTAGGTAATCCAGTATTTTCATCACCATGTAAACAAATTGGCCAATGTTGTAAAAATAAATCAACATAATCTAATCCTAATTCATTTAATGAAACATCTAATGATTTTTCAGGATTATGCCAAAAACTTGGCCAAACTTTAGTAGTAATAAATAAATCTTCACGTTTAATAATACCTTCATCAAATAATTCTTTTAAAGCTTCTCCAATATATTTTTCAGTCCCATAATACCAAGCAGTATCAATATGACGATATCCAGCTTCAATTGCTGCTTTAACTTGATCTTTAACATCTTTTGGATCATCTGAAGCAACAGTACCAAGTCCCAATGCAGGAATTTTGGTTCCATTATTTAAAGGAATGTCAATTTCAGTAGCTAATCTCATAGTAATAATAATAATAATAATAATAAAATAGGTTGTTGTTAGTTCTCAATTGAATAATAAAAAAAAAAGTGATTGTTGAATTAAATAAAAAAAAAAATAAACCAACCCTGAAACAAGAATTCGGAGGGTTATTTATAGTTTTCCGTTCTTAATTTTTCTTCTACTTGCGCGCCCGCACCCGCACCCGCACCCGCGTCCTTATCTGTTATCTTACGTCGACGATTGTAAAAAATTTTTTTATTTTTGAGTTTGTGGTGGTTTTTTTTTTTGTTTTCTTCAAGTTAGACTTAAAGTTATTGCTCATTTTGGATTATTGCTCGTTTGTTTTTATTGTTCGTTTTTTTTGTCAGATTGTATTGCTCCATTGCTTTATTGCTTTATTGCTCGATTGCTTTATAAAGGCCATGTAACTCGTGACGTATATTGTATTGGACGTGTACCTGCCCCCGGGGGTACCTCGTGGGCGGAGAAATTTTTTAGGTTTATTTCTGAACATTGCCGCGTGCGGAAAGAATCGCACGACTCTAATTTCTACATAAAGTATAGATCTCGCACATAATTGGTAGCCATAGATATTGATATATCATTTACAAACAATGTTAACAATATTAATAACGGTAATAACACAAATTAGGATTATAATCTAAAAAAAAAATTACGCTGATGTTAAGAAGTGAACTTCTTCTCACTAAATATAAAATCACTGTCGTGGCAAAAATATTAACTAATAGGAAACTAAATTTCAAGGTCCCCAACAACATCAACGTTCTCATCATCTTCAACGTCATATTCATCATCTTCTATTGCTTGATCCAAGTCATTGGAACCATAGTCGTCGTTCTCATCATATTCTTCATCATCACCACCATGTTTTATCACTTTGGCATTCTTAGAATCATTGCTCGAATCATCTGTTGATTTATTGGCATTGATATTAGAATAATGAGCTTTGTTAATAGCAGCAATATGGATGAATGTTACTCTCTTTTTCTTCTTATTATAAATGAAATAGTAATACGACCACATTGGTTGATATGGATATGTCAAATCTTCAAGTATCGATTCATCAGATGGTTGGAATTGGTAAATTTGACAAGGTTCTAAAGTAGCATTAGAAGGAGGTGAGTTTGTATTACTCGAGAAAGACCCATGTCTGCTACGAATAGGACCAGCACCAGTACTGATACTACCGCTTTGGGCTGGGATATACGGTGACGAGGTTTTCGAAGGTAGTACATCCATATAAGAATTTATGATATCCCAAATCCAATTCAAAATATCTTCTTTTTTACCTAACGAAAGCAAAACATTATTGAATTTATGAACCAAATCATCTGCAGAATCGATACGATAGAAATTCTCAGTGGTAGGTTGTAAATTAGTAAAATCCTGGTCTGGGAATGAACTATTCAAAATAGCAATCAAATAAGCAAAAGTCTTCCTTGTTGTTACATTTTTCAATGGTCCAAATGGTGACTCATCAACTGCATGTTCAGTACTATCGTCAATAGATTCTCCTTCACGTAAAGATTGTGATAATAACGAACTGCTTCCATTTGTATAACTTCCACTAATTTGTGCACCATTCTTTGGAACGGAATTCTTACCAAATGTTATAGTACTACCCAGATTAGCACTTGACCTACGTCCCATTTCACTTATCGAAACAGCACTGTGTCTTCTTAAATCCGGGGAACTGGCACTACTGCCAAAAATCGAACTCATGGAATCTCTTCTGTCCTTCTCTACGGATCTGGAAAATTGATTATCCTCTATAATTTGGTCCAAATGTTTATCAATTGTTTTAAACAATTTTCTATCAGTACCAATTGGTTTAGTAGTAAATAATTCACAACCCCCCTTAATCACCAAATTGTTGTCGGGGGAGTGGAAGTTTAGCTCTTGGTTTACAAGCTCAAGATCAACTTCATCAATATACTGTAATAATAGTTAGAACTTGAGTTCTTATACATAATAGACTAATGTTCTCCAGGGAACCAATACCTCTGTAAATAACATGTCAAAGATGAGTTTGTTACAAACACGTGAGGTTGCAAAGGTCTTGAAAACTAAACCCCGGCAAGGAAACAAATAAAATAAAACGTACCTTCATGGAGTCAAGTCAATTAAATGGATTAATAATTTGTAAAATAATTCAAGAATGAGTAAATGGAATATTGTATTGGGTATTTATCGATATTGAATCTAGAATAGGTTCTTATTTTTTTTTTATCGTGGTTGTTTATTGCTTTGAATGTGGGCGACAGAAAACGAGATTTTGTTTCCAGTTCAATTTTTGTTGTTGGAGTTGGAGTTGTCTGTCTCGCGCCCACGTCCATTTTTTTTTTGGGTTTTGTTTAACTCGGGACAGGCAATCAATCAATCACCTTTGTAACCAATTTTTTTTAAAATGATCATGACTTCTTTTTTTTTTTCGCGCAACAGTTCAATTTGATAACGATGGAAGTTGTTTTACAAAACGTGTTTACCCCAGATGTACTATCAACGTGCTCATCAATTTTCAATAGAGATAAGTTTGTGTACACATTTTTGCATTGGGTAGATTTTTTTTTTTTCAAAAATATGTATTCAGTCTATGTTTATTTCAACTAATCCTTGTTTGTTGATGATAAATTGGTACTTTCTAAATCTATTTGAATCGGAATTATTAACTGATGACACGACTTTGGCAAATCTTTCAACGTTCCAACCTTTAATCAATGAACTTGTTTGATCGATATCATTAGAACGTGTTCTCCTCCCATTCGTATCTGGCGCCAGTTGTTCTGTAGATTCCAGGCGTGCCTGTATTTCTATACTTAGCTCCTTTTCTGATTTCACAATAGGTTTATATGTTTTCATCAACATGATTTTGGTTTTAATTCTAGATGCCCATGGATGACCTAATGTGGGTACAATTTTCTTTGTGCCTCGATTTCGTAACTCATGTGATTTATAAATCAAATCCTTTTGTAATTCTAATTTATCCGTTAAAGTTGGTTTGGGTACAATTTCTCCTGTAGAAGTGACCTTCTGTCGTTTGCAACCATTGTCGACAACAACATCATCATCATCAAAAGATTTCATAAGTTCAATATCTAAAGATTCCAAATCACTGTGGTTTAAATTTAAACTTGAGTTTGGAAATAAGTGATACATCGATGTACCATCCCAACCGGAAGATATCGCTGTTTGGAAATCCAAGTTCAAAGGGTACTCAAGCTCTTCATCGTTAGCTTCTATTGGTCCTTTATCATAAATCAAAGGATAATCACTAACTTGATTTATAACCACCACTGCTATATTAAACACTTGTGCTAATCTTGATAAATGTTGGAATAACAGGCACACATAGTATAATTTCCCAGTTCTGGATGCATACTTGGCCGATTTATTAAATTTTTTCAATTCGCTAACCTGTCTCCTTTTTATATTTTCAAACATTTTATCGTCAGCTAATTCTGACTCTTGTGATTCTATTTTCTGTTTCAAATATGTCGAATTCATGATTGAATCTTCTCTTCGGAAATGTTGAGCTATTGAATCAATAACCACTAGTTTTGTCTTTCCATTATTTTGACTAAGTTTCAACGGTAGTTGGGTGTACAATATATGATCTTGACTTTCAAGATCTTGACAATGAATATAAGATATCAGATCCAAATCTGACTTTTTATTCGATCCAAGAAAATCTTTTAATCTTTTCGTTTCCAAAAATGATTCAGTTGATATATGGACATTTTCAGACATGGGATATTGTTTACGACAATTGGCTAATAATTGGAATAAGAAATGTGATTTACCACATCCACTAGCACCAAATACTTCTGTTACTTCACCTAATGGTATTCCTCCACCTAATTCAGTATCTATATTCGGTAGACCAGTGTTGATAAATTCTGACTCTAGTAATTTTTCGATGGAGCTTGGTTCAACTTGTAGATCTTGTTCGAGTGTCTTGTAGTAATCATTGATTTCTTTCAATGGCCTATTAACAAGTCGGGAAAGTTGAGCATGGTCAGATGCTTCGTGGTATTGTAGTAAGTCATTGACTGATTTTCCATATGTTTGTAATACATTTGTAAGAAATGGAAATTTTATCGAGCACAGAAATCTACCAGGACCTAATTGTTTATAATCATCCATTAATTGAATATGTTTGGAAACCAATCTGAAGTTCTATTAAGCTTTGATGATAAAGTTTTTTTCTTAAAAATAGTAGAAAAAATAATAAAATCTACGCGACACGACAATCGATAACACGCGTGGTGAAGACGCACATACACAAAATTGAACATTAATCCTATACATATGAAATATCACTATGTAAAATGACTTGAACTCTTCGGAATCATAAAATCTTTAGATTTCAATGATCGAACCAAGAAATTAGGAGCATGCCATCCAAATACCATACCCACGCCACCGTCTTTACCAATTGGTGTGAATGATGTAAAACTTGTTGGTTGCAGATATGGTCTTAATTTGACCGACTTATCATCCAAAACTTCATATTCAAGAGTTCTCACTAAAACAGGTTCTTGGTCATATTTCAAATTGAAAATTGTACCTGTACCTAATCCAACCACATCGCCAGCAGCTATGACATTAGGATAACCAACAACTCTTAAATACTCATCAGTTTCAATAAGACCAAACGAATTCAATACCTTCTTAGGAAGAAATTCAGTATTTGGAATAGTTCCCAGTGATTCAATAATTAAATCAAATTCTCTTTTAGTTCCATCGGGAAATACAATAAATTTACCATCGACATCGACCAACGTATCATTGATTATTTCAATTCCAAGTTTCTTTAATTTTGTAGTTGCTTCTGATGTCATTGAAGAAGACGCAAGTCCGGATAATGGTCCTGAACTACCGGTGAACAAAGTAACCTTTTTATCATGGCTATTGTAGGCAATCTCTGATGCTGTTTCAACACCAGTACTACCACCACCAATGACAGCAATTGAATGAGCCTTTTTAATATCTGAAGAAAGTGTCTTAATAGCATCTAACGTGTACATTTCATCCCTGGTATTATCGAGCTTAAAAACTGCGGTCTTGGTTCTAGCACCAGAAGTAATGATCAAATTATCATAATCTAATTTGTTATCACCAACAGCGACTAATCTTTCATCCAAATTAACTTTTGAAACAGAACCTTTATAGAAATTTACTTGGTGAATAGTACCACTTGCTAGCTTTTTAATTGACTCTGGAATTGAATAAACAGTTTGCTCAACAAGTTTTGGTTCCACTAGTAATCTAGGAGCTGCAGCATTAAAATAAGCCATCCTACTGGGTGAAATCATAGTTATATCTAACTTTACTCTCGAAGATTTGAGTAAAGTTTTCAATGCCAAAAACCCAGCATAAGAACCTCCAATAATAATTGCCTTCTTGTTTCTTTCTGTCATTATGTGATTAATGAAACAAATAAAGATAGCCCAAATCAAAGCTAAACAAACAATTCAAAGAAAGTTAAATCATTTTCATGATGATTCCACGATTAATATAGCAACTATATTTACTATAGTATATTAGTAATTGTTATAGAAAATTCAAGAATAAAAAGAAACACTAAAAAAAAAAAAATAAGCAAGTCATCAACCAGTATCAAATCTATCATCAATTCTCGGCTGACGGATGGATTCAACCTATCGTAATTCCGTATATGAACTTTTTACTACTGCGCATCTCTCACAAACCTTGTAAAACCTTAATGGTAACAAAAGAATCAGTGGAAAGGAATTGGTCAAGAAAAATATCAGTCTGGGCATAAATGTCTACACCTTTTCTGGGTCCATGATTTGCACTTTCCTGATTTGATGAATTTCCATATCGGACAATTGATCATCGAGCACAATGCTAGAAGTGTATCATAAATTAAAAGTGTAACAAAATCTATTCATAAACCCACTTAGTTTCTATGTAACCTAAAATACACCTTGTTGTTCCGGAACAATGGTTTTAACTTTGCCTGTCTTGATATAAGATTCGACATTTTCAGCGACCCATTCTTCCATTTCTCTACATGCTTCAATAGTATGAGTACCCATATGTGGGAGGGAAACGACATTTGGCAATTCGTACAATTCTGGACTAACCTCTGGTTCATTCTCAAAGACATCTGCACCAAATGCACCAATCTTTCCTGATTTAATCAATTCTGGGATAACCTTCTCATCAACAACAGCACCTCTGGCAGTATTTACCAAAATAACACCATCTTTCATCTGGTTAATAGTTTCCTTGTTAATTGAGTGTCTAGTATGGGAATTAAGAGGAACACTTATACAAATGATATCAGCTTCTTTAAACAATTCTTCTTTGGTCACGTATTCAGCACCTCCTTCCAATTCTTTAGAAAGTGGTTTTCGGTTATGGTAGACAATCTTGGAGAATCCAAATGGTTGCAATCTATCTCTAATAGCTCTTCCAATACCACCCATACCTAAAATACCAACAACTTTACCTTCTGGACTATGTCCCAATTTGGCACCACCACATTTTTTGGCGTCCCAGCCACCATTAACTAAAATTTGGTGTCCAACTTGATAGTTTCTTAAACAGGTCAATACCAAATAAACAGCAGTTACTGCTGTTGGTCCTTCAACTGGAACAGTAACATTAGAAACTTGAATTCCTCTATCAGTAAATGGCTGAACATCAATTTGATCATAACCAGCACCATTGTGACTGATTGACTTTAATGTTTCTGGCATGTGACTGGCTAATTCAGCATCAAATCTTCCAGTTTGTTCAACAGATGCATAAGTTCTTGCAATATTGGTAATATCCTTATATTTGGTTTGTAAATCCTTTATGAATTCATCACGATTTTGGGAATCGCAATCAATGATGTCAGCAATTTTAGCAACTTGGTCCCATTTGGCTTGAGCAAAATCAATTCTGCCCAATCTTAAAACTTTTGGTCTAACTGTGGTAGTCATATTGTCTTGATGAATAAAATGAAAAAATATTATGGTATATATATATAGGTAATAAATAGAATATTCAATGGAGCCAATGAAGAGGAAATCAAAGTCATATTTATAGGAAATTGTTCATTCTATTTTCCAGTCTGTTGCTTTTTTTTTTCTCCGAAAATGATTAAGTTTCGTGGGGGATTACTATTTGATCCGTGGGGGTGCGTGGGGGATTCTTCTTCCATGTTAAAAATATTATCACATTATTTTTGAGGTTTTGACGGGTACGGCATGTCGGTAGGTTCATCCGACTGATGTTATAAAAACGTGGGGTATCAAGTAGAATAATGTATTTTTGAGGGATACCTTGTTTGGGGGATCTTATGGGGACGTGATACACAGGGATTGCATCTGTTGTGAAGAAATTAAGGATAGTTCTGTTGAAGTGTAGTGTGTATTTCTCAAAATTGACCTCCTGTTGGTATCATGTTATATTTTTTATAACACATTGATGATTGACTCGGTGTCAACTTTATCGTTTAGATTGTGAAGATATGGAGACATCTAATGTGTCTGTTTTTGGATGGAATTGTTAAGAGTTTTAATAATACATTACGGCGATGGTTTTCTCTGTGTACCTTATTTTCATCTGGTTCCTCGGGTTGGTTACAATCATACAATTTTGAATATTCAGTACAAAGATACGGAGATTGAATGAATAATTATACGTCACTAAAAGAACAAAAGACGATTGACAAAAAGTCTTCGCTGGTCAGCTTAAGTTTTTACTGGGAATCTATATTAGAAATTCTTTGTTTAGATTACTGAATGTGCGTTTCAAATAACAACGCTTGTAGATCCTTTTTGTTTGAAAAGCATTGCAATAGAAAAAAATAGAGGTGGAAAAAAAAAAATTAAACGGTGTCAATACTAAGTGAGCAGCATTGCCGAAATGGAGAATCCCTACAAAAAAAAAATACACATTATAAAAAAGCATCTCTGAATGTCAATATAAATAGAGTGGTAAAGTACCTTAATTGAAGAGCATTAAATCTAATATTCTATCAACCAATCAACCAATCAACAATTGTGTGGATCTCAAAAGAAAAAATTAGTCATTTTAATTCCTGACAATTGGAAGAAACCCGAAGGTGGACTTTCGAACTTTTTTTTTTCTTTCTTTCAGTGGGCTATTTGATACTCACACAGTGAAATTTTAGATTTCTATTTTTTTTTCTTTCTTTCCACTGACAAATTAATCTGAACAATCTAGACTTTGCTTTTGGCAATTTATCTATCTATCAAGCAAAAAAATAACAAGCTTCAAAAGTATTACAAATACATAACAATTCATTGGAATTTCTCAGATACCGATAATTTGAAGAAAATACCTATCCATACATATATCTAAACAAAATTTTTTAACTTAGAATTAAACCGAAATTGGTGTGCTGTGAAAAATAATAAAAATCATTTTTTTAAAAAAATAAAGAGGGTACCTAAAAAAAGCGAGCGAGTATCTTCATCCATCAAGAACGAGAAGAAGAAAAAAAAAAATTTCCACCAAGTGTAAGTTTTCTTTGTCTCCACGTCAAAGACTTTTTTTTTTTCAATTCCTGGAGATATCGATAATAATAATCCATTTTAACTGATAGAATATTATCGTATCTGTGTATCTTGTGTTGGTGAATCAATTGTTAATATTTTCCACTAGAACAAATAGACTGAATATCTGCCAAGCTACCTACATATATCTAAAACCCATACAGCCCCTCATTATCCACATTTAGACAAATCTACCAGTATGGAACATCAGATACAATTCTTACCTAAAGATTCGGTTGAAATAGACTACGAAGCATTGCCAGATGATGCTTCATTAGCTGCCCATTTATCAGCTGGTGCATTGGCTGGTATAATGGAACATACAGTAATGTTCCCCATTGATTCCATCAAAACAAGAATGCAGATGAACCTTTCAAGCAAAGAAATATCCCGTGGTCTTTTAAAATCCATATCAAAAATAAGTTCAACTGAAGGGTTTTATGCCTTATGGAAAGGTGTGTCCTCAGTTATATTAGGTGCTGGTCCTGCTCATGCCATCTATTTCTCCGTTTTTGAAGCAACAAAAACATTTTTGGTGAATAGATTGACAAATTCCCCTCACCTGAATAAGATTGTTACAGACGAAAACCACCCACTCATTGCGAGTTGTGCTGGTATCACTGGTACTACAGCATCAGATGCATTGATGACCCCTTTTGATATGTTGAAACAAAGAATGCAAGCCAGTGCTGCTTACACCAATTCCAAATCAAACTCAGTTAAATTATTTAAACTAGCTGCTGATATCTATAAGAAAGAAGGATTAAGTGCTTTCTATATCTCATATCCAACTACCCTTTTAACAAATATCCCATTTGCCGCATTAAATTTTGGATTTTATGAATATTCATCATCATTATTGAATCCTTCTCATATATATAACCCATATTTGCATTGTGTCAGTGGTGGTGTTGCTGGTGGTATTGCCGCTGCCTTGACCACTCCATTTGACTGTATCAAAACAGTTTTACAAACTAAAGGAATATCAAATAACCATGAATTTAGACATGTTACAGGGTTTAAAAGTGCGGCTGAGGCATTGTATAAATTGGGTGGAATGTCTGCATTTTGGAAAGGTTTGAAACCAAGAGTGATATTTAACATTCCAAGTACAGCAATATCATGGACTGCTTATGAAATGTGTAAAGAATTATTGATTAGAGGTAAAGGCTTTTAATTTTGATAGACATCACACTGCCATGATTGTTCTTAAAAAAAACTACAGTTATAATCTGTTTTCCTTTTTAATATTATATATATTTTCTCCACTTTTTTTTCATTGTTCTTCTTTTTTGTAAATATAAATAATTCTCATTAACTCATATTAGGATTGAATTGCTTTAATCAATGCATCTGCTCTTGCAATATGTGCTAGTTCTCTGGGATGTCTTGATAGACGTTGAGCGACAAATGAAAATAAAACACATGAACCAAGAAACCCAAGTAGATTAAAAAAAGCAGCTCTTGAATATAATCTTTCTTCTTCCTCGGTTCTAAATGATTGAAAGATTCGTCGAATGCTAGCAAAGATCATTATTGTGGTATATATATATGTGTGTGTGTGGTGTGCTAAGAAGAGATAGCGTTGATAGTTTACTTCTTTTTTTTTTTTTTTCTCCAGTTTTGATTTTCTTCAAACTCGAACCGAGTATCAAAAAAAAAAGATCAGAACTTAAAACAATACACAACTTTCATGACTTTCATTAAACCAAACAACATTAAAAAAAAACCTATCCGATTATCGATGATCGGTATCGGGTGCTTGAATAGAGTATATTCAAGTTCGCATATTGCACTAAACAGCTTAATGATGATAACTTTCATCATAGCCAACCATCCACGGCGTCATTCCCATAACGAAACAAACCTTTTACAGTCTGAATCGTGTAATATTTCTTGTAACACCGCCCATGCATTTTCATGCTTAGGATTAAGAAAAGCTCTCAGGAGCAACTTTGGTAAAGGATGGAGAGTACCACCGAATTTCCCACCCGTTTAATTTTTAATGAGTTGTAACTCCTTGTGTTGACGGGTAAATGCGAAACGATTCCGGACAAGTTCACTAGCGATTGAGCCAAAAAGCTTAATATCGTCAAACACGTGATTTGTCAAATGATGACATTGGAAAAGTTGGAATGAGACTACTTGAACTATGGGCATCACCGTTATTCTGTACGGATTTTCTAAATAGTATAACTCTTGATGGTCTTTGTTAATTCTAGTAGTATGTGGTTTATGAGGACACTCTATTGATTATGTGTATTTTTTCTATTTCAAACATACACTTGCAAAGAAGTACAAATATATCAATACCCTCTTGTTCAACAAATTATGATAGAAGACAATGAAAAAAAGGGATTTCATGAACTGTAGACAAAACTATCTTTTACAAATGCTTTATTGTAGTCTATTATAGGTATTATTAACAAAGGGTCGGTGTTTGTGTTAGTAACAACACAATAAATGACGGCAGTTGTTGAAGAGATGGTTACTCTGAAAACATTTACAAGTTAGATTTGATACATGTAATAATGTAACTCGAGTATGTTGATTGCACTTGGAGCTTGAATTTTGCTGGTTATGTTATAGTACAATACACTGTAAAGTATGTGTTAAAATAATTTCAATATACACATTTGCGATTGCATTTCAGACTATTTTAAGGGGAATCTTCAGATCCATGTGTCGAAATTAAACTCATTGTTTGGAAAGAAACGTTCATATTAAGACCATCGATATTGTCAGTACTAGTGAACCCGAAATGTTTAATTTACATGACCTCTTTTTACTCATACAATAGTAGTATGATATATGATATGGAAAAGAATATGCACAACTAGTTTGCATATACTTTTCGGTTGATATAACCATGTTGACTTCACAAACTACGATCAATTAACATCCCTTGAGACGAAGAGGATTTGCTTCATTAACTGTTAATCATTTCTTTAGAGTTGATGCAAACAAAAATTCGGAGAACACAGTAATTTCTTTTTTCAAATTTTATCCCGTTGTGTTTGTCCAATGATTGTAAATCAATTCATTCCTTTTCATCACAATGCATAAGGATTCTAATACCAAATTCTAAATTGGGTGACAGATACGGTACCAAGAAAAATAGGCTGCAGACCATAAATCCGGCAAGTGAAAATTTTTTCTCTAACTTTATGCAATCCCAGAATCGGGAATGGTACCATTCTAAGCTCATCGGTTGTCTCTAACCAATCACAGAAAGTTGTTTCGGGTATGGTTTACGATTTCGGAAACAAAATAAAGTCTTTTTTTTCTGGTTTACTAAGCTGAGAAATTAACGTAACCCTAAAAAAAGTAATAAAATGAAAAGAATACAAAAATATACAATAAAAAAATAAAAAGAAACAAGAAAAAAAAATTACTTTGTTACATTATCTTTTTCATCGAATTAATCAAAAAAATCACAATTGATTTTGCAGGAAGATAAAATTTGCTTTATTCTTCCGTAAAACTTAATTCTAATGAGCGATGAAAGCAACCTTTGATATTTATCACCTCTCTTTTAACGTTACATTGGGCTATATTGACTGCAAAACATGCATCCAATGAACCCTATTCGTTCATAAACATTTACACCTGACTTCAATATTCGCATTGCTTTCTTGAGTAATTAAATGCTCGACAACGAAGGCGTTAAATGAGTAGCTCTAATTTCTTGACAAATGCATATGCACCTAAATTCTATCGAGCCAGAACGGCATTTTTCCATTAGAGAGCAATTTACATTGTTCTAACAAGGGATTTTGTAACTGTGCAAGGCAGAAATTAACGATTGGGACTACAACAAAAAAATTGAACAAAAATTAAAAAGAAACAATGCAAAATTATCAATGGCTCATTTCATTTACTTCATCCTGGAGAAGAATATTTAAATGAACTAGGATTTCCCGTTTTCGTATCAGGTTCCCGATTTGGGTTTTCTTTTTTTCTTCTTTCTTTCTTCCTTTGTACATTAACTTCAACCATGTCTACCTATCCAACTATGACTGATGAGGCAAAAGAGAGCTCAGAGAAGAGCTACTACAGATCCAATCCAACTGACACTGAAAGTGTTGAAGAAGAAAAGTCTATTGGTGTTCATAAAGCTGAAATTTTGGCAAATCAATGGAAGCATACATTCTGGTACAAGGTAATCTTGGGGTTTTCTGCCTTCCTTTGTGGTTACGCTTACGGCCTCGATCTGCAAATAAGATACATCTTCACTGCCTATGCGACCCTGGCGTTCTCAGAACATCTGTTGTTGACTACTGTTAATGCCATCATTGGTGTGGTAGCTGCTGCAAGTCAACCGGTATATGCAAGATTATCGGATGTTTTTGGTCGTTTGGAGTTATTTATCGTTGCTGTTTTGTTCTATGTTGTTGGTACCATTATTGAAGGTCAATCTCCCAATATTAACACTTATGTTGCAGGTGCCGTCCTATTTCAAGTCGGATACAGCGGGATAATTATAATGGTTGTCTTTATCATGTCAGACTTCTCCAGTTTACGTTGGAGGTTATTCTTCACTTTATGTCCTGCATTCCCATTTATTATTAATACTTGGATTAGTGGGAATGTTACTGCTGCTGTTGGAACAAACTGGAAATGGGGGATTTCTATGTGGAGTTTCATTTTCCCATTGGCCTGTATCCCACTTGTTTGTTGTTTACTCCATATGCGTTATCTTGCTGGTAAGACTGAAGAATGGAAGGTTTTTAAACAAAGAAAGACTAAATTTCAAGAATTGGGACCCGTTGGATTTGCAAAGTTTTTGTTCTGGAGATTGGATGTCATTGGGTTGATCCTTTTAGTTGCCGCTTTGGGTTGTCTTTTAGTTCCTATCACACTTGCTGGTGGTATCAGTTCCAGTTGGAAAAAGGCCCACATTATTGTCCCAGTTGTCATTGGAGGTGCTTTGTTCCCTGTTTTTGGTCTCTGGGAAGTTTATGGTGCAAAAGAGCCAATTATTCCACTATACTTGATGAAAGACCGTGGTATTTGGGCACCTGCTGTCATCTCCTTCTTGTTTGACTTTGTCTATGCTGTCGAATCTAATTTCTTGTATACTGTCTTGATGGTTGCAGTCAATGAATCACAAGCCTCAGCTACCAGAATCTCGAGTATCTCATCATTTGTCTCTGTTATTGTCGGTTTCTTCTTTGGTTTGTTTGTTGTCTACTTTAGACGCTTAAAAGGCTTTGCAATCTTTGGATGTGTCTTGTGGTTGGTTGGTTTTGGTATTCTTTACCATTTTAGAAGCCAATTGCACGCTCATTCGGGTATCATTGGCGGGATGGTTGTAATTGGTTTTGGTACTGGGCTCTTAACTTATCCTATCAATGTGCTTGCTCAAAGTTGTGTGAAACATGAATATCTTGCAATCGTTACTTCAGCCATGTACACCTTGTACCGTGTCGGGTGGAGTGTTGGAAGTGCTGTTGCTAGTGCCGTGTGGTCAAGCAAGCTTTATAAACGATTGGTACATTACTTGGGTGACGAAACTTTAGCTGCCAGTATATATGGGGACCCATATACTTTCATTGCTGAATATGCTTGGGGATCTCCAGAAAGAGAAGCAGCTGTACTTGCTTATGCTGATGTCCAGCGTATTTTGATGACTGTGTGTATGTGCTTTGTTGCTCCAATGATCATTGTTGGGTTCTTCATGAGGGATCCTAAATTAACAAATGAACAATCTTTAGATGAAAAAGAAAGACAAGAACAAAAGGATTCTATCAGCGGTTTCTTTCAAGGACTCCGTAAAAACAAGAGTGAAGTCTAGGAAGACTAGTTGGATGTATTTGTTTGACCATTATTTTGTTGGTGGCGGTCTTATCTATGGTGTTATCATTGTTGTTTCAAATCTAGCTGTTTTCAATTTTGATGTTATCAATTAGTTGATGGTTATTTGGTTGATACTTGTTTTGTTTTTATTTTTGGATTGAGTTGCCACGTGAAAGCTTTATTTTTGAAGGCGTGTGCAGCTCAATATTAAGTGTTCTTTACTTTTTTTTCTCGTTGTTTTTATTTACCCAAATTTATGTATTTTAATGCTAACTTCTTTATTTAATATTTGTTTTCATCCACTTCTTGTAAATGATATCAATGTGTGGGATCACAAGATTACGATACTAATTCATGATTTTTTATGTAGCATAGAGACTTGATACCTAATCAGATATGAACATTGTGGATTTACTGGTCGAAAATCGCCAGCCTCTTTGTCTTAAAAACCACTAGCGTGCACTTGAATTGATACTTCTACAACTGACAATATATTCATCGTATTAGAGTTATATGCTAATTATGAATCTGAGCGACTATAGTTCGACCATTTTTACCAAATTATATCAATACTAATTGCATTTCAGAAAAGGAGCCTATCTTCACAATTGATTACACCACGATCAAATTATCCAGTACGTAACTATTGCAACTCTATACATTTCAATGTCTATACTATTCTAAACCTATAAACATCACTAGTTCTCTACAAACAATACCCAGTCTCTGGTTTATAATATCTTCTTCTCGTGTGTAAATAATTACATCGCACAAAACAAAAACGAACTCTCAAAATTTTGCAATCTCATGACTAGGGCTACAGCCCTAATCAATAATTTTTTCTGTCAATTTTGAATTTTTGCACGACCGTTTTTTTCTCATTTTTTTTTTCTTTCTTTCCCACTCAGTATGAGCTCCTAAGGTTTTGTTCCTACTCACACCCTCGCGCACCCACCAATTCTAACAAAAAAAAAATTACTACTGAAAATTTGAAATTTTGATATTGGTTCTTTTAGGAGCAGTAATCAACTAGAGTCACAGCATGTTAATTCCAAAAGAAGACAGAAAGAAGATCCACCAATACCTCTTCCAAGGTATGTCATTATTTAAAACAGAGAGAATATTTGAAAATCAGATTAATTAAGGTCGAAATAGATAAAAATACAGAAGAATGAAAATTTTACATGAAATACCAACTTGGGAATACAATTTATAAGCCAACATCAACAACAACATAAAGTTTCAAGACCAACTAATATGAACTGATTTTTTATATCATTTTTGAGATTAACTTACTAACACGTTTTATAGAAGGTGTTGTCGTTGCTAAAAAAGACTTCAACTTGCCAAAGCACGATGAAATCGATACCAGAAACTTGTACGTCATCAAAGCTTTGCAATCTTTGACTTCTAAAGGTTTCGTCAAAACTCAATTCTCATGGCAATACTACTACTACACCTTGACTGATGAAGGTGTTGAATTCTTGAGAACCGAATTGAACATTCCAGAAGGTATCTTGCCATTGACCAGATTGAAGAATGCTCCAGCTGAAAGACCAAGACCATCCAGAGGCGGTCCAAGAAGAGGTGGTTACAGAGGTAGAGCTAGAGATTAAATGGGTTATATAAATCAATCAACAACAGTTTAATTTTTCCTTTCAGCATTTTGTATTTTAGGTTCTTATTATGTTTGTTTGTGTTGGGAGATTATTAAATCAACGGGAGTGAACTATTTATTGTATTAGCTCAAATTTTCTTTAGCATGAGTATTTCATGTACAATATAAAAAAAACAACAAATTAATAAAATTTTGACATTTAAAAAAAAAGAATATAGCAAACATCATTTGCAATTTGTAGAGAGTGTAACAGTAAACTGCTTTCTCTATAACATGTGTTGGCACGTGATTATTGCATGTGACATTTTGGATGTCGTGTCCTCTGGCTAAAATTGATACAGTTTCCCAATTTCAGATACAAAGACTACGTTTTCTCTTTGTTTCGGTCAAAAAAAAAAAGTAAGAAAACAGAGACCTCCAAAAAAAAAAACACCGATTGGCAAAGGCTGTGACCATTCAAATTGATAACCATTAACTTCTATCAGCACAAATAATTCGACTATTTATTATTATTCCTAAAAGATTTACGATTTTATTTTGGACAAATATCAACAAGCCACTTTAGAAATTGAAAAAAAAGAAAAGACTAGTAATAATAAACCAGATAATTGAGTGACACATTTATCAACTGAACTAAGCCTGATACATTAAAGCAATAAAAAAAATGAATGAATTACCGCCACAACCAACACCACAACAGTCTTATGGTCAACAAGACTCTCAACAGAGCCATCATCATAATATGAATAGAAAGTATCCTCAACAATCACATCAAATCCCACAGAAAGTTACTTACAGACCGCCACCGCAACAACAACAACAACAAGTACCACCACAACAGCAATATCAACAATATAGTAGCTCTCCTCACCAAGAGTATTTTCAACAAGCTCCAGCACAAAACTATCAACAATCAGGACAATATGCTCCTGGGCCTCAGTATTCAAATCAACAACAACATGTACCACCTCAAGCAGCTCCTGTTCAGCAATACGCTAATCAACAACCGCCAGCAAATTACCAACATCGCCCTTCATATACTCTGCCTCCGCCATCACAACAACAAATATATCAGCAACAACAACAACAATACCAAGCCCCATATACAAGCAATGGTAATTATTCTAAACGTAATGCTTCAAAGGAGTCGGTGGAAAGTTCCAAAACTACTAGTTCATCCAAACAAAAATTAGAATCTGAATTAAGAATAGTTTTTGAAAAAGTGGACACTAATAGATCAGGTAGAATATCAGCTAAAGAATTATCTTATGCCTTGTTGAATTTTGATCGTACAAGATTTCAGGATTCTACTATTAGATTAATGATTAACCTCTTTAGTACATCCGATTCATCCAGTAAATCATTAACTTTTGAACAATTTGTATCTTTATGGAAGTATTTATCAGCTTATAAGAAACTTTTCATTCAAGCTGATGCAAACAAATCTGGTGATATTTCATTTGGTGAATTCCAAAAGATTTTGGAACAAATTGGCTATAAATTGGATATTGATTTGGTCTTGCACTTGTTTCAAAAATATGCCATGCATGAAAATGGTGGAATTGGTAAATTAAAGTTTGATAATTTCATTGAATTGTTGGTATATTTGAGAAAACTAACTGATGTATTCAAGAAATATGATAAAGATCTTTCAGGTACTGCAACTATTAGTTTTTCAAGTTTCTTGTTTGAAGTTTCCAATCTAAATTAATAATAATAATAATAATAATAATTAAAAAATAGTGTGAAATTGTATTCTTTAAATATACACGTATATTGACTGTTATAAATTTTTGTCGTAATATTACTAAATAAACATTACATATATATATATAAAAATGATAATATTAATCATATCATAAGATGATGTTTGCTGTCTTTTTATTTTTATTTTTTTTTTTTTTATTTTTCTTATATGAAATAACTCTTCCAAAGAACACCCTCAAGGTCTTGCATTTGGTCTTCAGTAAACACTTTACTATCAATATGCCAGCTGTCTTGTCTATTCTTTTTAAACTTACCAAGTGATTCTTTAGCTGTTTTACCAACTATACCAGGGATACCAGTGGATTTATTTGCCAAAGTGGCCAAAATTCCTGGAACCCATTTTGGTGGAGGAGAAGAAAAGGCAAATGCATGAACCAATGAACCTAAACCTAAAGTAGCACCATGCAACTTGATGATATCTTCACTATCCATATTCTTGTAACCGGATTTACGATATTTACTTCTAACCTTGTCCAATTGTTTAGAATAAAGCTTGCTATATTGGCTCACAATCATCTCCACATCTTCAACTGGTGAAATATGGATCAAACCTGATAAAGTGTCAGCAGCTGATTCCCTAATCTCCACATGTTTATGATACAACAACTTGTTTGATAAATTAAATACACGCTGTCTTTGGTCTTTATTCAACTTGAACAAATTCTTAAAATAAACTGTTTCAGTAAATTCTCCCATCACCAATGTTTGTACTAAATTCAATTCCACTTCAGCATAATATTCAAGCATCTTGATAGTATTCTCCAAGTATGCGCTTGTATAAGGAATCTGTGACACCTTCTTCAACACGGTGATTGGATCAATATTTCCCAATTGACAAACTTCACGCATATTAATCAACTCTAATAAGAACGGAACTAAATGTGTTGAAACATGAGACTCAAACATGATGGATAAGTTTGTATTCAATTCTTGTCTCAACCAAGTCAAAACTGTGGTAGCAGTATAAATGTAATTCGTCTTTAAAATCTCCTGTGGAGTCAAATGAGAAACTTCTTTTCTCCAAGTTTCAATTTGAGTGAATAGATCTTCAACTATGCCCACAACTCGGCAATTGTTTCTATCCTCATATAACATCAAACCCTTTTGTTCATTACTGCCTTTAATAAAAAGTTTACTATCAGCAATAGATTCAACATAATAATTGAACGACAATACTGCCATCAAATTACCAATTTGTGATCTGACAGATGCATATTTGTAATTAATATTCTTTAAACAAAAGTCCAAGAACTTATCTGGATCAGCAAGTCTCCATGACACAGTTCCAATAACCCCCTTCATGTAACTAATTCTTGTCGAATCTTTGAATGCAGAATCAGAATTTGGATCTAATTGGAAATCAAGAATTTCACTCCAAACTTTAGGAAATCTTCTAATATCAAGTTGACTTGGTAACCAATATGAGAAAACATTCCAAATTCCTTGTGTATCTGGAGACAAATCATCATTCAACACTTTCTTCAAATATTTACAAACAAATTCATCTCTTCGTTCCCAAAATTCAGCAGCCAAGTATTTAGTACCAAATAAAATACCAACTAAAAGTTCACATGCAACAATATGTGCACTCTTTTCATCTGGTACATAGATATCATCAACAACAGACAACAAATCGTCAAATGTAAAATTTGGTGTAAATCCATTCGATATTAATACAATTAGGGCGGCAACTGTGAAAACATCTGCCATTTGAAACGTGGAATTGGCCTCCCCATCAGCTACCCATAATCTGACAATCTTGACAAACCAATCTTTGGTTATGAACTCTGAAAATGTCTTTATCGTATCCAAATCTGACGCATTCATATCAATTCTATAAAATGGTCTTGGACTCACGGCTAACATTGAATCTTTCCAGAATAACCATCCTAAACTTGGCTTGACATCAACATAATAATCTGCAAATTCAGTATTGTGCAATTCCTTTTGCCATGCTTCCTTGTATGAGACCCCATCTCTAGCCTTGGTATCAACTACTTCTAATGTTGGGACAATAAAATTCAAATCATACATTAGGGCAAGATCATACAGATACTTGTTAGAAATTACCAATTTGTTGATAATTCGTGCAACACCCTCCAATGCTTTACGGGAAATTAAAGGATGGTCTGCAGCAGATTCTTTATGGAACAACAACAAAACATCTAATCTTGTCGGTATTTCCAAATAGGCTTGAATATTCAGTAACAACTCTAAGTTCAGTAATGTAATTTTCCAGTGCCCATTTCCATCCTGATCACTTAAAACTTTATCTTGAAGTTTTTCCAATTTTTCAAAATAGACCTTTCTCTTGTTCTCTTTGGCCAATTTAACTGCCTTAATTTCCAAATCTATGAATTCATCAGGAGGTCTGATAATATCAATTGATGCTTCATCAAGTATACAAACACTGCTTGGTGGAGTTATACCTTTACGAACTCCGGAAAATAATGCATATGCTTTCTTGTAAACATTTTGATTATCTACTGTCAAGGAACGGTGTAACAAATCAACATACTTTTGAAGATTGAAGAAATCATTCTGTAACTTGCCCTTGATTTTCTTGATGGCAAAAATACTCAACCCACTTTCTATCTTCTTGTGGTCATCAGCATCTAAAGCCTTCGAAAGATGCTTAAATGCTGACTTTACTATCAAATTGTATGCCCCGTTTAATCTCTTCATTGCATCAACCAAAATACCTTGAGCACTTCGGGCAATAATTGAATACGTGGATTCAGAAAGTTTTACAGCATCTTCCAACAATAATTTATCCAAATTTGTTTCTGTACGTGATGTTGCGTGTAATGCCAACCTGAACAGATGGTACATTTCTAATCTGGCTCCAACAGCAACTCTAGTGAATGGTTTTCTTATTCTATTCACAGTTTGAAGGTAATTCACATATGTATAGTTGATTTTGGAATGACTGGCATCAAGATTTCTTTCTCTACCAACATCAGAAAACCAAATACTAACAACAAATAAAAAATTTTTCAAAATCTTGGTGTTATCAGGGAAATTTGACACCAAAAATTTATAGATCACATGCAAACTCTTACCAATCAACTCTCTTGTCTTATGTATACTGATATATAAATCGCCATGTATTCTATTTTTATGGCCAGTTCCAAAAAAGTAATTTGAAGTATACAAACTCTTTTCTCTAAATGTTATGGCTGGATTCATACTCGACATATGGACCCCATTTATTTGTGGGGTCTCCCTTCCAGAATCATCATAAGTTGGTACAACCGAGTCTGGTCTGCTAAGTGGGAAAGTATTACGGTCAAACCTTGTAAAAGAATCTCTGTTTGGTGAACCTGCCTTTTTAACTGGTGAGTCATCATCTTTTGACCCACTATCATTAGTGCTGTGATTATCATTAGAATCATGATGATCGTTTTGTTCACTTATTTCCTCATTCACTTGTTCTAGGTCGGTAATCATATCAAGATCTTCAGTACTTAAATCGTTCATGATTTTTTCCATAATTTCAGGAGTATTTTCATCATAGATGACATCCTTTTGGGTAGATACGCCACTGAGAGCCCTGATTTGTTTCAAAAGTAATAGCCTTTGCTGAATAGATTCAGTTTCATGATTCAATTTTGGAATATTCTCTTCAAAAGTAGGATCGAGTAAAACTGAGACACCACTCAATGAATATGCCAAATATAATAAGTTCAGTCGTATATCATCAAGCACTGCAATAGATGATTGAACTGCTGTATTCTTCTCTTTGTCGTAGTCATGCATTAATTTCATCAAGTTTTCCAAACTTTTAGACACATGTCTATTGAAAAATTCAATTGCAAAGGAAACTTCCTTTTCGGATGGAATAAACCAGTCAAATGAAGTGTTTGGTGGGGAGAATCTATCTTCTTTATTCCAGAAGCCACCCCAGCATTCTTCTGTAACACCATGTTTCTTTTCATAATCAGGTGAAATCAACCTGCATTCTTTGATCTTTATCTTGGTAAGAGTTTGCAAAACTTGGTTGACCAAATATGTAGAAGCAAACACAGCAGGACTTTTAACTTTATCCATCAAGAAAAATGACAAGTCATAAATCTCCGAAGACATTTCCATAATTTGGCTTCCAGCATTGCCAATCATTTCATCCAAGATAGTTAAATTCCAAAATAAAGCATAATCACGAGGCGCAATTTCAACACCAGTTCTATAGCCCCCTGCCTCATTTTCTTCTATTTCTTCTTTAATTTTGTCAATTAAAATACGAGCATTTTTCTTAAAACAACTTGGATCTCTTTTAACAATCCCCCCACATATTTCCGAAACGGTATTGACAACCATGTGATATGTATTGTTGAAAACAAAATCAAAGAAATCATCCTTAAAGTTTTTAAACAAATCATCTGATATAGATTCAAATATAATGTACATGAATTTTGGTAAAGAAATCGCCAATCCACGTTCCATACCTGTACTTTTCTCTGGATCTGGAAGATTCTCTAATAATACTGTTATGCGTTGGGTGAATCCCTTGATCAACTCCTTGAATGCAGTAGTTGATGATTTAAGAGCCTCAATTTCCAACTCCTTGTCCACTTGAAAGCCTTCCATATTACCATCGTAAATCTTTCTCTTTAAATATTCGATATGTTCTTGGGTGAATTCCAATGCCAATGTGGAATCACCTGTCTCATTTGTCAAGTCATAAATTGGTGCAAAATTCGAAATTGAAGTAAACGCCTCAATAGTCTGCATTGTCTTGTCCAAATCGTTTGAATCAATACCGGGGAGAGCAAGCAGCAATATTCTAGTAACGTGTACTCTGTAAACCGGAGTGGAAACAAGAAATCTTGCTAATGTATCAATGGTTTTAAGTGCTGTGGAAACTCTGTGAGTTGATATGACCCCTTCTAATGATTCGTAAATGTCTAGAAGTGTATTCTCAAGTACATATTCTGGTTCCAAGAATGCCAACAATTGCAAAGCAGAAATATAGTCGCTTGTCACTTTTTCTTGTTTTGCCTGAATACCAATCTTGACGATTGGCAAGAAAATAGATACAAACTCTTTGACTACCTTTCGAGAAAGCTTAAATTCTTGTGGCACATTATAATAGAACCCATCTTTTTCGTTTTCAGAATTAAATCTCTTATGAAATTGGTAAATTAAAGCCAAAATCAATTTTGAAATTGGTCTAGTCCAATCACCAGTATTGGAAGGATGGATATAACTTTCAATTGCATTTACCAATGTTCTTAAATAGTATACGATACCTCCATCTTCGAGTGCTGAATCCCCAATCATTGAAAAAGCAATAGCTGATGCAAACCCATGGAAATACTTTAATTTCATTGAAGAATACTTCTCAAACATAATGTTCAAGCTATTCATAAGAGTGTTGATCATGAATTCCATCTGACTTTCTGTATAAAGTCCGAATTTTCCTAACTTCAAGTAGTTTCTGGCTTCTGGTATATCATTAAGTACAGATAATGCAGACATCGATATGACACCTAATCTGGAACTTATTTGGACATCAAAGCCGTTCGTTTTATTCAACTTTAACCACATGTAAAAAAAAGATTGCAAGTAATGACGGATATCATTTTCATCTTCTATTCCACCAGGGGTAAAGAAAGGAGGTAAAATTGCTAATGATGACATGGTTAATGCAGAACTACTAACAGAAAAGTATGCAACCAACTTTTCGTAAATTTCAGGCAAACAATTCTTATCATAGAAATAATTAGCTCGAGAAGCTAATTTCACCAATTGCTTATGGTCCTTTTTCTCAAATGGAATCATAGTGGTGTCTGGAGGATGGAAGTGGTGTTCTAATTCCTTGAATAATTCACCCCATGGCAATCTTAAACCCAGATTGTACAATAATAATTGATCTTTTGTCAACAATTCAAACACCTTGACATATGTTTTAAGGTTGACATGTTGACCACGACAAAGGCAAATTGCATAATATACTCGAGCCAAACTTGCTCTCAAAGTAACAGGCATTTCATATTTCATTTTTAACCACACCAACAATTCATGTGTCCAAGTTTTCACTCCTACAACGGCAGCTGACTTTGGTGATTTCTTATGTTGAGTAGTTGCATCCTTATCCCCTTCATCCTCTTCATCTTCGTCATCCTCCTCATCTTCGTCTTCATCATCATCACTGGTCTCAAAGTCTTCCGGAATGGCATCATCGCCATTCTCATCATCGTCATCATCATTCATTTCAAACAAATTAGTCTCTAATGCCAAGTCGACATCTGAGATGGCGTCTTTTAAAGCAGCCAAGTCTTTGGCACTAACACTCAATGATCCTTGGATATCCAAAGTTTTAATTGCTATGTAAAGATGTGAGATGATATGACTCAAAAACTTTGCTTGGTCTTGAGGACTCTCAATTTTATAAGGTAATAATCTAGGTAAATCTAATGTTCTTGGTCTCGATCTGGCATAAAACCTTGACTTGGGGTCGAGTTGTAATTTGGACAATTCATCCGCATTATCGGGATAGTCTAAATTGTAGAATCTTTCTCTGCTATTAACGATTGTTCCATAAGAAGGTCTTCTATTGATATGTCTTTGGACTTGGCCCATTGTCAGAGGTGTCAATGACCTCAATGCTTTGTCCAGTTCATAAACTTGGAGTCGCAATTGATCCAGAGATGCAACCCTTGGAATAGGATGCAGCAGATGTTTCAATGGAATCGGTGCCGAAACATTAATCCTCTGGGACTTCTCGGACTTGTGGTTCTTCTCTATTGGTGACATTGTTGGTTAAATCTCTTTAACCCTCTTTCTTTATATTTTGTTTATTTTATTTTACTTTCCTTCTTTTGGTTGACAAAATAAATAAATAAATAAATAAAAGTTTACTAGGCAAAAAAAAAAAAAAAAAAAAAATTAAGAATTAAGAATTAAGAATTGGTGATCTAGGTTTATTAATGGATTAGTTTAGTTGGTGGTGGCAACAATGCAAGGACGACCAACAATTTAAATTTTCTGGTGAATGGGAAGGAAAATCAGCAAAGTCTTTTTTTTTTGGTTGGCTTTCTCTAATTCTCTCTTTCTCTTTTCTTTTTCCTTTTGTCTTGTCTTGTCTGTCTTGTCTGTCTTGTGTGTCTTGTACCCATACAGTGTATGTAATCATTTTATTTTATTTTTTTTTTCCTCTCTAGTGTGCATTCTAATTATTTCATGGTTGTCACTCTTTTGGAGAGACAGCATAAATGCCTTTCCATGCTAGATCGACCAACTTTCAAAATAAATATATAATAATCTTCTGGTCAACGTCGACGAAAAAAGAAAAGAAACCAGAGATGGTCAATTGATCCTCGAAGTGACATAGGCTGATGATGATGGTAATGGTTGCTTGATTGTACATGGTCAGGCTTAACTAACTTATGTGAATTATTATTGAATAAACTGCTGTACACATTCTTGGTTGCTGCGTTCTAATATTTAATTTTGTGCATCTGTTGAATAGTTCTTGTTTTACCACCTCGTCATTATCATCAAAAACACATACAATTCAATTAATCATTGGAAAGTTCTTAATAAGATCAATTCCTCTAACCTGTTCATGTCCTTTGTATGGTACTACCCTGATGATGAAACTTGGTGTTGCAAACAATAGACTATTAAAAAAAAACGCCATTATATTGGGTACTGCATAAAAGCTGTTCACTCATCGGGTACTTTGTTTCTTTTTTTTTTCTATTACTCTCGCCCTTCTCCTTATTGAAGGAAGTGGGAGTGAAAAAAAAAAAAAAATTTTTATTGATTTCTCTTCTCTTCATATTCATAGTAAGCAACAACTAGTCATGTCTATTTCTGCATCAAAAGCTAAAAGAGAACAAAAGCGTTTAGAAAGAGAAGCTAAGAAAGCCGCTGCTGGTAAAACTACCAAGAAAACTAAGAAGCAAGCCGAAAAGGATGCTGCTGAAGATGAAGTTGAAGATGCTGAGCAACAAATTGCCAAATTGAAATTACAAACCGATGAACATGGTTTGTCAGACAGAGTCACTACTGGTGTTTTGGAATCATTGGTCACTTCCAGAGATATTAAATTGTCTTCTGTTTCCCTTTTATTCCACGGTAAAGTTTTGATTCAAGATTCTACTTTGGAATTGAATTATGGTCGTAGATATGGTTTATTGGGTGAAAATGGTTGTGGTAAATCCACCTTATTGAAATCCATTGCTGCTAGAGAATTCCCAATCCCAGAACATATTGATATTTACTTGTTGAATGAACCAGCTGAAGCAACTGAATATTCTGCTTTGGAATATGTTGTCAGAGAAGCCGAACATGAAATGAAGAGATTGGAAGATTTGGTTGAAGAATTGATTGTCAAAGAAGGTCCAGAATGTCCAGCTTTGGAAGCTCTTTACGAAAAAATCGATGAAATGGACCCTTCAACTTTTGAAAGTAGAGCTGCTGTTATCTTGACTGGTTTGGGTTTCAACTCAGTTACCATCAACAAAAAAACCAAAGACATGTCTGGTGGTTGGAGAATGCGTGTTGCCTTGGCCAAAGCTTTGTTTGTTAAACCAACCTTATTGTTATTGGATGACCCAACTGCCCATTTGGATTTGGCAGCTTGTGTTTGGTTGGAAGAATACTTAAAAAGATTTGACAGAATTTTGATCTTGGTCTCCCACTCCCAAGATTTCCTTAATGGTGTTTGTACTAACATGATTGATATGAGATTGAAAGTTTTAACTATGTATGGTGGTAACTACGACTCCTATGTTAAAACCAGAGCTGAATTGGAAACTAACCAAATGAAACAATACAACAAGCAACAAGAAGAAATTGCTCATATCAAGAAATTCATTGCATCTGCTGGTACTTATGCTAACTTGGTCAAGCAAGCTAAATCTAGACAAAAGATTTTGGATAAAATGGAAGCCGATGGTTTGATTCAACCAGTTGTTCCTGATAAGGTCTTCAGTTTCAGATTCCCTGAAGTTGAAAAATTGCCACCTCCAGTCTTGGCATTCGACGATATGTCTTTCTCTTACTCAGGTAAAGAAGAAGACAACTTGTATGAACATTTGGATATTGGTATCGATATGGATTCTAGAGTTGCTCTTGTTGGTCCAAATGGTATCGGTAAATCCACTTTGTTGAAATTGTTCCAAGGTAAATTACAACCACAAAAGGGTAGAGTTATTCAACATACTCATATTAAATTGGGTGTTTACTCACAACATTCTGCAGACCAATTGGATTTGACTAAATCCCCATTAGAATTCGTTCGTGATAAATTTTCTAGTATTTCACAAGATTATCAATACTGGAGAGGTCAATTGGGTCGTTATGGTTTGAGTGGTGAAGCCCAAACTTCCCAAATGGCTACTTTATCTGAAGGTCAAAGATCTCGTGTCGTTTTTGCATTATTAGCATTGGAAGCTCCTAACTTGATTTTATTGGACGAACCTACTAACGGTTTGGATTTGGCTACTATTGATTCTTTGGCAGATGCCATCAACGCCTTTAATGGTGGTGTTGTTGTCGTCTCCCACGATTTCAGATTATTGGATAAAGTTGCTAAAGACATTTTTGTTATTGAAAACAAGAATGCTACAAGATGGGACGGTTCTATTTTGGATTACAAAAAATCATTGGCTTCAAAGGTTGTATTATAGTTGTTCTTTTTTTATTATTATTATTATCATTATTTTTATATTCATTCATTGCTCTTTATTAATAGAATTTCTTGGAAATAAACATATCATTGACTCTTGTTTAAAATTATCAATTAAATATAAAAAAAAAAAAGCAATGACGATTCAAAGTAATTACTTTATCAGCAAGCTGTTAAAAATTCAAAAAAAAGAAAACTGGACGAGATAAGAGTCGAACTCATGACCTTTCCCATGCTAAGGGAACGCGCTACCAACTACGCCACACGCCCTGTTTGTTGAAATTTAAAGTTGGTGGCTTTATGGTCTTGTTAGATTCACCACCAATCTTCATTGGTAATATTAACCCTTTAGTAAATCAATTATATTTCATTGAAATTTATATTTCTTCTACATAGTTTCTAAAACCTCACTCACTTTCCATCTTCTCCACGACTCTTAGTCCACTCTGCAGACCCAGATTGTCTTCCAACAGGTAAATCACTTGTAGTTGTTGATGGTAATTCTTTTTCCAGTTTCTTCAAAGTTTCAGCATTATGAGGTACAATGATTTCCTCATACACTTTAATTAATGCCTGTTCTTCGTTCATTTGAATTTTTAATTGCCTGTAAAAATCTGACTGTTTCTTACTGTTGATATAATGTATGGCTGATTTAACTTTACTTTCACTGGTAATCGAAGCTTTACTTATTTGTTTTTCAGGAGTTATATACTTGTCACTCAAATCAATAATATAATGACGATTGAATCCAATAACAAAACTCATCTTCTTGCCCCAGTTATTACAATATAACAATGGTTCATCAGCAACTGCTTCACATGGATCTAAATGTATCCATCTTTTAGAACTATTGGAGTAATATTCACACCAAACGTGATCTTCGTGATTCCAAACGTATCTGATTCTATCAGTATCACCTCCACCTATTAATGCTTGTAATATTAACATAAAACAATTCACCCATTCTCCACATCTACCTTTTCTCGATTTTAATAATGATACTGGATTATTAATTCTTGGGAACTCAACTAATTTCCCACAACTTTTGCACTGATAAACTTCAATAATAGATATTTGATCAGGATTACCTGGAGCTCCTCTTTTTCCTCCTTTTGAGTGTACATCTTCGGAACCACAAGAGCATTTTGGTTTGTTTACCCAACTAAAGAAATCATTCTTGAAATAATGTAATAATTCAAAAACAAGTAAATCATCATAATCCAACTCTGGATTAGTGTTCTCTTTTTCTCGTTTTTCAAGGTTTCCATAAATCTTCTCTAAATCTATAGTATCTAATGCAATATCTAGGGCATTGGTGTCTCTATATCTTTCAATACAATTAGCCATACTATGGATTGAACTAACAACTGGTAGCTGAGAATCGTGAACTATTTCTTTTTGTAATGCAAGTGATCTCTTGTTATCATGATTGATCTTTTCACGTGCATATGTTGAAATAAGTAATTCTTTTACTTTCTTATAATCAATAGTTGGTGGTACTGACGGCATGGTAGTTTTGTTTTGAATGGCAATTAGAATTAGTAAGGAATAGCGAACTTAGAACAATTTTTTTTCTTGTTCTGTTTTTGATTTCGGTTTTGATTCTCTCATATTTTTCTTCTATGCGGTCGTTTATTATTTTGTAGATAAACTTTCTATAAACTGTATAACCTCAGCTTTTTACTCCTTTTGTTCTTCAGTGGTCTCCTTCTCTTCAGTGGATTCCTTCTCTTCAGTGGATTCCTTCTCTTCAGTGGATTCCTTCTCTTCGGGTTCTTCTGTTTCGGTGGATTTGTTTTCAGTTATATCATCCAGAGGAGTGGCACTCTTGCTTTCACCCTTTGGTTTGAGTTTTCTTGGAGGTAATACTTTATTGAATGCATCTTCCCAATTACCATCACTTTCATACCACTTACAAAGTAATTCATAAACATGGGATGTAACTAATACGTGTCTACCATTGACTTCGATATATTTCCCAATTGGTAATCTTGCAACTTTAATACCCAACTCCTTTGCTTTATTATAACAAAGACTCTTGTGTCTATTCTTATCAACAATTCCACCAATGACATAAGTATGGTTTGGTTCTAATTTTGTAATTTCTTCATCAGTATCTGCTGTAAGGTAAACTAATTGTTCTTTATCTGCCACTTCTGTTAGGGATTTATCAGTAAATTTAAGGTTTCCAGTCCATAATGTATATTCACCCAATCCAGTTTCAAAACGTTCCTTAAGACGTTTGTTGAATGAAGTAACAGTGATTGGAAGTTCATAACGACAACGTCTCATGGCAGCATAACATGATTTAATTTGATTTGATAAAGAAACAATTTCTCCATCCAACATTAAATCATCAAAATCACAATCAATAATTATAGAAACATCAGTTGGAATTTGTTTACTTGGTTTACGTCGAGCTTCACGTAATTCTTCATCAGCATTTAATCTTTCACGTTTTCTTTGTCTAGCAAGACGTTTCTTTTCACGTTGAACTTCAAGATGTTCACTTTTAGTATCAATCCATCTTTGTTTCTTTTGTTGTCTTTTCCATTCTTTTCTTGACATTCCCTCTGGAACAACTTCAAGGCGTCTTAATTTTCTTCTTTCCTCGATTTCTTCAGCAGTTGGCTTTTGTCTCTTTAAAGACTTGACTTGTTCAACTGGGGAGCTAGTAGTTGATGGTACATCTGTTGTGTCTGACATTGTATTCAATGAATTGATGAACTGTAGTTATAAATAATGTATCTGAAAATTTTTTTTTTTTTGATTTATTCGCGATGTACGCTCAGAAATATATCTAATCACTGAACTAGGAAATTGTCCAAGACTGGTGATAATATAAACTCTACGAAAACAAAAAGAAAAACAAACCAATAGAGTATCATAATATCTACATGGTATACATGGTTATTAACTTGAATGCCGAAAAGTAATATCACAATTGTGGTTTTTTAGAAAAAAATGTTAATAAGTCATGCAAAAAATTAAAAAAAAGAAATGGTCCCTAGCAGGATCGAACTGCTGATCTTGGCGTTATTAGCACCACGCCTTAACCAACTGGGCCAAGGGACCAATATAAAACCAACTAGGCTATTAGACCTGTTTGTTGACATTCCAAACACCTTAGAAATACTGACGACGTCCATTATATGTAAATTTCAATAGATTCTAAGGGTAATTTTCAATCAAACAGTAATTAAATCAATGTATTTATTGTACAAATCAATTAAGAACATCGTTGAAAAGTCAAAAAGATAACTTTCCTCTCCAAAGAACATTTATTTTTTTTTTTGCTAAAATTTGTTTTATTCTATCTGTAAACTTTAACAACTGAAATCAATACAAGTATTAATCCCAAAATTTAATTTTCACCAAAAGAAAAGATCACTTTCCACAAGTTTAACCAAGAATAGAGTTATTGTTTACGAATGGTCAAGTTATACTTCTACTTAAAAAAAACTTTAAAAGCATAATTGCAACACCATGGGAATTCTCTATATTATGTGTTTAAGTGAATGTTTCCACAGTGACATTTGCACCAATTTTTGTGAATGAACTTTTAATTCTTAGAATTCATCAGTATTAATAGACGACCACTATCATCTCTGCCAGGAATGCTTCCCATTGGTGTCTTAAAAACACAATAGTTTTTAGTTTGTTTTTAATTACAAGTAGTCTATACAGAAGTAGTGCACAAACCACCAGAAATGTTTGTCGTTGTTACGCGAATTTTTTTTTATTCAAATTCACATTCCTCTTCTTTTGTTTTGTACCATTTATCCGCCATGCATAATTAAAAATCAGAAATCAAAAAATCACAATCAGTTTTTTAAATTGACCAACTGTTTACAGTGGCGAGAAGCAGAAGAGACCAATTAACACGCTCTGAAAATCGTACAACTTTGTTTCCTTTTGATAAGCATACCCAAATCATGTGTAGATTGAAGATACAGCAATATCGTTATCTGTCTTTAACTTTTCGCAACAATTGACATTGAAGATATTATACGACAACATTACAGAATTCTAGATTTTAATAAAACAACATAAATATATGTATTAACAAGTATACAATAAATTATTCTAAATCATAAGACACATCCAAGAATTGATTTCAACACGTTTAATCTTTCTTTTCAGATTCTTGTTTTTTACCGTCATCCTTGTGGTTGTTTTGGTATTCACTGTAAGCTTCTTTAGCTTTGGAAGCAAGATCACCGTCCTTGGACAAGATAGCACCGACATCTTTGATATCTTCGTTGGTGATTTTACCACTTTCGTATAATTCTTTACCTTGTTTGATGAAGCTGTCCATTTTTGATTATTAAAGTCAATTGATATTGATAGAGAAAGAAGAAGAGAAGAGAAAAGAAGAAGAAGAAGAAAAAGACAGAGACGACCAAAATTTGGTGTGAGGGAATTTCGTTGTCAATTTATAGTCGTTAATGGAAGATATGGACGTGTATCATTTTCTTTGTTAATTTTTTTAGAACACACATAATTGATTGATAGAAAGACAAAACCTGAAACGATCACTAAAATTGAATTCCAGATGAATTTTTCTCTCTTATTGTTCTGTCGTGTACCTCACGTTTCTTTTTCTTTTTCTCTTTCTCTTTCTCTTTCTCTTTCTCTTTCTCTTTTCCCCCCGTATTCGTATTGTTTTTCACGATGAATCTCAGCAGTGTGAATTTGTGGTAGCGTGCGCTTCTCCTCAAATTTTTTTTTTTACAATGATGAACACGGTGTAATTGTAGATAAACGATAGAGTCATAATTACAAATGAAAACTCACAGTAGCTTAGTTTTAATATATTTATTCTAATTATAGACCTAATTTATTAAGGTGCCACTAATGAGTCTTTGCTCTTTTAGTTCCATACCCTCGCATTATAGATTTACTTCTTTTTACCCCAACTTTTGAAACCAGTGAAGGTAGATTATCTGATATTTTGGTATGACGGTAGATTTCAAAATGAATTTCTTCATATATCACATCCAAATTGATCTCCCCTGTTCGTTTATACTGTATGAATTTCTTTGTAAGAATTTGACAAATGGAATCCCCACTATGTGCAATTCCAGATGTCATCAAATAAAGGATAACTAATTTATTATTGTCATTTAATTCGTTAAGAAATATTCCAAGATGATCATAATTACTGAATGTAGTATCTGTAGTATAATCAACCAGATGTAAACTCGTCTTACTTAACATTCTTTTAATAATAACATCTAATCTAAATTTAATAACTGAATATACTAATTCAAAATCTTTCCCATCTCCCAAATTGATAATTTCTTCAATATTTTTAGAGTTTTTAACAAGATTATCATTTTGAAACAAATATTTCAACGTAGTAAATAATCTCTGATACATTATAACAGCCATATAGTATTTTTCAGCTTTATTATTTAAATCCAATTCATTCTCAATTATATCATCTAAATTTTCAATAGGATTGAATAATTGAAAAGGACTTATTCCACCACCAAGTGATTCAACTATATGTCTTGTTATTTCAGGTATTGGTATTTGTTCATCTTTATAAGTATTTAGCATTTCAACTATTTGTTCATCAAAATTAGGACATAATATATTTAAATAATTTGCACATTCTTGATCTATTTGAGATAATAATTCTTCATGTTTTTTCAATCCTCTATTTAAGGGTAACTTCTGGATTTTGAAAATAGACATGATCTTACCCTAGACATCGTGTCTATTAATAATGGTAATACAGTCCCACCTCTTTTTTTTTTTTTTTGCGTTTCTCTTTGTCATTATTTCACCTGTATATGATATTGTACAAGGTGAGTGAAATAATCTGCCACACACGACCTTTTTTTTTATATATATATGAGACTATAACACACAATTGGTTGATAGAATCAATCCAAATACCATTATTACTTGATTAAATTTCTATTTTAGTTATCTAACAAAATTTAAACATATTTACAATCTTATACACCGTTATATATGTATCTAAAGTTTCAATTTTTCTAAAATAGCAATGGTTTGTTCATAACCTTCAATTTCAGCACTGACTTTTTCAAGTCTCTTTTGAGCAGATTCTTTAGCTTCTGGTTTGGTCTTTTCAGTAAATTTACTGATAGAATCTTCAAGTTTCTTCTTTTGTTCTTGAGTGTTGGACAATTTCTTGTTGACTTTACTAATTTCAGCATCTAAATCAATTTGACCTTTAACCAAAACATGAACAGTACAGTCTGGACCAATTGCTTGTAAAGCACAACCAGATGGAACTTCTTCTGGGGTCTTAACAACAAAGATTTTTTCAACACCCTTGATCAAAGAAACAATAGAGTCTTGTTGTTCGGAAGCAATTGCAAAGATATCTTCTTTAGAAGATTCAACATAAACTTGACCATTCTTCAAGATGTTGTATTGAGCCAACAAAGATCTGGCACCCTTGGTAATATCAAGAACCAATTCATAAGCTTCATAAGATTTGACATCATCAAATTCTTTCTTGTAAGTTGGGTATTTGGCCTTCATGACAGTAAGGGTGTTGTCACCTTCACGTCTTGGTAATCTTTGCCACATTTCTTCGGAAACAAATGGCATGAATGGATGAATCATTCTCAATGCACCATCAATACAAGTGTACAAAGTATCTTGAGCAGATTTCTTTTGTTCTGGAGTACCATCTTGGATCAAAGATTTAGAGTTTTCAATGTAAACATCACATAAATCATACCAGAAGTTGTAAACAAAACCAGTAGCATCACCAAAGTTTCTAGCTTCTAAAGCTTCATTGGTGTTCTTGGCAGCATGAGACAATTTGTGCAAAATCCATTTTTCAACCAAGGATTCTTTACCAGTTAAATCACTGGTCTTTGGTGGAACATAATCGTTACCCAATCTACCCAAAACGAATTTAGTGGCTTGGTAAATCTTGTTACAGAACTTACGGTAACCTTCAACTCTCAAAATATCCAAGTTGATATCTCTACCACCAGTACTGTAAGCACAAAGGGCAAATCTAAGAGCATCAGTACCACATTCTGGAATACCATTTGGATAAGAAATCTTTTGACCTTCAGTAGCTTTCTTCAATTCTCTTGGGTCCAAGTTACCAGTCAACAATTTGTCATGCAAACCTTGTAATGGAATACCAGTGATAACATCCAATGGATCAATGACATTACCCAAAGATTTGGACATCTTACGACCTTGAGCATCTCTAACCAAGGAGTGACAGAAAACTTCCTTAAATGGAACTTTACCGGTTAATTTAATAGACATCAAGATCATTCTAGAGACCCAGAAGAACAAAATATCCCAACCGGTTTCCAACATAGACATTGGGTTGAACAATTCCATGTCCTTGGTTTGATGTGGCCAACCTAAAGTAGAAATAGGCCATAAACCAGAAGAGAACCAGGTATCCAAGACATCTTCATCTTGGTGCAAAGTAAATTTCTTGTCAGCGAATTTCTTTTGAGCTTTAGCCAAGGCTTCTTCTTCAGTTCTACCAGAAACCCAGTATTCATTATCAAGTCTATCGTGTTCTTCACCTTCAATATCAACAAAGTAAACTGGACATCTGTGACCCCACCACAATTGACGAGAGATACACCAATCTTGAATGTTTTCCAACCATTGGAAGTATTCAGCTTCAGAAGTCTTTGGGTTAATGACAATTTCACCAGATTTAACAGCAGCAATAGCATCTTTAGCCATTTGTTGTTGGTCAACATACCATTGTGGTTTCAACAATGGTTCAATAATATCTCCAGATCTGGAACAAACTGGGATAGTCATTTCATTGTCCTTTTGGTCAACATACAAACCTTTTTCTTTCAATTGTTCAATAACCTTGTATCTGGCATCGAATCTCTTCATACCTTTCCATTCTGGACCACAGTTTTCGTTCAATAAACCATCATCGGTGTAAATGTTGATGAATTCCAAGTTGTTTCTTTTACCGGTGTTGTAATCGTTTTGGTCATGAGCTGGAGTAATTTTAACAGCACCAGTACCAAATTCCATATCAACAGTTTCAGCATCAGTGATAATTGGCAATTTACGGTCCAAGAATGGATGTTGAACAAATTTACCATGTAAATGAGTGTATCTTGGATCCTTTGGATGAACAGCAACACCAGTATCACCAAAAATAGTTTCAGGTCTAGTGGTAGCAACAGTAAGTTTTTCATCAGAACCAACAACTTGGTAAGAAAAGGAAGTTAAAACACCAAATTCAATTTTAGAATCATAACCTGGAACAGCCAACAAGGTTCTACCTGGGATGTTTTTGTTATCAACTTCCAAGTTAGAAATAGCAGTGTTCAATTTAACAGACCAATTGACCAATCTAAAAGCACGGTAAATAGTACCATCTTCGTGCATTCTAACGAAAGCTTCAGTAACAGCTTCAGATAAATCTGGATTTAAAGTGAATTTTTCTCTAGTCCAATCATAAGAAGCACCCAATTTCTTGAATTGGTTCTTAATTCTGTTATGGTATTCGTCTTTCCATTCCCAAACTTTTTCAATGAATTTTTCACGACCATAATCATGTCTAGTCTTCTTTTCTTTAGCCCAAATTTGTTTTTCAACAACGGATTGAGTAGCAATACCAGCATGATCGAAACCTGGAATGAACAAAGTGGTTTTACCTTGCATTCTATTCCATCTAATCAAAGTATCTTGAATAGAAACAGTTAAAGCATGTCCAATATGTAAAGCACCAGTGACATTTGGTGGTGGACATGGAATAGAGAAACAACCTTCAGATTTAATTTTACCATCTTCAGTCAATTCAGGTTCAAAGAAACCTTGTTTTTCCCACCAGGAATACCATGAACTTTCAACATATTTTGGATTATAAGCTTTGAAAGCAGCATCATCCAAAGAAGTTAAAATTTTCTTTTCACCTGGTTTGGTTTCATCAACAAATTCTGGAATTTTTTCAGGAGCAGCTTGTTTCTTTTCCTTCTTGGCTTTCTTTGGTTCATCAGATTTGTTCTTGTTGGCTTCAGCTTGTTTAGCCTTCTTGGCATTGAATTTAGCCAATTTTTCAGCTTTCTTTCTTTCTTTTTCTAATTCTTTAGCAGTTTTTTGTCTTGGTTGGCCATCATCACCTGTTGTAGCTGGAGCTGGGGCAGCGGCAGCAGCAGCAGGGGTTTGACCTTCAACTGGTTTAGTAATAGGTTCACTCATTTTGTTAATTGTTGATTGCCTTCTAATTATATCAACTCTATTAATAACTAATGGGAATCTAATTCTTTGAAGTAGTGATCTACCAGAAAGCATACACAAGTTAGAAAGAAAGAGGATGGTTTTTTTTTTTTCACTTTTTTTTTTTACGTTTGAGAAAATTTTTTTTTCGTGTGCAATATTGGAGTAAATAGTGTGAGATTATACTTTGTATAGTATACAGATTATTGTATTAGAATTATAATATATGGAGATAAAGAGTGAGGCTACATGACTCATTGATACATAGACTCATTCCAACTTTTGTTTTTTATTGACTTCCCCATTTACATCGTCTGGTATCTTTCTTTTGTTTAACCCTCCTAACCATTTACTTTTAATTGGATTACCATTGTTTAATTGAAGTTTGTTAGGGGTTGATTTGGGCTTTGTAAGGATTAAACTATCCAAATCTTCATCAAAAATAGTTTTCGGGTTTTTCAATTTTTCTTCTTCTTGCTTCTGTTGAGTTTGCAACTTTTTGATCATCCCTTTAGACATTTTGGCATTTGTTTTGGAGTTAACTTGCAATTGTCCAATTCTTCCTGAACTACTACTATTACCAGTCATACCTAATCCAATCTCCTCACCAAATCCGTCCATTATCGTCTCTTCTTGTTTACCAAACTCCATTTTATTCTGCGCTTTACGCAAATCAGACATTTGGAATCGTTCTTTATACTTCCTTACTTTTCGACCTCCTCTCTTTTTAGATTTTTGTTCAACTGGAGCAGGTAACGCTTTATCAGGAGTTTGTTCTGGAGGGGTTAATAATTTATCTATTTTGCCTTTAATTTCTTCAAGATATTTCTTACCCAATTCACCATCGGGACTTGATTTAGACAAGTCTATACGTGCTGCAAGAATTATTTTCCCACTGATGATTCTCATTACTGAACGAATAATATCTGGAGGTAAATATTTCACTAACTCACTATGATAAACATAACCCGTTTGTTGAATATTTCTTGATTTGGTCTTGGTAGTAGTAGATAAATCTCTTACACCCAATGATGCCACATTACAAGAAGGTGTTAATGCCAATTGTTTCAACGATCCTGTTGCAATTAACAATTGTGATGTTGTTATTGGACCAATTATAGCTGATATATTGGGAGCAAATTTGGATAGCTTGTTTGATATAAACTCTGACAATTCTTGTAAGATTTCATTCAATTCTAGAATCAAAGTGATACAAGATAGGATTTTTGTGATTTCTTCAGTATCTAACATGGTCTGATTTTGCACTTGCTGTAGACCTGCCATAATTATAACCAATACTTTTTCATTACTAACAATAGATTTCATTTCTTGTTCATAGGATTTGATATTTGGTAAATCCTGCTTGATTATGCTTATTATACGAACATAGTCTATTGCGTTGGGAATTAAGGATTCTAGTTCTGGAAACACTTCTTTATATTGCATCTTAACCAAAGAATAAAACACAAGAATTTCATTATTGATGATTGTAGATAATTCATTGATAAGTATTATGAATTTATATTCTTCTGATTGATCCATACCATCATCTATTGATGATAACAATTCCAAGTAATCAGTCTCTTCTTCATTAGAATATTGAACTATTTTTTGTTTCAATTCAGGAATCAATGGTCTTATCTTTAATAAACTAGTCAAATCACTAATGGTTTCAATGTTTTGTTGACCCATAATTGATTGGAAAGAATCAGTTGTGGCATTAGATTGGATTAACTTTTGCAATTTCTCATGAAATGCAAGTTGATTATCATTGTTGTTAATTTTTTCTACCTCTTCTTCTTGATTGTCATTAGTTTCAATAACTTCATCATCTGAACTATCTAAATCAGCTAATAATTCTGCTTCATAATCTGTCATTTTATGAATGTCTATGGTAGTGAATGTTGTAAATAGATATAAAAAAAAAACAGTGTTGCAAAGATTAGCCAGTGGACCTTTCACTTCTTCTCATTCAACAGTTTTCTGATGAGCAAAAAAAAAAAAAAAAAAGAAAATCTCTTACAGACATAGACAACCAATACATCATTCACAATCATTCCTTCATATTTTAAAACAAAGAAACATGTCATCAATGTCAGTAGAACTTAGGACTTCTATACTAGAGAATGCTGATGGATCAGCAGAATTAACTATTGGTGGAACCAAAGTAATAACATCTATTTCTGGACCGATAGAACCAAAACAACGTCAAGAATTACCAAATCAATCAAGTTTAGAAATAATTGTACGTCCAGCAACTGGATTACCAACAACTAGAGAAAAATTGATTGAAGATAAATTACGTTCAGTTTTACAATCAGTTATTATAAGTTATAAATATCCTAGACAATTAATTCAAGTTGTGGTACAATTTTGTAATACTGATGAATCTGTGGAATTTAATGTTAATGAATTAAATGCAGCTATAAATTCTTGTTATTTTGCATTGATTGATGCTGATGTGGCATTATATAGTTCTTTTGCTAGTGTGGTTATATCTATAAATCTGGGTAATTTGATTAAAGAACCAACAGGAGATGTTTTGGAAACTAGCGATTCTTTCCATTTAGTGTGTTTCACAATACAAGATGCTCAAGCCAAGAAGTTGTTAATGTTGGAAAGTCAAGGTGAGTTTACAGAACAAGAGTTGTTTACTGTGTTGAGTGAAAGTGTTCATGAAGTTGAGAATTTGCATACTATTCAAAGAAAATTCATTGAAGATAAAATCAATCAAGATTACATATGGAAAAGACTGGAATAATAATATAGATTTAATTGTATAATAATTTCCCAAACCTTCCTATTACAGGACAAATACACACCGATTTACAAATATACATAAATATATAGATCTAATATAAAGTAGCCAAAGGATTCAATCTTGATGATCTACCATTTTGACCAGCACTGTTGATGTTTAACAAGTTAATTTCAGCATTGCCGAAATTATTATTTGGATTAGATTTATGTTTGAAAGTAAAACCAATAAAGTTATATTGTTGACCCTTAGCACCCCCTGATTTCTCTAATAATTGTTCATTATGTTCTTGTCTAGCAAAGACATCTTTATACTTCATCATCATTTCCTCATCCTCGAAATCGTCAAAGTAACCAGCATCTTCTTCATTGTCCAATTGAGGAGTGAAAGGCGGGGTTCTTTCTCTTAAGTTATTCCAATCTTTGATATCATTGAAATAGCTCATTTGTTGAACTTGTTTGAAATTCTTCAATCTAGTACTTGGTGAAGCAATAAGTTTGATAATTAAATTCCAAGTTCTATCACTGAATACATATCTACCATCTTTAGTTTGTGGTCTTCTCAATGCGGTTTTCCAATGTTTCAAGTTGTGATAAGTTTCATCTTGTTTTGAACCAGAGAATGGTGGGTATCCACATAATGCTTCAAACAACATACATCCCAAGGACCAATAATCAATAGTGTAATCATAATTCTTACCTTCCAAAACTTCTAATGCCATATAATCAGGAGAACCAACAATGGAGTTTGCTAAATTATGATGAGCATCTTGACTTTGTTTGAATATTTTCTGTCTTTCATACATTGATCTACTTGGTAATTGATAATTCTCCAAATCTTCCAAACTTTTCAATTTTATTCTCATGGATTCGATTCTATCATTAGAAACAGTACCGGCAGCTAAACCAAAATCAGTCAATTTAATATGCCCCTTTGAATCGATCAAGAAATTCTCAGGTTTCAAATCACGGTGAGTAAATCCCAATTCATGTAAAGAGTTAACTGCAGCAAACATTTCACTTATATAGAATCTTGCATGAGGAGGGATTAAGTATCCAGTATTGTTCAATAAAGTTCTGAAATCACCACCAGGTACAAATTCCATAGCAAGGAATACCTTCTCGGGATCTTGAAAAGCATACAACAATTTGACTAACCATTCACTTCTTGTATTGGTCAAGATATCTCTTTCAGTTAAAACATGTCTTGTTTCGTCTAATTTCACCAATAATTTCTTGTTCAACACTTTCAAGGCACAAATTTCTCGGGTGTCTTTCTTTCTAGCTAAGAAAACTTGACCATACCCACCTTGACCAACTTGAGTAATCATTTCAAAATCTTTGTGTTTTGGTTTCAATCTTCTTTTACGTAATAATGCTCTTTCTCTACCGATATAATTCTTCCATTCCATTTGTTGTTTTTGAGGTTGATTTTTATAATTTTCATCAGTTAATAATGTTCTTTCCATAGATTCAGTTCTTTCTTTTCTACTAATGACATAATCAAACATATCACAATAATAATCCAAGAAATACAATTGTGCAACTGATGTCAATCTTTTAGTTCTCGAACTGTTTGCCTTTTTACGAAACTCTTCATCAGTTAACTTATGTCTATTGTCTTGACGTGGTTGTAATTTAGTTATGTTATTTTGCAAAGCAGTTGTCTTTTGATCTTGATAGTATGCATTTGGAGTCAATGGCTGTTGCTGTTGTTGTTGTTGTTGCAGTTGCAATTGTTGGTGGTAAGGGTGTTGAGGTGTTGGAGGTGCTTGTTGATGATAATATTTGTTATACTTATGAGCAGCATTTGGAGAATTCTGGAGCACAGATTTAGTAGGAGAACTCAAGGGCGTGATATTTTCTTTGTTAAATTGAGTAGTATTGTTATATTGGGGTTTACTTGATACATAACTGGTATCTATATCCATCATGTTGTTGCTTGTAATTGATACGTTTTCCATAGATTGGGAGATATCTGATACATCTTGAATATGTTGATGTTTTGGAGACCTATTGAAAAAACTAGCCATTATCAATACAAGTTTCTTTAATGAATTCTAACGGTAGGGAAAGTAAAAAAAAAAAATAAAAATAAGAATATATATGAAAAAAAAAAAATAACAAAGCAAAAATTTGAAAGAAGAAACCAATAGGTGTATATAAATAATTTTTTTTTTCCCTTTTGATTTATGGGAACGATGGAATCTAGATGAAACTTGCTAGTTTATACTAAAAGAAAACAAATGACCTAAAAGGAAAAGGAAGAAAAACAAGATTAAGCAGGTGTAAAAAGGATTTGATGATGATTTGTTTATGTTGTGGTTGTGAAAGGAATTTATTCTGTTTGGTTTTACATACAAATCTCCCTTTTGGTGGTTGATGAAATTTTGTAACAAAAAAAAGAAAAATCATTTTTTTTTGTTTATGATTTGAACCAATTAGGAAAGTAAAGAAAAATGCGATACGAATAGTTTCTGTACAGTTTGTATGTTCTATTATTCTCTCTTGTTTCTTCCTGTAGAAAGAGATCTTACTTCCCAGCATCGCCGCAACTTATGGCAACAAGATGCGAGATAATAATACAAAGAAGTTTAATTCATCAGGGGGCGTGGATAAGCACTCACAGGTGTGAGTACTAATTGATGATAAGGAAATAGACTTATTTAGCACGACTGGATAGAGATATAATTTTCTACAATTAAGCTTTGCACGTGTATGTAATGCAGCTAAGTTAGTATTCTTATTACTTTGTACGCAGATTGTGAACTCATTGTATTTAATGCCAATCAGTGTGGAATCCATGTCTTAGAATTAAGGATGCAGTGCACATGCATATACACCCAAAGTGAATACAACTGATGAGAAAGACAAACTCGATCAGTTTCGATTAAGTGATTACATCGAGTTGAATTCTACACGTATTGACTGTATCCATTGAATAGTGTCGTCCCATCCTCCCGGGAGTGGTCCATCATCTTTATCAACCAAAACGACACTCCGAGTTGAATTTCCACTATTTTCTTTATTCTAAGATCTACCCCTCCACTACCTGATAGTATACAAGGCTCTTCCAATTCGCATCTTAAATAGTGTTGATTTTGACATTTACCCCAAATTTTCTTTTGGAATATTTTTTTCACTTTTTCCGAAATTCTCCAATATATTTATACTATTCCAAACTCCTTGACTTTGATTTAAAGCCCCACCTTTAGTATTTATCCTTACCCCAGATTGATTAGAGCGGATTTACAAAAAATTATCCCTTATCGCAATGAGGAGTAATGCAACAGGTACTGCATGATGGAGATTAAGGAGAATTAATCAAGCAAAGTACTTCCGTATATGTAATCGGTTGTGTGATAGAGAAAAAAAGAAAAAAAAATAAAAGATTATCAGTTCACTAGTGGGGCATGATGAAGATTGAATATATACAAACGTTTACAGACACAGGATTTTCAAGATTCAAGCTGATAACGATATCAAAATTGAACAATAATATCAACCTGATTTTCTACAACCTTTGGAGGGGGAAGGAGAGTAATTGATGGGTGTAGGTTATTTTTCTTGGTGAAATAGATCTTGACTCAATGTTTGCAATTTGTGGGGTTATGATTTCAGGACAACTTGTTTCTCCCACTGTGCGGTACCACAATCGACCCATTTTATTTTTCGTCTCTTTTTATATATAGAGAGGAGATAGAACATTAACTATGACAAATTATTAATATTTTTTCTTGGTAGGTAAATGTCATATAATAGCAATTTAGTTTTAGACAGTCAGAATCATTCAGAGAAAGTGAATTGTTTGGTGAAATAGTAACGAAAAAAAAATTGTCTATTTTCTGGGGTAAGTTGAATACTGTAACAAAGAAAGTCTCATCGGCCAATCGGAGTTTTCCAAATAAGACTTTTTATTTTTCACTGCGTTCGTATAATTCAGTTGTTTTTCTTAAAAACAATCGAATTTCCACATCAAACTCCGGGAGCAAATGGGAATGTAGAATAAGCAAACTCAACCGACATTTATCACAAACCCCAACCTATATTGTTGTTATTATTATTACTGCTGCTGCTACTACTACTGTGACAATAGAAGAGATGTTGCTAACGGTAATATTATTACCGAACAAGCCACTGTATTTGCTCATTATACGTCAAATAAACCAGTATAAAGAATAAGAAACAAGTAGGATATGTCGGGACTACTAAAGGTTAAATCCGCATACAAAACTAGAGATAAAGAACGTTTGATTGCAAAACAATTGAGTAATATTTTTTAGCTGCAACAAAATTGATATTTAAATTCTTCTTGTTTGATTCAATATCACAAGGCTTAGAATTAATATGTCAACCTCTACAACGGTGGATACCATAGAAAGAACAACTAGTAAGACACACACAGAAACATACATATAGCAAAAAAAAAAAACAAGAAGGGCCAAAAGCTTATTAGAGTAAGTGAGATGGAAAGATACTCACAAGGAAAAGTAAAAATAAGACCAGGCGGCAGTGCCAATTAATTCTTACATTAAAAGTAGGTTGGTCCCTTTTCTTATGCGAGTAATAATGAATCTCTTTGTATTGCAAAAAGAAAAGAAAAATCTTCCAACAAAATCGAATGGTTATAGCGTTGCTTTTGACTTTTCCGTATACCAAAGAGACTACAAAAAAAAAAAAGAAAAAGAAAAAGGAAAGGGGAAAGATGAGTTAGTGAGTAAGTTTTTTCTATGACTTCATGATATGATTAGCCCATATAACCTTACATTGTATAGCGCCATCTCTAACCAGATGAGGAGATGTGATAATAATCATTACCTCAGCTGAGGTTTTATAAACCAAAAATTTCCATCTTCTTTCTTTTTTTTTTTTGTCGTTGTAGAGATGGGCGGTGGTAGGACAAAACGGAAACGAAGAGCGTTGTGTAAATCGCCGTTTCAGTCGCAATGTTTTCGACTTGGGAGGTCGGTTCAAAATTTTATTGTAAATGGATATTTTTTTTTGCTTTGTTGGCATCTCTCATTAGCACCACCACCACCACTCGCTTTGAAGTGGGGGAAGGAAACCCCCGCTCCAAATAGTGACTGCATATTACTAAACGACATTTAAGATATACGACATTTCGGAGTTTTGAATGCAGCAGCCATGTCTTCTCTCTGACATTACTGTTATCGATGGAGTTCAACAAAGTACATCATATATACAAGCCATACAAGCTAATAAAGTCCAGGGGTTTTTCTTATTCCAAACTTAGCCAGATCTCGGGTATGATTTTACTGTTACACAAATTACAAGTACAACATAAGAACAGTTCACCCTCATCTTAAAGAAAAAATATCACCAGGACAAGAATCTGCTAGAGAGAAATGTCGTATCCCAGTCAATCAGACATTTTTTACCCTCACGCCTAGTGAAATCCGACACAAAACACCAACACCAACAAATTATAATACTGAATCTCGGACAAAAATGACAAAAACCACCATCATCACCACTTTTTTCTTACAAGAAAAAAAAAAAAAAGGAAAAAGGAAAAAGCAAATAATAATCATAAAAATAAAAAAATAAGAAATTCCTGAGATATAAAAATCATTCCATTTTCCTTAAAATCAAATTTCATATAAAGATGTTTTAATTTTTCTTTATTTATTTATTTATTTATTTTGTTCTTACTTTTAATATCATTAGTATCAACAACTATATTAATTAATTAATCATGTCTGCTGATTTAGAAAACCAACAACCACAAGATCACCGTCTTATAATTGAAAACAAGGAAGATGGTCAACAAGGATCCACTCCATTCGACCCACATCATCCAGTCACTAAGATTCAAACCGATGGGGACTATGTCACTTTTGGTAATGAAAGATACTTACGTTCTGATTTGGTTCATGCTTTCGGTGGTACTTTGAACCCTGGTTTAGCCCCACCTCCAAAACATGATTTCGCCAATCCTGCCCCATTGGGTTTATCTGCATTTGCCTTGACTACTTTTGTTTTAAGTTTGATTAATTGTGAAGCCAGAGGAGTTACTATTCCAAACATTGTTGTTGGTTTAGCTTTCTTTTATGGTGGTGCTGCTCAATTGGTTGCCGGTATGTTTGAAATTGCTGTTGGTAACACCTTTGGGGGTGTTGCATTGAGTTCATATGGTGGTTTCTGGGGTGCTTGGGCTGCCATTCAAGTCGATTCTTTTGGTATTGTTGCTGCTTATGGTGATGATAAAACACAATTACGTTATGCATTGGGTATTTTCTTGATTGGATGGTTTATCTTTACATTTTTCTTGATGTTGTTGACTGTTAAATCTACTGTTGCATTCTTTTTGATATTCTTTTTCTTATCGATTACGTTTTTGTTATTAGCTATTTCTGAATTTTCTGCCAAAACTTCTGTTAAGAAAGCCGGTGGTGTATTTGGTTTGATTACTGCTTTTGTTGCTTGGTATAATGCATACGCTGGTATCGCCAACCCACAAAACAGTTACCTTGTCGTCAAGGCTATTCCATTGCCAGACTTGCAAGATCCAAACAGAAAGAACAAATAAACGTATTCGAAAAGATCCTGGTGATTTATTTTCAAATAATACTTTATTTGTATTAGAGCATGATAAAAAAAACTCAAACTACAAAACTTTTTTTTTTTACATATTTATTTATTTCAATTGGTTTCCCGGTCCCCCCCTTTCCCCTTCTATTTATGTCTATTTTTTTTATACTTATATAATTTCTTTTAATGTGTTAATCTGTCCCCTTTAATGATTTTTTTTTTTGTATTTCGTCCTCCATGCTTCATTATTTATTACTTTTATAAAACTAATATACAAGCTAGTATAGTAATGGATTAGAGAACAACTGTGTCTTTGCATAAATTGTTGCGAATTTTCTTTTTCTTTTGTTGTTGTTCTACGCGTTGTGGGGGGGGGGGGGAGGGGGCACTAAAAACAGATGAAACGGCTAGTTTGGGAGTTAACCTTAACGGAAAAAAAGAACATAAAAAAAAGTGGAGCGATTTCCCGTTGATTATGATTTTTATCCTACTTGTACATTTCAAAAGAGACTATAACATCATAGATCAAACTATTTAATCAAATATAGGTCTAACTCTTAATACTATATCATCATTTTGATCAACATTAATGATATCATTAATAAACATGTTCAAATCTTTTTTAATTTGTGTGAAATCTATACCCAAATCATCACTGCACATTAATAACAAATCAGGTTTTAAATTCTTTAATATTTGTAAATATCCTTGTAAATTTGAACATTTTAACAATTTGAAATTTGGTGGAATATAAGACAAGTTTAAATCATCCTCTGTTAAATTTGGTGGGATAATAAATATCATTTTTTCAGAACTTGTCAAGATCTTATTTAATGGTAAACTTGAAGATAGAAATGATGATGATAATGTTATGGCTATAGATTTATCAGAATATCGTTTCGATATGGTATATGAACTAGGTGTATCTGTTTTTATTTCATCTTCATCATTATTCAGTTGTTGGAAAAAACTAGTGTAGATTTTATAACTTATAGCAATAGCCGAGGTAGCGACTAAAGCAGTTATATATAAATTAGGGTTTCTTGAGGCTTTCCTTGACATCATATTTGATTTGAATCAACCAGGTCTTATCTATTAATTTCTATCAGGAAAATCAAAGTAAATTAACAAAAAAAAGGGGAACAAAGTAGAAATCTATTATTGTTTTATAAGATATAGAATAAACTGAAATAGTCGGGGGGCCAAAAGAGAGAGAGAGAGAAAAAGAAAAAGTACTCCTGTCGATTTTTTTTTTGTTGGATTTTGAGTCAACAAAAACCGACCAAGTTTAATTACAAAGTCACGTGGACGATACAACCCCGGATTTCGAAATTTCATCCCAACAGTTTTTCATTCTATAAAACTTTAAATATACTCCCCTCTTTTCCTGTTACCTATAAGCTGATCTTGTTAAGAGGTGGCAACCCCCTTTTACTACTTTTTAACATCTCCACAATTCAACTTTAAATGGTTGTGATATCATCATCATCATTTGGAACTCAGCATTGATGATATCGAAATTTACTAGAGGAATTCATGTGATATTTAAATCTATTCAGTTGAATTACAATCCAGAATTTTGTGTTCTATGGAAACAACCAAACGGCATTATTTTTAGTTAATTTAAAGAGAAAACAAAAGGTTCAAATTTGAAACTTGGTTAACACCCCTCGCTCTATTAGCCCCCTCTCTCCCTCCCGTTCTGGTTTCAAGAACTTGGTCTCATTGTAAATGTTAATCTTGCTGGACGTTATCACTCATCTGTACAGCTGATGCAGATGGATGAAAAATACCGCATATAACTTCCAATCAATTTTAAAGTATCAAAGAACGAATGAACCAATGTTTCTAAAGTAATTGAGATCCTTCTTTTTGATTGGCCAAGATTGAGCCGCATAATTACACAAATTTGGCTAATATTAAAGATGCGCTTTATTTGAAAACCCGCTAATATTGTATCCAACATTAGAATTCATCAATATATGCTCTCCACCAAGAAGAAGTGCCAGATCAAGAGGAGAACTAATCTACGGATGTAAGCTTCGCATAATATCTTTATGGTAATAACCTCCTTAAAATTAACTGTTGATCCAAACTCAAGTATATCGGAACCCGCGATAAGAATCCATAATCACCAATTAACCACTACAAATCCATTGACAATGTAATCCAATAATAACAATACAGATAGATTGATATGAACGTTAAAAAAAAGAATGGAAGCGGTAACGGAAAATCGTATATCAATGAATGAGTGGGAAAACTAACAGAAATAGAAAAGAGAGAACATTATTGTAAGTAGGACGCACCTTCCTTTTTAGGTATGCAAATGCGTTCCTAATTAGGTAAGTCGAACAGATCTTAATCCTTCGCCTTTTTAGTCTGATAACAAATTCTCCCGATTTACACAGAATTGAACGAATAAGCATTGATACCTGATTTTTTTTTTTTTTCATTTAGTTTATCTTTTAGATGAAAAAAAGTAGTATAAATAGTAGCTGTTTTGGTCTTTGATAAAAAATTTGTTTGGTTTTTCTTCTTCTTTATCTACTTCATTAACTATTCACTCTTCACACTCACGCATATACCATGTCTGCACCACATCCATTTGATTCCGTCAAGGATTATGAAATTAGATTAGCTTCTAAATTAGTTAAAGATGCTTACCCAGCATCTGCCAATGTCCATTTTGTTCAAATCGACAGAGTCGATCCACCAAAGAAAGAAATGAAAAAGTACATTGCTGCTGAAAGAGAAGGTTTACCATTACCAAAAATCCCAAGAGTTTTATATTGTTACTACTATACCAACACTTTAGATTTCAACAAGGCTTTAGTTAACGTTACTGTTGGTCATATTATCACTAAAACTCAATTACCAAAAGGTGTTGTTGGTCCACTTTTACCAGATGACATGGCTGAATGGGAAGAATATTGTAACAACCATCCAGCCGTTAAAGCTGAAATTGAAAAATTGCAATTACCAGCTGGTTACACTGTTAGAAACGATCCATGGATTTATGCTACTGATGATCCAAATGAAACTAGACCATTGATTCAATTTTACATGTATATTTTGGCTGGTAATGGTCATACTGAATCCAACCACTATTCATTACCTTTGAAATTCAGTCCAGTCTTCGAATGTTTCACCAAAAAATTTATTAGAATTGATTACTTGCCAGGTGGATTTGACCACAAGACTGTTCCAACTGGTCCATGGCAACAAGTTCCATGTGTTGAATACCATCCAGATTTGAATGGTGAAACTGAAATGAGAGATGTTAAACCATTATTGATTTCTCAACCAGAAGGTCCATCTTTTAAAGTTGAAGGTAACAAAGTCACTTGGCAAGGTTGGGAATTTAGAATTGCAACCACTTCAAGAGAAGGTTTTGCTGTTTATGATTGTTGGTTCAAAGGTAGACAAACTTTCTACCGTATTTCCTTATCTGAAATGACTGTTCCATATGGTGATCCAAGAGCTCCATACCACAGAAAACAAGCTTTTGATTTAGGTGACTGTGGTTTCGGTACTAATGGTAACAAATTGGCCCTTGGTTGTGACTGTTTGGGTTATATCAAATACATGGATGGCCATGGTATTCATGCTAATGGTGAACCATTTGTTATTCCAAACACTGTTTGTATGCATGAACAAGATGATGGTTTGTTGTATAAACATGTTAACTACAGAACTGACAATGCTGTTGTTGCCAGAAAGAGAGTTTTCATTGTTCAAACCATTGCCACTGTTGCCAACTATGAATATATCATCAATTTGAAATTCGTCACTGACGGTTCTATTGATATTGAAACCAGAGCCACTGGTATTTTGTCAACCATGCCAATTGATGAAAATGTCAAAGTTCCATGGGGTACTATTGTTGGTCCAAATGTTATGGCTGCTTACCATCAACATATCTTGTCATTCAGAATTGATCCAGCTATTGATGGTCACTTGAACTCTGTTGTTTATGATGATGCTGTTAAATTACCAAGAGATGAATTTAACCCATTCGGTATTGGTTTTGTTACCGATAGAAAATTTGTTGAAAAATCTGGTTATGTTGAACAAGCTCCATTTAAGAACAGAACTTATAAGATCATTAATGAAAACGTCATCAACCCAATCAGTAAAACTCCAGTTGGTTACAAGATTAATATGCCAGCTAGACAAATGTTGTTGGCTGATCCAGATTCATTCAATTCCAAGAGAGCTCAATTTGCTACTCAACAAGTTTGGGTTACCAAATACAGAGACCATCAATTATTTGCTGCCGGTGAATTTACTAATCAATCTCACACTGATACTGGTATTGGTGAATGGGCCAATGGTGCTGATGCAGTTAGAAATGAAGATGTTGTTGTTTGGGCTACTTTGGGTTTTACTCATATTCCAAGAGTTGAAGATTTCCCAGTTATGCCGGTTGAAACCCACAACATTCAATTGGCTCCATTTAATTTCTTTAATAGAAACCCTGCTTTGGACTTGCCTCAATCAAGTCAAGCTTTCAATAAATCCGTATTGGTTGCAGGTGAACCTGAAAAAGCTTGTTGCAAAACCAACCTTTAGATAAATTGTTTTTCTTTCCTCCACTTTGTTTATAAATTACTGTTAATAAATATTTACCTATTCGTTATTAGATATATTTTTTTTAGTAATAATACTTGTGTTCAATCAATACTCAAGACAACACATCAAGTAGATCAAAATGTGTATACGCAGAAAGTGTTGATGTATTGAATTAATTTTGCAACAGTAGTTTTTTTTTGGGTGCACGCATTTCCCCCATCAAGAATATGATGAAAATTAACCCTTTATGACAATAGAATCCAAGATGATACAATTGAACAAATTAATTGATGATTTTCCAATTATCTCGTAAGTTATACTACATATTAATAAAATTCCTTCTGAGTGCTTATCTTTAATTCTCTGCTTCAAAGTAAACAATTATTAGTCGTGTACTCCTTTCAAAAATACCGTTTCGCCATAATTGTTGAACGGGTAGATGGTGGTGAGAAATATACACGAAACGAGCTTAGTACACATTAAAGGGAGAGACAGAAAGAGAAGGAAGGAAAAAAAATTTTTTTTTCAGTGTTGCTCGTTGATGTCTGATTTCTGATTTCCTGATTTTTTTTTTTCTGCTGAGAAGAGCTTTGGGCAAGAAACAAACAAACAAACATCATCAACAAACAACACTGAAAAAGGAGATTTACAGTGTGAATTAGACAGACGCTGAGAGTGCGACAAACAAACAACCAAAAAAAAATTTTGATTTCTTTTCCCTTCATCATCTTTTTTTTTTTTTTATTTTGATAGAATTTTCTTTTTCATTTTAAAATAAAAAAATAAAAAAGTCCTCTTGATCTTTTTATTTAATCAAATCAATAAATATTATCAATAATGGCTCAAGAAGTTCCAACATTCAAATTAGTTTTAGTCGGTGATGGTGGTACCGGTAAAACCACTTTTGTCAAGAGACATTTAACTGGTGAATTTGAAAAAAAATATATTGCTACTTTGGGTGTTGAAGTCCATCCATTAGGTTTCCACACCAACTTTGGTGAATTGAAATTCGATGTCTGGGATACTGCTGGTCAAGAAAAATTCGGTGGTTTAAGAGATGGTTACTATATTAACGGTCAATGTGGTATCATTATGTTTGATGTTACTTCCAGAATCACTTACAAGAATGTTCCAAACTGGCATAGAGATTTAGTTAGAGTTTGTGAAAACATCCCAATTGTCTTGTGTGGTAACAAAGTCGATGTTAAAGAACGTAAAGTTAAAGCTAAGACCATCACTTTCCACAGAAAGAAGAACTTGCAATACTACGATATTTCTGCTAAATCTAACTACAACTTTGAAAAACCATTCTTGTGGTTGGCTAGAAAATTGGTTGGTAACCCACAATTGGAATTCGTTGCCTCTCCAGCTTTGGCTCCACCAGAAGTTCAAGTCGATGCTGATTTGATGCAAAAATACCAACAAGAAATGGAACAAGCTACCGCCTTGCCATTGCCAGATGAAGATGATGCTGATTTGTAAGGGATTTAAAAAAAATGTAAAGAAAATATAAAAAAAGTAATCACTTTATCATGAAAGTATTATTATAAAGATTCCTTTTTTTTTATTATTGTTGTTTTATTGTTCTTTTTATTATCCCATTTAAATTAAATTTATTCTGAATAAAAGAAGATTGAGTTCCAAACGGTATATTCATTAAAATATGAGAGAATAAAAAGAGATTTGTTTTATCATTAGTATGTACCTTTTCTTTCTATATTTATCTTCTTTTTCAATACATATTAATCCATCATTTTTCTATTATACTATTTATGGTTTTATTTGCCTTTATTATTTGTAAGCTAACTATACATAATATTTTTTTTTGCGCCCATTGCGTCAGTTGATATATAGGGGTTTATATATATTTCTAAAGAATATACATTTCATACTGACTTCTTATGTGTATGATTAAATATAGCCTTTTGATATTGCTTCGTATTATTATAAACAGCTGGTGGAGGATTTGGCAATCCTATTAGACTCGGTGGCGGAGGCAAGAAAATCGCATCATCATCATCGTCTTCATTCTCATCGAAATTTTGATTTATCAGTTTATCATTAGTATCATTATTTTTATCTATATCCATAGCATCCACATCGGTACTATTATTATGTTTACTACTTTTTAACAGGTTTTCATAAGTATTGATTTTATCTAATGTGATGTCATAAATCACATCCAGAGGATTCCATAAATTTGTCTCTTTTGCTTTCAATTCATAATAATCACAATATAGTTTGATATGATTACGTCCTTGTAAATGTGATTTTCTAACACTCAATGTATCATGTGTCAAATACGATTTACAATAATCACAATAATATTTCGGCATCTTTTGATTTAGATGATATTTATTATGGTAAGGCTTGCTTAATCAGAAATTTGCGGTCTCGTTTGAACTTAAACAATCAAAGACAAAAAAAAAAAAATACAAATTGCCATACAAAATTTCACATGGGTCGTGTATAAATACCAGTTTTTCTTTGACCAATGGAAAATTGTTTCTGAACCGAAAAATATTCGTCGCAATATACACGACTAACATTTACCGAATCGCACTCTCATAATAGTTTTCAAAGTGAAAAGAGAGAAACGAAAAATCTTCATTATAGCGTTGGTTAATATTTAATATAACATTCAACGTTATTTGACAACTAACTGAAGACTTTATTAACAATGTTTAGACCAGTTGCTGTATGTAAATACTAATGAGAGAATGTGGACAAAGTTTATTGATTTCTGTCATGGGGATACTATTGATACCAAGTGCATGCAATAATAAAAATGTTCAACAACATTCACATCTTGACATTCATTAATATGTTCCCACTATCAATTGATAATAGACTATCCTAAACATCAGAATAAAAATACTAACCAATTGTGATCATTTTGTTATAGCGTTTATCATCAAGAAGATTATTTTCAATCACTCCAAGAAGATCCAATTTAATTGGTGATTTATATGTTCAACACATTAAAGCTTTCAAACCAAAAGCTTTAACTCAACAAGAAATTGAATCTGCTGTTCAAGCTTTCAAATTGCCACAAGCTCCAGCTGTTCCACAAAGTGCTATCAATGCCGAAGCTGTTAAAGAATATGAATCATCTGATGTTGAAACTGCTGCTGTTAACCCAAGTGCTTCTGCTGAAGAAACTAAAGCCGATGAAGACTGGTTCGTCTTTGAAGAAGTCGAAGAAGCTCATTAAATTGATCAACTATAATTATTAAAGGTTTTATTTGATAAATATTATACATATTTCTATTTAAATATTCAATAAAAAAGATTAAAGTATAAAATGGATCATTATTGTATTTTATCTGGATAAAATGTGCCAATTGGTGATTAATATGGTGGACTCTGAGTTTGTTATAGTGTGCTTCATACTGCCGTAGCGTAGAATACATATCACACTTCTACAATCGTTCATAATCTTATAATCAAAATAATGTACATTGTGGCTATTTATAGACAAACGAAATGTTTATGCAGTGGCTATATTAGTGTGTAATTCATCTTCATATTCAATTTCAACTCTTGGTCTCTTCTTTCTTCTCTTCTTATCACCAGATTCTTTAGTATCCTTAGAACCTTCTTCTTCCTCATCATCTTCGTCATCTTCAGATTCTTCAGAATCATCATCGCTTGAACCAGATTCTCCAAGCCATTGTTGTAATTCTTCCATATCAACCATTTCATCTTCTTCATCATCATCTTCCACGAATTCAACTTCACCTTCACTTTCATCTTCTTCCTCTTCTTCTTCATCTTCGTCAAATTCTTCTTCATCTTCAACTTCATCAATTTTACCCATAACTTTTTGCCAGATTGCATTATCAACATTAAGTGGTTTATCACCATAAGCACCACTCTTTAATCTTTCTAATAATTCTTTTTCTATTTGTTTTTCAATCTTAGCAGCACTAAGTGCTTTTCTTTCTCTATTTTCTTCTCTTCTTTTAACTTTACTTTTAACTCCAACATAATGTCTTTCTTCTTCACCTAATGCTAATCTTCTTTCAGTAATTGCAACTTGAGTCAATCTAGTAAATCTTTGTTTACATTTATGAATCAAAAATGGTTGCCAATATTGTAATCTTTCATCAATTTGTTTTAAAGCTTTGGTATAATTCTTGGATAACTTAATTCTTTCCCACCATCTATTAGGCATATGTGTTCTTTCAGCAGTTTTCATATAAAGATATAACCTACCTCCAACATTCTTAACTGTAGCATATCGTGAATTAGCTAATGGACATGATTGTCTATTACAAAAACCTGTTACATTATATTCATTTCGACAGAAATTTTGATTCTTATCGGTTTTAACCTTGAATGCACAAAAATGATTGTTAATTGTTTGCCAAACTATATCGTCAGACATCTTAGTATTATTATTGTTTGATGTTGTTTAGTAAAATAGAATTTGGATGATCTATAAGATATCTATTAAACACCTTGAAAAATCTGTCTTCTAAAGATGCCCTTGATTTTTTTTTTTTTTTTTAAAAAAAAAATTTTCTATTTACAATTTTCTTTTTTTTTTTTTCGTAAGCAGAGATGAGATTCACGTGTTTGATATCACGCGCGAAATGACAATTGAAAATGTCTGTTTATTGATTGGAAGCAAACTGATATATACTGAAAACACTTTATTATACGTGTACGTAATATTATGATCTTAATTTATATGGTTTTGTAGGTACTGTTGGTTTAACTTTAACTATTTTTGGACCAATTACTTTAAAAAATACTTTATTATCTAAATCATGAGCTATTCTAGAAAATGACATTAAAGTAATACAAATTTGATAAGGATCTTTATTTTCAAATAAATCAACAGTTTGAAAGATTTCATCATGAGGTAATTTAATTAATTCACATAATTTTAAATAAAAACTGATATTTTCCATTTGCATAAATGCCATTTTTGAATTTTTGAATTTTAAAGTTGGATTATTTGATATTGGAATCAATTGACCTAATTTACATAGTATTTCTCCATCTTTTAATAATTCACATAAATCTATAGATTCATATGATTGTGAATTGGTTGAAAATTTATGATTGAATAAATCTGGGTATTTTGGTGATAAGATATCATAAAGGTATGACTTAACTTCTGATTGTATATTATTGTATCTTGTTAATCTAGAACTAGATAAATCTTCATCTAGGTTTTTATTATCAGATTTAGGTGGGATTGCCATTGCTGTATGTGTTTATTACTCGGTGGTAGATGTTCATGTTGAACAAAATTTGAGATTTGTATATTCTTATTTTTTCTTTTTTGGTGAGATTGATTCTCGCAACCTTGGTTGTATGTAATCGCATGATGGTGACACAGCCCAATTACTCAATGACCTACATTGGTTTATCAAATGTTCATATTTTCTCTTTGGATTAATATGAAATGTTTTTAATGGAAAGCAAATATATAAAAAAAATATCAAGTCAAAGAGGATTGGCTTGTTACCCAAATATTATTAGGAAGATGTAGAGTTTCAACCTAAATTTGTAAGCAAACGTATCCAAAACTGGAAAATTTCCGTACAATAGATTCCACAAAAGAGTAATATCAGTACAACTTTTAAATTAAAATAATATTATATTACTATTCAATATCACTAAATGGACAACCTACCAGATGGCAATTTTACTCAATAATACTGGTATATGGTTACCACAGAGAATAGATTCCCCAACAATGGATTTGTAAGCATTGAAAAATATTCTTTGCCGCGTATTCAGTCGTAGATTTATGAACTCTGTGCAGCTATGAATTGTAGTTTCATAAACAAAAATACGTTTCATTGTATTCAATACCTTTCATTCTCTTTCAAAAAAAAAATGGCAAGCTCAGCATTATACAACAGCAACGAATGTTGATGAGTAATATACTCGGTCAATCTACTCGGCCGAAGTATTTCTATATTCGTGTTTTGGAAATCTTATTTTTTTTTCAAGGTTGCTAATTTAAAGTTGTGGAACAAAAGCATTAGTAATTCGAGGGATTGTTGCAGTATTTTACACTTCCACACCCGAGAAGAGGTATTACAAAAAAAAATTGATATAAAAGCAAGGTATCATCCATGCTTAAAGAATTCAATTGCTTCTATTTGAAATCATTAACTACAACTTATAATAAACAAACGTACATACAATGTCTTCTTCTACTAATAGTACAACTGTTTTCGTGTCTGGTGCTTCTGGATATATTGCCCAAGAAATTATCAAACAATTGATTCAAAAGGGCTATAAAGTTGTTGGTACCGTTAGATCTAATGATAAAGGTGATTCATTAAAAGAAAATTTAAAAGCTGCTGGTTTGCCATCAGAAAACTTCTCCTATGAAATTGTTAAAGATATTGCTGTTAAGGGTGCATTTGATGAAGCATTGAAAGCCCACCCAGAAGTTACTGTTTTCTTACATACAGCATCTCCATTCCATTTTAATGTTAGTGACATTGAAAAGGAATTATTACTTCCTGCTATTGAAGGTACCAAGAATGCTTTACAAGCTATCAAGACATATGGACCACAAATTAAACATGTTGTTGTTACTTCTTCATATGTTGCAGTTGGTAGCTTTTTCGAACTTACTGATCCTTCTCAAACTATTACCGAAAAGGATTGGAATCCAATAACTTATGAATCTGCTAAAGAACACCCAGGAAAGGGATACTTTGGTTCTAAAACATTTGCTGAAAGAGCCCTTTGGGATTTTGTTGAAAAGGAAAAACCAAATTTCACTGTATCAACTGTTAATCCTGCTTATGTTTTTGGTCCTCAAGCTTTTGAAATCAAAAATAAATCACAATTGAATACTTCTGTTGAGCTTATCAACTCAGTTTTGAAATTGGATAAAGATAACAACGATTTTGAAAACCAAAGTGGATATTTCACCGATGTCAGAGATGTTGCCAAAGCACATATTGTTGGTTTTGAAAATGAAAAAGCTTATGGTGAAAGATTACTTTTAATTGAGGATGGTTTTACTTTACAAACTATATTGAATCAAGTCCGTAAAGATTTCCCAAGTTTGGCTGAAAAACTCCCAGTTGGTAACCCTGAGAATGCAGATAATTGGAAGAAAGTATCACATAAAATTGATAATTCTAAGACTAGAGAATTATTAGGTTATGACTTTATTGATTTTAAGAAATCTGTTGATGATACTGTTGCTCAAATTATAGCTTAATCTTTGTGTATAGCTACTTGTTTCTATGCAATTTAATTTCCATCTAGGGTCGTAATTGTTGTTCTTTATTTTTTTTTTAGGCGATTCGCAGTAACCTTCCAGATGCAGCTGATCTCTCGGTTTCAACAGTCAAGAAGACAAAAAAGAAATTCAAAATCGCCAATATCGCACCACAGTCCGATCTGCGGGATAAATTTAAATACGCGAAAGTTTTTACGTCTACTATTTTTATTTTTTCACTGTGCTACGGCGAAAGATGGAACCCATTTTCCGGGACCGAAAATTTTTTCTTTTTCATATTATTTCAAAAGTGTTGTTACTTTCTTTCTTTCTTTCTGGTTAGATATTGCTGGTAATCAACAGCTGCATTCTTGCTCTTTCTCCTGATGCCAACTTTGTTCCATAGATACAATGAGTTATTGAAAAGACGTCCTTGGATAATGAACTCCCTCGGGTGTGGATTATTTTTCACCATGGGTGATTATGTTGCCCAGTCATTATTTCCGAAAGAACCAGATCAACCTTTGGATTATCATAGAATCATGAGAGCAGGTATTTATGGATCCTGTTTCTTTGCTCCGATTAGTGTTCTATGGCATGGTAAAACATTACCAAAGATCAAAAACCCATTTATTAATATCTTCCGTAGACAAAAAATGGAAGAAATCCCTGCTATGAAAAAGAAACTACATTTATATGATAGTGTTTTCCGAATGGGTATTGATCAGTTGATATTTCCTGGTTTAGTTTGGATTCCATTGTACAATACAGTCATGGTTATATTGGCAGGTAGAGAAGATCCATTCCAAGTTATCAAAGATAAGTTGTATAATAACTGGTGGAGAGTTTTAAGTGCAAACTGGACAGTCTGGCCTGGGTTCCAATTATTTAATTTATACTTCATTCCAGTGCATTTAAGAATTGTAGCTCTGAATATTTGGGCCACTGGTTGGAATACATTCTTAAGTTTTGTTCATAATACTAAAGGACATGGTCATGGAAGTGGACATAGATTAGAGGAAATTGTGGATATCGATGATGAAGATCAAGAGTTTTATATGTTCTATGATTAGGGTTGTAAAAATGCAACGGCTGACTGAGAAACAAGGAACAACAACGACAAAAAAAATCTTAGTGTCCTTACAAAAACTAATCTGCTCATAAATCTGATTTAACCCACAACTATTGAAAACAAAAAAAAAAAAAAATTCTTGAAAAATCGAAGAACTTTTTAAACTTTTAATTTATTTATTTATTTAATTATTTATTCAACACAACTTAATCATGAAGCATATGTTCAAGAGATACAACGTATTATTGAAACAACATCCATTTACCACAAATGCAATCACCACAGGGATATTACTTGGAACTGGAGATGCCCTTGCCCAATTTTTGTTTCCCCAACAGCCAGATCAACCATTTGATTATTATCGTAACTTACGAGCAATATTCTATGGATCATTGATTTTTGCCCCTATTGGAGATAAATGGTATAAATTGTTAAACACCAAGATTGTTTGGCCAGGTGGTGGTAAGAATGAACGTACCAAATCCACCATTCTACGAGTCATGGCTGATCAATTGATCTTTGCACCATTCATTGGAATCCCTTTATACTATAGTTCAATGACTATATTGGAGAATAGACAACCATTTATGGAGAATATTGCGACCAAGTTTGAGACAAGTTGGTGGACCACATTAAAAGGGAATTGGTTGGTGTGGCCAATCTTTCAATTTGCTAATTTCTATTTAATACCTGTTGAGTTTAGATTAATGGCTGTTAATGTGATAAGTATCGGATGGAATACCTATTTGAGTTATGTAATGCATAACACGAAGTAAAACTAGTATGTAGAATGTATTCTGCAAATGTATGTATCTTTTTGTATTGACAATGCATTATGTTTTGGTGAGTTCTATGTAAAATTAGAATAACCCCATTGCAACTACGACGATAGTAGATTCTATATACGATTTAGATCATACAAGATATTGCTGGCTTTTAAAATAAATTGGCTATGGTTAGGATATTTTATATCATCGATGACATGAAATTGTCTAACAGAAATCGGTACATGGAATTTGAACGAGAGTTTGAGAATGTACCATTGCGTAATGTGTATTTGATTAGGAAAACAACAGCAAGGAAAAAAAAAAAACAAAACAGAACAAAAAAAAAACACAACTTTACACTAAATAATCACGACAGCCTTAAAGATGTTACATTTTGTCATTAAGTAAATGATATAATGATAATTGATAAAAGAAATGACACGCCTGTCATTGTCCATTGTATTATAATTTTATTTCAATTTATGAAATTGACACTTTTTTTTCCCTCTAATTCTTTGTTCGCTTGTTTGACTATTCAGGCCAGTTTTTGGTAGTTTTCCTTATCAGGGTTTTTCCTGCTCTAAAGACAAAAACAAAATTGACATTTTTCAATTTTCCACAATAGTGGGGTTATCAACTTGGATGATGCTTTCATTGTAAGCAAATAATTTCAAGTCGTTGTAGAAATGTGACATAACATATTTAGACACGTATCTAGTAATATATGGATGGACAATTGTATATCGCTCATTGACAATTGCCCTGCTAAGTAGCAAGTGTGGGCTGGTGGGTGTAAAGACTGCCAGTAAGGAACTAAAAAAAAGAAGAAAAAGAAAGTCAATTTAGAGAGGAGTATCGTGCAAAAGGTACCAAAAACAGGGCGTTTCATAGGTACACGAAAGAACCAAACAAAAAAAATTCCAACAACAACAACAACAAATTTTTCTCTCTTTTCCTCACTCTCCATTTTTTACTTTACAATCAACAGACAACTCAAAAGGAAGAAGAAAAAAAAAAAAGTTCGACAAAATTGGATAATTTCAACAATCAATTTCAAACACTACTACGAAGTTCTGCAACTTAATTATCCAATCAAAACAAAATCTATACATATAGTAATAGCATAATCTATTACAAATCAATTAGACACTTACATATACAGAAACAAACGCACCGGGTTTCCCAACATTTGTTTCTACAAAAACTCGACAAGTAAAACTGATTGGGAAAGAGAGAGTGTGTGAGAGAGCGAATAGTTTGACGTCTTTTTTTTTAATTCACTGTGGAGAACATAACACGTTATATTTGATTGTTAGTTGAAAATAAAAGCAACGTCTAGTCAAGATGATGAAAGGATTTAAGAACAGATTGACTCGTAATAAGAGTCAATCATCCAGTAAAAAAACGGAGAAAAAGGATAAGGAAAAGGACAAGTCTGAAAAGAGAGCCACTTCTCCAAGCAGCCTGAGCTTGACTACTTCTTCATCACTGCAAAGCTCAAAAAATTTAATGACAAATTCATCAGCATCATTGAAATCAAACTCCCCAAGTCCCTCAAGAAATAATAGTTCTACAAGTGCTGGCTCTATAAAATCGGGTAACAGCAACACCACTATGACGTCAGCCACCTCACCACAAGGGCTGCCAACACAAGAGTCTCCAAAGATAATTCTTAATGATGATACATCTGGAAACGTATTTGCTTCACCATCACAACCAAATTCCAATACTTCTTCATCTGCTTCACCTGCTTCATCCTCCCCTTTGAATGCCAACTACAATCCTGCGCAGCAACAACAACAGCAACAGCAACAACAACAACCACCACCACAACAACAACCAGGAGTTGGTGGGCCTGCACCTTCATTCAATTTGACTCAGCCAATTACTCCTACACCAACTTCCCCAATTAATTATCAACATCAATATGAAGGAAAGGCAACCCACAGTCAACATGGCGCTGGGCCACATTATTCTCAATTAAATCCAAACATTTCTACTCCTGGTAAAGAAATTGATATTGACTTGATTGTGACGCCAAAGAGACATTCATCTTCCAGATTTGAACCAACTTCTTCTGAAAGATACCAGGAAATTGTCAAGTTGCCAAATTTTGATGAAGTGTTACCTGAAGAGCAAATTCAATTGTTTATTCAAAAAATCGACCAATGTAACATTATGTTTGATTTCAGTGATCCTACTTTTGATATCAGAGGTAAAGAAATTAAAAGAATAACTTTACAAGAATTGATTGCTTTCATATCCAACAATCGTTTTACTTATACGGATGAAATGTATAAACATGTTGTGACCATGTTTAAAAAGAATCTTTTCCGTCCAATTCCTCCTCCAGTTAACCCAGTGGGGGATATTTATGATCCAGATGAAGATGAACCGGTTAGTGAATTGGCTTGGCCTCATATGCAAGCTATTTATGAATTCTTTTTAAGATTTATCGAACTGCCAGATTTTCAACATCAAATTGCCAAACAATATATTGATCATGATTTTATTTTGAGAATATTGGAATTGTTTGACAGCGAGGACCCAAGAGAACGTGACTGTTTGAAAACTACCTTGCATCGTATTTATGGTAAGTTTTTAAGTTTGAGAAGTTTTATTAGAAAATCGATAAACAATGTATTTCTACAATTTGTTTATGAAACTGAACGATTTAATGGTATTGGAGAATTGTTGGAGATTTTAGGTTCTATTATCAATGGGTTTGCTTTACCATTGAAGGATGAACATAAGATCTTTTTGGTTAGAATTTTGATGCCATTGCATAAGGTCAAATGCTTGTCATTATACCACCCACAATTGGCATATTGTATTGTCCAATTTTTAGAGAAGGATCCTTCATTGACTGAAGATGTTATCATGGGTTTGCTTAGGTATTGGCCAAAGATCAATAGTCCAAAAGAAGTTATGTTTTTGAATGAAATTGAGGATATTTTTGAAGTTATGGAACCAAATGAATTTATCAAGATTCAAATTCCATTATTTGCTCAATTATCGAAATGTATAAGCTCTCCACATTTCCAAGTTAGTGAAAAAGTATTATGTTATTGGTCGAATGAATATTTCTTGACATTGATTACTGAAAATGCTGAAGTTGTTTTACCTATTATATTTGCAGCATTGTATGAATTAACTAATGCTACTCAACCAGGTATTGAGAATGGAATTATGCAACAAAAGTTGGCGCAATTCCCTAATGCTACTACTGATGCTAATGGTAATTTAATCGATGGAGGATTGGTTTTACAAGATTTACAACAAGGCATCAGTCCAAGTTTAAACAATCCTTCACATCCTCATTATAATATTTTCCAAGTGCATGCATCGGTTAACAACAATAACAACAACAATAATAACAACCCAGACAGTATGCAAGGACGTACTGATATGAATGGAAATGAAATGGCTGATGAAGAATATTATGACCTGTTTACTGGAATGGGAGGTGGTCATAACCCATTAGGTGATGAGTTTGGTGGTGGCAGTGGATTTGATGATGGTAATGGATTGTTACAACACAATTCTGCTACATCTAACTGGAATAGAAGTATTCATTCATTAGCTTATGGAGCATTAAAGGTATTTATGGATCATAATCCAATTTTGTATGATCATTGTACTATGCTTTATCATCAATCATTAGCTGAACAAAAACAACGCGAAGCTAATAGACAAGAAGGTTGGAAGAGAGTTGAAGAGATTGTTAGACAAATAAAAGAAAAAGAAACCAGGGAACCTCAACAGCAACATCCTGCTAGTGGAGTAATCTAGACGACGAAGAACAACGTCAACAGTAGGATGCGGGAGATCAAAAGAAAGTAGACATAAACAAATTGTTTGAATTAAATCAATCGTAAGAAAGAAAAAAAAAATCATACATTTGACAAACTAAATTAAAGAAAATAAAAACGATTTTATAATATATATTTATATATATATTTGGAAAATATCTTATTATTTTTTTTGGTGATTTTTTTTTTATATCTATATAGTGGTCATAAATGGAAATGAAATATATGTAATCTTATAATTGAATATTGAAACAAAAGTTCGGATTAATGTTTACGAAATTTTCCGGCGACAAACTAACAAAAGAGTAGTGTGGTGGAGTACAATTATTGATTGACAACGGCACGACTACAGTGGGTGGACAAAAGTGTCCGGATGAAATTCGCAGATGTAAACAAACCATTTTTTTTCTAGTGCGCACGATCACTTTTCAGTAAATAAAAGTCGTGCATAAATCAACTATTTTTATGAACCTAATACTTCTTATTTAACGTGTATACACCAATTACCTTTTAAATTATTCAATAACTTAATGTTCTATAGGAATTGTTGAACAAAATTAATATTAAAGTCTTTAAAAAGTAGGGACACAATATAAATAAACATATAATATACCGAGTATTACAAGTTTACATAGATATACAAACTATTAATGGCATTATAAACTGATTAAGTAAATGGAGTATTCGGAATAAAAATTACGGCAACAAAAAATAAGAATTCCGAGCTCTAATAATCATTTATTTACTTCTATCAGCCAATAGAATCTCTGCGCGCATCAAAGAAAAAATGGTTTGTTTACATCTGCGAATTTCATCCGGACACTTTTGTCCACCCACTGTATTTCCAAGAGAGAAGAAAGTTTTTTCTTTCTTTTCTTAGTTATAGTTCAATTAGACAAGTGCCAAATGAAAAAAAAAAATTAATCCTGCTAATGTAACTTTTTTTTTTGACTTCTTTTCTTTTCTTTTCCTTTCTTTAAAGTAAATCACTATAAACTTTGATTAAATAAATAAAAAAAAAGTATGTTTTTGAAGATATTTCATTATTTAAAGATGTTTCATTGATTTTTTTTTATTTAATATTATTATTATGATGAGAACTATAGCACGTTGTTTGAATAAAGAATACTTTTTTGTATTTTCTTTATAAATATGAAATCCAAACTATAGAACCGCTACACTGATTATTTTGTTTAAAATAGAAACACTTTAATAATGAAAAAAAAAAATATTAATTTGATTTATCTAATACTAACTAATATCAATTAGAAGAATGTATTGAATTACAAATAATGTTTAATTACTTCGGTGGGGAAGGGGATTATCATGGAGTATAAAGAGAACATTTTTTTTTTTTTGTTTTTGATATAGTTTATATTTCCGACGGAATTTCCGAAATATACAACAATGAACGAATGAATGAATGACTTGAATTGTTATTTAAATTGTAGATTTTTTTATAATGTAATGCCTATAAGTTTGTGATTGATTTTACATTAAGGATTCTTGATCAGTATTTCCTCTTGACATGTTGTCTATTGTAATGATTACAAATCATATTACATATTACATATTCAATTAAAAAAAAAATACATCTTTGCTAGATCATCGCATTGGTAAGCAGGAAAAGAAAAAAGTACTGCACATTGTCTGAAAAATTTTCTTTTTTTTTTTTTTTTTTTTTTTTTCGTTTGTCTTGCGAAGAGAGACAAAAACCATCAGTGTTATATAAAGAGCATCGATTATCACTAAAGAAAAATTTTTCTTTTAGAAAGTTTTATTTCTCTTTTTCTTTTTTTGGCAAAGTTTGCCCTTATTCACAAGGATAATATTTTTTAATTTAATTTAATTTAATTTAATTCAATTCAATAATGTCATTTGAAACAACTAAAGCCACTTCTTATTTAAAAGATTATCAAAATAAAGATGGTTTATCAATTTCTCAATTGATTGATTCTACCAATTTTGGTGGTTTAACTTATAATGATTTTTTAATTTTACCAGGATTAATTAATTTTCCAAGTTCAAATGTTAGTTTAGAAACTAAATTAACTAAAAAAATCACTTTAAAAGCTCCATTTGTAAGTTCTCCAATGGATACTGTTACTGAAGAATCTATGGCTATTCATATGGCTTTATTAGGTGGTATTGGTATTATTCATCATAATTGTACTGCTGATGAACAAGCTGAAATGGTTAGAAAAGTTAAGAAATATGAAAATGGTTTCATTAATGATCCTATTGTTATTTCTCCTGACGTAACCGTTGAAGAAGTTAAAAAAATGGGTGAAGTATTTGGTTTTACTTCATTCCCAGTCACTGGTATGTTTTTCTTTTAATGAGTTTTATCACTGTTGGAAATTTCTTTATCATGATGATTTTTTTTTTAAATTTTATTAACTTTCGTTCTACCGAATTACATCAAACGATGTTGGGGATACAATTTTTATCTGATTTTTTTTATACTACTTGTATTTGTTTTTACAAAAGAAATTAACCAACAGTGGGTAATATTTCATAAGAATACTAATTACTAACATTTAATTTTTAATAGAAAGTGGTAAGACTGGTGGTAAATTGGTTGGTATTATCACTTCTCGTGATATCCAATTCCACGAAGACAACAAATCTAAAGTCAGTGAAGTTATGACTAAAGATTTGGTTGTTGGTCAACAAGGTATTACTTTAACTGAAGGTAATGAAATTTTGAGATCTTCAAAGAAAGGTAAATTGCCAATTGTTGATAAGGAAGGTAATTTGGTTTCTTTGATTTCTAGAACTGATTTACAAAAGAATCAAGATTATCCAAATGCTTCTAAATCTTTTGATTCCAAACAATTGTTGTGTGGTGCTGCCATTGGTACCATTGAAGCTGATAGAGAAAGATTGGAAAAATTGGTTGATGCTGGTTTGGATGTTGTTGTTTTAGATTCATCCAATGGTTCTTCTGTTTTCCAATTGGATATGATCAAATGGATCAAGAAAACTTTCCCAAACTTGCAAGTTATTGCTGGTAACGTTGTTACTAGAGAACAAGCTGCTTTATTAATTGAAGCCGGTGCCGATGCTTTAAGAATTGGTATGGGATCTGGTTCTATTTGTATTACTCAAGAAGTTATGGCATGTGGTAGACCACAAGGTACTGCTGTTTATGCTGTTACTGAATTTGCCAACAAGTTTGGTGTTCCATGTATTGCTGATGGTGGTATTGGTAACATTGGTCACATTACTAAAGCTTTGGCTTTGGGAGCTTCATGTGTTATGATGGGTGGTTTATTAGCAGGTACTACTGAAACTCCAGGTGATTATTTCTACAGAGATGGTAAGAGATTGAAGACTTATAGAGGTATGGGATCTATTGATGCTATGCAACAAACTAACACCAATGCCAATGCTTCTACTTCTAGATACTTTTCCGAATCTGATAAAGTTTTGGTTGCTCAAGGTGTTTCTGGTTCTGTTGTTGATAAAGGTTCTATTACTAAATTTGTTCCATATTTGTACAATGGTTTACAACATTCTTTACAAGATATTGGTATTCAATCTATCAATGAATTAAGAGAAAAAGTTGATGGTAGTGAAGTTAGATTTGAATTTAGAACTGCTTCTGCTCAATTCGAAGGTGGTGTCCACGGTTTACACTCCTACGAAAAGAGATTACACAACTAGGTTTAATTTTGTAGTATTTACAGTGTTCATAAAATAAAATAAAATAAAATAATGTAAAAGATTTAAAAAGTAGTAGTACCATTTAGTGTAGAAGCATCACGTGATATCATTCGGAAGTGTATACTAGTACGATAAACACTCCAAGAAAATAGTTTGCAATAAAATGTTTTTCTTGTGGGGATTACATAAGCGAATTGTACAAGTATACACTTTTGAGAGCAAAAGGATGAAATATTATTTGTTTAAAAATCGATTGTTAAACTAAAAACAAAAAATACTACTACAAGTGTTATTAAAGATACACAATTTATGATTTTATTCAAAAGATGAAATTTTTGCAATTGATTATGTAAACACAAAATAGAAATATGAGGCTTATTGTGAGTTTCAGGTTTTACTCACGTATGTGTATGTATGTATGTATGTATGTATGTATGTGTATACATGGTAATAGATAATCTAGATTTTAATTAATTTTGAAATTTCTTCAGTTTCAGTTGATTTAATTTCATTTCATTTCATTTAATATTTTTTTTGTGGGTGATAATTATGATAAATTGATTCACTAGTTAATCAATCAATCAATCAATCAATCGAATTATTATTAAATAATGGAAGAATGTTTTACTGTGTATGAAACTTGAATAAAACAAATCAATAAAGAAAATAAATAAAAGGGGGAGGAAATTCATTTAAAAGGGTTCAATGGAAAAGATGTAAATTACAAGGCGTTATATTGAATATAATCCAATCTTTTTTTTTTGTGGGTGGAATGAAACAATTAATCTAGAATTATATAATTGAAAGAAAATAAGGCAAGATCTTTTTGATATATTTCTTAAAAGACATATTATTTATCAAATGTTGTTACAAGAATGAAATGTTCTGGAATTACACACATGTATATATAAAGGTGAAGTGATACATTAGATAGATGTAGATATGTACCTTTTTACTGAGAATCTAGTCCGAATAATGAAAATTTACTAGTGATAGTGATAGTAACTATTAATACGTTTATTCCTAAGAATAAAGAAGTGTTTTTCTTTTTCTTTTTTCTTTTTTAGATGAAAAAGTGTAAGAGAATAACGGACCTCCGATAGTGCAACAAGTGAGTACATCTTATTCACGTACGTACAATTGCGTGATTTTTCTCTTTCGTTACCTCGTTCTTATAGTTAAGTTAATGCCTTTTTCAATTATCTGCTTGGCGAGTAAATGTTGAAACCCAAAGGGAGATATTCGGAAACGAAAAATATAGTTAAATTAGGTTAACACATGGTGTAACATCAACACCCTTGACTTATTCGTGTGGTTGGTTGGATACAGAATGTTGAAGTTAAATTCTCGTAGTTTATTTTTAGAAGTTTTTTTTTTTTAGATTTCTTAATCTCGTTTTTTTTTTTTTGTTTTCGTCCCCAATATATTTAGACAAAGTAAAGTATACTCTCTGTTGAAATAAAGTAGTATGAACTAAATGAGAAGGGAATTTTATTCTTTGTATCTGTAATAGTTGGTATTTTGGACGATTCTAGTTTGATTAGATGAATCGATTGGTTAAGTGTAGATGCACCCCAGTAATAGGAGAGAATTAGTAAAATACTAACTATATAATAGATATTACAGGGAATGACGGAAGATGTGATCAAGAAGCTCTGATTTAAACAATGGAAATATTCGAATATCTGTAGCCATTGTTTGTTGAATAGCGCATTGTTTTTAGAATATCAATTTAATCATGGGGCTCATATACTAATATTTATACACTTACCTTATCCTTATCCTGATCGTAATGATGACGATGACGATGAAGGTGATGAGTGGACAAGTGCAGATCATAGAAAACATCGAAAATAGCAACAAGAATATTTTACATTTGAAAGGGAAGTTGGCTACTAAAATCAGACAAGACACGTATACACGAGGTTATAATGGTCGTGTACCGATCACCAATGATTAAGTAAATAAATTGTAACTCCTTTGAGGTGGGATTACACAAAACAGATACAACAAGAAGAATAATATGTTTACACGTGATACATAGAATGTTGAGAAACAGAGATTTCAATTTATATGCAAGACGGGTTAATGTTTTGTGCACTATTCTATATGTTGGTTTATGCCGTACGTATCAAGAAAACGGGACTAAAACACGATTCGTTCTTATTGTAACCCCTATTGAATTGAGTGAATAATAAACTTACCAACGATTGAATGAATATAATCAATGTAGTAATAATAATAATAATAATAGTACTAGTGATAGTAGTAGTATAACGATATATATATATACAGCCTATCGTCAAAAGGATTCAAAAAGAATAGGATAAATAATAATCACGTAAATAATGCAGTAAAAAAAAAAATAAATGCGATATGTTGAATTATGTTGTGGTTGATTATTGTTCGTGTAATAATTATATTTAAATTAGAAGAATAGTGATTACCGAGAATTTTGTCCCTCCTTAAAATTAGGTACATATATTAAAAAGGGGATAAATGAATGAGTTAGGTGGTAGTTGAAATACCAATAGGATTAAGTTTTGTAAGTATATGTTTTGCTTTGGTTTGCTTTGGTGTGGGTGCAAAGTATGAAACAGTAACAAAGGAGATGAAATGTTTCAAGAGAATATTTTCCTTTCTTTCTCTTTCTATAGTGAGATGTTTTTTCTTTTTGATTTCTTTCTTCTAATTATGCTAAACATTTAATGGGTTGTCGTTAGTAATGTATATTAAACGCAAGTACGAATATGCATGAGTAAAAATAAATTATAAAAAAAAGAGTGAGAGAGTGAGAGAGCACATTAAAAATCATACACAATAAGTAGAGAGATCACAGTTTTCTGTATACATTGCCAGGTGAAATACTACTGTAAGATATTGCCATGGATTATGATACAATCCTGTATATGTAGAAGTTGTCATGGCGGCGTGGAGAGGAGAGGAAGGGGGAGGTTGAAAAGAAGATTAGGATATTAGCATGTAGTAGATGTAAGACAGGAGCATTTTGTTACTGGTATTGTGAAGCATAGCATAGAGCAGCGGGTGGTGGAAGTATACAGACGGAAGAAGAAAGAAGTACTACGTGTTTATTATTATTAATGAAACTGTGAGTATGTGGTTCAGATTATTTGTTTCAATTAAAATAAATATAAAAAAATACATGAGTAAATCTGTCAATTAATATTTGATGTGTATATATAAATATATAAATATATAAATATATGCTTGTACAATAGAAGATGATAGTTATTTTTAAAACACATAGATACGTACACAATACGAACAATAGGAACAACAACAACAACAACAACAACAACAACAACAAGAATAAGAATAAGAACAAGTGGAAATAAAAAAGAGAATTTCAGTTTAAAGATTTTTCGTTTCAATTTTGTTCTCGTTTTATTTAATTAGTACAACAACTACTACTACCACTACTCCTACTGCTACTCCAAATATACTCAACACCTAACACTAAACACTTAATTACTGTGTTTAGAATTTATTTTTATTTTTTTTTTTTATTTTTTTTATTTTTTTTTTTACAACACGAAAAATCTTCTTCTTTTTTTTTTTGTCTTTTCTTTTTTTTTCTTTTTCTTTTTCTTTTTCTTTTCTGCCTGTTGTAAAATTTTCATTTTATTTTATTGTATTTTATTTTTACTTCCTCCCCTTAGAGACAACAACAACAACAACTACAAAAAAAAAAACAACCACCACCACCACTACTACTACTACTCCTCCTCCTCCTAGTAATACTATTTCAAATTTTGACAACAACTTTACAACCATTTCTTCTTCTTGATTGTCACCAGTCGTTTATCCATTTTCCATAAGATAGATCACTCGTTTTCTTATACTACTACTACCACTACCACCCTCCATTATAAACACATACTAGGCTTAGCACATTATCACATTTATTATCCACTTTAGCATCTCCTAAAGTATACACATATCTTTAATTTGCCTATTTGTCTACTTGTCTTTCGCTTGATCCTGTTCTGATTATTCAATAATTCATCAAATCTAACGCATACACATACACTTATTCTATTCATCATACCTCCCCCTCCTACACGTGTGTGTTTTATTTTAGATCAATATTTAATACAACGGAAAGAGGGTTAACTGAATATTCACACATACTTACACACACTCAAACACACACACACACAAGCTAAACTAATAATCTCCACTGGAATCCCTCGAGTAGTATTTGTTTTTGTTTTTTTGATTTTTTTTTCACCTTTTTTTTGCTAGTTTGTATTAGTCCTTATTTTAGTTCCTTTTTATTTTCTAAAAAATAGTACCCATTTGTACAAGATTAGTTCATATCATATTCAAAATATCTTAGACATGTATCAACATCATCATCAACAGCAGCAGCAACAACAGAATTCATATTATAATATGCCACGTTCCATAGATTTACCACCTCCTTTACATATACAACAACAAGGTTACCCACCAAATTACTATCCTCAAGGTCCAATCACTCCATTTGATCTTAGTTATGGTCAATCAATGATACCTTCCAATTTGTTGGTTAGTTCTCCTTATTTCACTCCTCCTCCTTCTGCAACTCCTCAATACTTTAATGCAGTACATCAACATTCTCTACCACAACAATCTCCTTCTCCAAGAATTTCCCAATTGAAGTTACGTGGTAAACAAGGTGGATACAAGAAAAATGGTCCATATCTAACTTCAATGAATTCATCAACAAGTTCCGTTGACCAACATCATAGTAACAACCAAAAACCAACCAGTGTTTCAAGAACAATTGTGTTTAAAAATATTAATGACTCAGTTTCCTTGCATCAGTTTTTGGATGCCATTGATCATGGTCCAATAGAATATTGTAAAATGTTTACCAAAAAAATCCCTAAATCACTAATTAAAAATGAAAATGATTTTGATGGTGCCACTAGTTTCCAAGTTTGTTATTTATCATTTAATAATTCCATAATTGCTAATCATTTTTTCTCAAAATATGCTGAAAATATGGACCCATTAAAAGAAAAATTACTCGATTCAAAGTTTTTGAAAATTCAATTAAATGATGGTGATTCAACTCAAGATTACATAAAATTGAAGACCCTAAATTATATTCTTGAATCAAATGCAACCAGAGCTACAACAATATCATTTAGCATTGTTCATAAAGATACCAAAGAAGAATTAAAAGATGAAGACGAAGAAGAAATCAAACAGTTTATTTATCATCAATGTGAAAAATTTGGTTCTGTTGAAGATTTTAAATTTTCATGGGTTGAAAATTCAAATGGTGATGACAACAACGACGACGAAGAACACATTCCTGGTAGAATCTATGGTCGCGTAACAGCTCATTATTGTTCTATTGATTCAGGTATTAGATGTTTTGAAGATTATTTACGTCGCATTCATAACGATTCACAACGAGATGGAAATACTGGCAACAAAAAGGGTAAACGTGGCACCAAATTTGCAAATGATATCAATCAAAAATATGACTTGAAATTTAGTCATGTTGGGTTTAGCAAAGATAGATGTGATAAAACTACAATTGAACAACCTCAAGAGGCTATTGATAGTGATAATATCAACAACCCAATCCAGAGTATACCAGAAGATGAAGAGTCTATTGAAGGTCCATTGAACAGTAGCACGGATTTGAAGACTTTTATTACTTCACCTGAAATTGAAAGAACTCCAAATGGATTAAACATTGATGATCCTATTAGTCCAAATTCTTCTGATATAGAAACATCACCTGCGATGAAATCTCCACTCAACAGCAATGATATTAATGAACATGATGATGACAGTGATAACACAGCTGATTATTCCATTCTTTCTTCAAATGCACAATTTCCAATGCAACCACCACAACCAGCAGCATTTGTTCCAATCATTCCATATGTTTCTGGAAATCCATTGATGACACATTCCAATCCTTCATTGGTTTCAACTCATTCGGCAGATCCCGTCAATTATGGAAACAGATCAATTTATTTGGGTAATTTACATCCAAAAACCACTATTGAAGAAATTGCCAATAATGTTCGTGCTGGTGGTTTAGTTGAATCGATTAATTATCATCCTGAAAAAAGAGTTTGTTTTATTACATTTGTTGATCCCAATGTTGCTTATAAATTTTATATGAACCATCAAATTTTGCATCAATTGGTTATTCATGGTTATGAAATTATTGTTGGCTGGGCAAAACAACAGAGTGGACCATTACATCGAGACATAATGCTTGCTGTCACTGCTGGTGCTTCAAGAAATGTTTATATTGGAATTCCAAGTTCAGGATGTGGATTGGTTTTACCTTCGGAAGATGAATTACGTAAAGATTTTGGTAATTTTGGAGGTATGGAACAAATTAATTTTATTCATAACAGAGAATGTGGATTTATGAATTTTTTACACATTGGTGATGCCATTAATGTTGTTTCATGTTTTGAATTCGATAAAGAGGAATGTTTAAACAGATTGATGAAGACTTCTAGATTGGAAACTGAGACTGAAATTGAAGAATTTTATAATAAATATAAAAATTTCAAAATTAGGTTTGCTAAAGATAGATGTGGTAATAGTCCAAAGTTTTCATTTAAGAAGAAAATCACGGAAGATCATTTTGGTTATTCTCATTACCAACGTCGTTCCAGTACCAATAGTTTCCGTAATAGAAGAGAATCATCAGGTGATACTACTCTCGAAACCGAAAACTTCAATAGAGAAACCATTGCGGAAGAGGCAGCAATGGTATTTGGAATAGTTCATAAAGATAAAGAAATTGAAACCGAAACTGAACATGAACATGAACAGGATGAAACTATGAGCAGATCAACTGAATTAGTTGATGTTCCAGAAGAAGCTGATGAAGGTGAAGATGAAGGTGAAGATGAAGGTGCCACTACTATTAAAAACAATGATGATGATGAAGAAGAAAATGAACAACAACAACAAGAAGAAGAAGACGAACTGGATGATGACGACGATGATGTTTCTATTATTATTGGATCAGATGAAACTGCATCTACTACATTTACAAGGATGTTAAAAAGGATTCTATGCAACAGAGTCAACAGAAGCAGCAACAAGATCAGAATAAACAGAAACAAGGTCGTAATCGCAGAGTAAAACAAAGATATCAAAAAATCTATCACGTTAACAATTATTCGGAACCAGCATTTAGAAGAAGTTCATCAGCTGTTTCATTGAATAGTCATATGACTTATAATTCTCAAATTCCTACATCAAGTACATCTTCCATTGGTGGACCATACATGCAACCACAACCTGTTTATTTCTTACCACATCTTTCACGAACTAATTCTACTTCAAGTTTTAGATCACAGCAAACACAGTATTTACCACCACCTTCTACTGCCCCAACATCACAACAGCAGCAACAACAACAACAACAAAAACAGCAGCATTATATGTCTGCATCTTCACAGGTTAGATATCTTCCTATTGTTCCAATTGGTCCATCGGGTACACCAACTACTAATTTAAGCAATCCATATTCAAGTTCTGGATCACAGGTTATGGCGCAATACTTGGCTAAATCTCAATACGATAATCAAATGGTTTATATTATGAATAATGAACAAGATGATGCTGTTTCATTTGATTATGAAAGTACTAATGGTGATTGTCTGTTTAATACTCATACTAGACGAACTGCAGGTCCTTATCGTCGTGGTTTAAAAAAATAGATTGATTTTTAAGTATTATTATTATTATTATTATTTTTATTGTTATTGTTATTAGAAAGTTGGGATTGGATTTATTATTTATTATAACCGTACTCATGTTGTTGTCATTTCAAAGTAAAGTGTTCCTAAAACCCCCCCAAAAAATGCAAAATTATTGTATAGTTGTACATAATATAGAAAAAGAACAAATGTGAAGATTATATAAAAGAAATACAGAGTTCAAGGTTGATTGGGTATAATTAATGAGAGTAAAGATACATGTAGGTTATATATAGTGATTTAATGTAATTTTAATCTATTATTATAAAAATCTACTCTATATCCATAACAATTGAAGCATAACTTCCCAAGATAGCACAAGTGATTGAACCAACAATACCCAATTTAATCAACCATTGTTTTAAAGAACCAATCTCTTGACGATTTAATTTCAAATAAAATAAAAATGGTAAAGTTAAACAAACAGTATAACATATAGCACTTCCTAAGAATGAAACCAATTTACCAAAAGAATTAAATAACAATGCAAAACTTAACAATATAATCATGAATATAAATCTAATAATAATTCTTTTTGGACCATAAAAATCAATCATTTTATTAATTTCATAATCATATTTAACATAATCTTTAGTTATACCTAATAAATTTTCATATGAAGTAATTATAGGTTTTGTAATTAAAGGTAATTTTGAAATTGGTAAAATCCCCATCAATATACCAAAAATTAAATTTATCCAACTTGGATAATTTTTTTGATTTTTTAAAATACTTTTAATAATAGAATCATTAATTTGATTACCAAACATAATATAACCTGAACTACCAATTGCAAAATCAAGAATAAAAGTAATTAAAAATGAAATATTCATAGCTTTTGGAAATTTTGAAGGTTTTTTAATATCCAGAAAATATTCTGGTAAAACTGGATGCAGACCCCAGATATTTGTATAAAGTCCTAAACTAAATAATAAATTCATTGTGTTATCAGGAAATAATTTCATTGATGAAGATGGTGATATTAAAGAACCAGGAGATTCATTATTAATAAATCCACAAATAAATACAGTAATGATAATTCCTGAAGTACCTAAAATTCCAAAAAAACTAAGAATTGATAATACATGTAATGGTAAAAATGATAAACCAAATAAAATACTTACAATAATTGTTTTCAATATGAAAACATTATTATAAAAGACTTTAAAACAATCAGAAAACAATAAAATTAATGTTAAACTAGCTCCAAATAAATCAATAACGAAAAAAAATGTAACTAAATATGAAAAATATTTCCCACCATATTCAAATGCAATATCTGAATAAGTTTTCAAATGAGGATGTTTAATTTGAATTTTACCTAAATATTTTGCTGTTGTATTTGTTAAAATTGCTGAAATTATAATTAATATAGTTCCACATATCCATCCAGATAATCTAAATCCATAAGGTAATGATAACATTCCAATTCCAATTAATGTATTTATAGAATTAAATATTGTTTGTGCAACTGTTGAATTTCCAGTGATAATACTAAATGAATGTCTTTTTCTACCTCCTCCTCCTCTTGATGAATTACTAATTACAGGAATCAATGAAGTTGTTTCATTATCATCATGTATATCAACACCACCACCAGTAGTAGTAGTATTAATGTTATTATTATTTTGAAAAATTGGATTAAATTCAACATATTGTCCAGGAGTTCCAATTCTTGATGAACCTGAAATTGATGATCTTCTTGATGATGAAGAAAGATGAGAAATTTGTGATTCTTCATCAGATATTAAATTATCCATATAATTCCCACCTTGTTCAATTAATGAAGATCCAAGATATTGTTGTGCTCTTGAATATGAAGATGCAAAATTATTTAATGAATTTGACCCTCCATAATCTAAAAATGATTTACGTCTTTGTTGTTGATGGGGAGAATGGGCAGGGACTGGTTGGGAGTTGTTATTTGACATGATGAAAATAATGAATATATATATATATATATGTCTGTCCTACCACTCTTCAATTATAGCAATACTTTAATCAGTAGTAGTAGTAGTGGTAATGGTTGTTATTGTTGAAAAAATAAAAGTGAAAAATTTTTCTATCTAATTTGACTCAGATTATAATTTTGAAATTAACTTTACTCGTATTCTCTTTTTTTTTTTTTTTTTTTTTTTTCCCTCTTCTATTGTATTGTGCACATCACGCAAAACATAGACGATTGGAATTTTTCCTCTGGTAAAGTGCACGACCTTCCAATTACTTTCTCCACCGCCCCGCCCCGTCTGTGTCCCCGTTGGCGGTGGGCCGTGGAGGTCCCCGCGCTGCCATTGTTCTCTCTTTTGATTCCATGGTAACTTTCCATGCATTAAGAAAAACTAGGCACAAAATGAAAAGGGGGTAGCAAGGTGGGTGGTGGCAAGGTAGGAAGGGCTGAAAATAACAAACATTTCAAAATCATTCACTTTAGAATGATAATGATATTAACAACATCTCAACTAGATTGACAATATACTGCTGCAAGATCAAACACCATTTTTGTTTCTCTTCATGTCAATTCAAGTATAGGTTTCATAAAGCATCTTGAAATATCTCTTTGGTAAATACTCTGATCTGATTCTTTTTTTTTTTTTGTTAGTAGTCAGATCCAGTGTCAATATGTTTTATTCAAGATGATGTTTGATGCAACCCTGTCAATGGATCTATTGTTTCAAATCTAATGATAACCACTCGGATATCTATTATAAGTATCATCCCACCTTCCAGATCAGTTATTTCAATTTTGCCAAAAAAACTAAAACATCATTGAATTCTCGCACGTGACTTTATAAGAAAACGTACACTCATTGAAATTGGAAGATTTGGTGAACAACAAGTTATTGATGAAGTGAAATAATAGCACTGAATTCATTAATTATTAATAATCTGATGATATTAATTTTCTTTTTGTTGTGGTCTAGGAAAATAGAATAACCGTAATAGCTTTCTTTTTCACGTCACATCAGGAATTATGAATAAATTAAATCAGTTATTGTCTTTTTTTTCTTTTTTCAATACTTGTAATCATTGTAGGTATCATACCCCTGTTTTTGTTGTTCATTGTTATTGTTAACATCTACTAATTGCATCAATCACGCTATCACTATATGGTCACTGTTCAATTTCTTCAATTTCCGATGTTTATTTATGTGCTCAGATGCAAGTAGACCAGGAAGACAGTATACCTATATACTTCTGTTATACTTTCTCCTCTTATTGACAGAAACAAAAGAGGGGAAGGAAGTTATTGCTTCAATTATATAATAAAAATAAAAGAGAGGATAAATTCAATGCCACTTTTTTATTATACTATATTAGTTCAATCAAGAAGTATGGTTATGCAAGGAATTGAAAACTGAGGGGAAGAGAACTAAGTAATAGAATAATATACATGAACCCTGTATGACTTATATTAATGAACAATCACACCAATGAATAGGAATACATTCAAAAGTGGAAATCATTTGTCTTTTTTCTTAAGCGCTGAGGATTTCTATCTTTATACAATTGTAAAGTTAAAGAGAATCTGATATCTTGATTAATAAAAAGTTGATCAAAGCAAGATTTTGTATTTGATGAAATTTGAATATGTCATATTTCTACATCAAAATCATATCTTACATTCTATTCTATGTGTTGTTGACGTCTGTAATTTGGTCATATATATAAAAAAAAAGTACCAGTATGCGAACTCATGTATTGAATAACGTATGTTCATGATGGTTTTTTTTTTTATTTTTCTTTTAAAAAGAATTTCGTTAATTGCAAAATCTATGTGTATATAGATAAAAGACTACTTTACTATAACAAAAGGAAATAGAAGATATTATAATTTTATCATCTGAATTCTAGCATTAAAAAAAATTTTGACATCCCTTGTTTTTTATTTTTGTATTCTCTTAAGGTTGATGGGATGGTCATAAATCCCTTGCAGATATTTACACAAGATAGCATGTTAGTCCTGGTGATAGGTAGTATATTTCAACTTGATATTTTGAAGTACCCATCAACTATAGCATTAGTACTAGTAACGCTACCAAAATTGTCTAATCTTCCCAAGCAGGATTAACAAGTGTGTTTATGTATCACCTTAAAGTGTTTTTTCATTTTCCAAATTACTTCCAAAAGTAAGATCTAAGAAATAAGTATTGAATTTATTCAGATATTTTTCATTCACAAATGTATCCAATAGCTGTCAAAAACTACGAAACAAAAGAATAGCATTACGAATGGGCTAGTACGGAGTATTGACCTATCAGAAAACCTATCAAACCGGGCAACAATGGCGAAACCAAAAAGACCAAAAAGAAAAAAAGGAAAAGGACAAAGAGGACAAGGCAACCCCAACACTTTAAAAGAAACGGCATAAACGAATGGTTATTTCCGTAAATATCTAAGATAACTCTTGTTATTATTATTTCTGATTATCAATATTATTATTATCAATACATGAAGTATAATAAAAGTTTGATGATTTTATAATTTTTTTTTCTTCAAAGAATTGAAAATCAATGTAATCTAGAATTGAATCTCAATTAATCATTTGATATTGTTCAAAAATATGAACCAATTATATGATTTGATAATTATTGTCCTTATATTTTCCTAGAAATTTTGTTCAAGGATATTGTTTGAATTAAAAAAAACATTAGGGTTTAACTATTGATGATTTACTTTTTTGAGTTTTACTAATGTGGCAAAACTTTACACCACAGATTGAATTCGTAAATTGTACTAAATATAGTCTTGGAAATTTGATAAAAACAATTCCTTTTTGGTTAACAATGAAAAAGATCAATTCACGTATATTAAAAATGTCAGATGAAAATAAGCAATTAGTGTGATTATTATTATTATTATGATTATTATTATTGTGGTTATTTTATTTCATTGTGATATCTCTCCCTCATTTTCAATTTAGATGTAAAATTTAACACGATTCTAATGGCGTGGGTCGCATGATTCTTTTTTTTTTTTTTTTTGGTTTTGGACACTGCACGCCTTAGGGAGTTTTTATTTTGCAGTTTGACATACCCCCTCTTTTGTTCTTGTGGTGTTTGACAGATATTGATGGCACACAAATTAGATGATTTCTTGAGTCCTTGTAATTTGTATTGCATTTATATAGGAGATTTGATCTTACATCAATGACCAGTTTATCGACCCAAGAATTTAACTTTGATCTTTACATGTTTGATTTTCTTTTCTTATTTTCTAGAATGAAATAATAATAATATTTGAACCCAAACAAACAAAAAAATCCATATAATCAAACATTATGAATTGTCGGAAATAACGATAATAATCATCTGTTATAATAATATTAATAATAATAATAAGAAAAAGAAGAAACGAGAAAATTTAGATGATTTTTAATTTAGAGGGGACTTTGTGAGAATTGCCATCCTCCCTTTGTTTACTATCAAAGTAATCTTTCCCCCTTTTGACATAAACTATATTGAAGGTATTCCTTTTCTTTTTCTTTATATATATATATATAAAAATATATTATTTCTTAATTTATTTTTATATTTTCACCATTAGACCAAAAAATAATAACAAATTGTTGAAATTGGAAAAGATTCTCCATCTTTTCTTTGGATTTTTTTTTTTTTTGTTTTCAAGTTATTATTTTATTTATTTTTATCTTATTTCAAAATTATCTTTTCTTTTATTGGAAATACTCATTTGAATTTCCTCTTTTTCCGAAATCGTTGATAAAGGAATCTTATTTAAAAAACACGAAAATCTATATTCGGTTTATGAGTTCTTTTTTTTTGGGGTTGGCTATTGACTTACCAGTTTCCTTGAAAATTTTTTTTTTTTTTCATTATTATTTTCAGAAAAAAGAAGATTTTCAAATCATAAATAAATTGACTTTTATTCTCCTTAAAAGAAGACAATAAAAGATTATTGATTTTATTCCCATTCATTAGCTCTCATCTACTGAATTAATAGTTTAAGTTTCAAAGTATACAAAGAACTATATTTTCCTTGATTTTGCATAACGTTATTTCCCGCTACCAATACAGAAAGAAATCTAAGTTTATCGAAATTGTTACTTCTTTTCAATATCTACTTGATTGTATTTATCCAAAAAAGAGAGTTCCCAGATTTGAACTCTTACAAATTCCTTATTCATTAGTTTGTTTTTTTGGTTTAATAATTCAGAAAGAAAAGAAAATACATTAAAAAAAACAAATCATCTTATTACCCATAGGATCTTACATTTTTTGATTTGTCTATTCTTTTTTTTTTTATTATTGATTTGTTTGATAATTTTTAATTGTTGACTGGTGTATTTTTAGTTTATACATCTACTGAAGTAAGAAATACATTGCTCGATTTATAAATGAATGAAATTATGACAGCTTCACGACAAACGAATTTTTATAATCAAGATTTAGTTAGAGCTGCAACAAGTTCAGATAATATTTCTGTACAATCACAAAACCAACAAGGACAACAAGTTGATTCCAACACTCAATCACTCCAGCAATCACCATCAATGCAACATTCGTCTCAACAGCAATCACAATCACAATCGCAAGTTCAACTACAACCTCAACAACAATCACAGCAACCACCCCCACCATCAGAACCTCAACAATCTCAACAGCAAATGGGAACAGCACAAGAGATCCCATCTACGTTTCAACCATATACTAGTTCATATCAACAAACTAGAGTTCCAAAGAATTATTTATTAGAAAATACAAACTATTATACTATACAACCTGGGTTTCCACTTGTACAAACTTCAGATTATTATGGGACTTCTAATGCAACTACAGATTATCAAAATCCAATAAATCAAATCATTAGTCCTCCCTTTCAAATGAGTTCTATATCTACTCCAGATACACAAAATATAAACCCGAAAGCAAAATCTCAAGTTCAAAGTTCTTATCAACAACAAGTACAAGAACTTTTCAGTACTCCTAATGCAACTTCAAGTACATACATACCAGTGAAACAATCAAAGACATTAGGATCAAATTCTGATCAATCACAACAACTTATCCCTGAAAAATTTCAACAACAATTGACAAGTGAAAACAGTCTCCAACAACAAGTACAAATACCTTCTCAACAACAACAACAAAATCAACAACATCAAAACCAACAGACAAATGCATATAATAATCCTGCATTTTTATTGTATTCACAACAAGGAGTTCCAAACTCCGCTCCTGTTTCAACTTCATCATCTTCATCAATTCTTGGAACAGGTCCAACAATTAGTTCAAATCAACCATCTTCAGTCCAACTGTTTCAATTCACTTATGGCACTTCACCGAATCAGAATAATACACAAATGTATTCATTTCAAAGACAACAACACCCACAACAACACTCACAACAACAACAAGTTTTATCTATGCCAATCAGAAACGCACTGATATCTTCAGCTCCTGGTGGATCAATTGTAAGTACTCCAACTATGCAGAATAAATCTAGAAATTCATCACTTTCAAGAACAAGTATAGATGCAACTTCAACTGTTTGTGGTAGTAGTGGAGGAAATCAATCTCGTGCAACTTCAATTAGTAGTTGTATACCACAAAATGAATATCCTGAACGAGTTGTTCGACCAAAAGTTGCAACTACTAGATGGGATGATGAAAATACAAATTGTTATCAAGTAAGAGCAAGAAATATTTTAGTTTCAAGAAGAGAAGATAGTAATTATATTAATGGTACAAAATTATTGAATGTTATTGGTATGACTAGAGGTAAACGTGATGGAATATTAAAAACTGAAAAAGTTAAAAATGTTGTTAAAGTTGGTTCAATGAACTTAAAAGGAGTATGGATTCCATTTGATAGAGCTTATGAAATTGCAAGAAATGAAGGAGTTGATGGATTATTATATCCATTATTTGTTAGGGACATCAAAGACTATTTTTTAACAAAAGGTCATAAATTAAAAAGTGAAGATGACGAACAACAACTGGAACAACTTCATGAACAACAAGATATTGAAGAAGATGATGAAAGTACTTCAATAGCAAGTAGTAAGAATTCAGATAGTAAACTAATGGAAACCAGTAATGTTATAAAAAGTATCGAAGAAGAAACTACTGGAGCTACGGGAGTCGATACTTCTACTTCTACTTCTGGTGTAAATAATTCTAGTATTGTTGGTGATGTTAAATATGTTCATGATTATTTTCAAAGATCACCACAAACAAATACATTGAAGGAAGAAGAACTTTATTATGGATCAACTCAGAATACTCCTTTAAGTGTTCCAAAAACTTTATAATTAAAATTGGTGAATTAAAAATATTATTTATGCATGTTGATTTTTTTTTTTCTTTGGCAAATTCATGATTTGTTATTATTACTTTGGATGTTTACTTTTTATATGTACTATTCAGTTATATATACCTTATATAGTCATGAACAATTCTTTCCTTTTTCTAATATACACACACATATATATATGTATATGTAGATATTTCACAAAGAGGATGTGTACAACATCTTTGGGTATATAATGATTATCCTGATTCTGATTCAACAAAAGTGCCTCTTAGCTTTTGTTGTTCTTCTATACTTTCAAACAATCCTTTAAAGGTACCTTTACCAAACCCGTTATGATGATGTCTTTGAATAATCTCCACAAACAAAGTTGGTCGATCATGTAAAGGTTTTGTAAAAATTTGCAAAATATAATTACACTTACCAGTTTTAATATTCTTTGTTAATGGATCATAATCTACTAGAATATTTAATGATTTCAAAATTTCAAAATTTTCATATAATTTAACTCCATCTTGTCGTAATCTTTGTTCCAAATTATCATAATAATTCTTAGAAGTATGATTAAATTCAATACCTCTTTGAGTTAATGCTAATATAGTATCAATAATATTATTTGTTCTAAATGCAATATGTTGAATTCCTGGACCTCCATAAAAATCATTAAATTCTTCAATTTGTCCTTTCATTTTTGTTTTAACTGGTTCATTTATTGGCATTTTAATTTGTCCATTACTTGAAGCCATTACAATTGATCTTAAAGCTGTATAATCAGTAGATATATCTTCTTCATCAACTGACCAATATTTATGAAAACCAAATATTTCAGCATAAACTTTAGCTTGTTCCATCATTTGATTCCAACTATAATTTTCAACACAATGATCAAGTACTGATAATTTTATTGGTGGTAATTGACTCAATTGAATTTTGAAATTTTGTGATAATTCAAATTTTGAATCCGAATAATTAGGTAAAAATGGGCCAGTATAATTTATATTTTCAATTAATGTATGTTGAATATCTGTATTTGGAATGCTAATGGTGGCTAATTTAACTGATCCATTACTATCTGATATCATTTTTGGTAATCTAATTATTCCACTTCCATGTTTTACAGCTCTGTCAAATATAGTATCAACATCATTGACATTAAATGCAATATCCATTACTCCTTCAGCATGAGTTTTTAAAAATTTTTGAATTAATGTACATTCCATCATATCATCGTAAATTTCTTCTGAATTATTTACAGTATTAAGAACAAATTCATGTAATTTTACAAAGGATTCTTTATATTGTTTTGAATTAATAATATTTTTATAAAATTTCTCACCAAATTTACCAGAATCATTTATTGAATCAGGATTTATTGTTAAATTTTTAATTTTATTATTAACAAAATCAAATATTAAATCATCAGTAGTTAATTTAAAATTTTCCATGAAAAAATCTTGGTTTGATAATTCAAATTTATTTAAATCTTGTTGAAAATAAGGAAATTTCAATACGTTATCATCATTAATTGTCTCCAAAGTATTAACAATTTCTAAGATAATTGATCCATTCAGAGTAACATGAGACCCAACTAATTTAGATCCTGTTTCTAACCCTTTATATGCAATTTCTTTAAAATCCATTGATAATTGTAAATATTTGGACATTTGTTTAGCATTAGAACTACAAATTTTCAAAGAATGAAATCCAATAAATCCATCATATGGATATTTAGTAGTAGGAAATTTATTACTTAGCAATTCATCAATACTAAAATTTAATATTGGATCATAATTATCATCATTAGTGAAAAATGGCAATTCTGTAGAAAATATTGGGTCTACATATGTATCGATAGTAGAACATGATGAAGTTGTTGAAGGACAAAGGGTTACAGTTTGCTGAGAATCATTGGCACATGAAAAGGACAAGCAATTGTTTTCATCCAAAGATCTCATTAGCAAGTATAGGTAACAATAGTAGCGATGAATAAATAGTTTTTGCAATCTGTGAGTTGAAATAAAGCAATGAGTTATTAAAGTGTACTTAGAAGAAAGTGTATCAAAAAAAAAAAAATAAGAGCAAAATTTCAGATAATTTTCGCAGCAATTCTCGATCAAATTGATTGGAAAGAGACCAATTGTTACCTTCTTTATCATGAAAAAAAAAAATGCATCTATTTTTGTTATTCAAGTATCTTAACCTATTCTATAAATATAAAGTCTAATAAGAACTCATTCTATCAGATAATTCGTAACCGTCATCAAAGTTGGATTTGTTTGCCTTAGTAGCATTTTTAAGTGCTGAACGTTTAAGGATATTTTCTTTACCCAAAACCCAATATGGATGGAAAGGAATAAAGACCAAACCACATATTGTTATCATTGATGCATCCAATACCAAAAGGTAAATTTCGTGAGTCATTAAATAACCACCCCAACCTTGTGCTAATTCAACAACTCTGTATACACAACGGATGTAAACAGCAACAACAGCAATTGTAATTGCTAATGGGAACCATCCAAAAAGACGACCTTGACGAATTTTATAGTATCTACTATCGTATTTTTCATCCAAATAATTGGCTCTGTAACCTCTTGTGGAAGGAGTATTAAATAACAATTTCATGAAATTGGAAAAGCTTCTTTCTGTTAAAGGACCTCTACTTCCATCTTGTTTAGAATATTTGAAATAACATTTAATTAAGAATTCAAACCAGAAGAACAAAAAGATACTCATTGAAGCAACTTGAGTAGCAACACCAATAATCATAAGAGTAGTACCAAGATTACCACCAGAACCAGAAGCAGAAATACCACCACCAGCAGCTTGAATCAAAATAGTACAAACATCAAGGGTGATAAAAAAGTAAGAATACCACATTGGAGGAAGAATAGAGAACTCACTACCATGAATAACAACCATTTGACCAAAAATAAAGTAAACACCACCCATAATAAATGCTGGTGAAACTGTTAAACAAAAGTTTTGCATTGTATAAGTACCTAATTGATCCTCATGACCAACAGCTAGTACTCTACCCAAAAAACCCAATAAATTCCATACCATAACCAATGAAAAATGTAATATTAAACCACCAATATTTTGATTTGAAAAGCATTAATATATAGTATAAGAAAATCGCAGAGTATACCGCGAGATATACAATATTTGGTATAATATTCAATTCTTCACCATAGTAATTAACCTTATAAGTTGTTGTATCATCAGCCATTATGATTTCCTGTGTTGTTATGTTTTAAAGAAAAGTAAATATTCAGTTCATGAAAGAATTTTCTATCAAACAATAAAGGGAATTGGTCCAATATTTAAATACCATGACATCCATTAAAAAAAAAAGAATGTTGTGTGTAAGTTTTACGCTTCAGTATGATGACCTTTGTGTTTTACTGACGTGTATTGGTGTTAACATGCAATAGCTGCGGTTTGTTTTACCAACATGAACAATAGATTTATACACGAAGAAAGGATTATAAGTATTGAGGCTGAGTACTAAACAAGCCACAAAATATTCATAAACACGTCCAAATCATCATCAGCGTGTAGCATGTTTTTTACTAGAACTAAAAACATGAGATCAAGAGAACAAAAAAAAAAAGAAAAGAAACAAAATCTCTGAATTGCCCATCCCCCAAGACAATTGCTCATCAAGCAGTTCACCAGCCTCACTTGTTTATTCTAGTCATTGTTGGGTGTATTTGTAGAAAGGGGAATCTCTCTCGGAATTTCTTGCGGTTGTCCCGAAATTACCAATCAGGAAAAATCAAAGCAGAGAGAAATAAAAAAAAGCAATTCATCTATTACACAAACATTAAATACCGGGATGTACAATTACTTAATATTGAATGTCGTCAATTGTCCGCGACATTTATACTAGTAGCTGATGGGAGCAACCTTCTGAAGCGATGGATTTCTCAAGTAATGACCCTTAACCTATGTACGTCAACGATTTGAATCAAAATGAAAAGGAGATGTAGATCATGATAATTAAGAGCCACAGATACTGTAATACCTTTATTAGAGGTACCAGTTAAGTTTCCACCAACAAAATTTTCATCCCAATAATACATACTAATGGGAAAGATGATTAGAGATAAGAGTAAGTAAAAACCAGTCCCTACATTAGTATTACGTCACGGTCTTAAATTACTATGAGCTTTTAAGATTTCCATTTGTACCTTCATTTTTATCTTTCTTTCAGTACGGACCAGCCTCTCAATGAAAACTTGATCAGCTACAATGGAAAACAGAATGAGTGCTGATAACTAATTTAGCTCTTTATTCCATTATTCGGATAACCTTTTAACCATTCCGATAAGATATTCATTAAAAAAAAAATAATAAAAACGATTCTGTTTAAAGTTATGAACGAGGATCTTTGATAGTAAAACGTGAAACAAAAAGAAAGAAAAAATTATAATATATGTAGATGCACAGATTCGATTTGCAATTACTCGATAACACAATTTATCAATAGAATCACAAACACATGCCATTTAAATTAATGCAGCGATTAGTTGCCAAAATGCCCAATTGAGTCTTCAAAACACAGCCTCTATTGTTTATAATCCCTTCAATAGATCCTATTAGAGGAGTCTTGAATTGTAAAAATTATTTTGTTTGACAGTATCACCTATCACTCAACTCAAAATTAGACAGTATATATGAAAATTAGTATTGATGTATTTCTCTTGAAAGAATTCACGATACTAACTATACTAGTTGAAAACAAATAGCTTGGATAACGAAAAATAGATTAATGTCCTTTTACTACCTGTAAAACACTTTATGTGGTTTACTCTTTCTTCGTGTTCATCAATTTAGCCCCGCAATATCCAAATACCAACAACGTTTTATAATTAGATCGAAACAATTTGTTCCAAACTAAGTCAATTTAAACAGTATTATTCGAAGGCTTCTTGGCTTTAATCCTTTCAAATCAAACCTCAGCCTAAGAAACATAAGACTTTCTGGTGTATTTATTTTGTAATGAGAGATCAATTGCAATCAAATACGAATCTTTGTCTTCTAATTTATTCTGACACAAGCCTAAATACTAGGCTGATTTGTTTTTTCGAATAAGCATTCTTTCTTTAAAGTAATCCACAAGTATTCTATTGTCCATTGATTACTGTTCAGCTTTGGATAAATAAAATCTCAGTCTTTTGTTCTGTGTCAAAAACATTCTGTACAAAATCGTTAATCATTTGTTATATCACACAAAATACACAATTTATATATTAGGCATTGTTTCGTATTGTAATCTTCTATCATAACTAATTGCTGTTGTTCACTCTCAATATAGTAGTGAAATCAATAGTAAGGCTAGCTAGTTTAGGAATAATTGGTATTCACACACAGATAACAAAACAAAAAAACATAGGTTTAAATACTACTTTTGCAATGCTAAAATAATTACAAACTGGATAACGTCTGTCCATTTACAAATGCTTTCTAGACATCAGAAATATTCCGTCAATTTACTATGAGCCTACATTGACAGCACAGCCCCCCATTAACTTTTTAATATTTCAAAATCTTTGATTTTGCGCTAAGTAACTAAATTCCCGTAAATGTATATACGCAGTCAAGTTTTTGTGTATAACATTTGCAGGAGAAGCTAGCTACCTCTAAGATTATTCTTTGTGGAGCAGTTAAAAATTTGTCGCCCAACAAATTGACCAAATCAAAACAATCAAGAGAGAGTACTGTGGAGGTATCGGGCTGTCCCAGTTGTTATTGATAAATTAATCACCAATTATATTAATCGTAGGAAACACACAATATTATACTTAGTAGATAAGACAATTACAATTCATACTTGATAACAAATTTTCAATCAAAATCTCGTACGTACGTCATATTATTATTATTTATTGATACACAGGCCTTTTGGTTCAGTATTCGTCTCTATCAGGTTTCCAGTTATATTGTTCAACGTCTTCTAATTCAATATCATCATTAATATGGTCTTTTTTATTCTTTTTGGATTCTTTAAGGGTATTACGCAGAAGCTTATTGTCTTTGCCAAATACCCAGTATGGATGAAACGGAATGAAAACCAAACCACAAATGGTCATCATTGAAGCATCTAAAACAAGAAGGAAAACTTCATGAACCATTAAATACCCATTCCATCCTTGTGCTAATTCAACAACTCTATAAACACAACGGATGTAAACAGCAATGACAGCACAAGTAATTGCCAATGGGAGCCATCCAAACAATCTCATTTGACGGAGCTTGTAATACTTTGGATCATATGTTTCATCTAAAACATTCAATTTATAAGCTCTTGCTGATGGGACATTAAATATCATTTTAAGGAAATTAACAAAATTAAATTTAGCCAATGGACCAGCATACTTTTCCTCTTTTGAGTATTTGAAATAAACTCGACTTAAGAATTCAAACCAAAAGAATAAAAAGATACTCATAGAACCAACTTGTGCAGCAACCCCGACAATCATAAGAATCGTACCAGTGTCTCCAGTACCCCCAGCAGCTGCGATACCACCACCAGCAGCTTGAATCAAAATAGTACAAACATCAAGAGTGATAAAAAAGTAAGAGTACCATAATGGAGGAAGAATGGAAAATTCACTTCCATGTACAACAACTAATTGACCAAATGTAAAATAAACACCACCCATAATAAAAGCAGGTGACACAGTTAAACAGAAACTTTGCATTGTATAATAATCTAAACGTTCTTCATGACCAACAGCTAGCACTCTACCTAAAAACCCAATAAATTCCATACCATATCCAATGAAAAATGTTACATTGAAAAACCAATATCGAGATTTTATAATCATTCCTGAATAGTATGCAAATATGATGGCATATACTACCAAGTACACTATATTTGGAGCATATTTTAAAGTTTCACCAAAATAGTTTACTTTATAATCAGAATATTCACCCATTTTATTGTAAATTTGAATAAGAATGAAATCTGGGTGTTTGATGTATTTCAATTATCTAAAAAAAAAGGAAAAAAAAAAAAGAATATTGTCTGTTGAAGAGATTATGGGGGATTTATATACTGAAAATGGGGGAATGATAATCAGCAGTGAAAATATTTTCTTACGGTAATCGTTTTAGTGGATGCATAAAATACAAATTTATGTATGCAATTTTAAAATGAAGAAATGTTTAATACATATCTTTTGCGTCTTGTTTATCTTAGAGGCTGTGTAGAGAGCTCTCACCACCCAAGTATGATATTGTAAGGTCCGTGTATTCCCATCAGCTTAAATCTTTCGTCAAATTCAATGATGATACGGTAGAGCAAAACACTAGCTGCTGATTCAATCTCTGATATGATTGAAATGTTATCAGACCATTGACGAATTGCGGTCGATAATTCTGTGCGACATTTCTTTTTAACACTGCTTCCTCCTTTATATTTTGGAGATTGCTTTTTGTGTGCATTATGTACAAACACTAAAGCTGCAAAATAAAATTGTGCTATTTCTTTTTTTTTATCTTAAGTGTTCGCCTATATGCAGTACGATGATTGGGATTCACTTCAAAGACACCACAGTTAGTACCATTCCCCAATAATCAGAGACATGTATTCCAGTGCTAGTGAAGTATTAACATTAGGTGAATTTAAAACCTTGTTTTCAAGTTCTAAAATTTGTATCTCCTAATATCGAGTTCGTTGACTTGTTGTTTGATATTGAGTTTAACTATTCAAATATAATGAGGTTATTCTTCATTCTGTTTATAGATTCCTTTTTACTAATGAATATGTCATTTATTTCTTTTTACAAAAATGATTTACACAATTGCCATGGTTATTTTCCCAGCATCTGATAATATTACTATTATTGTTGTGAACTGGCTAATGGTTAGCCTTCTCCGGCCCTGTAGCAATTATACAAGGCTGCAGAACGCATTAAAACAAAATCTCATCGCGCTCTCAATATCAGTTATTAAGATATTGAATCATTAGAGGCGTTCAATTTAAATCGGTTCATTTATTTGATTGGCTTCATTTAAACTTTACCAACAAAATGTCATCAGAATGATCATGAGAATATACCTGGTTGGTAATAAGTTGTTGGTATGTTAGAATTTCTTTTTAGCAAGTCCCTGTGGCATTGCAATACGGGAATCCAATCCAAGAATGGTTTCAATGATTGGTTACTTTATTAGGGTAAATGGGTTGTATAGAATTACTGAAAGAGAATCTACATGTATCTATTAGTATGGAATGTTTACGACAACACCTTCTTCATTCAATCTTATCACACTTTTAAAAAAGACAAACAATTTTTGTTTTTTTTTTTTTGGAATAATTTACCGAATATGTAATTCTAAATAAGTCCAGTTTCTTTTTAAAAGAAAGCAAATGATCTAATTAAAACACTACTGTTGCAAATCTACTAATACCCGATTTCTTCTCTAACAGATCAGTATCAGTAGAACTTTCATCTTTTTTATTTCTTTTTAAATTAAATATTTTGACACAATTATCTTTACCAAGGACGAAATAAGGATGGAAAAGAGCATAAACAGACCCAGTAGTAGCAATAAAACCAGCATGGAAAACATACAAATGAAGATCAATAAGGATTCGATTCTCAGTTGGGTAACAAGTTTCAACAAGTCTGAAAATAGAAAATATATAATTTACCAACAATATTATTGTAAGAGCCAACGGGAACCAACCAAATAAAGTCTTTTGTCTCACTTTGTAATACTTACTATCATAGGTACAATCTAATTGTGTTTTCTTATATTCCCTTACAGAACTGACATTGAAAAGCAATTTGAAAAAATTTGACACACTTCTATCCATCAAATTGTACTGTTCTTTTTCTTGTTTGGTATACTTGAAGAAAATATTGAATAAGAAATGAAACCAAAAGTCTAAAATTAATAAAACTTCAACAAATTGAATTACAGATTTAGTAATGACAAGGGCTTTACTAGATGTGATATAATGATCATAAGCTTGTGAATAATACAACACTATAGATACTACTTCAAGTGGAATTACCAAGATATCAATAGTAGTGAAAATATAGGAATACCACATTGGAGGAAGTTTTGAATAATGAGCGCCATGGGCAACAATTAATTTGGATATAGTATAATATATAGCACTTAAGATGAAAATAGGACCAATATACATACAAATGGAAGCAATAATTACAAATGCCCAATATTCATATGATCCAAGGCTTATTACCTGAACTAGAAAGAGCATAACCTCCAATAAATATCCAATAAATAATCTTAAATTAAACCAAAAGTATTTGGTTTAAATAACATTATTGTGGAATAGATAAACATAAAAATAAACAAAAGCAAATATGCAATATTTGGAGCATATTTTACTTGATTCATGATGTCATAATAGGTAGTGCAATACATGATATGGATTTGTTCGTTAGAATCTTGTAAAAATCTGAGCTTATTTAGATTTATATCAGGATATATAGAAGTACTTAAATAGACGACAGGAATCACATAGATAGTACCAACTCGAACAAAAATAAGTCATTTATTTCATAAATAATAGACAATAGCTAGGGGGTGATAAATACACTTGTAACAATTATGAATTTATTCAGATGTATCCACTCGCCTATGGCCGAGTTTCTAGTTTGAGGGTAGTCTAGAACCTGTCATTGTTTACTATTTTAATTCACAGGGTCATTGTCGAATATTTTATTGAACAAACGAGATTGTTAGTGACTTGGAGCTAGCCACATGATCACAGTAAGTATTTGCAATTGCTATTGATAGTTACTGTTGACTCAATTCCAAGTCCAGGGGTCCTTACGCCTTTATTTTGATCTCTTACTATTTCCTATAGCAGTTACAGTCATACTTGATCTACTTTTTCTTCTGGAACTAGATAGTATGAAAAAGGGGTAAAAAATGAAAAAAAAAAATGTACCTCATTGTATAATTAATTCACCTGAAATTTGAGGTACGTTTGCTTTTTGAACGGGTTTATATTGTTGTTTCACATTTGTTCTGTCATTTCTCGTAAATTTGATTTTTTCGTACAAGCCACACCCCCGCGGCAGATTTGCTTACATAATACATATCAAATCAAAAAAAAAAAAAAAGAAAATAAGAAACAGTTGCCCGGTGGCTTTGACTGTTGTCCTCCGATACAACCAGGGTGTTCTAAATGTTAGACCTGTTTTGCATATTAAGAATCAAAGGAGGCTTTTACTTAATGATCAATGTTATGACAGCCAGTGAATGCAATCACCATCTCGTAAGTTATGATTGCGCCGATCTATCAGTGGGGAAGGGATTTTCATTTATGTTAAATCAAACGTTTATTAATAATGATAGCTATTCTTTAGAATTTTCTTCGCTGTATTCTAATATGGTATCTTTTTCTTCATGGTGCTCATCTTGGTTCTTTTTGATGGTAGCCAATTTAACAACATTTTCTTTACCAAATACCCAGTATGGATGGAATGGAACAAATATTATACCAGCAATAGCAATCATACAAGCATCCAACACCATAAGATATGGTTCGTGACTATATAAATAACCACCATATCCTTCAGCCAATTCTACCACTCTATATACACAACGAATATAAACGACAACGACAGCAGCAGTCATTGCTAATGGCATATAATCAAACAATTTGCGCTGACGAATTAAAGCATATTTCTTGTTGTAGAATTTCTCCAAATGGTTATGTCTGTATTCACGAACTAATTTGACATTAAATAAAAACTTGAAATAATTGCCAATTGTTCTTCTGGCCAATGGACTGTCTGTTGGTTCGACTCTTGAATTTTTAAAATAAATTCTGGCAAGGAATTCAAACCAAAATACTAAAAACACCGTCATAGCAAACACTTGAGTAACAATACCTGCAATCATAGTATTAGTACCTGGTCTGGTGTCGGTATGATTATTTGATGCTACAGAAGCTGCACCACCACCACCGGCTTGAATAAGTAATGAAATGACATCCGTAGCAATAAAGAAATATGAATACCATAATGGTTTCAAACGTGAATATTCCCTACCATGGATAACCACCAATTGACCAAACAAAAAATACACCCCAGCCATAATAAAAGCTGGAGCGATAGTCAAACAAACAATTTGCATTAAATAAAATTGCATTCGCGTATCATCAGTAAATGCAAGCACTCTTCCCAAGAAACCAATGAATTCTAAACCATAACCACAAACAAATGTAACGTTGTACCACCAGTATCTTGACTTTATAGACATGACTGCAAAATAAGCAAACAAAAGAAAATAAACAACCAAATAAATAATATTAGCAGGACGGCTCAAGTAATATTTATACAAGTTCTTCAGGTATGCCAAATTCTTCAAATTCAATGTAGCATAGAAAATTTCTTCGGTTGCTTGAGCCATAACTTCAGAATCGGTTGCAGTAGCCAAGACCTGTTCAGCAGATATGATAGTCAATGAGGCTTGTGCACCTCTGAAAACCTGAGAGAGTGAACGTAAATTCACCCAGTCTCTCTCTGTAACAACCCTCGAGTAAACAGAAATCATTGTTTCATATAATTCTGGTGCATGTGTAACTGCGATAGAAGACAAAGTTGTCTTTGTGGGAACACTTGTAGGAGTCCATGAAGACATGTATTTAGTGATATCATCCATGATTAGCAACCGTTTTTATCAAGATAAAGCTAAAAAAAAGAAGGTTATCAAACCCTGCTGTTGTGATTTTAGTGTATGTTTTTTTTGGGGGATTTTTCGTTGTGTCATCATGCGCCTTCTTCGCTCTGTACAGTTGAAAAAGCAAAACGTCGATTTGACAAGTGAAACTAAAAAAAAAAAAACCAAAAGCGGGAAACTTTGCGGGTGGAAAATTCCCGCGTTAAGTCCGTGCTTCAATTCTATTGTTCAAACTTTGTTAGTCCGTTTTCTTTTTTTTTTTAAAGTTACGCAATTGGAAGTTCGGATATACTAGAGAAACAACACGAAAAAAATTATCCGAACACTTAAACTATCCGAACACTGAAACTATCCATGCCGGCTTTGCCCAACAGTATAAAATTGAAAAATGCAACGTTTATTTAACAATTCTTCATAGCTCATAATATCTATAATTTAAATATAATAATAACCTAACTATCACCTTGGATGGTGCTAGTTTCTTCTTCGGAGTCAGAGGTTGAACCGGTCTGATCTTTATTTGGCAAGCCAACATTCTTTTCTTGATCAAAATTTCCGTCCTTTCGACACTCTGCTTCTTCTTGTGGACTGTTTGCCATACTTTTTAATCCAATGACGTTACCGGTTCCCATGATAATTTGTGGGTGGAATAACACGAATATGATACAGCAAATGGCTATCATAGTTGCATCCAATGTCATGATATAAACTTCATGGGTGATCAAATAACCACTAAATCCTTGTGCCAATTCCACCACTCTATAAATACAACGAATGAAAACAGCAATAACAGCCAAGGTAATACCCAATGCATAAAAATTGTATAATTTTCTTTCTCTAATCTTGCGATGCTGTGGAACATAATACTTCTCCAATTCGTTTTGTTTGTATTCATTGGCACTCTTTCCATTGATTAACAATTTAAGGTAGTTGGCAAATGTCTTCTTTTGTAATGGGTTGCCAATTTTTTCATTGTTAACATCCATGAAATACATATTCCAGACAAATCTGAACCAAAATAATAAGAATACAGACATTGAGAAAACTTGGAATGCAATACCAGCAATCATGGTATAAGTACCTGGATCAACATCATCGTATTCACTGGCAGCCACGGCAGAAAGACCACCACCAACTGCTTGCACAACTAACGAAATGACATCACAGGTAATGAAGATATATGAATAGTACATTGGTTTTAGCCATGAATAATGTCGGCCATGTATCACCACCAACTGTCCAAATAAGTTGTATATAGCTGCCATTAAAAAAACAGGAGACAATGTAAGACACACTAATTGTAGAATATAGTAATCGAAATTAGTCATATCCCCGAATGATAATACTCTTCCTAAATAACCCAAGAATTCTAAGACTGTTCCACAAGTCCAAGTCACATTGAACCACCAGTATCTGGATTTATACCACATAAGAAGGGTTGTAAGAACCATGATTGCAAACACCACTAAGAAAATAATATTGGCAGGACGACTTAATCTATGAATATCATAAACATTTTCCTCCCATTCCAATGCAAGCAAATTTTCAGTAGCATTCCAAATGGCTTGAGTAGCTTGTGATTTAATATCTTCTGCTGTGGCTGTTGCCAATACTTCCTCTGCAGAAAGAATGGTCAATGAAGCCTGTCCACCTCTAATAATACGGGATGCACTAACATAATCAATATTGTCAATAGTAGATCCTTTTGATAAAAGAGTTTCAAATGCTCCAGAAACACTGGATACTAAAGCAGATGCACGAGTAGCTGCCACACTTCTTAATGTAGTACTTGTAGCCGTTGTTGTCGGCGTCCAATTAGTCATAGCACCAAGATCCATGATTATATATTGATCCGTTGATAATTAAAGGTAAGTCTATTTGTTTGTTGATGAAGGAGATATACTAACGAAAAAGAAAATGAGAAAAACGGCTCATCAACTAAAAATAAATCAAATCAGAGGTCAGATTATGATCCTTAAATACATTATTAATTTTTTTTGCGTTGTATGAGTAACAAAGTTAGTAACCTTCAAATAACCGGAACTTGCGTTTATTCTTTTTTTTTTGCAATCACCACAGAAGAGAGAGTGTGAGAACAGTGAAAAAAAAAAAAATTTTTTTTCTCTTTTATTTTTAGTTCCGTTTCATATTCTAATTCCGATTTTAACCAATTAAATTATGAGCTACCAACATCGTATTCACAGCCTGGTTTCCAACAATATAAGTCTACCAACAATAAGGCTGTGATGAAGATATGGGATCCAACAAAAGTGGCATGTTCGTCTAATGTGGTTATCTACTTGAATATCAAATAAAACAACAAGGATAGAGTTACTCCCGGCTCGCCTCTATATCCGGCTAAAATATCACTGTGTAATTCTTAAAGCGTTTTATCCGTTGCACACAAAAGTTAATAATAGTAAAAGAAACAAAAATGTTATCAGACACACACGGCGTCAACTAACAGAGTCATCGCCAATCATATAACTGTTACAATCAATACTACCATGATAAAAACCGAATCCAAGATGATCAAATACTGTGTCAAATCTCAGACATTTAATTTAAGGGTGAAGTATTTTTTTTTGCTTTAATCACCGGATAAATGTGTTATATATTGATGCTTAAAATCCGATCTTGCCGATAGGAATAATTTTCTCATTTTTTTTTTCTATTGATTTCTCTTGTGAGATGAGCCGCTTCAAATTAAATTGTAGTTCACACCATGTTGTTATGCATGTGTCCAGATTTTATTTATAAAACCGTATCTGCGAGAGAAGTTTTATGGGGGTCAAATGGCGGGTAGTAAGATGGTTATTCCGTCTTCCGCTGTCTATTTATTTGAATTTAAATCCCGTTAGCACAAGTCTTTTATCAGATTATACACCTACAATATATTGCGCCTATTAATTGGTGGTAAATACATTTGACAAAGTATCAAGAGCTCTGCTTTCGTAACCTAAATTTTACTAGGTCGTGTAATAACCAATCCATGAGCAATATATTGTCAAAGAAAATTGACACAAGCCACCGCCTTTCTTAATGATGGAGACAAAAAAAAACAAATGTTGAAACCAAATAGGTCGTGTTCATGAGACCATATTCGAGAAGTTCGTGCACTTTACAATAAATCTCATATTGTTTACCTTTTTTTTTTTATTTGTTTTGATTACTTGACAAACCTTTGACTTTCACAATCAATCAATCAAGTAAACATTCACCATGGTACAAGCCTTATCATCTACAGATATTCAGTCTATACGAAATGCGGCACATTTTTTAAACTCAACCTTGACCTCACGTACTTATATTGATCACAAGTTATTATTCAATTGTATAAATTGGAAAACATTGATATCAGATCAAGTGGAAACAAACCCCCATTTAAAAGATTTAATACTTACTGAGAAGATATATCATAACGACAAAAACATCATTAATTTAATACATGGATTGGTTAGTATGATAGATAAGCAACGATCTCAACAGAAAGTATATAATGAAACACTTCTTGCTAAAGATCAAAAGATTCACGCATTAGAGAAACAAGTTTCCGAATTGAACAAGAAATTAAATGAAGCAAATCGTGGGAAAAGTAATAAATTGATTAAATATAATACTTTACAAAACAAAATCACTGATTTAACCAAACAGAATAAAATATATGTTGAAGATTTAACAAAAGTGAAAAACTGGAGTTTGGATACCAAACATAAATACAAGATTGAAATCAAAAGGAAAAATTTACAAATTGAAAATCTACAAAATAAACTTATTGAAAGATCAAGAAAAATTCCTAGTGGAATTGAATTTGGATTTAGTGGTAATTCTGCAGGAAACGTTGATGGGTTGATTGTGCTGAATAATAACCCCATAATTGAAAATTCTACAGGGATAACTATAAATAATCCGAATTTAGTGATTGATTTTGATATTAATAACGAATTAAAACAAGATTCAAATCAATTGGTCAATATTATTGAAAGTATAACTAAAGAAAATTATAAGTTTACAAAATTCCTAGGGAATTTTAAACAATTTTTCCATGAACTAAATACATCTTTGAGTAATATTAAATTCAAAAATACTGCCATGGAAAAACTCCCAAACCCAACAAGTGTAATTAATCTTCAAGAAATTATGGTTGATCCTGAAACAGTCAGACAATATTTCAATGAAATCGAACCAAGTGAGAATATTGCTACAAATGTTCTAGGTGAGTGTCATAAGCTTTATCATAATCTTGAATATTTGATTGACGCTATAGACCAGAAAAGTGACATAAACAATGAATCAACAATAGCAAAGTTGAAAACAGATTTAGAAACCATGAAATCAAATTGGCAAGATGCTTTGAAAACAACAGAAGATTGGAAAAATATAGCACAAAAGAAACATCTGCCAGAAACATAAACAACTTTTTTTTTTTTTGCGTATCACAAGATTAAAATTCAGTTTCAGAATCAGCTCCATCACCAAATAAAGCAGTCTTAACCACAGTAGTTTCCAATGAAACAATACTCAAGGGAAACTCTTTAATCAATTCAAAAGGAATAGTTTCACCGTCGTTTGATCCATCAATTTCCTGGTCTTCTTTGACTTTTAATTTCAACTCATTATTATGGCTATTGAAATCCAAGTAAGTGTCAAGCAATATTCCGGTACAAATGATTTTTTCGTGGTTAGGATCGGATCTATGTACGGTTATTTCTTCTGTCTGGTATTCACTTTGATCCCCTGTATCAATTTTAATTTCATTTGGTTTACATTTGGTTTTAGCAGACCCAATATGAATAGACTTAATAGATCCGGTTGCATCAGAGTCAGCTACGTCAGCAATGCTGAATTTTATAATTCTTAACAAATCACCAGTTTGTAATGAACCAAATTCACGATCATTTTTGCCAATAAACGGTTTAACAACCACAACTTTTTCACCAATTCTAATAAGCTTCTCCAGGAATGGATCAGTAACCAGTCTAATTATTTGTTCGTTTGGTTTTCTACAAGCTTCAGTGACGAGTTGCAATAAAACAGTGCGTGAATACGTATCGTATCCACTTACCAAATCCGTATTTTGATCAATTGGATTAGCGACAATAGTTTGAATTACCGGTTCACCAACAGTATCTTCTGCCAAATACTCTTCCAATACACTTTTGAAATCCAGATCACGAGTATCGTTAATGACAGATTGACTTGCTCCCTCACTAGCAGCTGTTGCTGCAATAGGATCAGGCGTATGCATTTCCGGGATTGGACCAGCAGCTGCAACTGTGATATCTGAAACGGGGGGTTGTAATCTAGTAGAGTGGGTTGAATTCATAGGAAAACTATTCAATGCAACATTGGATGCAGCATCAGCATTATTTTGTGGATCTTGGTTATCAACTTGATTCTCCAAATCATTGATTTGATGTATTGCTTCTTTATTTTCATCCAATTGTTCTTCTAAAAACTCATTAATAGCAACACGCAAGCGTCTTCTTCTGGTACAACCAATAAAGAAAAATGGACAACACCAAGGCAAACACAATACAAAGATAAAAACTAAGATTACAACGAATACTAAAACAAGAATCAATAGAACAAGCAAAGCAGTATTGGATACCTCCGTCATAACTGAAAGTTGATAATCGACTAGTGGAAAATGACAAAGAACAATATAAATGGATGAAACAAAAAACAAAAAAAAATTGTTGGTGTGGTTTGTTTTTTCTTTTTGAAAAAGGGTAGTCATTTTAATAACTTTTACTTTTGTTTTTAAGTTTTTACTACAGCTGGTTGCAAAAGTTGAATCTAATAAAAGAAATCAAAAATTTTGGCATGTAATACACGACCATAATTATATTACTATATACAAAACCTAAAGATCCACTTTAGCATTCTTGAGGAAATCGTCAAACTCATCATCTATATCTTTAACATTCATTGATTCTTCAATCTTTGATAATTCGTCTTCCTTTTGTGATTTTTCTTCTTCTAGTTTTTTATATTTTCTGTTTGATTTCTTTGATTTGCTCTGTTTTAATTTCTGTGCTCGTTCTAATAATACGGAGTTTCTACTGGTACCAGGATTATAATAATCATCCAACTTTAATGCTAACTTCTCACGAGCAATTGCTCTATTTTGTTCTTTAGACCGAGTTGCTTGACAATCTATCACTATCCCTGTTGGGATATGTTTTAGTTGTACTTTGCTATTACATTTATTGATTTTTTGACCTCCGGGTCCACGACCACCATGTAAAAACTTTTCTTCTAATTCCTCTTCTTTGATTAAGTGTTTAGGTCTGGGAGGTAACTTGTTTATCTTGGGTATGGCATAAAAAACTCTAGTTGACGTTGATAATTGTCTTTGCAAAGATTGAACCCTATTAAACATACTGTGGGGGTGGGAAGATGGATTTCTGAAGACGATGTGAACAAAAACTCCAAGAAAAAAAGAAAATCAATGAATTTCTGTTCAATTTTTTTTTTTTTGCTTTCTCTTTATCCCGAGGGAGATCACCAAAACTCAAAAAAAGTCATTTTACACCACAGTCAATGATGGATAAACCAATACAGACAGAGGCAAACATTACAAAGGAGGTGTCACCTTCAAAACCTCTTAAATTAGTACCGCCATTAAATTTTTCATTAGTCGAAAATGGGATATACCGATCTGGGTTTCCTATGCCAATAAATTACCCATTTTTACAACAGTTGAATCTAAAGACAATAATATATCTTGGAGATTTAGGAAATGAGGAGCTAAAAAGTAGTTCAAAACTGAAGAAAAAGAAAGATAAACATGGGACAGCTGAAATAATGAACAATTACCTCGATTGGATTAAAAATGATACTGATATTCAGTTTCACAATTTATATTTTGAATCGTCACAGGAACCATTCAATAAGCCACAGGATATTGAACAAGCGACCAAAAGTTTAACAATAGCATTACAACTCATATTAAATAAACAAAATCATCCAATACTAATTCATTCAAACAAGGGGAAACATAGAACAGGTGTGTTGATCGGGTTAATGAGAAAAGTTCTACAAGGTTGGTGTCTAAGTGGGATATTTGAAGAGTATGAGAAATTTGCCATGGGTAAATCGGAATATGATTTAGAGCTTATAGAGTTATGGCAACCTGAACTATATATCGATGACAATAATAAACCAGATTTTGTTAGAACATAGTGGACAAGTGATAAATATTATGTACATAATTATTTATAAATTTACATATTATTCTTCATCGTACGCAATTTATCCATAACTTCATCTGGTTGATTCAACCCGGTGCCTTTAATAACTTGAGGATCATTCAATCTCATGAAAGGATTAAACTGTAATTCGTCACCAATTGTAAATTTACCAGTAGTGTGTTCATGAGTATTACAGTATTCTTCCAACTTCTTAATGGCTTCATTCTGCAAAACTGTTTTTGAAAATTTAACATTAGATTTAGTGTACTCATGACCTGGATAAACTTTTGTATCCTTTGGCAATGATGCCAACACTTTATTCAAGGAGTGGTTCATTTCCTTACCGGTACCTTCAAAAAATCTACCACATCCACTGATGAACAAAGTGTCACCGGTAAATACAGCTCGTTCACCGGTATTACTATCCTCAACAAAATAGCAGATTGAATCTTGTGTATGACATGGAGTATGTAATGCACGGATAGTCAAATTGTCACCTAAATGAATAGTTTCTTCATGAGAAGGAGTATAAGTAACCAAAGGAGAATCTTTACCTGCAATAACTGGCAAGTCCGGGTATTTCTTGTGATAATAAGGATTACCATCTGAATGGTCATAATGATGATGAGTATTCACAATTGCTTTCAATTCAAAGTTTATCTTGTGTTTCGATAAGTATTCATTGACTTCATCTGGTTGTGCCGAGTCAATTAACCAGGCATTTTTTGTAGGGGTGTCTACAACCAAATATGCGTAGTTGTCGCCACGACCCCATCTCATTGGAATTGATTCGATATGCATCTTTCTAATTGTTGATCTGATAATTGATCCGAATATCATAAAGTTAAAAGAGAAAAAGAAATGTAAGTCAAAAGAACTCTTACGACGACGACATGTGCCAAAAAAAAATTTAGTTTGCTGTATTACGCATCTGTTATCCTATTTGTGGAATCTCTATCCCTCAACAAAAAAGAAAACAAAATGTGAGTATTGCATAGCATCACGTGAACATTCATTCAATAATAACAATTAATATATTAAACACTTTGGAATTTACTATTCACTATTCGTACAGTTATGTACCCCACTTCTTAGCTTGCATTCCCTCTGGTGGAGATGTTTCGAATTCTTTATCCTTGGCTTCATCCCAACTAGTTGTTAAAACAGTACCATTAGATTGAATATAACTTTTCATCATGGCTCTTCTTGAATCCTCGTCAACATCTTTGAAAATCTTTTGGAAAAATGCATTAGTATCCCCTTCATCTTTGTCATCATCATCTACTTTGAAATTATTCCAGTTCACCTTCTTTCTTGAAGAAGTTGGATAGGCAATACCAGATGATTGTTCCTTCTTGGAGCTCTCGCCAGTTGTTGTGGTATTATCTTCTTCTTGCGCTTCTGCCTCTAAACCGGCCCATTTATTAGCCTCTTTTTTCTTCAATGTAATCTCTAACTTGGTTGAGTAGACTTTGTATTTGGATTCTGCTGGAATAATTTCGGCGTATAATGGGTCCAAGTGGTAATTGTACTCGGAATTCGCAGCACTTGGAAATGAAATTGAAACTGATTTTGAATCAAAATCAACTGTTAATTTATCTTCATTGATCTTTTTGGCATAAATGGTAATGATAACCTCCTCGTTTGATTGATACCAGTCATCTCTAATTTTAACATTCAATGGTGCAATCTTGTTAAGAACATCAATATTGCTAGATTTTGGAGTTTCTTCTTGTGGTTTAGCTGTTGGTTTAGCTGTTGAAGTTGGTTTTGATTCGCTCTCTTCATCATCCTTCAATTCAACTATTTTTGGTTCTGGTTTTGGCTCTGGTTTATCACATGATTGGGCATAATTTGAGTCATCTTCAACTATTGAATCAAAATTAATTTGTTCCTCATCAGCGTCTTCATCATCTTCAACATTTAACTCAGGATGAGTCTTCAAGTCATATTCCGCTTTGTTTTTCCACATATCCAAAGTCAGTTCCTTACAATCGTACTCCTTTGCTTTTTCAAATTGAGTTAATGCCAATTTGATTTTCTTTTCCTGATAATAAATCAAACCCAACTTGAAATAACATAACCCAATTTCGGATCTCCTTCCTCTTTCAGAGGCAATGGTAAATGCACTTGAGATATCTTTCTTTGCATTGTCACCATTCTTTAATTTTTGGTAGGCAGTAGATCTTTTCAAAAATGCAGTGAACGCTTGTGGATTTTCTTTAATTGCTTTTGAATAACTATCAATTGCCCCTAGGTAGTCTTTGGACTTGAGAGCATCGTCTCCCTTTTTAATGAATTGTTCAACAGCCATGATTAGTCGTATTCGTGATAATTTCGACCGTGTTCAAGGGTTTCAGTGTTCAAAGGATTCTTTTTTTTTTTTTTTCTCGTATGACATGCTTAGCTTCAGGGAGAGATTTTCGCGTGCGAGCGTTTTAAGAAAAAGAAAACCAAATTAGGAAGGTGGCTACGTTTGGTGACTAACTTCCTCAATTCAAGTTTTATTACCAAATAAATTGCACAGGTAAATTCTTTGGCCCAATTTACCCTTAGATCCACTCTTCTCTACAAGTAAATAATGTATAAAGGAGAAGTTATTTTGATTCTTTGATTCCCAATTTTTTGAAAAAAAAATCAAAAAAAAAAGTTTTTTTCTAGTTTCCCATACATTTTCTCGTCCCAAAAGAATTTTTTTTCTTAAAACGCTCTTGCGCGAGATTTTCTACAAGGTTCTCCTCAGAATTGTGTTACACATTCTTTCTCCAAACTCACACTTGGTTGTAAATTTGACAATTAGAGTTGTAATGACAAATATGAGTAATACTTGGGGATGAATTTCAAGGTTATATAGTTCTGGTTTTTCATTCTAGATCTAAAACGGTTTTTTTTTTTCGTTTGTGACTAAACACGGTATAATTAATAAACCCGATATCTGCAAACTATCAAACAAAAAAATCTATCTCCACCTTTTTTTTATTACTCAATTATTGCAAATTAAGTATGCTGCATAAACTTCTGGTTATGGCATATTATTTGATATTCCGATACTAGTTTGGCTGCCAAATAAATGAGGATTTTGGAGCAAATAAAATCGAACTGTAATTACAACTTCAAAAAGAATTCAATCTATAAATTCTGTTGAAATTTCTGTTCATTTAGGTATTTAATTTTCAATTGACAATATTCCAACATCTAATCAACGGTTATTTTGTCTATGAATATGAGATTTGTTGCAACAGCTACTATATTAACTTTTAACTTGTTCAGATCAATTCAAGCTGGAATTGTTCCTATTGAAGATTGTAACAAATGTGAAGTTGACACATTTGATGGAGAGTTCGTCTTGGCCATCAAAGAATTGGGATTTGATTATAAGAATTGCAAGTTTTTAGACTTGATTTATGAAATTGATGACGGTCAATTAGAACATGGTGGTAGACAAGATCAACTTTATCCAATTTCGTTATGCAAGTACTGTTCCCTAGTTGATAACTGTGGTAAAGACTGTGGTGAAGATGGAGTTGTCAAATTGAAAGAAACACCAAAGATTTCTAAACGTGGTGGAGCAACTGTTCCTGAACCAGGATGTGATGAACCATACTGTAAGATTTGCAAAGATGATTGTATTTGGCTGTTCAGTTTATGTGATGGTATCTTGACTGATAAAAACTATGCTACCGGTGAAATTGTTGCTAACCATCAATTACAGTTTGATAAACTGTCTCAAATTGATGCTTTCCATACATGTGGATTTTCTATCACGTATCAATATGGTAACTATTTGTTGGCTCTCAATCACAAGACACTTTTCTGGCATTGTAAAGTTGACGATTATGGTTTGTACAAGATTTATGACAAGAAGATTGGTGCTCAATGTTCCCCTGTTCAACTTATTGTATTACAAGCAAAGCAATGCAAAAAGAAGTATGACCATAAATCATTCCCAGCTTCGTCTTCTTAACTAGTATAATTCATTTTTTAAAAAAAGTACACTGATTATGTTTTCCTCTTGTTATGAAGAAAGAGCTGTCTGTGTTTTGGATAGTATAGTCTCCTTCTAAATGTTGGTTGTTTCTTGTTTTCTATATCTTAATAAATGTGTGTACTAAAAACACTGCTATCTATATCTCTATATAACTGTTATAAAAAATAAAAAGAAAAAGAAACTGGAAATAAAAACTAGAACTGGAACTCGTCATCCAGATGGTATCCCTTTTGCTTTTCATTTGTTGGGGTATATATAAAATCTTTAAACTCTGAATAATCTGTTCCATAACTCTTTTCGGATTTCCAGTCTTGTGGCAAAGTAGTCTTGTCGCTATCTTTATCAGGAGTGGTATTGATGGTTCCAAAATAAAGTCCATCGTCATTGGCACGATCAGAATAATAGCCAACACTTGCACTTTCAAGGTCGTCTTCAGTATCATCTTCTAATTCATCTTCACTTACCGCTGCACTTGGAAGAACGTTGGTTTGCTCAGAAGTAACAATTGCTCGAACCGCAGCAGGAAGTATATCTGGTCTATAAAATCTCAAGTCTGCTCTTCCAACAATCAATAAACCATTGATGATTACTTCAAAGACACCCCATGCAAAATACATAGCAACAGGAACAGAGGCTGGACCACTATCCCAGTTTGTCCTTGCTTGGATAACAACAATACATCTAAGCACTGAGGCTATGAATAAACAAACTGTTGATACGATGATAATTATTAAAGAAATATTATGCTTTAAGTCCCCTCTTTCATTTGATAAACCTTTAACCATTTTGTAATGATGATGAGTCGCAGCAATAACTCTAATAGCATGTCGATGATTTGAATTTCTTTTCATAAATGTCTCTTCAGCTTTTTGGGCAGCACCTTTTTCAACAAAATATAATGGAGAGAAACTTTCAATCCACCATGGTTGATAAGTATATAACCTCTCATCGTTCTTAGTTGGAAACCAAAAACTTAAACCAATTAAAATAGAAGCAGTTAAAGTATATACAATAACCATAACCACTATCCAACGATTCAAATTTATATAAAGAATGAATCTTTTCGTTGAAAGAAAGTATAAGTATGGAATAGCAGATGCTACAATTGCAATTGTTGTAAACACACCAACCAAAACATACAATACAATCATGACAATCCAAAATAGTCTTCTAGATCCTCCAACAGGATGTCTCCAAGTAAACAATCTCTGAGCAAGAATAAGGTTTGTGGAGACCAATAAAATTGATGGAAGTATGAATAAAATTTCATTAGCAATTCCTTCTCTAGCCCAAGTAATATCTTGAGCCCATGTTGCTCGTAAAATAAATGATACCATTCTTACCAAAGAATTAAAAGACCAAATAGCATTCAATAAGAAATAATGGCCCCTATTCAAATTAATTAGAAATATTGCCAAATGTAGTATCACAATCACACCAAATATACAAGCAAATAAAATCAGTGGAGCAATATCACTTGCTATTGGATATTTACCAAGCAAATTGAGTTGTTTACCTACTGCATTATGTGCCAAAGCTTCAGGTAATCGTTGACCTAAAAGATTTCTTGATCTAGCTACTAAAACATAAATCCCTGTACCTCTATCTGGGTTATCGTATACATGAAATAGAAATTCTAAAAGACCAGTTGAAGCTGTATAAGGATTATCTCCTGCAATATCTATTTCCATTTCTTTTCTTTTTCTTTACCTTTGTCTTGTTGTTATAGTGGGGCAATTAGTATGGTGGGGTAATTATTATGGGTTTCTGCACTTGGTATTAAACTAACCGTAATTAAATGAAATTGGTGTCAAATTAAAGAATATTAAAAATTGAAAAAATCCAAAATTGTAATTGTTAAAAAAAAAAACCAAACGTTTTGTCATTCTCTTGGTATTTATATAATTTAACACATTTACCTTTCCTGGTTATATATGAACAAATCATCAGGGAATGGTATGTAAAACTTGAAGGATATAGAAATATGAGTTTGAATTTGTCTTCAGCTATCTACACAACAATTACACAAAACAAATTGAAAAATTTCCTAAATAGGAAATATGTGAAAGGGGATTAACCGAGTACAATGTAAAAGGACCGTTAAAAGATGAAACCAACAGCCACGCTAATCATTATATAATGAAAAAAAAAAAAAAATTCATATCACATGCATTAACAACTAATGTCTACATATATACAAAAAGAAAATAGGTCCCTGGGTCTTAGAATAATAAATATAACGTGCTTACTAAACTTGGTCCGCAGGAGTATGTTAACCAAAATATAATGTTGCCCCTGACACGACTATTGTATTTTGCAGTTATTGTCATTGGAATCTGTACTAGCATTGTTAAGAATAAGTAACCTCGTAATTTACCAAATAAAATATACATAACCAATTCATGAATTGTGGCCGACAACAAAAGAGTAAGGATAGCACCTTGCATCTTGGTAAAACCAAAACTGGTTATGGATGAATTGTAGACATGACGGCGAAGAAATCTATGAACGACGGTGTTCCATTTTCTTGAAAAATCCATGTAGTTGACACTAGACCACCAAGCGTCGTAAAAATGACGATCTCCATATCTACTTAATTCTGCAATTCCATTGAGAATCTCATTCCAGATTAAGATAAAAGTAAGTAAATATTGTTTACCCAACGGTAAAATGATATGAGATAAAACTAACAAATATTTTGGCAATCTTTCCTTCACTGATAATTTCTCATACTGTGCAACTTCCTGCATTATTGGATAGAAGTTTTGTTCGGAGACAATGATCATTGAGAAAATCAAGGCAAACGTTCCACAAACTTTCTTAAACACATAAGACCATCTTATTTGAGATGTTCTTGGAAAGTTCAAGGTGTATACTAATGTAGGAAACATGGTGTAATTGAAATAATCCTTGAAGTTTAGATTTCCAGGAAATGAAATAATTCCCTCTTCCTGTAAAACTCGAATGGACTTGTTCACATCAGCTGAATTGAACACGTGATGATGGTGGTCTTTATTATCGGTTGTTCCATTAGTTTGAAATTCCAATTCATGTTTGGCAAACCATAAACTTTGTTCTAATATTTCAACGTGTTCCTTCGAGAATTCATCGCCTAATTTAGAAAGTGAATTGAGGCTTTCTTCAGATGACAATCCTTCTTGATAAACTTCCCAAAGATAACTATTATAATGACTATATGAATGCATCTTCATGATGAACACTAAAGAATGCAAAATCAAGAAAATTCTTGGAAGCCAAGAGAGATTCATCAACGTTTCCAGTGGGAGAATTGTCCAAAACACCAAAAACAATAGTTCATATAAGGACAGAATAATCCACCCAGAACCATTCCAAGTAATGATTTCATTCTTACATGCAAGTTGTAAGAAAAATGGAAAGTATGATGATATATACATGCAAAAATCGACAATCCCAACCGATAATAAGTCTTTTTTGAACATGCCTATGACTACCCATTCTGATAACGGTTTTAGTTCACCGAAATATAGATCCACCAAAGTACACAGGATGTAAAGTCCTATAATAACCCAAAAAATAGTATACACACCAAAATATTCACTTTTGTAGAAACTGTCAGAATCAAGAATCGAAGATATGTTCAGTTTAAAACGTATATCATTGAACTTAGATAAGAATTTAACATCTTGAGAAGTGTGCAAATAATGGTTTCTCAATCTATCTTCTCTTTTGTTCACTTTGGATTTCAATTTTATGATTTTGGGAATTAATACTTGATCATCAAAATCTTGACTAATTTCTAGAAATGATTCTTCAGATGATGATTTGTGTGGTTTCCTTCTTGAATGTAAATCACTTTCATAGTTCTCATAAGATAAATCTGTATTTGAATCATTCACAGACGAATTGGATGAATCGACTTTAACCATATCTTCCTGAAAGGAAGACGTTGATTTGACATCATCATCGATTTCAATAACTATTCCACCTACTTGATCATCTGACATATCCAGCGAAATATTGATTATTTATAAGATAAAACAAGACCTGTATTCAAACCGATAAAGAAAAAAAAAAAAAATAATAATAATTCAGAATGTGATACTTCTCAGTGGGATACCTTCGGCCAAATCAGGGGAAATAATAGATGTTTATATAAGCAGGAATTAATAACTTATGATCATGTACTAAAACGTTGCATGACGTAAGGATGGTTTAGTAATCAGAAATAACTACTTTCAACTTTTGTTTTAGGGAAAATTTCAATCTAGATGAAGGGGGAAGTGGATCGGTAGTATATTAAGAAACACTTGACGAATTCTATTGTTGTTATTCATTCGTAATAATTTATTGTTATCTATCGGTTGTAGTGATATCATTATGAAAAGTGTAAAAAAGCACACACACAAAATGTTCCAGAATTATCCGCCAACAGAAAAAAAAAAACAGAATTCTTTGATCCGATTGGTTACCGGTTCTAAATGCTGCAAAACTGAGGTGTTGTCCCACAAAAGAAGAAAAAGACGGCGGGAAATAAATATAGACACATTAAGTGAAATATAAGAATCTTGTAGTTTTCCTTTATTGTTGATCTCTAAAATAATAGAAGACTCTAAAAAACTAAATAAAGTGTACATATAATACTAGGACCACTGATGAATCCTACCCAACAGATCATATTACCAATAACTTTTCTTCCCTTCATGAATTTACTTCTGGCCATAAGAATCAATGGGATTTGAGACATTTGGAATAACAACAAATAGCCTCTTAATTTACCAAAGATGACATACATCGCTAATTCATGCACCACACTAGAAATTGCAAAAGTAATAATGGCAGCTTGTGCTTTATTTACATTTAATGCACTGATACTGGAATGGTAAACGTGTCTAAGAAGGAACTTGTGAACCACGATATTCCATTGGTTTGCAAACTCTGAAAAATCAACACATGACCACCAAGGACCATAAAAGTCACGATCAGCATATCTTGACAATTCACCAATAGCATTCAAAATCTCATTCCAAATAATAAAGAAAGTGAGCATATATTCCATGAAGAATGGTGGAATCATGTCAATCAAAATCAAGAAATATTGAATAACTCTTTCATGGGTAGGTAAAGTTCTAGCCTGGGCACATCTTAATACAACTGGAAGCAAATTGTTCTCGGCAACAGTAATCATCAAGAAGAAAATACCAAAAATACCAGTGATTTTTCCAATGGTGTATCTCCATCTGATTCTTTTAGTTCTTGGGAAATTTATAGTATAAACCAATGTTGGGTACATACTGTATTCATAGTAGTTATGAAGGGTTAAATTTTGTGGAAATTTAATAATGCCTTGTTCTTGTAATTCGTGGAATGGAATATCAACTCTCTTGACGTCAAATTCATGGTGGGTGTCATTCTTAGTAGTTGCATGACTTTGAAATTCTAATTCATATTTGGTAAATGCAATACTCTCTTTGAGAGCCTTGATAGTTTCGTCTTTTTCGTGTCCCTTTGGTAATACAGCCTCTCCTTCAGTTAATCTTTCGAGATATTCTTCAGCAAACAATCCTTCATTGTAAGTTTCCCAAAGGTAACCATTGTAATAAGCGTAAGAATGCATCTTCATGACAAACACCAAACTATGCAAAATCAAGAAAATTCGAGCAATCCATGGGAAGTTAAGACAACGTTCCAGCGCAAGCCAAATCCAAAAGAACAAGTAAACAAATTCATATACCCCTTGAGCATACCAGCCAAACCTCTTCCAAGTCACGTATCCATTTTTACATGCCCACTGCAAATCAAAGGCTAAGAAACTGGTGGCATACATGAGAGCGTCAACCAAAGCAACTTTGAATATATCTTTACGCAATAATCTAACCACAGTCCATTGATAAAATGGAACGGTGTTTTCAAGATATGCATGAACCAAAGAGTTCAAGACAACAAAAGCGGTACACAACCAAAATAAGATGTAAAAACCAAAATAGTCGGTGTTGTAAAATTCATCAGATTCGAAAATAGAAGCAGATTTCTCTTTGAATGAAATATCATTGAATCTAGATAAAAATTTGGTTGGGTCTGATTTATGTTTCTTATCTAGTTGTCTCTGTCTTTTCAGCATAATCTTCTCTCTCTTAGAAACATCCCCGATCACACCATCCAAAGTGACTGTTGAATCAGCTGTAGCCGTGCGTTTCTTGGTTTTTCTAGAACGTAATTCTCCATTTTCTTTTACACTGCTGGTCTCTGACAGAACGGATTCATCCAATAACTGAGAATCACTAGGGACTGTGTCAGATAATTCGATTCGGGAATTGTCTTCTTCAGATGAGGAGCTGTGGTATTCGTTATCTATAGCCAAAGAATGCCTGTGTCCACGTTTATCTATCAACGAGTCAAGCTTCTCATGAGTTCTAGTTTTAGGCATCTTCTCTTCAAATCAGGTTGTAAAGGAAATTTGGAGTGAAACTGCCAAACAAAGGAAAATGGAATAAATTGGTTGCAAAGGATTGTTGTAAAAAGTAGAATCTTAACAACGCTAAGGGGTTATCTATCTGAAAAAAAAAAGAGCAGACAATAACCTTTTTCGTGTGCAAGTGTGTGTGTCGAGAAAAAAAAAATTCACAATTCAAAGAAATCTTCTGAGTAACTAGTGGTAGAATGGAACTTTTAAAGAAAATAACAATAGTCTACCTGATGCTTGTGTTGCGATAAGATTTTTATTGTTTGATGGGAATAATGTCTTGATCTATTGGGGTGAATTTGTATTAATTTATACGTTCTTGAAAATTTGATTCAACGGGCGATTACGCTCAGTTTAGTAATAGATTTGAAAGTACAGAGTAATTTCAGATAGCAATAGTTCGGAACTCAAGGATGAATTGTTTTTGTGGAGGTCAGATCTCAGATGTTGTCCTTTTTTTTTCTCCGTTTTTTTGGGGGGTGTTGGTGGTGTTGGTGGTGTTGGTGGTGGTTTGTAACCAAAAAAGTTGTGAAATTATCATGTCAAAAAAAAAAACCAAACTCCTGAGAAACCGTCGTCTCTTTATATAGTTACACATGTTAACCAAAAAATAGCGAATAAAAAGAATAAACGATCGTACCATTGCTGGTTGAAGCTATAGCCCACTTGCAACAGCATAAGTTGATCTTTGCAGATTTCACAAACTACACAAGAATACAGTATCGTCGCATTTAGTTGATTTTTTTTTTCTTCTTCTTCCTCTTGCTGTTCCGCTTTTAAGTCCATACAGAATTAACACTAAATCCTGAAAGTCATTTCTAATATCACAATCGTAACTGTTGGAGAATTTCTATATTTCTTTTTTTTTGTTCTAATCTACTATATACAAGTGAATCTCCACTTTTATTTATAGACTCTCTCGAAAGGTCTCGTATCGTTGAAACAAGAGTTCCATACTGTATCCACGACTTTTTCGGCTTCTTCTGTGGATTTACATAAAGGATTACTGGAAACCGACAACACAGCTCTTCTCTTAATGCAACTCTGGAACTTTTTCCCAAAATCTCCCAACCCTGTCTTCTTGATCTCTTGCCAGATTCTGCATTCACCACTAAGCATAGAAGCTCTGATTTCAGTACAGGCATGGTGTCTCAAATTGTTCAAATCAAGATCAAACTTCAAATAATCATAAACATGTACCAATTCATGAGTTAATATATCTTCCAATTGCCATTTACTTCTGATCCAGTTGGCACATAATAAAATTCCTTCATTTGGACTAAAACCCCCACCCTTTGTGAAATCACACACATCACAGGTTATATTTTGTTTTGTTACGACAGCTTGCTTGTTTTTGGTAACTTTTTTGATTTCATCCATCATAAATAGGACCGATGGGGAATATGTCAACATCCAATTTTTGTATTCATCACATTGCTGGCATTTTTCCTCCATGTTTCTGTTCTGGAAATCAAACTCATATTGAGCCTTATCTTTATCTGTCAATCCCAACCCAGTTTGATATTGAGCTGTTCTTCTCCACCATTCAAATCCATTTAAGCTGGATTTTGGAGATAATTCCAATTTAGGTTCTGACTCTTGTTGTGTTGCCATTTTGCTCGAGATCCAAATTGTCAACCTCTACTACTGCAAGATTTTTTTTTTTTTTCCTTCTCAAATATTCTTGAGAAGGTTTTGAAAAATCAGAAAAATTGTACTCGCACGACTTGGGGTCGATTTTTACTTCAAAGTTCTACACTTCTTCGAAGGATATCAAATCAAACGGATTATAACAGTGATTTGTACCGATCATAATCCTTTAAATGCTGAATTTGAGAAAAAGAAAATATTAAATTCTACAATTATATATGTTGTGACAATTTCCTTAAAACTTTTCAAACTTTTCAACAGAAATTATTTTGATTGCCACATTTGTTACGTGTCATTAGTATACACCCTTAATTCTTCACCTACTACTACTACCATGAATATTTATCACACATTTCAAACATCTAGATCAAATAGTGAAAACACAACAAAAGTGTTGCAAACTATGGTGAATACTTTGCAACTCAAAAGATGGTCGTGTAATTTGGCTATCTCTCGTTTTTTTTTTTATTTTTTGTCTTTGACTCTGCCCCGTCTTGACTCAAACAACTTTGATTGGGCCTAGTCTTCCCCTACAATCTCGTTTTTGTGCCCTACTTTTATTTTTCATTCTTTAAATAATTGATTGGAATAATTGAACTGAAAATTTTTTATTTTTCTTGTCATGAAGAGAAACCAAATAAATGAAGTGAAAAATTTTTCTTTTTTTCATCTTCAATTGCTCTTTTTCTTTTCTCTTGTTTTTCAAATTTCTCTAATTTCAATTGAATTAAGTGATAATGTCTCAAGAATTAACTCACCCAGCCATCAAAGACGGATGGTTTGCTGAAATCTCCGATACCATGTGGCCAGGTCAAGCCATGTCTTTAAAAGTTGAAAAAGTTCTTCACGTTGAAAAATCTAAATACCAAGATGTTTTGGTTTTCAAATCCACCACTTACGGTAACGTTTTGGTTTTGGACAACTGTATCCAAGTCACTGAACGTGATGAATTTTCTTACCAAGAAATGATCACTCACTTGGCTTTGAACTCCCACCCAAACCCAAAGAAAGCTCTTGTCATTGGTGGTGGTGATGGTGGTGTTTTGAGAGAAATCTTGAAACATGAATCAATTGAAGAAGCTTGGCTTTGTGACATTGATGAAACTGTCATTGAAGTTTCAAAGAAATACTTGCCAGAAATGGCCAAATCTTACGCTGATCCAAGAACCAAGGTTCACATTGGTGACGGTTTCAAATTCTTGGAAGAATACAAGAACCAATTCGATGTCATTATCACTGATTCTTCAGATCCAGAAGGTCCAGCTGAATCTCTTTTCCAAAAACCATACTTCCAATTGTTGAAGGATGCTTTAACCGAAAAGGGTGTTATCACCACTCAAGCTGAAAATATGTGGATCCATATGGACATCATTTCCAAATTAAAGAAAGATTGTAGAGAAATCTTCCCAGTTGCTGAATACGCTTACACCATGATCCCAACTTACCCATCTGGTTCTATTGGTTTCATGGTTTGTTCCAAGGATCCAAATGCTGTTGTTTCAAAACCAATCAGATTTGACTGGAGTGACGAATTCGTTGCTAAAAACTTGAGATACTACAACAAAAGAATCCACGAAGCCGCTTTTGTCTTGCCAACTTGGGCTGACCAAATCTTGAACAAAAAAGATTGACATCATTAATCGTTATTATTAAGAAATATATTCTTATTTTATGATATTTAATAATGATTGATGACTACTATTCTTTTTTCTTCTTCGGCGGGACTCGTTTTATTTAGTATTTTTTTTTTTTTTTTGCAACCTTGCAATCTGTGTGTTTATAGCCGTTTTTTTTTATATTCTTATTTAAAGAATACTAAATAGACATCTTGCATTGCATTAATTTTTGTAGCATATGAAATTTTTCAGCCGCTTTTAACAGAAAGAATGAAATTGTTCCGTCGGAAGAATCACAGATTAGCATTCAAGTACGATCGGAAAAAAAAAAAAAAAGAAAAAGAAATTCTCACTAAGGAGATGAGGGTTCCATAGATTTCACTAATTTTTTTTTTTCTTGGAACCTTTGATTTGAAATTTAATAATAACTTTTTTGCATACACTTACTTTCTTTTTTCTTTTTGGCAACATCTATTAAGAATCAGTGAACCATGGCCCAATTTGAATGTACTGAACATATGGAAAATTTCCTTAGAGAATTACCAAAGTGTGAACATCATGTTCATTTAGAAGGTACTTTGGAACCATCTTTATTATTTAAACTCGCTCAAAGAAACAACATCACTTTACCAGAATCATTTCCTAAAACTGTCGAAGAATGTAACGATAGATACAATAGATTCGCCGATTTACAAGATTTCTTGGATCATTATTATATTGGTATGAGTGTTTTGATTACTGAAGACGATTTTTACGATTTGGCTATGGATTATTTCACCAAAGCTCATGCGGATGGATGTCATCATTCAGAAGTTTTCTTTGATCCACAAGGTCATGTCGAGAGAGACATTGATATTGATGTTGTCGTTCAAGGTTTCCATCGTGCTTGTAAAGATTCAAATACTAAATTTGGAACCACCAACAAGTTGATCATGTGTCTTTTAAGACATTTGCCAGCTGAACATGGTTTACAAACCATCCATTCTGCATCTCAATATTACAAAGATGGTATAATTCATGGCTCAGGATTAGATTCTAGTGAAAAACCATTTCCACCAGAATTATTTACTGAATGTTACTCTCACATCAAAGAAAGCTACCCAGATATTGGTTTGACTGCTCACGCTGGTGAAGAAGGTGATCATACATTTGTCTCCAACTCATTGGATTTGTTGAAAGTTTCAAGAATTGACCATGGTGTTAATTCACATCAAAGTGAAGAATTAATGAAGAGATTAGCTGAACAACAAATTTTACTTTCTTTGTGTCCATTGTCTAATGTTAAATTGCAAGTTGTCAAAGATGTTAAAGAATTACCAATCGATAAATTCTTAGAAATGAATGTTCCATTTTCTATTAATTCTGACGATCCAGCTTATTTTGGTGGCTATATTTTAGACAATTACAAAGTGGTCCATACTAGATTTGGATTTTCTATGGAGCAATGGAAGATCATCGCTATTAATGGAATTAAAGGATCATGGTGTGATGACAATAGAAAGCAAGAATTATATGAGTTGGTAGAAGTTGTCTATAAGAAATACAAAATCGAAGCTTAAAATTATACATTAGAAATAGACAAGAGTGTGGCGAGAGAGAGTGTGTGTGGCGAGGGAGAGAGAGAGTGTGTGTGTAAAACAGTAGATTAGAGGTTATAGATTTACCTAATAGATTTTTATTCTTGATACTATGATTATACTGTTGATTAGCACTTAAAGATCCTGGCGGAGTAAAGTGCTATTTAATTTGTACTACTTTTATTACATTGGGATTTTTGTATCTAAATTATTCATTTGTTATGTACGAGGCTGAGTATCACCTGGGGCATAAGATTTGCTTGCGACATTTTTATTTCGGGGAAAAGCTGTTTTCATTCCTTTCAATAAATATTGCAGCAAATGAATATTCCGGTTATGAAAGGTTATTCCTTGCATTATGAACAGGGCTGAGATGGGTGTATACTGCGGACAATGATTTTCGATCTTTGGCATATTATAGTTGATGTCCAAAAAAAAAAAAAAATAATCAAAAGATTTGAAGTACAATATGTAAAGTGCCATATGGTACAAAAAGTGAAGAGAATAGTAACAACTGTTGGGTACAGCTCCAACTTGATGTATGAACTAACTGGTATTCCCAATTTGTACATCGAGGCTGAGCTTTGATGTATTATACATCCCCCAAAAACACAATACCACTATGGTATATAGACAACCATTTCCTTAAGTAAATCAGGTCATGAGACATTCTGACCAATAAAAAACTTACGAATCAGTGAAGACACAACTAAGGTATTAAATTTACGAAAACCAGCCATTCATACTGAATATATATATATATATAACCTAGCATACGATTACTTTGAAAAAGAAAGAAAACAAAGACAGGAGAGTCGGAGATTATCAACTTTTTCTAATGAAAAATGACCCAAGAAGGAACTAAAACAAGTGACCAAGCCAACTTTGAGGGTTACTTAAGCCACTGCAATCAAAGTTTTGAAAACAAGTTCATAGATATACTAAAGAATGCTGATTTCAATTCACATCCATCCCCATTGCTTAGAAATAATCTCAGTGAACCAAAAGTCATTGAGGTTATAGCATATTTAAAGTTACTCAAGGCTTTTAAAGTGTTAAAAAATAGAGTTTTGGCTGGATCAAGAGATGAAAATGGGTATAATGAGGCTACAAGTCTTAAAACATGGCAAGTGTACTTGACAAATTCAGTAAGGAGATTCATTATATTTATTAATTCATTGTACTCTAAGATTAAAGAAGAACCTAATGTGAATCTTAGATACACGAAATTCTATTCACTTATGGATGCTTTGATTCCTCCATTGGATGTGATCCTAATTTGGAACAGCGTGATATTAAATAATAGTTTCTTCAATGATGTGATGAAAAGAAACAATTTCACTGAATTCTTATCTTATCCATTTCCATGGAGTACTATCAATGAGTCCATCCATAATTATTCATTTGAATTCTTACCAAATTCGACTTTGAAACAAAACTATACCAAGTTAATTAATGGAGGAAGATATGAATTAGATAGTTTCCATTTAGATTTTGTGTCCTTTGACCAAGTGGTCAACATTTATTGTCCAAATTGTTGCTGCTTATTAGTGGAAAACGTTGAATTATCAAACAATATGAATACTGGATTTGCAGATAATGGTTTCGAGACTAATATCAACCCTTCTAATTCTGAATGTATATGCAGTGATTTGACAGAAATAAATCATAATGACTTGAGAAAATTACAACTAATCAAGGATTGTTTTGATTCTAAACCATTGATGGGATTTTTAGAATTTGATTTAGATGATAGCTTGAATATGAATGCCTTGAAAGAGGCATTAAAAACTTATACATTAAACAACCCCGCATATACAATGATTAATGTTTATCGCAATGCATTTGAGAATATTCAAAACCCAATTTCTCAAACAATATTTGCAAAAAATTATGTATTTCTGAATTTAATTCACTGCACTATTCCTAAATCAGAATTACAAATTCCAGAAGACTTGGTTGCAAGTACTATTAGACAGGAACAATTTATGAACGATATGCTGAAGATTAGTTTACTACATGATGCGAACATTGTCGAGATTATCAAGGATGCTAGAGTAAGATATACTAATTTTATTTCTTTGGAAAACCAATTTAGAGATATTTTATTGTATCCAACATTGGAAATTGATTTGATATTAAAAACATCACAGTTATCAAGACCAGATGCAATGAAGAGTTTCTATCAAAAGACAAACCTTGTTTTCATTCAAGAAGATGATTTAGAAGTTAGCTTTATGGAAATGCTAACTAAGTACTCTAAGAATTATGAAGATTATGAAACTACATGTGGATGTCGACAATGCCAGTCAAGAAAAAAGGGACACAGAAAGTCTGTCTACAACATTTGGAAGAACAAATTCGGTAGCTCTAGAAGAAGGAGTAGTGGTGATGGGTCTATAACCTTAACCCATCCTAGTTTGAATTATTGTTGGTTTTCAAGTAATAACAGTCCAATAGAATACAACGATATGTTCATCAAGAAGCAAATGATGTATCTGGGTGTGTATGTCAACTCTCCATTTATATCTCCCGTAAATATAATAAATGCATAGCTTGATTGATCGATCGTTCATCACATTTTACGCAACAAACGTTTGCAGCTAGTGTTGAGAAATAATAAAAGTGCGAAACTTATTTTTTTTCTTTTTTTCTGTATGTATTTGGATTTGCGGTTTAAACCAAAAAGAGTAACACTTTTTTTGAAAAAGATAAGTTAATTGTAACAATCAAAATTACCCCTGCCTTTGCTACTATTCTAATTAAGGTTTCAAATATGACTGGGTTGTATTTCTCACTAGACATTCAGTAATAGTGTTTTAGAAGCAAGTGTATCAACATGTTTATTATATCAACATTCTTTGCAACAAGAAACAAAAAAGATTGAAGACTAACACACATTGATAGTTATTCTAAGGTACCTCCACTGGAACATTGATGTGGTATTTTTTTTTTTTTTTCATTCTCCCGTGATAATTCTTTATGTTTCAATTCATAAAGAGTGGGAAAGTAGGGGTAACTTTTAAAGATCTAAATTACCCCAACTTTGTAAAATATTGGAATGAATTTACTCTATTTGGATCCCATCCCATGAATTGCAACATGCAAATACACTTAAAACGCAAAGAATAATAATAATGGACCTTGGTATTAAAAGCAAGTTCTAAACTATAGAATCTCTTTGAATTAATATATATAGCCCCTTTAGAAAACCATAGTTCTGTTCTTTGAAAACAAAAATATTTACTACACAATTTAATACCAAATATTATCGAAAATATAGAAGAAGAAAAATGACAAACCACGAATATACTGCCACTGAAGGACTTATGGCACTAATTAGAAATATTCATAATGGTGCTGCAGAAGGCACAGGAGTTCAGAGATTAATTTCGTTTGCCAAAAATTTGATAGGCCCCAAATTACCTGAGACAATTATTACATATAATATTAATCGACAGAATAATTTATTTGGTGGATATCCAGATCATAGAGATTATGCACCATCTATTGTATTTGCTGTTTTATTTGGAGTGTTTATTATTTTTCATACAATAATCCTTATTATCAACACTTCTCGAGGTCATTATTTTTACCTTTCTTTTGTTTGGATTTTTTATTGTATAATGAAGGTAATTGGATTTGCAACAAGAGCAGTATGGAGTCTAGATATTACCAGATTACAGTTGGGTTTAACCTCAGAAGTTTTCTTAATTGTTTCCACCTTTGTTATTGTTTCAGCAAATTTAATTTTGGCTCAAAGATTGTTTACTTGGAGACATCCTGTTGGAGGTTCTAGGAAATTGTTTTGGTTTACCATGATGGCATTATATTCTATCGTCTGTGTTATCATTGCAATCACAATTTTAGCTTCTTTTGTTCCTTACTTATATTTCCTTAGTGAAAAATCATACCGTTCATGGATTCATACTGTTCAATTTACTGCAGTTTTAATTATTGCATATTGTTTTACATCGGTAGCCTTGATTGGTTTGAGTTTTTGGCTACCAACAAAGAAAGATGAAAACAGGTACACATACCAGCCATGGTGGATTGAAAGCTTTGCTCCGTTTTATTTCGTCAAGAAAGGTGCAGCACAAAAGGCAGAAGAAACATTTATGAAACGAAATTCCAATCATCGACATGCCACAAGAGTTATTGCAGCAACTCATCATCATTTCAAAATGGTTAAGGGTCTTTCAAATGTAAGAGGTGATTTAAAGCATAACGTTTCTATGGGTATATTGATTATTACTACAATTTTAATTCTTTTTTGTTCAATTGTTAGAACCATTGTTGTTTTTCAAGCTAGAGAACATGGAGATTCCAGTGTTGCAGAAAGTCCATGGTTTGGATATGTTTGCTGGGGGATATTTGAAAGTTTTATCAGTATTATTTACATTATTGGTAGAGTTGATCTTAGATTTTATCGTCCGGATATTTTGCCTGCCAAGGTCAGAGCCATCATTACTGCTCAACAATCATATTATCCATCCGACTTTGAAGATGAAGAAAATAAACCATATAAATTTGAAACATATCCACAACAACAGCAACAACCTATTGAATTTGTCGAAACACATCCAAAGAAACATCCTTATGGTTTACGAGTGGTCAATTTCGAGGAACAAAACGAGAAAGAACTGCTGGGTGATAGTTTTGAAGATATTGATTCAAAAGAATGGGATTTTGTGGATCCAAAGGTGGATTCAAATAGTAATAGTCCGATTCATTGGGATCAAGAAAAGAGTACTGTGAAACTGAATGAAATGATGACACACAGTAGTAGCCGAAATGTTAAACAATATGTAGAAGATCCCGATGAATACGAATTTAAATTTTGATTTGTCTTATTTAGATTACTTATAAACATATTGATTGTGTATATTTCTTATCATTATTTCTTGTCTAATTGCAAATATCAAGCACTTTTTATTGTCGTGTGTAGCACAAATCTCTAGTCAGATCTCCTTATTTCCCTTTTAGGTAATTGCGTATATCATCAATATTAATTACCAAAAACGGAAGTGAAGTGGAACAGGAACTGAAGAAAAAAAAAATAGAAAAACACAAATACAATAAATCACCTCCACTTGAGATGATGATATTGTTTGGAAAGTTTAATCTATTACACAGGTACATCATTATTCTCCACTTTCCCTCCATTGCGAGTACAACTTGACAGGAACATGGTTTAACATGACTATCTTTAAATGAGTAACTTTCAGTGTGTCTATCAATGTATATACATGTATATAGATGCTTTAACCTTTAAATATTAACATGACCAACCATACCTGATATAGAGCGAGTTTCAATGTTGTTGAATGGTATCATGTTGATGGTACAGCTACTAAGACACAGTTCATTTTTTTTTGCATTTTAGCGGGTTGCAGATTTCGCACTTACACAAACGACAACAACAACATTAAAAAAAGTTTACCACTTTTATCCTGATTTAGGTTCATTACAAGTATAGCCAAGATGCAAGATAAATAAATTCTATTTTAAGTTAATAACTATCCTTTAATATTTCAACGATGGTTAAAAATAAAACATGAGTGGTAAACTATAAACAAAACTAGTAGGAGAAATAAATTTTCTTTCAAAACTTTTTCTTTTTATTTTTTTATATGTTTTTCCTTTTTTCTTCATTCTTATCGTCATCAAGAAGAACCACATTCATTCAATTTTTATTCTACCACCCATAATCCTCGAGAATTTGTAATGGTTGTTAGTGAATATACAGCTCTGCAAGGCTTGGTGGCACTTTTATATTCCATAAACGATGGTGCCTTTGTGGGTACCGGTATCAAATTGATGGTTGATCAAGCACACAACTTATTAGGTCCAAATCTTCCACCGGCAGTTGTTGATTACACAGTTGGAACATTAATCAATTTGTTTGGTGGTTATCCAAACAGTCAAGATATACCAGCATCTATCGTGTTTGCTGTCATATTTGGAGTTATCATGATTATACACACAGTCATTCTTGTTATAAATACTTCAAGAGGACATATTTTTTATCTATCATTTGTATGGATATTCTATTGTGCCATGAAAGTGATTGGATTTTCTTTAAGAGCAAAATGGGGTACTGATGTCACCTTAGTTGCAATTGGGTTGACTTCTGAAGTGTTTTTGATTGTTCCCGCTATTGTTATCGTGTCGGCCAATTTGATTTTAGCCCAACGTCTCTTCACCTGGAGACATCCAGTAGGGGGTTCCAGAAAGTTGTTCTGGTTCTTTATGATTGCATTATATGCATTTGTGGTCATTTTGGTTGCAGTTACAATTTTGGCATCTTTTGTTCCATATTTGAATTTCTTGAGTTATTGGTCTTATAGATCTTGGATTCACACCGTTCAGTTCACTTCAATTTTGGTTATTGTCTACAGTTTAACATCCGTGGCATTGATTGGTTTGAGTTTTTGGTTACCAACATCCAAGGATGAAAGCAGATACACTTATCAACCATGGTGGATTGAAAGTTTTGCTCCATTCTACTTTGTTGAAAAGGGAGCGGCCCAGAAGGCAGAAGCAAGTTTTATGAAAAGAAATTCTAATCATAGACATGCAACAAGAGTGATTGCTGCTACTCATCATCATTTCAAAATGGTTAAAGGTTTATCCAATAAAAGAGGTGATTTAAAACATAATGTGTCCATGGGGTTATTAATCATCACCACTGTTTTGATTTTTATTGGAGCTATTGGTAGAGCTATAGTTGTATTCCAAGCTAGAATGCATATATTTGCAAGTCCTGCAGAAAGTAAATGGTTCATGTATGTTTGTTGGGGTGTTTTTGAAGTTATTATTAATGTTCTTTATATTGTCGGAAGAGTTGACCTTAGATTCTATCGTCCAGATGTCTTGCCTGCTGCTGTTAGAGCTATTATTACTGCTGAACAAACCTATTACCCATCATCTGATGAAGAAGAGGATGGATTCCACAGAGATAGACCAGAAACATATGGTAAATTACGTGGAAGGGCAGAACATGGTACTCAAATGCAACATACTCATCCATATTACACCAATGGAAGTCAAGAACTGGCGTTTGACGAAGACGAAGATGATTATGATGACTTTGAGGATATCGATTCACAAGAATGGGATTTTACTGGAAACCAGAAACCAAAGTTATCACACTCATCCGAAGATCGATCGCCCGAAGAATATCAAAAACAACAACAACAACCCCCATACCCCGTACACGATGATAAAAAGCGTACGAGATTTGAGGATGATGATGATAATGAATCTGAATTCAATTTCTGATGTCGAATTCCTTTACAATGGATATAAATACCAACTACAAATAAAACAAAAGTTTGATTGAGCTTTTCCTTTACTTCTGTATTTTGCAAAACAATTATCGTTGATTATTTTCTTTATTTTTTATATTTAATTCTTTTTTGGCCATTTATTATTTGATATATATATATATATATATATAGTTCTTTTTCTACTTTATATTTATATTAATACAATTATACCATTTTACATTTGTCAGAAAGTTGGATCAATTTTTTGTATTTTTGCAGCACTGATCGCAGAGAAAACAAAAAATTCTAGGACGAGAAAATTTAAACCCACAGACACACAATCAGACAATCTCATCTCAGGACACAACAACCCAACCATGGTTTCAAATATATGGATAGCAGCTGCCGATAACCAAAGACAAATAGTAGAGCATTATATTTCTTCTGGAGAATTTACCCCTAATTCAAAGGATCCAAATGGATATACTCCTATACATGCTGCTGCATCATATGGTCACATTAACTTATTGCAATACTTGATTGACAATGGTGGAGACATAAATATTCAAGATAATGAAGGTGATACTCCTTTACACCATGTCGAAGATGTTAAATCTGCCAAATATCTAATTGAAAATTTACATGCTGATTATAAAGTGAAAAACAATGATGGATTAACAGCTCAACAATACATAGAAGAAGACGATGATTTTCCAGAAGTTGCTGAGTATTTGAAAACCTTAGCTCACGATAAACCTTCTGTCAATGAAGAAGATGTCAAGGCTAACGACTTTGTTGAATCATTGCCACAACCTGGTACTATCGATGGTCATGAAATTAGATACACATTAGAAAATGAAGCCACACAAGAAGGAGATGAACAATTATCACCAGAAGAATTAGAGGAAAGAAGAAAGAAGATTCAAGCCATTTTGGAAAGTGAAAATCCAGAAGAAGCTTTACGTGATTTGGTCAGAAATGCTGTTCACGAAGGATTGAGCCAGTACAAACAATCTGAAACCAACGAAGAAGAACCTTCTAATAAAAGAAGAAAGGAATAGAAGGTCTATTACGGTTATATAGATGTTTAGGAATAAAAGGTTTCATTTTTTTTTTCAACTTTTTTTGAATAGTACAGTTTTTGCTTACTGGTTTGAACATACGGATGACAATCACACCAAACAAGCAAACTGAAAAAAAAAAATCTACAACAACTTTGGAAAGTCAACGATCGTTCAGTTAGACAAAGAAAAAAATTTTCGACCTAAATTACATTTTTGTCACGACCACACCCAATATCATCATCAACAACCCCCCCTCTTGCTTACTGTTCAATAATGATTTATGAAACTTTGAATAGGTTACTTCCTCTTTTTGCTCAAGAAAGGTATGTAATTATATTGCAACAGATATAATTCATCAGTAGAGCTAATATACTAACACACACACTCTTGATTAGTACCAAGGATTATACTTTGGAACAATTGAATGCCATGACTGTTTGGCAACGTCTTCAAATTAGGGATTGGAGATTGGAAATTTTTACGATGGGTTTTATTGCCATCTTTGTCTTTTTGTTCAAAGCTGGTGATTTATACAACAAGTCCAAGGTTACTGGTTTCCTTTCTGGTATTTCCGAAGTCATGAATAAACAATTCTATCAATTCGGAGTTTCTCCAAACCAATTGTACATCAAGGACAGTTCTGAAAACTACAGTTCTTATGCCACTGGTAGAGTTAACATTGCCAGTGTCCAAATTAACTTTACTTTGGTTCCAAGATACAATGTTTTCCTTTGGATTTTGGAATCTGGTTTTTCATTCTTTTCTTCAAATGTTAAAGCACCAGAAGATACAGTCGACATTGTTATTACTCCACTGGGTCATTATGATAATTTCATTACTGCCATTGTTTCCAAATTGGGCATGAATGATGCTAGAAAATTCAATTACTTTTTGTCCTTGTGTAAGACTTCTGATTCTCCAAATTTACCAGAAAGTTTTGTTTACATGAGTGAAGCCAATGAATTCCAAGAAAAAACCACCACCAATGAATTGAAAAATAGTTTGAATTTACAAATTGCCAATGTTGTCAAGTTTATTGCTTTAACCGATCAACCAGTTGAAAAGCCAGAAAGTTTGAGAGAATTCATGCCAAACAGAAAAGTTATCATAAGCTTGAAGGCCACCACTTCCAAGAAAGATTTGAAACAAATCAGTGCTATTTTGGAAGCTGTTTTCAATTTGGTTGATAAATTGGTTGACACTGCTATTACCTTTAGACCAGAAGCTGTTAAGAGAGTTGTCAAGACCAGAGAAGCTGAAATTGAAAAATTAAAGAAAATTCAAGAAGAAGCTAGAAAGGAAGAATTAGCTGAAGAACAAGCTAAATTAAAGAGAGAAGAACGTGACAGATTAAGAAACATGTCTAGAGAAGAACAACTCAAAGCTGAAAAGAAAGCCGCTGAAAGAAGACAAAAGAAGATGCAAAAGAAACAAAGAATTAAGATGTAAGAGAAGTTTGTCTAGATTCTTTTTCTCTTTGTACAAATTGACTTAAACAAGTGACACATAAGGGTCTCTTCACGTATATATTGTTCAACGTTAAACTTTGTTTACTCAAGACAAATAATAATAATAAAAAAAAAAACTGTATTAGTAATTTATTGTTTATTGCGTTTATACTATCGATAATTTATTGTTTATTACGTCTATATTTTACCTGTTAGTCTCCAACCTCTGCCTACCGGTGTATTGAATACTTCAACAACCCCAGCGCCTAACGCATCCGCTAATACCCAATTTAAATCATACCCATAGAATGGAGCTCTGAAATTATTCATCTTTGAATTACCTTGCGGATTAATCCCTTGCCATTTTGTAATTAATTGATCCTCTAATAGCTCCTTGAACTTAAGTTTGTTCAAAACTTTGACCAACCATGATCGTCCAGCATTTACTAACTTCAAGTACGTTCCACAACTTGGATAAGAAATTGCATACTCATTAGACTCTATTTCATTTAAATGATTCGATGATAAAGTCACAAAACCTAAATTCATCAAGTGACTGAGTTCTTCTTTCGCAAGTCCACTGTTCATACTTGTGATTGATGTGGCGGAAGGTGATTCTTGCAAATAGTTCAAGAACTTGACTAAACTTGACAAACCGGTAACTTTTTTATTACGAAGACTTGTTGGTAATCTTTCATCCTCTAGTTCCTCCTCCAATTTGGTCTTTAATTCCATAATCAACTTAAAATATTCTTTAGATTTAACAATGAGATCAACATTCTCAAAGCCATATGTCACTTTACCCGATTCAAATCTGTTGAGTGACCTCAGAATAACGGGTGATGCATTGCTTATGACAAATCGTCTTAATTTTCCCTGTCTAATATTTAATTCCAAAGATTTGTCAACAAATGTATTATTCTGATTCAAGAAAATCGAATATAGCTGAGTAGTGGTGATCAAACCATTCGGTAGATTCCTTCTAAATCTCAATATTTCTATTTTCACCTGTTGTGAAATACCTTTGAGACTTAGAATCCTTTCTTCTGTGGAATCTCCTTTGGTTGGATATCGACTGTGCAATTTAGTATTCTCTGCCCATCTGTTCTCTAAAATAGTATCTATTGCAATCAATATATCTTCTTTGGATGATAGCTGATAGTCTAACTGAACATTATAATCTTTCACAACAAGCTTATCTTCAGATGTACTTTCTGGTTGTGGAGATGCCAGGTTTAACCGTTGCTGCTTTGTTACTTTATTGTCATAAATTCTCGTTGATGGCAAAACTATCTTCTTAACATCTCGCTGAAATTTCTTGAGTGGAGATTTATTAAGGGAATTTGATCGTTTTGAAATCTTGGATGTTTTCGCCGGGCTATATTGTAATGGCATATTAAATGACAAGATATCGATAAAGAAGAGTGGTGAAGAACTGTGAAAAAACGAAAAAAAAAAAAAAAAAATTACTGAAGATCAAACAAGACTGGTGATATCGATCTTGCATCACGAAATATAATACCACTTTTCTTTTTCTAACTGTTTATAAACTGTTAATGAAATGAGGACTATGTACATTGCTTAAATATTTAGACATTATTTGCTCTATTTACTTGGTGGCATCTTCAACTTCTAATGTTTGATCAAGTGAAGTCTTACCATCTGAACTGATAAGTTTGATTCTGTATCTACCAACTTCAGTTATATTTTCTAATATTTCCTCTGGAGTATCAATGTAGGAAATTTCAAATTCACCAACGTTGCTTGCCCCACTTAATCTTTTAATGGTATCAACGACTACTTCTTTGCCAAATGGTAATCTATCAGCATTTATGGTAATTAATTTTGGCAATTTATCAGCAATTTCATAGATTTTATCAATTTGAGTATCATCCATCTCTAATCCTGGAGCAGCAGCTGAGTCATTAACAGTATCAAAGTCCAAAGTGGAAACTTGCACCTTCAAATCTCCCTTGGTGACTTTACTGGAAGATCTCTTAGATTTACCCTTCATACTACTGAACAAATCAGATAATTCTTCCAAAGACATTGCACCCGCTTCAGTAGTTTCTTCAGGTTCTGTTTCAACTACCTTTTTAACTTCCTTAACTTTAGCTTTAACTGGTTTTGGTGCTTGAACAGGTTCAACAATTGGTATTCTTGGTGGTAAATTTGCATTAACATAAACAGCTTTATTATCAGTATATAAAAAGTTTTTCATAAACCCAGGTTTAACAAGTTTGAGTTGACCTTTAACACCAACATTTGGGATATCTTGTAATAGTTGGACTTGAACAAACTTGGATGCTGTTTTTCTAGGACGTAAGGATCCATATCTCACACTTGTCAAGACTGAAGACTTGAGTGGTCTATTTATAGAAGACTGGAACATAGTTATTAAGAATAGGTGTTGTTGTTTCTGTTGTTGCTGTTGATCAAACTCTCTCACTCCCCTTGAAACCAGAAAGTTGAAAAATTTTTCTTTATGTTTTTCTCTGGATCCTGTTTGGTGTGAGAGCTTCTGTTGATACAAAAAAAAAAAAAAATAATAAAAATAGCGAACTCTTTTTAAAGGGAGTGCGATGGAGCAAACCACCTAAAAGTAAACAACTTTTATATCACTAATGAACTTTCGAGAAGAGACAGCCACTTGCGTATTATGTCATGAAAATCAAGCAAAATATACATGTCCTGCTTGTGGAATCAAAACATGTTCTTTAGTTTGTTATAAAGATCATCAAGAGGAAAGAGAATGTACAGGAAAGGTCGATACCAATAGATATTTAAATCGAGAAGAATTAGCAGCGGATCCAATTCATTTAAACAGAGACTACAACTTTTTGACACAGGTTGATCGTCAAATTCAAGTTGGAAAAGAAGATATTACCAAGAGCGCAAAGCATGTGTTTAAAAGGTCCCAAATTCTCCCATCATAATACCATTAATAAACGACAGAGACGAATCGACGAGGATAATAAAGATAAAAGAATAACAGCAGTTGAAAAGGTATTTTTGAATAATCCCACAACAATTGTTAAAAGGGAGAATACTTTAGTTGTACAATTGCCTGCGGGAATGTCTCGATTCAGTTCCAATAAAACGGGTTACGATAAGAAACTAGGTTCTTTTGTATGGACTATAGAGTGGATAGTTTTAAATGATGAAGGGAAGCAAGTATCAAAATTTTTAAGTTATCGATTAAAGGAGGGGTTGGCCTTGGAAGAAGCTGTTCCGATGAATATTGTCAATAACAATTTCCCAACAGAAATGGAGAAGCATCAACTAAAGTTTTATTTACATAATGTCATATTTAAGGAAAAGCTAATTGAATTGGATAACAAAAGTACGATATCTTCTGCTTTGAAGGATATGATTGTGTTGGAATACCCGACCATATATATTGCTGCAAATGATGAACAGTTGAGAACAAAAATAGCTGATAAGGATTCAATTTATGGATTACAAGAAGACGAAGATACAAAGAACTCAAGTGATGACAGTGATTCAAGTGATGGTTCTGATGACAGTTCCAGTGATGAGTCCGATTCTGATTCTGATTCAGGATCAGATTCAGATTCTGCTCCAGAAGAGGAATCTCTGAAATTGCCCCCACTAAAGACAAGTATAGATGACGACAGACGGGTATTAAATAAACCTATTATAGAAGTTATAGAATCAACAAAGAACGAAAAACAGGAATAAATATATATGTATATTTCGAGTTGGCTGCAAGATCTTTTGATTTCTTCACTCATCGCACGACTGTAGTGCCACCACCAAAATAGTACAAGTGTAATCAAGAAAGAAAAAAAAAAAAATCTCTACAGAATATTTAAGACATTTACAACTAGTGAATCACTACACAATGAGTACAGTATTTAAGAGACAAACTGATGCTGAGAGAAATAGCAATGCGTCATTATATTTTGGAAACATTGATCCACAAGCGGATGAGATTTTGATGTATGAATTGTTTATTCAATTTGGACCTATAAAATCATTGAACATGCCAAAGGATAGAATTCTTAAGACCCATCAAGGATATGGATTTGTCGAGTTTAGAAACATTGATGATGCTAAATATACATTGGATATACTACGAGGAGTTCGATTATTTGGAAAAGCATTAAAATTGAAAAAGATAGATTCAAGATCCTCGACCACTTCAACATCCAACAATGCATTAAATCAAACAATTGGTACATTTGTATCATCTGATCTTATTAATCCAAATTATATCGATGTCGGAGCAAAACTATTCATAAATAATCTAAATCCATTAATAGATGAGAAATTCCTAGCAGATACTTTCAGTAAATTCGGTACCCTTATAAGAACTCCGGCAATCAGGCGAGATTCAGAAGGTCAATCAATGGGAAATGCATTTTTAACATATGATGATTTCGAGAGCAGTGATTTATGTATTCAAAAAATGAATAATGCTATTTTGATGAATAATAAAATATCGGTGACATATGCGTTCAAAGAACAAAGTGTCGATGGGAAAAGAGCAAGACATGGTGACGAAGTCGAAAGAAGATTGGCTCAAAGTGCAAAGAAGAACAACGTATTGGTTAGTAGAAAATCCAAGAACAATGGTAAAAAAGGAGGTAAACCACACAAAATCACGAAGAAATAAGGTCTCATTAAAAAAAGTGTGGAAGTGGCATTGATATAGAAAACTATGTATAACAGGGATATTGAACAAATGTGGCAGTCGTAAGTAGAATCACTCTTTTGTCTTTGAATGTACATGCATATCTAATCCACAGTTTTTTGTGTATATATGCGAGTTTTTTTTTAGTTATTTGCTTAGTAATTAAATTATTAGGCTCCAATGAATTGTCAGTATAAATTCCCCTCGGATCCTCATTCCAAGCCCCGGATTATTATTTCGTTCTTCTTTTTCTTCTATACTTCACAATTGAAAGATCATAACTCACATTGTTATATTTAATCATTAACTAATACAGTCAATTACGCTATGTCTACTTTACCAGAAACTCAAAAAGTTGTTCTCCACAAGGAAAACGGAGATTTTGATGTAATTGAGTATACAGACTATCCAACACCAAAGATTGAAGGATCTCACGATATTATTGTCAAGAATGCATACGCTGGTGTTAATTTCATTGAAGCTTACTTCAGAAAAGGTATCTATAAAGCTGGTTTACCATATGTTTTTGGAAGAGAAGCAAGTGGTGAAGTTGTTGCTGTTGGTGATGATGTCAAGAACTTGAAAGTTGGTGATAAGATCGCTTATTTATCACCAAATACTTTCGCTCAATATACTAAAATTACTGACGACAACTATAAGTATATTAAATTACCAGATAGTTCCACTGATGAAGATTTAAAGAAGTATGGGTCCATATTTTTACAAGGTTTAACTGCTTTGACATTTGTTAATGAGGCATACAAGGTTGAAAAGGGAGACTACGTCCTTGTTTGGGCAGCCGCTGGCGGTGTAGGTAAATTCTTGGTGCAATTGATTTCTCAAATTGGAGCTCATGTAATTGCTGTTGCTTCTACCAATGAGAAATTAGAAATCGCAAAGAGTTTGGGAGCTGAGTATTTAATAAACTCCAGCACTGATGATATTGTGGCCAAAGTTAAGGAAATCACCAACAATGAAGGTGTTGCCGCATCTTTTGACTCGGTTGGAAAAGACACTTTTGATATCTCATTGACTTCTATTAAAAGAAAAGGTACATTCATTAGTTACGGTAACTCCTCTGGTCCAGTTACTCCATTCCCATTATCTATTCTTTCTCCAAAAAACATTAAACTTGCTAGACCACAATTGAATGCATACATTGGTAATGCTGAAGAATGGAATCATTACTCAAAAGAATTATTGAAGTTGGTTGAAGACGGCAAAATAAAATTCGAAATCTTCAAGACATACGACTTGAAAGATTACGTACAAGCTGCTAAGGATTTAGAAGGAAGAAAAACTACAGGAAAATTGACTTTAAAAATTCCACAATAAGTAACACGTACGAATATATATATATATATGTATATATATTAACTAGTTATCCAATTATAACTTAGGTCTTGCCTTTTCATAATTTTTCAAATCTTCTGGAGTGGCTACACCGTATACCAAGTCACCGTCACCACTTGTAATAATGGCAAAATAGTTTCCTGCATTAAAAAATTTGGACAACTCTTCTAATGGTGTGTCAGGAGTCAAAAGTTTATATCTTCTGCCTCTTGGTTTTAAAATTTGTGATGTAGTTGAGGTTTTGGTACCACTAGCGAGTTGCTTAATTTCATTTTCATAATTCTTTCTTGCAGTCAGATTAAACCAATACATATAGTGTTTCACAATAGGTGAAAGGAAACTGTTTTTTATTTTATTTGCATTATTTCTAATATCTTCCACATTTATTACTCCCAATAATCTTTTGGTTTCTTCATGTATCACTGGCAAGTAAGTGAACTCATTTTCATAACCCACAGCAATAGCTTCATATAATGAGGTTGATGGATTAATAGAAATAGCTTGCGGAATGTTTAAATCTTCGATAGTAGAGCCTCTATAGTCTCTACTTGAAAATAATATTGAATTGGTGGCCATTATTGTTGATGAATTTATTGATTGTGTAATGAAGAATGGGGTGCAGTATGGGATTGATTGATCAACTTTTCTTTTTTTTTTTTTTTTTTCGTCTTAGATTTTGTCCACAATTATGATTCATCCATAGTCGTGTAGATTTGTTCGTAAATGATTACTCATACAAAAGCTAACTATGAACATTGTAACGTATTTAACTACACATCCACTAGTCAGATCATATAATTACAGATTATGAATTGTATTAAATAAAAATATTCTTTTCCTATGTAACTACACTATATACGAATGTGTCCCAGGATAAGAAGGCACTACCCTAAGCCGCTTCTGCTGTATGTGATTGACCTGATCTAGAATCAGCAGATGCAACAACCTCACGTTCTTGTCTAGCAACTTTCTTCCAAACTTCTTCATTCTTTCCATCGTCCAAGACACCTATTCTCATTGTAGCCAATAAATTAACAGCAGCTGTCAGATGTCCATAGACACCACCGTAAAATGCCCTAGTTGCATCCTGGCCATTTGATGCTTTCAACAAAGGTACCCCACCTGGATGTTGGTCCATGAATGGAGTGACATCATGAATGATTTTTTGAATAATGATATAAATTCTGTCTTTATTCGAAGAAGATGCAATAATCTTGTTGAATTCTTTCGGGGTAATTAATGGCAATTTCGAGATAGGAGTTCCCCAGTTCAACTGACTTTTTAATCTATTGATAACCTTCTGTTGCTGTTGTAATTTCAACTGCGTCACCAAACTGTCCGGGGTACGACTCAATTCTTCAACAAAACCCAATTTTTCCATTGTCCACAAAAACCATTTTGTTGGGTCATAAGTGAACAAACTATTATCAACACGATAATCGTGAGGAAACTCATGGTGATAATTTTGATGGGCTTGACCATATGTTAAAATAGATAATAAAGGATTATTACAGTTTATCGATGAATTGGTGTCATTGAATGGCTGTGTAGGAATAGTAACTTGGATGCGTTTCAAATGACATATAGATTCAGTACTCAAAAGCGATTGTTGGCATAAAAACATACGCAATAACCCAGGATATAAAATCCCATGAATGAATGAATCATGGCAAATAAATTTAGTTATAAAACCAGGTATCAAAATACTAGTCAAGAAGAACCATATCAAGTATGTTCTTTGTTGCCATATCAAGAAATTCTTTAAATCTTCATTGTAATTGGGATCTGTAGTAGGATCAATTAGTTCCTTCAAATCAACTTCATCTTCTATTTCTGATCTGTTTTCAACAATTGCTTCATTCACTAATTCTTGGTTTTCAATCTGTCCAGAAAACTCCTGTTCAAACAATTCATTATAAAACCTCATGAGTTTAGGTCTCTTAAGCATCCATCCATAATGAGCATACAAAAACCCCCTCTTAATCAGGTATGGATCTTTTTCAGTGTCGTCGGTGAAATTGTGATGAGCTCTATGTAAGGTTGCCCACCATCTAATTGAACCTAGACCACAACTGCTACCGAGTATGGCAAAAAAGTATTTTAGAAATTCAGCTCTAATCTTGAATGAATTATGAGCAAAATATTTATGATAACCACTAGTGAATGCCAACATTGTGATGTTATAGTATATACAAGTAAAGTATAATGTCTTTTGGTTTTCAGGAACAATACTCTCTTTGTATCTGAGAAGATAAATTATTGCCAACAAAGGTAGCACTACCACAGTCAACATACTCCCATAGTTGACCCTTCTTAAGAAATCTTTCCTTTGTTTCTTCATTTCATTAATTTTGTTTCTTCTCATCTTGGTTGCATGTGTCATCAATTGGTGGTGCGGAAGCGATGAAGAAGGATTTGCCGTTGAGACGACTTTCCTCTTTTGGACCTTGACACCCTTAGATGATAGCGCATTTGACTGGTTATTCATACTTCGAAGGTCCCTAAAAGTAAAATTACTTTGCCAAAAAAAAAAAAAAAAAATGTTAACCTATGGGTAACCTTTATGAGGATAGTTATCTTGTAATATATAGACAGGTAATATTCGCAATGTGTTTTCTTTTCGATACTCACAACCCATTCATGTGCATGTGCGTGTCTGCTACCAGAAAAAAAAAATTACAAGTGAACAAAAAACAATAAAGAAGTTCAAACAGCAAAAAAAAAAACAGGTGAAAAAGAATATAAACAAAGGAAGCACAACACAAGCAAACTTACAAATCTAATCAAATCCCAAAACATGCAATCACTTCAACCACAACAAGTTCCACAACAACCTCCACCTGTCAATAAACCAAGACCAAATGCAAATGCAGTGCCAGCAATTTCCTACCAACCTACCGATGTCACCATAACTCCTGAATTGTATGACAAAGTAACGAACTTGGAAGAATACAAGAAGCTAAAGGAAGCAGAAAAGAAATTAGATTTACTTATTGCCAGAAAATCATTAGATTTCCAAGCAATCCAACAAAGATCCATTCATCCAAATGAATATAAACCATCTACTGGTACTTTGAGAATTTTTATTTACAATACTTGTGAAAATCAACCGTGGCAGAAACAATTATTACAAGAACGTGGATTACCTTTACCAGATCCAACTGCTACTGAATCTTCATGGACATTACGTATTGAAGGAAGATTTATTAGTGATAATCCAGAAGAACAAGAACAAATAAATGAAAATTTTAAATTCAGTTCGTTCTTGTCTGCAATTTCAGTTGACTTGATTCCAAATTCAAACTATCCTAATTTGCAAGAATCACAATCTCATATTGTTGAATGGAGAGACGATGGCCCAGCAGCAAATAAACATCCAGCTAGTGTTAGTTTTGATGGATTGGATATTAAAAGAAATGGATTTGATAATATACATGCTAAGATTGCATTGTTAGTCAAGAGCTATTCAAATAAATTCAAACTTTCTGAAGAAATGTCTAGATTTGTGGGGAAACAGGAATGTACCCAACAGGAATTGATGTATATTATTTGGCAATATGTTTTATTCAAAGGGTTGTTGAAGAAAAGTAGCGCTTACACTGGTGTTCCAGCTGTTGATACATCTACTTTACCAAACCCAGCTAATGAAAAAGATGGTGTTGATGATGATTTAACTTTAGTTGAAGCCGATGATATATTATTTGACTTGTTTAAAGTTAAGTCGTTTAAATTTCTGGAACTTTACAAATTATGTCAACCGCATTTCATACCTCGTGAACCAATCACTCTTGAATATGAAGTCAATACTACAAAATCAACTACTTTGGGAGATGTTGTTTTAGATATTCCTGTTGAAATGCCAATCAATCTTTCTAAAGCTCAAAAAGAATTATTGGAAGTAAATAAAGTTGCATTTGAAAACTTGGCCAAGGCCGACTCTACTATTCAACAGTTGAATCAAAGAATCTCATTAGCCATAATAGCTTTACATAATGCAAATCTGAGAGAAAAATTCTACAGTGAATTAAGTGAAGATCCAATTAAATTTATAGATAACTGGCTCGAAAGTCAAGCTTCTACTTTGAAAGCATTGAAAAGTGATGAAGGTTATGATGAAGAGGTTGTTAGAAGAGCCAAATACTTTGAAGACAATGAACATCTTCTTAAAGAAAAGATCGATCTTATGATGAGTTCAAGCAGATTCTAATGATTCTGGTATCTAGAAGAAATAGATTCTTTGTGGTTTGTTTATATTTGTAATAATACTATACATTAAAGAAATAATAATAATTATAAAAAATATGAATGTATTTTTTTTTTTTGTATATATATTCTTTTCGTTTTTCCTAATCATACAATCTGTTACTGTTACATATGGATTAATCTCGTGTTTATATCTTAATCGAGATATTCTTCATCATCGTCATCATCTTCAACACCATCCATCTCAACGTAATTATCGTCCTCATTCCCATTTTCATCGACAAAGTCATCAACATCCACAACGTCATTGTATCTGGCAGCGGCACGTCGATCACTATAGTCAATTGGCCTTTTCCTTGTAGATCTTCTGGTTTCAATCAAGCTTTCTTGTTTCTCAATCAAAGGAAGAATTCTTGATAAATACTCATACAATTGAAGAACAGGTTTGTAGATTATAGATGCCATTGGGATTAATGAGGTAGATCCTTCAGTTATACCCAATCTTCCGGCAAGAAATTCTGTAAATTCCCGTAATTCTTGCCCATTGGATGCCACTTCATACCATTGCTCTTGCTCATCTGTAGTTTTATATGTAGGTTTGACTTCATTTCCATTCACATCAAATTCAACTCCTACAACACTTAATGATTCAACTAACATTTGGTGAACATCTTGAATGTACAATTTAAAGTTTGATGGTAAAGGACCATTCAAACCAGCAGGACCATTCCATACAGTATTCATTTTCTTGATGGACGATAATCCACCGTTGTATTCATCAGCCATTCGACACAAGTAGAATCTTCCAATTCCAAAACCAATATCACCGGCTATTTGTTCGTTCAATCGTATGTTTAAAGTATGTGCTTTTGGATCAGAAGTAGGATCAATATATCTTACCTCTTCTTCGGATTTCCTTTTAGCCAATTTTGCTTCAGCAGCAGTTTTTGTATCTTGAGCATTCTTGAAACCATAAAGAATAGATCTTGCAGCATAATATGTTTCCTTATCACCAGGCATGTCTTGTTTTTGAACATTCAAAGTCATTTCCTTCTTAATTATTTCAGAATTACTTAATGCCCAATGGACAAGGGTGCGTAACATTACCAACCTATCTATTGGATTCTCCAATCCAGCTAACCCGTTAGTTTCAAATTCAGCAGTATAAAATGGATTGAATGTTACTAACCATGTATGACTTTGAGGTACTTTGTCTATTAAAATATCAGGATGTGTTGGATCCACTGGCTCTTCAGCTTCGTCATCTATGTTCTGCTCGTCAGCTGCTTTCAAAGTCTTCCATTCCAATGGTAAACCTAAACTTATACTCTGAGGTTTTAGATCTTGAATAGCCTTTGTATGGGATGTCACTGGTTTCTTACGATTCAAAACCAATCCTAACAATTTCAAGAATAAACTGTGCATTTCAGGAGATATGAACAGTGGGTCATAATCATCGTCGTCTGCTCGGGGCTTGCGGAGGTTGTACTTGCTAGGGTTCTCATCATATGTATCATCTAACCTTGGTAAACTTAATCCATATTCAATAGTTCCCGGACCAATAGAATCAACTGGAATAACATGTTTAAATTTTATGAGAAAAGATAAAATAAAGACAATATCACTTGCATATGGAGCCTTAGCAACGGGATATCCAAGACCAATTTTTTCATGTATGGAATCAAAATATTGATCTACTAAACCATCATCATACAAGTCGTAATCTAACCCAACTAGAGGTCCAGGTAATTGACGCGTTATCTTTTGTTTGCCATTTAACACCGTTGTTCTACTAAATTTTTTCACAGGTTTTGATCTTTTGTTCGGTGGAGCAGGGGTTGGAGTCTGTACTCTTTTCATGGACACAGGAGGTGCTGGTGCTATCTTCACTGGTTTATTAGAAGTTGGTACTGTGTTTGATTCTGGTTTTTTGACACCTAATTTTAAAATCAATTTTGGGGATTTTGGGGGAGTGGACGTTGTAGAATTTTCAGCTGATCCTGTATTGGATTTCTGTGGTTTTGAAGCATCGTCATTATTGACACTCTTTCCATTCTTATCAGCCAACCCAATGCTAATTCCTTCGCCATTGATAGGTTTGAAATTTAATGTGGATTGAGCCTTCTTTCTAATTGAACTAGAAGTAATTCTACCTCTAGGACTTTTTCTTCCACCTTTACCACCTCTAGATCCAGGTCCTTCAACTGGTTGAGAATCTAACCTAAATTTTGACATAATGGCTTCATTATAATTTTTAGAAGATGATGATTCAGGCGGAGCTAAAGTATTTGTGAGATTTCTTCTTGGTCTTCCTAAACGTGGTGTTTTTGCATCTGGGTCATATGATACCAATGTCACATCACCGCCATTTGAAGATGTACTTGGAGTTGCTGTTCTGCTCGGTTTTGGTACCACATTTTCCTTTGCGTTTGGTTGAGTAGTTGTTTCAGACTCATATTGTTCAAATAATTCTTCACCATTGTTATGTGCATTAAGTAAAACATGTAAGGCAGCCTCTGCTGCAGTTGTAGTAGATGTTGATGCAGGCTCATTATCCTTTACATGGTCTTCATTGATAAATTCATAGCCTAGTTCTGATTCCTTAGTGAAGCTAACATCTTTATCATCGATTTCGTGTGGCGTACCATGTGTCATATCTTCAGATACTTGATTGTGTAGTACTGAGGTAGCGTTAGCTATGGCATCCATCACTTCCTGTTGCTTGGTGACTTCAGGGTCAATGTTTGGATCCATGATATTTGTTTCTAACTTAAAATTGATCAAATTTAATTATAAGTTATCCCTCTTAGAAAGACAAAATTGTTAATTAATTTTTTCAGGTCTGTTCATAACTTATGTAATATGATGAACAAAAAAAAAAAAAAAAAAAAAGAAAAAAAAAATTCTTCATAATGAAAGAGCTTAGTTTCGTGTCGTAACAAAACAAACTTGACACGTTCATGGACGCTATGATCGTTCAAGATACTGGGATTGAACAGTTGAATATCTTGCTCAAAATTCGGTATGGACTGATTTATATATCTTTATATAAACACGATTATCTCTACATTTGCAGCAATTTAAGTGGAAGATTCAGTGATTTCTTATAAGAATTATCATTATTTTCAAAGTTCTTCTAACCACCTGGATTGATCGATCACATTGAAATCTATTCATTGATTCTTTGCTGCCAGCTTTATCTTTTCCGATACAGCTCATCATGTCTTCAATATATCAATCAAGCAATAGGTAGTGCGTTTAACAAAAAAAAATCAACCTTTCAGACACGACACCACGCGAACGAAATGGTTCACGTAAGTTCCTCTTTTTTTTCTTTCAATTTTTTTTTTTTTTCTATCCAGAAACACGCGTCAGTTTATTTCAATCAACTATAACAGTTTTAATAACAAACAACACTTTTTGTTTTTACTTTTTATAAAAAAAATTAATCAATACAAAAGCATGTCAGATTTCGGGTTCGATGCATATAGTGGTGGTGGATTTGGAAATATTTCACAAGGTGGATTTTCAGCTGATCATCAAGGATCTTCACAATCTCAAAAATCCAATCAAGTAAGACAAAGTTTAACTCCTGTTACAATTAAACAAATTAATGATGCTTCACAACATGTACCAGATGCAGAATTTAAAGTTAATAATGTTGAATTAAATATGATATCGTTTGTTGGAGTAGTAAGAAAAGTTGATAATAATAATGCTACTATTGTTATTACAATTGAAGATGGAACTGGATCAATTGAAGTTCGTGTTTGGATATCTGAACAAATTACAACTGCAGAACAAGAAACTCAAAAATATGAAGCTTTACTTAATAGATATGTTTTTGTTGGTGGATCTTTAAAACAATTTAATAATCGTAAAAGTGTTCAAAATTCATCAATTTTCCCAATTACTGATAGTAATCAAATTTTATATCATCATCTAAGTGCAATTGAAAATCATTTGAAAGCTCAAGGTATTCAAAAACCAAGTAGTTCTGGTGGATCTTTATTTGTTGATGGTAATTCTAACACCAACTCAGGAGTTGCTGGTGCTCAAGGAAATCAAGGTGGTTCTCTTACTGATCGTGTTTTGGCTGTTTTGAAAGAAAATAGTACCACCATGCAAGAAGGTGTTCCTGTTGATTATATAAGTCAGAAATTAAACATTTCAAGAGAAGAAGCTCTTGAACATGTCAATAAATTGGTTGAAGGTGGTAAAGCATATGCTGGTTATGATGATAACACTTACATTTGTATTTAATGGTAATTAACAAAGAATATATATATATATACTTTTTTGTCTTCTTCTTTTTGTATAAATACCAATCTAAAAATGAAACGAAACTACAAATTCCTTAGTTATTTTTTTCAGAAGGTTCAGGAATTACTCTACCCATTGTAGAACTGAAAAATGCAGACCATAAATCATTATTAGTAACCATTTCCCCTTGACCAGCCTTACCAACCACAGAATCTTGACCTCCACCGCTGACTAAAGCTAAAGATTCTGCTTTGGTGAGATCAGTTTCATCCGGAATCTCATTGTCATTGTCATCGTCATCGACGTCGTCAGTGTTTTTTTTGTTACTCTTAAGATATTTCAATCTCTTGTCAGTTGATGTGATTATGATGCTTTCTTCAATTGTGTTCTCTATGGCAAACATCCAGACTGTAGTTTTCTTCTTTTGACCAATTCTATGAATACGTGAAATAGCCTGCAATTCCAAAGATATATTCACTAAAGGTTCACAAAGGAAAATATGAGTCGCATTAGTCAACGTTAATCCACTAGCCTGCGCTTTAGCATCCAATAAGAAACATGTAACACCATTATGCCTTTTGAAATAAGAAGCTTCGTCTTCTATAAGTTGTTTCCTTCTATGATCTGGGTTAACCGAGCTATTCATCCCCATATATGATATTCTATTATCTTTAAGAGCATTTCCAATAATAAAAAGCATATCCTGCCATTGACTGAAAATAATGATCTGAACATTGGGATCTTTGCTCTTTAAGAAACTTACTTGTTTGACAATCATATCCACTTTCGAACTAAAAGATCTCTTCAACGTAATAGTTTTTAGTTCTTCAATTACTGAATTATCTAACGACTTGTAAATTGAATGTAATTTAGAAGTATCGTGAATATCATGAACTTGCTTGACCTTCAAAACTGGTTCATATCTTGTATAACAGTAAACTGAGCCATGGCTTATATGTTCTTTGCATAACGGACAACTGCGAGATGATTTTAACCATTGATCCAAACATGTCTTGCAGTATTTATGTCCACATTCTGTTAAGGCTCCAAGGGTAATAGTACTCCGGCAAATAATACAATCAGATGAGGAATCATCCTCTTCGGCTACATTATCTTCAGCCCCATCACTATCTGAGTTGTGTTTATTTGGACCCTTGGTAATTGTCTGGTTAGATGCGTTTTCATTCATCAATTCTACCAAATATCTGAATCTACCCACATTACTATCTGTGGAAAGGAAGCCCGCCTGGTTCATTTTGCCAAACACCTGATTAATGGAGAAATAATCCAATTTTTCCCTGTTCAATGACTCAAACTCGGGTCTTTGCACAGTATCAGAAATAATTTGTAATTGCTTGTAGTACTCGATACGGGAGTTATAGATAGCATTACAATTAACACTCAACTCTTTCGAAAATAAGGCTAACGCTAATCTTTGATTTTCTTGGTATATACCAATCTTGTCACGCAATTTTTTCAATTCTTCTACTTGAATTGCATTCGCTGCCGAAGCAGACATATCTATCAATAATGAATTAATATCATCCATGAATGTAGAAAATTGCATTGTATGTGAAACCTCATGCTCCTGAACCAAAGAATTGATGTGGCTTGAAATCTTCCTACTGACAGCATCCAACACCTGGTTAGAGGGACCGTAGTTGTTGGAGTCACCACCTGAAATATTTTTCCATCGAGAGTGGATAAAAGCAACCAAAAGGTTAATATGTCTTAATATATTCTCCTGGTCATCTAATGTCTCTTCATATTCTGTTCCTAATGGTGACTCATCTTGCGAAATAAGGGGGGCCAGTAAACTACCTAATAATTCTTGCATAGACTTATTCATAACATCACCTTGATTATTTAAAAGTGTAAGGAATCGTTGTACTTTATTGACAAGAACAGAAACTTGTGGATGCATTACGTAATTACTCCAGTCACTATGATCCATTATAGGCAAAGCATTAAAGAATTTCTTGGATGTCTTTGGAAGCAAACTATCCCCATAATCAGTAATGGGTTTATCAAAATAGAGTCCCCGTGACTTAATTCTTGTTTCAACATTCTTTGTCACTGCCTTAATTGATGCTTCCAAAAGCCTACCACGAATCTTTTCTGCCTTGTCATAGTAAATTGATTCCAATTCCTTTGGATCTGAAGTTTCGTATCCGGTTTCTTCATCAACTTCAAATAAAAATTTTTCAACCGGTATGCCACTCACAATAGCGGCTAATTCTGCAGCTTGTTTTCTATCACGGTATTGAAGATACGTTTCACTAAACTTTGGAATGGTAACATCAATTTTATACTTTTCCATCGTCTCGAGATAACCTTCATCCACCAATTGGAAATTACAAGAGGCCTTCAAAAAATACAACTTGTGTAATTGAACTAATGATGTTCTTATTCTTCCTCTAATCCTTGAAATACTGGCCAATAACTCGTCTTCTTCATCCACGTCAAATTCATCGTTTGGATTCCCTTTCGCATATCGTGATTTTGCAGGGGGGTACCAGTGTTGGAATCTATCAAATTCATCATCACTATCGCTGTCGAAAAGAAAAGAATCATCATCATCACTGCTGTAGTTTACTTTATCATTCCCCCTCGCCAGTATCTGCTTCTCCGTATCCAATCCACTTTTCTTGCCCTCCTCTAATTTTTTGGACAACATGATCTCATCTCTATTAAGAAGCCATTCAGTTTCAATGATTGCCGATTTCAAGTACATCAATGCTTTCTCGGGATAATAGATGAATTCAAGTAGTTCGATAAATCTAATGGCTTCATCCACTCTACGTTTACCAGAAGCCACAATCTCTGAATAACACTTCTCCAACATACCACGAAGTAAGGAATCTAGGGTTTTTAATGGACTTGACGATCCAGTTCCAGACTGTCGCAATCGCAGGTAAAAATTAGAAAACTTCTTTTTCTCAATATTCAACCTCCCGATTTGTGGCAGGCTGCAAAGTTTTCTTAACTGTGTTAACCAATATCTCATTTGTTCAACGACATCGGCAATATCCCAATCATTGACTAATGGATTTCCATCTTCGTCAAGTTTGATTTCATTTAAACATTGTTCAAATTTCCTTGAATAAAGATCTTGTTCCACTGCAGTAAATGGCATCGTCATTAAAATTCTACTTTGCTCAGGAAGCTGGATATCATCGTGAACCATACTCTTTGTATGTCTTATAGCCAATTGGCTCCATAATTTGCTGAATTCTTCTTTATTATGACTCAATTTCTCCCAACAATATTCACCCAACATACCATTAAATGGAAAAAACCTTAAAAACTTCAATGTTGCCAACAAATCATCCATATTCTTTTTAATTGGTGTACCTGAAACACCCCAAGAATGAAATCTAGGAATAAGAGAAGCACTTTGAAATGCACGTGAGACTCTCAGTGAAACCATCTGTACTTCGTCAAGAACTACTCTCCAAAACTGAATCAACATCAAGGGACATTCATAGTCATCAGTTGATGAACCACACCATGATTCATTATGTTTGAATGCAAGCTCAATCTCAATTTGTAATGCTTTTTCATAATCTGTCTCCTTCTGAGATGACTGTGATTTTTGATTAGCCTTTGACGGCTTTAAGGTGCCCAATTGAAACAATGCCTGGTAGTTGTTTGCAATCTGATCGTCGGGATTAAAGTCTGATTTACTATGGTTCGAACTCGCATTATTTACATCATCGCTTGGTCCATAGTTTGATTGAGCCTTGTTCCTAGAAGCCCTGGTACGTTTGTGACTAGAAGAAAACTTAGCGTAATCCAATTCTCTCGCAATAGTATTATAAGTAGTTAAAACAACGTCAAATTTCCTCAAATATGCAGCAATCAAATAAGGCTTGTTCCTCATGGAAGGGTATTTTCCGACTCCTTCATAAATTGTAGTTGCCAAACTTGGAGCAAACGTATCAAGCTCCGATCTCCACTGTTGTAAAATCGGTGCCGGTGCAATGACAAGTGTGGTTCGTCCCATAACGATTTTCTTGATGTCTTTAAATTCATTAAGTACTAGATCCATTGGTTGATCAATTTCATAGTATGGACGTGGATTTAGTAATATCAACGATGCTACTTCAATAGTTTTTCCCAAACCCATCTCTTCACACAATAACCCTTGACCATTTAAATGCAATGGATTATTAACTTTGTCAGTATTGTGGAAATACTCCAACAAATATGCTCTCATTTGCTCAACAGTAGCAACAGTACAAGACAACTGATTCAAAAAGTAAGTCTTATTATTCCAGTCAATTACCTTCCAACCATACCACAAACGATTAATCAAACTTAATGCTTCATCATCGTTAAATTCCTCTGAGTCCATAAACAGTATATGGTCAACTCTATTTGTCTGAGGATTGTATTTCACGTTCTCTTTGGATAGTAGCCAATTGACAGTTTTCTTTTGAAATTTCAATAAATCAGTTTGTAATTCAGGAATATCGATTTCTTGATTCTTAAACGGTGGCATTCTTTCAGTACTATCAGCAATGCTTCTATAAAAAAACTCTGGGGTGATTGTGTCATTCTTCAAACTTCCACCATCAATTGCAGCCAACACTTTATCAGTAACATCACGCTTCCCAATAAAATTCATATCACATATATACCCAATAGAATACGTGATTTCACCACGAAGTACTCCATCCTTAATGGACATTGTTAATTTTCTATCACAAATAATACCATCTTGTTGTCTTTTAAGGATCAATTTACATTCTTCTTCTGGGATCTCATTATGTTTCATACTAAAAGAGAACAAAACGCGTATTCTCCTCCGTACAATTTTAGCATTGAAATTACCACTCCTGTCTCTATCTAATTTAAAATTATTGACTTCCATTTCAGGATGATCTGGGATATTGACTTCCAATTTGTGTTTAAACTTTAGGTGTCGTCTAAATAAAGGGATCAGATCGGGAATATTTTGAGCTACTTCAAGTTTTCTCCTTTTGGATGCTTGAATATCCAATCCCTCAATATCTTTAAAAGCAAGAATAATGTTCTCTGGAACTATATTCAACACTTGCAATTTGTTCTTCTTCAGTTGTTTGTCTTTCAGCATCGTCTAATCTATGAATCGAATACCAAACTGTAAAAGAAGGAAAATCAAAAAGAAGAAAAAAAAAAATAGAAAGAAACAATAAATGTAAGTGTTGGTTACTGAAATTGGTTGCCGTTGTTATAAATATCAAACACAAGAAAAGGAATAAAAAAAATTATTGTATTGTAAAACGTAAAATTCGTGCGCGCCAATGGACCCACGTACACGAAAAGTGCGGGTCTATTGTTGCATACATATTCATATTTTGTGTCTCTATCAGAGTTTTAAGATAGAATTGAGATTTCTCCCACGACGTAGAATAATTAACAACTACTGTATTTAATCTTCACGTAAGAAGGCATACTCTTTCTAGAATTGTATCAAACTGTTTTGAAAAATTTAATTCCTACAATACAATAAACAAACTCATGGGATATCAATATTTGTAATTTTCTATTAACGTTAAAAAAAAAATATAAAATGTATCAAATCTTCTCATCATAAATATCTGCGAAATCAATAAATAAAACAAAGAATAAATAACAAGTCCTACTTGCTTTTAATGTTATTTTTTTTTTTATATAGTTTTTTGTACCTTAAACTCATAAACATTGGAATTGATCAACCATATAGAAACTTGCAATAAATACAACATATAACGAAAACAAATCAATTGTATCAAGTAAACAACTTAAACCCAAAAGAAAAGAATTGAAGAAAAAAAAAATACGTCATGGAAAGTTAAAAGGAATTTGATGATCAACTTGTTTGAATAGGAATTTGCTTATTCTTTCTTCTTTCCAATATAGATGCACCTCCAAGATTCAAATCAAATGGATTTGCTGCGTTATTCTTCAAGTGATTTCTATGATGATGGGTTCTTGGAACGTTATTGTAGACTGGTTCTTGAACCACTCTTCCTTCGGAATTCACAATTTCTTCATTCTTTTCTTCCTCTTCTTCTTCCTCTATCAAATTCTCAATTGGAGCCAGTAACTTAGTTTGTAAGGCAGCTTCTTCTCCCATTCTGTGTACCGCGGTAGAAATATCAAATGCATCACGCAAAGCAACGGCAGCTGGTGAATACAAGTCAGAGTTTGAGGACATAAATCTTTTGGAGTATTTGGCATTGGCAGCTTGGATTGGATGACTGACCTTTTGGGATGAAGCTGGCATTCTTGTAGAAGCTTGACCACGTGATTGTGCACTGGCGGGACGTTGTTGCATCCAAGGATCTTGTAAAAACTCATCAATAGTGTATCTCTTCTTTGGATCCACAGTTAAAAGCCTACTAACACAGTTCTTGGCTCCATCACTAATTTCATCCCACCAAGGTTTTAAAAATGTAAATTCACCTTTAGCTACTTTTTCTGTCAAGGTTTCAATTCTTTCGTCATAAAATGGAGGAAATCCACACAATAATGTGTATAATACACAACCCAATGCCCACATATCAACTTCCTTAGAATAACGTTCATCTCTAACGATTTCCGGAGCTGTGTAACCAACAGTACCACATGGAGTCTTAGTATTGTGTTCCCAGATTTGTTTAGATAAACCAAAATCAGCTAATTTTACAACACCAATACCACCACCACCAACTTGATCAATAAAAACACCTTCATCTACTTTCGTGTTTGGATCATCTGATTTTCTCAATTTGGAAATAGGATTGCTATTTGGTTTAAAATCAATTGGAACATACAACAAGTTTTCTGGTTTGATATCACGATGGACAATACCAACTTCTTCATGTAAGTATCTAATTGCTTGGGCAACTTGAGTAATTACCCAACGGGACAAGTCTTCCGAAAGATAAGTGTATTTGACAATCATGGTGAATATTTCTCCACCAGGAGCTAATTCTTGTACGATATAGTAATAAGTAGGGGAATCAATAAACTCGATAAATCTAACAATATTTGGATGGTTCAATTGTCTCATTATTGTAACTTCTTTCAAAACTGCTTGTTTCTGAGCTTGGTCCATTTGGAACTTACGCAAAATCTTAATGGCGACTTCTTTACCACTACTCAAATGTCTTGCTTTGTATACAACAGAAAATGCCCCTTCACCCATTTGTTCCAAAATTTCATAGTTGTCCAAATTAGGATATTTAACTGATTTCTGCTTTTGCTTATTTTCTTCCTCCACAAGTTGGGATGCTAGCATGTTATAGTCGGTATTTGGATCGTTGAGGGTGGTATCGGATTGGCCATATGCATTATAGATATTTTGTTGTTCCTGAGGAGGTTGATGTTGATAGTTTTGGTTGAAATGAGTATCTTGGTGGTACGGATCCGCTGGTTGCGGATTCTGTGGGTTATGTACGGGTGGATACAGGAATACTTGGTTGTTTTTGTTATCACATTCAACTTGAAAGGGGTTTTCTGGAAGACTTCTTGATTGTTGAGGGGCTTGTTGATAATTGTTTTGTTGAATTTGACGTGGTTGTTGATTCTGATTCTTTTTGAAATCATTGGCTTGTTTGCCATGTCTAATGAATGCTTTAAGATTTTCAAACATGGTTTCCTCTAAGTTGATAATAGTAATTACAAGTAGATTGACGAGTTAATTGTCCTTTAATCTGTTTGAACAAAAAGAAGATGAAGATGAAAAAAAAAAGTAGAATAAAGATAATGAAATAAAAAAGGAGAAAAAGAAAATTGGTGGATATCAGAAAAGAAAAGAAAAAATTGGAAAATGAAGAGCAAAGTTAAAGGGAAAAAAAAAAAAAAAAAAAAAAAAGAACCTTAAAAGAGAATTCCTTATATTAGGAATTTATTTGTGCGCTCTTGTTCTTTTTGTTCTTCATCTGCTGTTGAGGGGAATCCAAAACTATAAAATCACAAAGTTAATCATAGAATCTTAAACATGGCAAGCTACAGGCAACAAGCAACAAGCAACTAACAACGCCAAACAGATTTAAAATAAATCCTAAAAACAGCAAACGTAAGAAATATACATTTCCAAAATTGAGATAGTTACAAATAATATTACTATGAAGATTACGTATTTTTAAACAGATAATAAGAAATTAGAAAACTCGTCACTATTACGTATCTGTAGAATGTATGAACTTAATCATGTTTTTTTTTTTACTTAGTACTTTTAACTGCGCTATGGCTTTGACCGATATAATTTAACCCTTTTTTTTTGCTTCATTTGTGTGTAAGCGCTTCCAAATGACATTGTGTTCCTTTGCTACAACCTTTTTCCATAAATATAAGACCCCCACTGGCCCCTATCTTTTTGACAAGGGAGAAATTCTTCCGAGTTGTGTATTATAAAGTTTCATTAACAATTGATATGTCACTCATCCGTTTTTATTTTATTTTATTTTTCATTACTAACTAACCTTCTGAGCCCCCCCCCCGCCAGCTCGCATGTTCACGTTTCTTAGAACTCATTCATAACCAGTAACATCCTAGATGAGTAAACTGATAAATGTTCAAAAGATTATGATCATTAGTAACGAAGTACACAATTTTGGTGAAAGAAATTCTCACTGGATAATGCGGCACATTTTGTTCATACTAATATCCCTTAAAATTATCGATCCGTTTTGATTATTTTTTTTTCTTTCTTTCCTTTTTGCTCTTTGTTGAAGGTCTAATTAAGCCCCAGTTATATTACAAACAGTTTACTCATATGTTGCTCGGATTTCCTTTGGTTCAATCTGCCACTATTGTTTCATAATTTTTCTTTGCTCTAACGTTGTATGGTTCGGAACCTTAGGATCGTTGGACATTAACAAAGAGTACCACAAAACCAACCTCAGCGCGTTTAGAACTACGATTTTAGTTTCGCATTAGCAATGGTAGTGTATCTACATTACAGATCATATCGTATCGGGCACATTAATAATTAACTTCCCAGGCATTTAAACTAATTAAAAAAAAAAGCTCATGACACTGCCAGATGAATAATTCACTTCATCTAGTCTCGGAAGAATCAACTCCGGGGGTTTACAACGTCTACCTTGACATGTCCCCTCAAGAAAAGGTAAAAAAAAAGACGTTAAACACCATAAAAAAAAGATTATGTTGATGCGTTTTCATGCATTTAAGTTTTGTTTGCATTTTTTTGTCACTCCCACGAAGTTAAAGTCTGATTTCAATTGTTCCCTTTTTTTCACCAAATTAAACTCCGGATATATGCAACGGTGGTGGAGAGTGGAGGTGAAGGTCGGTAATTGAATCAATGGTTGCGTGAAAAAACAAATATAATATTCAAATATTTTCTTGCGTCCATAAATGATATCATTACACACATCTACACATTACTTTTGTTATACAACACTCTATTCATTTGCTGAATCTCCTATATGGAATCAATCCATGTTGAAAATAGTCCAAGGTTTAAATCCCACCACTAATTCGTCATCTAAACCACGGAGTATTAGTTGTCTTCTTTACAACGTATTCAAGTTTTGTTCCTCATCATATATAAAGGTACTTAACGCCTCATCTAGATACTTCATTCGTCTATCAACTTAGTTAGTGATGTCATAATCTATAATAGGATATAATTAAACTTGATGTTTTTTTTTTCTTGATTTTGTTCTTAGCTAGGGTAGGGGTAGTGTAATACTTGCAACAATTACGTAATGGTCGTGTAAATTAACCCACCCACGTGATTCACAGCAAACAAACGAAAAAAAAAAAAAGCTCAACAATTTCTCCAGTAAAGCTTTAAAAGTTTCGGCGAAACTCAAGGCAGGTAAAATTTCGTTGACTTGATTTTATTGCTTGCTTTTTTTTGATTGGTCTTTTATTACCACCGACAACAACAACAAGATATACAAATACAAATATGTCAACTTCATTACCACCAGCTATTGTTTTCTCCGATTGGGATGGAACCATCACTTTACAAGATTCTAATGATTACCTTACTGATAATATTGGTATGGGATTTGATAACCGTATGATTATTAATGATAAGATCTTGGATGGAACCGAAAATTTCAGAGACGGTTTTAGAGAAATGTTAGCATCTATTAAAAAACCATTCAATGAATGTATTGAAATTTTATTAGCCAATGTCAAATTGGATCCAGGATTCAAGAAATATTATGAATATTGTCAATCTAAAGGTATTCCAATCATTGTTATTTCATCAGGAATGAAACCAATTATTCATGCTTTATTGGAAAAATTGATTGGTGCTGAAGCCATTAAGAATATTGAAATCATAAGTAATGATGTTAGAGTTGATGGTGATAATTGGGAAATTATTTTCAAAGATCCAGAATCTGAATTTGGTCATGATAAAGCAAAATCCATCAAAGATTATTTGGTTAAACACGGATATGAAGGTGATGCTGATACTCCAAGACCAACTTTGTTCTACAATGGTGATGGTGTCAGTGATTTAAGTGCTGCTAAAGAAACAGATTTGTTATTTGCTAAACATGGAAAAGATTTAATCAAATATTGTATCCGTGAAAAAATTCCATACACTGAATTCAATGACTTTGAAGATATTTTAACTAAAATGAGTAATGTAATGGAAGGTAAAAAGAAGATCCAAGATTATGTTGAAAACCCAACTGCTTAGATAGTAATAGATATAGATATTAGATTGTGTTCTTGTGAATGTCACTACTACACTCTGTTTAGATAGTATCTCAAAAACAAAAATAGAATATAAATTCAATTGACAGATCAAATATTCGACCTCGGGATTGGGTTTACCGTTTATGTATAAATAATTTGTGTCACTCTAGAATTCACGTCTCGTGAGTCTGTTGCAAAATATGTGTATATTTTTTTTTTTGTTTGAGGGACTTTAATTTTAGTTCATTTCGTACGAAGTAGTGCTACATTACAAACAGAAAAAAAAAAGCGAAGCAACACATTATCCATGGGGAAAAGGGCTACCAAAGCATTGTAATTTGATTATCATCATTACTCATTTACCCCTTGATTTACAATCTCTGATAAGTGAGGGGGCTCAAGTATTGAGAAATTATGCTGAAAATCACCTGTTGCTTCATGGGATGTTTTACTTTCTCTCTATCAGATTAATCTCCCAACTATTAACGTGAGCAATATTATACACATCTGCATGAACCTCTGAACTAAAATCTAATAAAAATCACTCTCGTACCGCCGTGTATTAAAAGAAAAAAATATCATGGTGTAAATCAACCCTTTCATTAAATAGGAGTTGACCGATATCCCTGAGTTAGTTCTATGGAATCACACGATATCTGTCAAAGGCGTTGTTGTCGTTAATGCTTTAATTAATATTCCTTAATTTATTGTAAAAACTTACACTCAAACAACAAAAAAAGCCTCCCTGTCACTTCTTTTCTTCGTTAATTGTCAATTTATCATCAGTGTATAAATAGAACCCAATTATCATCAGTTTACTCTTAAGAGATTGTCATGAATTGTTTCAAACTATAACCCGATTATTATGAGTAACTCATCAATTACAAGCAAAGAAGAAATATCCAAATCCTTATCGAAAGAAGCAAAATGTCCAACAGCTTCAACACGGACGGTATCTTCAACATCTTTTTCTTCTTCAAATCATGATATTATTGATCCACCTTATGAATCTAAATTTGCTGAAATGCGACATAAATCAAAAGTTGTACTTAAACGATTTGGTTCATTTATTGGTCCTGGTTTGTTGGTTAGTGTTGCTTATATGGATCCAGGTAATTATGCTACATGTATCACTGCTGGTGCTTCAAATAAATACTCTTTATTATTCATTGTGTTTTTATCCAATTTAATTGCTATTTTCTTACAAACCTTGTGTATTAAATTAGGTTCTGTGACTGGATATGATTTAGCAAGATCATGTCGTGAATTCTTACCTAAATATTTGAATTGGGCATTATGGGTATTGGCAGAATGTGCTATTATTGCCACAGATGTCGCCGAAGTTATTGGTTCTGCAATTGCTTTGAATATTTTATTAAAGATTCCATTGCCAGAAGGTGTTGTTATTACTATTGTTGATGTTATTTTTGTTTTAATTGCATATCGTGCCGATACTTCAAGTTTAAAATTGGTCAAAATTTTTGAATATTCAATTGGTGTTTTAGTCATGATTGTTGTTGTATGTTTTGCAGTTGAATTGGGTGAAATTCATGCTAATGCTAGAGAAGTTTTCCGTGGATTTGTACCATCCAAAGAAATGTTTCATGGAAATGGTATGACTATTGCTACTTCAATTATTGGTTCAACAGTTATGATCCATTCCTTGTTTGTTGGTTCTGGTTTAGTGCAACCTAGAATTAGAGCCTATGATGTTAAACATGGTTATGTCAATTTGGATGAAGTACACGCAGAATATGAACAATCCGTACATGACGAAGTAACTTTAGCTGATTCAGTTTCTGATGATGAAAAGAAAAAGAAATCCTCCACTAAAGTATCAACATATGAAAAAGAAGCTGATTTCTTTGCTAATAAATACAAACCATCCTATCCAGCTATCAAATATAATATGAAATACTCCATTGCTGAATTGTTGCTTACATTGTTCACATTAGCTATATTTGTCAATGCTGCAATTTTGATTGTTGCCGGTGCTACTTTGTACGGTACTGAAGAAGCTATTGATGCTGATTTGTATACCATTCATGATTTATTACAAAAACTTGTCGCTCCTGCAGTTGGTACTGTTTTTATGATTGCATTATTGGCTAGTGGTCAAAGTGCAGGTATCGTTTGTACCATTGCTGGTCAATTCGTTAGTGAAGGTCATATTAATTGGAAATTAAAACCTTGGTTAAGAAGATTAGTTACTAGAGGTATTTCTATTATCCCATGTTTGTTCATATCTGTTTTCATTGGTAGAAATGGGTTAGGTGTTGCTTTAAATATCTCACAAATTATCATTTCTATTTTGTTACCCCCATTAACTGCACCATTGATCTATTTCACAGCTAGTAAGAAAATTATGAGAGTTGAATTGCAAGATGACGAAATTGTTGATGGAATGGAAATTGACGAGACCACTGGTAAGAAATACAAATATATGGTAAATCATTGGATTGTTACTCTTGTTGCACTTGTTATTTGGGTATTTGTTTCCATGTTGAATATCTATGCCATTTATGAAATGGCTAAAGATGGTGTTACTGGTTAATCAAATTTAATTAATAGTGTATATTTTCTTATATACCGATAAATTGTATTGTCAAAAAAAAAAACATGACAAATTTTTCTTTTCTATTATTGATTTTATACAATTTTTGCAACAAATTGGCTGGAAAATTTCTTTTGTAAGACGAAGAGAAGCCTTTGACAACCATTTTTTTTTTTCATCATCAGTTGTCGGAATTTAAATTCCATCCTTCAATCCATCGTGAAAGGCTTCTACCAGATCATTGATTCTAAAATTAAAATTCTTCACTGTTAAAAAAAAAGAGTACACGTATGTTAAATAGTATATTTTGTGTAGGGATCTTTAAACTCTGATTGGTGTATAGAGTGAAATACATTGCGTTTTTTTACGTCAGGTCCGTTCAAGGTTACGACAATGATAGTGCAAACAGAGTCAATATGTAGGTCTTTTCCGTGGGTAAGCATACAGTGATTACCCCTATTTAATTCATTGAAAATTACCAATTTACCACACACAAGTGGCGCAGTATTACTTTCTTCCCATATCTATCACGATCAGTTAGTTTAAAAACCATAATTGTTGCCTTTAAAGTGACATTCATCTAACACAACGATGGACAAAAGGATCAATGGAATGACACAGAGCAGAAAAAAGATAAAAATAAAACAACCCGGCAGGTTTCTCAGGTCAAAGTTTTTGTAATAATTCACACGACATCGAAAAAAACCGGGACACGAACAACATCGATTTTTCTTTTTGCTTGGCGCACAATGCTCTAAATTAAGTAAGAAAAAAAGAAAGAAAAAAATAATTTGACCAAAGAAAAGATTCTATAGTTACAAAGATGTATAAACTTTAACCACAGGAGTTTTCTATTTAACTCTTTCTTCATCTCCATCTTTTTTTTTTCTTTTCCCCCCTTTTCTCTTTCGTTTCGTCTTTTTGATATTCATTATTTTTTTTGGTTGCAAGATTACAATTCGTCAGATATTAAGCTATGGATACAGCATCAACGGGATCAGGAGAATCCAGACAAGTTCGTCCAAGACACGTCATTCAGACAATTACCAACTCCACAATTTCTCTGACAGAAACTGCATCAATTAGAAACACACACGAAGAATCTAAATTCAATTATGTTGTAAATAGATCAAAGAACATCCTTAAGAAATACGGATCTTTCATGGGTCCAGGGATGTTGATTAGTGTGGCCTATATGGATCCAGGTAATTATGCTACTGGTATTACTGCTGGGGCATCTAATAAATACTCTTTATTATTCATTGTGTTTTTATCTAACGTCATTGCTATTTTCTTACAAAGTTTATGTATCAAATTGGGTTCAGTTACAGGTTACGATTTAGCTAGATCCTGTCGTGAATTTTTACCTAAGCAATTAAATTGGGTATTGTGGGTTTTAGCAGAATGTGCTATTATTGCAACTGATGTTGCTGAAGTTATCGGTTCTGCAATTGCTTTGAATATTTTATTAAAGATTCCATTGCCTGCAGGTGTTGTTATTACCATTGTTGATGTTATTTTCGTTATGATGGCTTACAGAGCTGAAACTTCAAGTTTGAAATTTGTTAAAATTTTCGAATATGCAATTGCTGCCTTGGTTATGGTTGTTGTTATTTGTTTTGCTGTTGAATTATCACAGATTACTGCTAACACAAGAGAAGTTTTCCGTGGATTTGTACCATCCAAAGAAATGTTCCAAGGTAGTGGTATGACTATTGCTACTTCTATTATTGGTTCCACTGTCATGATTCATTCATTGTTCTTGGGTTCTGGATTGGTCCAACCAAGATTAAGAGAATATGATGTCAAGCATGGATATGTTAGATTGGATGAAATTGTTGAAAAAGAACCAGAATCATCTTCCAGAGGGGTTGTTGAAGAAACTAGTGTTGCTCCAGTTTCTACCAAGAATGAAAAGGAAAATAATGTCAAAGTTTCTACTTATGAACAAGAAGCTGCTTATTTTTACACACAATATAAACCTTCATATCTGGCCATTAACTATTGTTTCAAATACTCGATTGCCGAATTAGCCATTACTTTGTTTACTTTGGCTCTTTTTGTTAATGCTGCAATTTTGATTGTTGCTGGTGCTACTTTGTATGGTACTGAAGAAGCCATTGACGCAGATTTATATACTATTCATGATTTGTTAAGTCGTACATTGGCTCCAGCCGTTGGTACTATCTTCATGGTTGCATTATTGGCCAGTGGTCAAAGTGCAGGTATTGTCTGTACTATTGCTGGTCAAATGGTCAGTGAAGGTCATATCAATTGGACTTTGAGACCTTGGTTAAGAAGATTAGTTACTAGAGGTATTTCTATTGTTCCTTGTTTATTTATTTCCGTTTTCATTGGTAGAAATGGTTTGGGTATTGCATTGAACATTTCTCAAGTTATTATTTCCATCTTGTTGCCTCCATTAACTGCACCATTGATCTATTTCACATCTAGAAACAAGTATATGAAGGTTGAATTAGGTGAAGAAGATGCTGCTGATGGGGAAATTGAAGTTGATGAAACTACCGGTAAGAGATATAGAGTGATGACTAACAATTGGGCAACCACAATTATTGCTGTTGTTATTTGGATCTTTGTTTCTGTATTGAATGTTTATGCCATTTATCAAATGGCCAAAGATGGTGTTTCAGGTTAATCAGATTAAGAATTTTACACACACACACACAGATATATATATATACTTTTACATATACACATATTCAAACACGCATATATACTGAAGAATATATGAACTGCATTATTAAACTAGTCATACATAATGATACAAACCAAAAGTCAAGATAAAGGAATTGACTTTTCTTTTTTTCTAAATAATAATACTACTACTAATAAAATCACACTCTAAATAAATATATAATAAATATCAAACTATTTCACGCCGAATTAAACAAATAAAGGAACAACACCAAAAGTAATAAAGTATACACACGAAGAACTAAATAATTTTTTTTTTCTAAAACAAAACAAAATGAATAAAACTCTTAAACTCTCAAATAATTAAAATAATAAATATAAATAATAATAATAATAATAATATCATACAAATGATTGATTTTCTTTCTCTCTCAATCTAAAACTTAATATCAAATGTCTCTTATCTAGTTAATTGTTTTTTTTTTCAAAAAATAAAATTACCATCCTGAATCATAATTTGACATGTTATTTAACATATTGTTTGCATTGTTATTTCCATTACCATCTTTTGAAACATTTGAATTGGATGAAATATTAGATGTAGTGTTATTAAACATAAATCCAGAATTGGACCCTGTAGGATTTACAAAATAACTGTTAAATACACTATTACTACCAGAATTAATATTTGTACCACTATTAACATTACTATTGGAGGTATTACCAGGATTGTTATTATTACCTGAATTACCATCATTTTTTGTAGATTTTAAAAGTGAAGAAGGATTCAATGTTGAATTACTAACATTATTCAATGGAGGTGGTAATGTGCCTTGATTACTATTATTTACATTACCTTGTGGTGGTAATTTCTGGAGAGTATTCAAAGGAGGCAATTGTTGACCTGGATTTTGTAATGGTGGCATCAGTGGATGTGGTTGGGTTTGATTAAATTGTTGATTAGACGAACTACCTGATGTGCTAGTAAGAATCAATGAATTAGTAGATGGTGGTGGTAATTGCATTAAATAATTCAATGTATTTGGTGTTATACCAGGCAAATGAGTTAAACTATCCAATGATGAATTTTGACCTGCAGCAGCAGCATTTTGATTGTTTGGATTGCCACCAACCACATATTCAGTATTATCGTTATCATTAAGTAAAGGAGACAATCGAATCAATCCACTAACCCCAGTTGTTGAAGAAGGCAACCAATTTTGTGCAGCAGCATTTGATTTTCTTAATGGGGTAAATTGTGGTGCTTGTTGTTGTTGTTGTTGATGATGATGTTGCTGCTGCTGCTGTTGTTGTTGATGATCAGGATCATTTTGAACAATATCAGATGTGGGATCAGATGAATTTCTTTTTTCATAAACATTCTGTTTCAAGGAATATAAAAACAGTGGACTCAATAAATTTTTATAATCTAGTATAACTTGAGAGACGAATGAATCAATCATATCAGTTTTCATATTTTCTTGTATGTTTTTATTGTCCAAAATTTCTTCCTTAACCTTTTCTCGGACAAAATTTTGTAAATTCTGAAGTATATGAACCATCAGGAATTGTTCCGAAGTTCTTACATGTTGTCTTTGTTCTTGGTTTTGTAGAAGTTGTCCCTCTGACTGCTGATGATGGTTGTGGTTGTGGTTTTGGTGCTGATGGTGCTGCTGGTGGCGGTGTTGCAGCTGATCATTGTCCAATTGATGCAACTGAAGTTGCTGTTGTGAAGACAGCTTATTGGACGGCAGCTGTACTTGATTAATATTTCTTTGTCGTTGGTTTTGACGTGATTGCCTTGTCTGCCGCGTTTGTTTAGACTGTTGCAAAGGTTGCTCAAGTTGCTCAAGTTGTTCCAGTCGCGAGTGGGGTTGTGGTAACAGTGGATGTATTGATTGCAATTGTTGTAATTCCAACCCAGGGACAACAAAACCATGATTCACATTAATATCTTCTTGAATTGGGGATATAGTACTAAAATTATCTTTTAATTTTCGAACTTTAGGAAACGCACTTGGCACTGATTTTCTTCGTTTAGATGATGCCGCAGATGGGGAATCGGATGGTTGATGAATATTGATTCCATGGAAAGAATTGGAACTTGTCAATGCTAATGAAGGTGGAGGGTCTTGTTGATCATGGGAAGCTAATTTTCTAAAATCATCCATACTTGTAGCAGCAGAACTATTCTGCGATAGAAGACCTGTTGTTGAATTTCGTTGGGAACTTCTTGCACTTGATGAAACTGAACTTTTGGAACCACGTGACTTAGTTTTCCTATTTGTGGGACTTGATGGTTTTGGATTCTCTCTATTATTTACAAAAGAGGCCGCCGGTGAGATGGATTCACTTGTCGCTAGTTCCATTGGACCTGAAGATGATGATACAGATGATAACTTTATACCTGAAGAATTCTTGACAATTTTACCAGGTTTCTGATGTTCCATGTCATTTAATGATAGTTTATCAACGGGGTGGTCGTGTTCATCACTGACCAACAGTAGTGTCCATACCTTATTTCTGACACTGTAGTTGGCTCGAACTTTAAATGGACATGTTGTGTGCTTTCGTATGGGGATTTTAGTATCACTTCTTTTTGATTTGACAATTCTCTTTTCATTAACATTATTTTTGCATCTAAATATGATCTTTGTTGTATCAGATCTTTCTATAACAATATCGATTCCTTTATTATGACGTAGGGCACCTTGTAGCCAAGGTTTAATGTCATCTTTTGAATTGAACTGTTGCGTCTCCAAGTGCAAATCATCAAGTGGTACTCGATGTATGACTCTATCAGTCATTAAATATTACTAAAAATAACGAATTGAAAATTAATGGAAGGGGTGGTATGGTGCCTATGGGAGATGATTCGTGATATAAATGTCAGAAGGAAGGAAATTTTAAAAATTTTCAGGAAAAAAATAAAAAAATAAAAAAAAAAGTTATCACGGAAATATGTGAATTGGCAAATATCTTTCTGTTGTCTTCCCGTTAATTTGAATATTGTATTGTGTTGTTTTTGTACTGAGGGAAACCAAAAAAAAAAAAAAAAAATTAAGAATGATTTATTTGAAAATAAATAAAAAAAAAAAGAAACGAAATACCAAAAATATATCGAGAATAAAAAAAAAAAACAAAAATCAACAAACCAATATGTCAATGAAGTTTTAGATGAGAAATGGTTGAAAGTATTTGTATTATTATTTCGACACTAGTGGCTCCAATACTTGTGATGATGAAAACAACAACAGAATTCGGTGAATTAATTTATGACTCTCAATAAATGGGGGGATGGGTAGTAGTCTGTCTCTTCTTCACTTCTTTGCTTTTTTTTTTCTCCCACTAAACAAAACAGAAAAATCTCAATCTGAGAATATTTTTTGAATTCTGCGGCCACTCTAACTTGGGTCAAATTCCTAGTTCACTTTCAGCCTCGTTTATATATCCTTTTCTCAATGAGTGGGTAGGCTCGGTGGTATTTATGGTTTGGTTATGAAGTATGGTTTTTTCAAAAAAAGACAATAAAAAAATTGCCTTATTCAGTTTTCTAGTATCGTGGTTGTTGATCTTTTATATTTTTCTTGAGCTGAGGTTTGAAATCTGAAATAATCCTCCTATTTCTTCAGAATGGCTCGCGTCGGTATGCAATTAACTTGGGCAATCAAATTAACGCAAATTGATCTGATTATTGTGTTACTTTTGGGGGGAGTGAGGAGGGAGTGAGGTAATCTCTTTGTTTTAGTTACTTATTTCCTTCACTGGAATTCTGTGTATCTTTCAGTTATAGTAGTTTAGAGAACCTTCTTTTGGATCTTTCGAGATCTCTTACGCGTTAGTACATTTTGAAAGGAAAAAGAAGAAAGAAAAGTGAAATTTGATGGAAAAGATATTCTGGTGGAAATAATTAGCCTATAAATACTGTGATTAATCTGAAGCCGATGGGCATAGAAAAACTAGAAAACCTTAAACTAACGAATTCACAATAATAGCATACTCCCTATACTACTTTACAATTATTGCTTAAATAGCAAATGTCCCGTACTCCTCCCAACCACATACAATTAAAAAAAAAATTTAGGTGAGTTAAGTAAATTTGCAGATGGTTAGGATTCATTGAACATTTTGCACTTTTCTTTTTCAACATTCGCTCACCGAATACTGGATACAAGTAAATCAGCAGTTGTACTTTAGCTTTTAGTTTAGTTCAAACCTTTCTCTTCAATGCAAGACTAATAGATTAACCTAACCATGCGAGAATCCCAATTGATAGCATCGTATTAATTAGGGGGGAAGTGGTGGTCGAGGGAATTCTTATTTTTTTTTCTCATATTCATGAATTGGTCTAGTGTGATGTGATGAGTGTAGCACATATTACATTCTAGACGTTTGTTTAGTCCCAGATTCCAGAATCCTGACTATTTAACTCACCATACTTGAATTTAGCTGATGACATCAACATTTTTAAAAGAAATTTCGCTTCAAGCATACTGAGAGAATAATACACAAAAGATAGCAATAATTGCTGTCTGTCTATATACTAGGCTACATACACTCCAATGTTCAGGTTATTACATCTTGCATGTACTATTCTCTCACCATAATATTCTTATAAGGTGTACTTTGTTGACCATCAGTATGTTTGATGGGATAAATTTCGGAACCGCTTATGGAATCAAAAGTGTCAACAGCATTTATTTCCGAGGACGTTCTCTTTGATTACGTTTGCTATCCAAACATCATAAACAGCAATATAAACCTTTGTAATGATACGTAATGTATATTTCCATTTGATGTTATTAACATCCGGTTGATCTCATGCACCTACACTTTCCCTGCTTAAAAGTTCAAATGTTCTTCATGCATTGGCGTATTTCCGACATTATTGCTTTCGGGCGTATTTACTCATATTCATACAAAGTTAAAAATAATAATGCTACAGGAATTTTTAATAAAGATAAGAGAATACACGTAAAAAAAAAATACAATAGCCATCTTTTATCCATCTAAGGACTGTACAGGAAAGGTAAAAACAATTTGAACAACATCCACGGTATGAATTTTCAAATGTTATGACTAGGGGTGGGGGAATGGAGGAGAATAAAAGGTAATGGTGTCTGTTTAGTTTTGAAATAATGATCAAGGTAATGTGAAAATGAAACAACACCAAGCACGCGCATGGTAACCGTGGTTGCCAAATTTTATTCCATCCGTTTTACGAGTGACATCAAACTAAGTGGGAAGGAAAGGGGGACGGAGAGAGGGAGGGAGGGAGAGATCGTGTTAAACTTTTATGGCGGCGGTTGTCGTCAATTATTATTTTTTTGTGCAACTTATCTTATGTATGGAATTACACACCAGAATGAAAAAATAAAAACCAAGACACGAAAACTCCCTTTCCTAAATCTGAATCTGCGTCAATTCTGGTGAGCTAAAAAAATTCCAATTATACTATTACTTTGGTTAATATTAGTCTATTCTTTTGTTCTTGAACATTCAACTTCATCTATCATTCATTGGAAATAATCAAAGCTTAGAACCATATGCTGACATAGACTTATAAAGATATACATAAACGAGAATAATGAATGGATCAATTATAAATCAACTGGATAATAAAGGCAGTCTTATTGATCGTCTTAATGGGTTAATCACAGCTACATTGACATCAAAATCGTTCAGTCAAGCTCAACGTTTAGAACTAATAAAATTATTCCAAATCACCATGAATATGATCTCAAACAAAGAACAGAAATATCCTAATAAAAGATTACCTTCTAATTTGATGATGCAATATACTAAATTAATTGATAGTTTTCAAAATTTAATCAATGCTGATCGAACCAGTCAACTACTGAAGAATAATTTGACATTATTATCTAAGACTACTTCTGCTCCTCCTCCGCCTCCTACATCCACCCCTTCCCGTACAAATGTCACCTCCACGAATAGAAAATATGGAATTTTTCAAGATCGAGTATCTAATATATCAACTCCATCAATTTCTACAAATTCAGTTTCAGATGCTGATCCACAAACTGTGCGAGCTGGAAGTATCAGCACTCAACAACAATTGTATGAACAAGCAGAAGAAGAGGAAGCGGTCTTACAAGAAGACCAATCACGAGAAGAAGAGCCAGAGAATAAGGCACAAGACAGTGGGAGTGAGTTTGACGAGGAAGAAGAAGAAGATGATGATGAAAGTTGTGAAATTTATAATAGTACTTCATTACTGCTTCCTATACCTCATAGTCATTCATTTTCTATAGGATTTCCAGATAGCAGACTTAATGGACCAAATTACCATGCTCGTTTAATGAAACATAATCGACTAGATAGTTTATATTCATTACCATAGCTTAAAAAGATGTTTTTTTTAAATAATAATTAATGTATATTTACAAGACAAGAAGATTATAAGCTATTGTACTATAATATAAAAAGACCATGTGTAAAGAAATAGTTTTAAAAAATTTTTTATTATTATTTCTTATGAATATTTATCATCCATCTCTTTCTCTTTTTCCTCTAATTTATATTTGCTTATTCTAAAGTAATTTTAGCACCTAAACCTTCCAAAGTAGCTTTGATCTTTTCAGCATCTTCTTTAGTAACATTTTCTTTCAATACCTTTGGAGCACTTTCAACGAATTTCTTAGATTCAACCAAAGATAAACCTAACATACCTTTAACTTCTTTAATAATCTTTGGTTTAGATTTAGCATCAAAAGATTCCAATTTAATTGAAAATATAGTCTTTTCTTCAACTTCTTCTTTAACTTCTTCTTCAGCTGGAGCAGCTTGAGCAGCTGGGGCAGCTCCAGCTCCAGCAGCAGGTAATGAAATATCAGAAATATTTAATCTTTCTTTTAATTCATTAATTAATTGTGAAGTTTCCAAAAGGGTTAAAGTAGAAATTTGATCAACTATAGTGGTGATTTTAGCATCAACTGGAGCTTTTTCAACAACAGTTGAATTATAACGTAAGGCAGTAATGGCAATTCTTTTAGATGTGACAGATCTTAAAGTTGGTCTAATGGCTTGACGAATGATTGACATGGTATTTATCTTGATGAGTATATGAATCTTCAATAGTAATAGTAGTAGTAGTAATAGTAGTGAAAATTTGTCTCTTAGTTTTTTTTTTTCTCTCTCTCTCTATTGAATCTTCCATCCATTTTTAAAAATTTTTTTCATTGGATTTTGAATTTTTGTTTTTGAACAAAACGCACGACTTGAATTAAAGTGGAATAGTTGATTTGGAGTGTGTTGATTATACAACAAGTAAGAATTCATGATAAAGATTATATTCTATTGGACTTGTGTTCATCATTAGAGGAGGATATATTCTACAAGATTTCAAGTACCTTTTCTATAATATAAAATAAACATCGATAGACAGATATACATTAATCATTTATATAATAGTAGTATCAAAGGATACGACAATTGTGCTAGAATATCAACAATATCGTTAGTTGGTAAGAACAGAAATATCTGTTCAGTGTTAAACAAACTCAAACTACCCTCACAATCAAAGGTGTTAAAGTTTAGGCCAACATGACCAACTCCTCATCTATATAACATTGAACTATTCAAAATGACACATCCAGGCACAACTTTCCTTAAAGAAATTTAAATGAACACTTTGCAAAATCAAGGGGGGGAAAATAGATCCCTTTATATAGTACTGGGAGTGAGAAAAAAAGAAAAAATAAAAGACGTGCAGAAGTAACCAAAAAAAAAACACTCCTCACTAATTGAATTTTGTACTCAACATCATGACAATAGAAAAAAAAAAAAAAAGAAAACCAAGAATGAAAAATCTCAACATGAAGAAACAACTCGTTATCAATATCATCATACTCAAAGAACCATCATCACCACTACCACCATCACAATCATAACAACAATAATTATATATATATATATAGATAATCATGGCATCATTTAGATTTTGCGCAGAATGTAATAATATGTTATATCCAAAAGAGGATAAAGAAGGTCAAAGGTTATTATACGCATGTCGTAATTGTGGATATACAGAATTGGCAGAAAATCCAAAAGTTTATCGTCATGAATTAATTACTAATATTGGTGCTACTGCAGGTGTGGTTCAAGATATTGGTAATGATCCAACTTTACCTAGATCAAATAAAGAATGTCCTGAATGTGGGAATCATGAATGTGTGTTTTTCCAAAGTCAACAAAGAAGAAAAGATACTAGTATGATTTTGTTTTTTGTTTGTTTGGATTGTAAACATGTCTTCCAAGCTTAAGGAAATTAATAATAGATAAATCAATTTATTATTATTAGTATTAGTATTATTGTAATTATAGATAAATAAAGAGAAATAATAATGTATTGACGATTCATTAGGTACGTTACGATTAGTATATAAAACTGCATGTAAATTAGAACTAAATCAAAAAAATAAAAATCCCAAAAGAAAGAACAAACTAAAGTCAAATAAACTGTAAAATGTAATAAAAAAAAAAATGTAATAGTAATACAACGATACATAAAAAGACCATAGTTTCATATAGATCTCTCTCTCTCTCTCTTTGTTTCGTTTTCGATATCTTTTCTTTTTATTTCATTAATTCTAAAAGTCGAGGAAGTATTGGTGATATGGATCTTCTCCTTGTACACCATAATCTAATTGTTCTTCTGGATAGTGATCAAATAATGATGAATCACCAACACCAGCAGTAATTGGAGGTTCATAAGGAGTTTCAATATCCTTTGCTAACAATTTTTCCCAAACAACCTCCAGGAACCAAGGGTGATTTCTAATATCAGCAGGACCATTGATCAAGTTACCTAATCTTCTAGTTAAATCAGCTGTTATCAATTTACTTAATAAATCAATTACATCCGGTTGGAAAAAACTTGGATAATGAACTTTACCTGCCAAGATTTTCTCATAAGTCTTCATTGGTGTTGAATCATAGAATGGAGTATAACCAGCCAACATTTCAAAGATCAACACCCCTAATGACCACCAATCAACGGATTTATTATAAGGTTTTGTTGTGATGACTTCTGGGGCAATGTAATCTGGTGTACCACACAAAGTCCATGTGACAGTGCTGACCTCTTTAGCAAACCCAAAATCAGTGATTTTAATATGACCATTTCTGTCTAATAAAATGTTTTCAGGTTTCAAATCACGATAGATAATATCATGACTATGTAAATATTCTAAAGCTAAAGTAACCTCAGCAGCATAAAATTTGGCCACGGGATTTGGGAATCTTTGAGATTTTCTCAATAATGAAAACAATTCACCACCTTCAATATAATCCATAACCATAAACAAGTTCTTAGCATCTTGAAAAGTACCCCACATTCTAATCAAAAATGGGTGTTCAACCAATTTTAACATTCTTCTTTCATCATTAGTATGCTCAACTTGTTTCATTTTAACAACCTGATGTTTTTTCAATACTTTTATGGCATAGTATCTACCATTATGAACGGATCTTACTAAATGAACTCTTCCAAATGATCCAGTACCCAAAGTTCTCATAATTGAAAAATCAGTTAAGGAGTACTTACCTTTAGAAATAGTTGAACGTTCAGGTAATAATGATCTTTTGATGGCATCTTCAGTACTAGATCTAGACATTTCTTGTTGTTGAACTTGTTGTGAATGAAGGGAAGAAGCAGCAGATTGTGCAATGTTGGAAGTTGAAGTAGCTGTAACATTGGCAGTAGTCAGACCAGTTTGTGGGGCAACTGGATGAACAATTTGTTCTCCTGGAAGCGATTGTTGCTGTTGCTGTTGTTGGTAGTAATCCATTGATGAGCTAGAATTCTGTTCGCTTGTTGTTGAATGGTTTGACTTAGTAATGTGAAGCTTTTTTAAAAGATTTGGCATGAAAATGGGCAAAAAAGGGAAGTTATTAAAAGGTTTTTATTTTTTTTTTAACAAAAGGAAAGTTTATAGCAAATGTAATAATGGGCAAACAAACCAAAACGATAATTCAAGAACAAAGTTATAAATTGAAATTGTATGTAGTCGTTTGATAAAATTATAATAATGTATTCAATGCAATGATATTTCAGTTTATATGGAACCAATTGCTTGTGATGTGATGTTTCTGAAGTTAGTTCTATTTCACTCCCGGTATGGTCTTATCTCAAAGACGGAATTCTTTTCAGTTTCAAACAAAGCAATAAAATAGTATGCGATTCAATTGATTGATTTATAAACTAAAGGAATTGATAATTGAGTCTATCTGGTAGTGCGAGGTAAAGCTTGTACTAACTTGTTGACGGTGATAATGATTGTCTTTATTGTTTTTAGTTTTTTTTTGTATTGGAGTGGAAAAAGGGGGAAGAAATGGGAGAAGTTGAGTTGAGTGAGGATTGGAACTGGATTTTGTTCAACAACAACAACAACAACAGCAAAAAAAAAGTCAGCCTGAACAATTTCTCATCTTCTCTTTGTTCCAATTTCATTTATCTAAAAATCTATAAACCTGAACTAATTTTTTTCTCACTCTCTCACTGTTTGTCGTTGTGCTGTAACTCCGGTCTCTCTCTCTCTCTCTCTCTCTCTCTGTGTTTAACGCGAGTAGTGTGCGGACGGTCAATTTTCTTTTAGGTCAGCTTTTCAAATTAATTGATCACTTTCACATTCATCTATTAACTTCTGATATTTCATATTTGATAATTAAGGTCTATGGAATTTCAAAAAAGAAGATTCATCTACAAATACAAGGTATAAATTAATGCATAAAGAAGAAAAGTTTAATTACTGCCAGTAAAGTTTCGTTAATTTTAAAGTCCAGATAAGATTAGTCCACTAAAAAAAAATAAAATAAATTCAAGAAATTAATCACCAGCAAACACGTGATGCCTAATACTACCACCACTTGCTAAAACCAAATCTCTCTTTATTTTAATTCTTAGTTCTAAGCCATTAACAACAACAGATGTGTTGATCATATTACTAGCAGATGTGATAAACTTGAATGTACATGTCAAAAAAAATAGTACCTATGCTGCTGTTGTGCGACGATTTGGTTGCAATGATGTACCTGTCGTGAATTATATGCTATAGAAATAGCAAAACTATTCCAACAGGTACAAGAATCCTCTTCAAACAAATATCCACTCGGGTTACTAAAAGACCAACATTAATTGTGTCTAGATGAATTGTTCAAACCATGAAAGTTTCTACTATCACGAACCGTTCTAGAGAATCGTTTATTTTTTGCGACAATGCCACATTTGAAGGCAAACACAGTTGAAGAAAAAAAAAATCAGAAAATCCCCAAACTAAATATACGAATACCAATCATCCCCCCATTCCACCAATGACATCATTTATTCCTGATTCAAACATTTCTATACCTAATATAACAGGATCTACTCTTATCATTCCATCAATTTCCATTGGGAATATTCCACAATTATCAATTGATTTATTAATACATACATTAAACTTTATCAAAATAGGTACACTTGATGATGTTTATTTATATCCATTTGCTTCACCTATAGATTATTGCAAAACTTCAAAGAAAGGAATTTCTCATTCAATTGAAATATTTTATAATGAAGAATTAAATTTAACTTTAATTCAACAAAGATCACCAATTTTACCAAGTTATATAACAAGTTATGTTTCTGAAATAATTATTCCATTTATAAAATTTTTCACATTTAAAAAAATTGTTATTTTAGATAGTCTGGATGCTGGATTATTTGAACATGTAAATGCTGGAGATATTGAAATTTATAATAGTGAATCATTATTAAGTAAATCATTAGAATCTTTGAAATTAAATAATGAAAAATTGCTTGATGAACAAATTGATCAACATTCAAATTATGTTAAATATTTACTTCAAGAATTGAATTTACCAAGAAATGAAAGTTCTAAAAATAATGAATTGAATGATATTGATGTAAATGTACTTGTTAGTTTTGTATATGAAGGGGATAATTTTTATGATGGAGAAAAATTGGCTTTTAAATTAAGTGATTTCTTAAATATTAACAAGAAAATTGATCATTGGGTTAGACCAGTTAGTTGGTTTGGTGCTTATGGTGATAAGCCAATTCCTAATGCAATGGAAGAAGGTCTCTTTGGTTAGAAAGTTCCAGTCATCTTATATATAAATATATATATGTATATTCGTATCTACGTATAATCATAACAACAATAGTGATATCTATACTGCATCACTCTAATTAGAATGGTCCTCTCTTTGTCGAATACACTTCAAACTCTGGTTTTATTAGAAATACGTCAATTGGTTATTGAGGTGACACAATAAATTATTACTGTTGCTGATGCGATGGAGGACGCGGAGCTGGAGCTGAAGGTAGAGGATGTTGTTGTTGTTGTTGTTGTTGTTGATCGACGGAGGGAATTCGAGCTTGATATAAAGGCAGCTGATGAACTGGATGTTGCATTGGTAATAAATTTGAGTCTGGCGCAAAATAATTCTGTGTGTGTCCAATTACGGGCAATGTCAATGTAGTTGCTGTTGGTGGTGGAAGTTGATGAACCCAACTTTTAGCATTGGTAGGAGTATATGGAATAATACCTGGCAGCATTGCCTGTTTTACTTGTTGAGTCTGTGGTACTGATATTGGTGCTTTGGGTGCTTTCATTTCAACAGGCTCTGGTTTAATTGTAATTGGTTCATTTAAAAGATTTGAAATCATGGGTGATTCTTGAGCAGTAGGAGTATCTTGGGAAAAATTATTCTTTGGTGTGTCTTTAATATCATTTGAAGATGTATTATTCATAATAGTGAACAAATCCCAAGAGACACGACAAGGTACTGAGTAAGATGCTGCCTTCAATAAAACATTCCTCATTTCACAAATATGTGATTGCTTTATAAGTTCAGATTCAAAATCCATCATATCGGGGAAATTGAATGCCATGACCAAATAGTAGTCAAATAAGAAATAATGATGTAAAATATGAACTGTTCTATCATTGAGAAATCTCTTAATTGATATAATGGCTCTGGTATACTTTTGATTCCTAAATTTAATAATCTTGTCTTTAATCTCATTATTGCTCTTGAGTGAACTCAATCTTACAGCCAAAATACACCAAATCAAATCACCCAATACATGTAACAAAATTACTGGAGGTGGAGGGATGGCACCCTTCCCATAATATTCAACTTGACAATGTTCAGGCAATTGTGCTTTCCAATTTTCAATCCTTGCATTAAACATCTCCAATGACATACTTTGCGAGTTTTGTCGATCATCATATTTAATTTCACCTCCTTGGAAAACTGTGGTATCTATAGTGGCAGTAATTGCTAAATTCACAATTGCAATTCCTTTCAAAACTTCGTTGAATATTGACAAGAATTTCCCATGTTCAAGTTTAGGGATATCTGATGAATAATAGAATTCCCAAGGTTGCCATTCTTCCCAGCCATCACTATTGATTTGGGGTACAGGCCAATCGTGTGCCCTTACCACCGGTGATCTCCCCATTCTTGCACACAACAAAGTATTGACCAAGAATACAGTGGCCCATGTTCTTTGTCTATTGATATTATTCAAACTAGCACTACTTTGAAATTTCAGTTTCGGATCATCATCAGATGCATTTCGCATTAATCTAACATCAACTGCCATTCTTGTACCTGAAGATATCAAAACCCACGAGAAATCCCATTGTCCTAAATGATAATATGTTAACCCAAGAATTATCATGGCCTGTATAGTTTCGATGGTGGTTGTAAATGAATTTTCCAACGCCATTGTAGAATATTTGGCATATAAAGCTGCAGTTTTACAATCACCTCCAACCATGGAGAATTCACCAAGTGCTAAAACCGCCCAAACTAAAGCTAACATGTTCCCATCAACCGCTTTTCTTTTTCTTGTTGGAAGACCCAATAAGTAGTTCATGTGTCTAATAAACGAAACTTTATCCAACATCGGCATAAGACAATGAGGAACCAAGAAGTAAACATCCATTAATTCTCGAACGTTTGCTGGAAATTCAAACAATTCATCTGGGAACCTGGCATTTTGGGACATACTTGCATTAATTGCAAATGAAGAGACATTGAATATCGATCCAACTCTAAATGGATTCTTGAACACATTATTTATCTTGCTGTTATATTGTTGCACTACTTTGTTTGTGAATCCTGAAATTAATGACGACATTCCATGATACTGCAATGCCACAGGTTCCCAATTTTCAGGACTACTATCATCAGCGCCCTCGATTTCATCTGATATGAACTGGAAAACATCATAATTGAAAAAAAATGACGGATCACTCACTGCTGGTGATGGAGTACTTGGGTAATTGTTATTTCCAATAAATGATCCAAATGCACTATTTGGAGATGGTTGAATAGGATCCTGTTGATTAGGAGATGCTATTTGTATTTGTAATTGTTGTTGTTGTTGTTGTTGTTGCTGTTGCAAAAGTGGTGGAGCTCCAGAAGTGGCTAACCGTTGTCCATGTGCGGGGAGTTGTAAAGGCAACGGAGGTGCAGTCGTTGTGGTTGTAGTTGTTGATATTGAAGTTGCAGATTGTACTTGATTCTCTAATCCTCCTGGTACTGACGTAAGCATAGCCACCGGTGCTAATCTAGCAGAGTCGTTGATTGATGGATTGGGGCTATTTCCCGAAATAGATACATCTCTGTTATCAGTTTTTAAATTATTGGTGTTGTTACTGATGGTGGTGGTGATGGTCTTATTAGCTGTTGGTTTATTGGATTTTGTAATATTAATACTTGCATTATTATCCTGAAAGACCTGATCAAATAGTTGTGACAAATTGTGTACTTCCCATACAGTCTCAAGATCCTCTAGCTTCTCTATTAGAATATTCGAATTGTATAACAAGTTCAAAAGTTTTGATTCAATCAATTTATCGTCTTGAATTAAACTTACTAGTATACCTTTAAATAATAGAATTCTTTTCTCTAATGAATGTGTATAACCAGAGGGTAACCCTCGTCTTTTAGAAGGTTGTGAGTAGACACATTCTTCATTGGACGTTATACAATTTGTACAACTGGGTGCTTTCCCATCGCATTTTGCTTTCTTGGACCTACAATAATCACATGCCTGTTTTATTCTCCTTCTTTTCTGTGGGGGATCTGATGAAGTCTCTGATAATTGAGGTGTTGATTGCATTGAGTGTGGATAGTAATGAAAACGAGAAATGACAGGTTGAATGCTCTTGACTATTTTTAACAGAAGCAATTAAAGTTATGTCCTGAAAAAAAAAAATGTATTTGGATCTCCAATGAACACAGAATAAAAAGAAAACAAAAATGAAACCAAATCACGGTTTATCCAACTGGATAGTGAAATAATATGGATAACAATAAAATAGGCGGGACAGAAAACCAACAAGAATAAACGAACAAAATAAATATAATATAATATAAAAATAAAAATAAAAATAAAATAATATAAAGAAGAAGTGGAAAATTAACCCAGACTTTCAAATCTTATTTAAAGCCCAGATATATCTCCCAGTATAATTATAACAACAACAACAACCCAAGCAAGTGCGTATCTGTGTGTTTGTGTTTGTGTGTGAAGTGGGAAATGAAGAGCCAATTTTGTAGTGCCAATGATATTTGTGTGTGAGAGAAGTGGAAAAAAAAAGGAAAAACTGCACAAAAATTCAGTTCAGTTATGAGCGAATACCAAATACAGCAATTTCAAGTGAAATCATCATCATCATCTTCGGTCGGTATATTGCTCGAGCTGTGGTACAAATTTTATCTCTAGAGCAATATTCCTCCCCTTTTTTTTGTTCTGTTTGTTGTATATCTAAGCATAAAATCATATCAGGTCTGACTTGTGAATACAGAGGGATATATACATTCCCGGCAAATGTGTCTTGTTTTAGTAAATTCTCTTTAGCATGCACCCTGTTTATTCTTTATTGTTTAGTTGGCTTAGTTAATTGCTTTATTATCTTTCACTTATTGGTGTTTTCAATGCTTTCACTATTGTTCATCCTAAATTCTTGGGTGTCAAAGTCTTCACTCGCGTCTCTTCCAACGGCTTTCTCTTTCGTTTAAAAGGCTCCCCTTGCACTGACATATGTGTTTGCTTAAGGATGGTATCAACCCTTCTTCTCTCTCTCTCTCTCTCTCTCTCTCTCTCTCTCTCTCTCTCTCTCTCTCTCCCCCCCCCCCCCCCCCCTCTTCTCCCCGAATTCTCTTGTTTTGTAACCAACCATCATCTCTCGTACAATATGGAATTTCAGTTGAGCTTTTGCTGGTTCGGTTTTCCCTTGAACACTTCTGTGATGGGGTTTAAAAGCAAATAGGTATTTTTGTTTGTGTAATTTTAATTTCTGTTTCCAGTTCTAGATCAAGTGATATACACACACACACAAAGTAGTTCTCTATTACTAAGCGAAATGTTCTTGATCATGTTGTTCATTCGATGATCCATTTTCTTTTGTATCTTTTCTGAGTACAGAGAGTAGGTATATATTCCCATGATTCTAATAGGACGAAGTATGTATTAGGCACTATATTCTAAATTTGAATAGGTTTTAAATCAGGTGAAATTTCAAATGCAGCTTCTGTTTTACTCTTAACCTCTTCAACAGTGGTATTTGGATCAATTTCAATCATGATCAATTTACCGTCAACAACATCAAAGACAGCCAAATCAGTGATGATTCTTGATACACATTCTTTACCAGTCAATGGGAATTTGCATTCTTCAAGAATCTTTGGTCTTCCCTTTTTGTCAACATGTTCCATCACAACAACAACTCTTGTGGCAGCTGGATTACTAACAAGATCCATGGCACCACCCATACCTTTAACTCTACCTGGTAATCCCCAATTTGCTAAATCCCCTTTGGAGGAAACTTGCAATCCACCTAAAATAGTCAAATCAATCTTTCCTCCTCTAATCATACCAAATGATTCTTCAGATCCAAACAATGAAGCACCTGGTGCTAAAGTTACAGTTTCTTTACCAGCATTGATTAAATCTGGATCTTCCTCTCCCTTCTTTGGATATGGACCTAATCCCAAAATACCGTTTTCGGATTGTAAAGTAACATGGATATCTTTTGGCAAGTAGTTTGGTGCTAAAGTTGGCATACCGATACCTAAATTGGCAAATGAACCATCGGTGAATTCTTGAGCAGCTCTTTTGACAATCTTTTCTCTCTTCAAATCTGCTTCCAGTTTTGGTTTGTCTTCAGTGGAGGATTCGTCTTCTGAATATTTGAAAATTTCAATATCTTTTGGAGTAGTTGATTGAATGACTCTATCAACATAAATGGCAGGTAGATGGACATCTTCAGGTTGAATTTCACCTGGTTCAACGATATGCTCGGCTTCAACAATAGTCAATTTTGCATTTCTACCCATGACACTGTTAAAATTTCTTGCTGCACCTCTAAACCAACAATTACCCAAAGTATCTGCCTTGTATGCTTTGACAACTGCAACATCACCATTGATTGCTGGTTCTAATAAGAATTTTCTACCATTGAATTCACGAACTTCTCTAGGTTCACTTGATTTCAATACTTTTTCACCAGATTCATCATATCTAACCGGTAATTTACCTTCTTCCAACCATGTTCCCACACCAGCCGGAGAATAAAATGCAGGTATACCAGCAGCACCAGCTCTTACTCTTTCAGCTAAATTCCCTTGTGGGGTCAATTCTAAATCAATTTGGCCAGTCAAATATAATTTCTCAAACGTTCTATTTCCTCCAATATAACTCGAGATCATTTTGGTGATTTGTCCAGTAACCAATAATTGGGACAATCCTCTACCATCTAATCCAGCATTGTTGGACACAGCAGTAACGTTATTAATATTAGGATTATTCACCATGGCATTAATAACAGTATCTGGTACACCACTCAATCCAAATCCTCCGGATAATAAAGTTATATTGGACCCAATACCTTCAATAGCTTCATCAGTTGTGGTGACGACTTTAGTTTTAGGCTGAGTTGTAGAAAGACATCTGATGAAAAATGCAGTTCTGCTGGTTGTAGAAACTTTTATTAGCGATAACATGACGACAAATGATGCACAAGTGTTGGAATTATTGATAACAATTTCATATATGAAAAAAAAAAAGAGAATAATTTGTTTTGGGAGGGAAATAGTTGGTGCTCTTATAGGAATTGACAAATGTTGGGGTAGCTACTTTTTGTTTCGGGCAGTGGTTGGTTGTGAGCACACATATTTCCGTTGATTTCTGGAAATACCTTCGGAAATACCTAAAATATACAAAGAGCAAAATAATCTACATTTGGGCCGAAACGTTCCTTTAAAATTTGACGGGGCAATGGAGAACAAAAGTTGATTTATACAGGTGTGATCACCAATTTAGAAGGATCACAAAACTTTTGGTTAGAAAGATTATGTTGATCTCCGATAATTTTCTATAACCATGTTTGATCAATTATACTCTAAAGGTGGGGAAGAAATATGTATATCCGATATTACTCTCCAGGTCTCGTTCTCTTTCGTTCTCTTTCGTTCTCTCGCCCGGAGGAAATACTTGTTCAATATTTATCGATTTTATGGAATGAACTTTAATTTACGGATAAGGTTTGCATATATCCTTCTAGTTTGCATAGTATGTAGAGTTTATTTTTCCGTTGAAATCTTTTAATCGAAAGGAAAATCTTTTGTTTAAAAATTGGCAAGAAATCGCGCGCAAAAATTAAGTATTATAAATAAATTCATAAATTTCCTATGTAGAAACACACTAAACATTAAACTAGTCTAATGGAGCTGCCTCAGGCAAACCGTTCTTGTTAAGAATCAAATTATAAGGTGAATTCTTGTTATTAACAATTGCTTCTTTATTCTTTTTTCTAACCAAATCAACAGATTCCTGTTCAGTGATTATAGTGAAATCCCAATGTAAATACCAGTCATCTTTATCCATATTATATTTACTTGCTTTTTCTTCACCAACTTTATCTAAAGTATATAATAACTTTGATTTAACACCAAAGACAGCATCTGACTTTTCAAATGGGTCTCCCTTCTCGTACAAGGCAGTGATCAATCTATCATAACCTGGTTTTTCAATTATGAAATGGATGTGGGCTGGTCTGTATGGATGACGGTTAATGATCTTCAATAATTTACCAACAGGACCATCACTTGGAATAGGATATGGAACAGGTTTAGAAGCCTTGATGACAAAGGAACCATCTTCTGCGGTTCTAACAATACCTCTTAAATCAGCATGGTCACGGTTTTCATATTGAGTATCATAAAATCCATCCTTGTCACAATGCCAAAGATCTATAGTAGCATTAGCAATTGGGTCTCCATTAGTATCAGTCAATTTACCTTCAATCAATAAAGGTTCACCTTTACCTTCTGATACGATACTATCACCTTGTTCTTTCTCTTCAGCATCATGGGTATGGAAAGGACCCAATAAGGTTCCCAGAGTGGCATTCTCTGGTTTTGGATGTGAAATACCATCAACAAGCACCGAAAGTCCCAACACATCAGACAACAATACAAATTCTTGTCTGATATCAGTAGTAATATGTCCACAATCAGTCAAAAATTTGATACCTTCTTCCCATTCTTCAGTAGTTAATCTGACTTCTCTAGCAAAATCATGTAAATGTTGTACCAATGTATTTAATACGAAAAACAACCTCATATTCTTATGTTGTGAATTGACCAAAATAGTATTCTCGGTGATTGTCTCATCGCTCATGTCAGAAATTTCTGGACCCTTTGGTGGGACAGGCATTGGAGTAGTAGTTGGAGTTGGAGCCATATTGTCTTTGTAATAAATAGTATATATTCTTGTATAGTAGATTAATCAAACAGATAATGATTCTTGAAAAAAAAAAAGATGGAAAATTATGATGATTTATATACGGGAAGAAAAAGAGGGGTGTTTAATGTAAGATTATTATCCCACGTCATAATAAATGGTATTTCCGAGCTTTACTGTCTATACTGTTTTTTTTTTTTTTTTTTTCGTTCTTTCTCACAGTATGGTTGATATTCTGTGTTATGTGTTTTACCGATCTCCAGAAAATTGCAACCAAAAAAAAAAAAAATAAAATTGTGGGGAAAAATAATCGTAACGAAAACAGCAACCAGGGACCTATTCAGCCAATAGTATTCCATTAATAATCAATGATTCTTTTAGAAATCATTAAATCTCGGATCGAACGTACAATTAAATTATCCTGGTGCAACGGACGTTGTGTATTTCAAAAAAAACTACATACAAATTCTCCACTCAATAATTCAATGCATATTCAATGGCAGCAGTATAACCATAGACACCCAAACCGCAAATCACTGCAACAGCTTTGTCACTCAAGTAACTTTGATGTCTAAAAGGTTCCCTTTGATGTACGTTTGTGATGTGAACTTCTATGAATGGAATAGCAGTACCTAATAATGCATCTCTAATCCCAACGGATGTATGTGTATAAGCACCAGCATTAATAACAATGAAACCAACACCTTGACGTCTAGCTTCATGTATTCTATCAATAATAAAACCTTCTGTGTTATTCTGATAAGTTAAAACTTCAGAATCATTTTTTTTCAATTGTGCTTGTTCAATTGCAGCTTTTTCAATATCTGAAAGGGAAGTGGTACCATATTTTTCTGGTTCTCTAGTTCCTAACAAATTAAGATTTGGACCGTTGATAAGAAGTACTTTTTTAACCATGACGTATGTTGTAAAGAATTGATTGTAGAGGTGATAAGTATAAAGTATTAATTTTTCACTTCAACAACTCATTTTTCAATTTTTTTTTTCTTTTGCTTGCTTTTTTTTTCGTTTTTCGTTCGTGTGCACACACACAATTGACTCATTCCCACGATAGTACTATAAGAAAGGAAGTCGATTTCGGATAAGAAGGTTATACAGCAAATAATCAAAAAAAAAAAATCCCTCATATAATAATGTGTGGTTATATTTCTAGGTGCTATATACAAATCATTTTACAACTGCAAAAAAAAAAAAAGAGCCACCGTTATGATGTTTATCCATTAACACCGATAATGCCTAATTTACAAAACAGGTTCAATGGACCCGGACTTGTGTCATGATGAATTTTTTTTCCCCACCTTGAATAATAGACCGGGTTTACTCATTTTGTTTTATTTCCTATGGTGTACTGGAAAAAGGTATTTTTAAGTATTTCCGAAGTATTAATAATCCCAGTTCTATTTTTTTTTTTAATTAATTAAAGTTCAAAGAACGGGGTGGAAGAAAATGAATAAATTGAAACCTTTATCCTCTTCAATTATTCCTAGAATACGTCATTTTTCTACAACTACATTAACAATGACTAATCAACAAACAGAAGAACCAAAGAGATTTGGATTAGAAAACCAAATCAAGAGAAACCCACATCCAGATTTCACCAAGGTGGAAAACTCAAGACCACCATTTGATTTTGATAGAGTTTGGAATTATACCCAAATCCCTGATAAAGATTGGAAAGCTGGTTCAGGAGCTAACGATTCGTCATGGAAACAACATAAAAAATTAACTATTGATCCATATGGAGAAGGAAGAAGTCCCGTTGATAATTACAAGACATTAATCAGTGCTGTTGTTCCTAGACCAATTGGTTTTGTTTCTACAATTTCCAAAGATGGTGTTCGTAATTTAGCTCCATTTTCTTATTTCACTGTTGTCAACCACGATCCACCAATTTTCACTTTGGGATTTTCTGGTGGTAGAGGAAACCCAAAGGATACTGCCCGCAATATTTTAGAAACTGAAGAGTTAACAATTAATATAATAAGTGAATGGTTTGTTGAAGCTGCTAATTATTGTTCTACTAATGCCCCACCAGGAGTCGATGAGTGGAAATTATCTGGATTGACTCCAGTAGAATCTGAAAAAGTCAAACCTCAACATGTTGCCGAATCTGCCTTCTCAATTGAAGCCAAATTGGTGACTTCTCATGAATGGAAGTCTAAATCCGATCCAAATAGAGCTACTGGGGTATTGTGTATTGTTGAAGGTGTCAATTTTCATGTGAGAGAAGACGTGATCAATAAAGAATTGAATAACATTGATATTGCAAAATTGAAACCTGTTAGTAGATTAGGTGGTATAACTTATGCTAGAACTGTTGATGGTTTTGAAAGATTAAGACCTGATTTTGATAAGGAGTCCGAAACCCCTGAAGTCAAGGAATTGTTAGATTAGACTTTATTTTATTTGTTTTTATGTGTGTAGAAATCTTTGAATGTATACACTACTTTTGGCTTACGTAATATATGTAGAAATAAATTACTAAGATTGATTTGTCATCACTATTTATTATTTTCCAATCATATATATATATAAAGTACCTACCATTCCATCAATTTCTTGATATAATGGATTGACTTTGCGAGATAATAATGATTGATATTATCAAAATACTCAAATATTTAATTGAAGAAAGTAACGATGTTCAATGGAAATCACACTTTGTTGAACATGTTTACAACATGGAAAGTTATCATCAACAAGAAATGATTAGAATCCTGCTATGCAAACGAAATCCAACCACACACATCCCTGATGCAATAAATCAAGAAATAAACAAGTATATCTCCTGGCAGAACAGTAATAAATTGCATACGTCAACTATTTCGTTGACTAATAATTATACATTTGGAAACACCAAAATTTCACTATGGAAAGGAGATATAACCACATTAACAGATGTGACTGCAATTGTTAATGCGGCGAATCTGGCCCTATTAGGATGCTTCCAACCAAGTCATAAATGTATAGATAATGTCATTCATACTGCCGCTGGTCCTGATTTACGACAGGCATGTTTTGATCTTATGCAAGGAAAACACGAACCTACTGGTAGTGCAACAATAACTCCAGGATTTAATCTACCTGCAAAATATGTTATTCATACAGTTGGACCAATAGTACATAATGGACAAGTGAACACTGAGGAAATCAAAGAATTAGAAAGTTGTTATAAATCATGTCTAGAAGAGTTGGAGAAAGTTGAAGGGGATAATAAATCACTTGCATTTTGTTGTATTTCAACAGGTATTTTTGCTTTCCCAAAGGAACTAGCCAGCCAAGTGGCAATCAGAACCGTGAATGAATATTTTACCATACACACAGATTCATCCATAAAACACGTGATTTTTAATGTATTCTTAGAAGAGGATGAACGAATTTATCAAAGTGCTTTAGAAAAGTTCCCTAGGTATGTCACAGAAATTTCCCTCCAGACCCCTGAACCTAATATAGATCAGGCTAAAAAGTGGTTACAAGATGCAGACAGTTTAATAATTAGCGCCGGCGCAGGATTATCAGCAAGTGAAGGATTAGATTATTCGTCAAAAGAGTTGTTTCATAAAGAATATAAACCATTTTTGAAATACCGAATCAATTCACTTTATGAAACCATTGGGTTCCCTTGGCCGTCTCATGTTGAATTTTGGAATTTTTTCATCTATCATTATATCAATCTTTATAAAAAATGGCCCCGGACAACTAGTTATCAACACTTACTTAAATTGAGTAGTGAATACCAAGACTCGATGGTTCTTACTAGTAATGCCGATGGGTTTTTCGTTAAAAATGGATTTGATAAAGAGAGGGTGTTTACAATCCAAGGAAATTATGCTAATATCCAGTGTCTGATAAATTGTCAGCCAGATGCATATAGACCAATGGAGGAGTTGGTTAATAAATATCCATTGAATTCATCTGATGATATTCCAAAGTGTCAATTTTGTGGATCAGAAATGACAATGTTTTTGAGAATGGGAGATCATTTCAATACTGAGATTGTGAAAGATCAAAGAGAACAATACCATACGTTTATGCGAGCTCTGTTGGCATCGAAAAAGAAAGTAGTGATCTTGGAATTAGGTGTTGGATTAAATACCCCGAGTGTATTAAGATGGCCCAATGAAGAAAAAGTTGAAATGTATCCTGAACAATTTAAATTGATACGTGTTGGTTTGGGACCCTCAAGTGCTATTCCAATGAATATAATGGATAATACAGTTGTGATTAATGGTGATGTTAAACAAGTCATCGGATTGCTAGTTGAGTAGACGTGTATAGAACTGATCAATGAAAGTCGTTCGATTTGTAATGTACAATGTTTCTTGTGGTTGTCTGATGGTGCATAATGTAAGTTGCAAAAAAAAAGAAAAAAGAAAAAAGAAAATTTACAATATGCGAAAGTGGTGTTCTTATATCTCAAGCCGTAAACGATGAGATTCTGCAGAAGAAAAAAAAAAAAAAAATTATATAAATTTTCAAAAATTTTTCAGTTTGTTGTCTTCTGAAATTTTATATTCCTTTTTATAATTTTTTTTATTTGGTAAATCATCACACACAGATTAATTATAATATACCATGTCCAAAGAAGAATTTGATGCTGATAAAGCCACTTTAGAAGAATTAAGAGATGTTCTTGTTAACAAATCAGGAAATGAAAAACTAAGTATAAGATACAGAGCCTTATTCAATTTGAAATCTATTGGTAAAGAAGACCCAGACAGAGAAAAGGCTCATAAAGCCATTAAATATATTGCTGATACTTTTGGTGATGATTCTGAATTATTAAAACACGAAGTTGCTTATGTTTTGGGTCAAACTAGAGATTTATATGCTGCCCCTTTCTTACGTGACGTTGTTGAAAACAAAGATCAACAAGTTATGGTTAGACACGAAGCTGCTGAAGCTCTTGGTGCTTTAGGAGATAAAGAATCTTTACCATTATTAACTAAATATTTCAAAGAAGATCCATCCATTGAAATTAGACAAACTTGTGAATTGGCTATTGATAGAATCAACTGGGAACACTCTGATAAATCCAAGACTGAAACTTTAGAAAAAAATGTTTTCTACTCCGTTGACCCTGCTCCACCTTTAGATTCAAAAACTTCCAGTAGTAAAGTTGAAAAATTGCAAGTTATCTTGAATGATCAAGACGCTCCATTGTTTGAAAGATACAGAGCTATGTTTAGATTAAGAGATCTTAACACCGATGAATCTTGTTTGGCTTTATGTACTGGATTCAAAGACCCAAGTGCTTTATTCAAACACGAAATTGCCTACGTTTTGGGTCAATTGAGTAACCCAGTCACTGTTCCTCCATTAATTGAAATGTTAAAGGATAGTACTCAAGCTGCCATGGTTAGACACGAAGCTGCTGAAGCTTTGGGTTCTATTGCTACTGATGAAGTTTTAGAAGTCTTGCAAAAATTCTCTACAGACGCCGAAACACTGGAAGTTGTCAGAGATTCTGCTATTGTTGCTTTGGATATGTACGAATATGAAAATTCAAATGAATTTGAATATGCTACTGTTGCTTAGATATTTTTTTTTCCTTTTCATAGTACTTTAATGAATTTGTGTATTTTATAAACAAAACCTGTTTCTAGTTTAATTTCTATAAACAAGTAGATAAAAGTGTAATAGAATGACTTAATTGTTTGTTCTGAAACGGTATCCACATTTAGTACATGTATAAAAAACAGTGGCCCCTTCATCAGCAGATCTCAATTGTAAAGTATGATATTGCATTTCTTCATTACCACATTTCGGACATTTCTCTTTAATAGTAGCACCATCATCTAATTCATCTTTCTTTAAAGAAGTCTTGACAACTGATCTGGCCAGTTTTAATGTAGATGGGAAAGCATCTTCAGAAGATGTTGTCACCACTTTTAAGTTTGCAAATTTTGACTTTGGATAGGAAGCAGTACAAACTCCACATTTGATATCAGATGTAGAGCTATGGGAATCTAGTAAATTACCACAGAAATTACAAAATATTAATGATCCTACTACTGACATGTTTTTGGTTGGTGAAATAACGATGTATATGAAAACGAACTAAAGTTGAATAAAAGTTGGTTTGATAATTATGATTTTTTTTTTTTTTTTCAGAGATTTTTTTTTTTCACTCTCGATGAGTTACCAATATACCGAGCGTTAGTAAGGGGATGATCAATCACTGTGTCAAATTTGGCAGTTTAATGAAAACATATAAATCTAATGAAGTACGGATCTGTCAACCATCATTGTAGAAATTTCAGCAGTATTGAATGGCCTTTACTGTGATAGAGTCAGCAAACCTAAGAGACGTGTCTATCGTCCGTCGGAAAATTAATGCATAGTTTATGATACTTCCTTTCTCTTCCCTCCCCTCCTTCTTGTGAAAACTACTATTATTAACATCTACAGTAGAAACTACAACCTATAAACATATCAAAAACACCATACTTTCCACTATTGTTTGTCATTGATAATGCGTGTATCTTGTTGTAAAAGAATATTCAGGAAAAAAAAAGGAAAAAAAAATACAACTCTTCCTTCCTTGTTTGACATCAACAAAAAAGAGTGAGAAAAAAAAATTTTTGTTAGAATTTAACAAACAACGCCAACCAATTTTAAGACTACAACTACTGTTTAATTAAAATGGCTGCCGCACCACAAGGATTGCCAGATATGTCCAATGCGATCGTCGCCCAGGATGAAATGGGCAGACCATTTATAATTGTGAGAGATCAAGGTAAAAAACAAAGAAAACATGGTATAGAAGCAACCAAATCACATATTTTAGCTGCTAGATCAGTGGCTTCAATTGTGAAAACTTCATTGGGACCAAGAGGTCTTGATAAAATTTTGATTAGTCCGGATGGAGATATTACTATTACTAATGATGGTGCTACAATTTTAACTCAAATGGATTTGGATAATCAAATTGCTAAATTATTAGTTGAATTGTCAAGATCCCAAGATGATGAAATTGGGGATGGTACTACCGGGGTTGTTGTTTTAGCCAGTGCATTGTTGGATCAAGCATTAGAATTGATTGAAAAAGGTATTCATCCAATCAAGATTGCAAATGGTTTTGACGAAGCATGTAGAATTGCCGTCGATCATTTAGAAAAAGTTGCTGACAATATATTGATTGATGACAGAGATAATCTTTTGAGAGCAGCAAAAACTTCCCTTGGTTCCAAAATTGTTTCTAAAGCCCATGATCATTTTGCCAACATGGCTGTTGATGCCGTTATGGATGTTGCTGATTTAGAAAGAAGAGATGTTGATTTTGAATTGATTAAAATGGAAAAGAAAGTTGGTGGTTCTATTGAAGATTCTTCATTGATCAAAGGTGTATTATTAGATAAAGATTTCTCCCACCCACAAATGCCTAAAGAAGTCAGAGATTGTAAGATTGCCATTTTAACCTGTCCATTCGAACCACCAAAGCCAAAGACTAAACACAAGTTAGATATTTCTACTGTTGAAGAATTTAAAGTATTACAAGAATATGAACAAAAGAAATTCCAAGAAATGATTGATTTGGTTAAACAATCAGGTGCCAATGTTGTTGCCTGTCAATGGGGTTTTGACGATGAAGCCAACCATTTACTTTTGGCTAATGGTTTGAATGCTATAAGATGGATCGGTGGTTCTGAATTGGAATTGTTAGCTATTGCCACCAATGGTCGTATTGTCCCACGTTTTGAAGATTTGACTCCAGAAAAATTGGGTACTGCTGGTGTTATCAGAGAGTTAGAATTTGGTACCACCAAAGATCGTATGTTGGTTATTGAAGAATGTTCTAATACTAAAGCTGTTACATGTTTCATAAGAGGATCAAACGAAATGATTACTGCTGAAGGTGTCAGAGCCTTACATGACTCCCTTTGTGTTGTCCGTAATTTGGTCAGAGACAGTAGGGTTGTGTATGGTGGTGGTGCTGCCGAATTGACTTGTTCTTTGGCTGTATCAGAAGCTGCTGATAGACAAAAAGGTATTGATCAATATGCTTTTAGAGCTTTTGCTACTGCTTTGGATACCATCCCAATGACCTTGGCTGAAAACTCAGGTTTAGACCCAATTGAAACATTATCATCATTGAAAGCTAAACAAGTCAATGAAAACTCATCACATTTGGGTGTTGATTGTCTCGGTAAAGGTACTAATAATATGAAAGACTTGTTTGTTATTGATCCATTGATTGGTAAAAGACAACAATTGTTATTAGCAACACAATTGACTAGAATGATTTTGAAGATAAATGATGTGATTATCAGTGGGAAAGACGAATATTAAGTAGAAGTTTGATTACTAAAGGTTTCTTTTATATATATAAGTATCATTAAATATTAATTTCATATTTTTGCGACAAGTAATTTCCAATGATATGGAGAATGATAGTAACAATACGTGTATTATATCTCTACCATCTAAATATATATACAGAACAAAATAAATAATTCAATAGCAATATTGACAAATTTTCAGCTAATAATTACTTCTTAGCAGGTAACATTCCATGTACTAATCTATCAAATTGCCAACTATCCTTAGTTATATCAATTGGGAGATCCTCTTCAGATGCATTAATCACGTCCACTTTATTTAATTCAGTTAAAAGTTTACAGACTGGATCAACATACCATCTACTACCGTTGAGGGTGAACCATCCAATATGTCCACCATTCGTTGTGGTAATCATAGACAAGTAAGGATTTAAATTGACTTCGGAATAAGGTAAACTTCTTGAACCGACAATAGGATCATCCAAACTGTTGAGTATAACGAGGGGAACTCTGACATTCAACAATCTTTGTACAGGAGAAGCCTTTCTATAGTACTCATCAGCAGAATTTAAGCCAAATAATTTAGCAGTAAATTGATCATCAAACTGTTTCAAGAATTTGACTTCGTATTTCTCTGGGTTTTCCATGTATTGCTTAACCAAATCATTAGCCAATAACATATGATGACTTTTCAACAACTTGAGTAGATTATTAGCCATAGTTGGTGAATAAATATAATGACCAATGACGGAATCTCTCAAATGATAACTACTTTCAACAAAATCCCAAGGACAGGCTATCACAGTGGCACCTTTGATTTGCTTTGAAACATGTTCACCTTCTTGACCCAAATAGTTTGAACAGATTGCAGCACCTAATGAATATCCCATTAAATAGATTTTCTTATTTGGCCATCTTTTGGCGACAACTTCATTGATGACATATCGAACATCATTTGTCCATAATCCATTATATAATTGTGGGGAAGTAATGGTATGGTTAGCACAACCTCTGGAGTTTACAACAAGTGTATCAAATCCATATGGTTCTTCAATAATCTTATCAACAACAGCACGGAGGTATGCTTCATATGATCCACCAGCTAACCCATGTAATACAATTAATAAAGGTTTGTCCTCATGATCATCAATCAAACTCTCTTCTGGGTTTTTGTATTCGGTACGTGGTGGCAATTCCCTAGTTTGTGACTCCGGTTTAAAACTTTCATGATTTGGATCAGACTTAAATTGTGCCTTTGGAATAGCATAATCTAAAGCGATAGTACTTTCTCCATTCCATTGATCATAGTATAATTGTTCACCATTTGGAAGAGAGTATGGCTTATGTTCAATGTTGATTATCTCTCTCTTGTAGTTGACTTTATCTTGATTATCAAATTTATTAAGAGCTGTATAAGCAGTTTGTGTGTGTCCTGATGATAATAATGGGTTGATCAAAAATGAATAGTTTGAACTGAATTCTGGGACAGAAGATTTTACAATTTCAGGGATGGAAGTTGAAGTAGGACCGGAATTATTTAAGTTGAATTTAACTGGTTTTTTAGGAAAGTAAGTTTCAACCTTGGAAACAAAAAATCCTGACATTTTGGTAGGGAGTCGTATCTTAGTTAAAGTATAAGTTAAAATAGAATTCTGATGATTCTATGAAAAAAAAAAAGTGCAAAGAAAAGAAGTAACTTTATTAATATTTTTTTTTCTTTCTTTCTTTCTTTCCCAATCATTTCAAGATGATTTAAATATGTAATTTCAGGATATATTCCGCATATATCACAAAACATATATTCTCTTGTTAAATCCGGATTATATAACCAGGGGTTTATCTTTACATGGGAAACGAATAAAGAATTAGACTAATTTAAGATCACTTAAATGAATGTGATTTACATAGATTAGTAACCTTTAGCAGTTCAAGATTTCAAGAAGTTCTCAAAACATTTACTCTCATGGACACTAGCACGTGACTTTCGCATATGTTGGTTATCCTCGCATGTTCCTCTTTTTTTTTTCTTTTATTTGCTATCTCGTTTTACCCCCCCCCTATTTTCAAACGGTTATTGTAGTAGATTCGACAGAGTTATCAGTGGACTGTTGAAGTCAATTGCTGTTCGGATATGTCAGTTACCAAGTAGTATCTTAGGTTTATTATTATACACACAAATGTAGTATATGAGAGAGAAATTAATGAGGAAAGCCGAATTAGGATATCTCAGTTCCTATTTAGAAAGTAAAAAACAAATCGTAACCACGATGTAATTTAACAAAAAAGGGAATTTAACATGACGCACACTACCAGAGAGATAAAGTCAACGATAAGCAATGAAAGAAAAAATTCATTGTTGCCACTGGCGCACTTCTCCCACGCAATACAGCAAGCCAACAAAAACTCCCACCCGCACACTTTTAACACTGTACAACTTCCATGCTATTTTTAAGCAAACAAGCAAAAAAAAAGAAGTCTCCTAGTTTACTAGAAATTACAAAAATTACATCTCCTTCTTTCCTTCTTTCTTCCTTCCTTTTCAATTAAACTTAAAGAAAAAGAACGACAACACTTTTCATTGAAAGAATTACTCAAGTATAAGGAAATTAATACATTCATCTAACTAATTTTCTTTCAATTTCAGCTACTATCCTTTTCAGTTTTCTTTTTTTTTTCTTTTTCGTTTTTTAACCTTTCACTCATTCTTCCTTTAATTTACTTCCTTCCTGTCCTCACCTCGAGAAGATGCAATTATCGTTATCAGTTTTATCAACCGTTGCTACTGCTTTGTTGTCATTGAGTTCAGTTGTGGACGCCAAGTCTCATAACATCAAGTTGTCCAAGTTATCCAACGAGGAAACTTTAGATGCTTCCAATTTCCATGAATACACCAATTCATTGGCCAACAAGTATATGAACCTTTTTAATGCTGCTCACGGTAACCCAACCAGTTTTGGTGTGCAACATGTCTTGTCCAATCAAGAAGCCGAAATCCCATTCGTTACCCCACAAAAGGGTGGCAAATATGATGCTCCATTAACCAATTATTTGAATGCACAATATTTCACTGAAATTGAATTGGGTACTCCAGGTCAACCATTTAAGGTTATTTTAGACACTGGTTCTTCCAACTTGTGGGTTCCATCTCAAGACTGTACATCCTTGGCTTGTTTCTTGCATTCCAAGTACGACCACGACGCTTCTTCCAGTTATAAAGCTAATGGTAGTGAATTCTCTATCCAATATGGTTCTGGTTCTATGGAAGGTTATATTTCCCAAGATATCTTAACCATTGGTGACTTGGTTATTCCTAAACAAGATTTTGCTGAAGCCACTTCTGAACCAGGTTTGGCTTTTGCTTTTGGTAAATTTGATGGTATCTTGGGTTTGGCTTATGACACCATTTCTGTCAACCACATTGTTCCTCCAATTTATAATGCCATTAACCAAGGTTTATTGGACAAGCCACAATTTGGTTTCTATTTGGGTAACACCGAAAAGGATGAAAATGATGGTGGTTTGGCCACTTTTGGTGGTTATGATGCCTCCTTGTTCCAAGGTAAAGTCACTTGGTTACCAGTTAGAAGAAAGGCTTACTGGGAAGTTGCTTTTGAAGGTATTGGTTTAGGTGATGAATACGCCGAATTGCAAAAAACTGGTGCTGCCATTGATACTGGTACTTCATTGATTACTTTACCATCTTCATTGGCTGAAATTATTAATGCTAAGATTGGTGCCACCAAATCCTGGTCTGGTCAATATCAAATCGATTGTGCTAAAAGAGATTCATTGCCAGACTTGACCTTGACTTTCTCTGGTTACAACTTTACTTTGACTGCTCACGACTACATTTTGGAAGTTGGTGGTTCTTGTATTTCTGTTTTCACTCCAATGGATTTCCCTAAACCAATTGGTGATTTGGCAATCATTGGTGATGCTTTCTTGAGAAAATACTACTCAATCTACGACTTGGAAAAGAACGCTGTTGGTTTAGCCCCAGCTAAGGAATAAGTTTTTTTTATCTGTTATTCCAACAAATATAATTTACCTTAAAAAGTTACTTATCTCCCTTTTTTTTAATTATTTTTTATTCCCAATTTATTCCATTGTTTTTTTTTAATTCTTGATTATTTTTTTATTTCAAAGTATATTTAGATGTTAGACACAAGGGGTGGTTCAAGAATTTTACTGGTCATATCCCCTAGTGTTTAAATAGATAAATTCCCTCCAAAAAAAATAATAAGCAAATCATTTTTTTTATAGCTGATCTATAGCACAAAGAAATAAATACGTAAAAAGAACGTTCTTTTTGATTTGTATGACATGTAATAATTTGTTTAATAAAGATTTCTTTAGTTAAGATGGGGGAGGGAAAAAAAAAGAGGCTGGTTATACATCAATGTACAAGTGGTAGCTCCATCGTGATATCTGACGTAAAATTCTCGCAATTAATTTTTAAACTATAGCCAGCCATCTTTCCAGATATATTATTTTTTTCTTTGATTGGATGCCATGAATTCTGCACACAAATCTCTTATTACATCAATAAACAATGCATACATGATACCTACAGATCACATATTACAGATCAGGAAATAAATTTCATGTCCTGCCCTTTTTTTTTCTTTTCTTTGATTTTGATTTGAAATCTTCTTTTTTTAATTAATTGCTGGAAGTCAACCTGTTTCGTTCATTCGTTCGTTCTTATATTTTTTTGGTTTTTTTATAAAATTCCATCTGCATCGTCAAGTCTACAACGAACCTTAATAACTTTTTCTTTTGTTTACTTTAACTGAGATTGATTCCATCGTCTATTTTTAACTTCAATTGACAAGCCCATTTGTGTGTTGCTTTATACATTCTACAGGTCGACCTACCCTGATATTCACCAGATTGCATAATTAATCGTTAGTACACATGTCGGTTCCACCTCAAAACCAAATTTCTGCCATACGATATAAAAATAAGGAGAAAACCCTTAATCAAAAATATGATACTGTTTCAAATCCGAATTTCCATAATTCTGTACGTCCAGCAAGTTTTCTCCCACCACTTCCTCCATTGCCTCAATTTAAAGATAATTTAATATTGGCACCTCCAATGACTCAGGCAACTTTGAATAGATTAGAAGTTGAATCAACTTCAACTAAATCTTTACCAATTTCTTTTCCTTATTATTTCTTAGATCAAGAAGACCCTCAAGATACATTTCATCTTTGGCGTACTGATACTGAATCAGTGGTAAAATCGACAAAAGATAAAGAATTACCTGAACCACCACTAAAAAATTCAAATAACCAACAACAACAACAACAGTCTCACCTAGAATCAAAAAATAATAATCAAAATATGGTAAAGACATACAATGAGTTTAATCCAAAGAGATTTTCCCATTTCATAGTTGATGAACAGAATCCCTACGTGAGCCAGAGATTGGATAATTTATCAGTAGTATCACCATCATTAGAAAGTGCAGGATATGAAATAATCAGAAGTTTAACACCCATGCAAAAGAATACAAAGACTTCAGCACTGATATTAAATCCTGAAAGAAATCTTGGTGGTAGTGCAGAGGTATTGAATAATACTCAGAGAGATATTTCAGATTCAATGGGTTCACAAGCTACTATTTTCTCTACTCGTCCAGAACAGGATTCACCATTACTTTCCAGAAATGAAAATTCTCGAAAAAAGAGAGCTGCTAAAGTATTGTTCAAGAGGAAAGCTAAAAGAACCAGTAATGTGATAGTCCCGATGTCAAGCAGTACAAATTCCAGTTTAGCTAGAAAGAATGCCATTAAATCCAAACAAGGAAGTTGGTTTTATAGATTGAAATTAAGTCTTAAAAAGATGATCTCCAAGTTCAAATTCTACAGCTTTAAGGTTTCAACAAAAAGAACAGCCAGTGTTAAAAGATCAAGAACAATACAAAGTTTACGAAGAAGAAGAAGAAGAAGAGAGAATCCACAACCAAAAGATATCAAAAGAATTAAATCAATTAGAGTGGGATCGTCTCCATTTAATATTTCAGCTCCAATAACAAATCCACAATTGGGCAAACAGCCTGTGTTTAAGGTGGCTAAGATTGATGATAGTTTGAAATTCAGAGCTGGTGCACCAAAGGAAAATGTTAATCTTGTAGATTATGATGAAGCTTTTGGTAAAATGAATCATTTATCAGAGTATATTTATCAACAAGAAACTGAATATTTCAAGAAACATGGAGTTAAGAAGAATGATAATGTCGCTTCACCTGAAATACTCGGTGAATCAAAATCGATGTTACCTTCTCCAAATTTTGATGATTCACCTAGTGAATTATTAACTGATTCCGTCACCACACATGCAAAAACCATGCCCCCAATCCCACCTCCACATTTAGATCATTCTTTTGCTTCTAATCAAAGAGATCAAAGCCCTAAACGTATCCCAGTACCGGAACCTACATCACCACCACCAGAACAACAACAACAAAAACAAAATATTGTTGAATTATGGGAAGAATATTTAAGATTGGTGTTATATAAAAGAATTCAATTACGTCAAGAAATCAACATGTTTCAAAACTTTATGGTTAGTGAATTTACTCCAAATACAAATAAAAGACAACATTCAACAAGGTCAGTTTCCAAATCTCAAGGTGGATTATTTGTCCCAGACAAACATGAACAAAGTATTGCTAATAGTAGTACTATTAATGGTTCATCAATATATACTGATTCAAATACTTTGGAACTTGTTAAATCTATGGAATGTGAAAAATTAGTGGTTAAATCCAATTCAGCTGGTGGAAGTACAAATGCTGAGAGCAGAGGTGATAATGCTTCTGTTTATACATCGTCATCATTGGAATCTAGTTCTATGATTAATGATAAAGATGAAGAATTTAATACTAGAGTATTACATAGAAGATCAATGTTAGGGGAAATGTTAGAATATCTGTCAGAAGATGATGTGCAAGATGAAGATTATTACGATGATAATAATGATAGTGATGTAAATGATGAAGATGATCAATCTATTCAAAAATCAAATTCAATAGTCAGCAAACAATCAGATATAATATTGAAAAAATATGGTACAGTGGTTAGAAGAAATAGTTCGAGGTTGAATTCACCATTGAAAAGATCTTTTGGTTTAAATCATAGTTTAAGTTCCATAGCTAATGAGTAATGTAATGTCAGTATGTAATATTATATTAATAACAATAAAATAAAATTCGTATTCATTTAAATTAAATAATAAAACTATATATATACAAGTAATTTAAGATTTCAATCAATAATATCAACATGTAATTTAAATAGAACAAAGAAACGTAAGAAACAAAAAAAAGAACAAGAAATGGACGGGCAACAATAAAAAAATGCTAAAGCTATAACGAATATATATACAAAAACAGTAACAGTTTGAAAGAAAAACCGTCAACAATTATAATAAGAAGAAAATGTTAGTTTTTCCACTTTAGCAATTGTTACCTCATTAACATCTCTTTATTCTTTATTCTTCTTTTTCCCACATTAAATTAAAACTCATGCTCATGTTCAATTTTCAGTTGGTGTTCTAAAATTGAGTTTAGTTCTTTGGTTGTTCACCAGAAGATTCACCACCGTCTTTGTACAAGTCCTTGAAAACGTTAATGGCTTCGTTTTGCAATTCTTCAGTCTTTTGTTTCAATTCTTCTGGAGAAACTTCTTCACCAGCTTGAGCTTTCAAGACAATTTGTCTCAATTCTTGGATTTGGTTTTGGACCTTTTCAACAGCTTCACTGGACAATTTTTCTTTGTGTTCGTTCAAGGAGTTTTCAGTGTCATTACATAATTGATCAGCTCTGTTGGCATTTTCAATGGCTTCTTTCTTGGCTTTATCAGATTCAGCGTATTTTTCAGCATCATTGACCATCTTTTCAATTTCAGCATCAGATAAACCAGAAGAACCAGCAACGGTAATAGAAGCATCCTTGTTAGAAGCCTTATCACGAGCAGAAACCTTGATAATACCATCGGTATCAATATCAAAGGTAACTTCAATTTGTGGAACACCCTTTGGAGCTGGTGGAATACCAGACAAGGTAAAGTTACCAATCAATTTGTTGTCTCTGGTCAATTCTCTTTCACCTTGGAAGACTCTGATTTCAACAGAAGTTTGACCAGCAGAAGCAGTGGAGAAAATTTGGGATTTCTTAGCTGGGATAGTAGTGTTTCTAGAAATCAATCTAGCGAAAACACCACCCATGGTTTCAATACCCAAAGACAATGGAGTAACATCCAACAAGACAACATCCTTGACTTCACCAGCCAAGATACCACCTTGAATGGCAGCACCCATAGCAACAGCTTCATCTGGGTTAATACCCTTAGATGGTTCTTTACCAAAGATAGATTTGACGGTTTCAACAACCTTTGGCATTCTTGACATTCCACCAACAAGGATAACTTCAGAAATATCAGAAGTGGACAAACCAGCATCTTTCAAAGCCTTCTTACATGGTTCAATAGTCTTCTTGATCAATGGGTCAACCAAGTTTTCAAATTGAGCTCTGGTGATCTTTTGGTTGATATGTTTTGGACCAGAAGCATCCGCAGTGATGAAAGGTAAGTTAATTTCAGTAGAAACAGTAGAAGACAATTCAATCTTGGCCTTTTCAGCGGCTTCTCTGATTCTTTGAATAGCCATCTTGTCTTTTTCCAAGTCAAGACCGGATTCTTTCTTGAAGTTTTCAACAATGTATCTAACCAAAGCAATATCGAAATCTTCACCACCCAAGTGAGTGTCACCATTGGTAGATTTGACTTCAAAGACACCAGCACCAATATCCAAAATGGAGATATCGAAAGTACCACCACCCAAATCGAAGACGGCAACAACTTCACCATCTTTTCTTTCCAAACCGTAAGCCAAAGCAGCGGCAGTTGGTTCGTTAATAACTCTCAAAACGTTCAAACCAACAATTTTACCGGCATCTTTGGTAGCTTGTCTTTGAGCGTCATTGAAATAAGCTGGACAAGTGACAACGGCACTGTTGACTTTCTTGTGCAAAGCAGCTTCAGCAGTTTCTTTCATCTTGTTCAAGATGAAACCACCAATTTGTTGTGGAGAATATTGTTCACCTTTAGCTTCCAACCAAGCGTCACCGTTGTTGTGTTTAACAATCTTGTATGGGACTTGGTTGAGATCTCTTTGAACTTCGGCATCTTCAAAACGACGACCAATCAAACGCTTAGTGGCAAATAAAGTGTTGCTTGGGTTAACAACAGCTTGACGTTTAGCTGGAATACCAACTAATCTTTCATTGTCTTTAGTGAAGGCAACAATAGATGGAGTGGTTCTACCACCTTCGGAGTTTTCCAAAATCTTTGGGGTTTTACCTTCCATAACAGCAACAGCTGAGTTGGTGGTACCCAAATCAATACCGATAACTGGACCGGTTGGGGCAGCGGTGGTGGATTGAGCACGAGTCAATGTTTTTGGCAATTGACGGCCAACGTTCTTCAAGGAGGTTCTAGCAGACAACATCTTTATTTTCTAATAAATAAATATATAAAAAGAAAAAAAAAACTATCGAATGAAAATGCTAACTTTCTTTAGTTGAAAAAAGGAAGAAAAGAAAGAAAGTAAATGAAAGAAGAATTTTTTTTTTTCGGTATATGAAAAAATCGGGGGAGCAAAAGTGAAAATTTTTATACCAATGAGTAAAAAGTGTGATGGAATGTCATAGAACAAATTAATTAAATTGACACAGGTACACGACCTATTTGGATCCGACCGGAACAAGAACTCCACAATATTGACCAGTGACTCTCTATAGCCATAAGAACCAAGAAGATTGTAGTCGAATGTTCTCCATTAATCACATTTAGAACGAGGTACTTTACCAAAAAGAAAAAAAACAGAAGCAAAGCATCAAAAGAAATTTGTCAGGAAGGCAAATAGACTATGTACTTGGTGGAAAGTTTAATATGGGCCACCATGTAACTCAAAGCATGGGAAATTGCAGACGATAACAAGTTTTTAACAAATCATTTATGGTGTAGTGTGATAATGATACCGAGGACTTGGATCTAATGCAGTTTCTTTCAAGTCCAAGATGAATTTGGGTGATATTTGCCTCTCGGGATACAAACCCCGGAATTTGTATTGGTGGTCTTTACAAATCAAATATATTTACGAACAGAATAATACAAATTGTACAAAAAAATTAAAAATAAAAAAAAAGAAAAATATAATCACAGAAGAAACAAACAAATAATATAAAACACTATTATTAGGAATCTAAATCGTCTGGTAAATTACCATTCATCAACCAGGTCAAGGACTTTTCTTTACGGTAGTCTTCAAGGTATTCAATTACCTCATCAGCTGTCTTACCATATTTTAATATTCCTCTTTGAATTGCATCACATAATTTCTTTCTTCTTTGGTACCTCTTTGATTCCTTCGATCTGGAATCTCCTCTCCATTCATGTTTACCATACTTTGAATCCAAGCCACATAAAGGTTCTTGACCTTTGTAACCATGATAGAATTCGTCATAAATTTCCTTGACTGTCGTTGGGTTATGGATGAACACAATTTCAATTTTCTTTTCCACACGGGGTTTAGTAGAAGATCCCGACTGGTTTCCAAACCCAGCTTCTTCTGACTTTCTCTTAGTCGACTTCTTTTTAGGTTTCTGTGGTGTTTGGATTGGCAATTGAGATGATCCTTGAAGTTTTTGTGCTTGAAGTTGCTGTTGAGGTTGTTGTTGGTTAGTTTGTGGTGGTGGTGGGTGGTTTCCTTGTGCTTGCGCCTGTGCTTGGGCTTGAGCTTGAGCTTGAACTGCAGCTGTGGCAACTGCTACTTGGTGTAAAGCTGGATCCATATTACTATCTATATGACCAGAAAGATCCTGTTGAATATGAGGATTGCGTTGCTGTGATTGTTGTTGCTGCTGTTGTTGTTGTTGTTGTTGTTGTTGTTGTTGTTGTTGTCTTTGAACTTGACGATGTTGATTATGCAACATTTGCTGCTGTTGTTGCTGTTGCTGTTGCTGTTGATGGGGATTAATACTATGATGTGGTGCCATTTGATCCATCTGGCCCTGAATATCACTCACATCAACATCTTCTTGTAAAGCTTGTATGGAGTTTAAAACAGCATCATCTTGTGATTTCTTTTCTAACAAATCACCAATCAATGAAGTGACTTTATCAATTTTGGAATTTTGATACTCACTATACTGTTTCAATAATACGATCTCCTGTTGTAACGCAGATATTTTGTCACTTTGAATGTTCAACTGACTGTTAAGTTTGTCTATTTTGTTTTCAAAATATGAAATACTATCAGGTTCGTTCATGATGTGATGACGGGGATGTGAATTCCTGAATCAAATTAATTATATAAGATGTTGAATGCGCAAGGACCTAACAATTAATCAAAAATGATATTGGTGGATGGGTTGAAGATTGATTAGCTGCAAAATTTAATGAAAAATGTCTCTAAATTGGTTTGTTTTTGTTGAAATGTCTCTCTTCGTTGTTGTTCTTTTTTTTATATTTTTCCTTTATGAATATTGTCTCACAGGGTAGAGGGGAGAAACGAGAATCACATTTTTCCCTATTTGTTTGGTGCTCTTTATTGATAGAGAGTTATTGGTAAATCTGCACGACTTTTATTCACACATGACAGTGAGAGACAATAGCTAAGTTCAAGACTTCTACGATTGATAAAGTTATAATGACAAAAATAAATGAAATATATATTAATACGAAACATTCTAGATTATTAATGATATTATTTGGCGACTACACATGTGACGGATGACTTTCTACCTTTTTTTTACTATAATTCCAAAATTTTTTTATTCTGTTGTTTTGTCAAAAACTTTGAGATTCAGAGGGTATTTATACTCTTTTATAGATATATATATACATAGTATCTCAGATCCGTTGATTAATTTATTTGTGTGTGCATGGTTACTTCCCACATTTGTATTATTTGTATCATGCCATCCCCACAAATTTCATCATCATAATCAAATAATCTAGTAGTGACAATAGCTCTGAAAATAGTGGCATTCCGTAATTATATTAACCAATTGATTTTTGTATTCCTAGTATTATCGACGTTTATTAGAGATAATCATCAAGTAAAAGCTACAAAATTCTAATTAAATGTAAACTCATACAATGTCAAATATTACTTACTTTTTGCTCTATATTGTCTATAAAATTACCTAATCGGCGCTTTCGTCAAAATTGGAAATCAATTCTTCCCCAATGAGTGCTAATATGGCACACCCTAGATGAACAAAACGATATTCAGCATTTTCACCAAATACTGTTCTTGTTGCAAGATCCAACTGATCCAAGTCTGACAGCTTAGGTAGATACAATCCTATACAATTGGTAAATTGTTTAAATTGAGTCAACATCTTGGTTAATGGGAATGATGGCATATTTTCTAAATCAAATCCGTCTCTTGAATAATCTACACCACCCCACGGAGGAGAGGAGAAAATGAAATCAAACGGCTTGTCCTCTTCACGAATACCACTCCATATACTATCACCATGGCCGACTCCATTCCCACTCCATGGATTTTCACCACCTCCATCATTATCATCATTTATACCTTCCCCTATATCCTCCAATCCTTCCACATGATCAGACTCTCCGTCATCTAAATCTTCTTCTTCAATACTCCAGTCTTGTATGTCGTCATTTTCTTCTTCTTCGTTGTAAACATTTTCACTGGAAGTGATCTCCTTTGGTATCCATGAATCGTCTTGTGATAGTTCATTCCAGTCACCTTCCAAAGTCATTATATGATCCTGGACTCCATAAATCTCACTATTGTGTTGAGTACAATATAAATTAATAGGATTAATATCAATGGCGACAACATAGTCAAACAAAGATGCAAATTGTATGGCATTACCTCCACCCCCACAAGCTACATCACAACATTTTGTAGCAGATGGTAATAGACTTTTGAATAGTTCTGCAATATACTTTGCAGTTTTCTCAGGTGTAACACTAAACCATAATTCTGATGACATGTAAATTCCTTCATCAAATTTTGAAAAAAGTTGATATCTTCGTTTCCAAAATTTTTTGGTATCATCAGGAAGTGTATAATATGTATGGGTGAGTAATTCTCCATGATATGTATGTTGTTGTTGTTTCTGAAGTGAATTTGGGTTCGTTGACACTGATGAATTATAGGATAATGGATCAAAACTATATGCTTGTGGTTCCGTTTCTGGTTCATCTTCTTCAAAATCTTGTTCATATTCATTTTGAGAGTACTCTTCTTCGGGGTATTCCTCTTCGTATACGTCCTCTTGTTCCATTTCAGACTCGGGAGTAGTATTGCTATCATTACTATATTGTTCGATACGACTTTTCTTCTTCTTTTTCTTATTCTTCTTATTCTTCTTATGCTTTTTATTTACTTTCTTCAATATATCTACCATTAATTGCCTTTCAGCCATCGCAGTATCCAAATCATTTGTATTCTCCTCATTCTTTTTGTTTGCTTTATTAAGAGCATCTGTTAATAACATCCGTTGATCTGTCGAATTTTTAAGATCTTTACTTTGTTCCTCATTCTCTAACTCCTTCACCTTGCTTCTTTTCTCCTTTTTGGCCCTTTTCTTCTCTTTCTTTGTCTTTTTGCTCTTCTTCTTCTTCTTGGTTATCTTATTTTCATCGGGGTCTATTATAGTTGATTTTTCTTTCTTGGCTTCATTTTTCTTACCCATTTCGTGCTATATTAACTGCAATTCTTTCTGTTTGCATTCTTAATGAGCCTGATTATTATTTTTTTCTTTTTTTTGTTTTATTTTTCAGGTAGAATCCCATTCCAGATATTCGCGTCAATAGCTCCGAGGCCTCGTTTCACTACAACAATATAATTAAAACTGCAAAATTAAAATAAAAATCAAACTTATAATACAATTAAATAACACAGAAATCACTATAAGAAAAGAAACAAACTTCACATACAAAGTACACACCAATAATATATATCTAAATCTTCCAAAGCTTATCACCTTGGCGATAGAATTTGTTTTGATCAATCATAATTTTGAAACCAGCTTCGATTTCTTCTTCCGAAAACTTATCTTCTTGTTCCATTTGATCATTAACAGCACTTACAACATCTTCATAAAGTGCAACATCACCTTCATTATTGAACAATTCTGAACGAGCAACATTGGCCAAAATAGTCTTGAATGAATTCAATCTTTCTGTACTTATACCACTTACTGATGGACCTTCTTGCTGACTATTACCTCTTCTTCCTGATGTTAATGGTTGCAGTTGTGGTTGAGATGAACCCAAATGGAATTGTTCTAATTCTTCACCAACACCTTCATCATCATCACCGGTATCACGTTGACCAAGTGGTGGCTCAGGAGTAATAGACGGAGAAGCTTGTTGTCTTGCTGCACGACGTTGTTCTCGTTGTTGTAGTCTTTGAGTTCTTGCTCTTGTTCTTCTACTTGTCGGTAATATTTCTTCTTCAGAAGCATCCAGTTCTTCTTCCTCCTCTTCGGTTCTGTCCTCGTCAATCTCTTCTTCATCTTCAGAATCCAAAACGTTTCTGGTTCTTGGCTTCTTTGTAAGTTTTCTGGCAACTTCTTTGAACAATGCATATCTCAACAATTCTTCAGCAACTTTAGCATCTTGAACATCAACTGTTTTGGATAATCTTACCTTAGCATGTGCTGTAGCAAGACGAATTAATGTTTCTAAAGTTCTTGCTGTGATTGGAGAAGTATTTCTTTGGTTGTTACCAATTAAATCATTTCTTAATGAAGAATAAGTACCGACAATATAATCAGAGGCACCTTTGCTTAAGACTGGTTTAACTCTTTGTTTGGCATATTGAACATATTTTTTCAAGAATGGAATAGAAATGATATTACCAGATTTTTTCTTCGTTATACCAGCATGCAACAATGCATTGAATTTTTCAAACATTGGTTGTTCCATAAGCTCTTGCTCATTGGTTTCATCATTTCCAACAGCTAATGTAACACTGGATTTTTCTCTGATTGGTTCACCTTCCATCAATCCAGGTGGAATGAATCTGTGCATTCTCAAAACATGCTCAGAAATAACTCTATCTCTAGTTGGATTCACGTCATCAGTGACAACAAACAATAAATCGAAACGTGATAACAAAGAATCTGGCAAAGCAATATTCTTGTGAGGATCTTTGTGAACATCATATTGACCAAACACTGGATTTGCTGCAGCAATAACAGAACAACGGGCATTCAAAGAAGTATGAATACCAGCTTTGGCAATAGTAACAGTTTGTTGTTCCATAACTTCATGAATGGCAACTCTATCGGTTTCAGACATCTTGTCAAATTCATCAATACAAACAATACCTCTATCCGCCAAAACCATGGCACCTGCTTCTAGTCTTCTTTCACCAGTTTCCTTATCGGTGGTAACTGCAGCAGTCAAACCTACACCAGACGAACCTCTACCAGTGGTTGCAATAGCCAATGATGCTGTATTTAAAACAAATCTTAACACTTGGGATTTTGCAGTGGATGGGTCACCCACCATTAAAATATTGATATCCCCTCTCAAATGTGTTCCATTATCCAAATTCTTTTCAACACCACCCATCATCATAAGTAATACTGCTTTCTTAATATATTCAAACCCGTAAATGGAAGGAGCTAACGAACTTGATAACACATCAAAAATCTTTTTGTCTTTGGAAAGCTTGTTAATATTTCTAATATCTTGGTCGGTGATTTTCTCCTGTGAGGCAACACCAGTTGATCTAGCATGTAACAAATATACGGAGTTACTTAAAATAACAGTCTTGAAGGATGAACTATTATTACCACCACCACCGAGGGCACGGTACACACCAACAATTTGAACACGATCACCAGGTTTTGTTAAATCAACTAAATCATCATCCAATATAACATCCACAGATCTTGGAAGTTGACCTGCAGGTGCTGTTTCTGGCATTTCTTGAACAGATATCTTTTGGTAATCTCTATACGTAGAATAACCATATTCAGTAACTAATTTATTACCTTCCATATCTTCAGTTGGATAAATTGCTGGAGTGGCAATGGCATCAAAGGATGTTGTTTGGTCACGGTATTCACGAGCATAAAATCTACCAGTTTTATCAGCATAATGAACTGATCTAATAACTTTTGGTCTAACCAAAGAAGCTCTAGTAACAATACCTTCGACAGAAACCATCTTTGAAAGATAACCAGAATCAATCGATCTTGGTGTAAGGGAATGATTACCAAATGCACCAGAAAATGATAAATAATATTGTTGATTTGGATCATAGTTGTCGTGATCATAAGCAGGATCATGTCTATCATAAATAGCCATAGCTGTATCTCTTAATGCTCTTTCACAAGCAGGTAAAAAATCTGCAGGTTGATTAAGTAAACCATACCAGAATTCTCTATCGAATTCTCTTATTTCATCAATTGAAACACTTAATCTAAATTTCCCTTTGATTATCATATCTTTAATTTGACTTCTATAATCTATTCCTGAATTTGCATCTATTCTGTCTAAAAATTCTTGAAATCTACGGACTCTATCACCAAAAATTGCATCTTGTGGCTGTTGAGAATCATCTTGAGTTTGTTGCTGTTGTTGTTGTGTTGATGGAATTCCACCAAATATAGGACCATCCATTGTTGGCTTATAAACGAATGTGTTTCAAAAGTAGTGGATGGATATATAGATATATATATATAAAAAGAAGAAGTAATTGGTTGTAAACCTTCTTTTGGTTGTTCTTACTTTTTTCTCTTTTTTTTTTTACAACAGAAATGGAAAGTTTGAGAATAGCGAAATTTTTTTTTTTCTGCTTGTCTTGGGAAGAGACGTGTATTTCATTATGTTTCCTAAAACGGACAAATTAAATTTGAGCCACGCGCACTACGACTCTATACAAAAGACCAACCATCCATCAATACAGGTTTGTTCTCCAGTTTATCATTTACAAAAACATTATCAAACTCTTCAAATTCTAAAGCAGAATTTTTATCTTTAAATCTTCTTTCATATTCACTTTGCAACAATGAGTTATAACTCCAATCTAAAAAGTCTTCCATATTATAACTTGGTTTTCTGAATGGTTCACCGAAAATTTTGGCCAAAGTAGCAATATTTGGATGATAATGGCTCATTAAAGTCTCCAATTCCCATAATGATGAGTTAATAGCTTTTGTATTCAATGGATTCTTTTCAGTATTGTCGAATGGATCTTTGTAATTGGATCCAACATCTGTGTTATGCAACATAATCATACAAGTAGGATGTCTCTTTAACAAGTTATAAATGAATGGAATGACAATAACAACACCAGAAGCACTGGCACCTGAAGATAATCTAGCTAATTTCTTAATGAAAGAAGCAACCAAACTAGCTGACAAATGGGTGGATGTCAAAAACAAGTCACACAAACGGAAAAATCTAGATCGATATTTGGTGTATAATAATTCTGGCGTCAATAAAGAATATAACTTTGTATAGAAATCTGGGTATTCTAAATTGTAGTTCTTCATTAATTCATATAATGAGTTCAATGCAAGGATAGGGACAATCAAATCATCAGTAATATCATAACAGTCTGTTAAGAAATCCATTAATGATTGTGCTTGAGCCATGTATGGAATAATTCTCTTGTGTAAAATTAACAAAACGGACTTGTATTGTACTTGTAATAAAGGATATGAAAACATTTCAATAAGATCCTTTTGGTATTGTGATTTGAATTGGTTATGTTTATATAAAGCTTGCGGAAATTTAACATCTTTATCATTACTAACCCAAAGTGGTTCATCTTCTAATGTTTTCTCATTGAATAATAACCCATTTCGTATGATTGTTAAATAATTTGCAAAGATGAGTTGTAATTCAGTTTCAGATTTTTCTTCTTTCCATTGGTGTAAAATATCTGATAAATTATTGAAGAAATAAAATTGTAAATCCCAATATTTAGAAAATTTCTCAATAAACTCCAAAATTATAAAGTTGTTTGTAGTACCATCATGCTGAATTTCCCCATTCTTACTTTGTAATAAGGCTTCAACAACCAGTCTATAAGTTAATGTTGGGAAAGTAATTTCTTTAGATGTTGACTTACGTTTGCTTTCCAATTTGACAAAGTTCAACATGATATCCAATAAATCTAATTGTAAAGAAGTAGGTTCAGATAATTTCTCACCAATGAATTCGTTAATCAAAGATTTAAAAGTGCTATATTTATCGGCAACCCACTTAATGATAACTTTCTTGTCTTCATTGGCTTGTGATTTTTTAGTGTTTAAATCATCATTAACTTTATTGAAATTTTTATAAAGCAACAGGGATAATTGACGTCCAAAATTTTCCACTGCTGAATCTTGTTTGTCTTGCAACTTTTGTTTGACTAATGTTAATTGGTTTAACAATATTACGAAATTGTTAAATTTCAAAGAATCATCGATTTCTTTACTCAACTTTGTTATTTCTTCTAATGACAAAATATCATTAGGATCAACAGGTTTAGCTGTTTTAACTGTTTTAACTTTCTTGGTCTTAGAATCAGATCCACTCTTTGTAGCTCTTCTCTTTGGTGCCATTATGATATATAGATTTTCACCTAAGCAGTATGTCTGTCAATTAGGGTTCTATATTTATTCCAGATTTTTTTTTTTTTTTTCATATTCACAATGTAAGATGAGATGTCTGTTGTAAAGCACACGACCGATTTTCCAACACTATAAATATGTCAGGATCGAAGCGAAAATTTTTTTTTAATTGTTTTCCCTTTCTTTTCTTTTCTTCTTTGTATGACCTTCCAAGTTTTATACTTACATGATGAAATCTCGCGTTTAATCAATATTTATCCCTTCTTTTGATATGTCTTCCTGTATGAAAATTGTTGAGTTTTCTTAATTTGTTCTTCTTTCAGAAGGTGAATTTGATTATTCCGATTCTTTGTACATCTAAGGGAAGATTATCAATTGAAAATGACTTGACCGTCGGGGTTAATTTAAATGATGATGGTGTTCGGCGCAAACCTTATCTTGTTACATTTATTATCGGACGCTAGTGAGAACTTCTGACCCAGAATAAAACATTGGATAGAGATACGTCATACGAAATAGTTCATTTATTTATTAAATATACATATTACTAAAGTCAACAACACATAATCGTAGATACTTTTTTTTATTGTATATAGTCCTATTTTTATTTTGTTTAACTACTGCAAAATTGATACACTGTTTCTTTAATACGAAAGATATTTATTGTCTTACCAGAAGGAACACCAACCGATATAGTGTTGACACAAGTTTTCCACGCTAGTTGCTTGCTGAATCAATTTATCTACTTGGGTTGGAACATCCAATCCTCTTAACCGCTTAATATCATTACCAGTCAATTTATCAGTGATTCTTTTCAAAACCAAAGCTGCTCTAGCATTTCTAATCTCTAATTCATTTTGTTTCTGTAATCTAGCAGCTTCCTTTTCATCAATTTGTCCTCTTCTCAATAAATCAGCAGTATTAACTTGTGCAACTCTAATACCTGTTGCTTCAGCTAATGCTTTTGTAGGGAAATCAAAACCCCAGTTAATTAAAGGATCATAAGCAAATGCCTCTAATATAGCCATCAAAGATTCTTTATTATCACGCAAAACTCTCATAACATGTTCACAAGTAATTCTGAATGACCCTTCGATTCCACTAACTTCCATAGCATAATTAAGCATTCTTGTAAGTCTAAATGGGACCTTCTCTGGATACTTCTCACGCAAAATAGCAGCTTCAAAACAATCACCAAAATCAATATGAATGACTTTACCAGTAATACGGTCCAACATCAAGTTCGAAGGATGTCTATCTCCCAAACCTAAAATATAACCAACCATTGACATGACAGCTAAAGATCGAGTATATGTAGTTCTTCTATCTAACCAAGCTTCGGATGATTTTGACTTTAACCATAATACCTTATACAAATCTTGACCTTTACAATTATCCAAAGCACTGGTGAAAACTTCAACCTTCTGCAACAACGTCAACATGTCATAATCGGGAGCCATTTGCAATAATAATCTATGTTCGATATTCAACATAATACTTCTTGACTCTCTATAACCTTTGATCAATACATGGAAAGTATCACTGTTTGGAACCCAACCTAACAAACCAACTTTTGGAGATAATGGAATAGCCGAATACTGTTGAATATCCAAATGTCTCTTGAAACATTCAGGATCATTTACCAACAAAGTGTTAACCAATCCAAACAATTGCATAACTAAATTATCTTGTCTGATATCTTCATGACCTTTCAATACATACTGGTAATCCTTACCATCACTACCTTTACAAGAAAACTTTCTTGGTCTTTGTTTAGATGAAATAACTGAAAAGGTAGGATCAAAACGAACAATTCTAATGATCGGCTTACCTGCTTGATATGTACCAGGAACAGCTAATTCCAAATCACGTGCTTGTTCCAATTTGGGTGAAACATTCTCCAACTCGAGACTAATCAACAGTTGTAACTGTTTGGATATTCTTCTAAATACATTATAGTAAATATCCCATGCTTGATTCAAGTTGGTTATATCCTTTGTTCTTCTGTAATTAAGAACCCATTCAAAGGCATCGGCCAATTCTCTTCCAAATGCATTAGTAAATGCTTGTTCTCTCATGGTTTCTGGTCCCTTTTGCAACAATTGGTGTAATGGTTCTAAAGTTTCAAACATCTTTTCAGTATTATGTTCACCAAAGAAAAATCTACTGGCATCTTCTAAAGCATCATGCCATTGTTCGTGCCACAATACTGCAACTCGAATAAGTTCAGGAGTTACCAATTCAGCTTGGTCGACTAATGTCTCAGAATGGACTCTCATTTTTTCAATAATCGATTGTGCAGCCTTTTTACGGCTCGTAGATTCAGAAGTTATAGCAACTGTTAATGGATATACCAAAGCTTGCGGGTGGGCTTTACCTAATTCTGCTAATAAACCAAACAATGAACGGCTAACGGTCTCATTTGGTTGGTGAATACGGGAAATCAATTGTGGAACTACTTCTAACCAATTATCGATCTTGACCATGTTGAACCCTTCAGTCATTGCCTGGGCAGCCTCTGTAATACCCCCAAATTTGAACCATAAAGTAAGCAATCGCAACATATCTTGAAGTGAATTGGAGTTAGATAAAGCAATAGAATGGAAAAATCCTCGAATTGAAGGGATAACATGTCGTTGAACAGCATCGATTGGAATGATATTGGCTTGTTGCTGTTGTTGTGCTTGCAGTTGTTGTTGCTGTTGGAATTGTTTAACTTTTATATCATCTGAATTTCCATTACGCTCTTCCTCCAAAAACTCAATCTTGTTGCTTGTTATTCCATTACTAGAAGGAGCATTTTGGCTTGTGTAAAGGGAAATAACTTCAAAGTTGGCCAATGCCCAATTATGCCAAGCTTTATACCACTTGTCATCAAAATGAGTGGCCAACAAGTAGGCTCCCAAAATTATTTCTGAAGTTTCAGTTCTCCAATTATTATTCAAAGCAATCTGCCACTCACCTTGTTTCAAGAAACATCTTGCCAACAATCTGGTATAGTCTTCAACATGTTTTGGAATACCTGGACCTTCTGATGGTAATGGTTGAGTGATCAAATCATTTGGATTCAATCCAAGATCTTGTGACATTCTCGTAGTGAAATCAACTAAATGACGCAATGCTTCTGGTCTTTGACCTTTAGCCCACATGTACTTCAATTGTGCATAAACAACTTGTGGTGGTGCCCTGGATGGATTTTCTGGTGATCCTTCTTCCAATAATAAATTCAAAGATTTCTCGGCCAAATTCAATCTTCCTGACTTTCTACATAAATTAGCAAATTTGATCCACATATCCATGTCTTGCTTTGGTTTGATCACTAAAGCTCTGACTTTCAACATTCTTTGCCAAATATCAACATTTCTTTGACAACCCAATAATCTTGTATTCCATGTCTTACGCATAACAGCTCTTTTTTCTGAACCCAGAGGCAAGCATTTGTATTTGATGATTTCTTCCAATTCTGCAAGCATTTGAACTCTCACAACAACACCATAAGCTCTATTATAACTTTCACTTACTAAAGCAGTAATTTCTGTAACCAATAAATCTCTTGCTTTCAAAATATGTATTGACGCATCATCGAAATTATTACGGTGAAGACTTAAAATTGCATTGAAGAATGCTTTATCAGGTGATTCAGCCTTCATGACTCTAATACAAGAATCCATTCGATCCCATTGTCCCAATCCCCAAGCGGCAGCAGCTGCAAGTGGTGCAACACTTCTCTTTACATCACTTGATGAATTATCCCACTTGCTACGAGCCAACTCGGATAATTGTTCCCATTCACCTAATGCATGCAAACATCTCATCTTACCGATAGTAATATCCATATTATTTGGTTCTGTCTTTTCTCTTTCATTATAAGCTTTCAAAGCATCATCCCATCGTTGCAATTTTTCATACCACGTTTCCTTCAATTGTAAGTCATGGTGTAATTGAGCATGTTTCAAAATACCAATAGCCGCATCAGATTGCTGTAATTGGTTATTAATACTAATTAAGGACTCAATAGTAGGTGTAGTTGGTTGGTCATAAAATTCCAATTCTTTATAATGTAAAGCTTTAGCAAAAGCATGAGCACGTTGGGCGTATTGACCCAAAGTAGAAATAGCAATTGGCAAAGGTTTGTCATCATGTTCCATAAATTCAGCAAGGTTCAATAAAATCTGATGAATCTCTGGTGGATTGCTTGGTGATGAAAGTGCAATACAGAAAGCTTCAACTAGTTCTTCTTTATGTTGAGAATACAATTCACTCCAGCAACTAGCAAAACTAGCATTGAAAAGATCTTTAGCTAATGGATAGTAATCAGAGGCCAACCCGGCACAAGCTCTTATAGCATGTGATGGACTTTGCAACAATAATTCTTTACTTAATCTACCAATCCACTCTTGCCAATCTTCTTTGGTACGACGTTGGCTGGCATCCCATGCTGCTTTTAATGCCGCTTGGTTTACAGGAAGCTTCTTTGAAGGCATATCCGAATCAGCAAGATCATAACGGCTGTAATCATAATCCTTGTAAATATCCAAATGAAGTGGCAATGGATCTCCACTTACCAATTTTTGCACCAACTGTTCAAATTTAGGAGCATGGATGTTTTTCTGTAACAATGTCTTCTTAATAACAGGAATGAATACAGTGAATTCTGGTCCTAATTGAAGCAACATGTATGTCAAAGTATTAATTGAAGATTCTCGAAGATCGATATTACCCAGACTAAGAATTCTTAAAATTGGATGAATAATTCTTGATGCCATGTCATTCAACATAACATTCTTTGATAATCTACCAACGGTCTCGATTGCTGCTCTTCTCAATTCAACGGGTCCACATTCAAATAATTTGACAATGTTTGGTACGACTATATCAACAAACTCCTCTATGTTGCTGCCGAAAACGACAAAACTCTTTAACACATGCAATGACGGTGATCTTTTTGCTGACTTGTCATCTTCAAATACTCCAAGCAATAATGTCAACACTTCTGGTAAGTACATTTTAAATTCACCATCTAATGCTCGTGAAATAGATTGAATAACATTAATTATTGTGACTTGGATATTCAATTGGGAGTTGATATTAAAAAATTCTTTGATAGTAGCAAAAACATCATCTAAAAATGGACGAATGTGTTGCTTGACAATTAAGATGATATCACCCAACTGTTGGAAATAAAATTTAAGCATTGATTGTTGACACGTATGCATGACGTTGATTATTCCAGGAATTATTTGTGGTAAAAATGCAACGCATCTAAGTCCTAAAGTCTGGAAAATGTACATCACAGCTTGAATAACTTTTGTATGATGAATACTTAATGATGGGTCTTTCAAGATTTTCATCAAAGTAGTAATGGCAACTTTTGGATAATATTCTTCATTTGATGGTGACATTCCTTGCATCAATAATGCAACATCCACTGGTGGTGCATTCTGTTCTACCGGTATACTCTTTGATGTTTGCTCAACTTCTCTATGTTTATAAGGATCAAGTGCACCTAAAATACCCAACAATCTAACAGTTTCTCTCTTGATATCAGCAGAGGTTTCCAGTTTCAAAATTGCCACAAGCATACCTAATAATTGTGGATAATCAAGTAATGGCTGAATTACATACCCAGAAGAAGATGCCAATTGACCTAAAGTTTTCAAAGCGGCATCTCTTTTGTAAGACGAACTTTGATCCTGGAATGTTTCCAAGATCAAAGGCATCAATTCAGGGATAAATGGTTTTAAATCTTCTCCTCCAACAACTGATAACTCACCTAAACACTTGATAGCACTAGAAGCAACGGATGAACTCAAGTCCTTGGCTTTAGGTAATAATGCATCAACTATTGGTTTGACATAAGGACGAGATAACTCATTGGAACTACTAATAAGTAAAGATAATAAGATGGCGCTTTCTTCCTTCTTACGACTGGTAGTAGAATACTCCAATTTTGAAAGCAATTGTATAAGTGTTTTTCTGAGTGAGGGAACAATATATGCTGGGTTGATTGATGATAATCTTCCGAGTATTTTAATGGCAACTTTTCTTACAGCAAAAACTTCATCATTCAAGGCAATAAACAAAAGTCGAACATTATCGGCTTGCGATAACTGAGGATCAAAATTGCCAGCTTTGACTAAACAATTCAACCCAGCCAATCTAATTTCTGGAGTTGGATCAGTAATTGATATTGATAATAATTTCCCCAAAACTTCATTGACAGTATTTAATGCATTGACACTTACTTGTTGACAAATGGGATCTTTAACAAAAATTTCATAAGAAGTAACAGTTGCAGTGAGACGAACCTTGGCATTATTATGTTCAAGGTATGTGATAGTACAATACCTTACAAATTCATTCAACTGATAGTTTTCAAATTCAAAAAAAGCCAACATCTCCAACGCCAGAATCAATATTTTACTATCCAATTTATCATATTGTTCTTGGTTCATCAATATGTTGTTGATACTCATACCTGTGTCTCTTGAAATCATAATCAATCTGCAATCTCTCGCTAGTGATGGGTTTACCTTTATGGTGCCAAAAGGTGATCCTGGTGGTTGGAACCCTTTACCTGATAATACTAAGCTCAACAAGTTTAATAATTTTTCATTAATCAAATTTGTTAATGTCGGAATGTTGATAATCAAAATTTGAAGAACATCTTGCATATGTTTAGATAAAGAACAATTGGAAAACATCATATCTAATATGTCTCTTTGTAAATGTTTTGTTAATGCAGGACCAACAGCAATTGATAATTTTGCAATACAGTCAAAAATAGCTGGTTCGGTTTCTTTTCTACTGGCAGTGTATTTTGAACCAGATGTCAAAGATGCTATATTGGCCGTACTGATATTTGGATTTTCGTTTGAAACAGCTTTGGCTAGAATCAGTTGCACTCCCGCATTTGATGTATATGATAACCCTTCTCTAATATTATCTAAAATTGCATCTAAATAAGTTGCCATTTGATTACCAACTTCCAAGGCAATCAAACCAATACTCTTGAAAATGGCACTTTTATCAGCATTAGCAACTTCAGTATGTTGACCTTTGTACTTCTTGAGTTGTGATAAATAATAATATAATGTTCTATGTAAATATTTTTCCACAAACAATTCTGTATTGACTCTGCACAACAAGGGGAAGATATTAGTTAATTCTTGTCTTATAATTGGTAATTTATGGTGCTTGTACAAATAGGTATTTTCATACATTTGTTCAAATCTTGAAATGATAAAAGGATCCTTATTGTATTTGAGTAATTCTCTGTAGATCAACAATGAACCATGGATATTTTCACTAGATTGACCACTAAGGGCAATATTGTATGAAGAGTTTGAATCAGACGTTTCTGTTACGTCATTCTCGTTAAGTAATTTCGATGCCAGTTCAATCATTCTTTTAATCCAAAAAGTACGAGCATTCACATCTCTATCATAAATGATATGCATACACTTGTTAAGGGCAATCGCGGCATCCTCTCTAACAATAAGTTTATGATCTCTTAAAGGTAACCACAAATTCTCCAAAATTTGATTAATTAAAGGATATAATAAAGTAGGAGCATTATCAGAAAGGGCAGTAATGATCAATATAGCTGCATGTCTTCTATTTTCATGTTGCTTATTATCACTTTGTAACCATTCTATTGCTCTTTTAGCTTCAAAATCAACAAAATCTCCAGTTAAATTTCCTCCTAAAGTTGCTAATTTACCCAATGTACTAATTGCTTGTTTCATAATTATCAAATCATTAGATAAAATTAAAGACCCAAGATAATTGGAAAATCTTGCAGTTTTTCCAGCATTTTCTTTACCTACACCTGAATCAAATTCAATCAATGCATTTAAAGCAGCAATACCTCCTAAAATCTCTGCAGTTTTCTCTCCATGCAATAAATCAAAAATTGTCTTATTTATATCATTATTATATCTATTGAATTGTTCAGATGATAAATCTCTGGCAATGGACGACAAATAATTATGTAGTTCTTCAGCATATTTAGCTCTTTCTTCTTCAGAACTTGAAGTTAACTCTTTGAAAATCTCAGTTAAGGCAACTCCATCTACCACTTGAACCTGAGTAGTAGTAGATCCTGACATAGTGTTGTTATTATAGTTATGGTAGTAGTTATGGTTATTCTAAATTGAGTTGGTGTTTTAATTTTAGTCGGGTTGTTTGGCGTAATTTTTCTTTTTTTTTCTCCCTCTGTCTAAATTTGTCTCGCTCACTCTTTTTTTTGATTATTATCTATGCTTGGTGTATGCGCCCTTGAAATTATTCACCACTCATTTTTCTTTTGATTGTTGTTCATATCATTGTGTGTCTCACTATCACGTATGACGGTGAAAAATAAAAAAAAATGGATAAACAGAATACAGTATCATCCACAACAATTAAAACCTTAAAAACACAATGGTAAACTAGAATCATTATTCCTTTATTTTTTTTTTTGGTTTAGACTATACAAATATTTATATACTGAATCTATTTAATGCGTTTATGGTACAGAGAATAAGGAAAAGTTTCTAACAATACTTGGACCATATTCATCATAATCACTCTTGGTGTAACAGTAACTCTTGAACTCGGATGTTTGTGCTAAAAGTGAACCACCAAACCAAACTGCATTTCTTTGTTTCTTATGTGAAATAACTTGCACGTCAACACCAGTACTCTTCAGTCCACTTAATCTTTCACTCAATTGAACCCTTTCATTAACTATGGTTTTCAAATCTCTTTGTAATCTTTTACCAAAATCTTTAAACATGGTAGAACCACCTGATAAAACAATGTTTTTATACAATTTCTTACGCACATCAATTGGAGATGCTTGGATAACTTGATCAACAACGGTTGGTAATGGAGTCAAAAAATCAGATGAACAAATTTCTGGATTGAAGAAAATTTCTGGAGCCAAAAATCTTTCATAACCAACATCAACAACATTCTTTTTGTTTTTATCATAGTATTCAACAATATATTGAGCAAATTTTTCTTGAGGATATTGATCAAATCTGCTAAATTCTTGGACGATATCAGGACAAACATAACAGAATTGTTGTTTGATCTTTTCAGCAGTTTGCAAACTGGTATCAGCTTCACCACGATCTCTTAATAATTGTTGAATAAACAAAGTGATATCTCTACCAGCTAATGGGATGTTTTTGATGGCGGTACCAATCACATAACCTTCGGCAACTGGAATAACGTGAGTAACACCATCACCAGAATCGATAACAGTACCACTCAATGATCTATCTTGTACTTTAGGAGAAGTCCAAGATGCAGCTAATGCCAACACTGCTTGAACGGCAATATATAAACCAGCACAATTAAAAGATTCAAACATAATTTCAGCTGTACTTTCACGATTTTCTGGTGGATTTAATGGTGGTTCAGTTAATAAAAAGTAATGATCTTCTGGTTCACATCTCAAATATTTGAAAATAGAACTTTCCCAAAATCTTTCCATTTGATCCCAATCTTCGACTTGACCATGTTTAATAGGATAATGCAAACCATATTGAGAACCAGTTGAAGCTTCTATGGCTTCATCTCCAATATAAAAATCTAAATCTTCTAATCCTCTTTTAGATGCCAAATTTGAACCACGAACACCTTTGCCAGCTTTAGAAGATGCTGATGAGGTAGCAATGGCTGTTGGGAAAACAAATGAAGGGGAATCATTTCCAGCAAACCCTAACTTGGTTAAACCAGTACCGTTGTCCATGACAACTGCAGGTGTATTCATACTCATGGTGTATTTAGTTTTAAATGATTAATTGTGATGATATCTAACCTCAATGGCAATGATTGAATGTTTATGTGACTAAATCACGCTTAAATAAAAATAGTAGATTGACTTGATATAAAACCTCGCCGAAACCTTTCCACTGACAACTCCTTTTTTTTTCGTTGAGACCTTGTTGAACTTTAGACAAAATCTCTCTCTCTCTCTCTCTCTCTCTCTCTTTCTTTCTTTCTTTCTTTCTCGGGTCAATTTCTCAGAGATTTTCTTTTTTTGGTGGATCAAACACGACTTGGACTTGGTTATTTTTTTTATCCAGCATAGCCCTTATCAACCATATCAACCAGACACATGTCTAAGAATAGTAACATTGGTAAATCAAGTTCATTAAAGTGGGTAGAACAAGTTCGAACGTTACCAAGTGATCCTAATTCAAATGATTTTTTAAAATTAGAATATCTAGATGTTAATTTGAACAACTCAAGAAAGCTAATCAACAATATCAACCAGTTGTCCAAGAATGTTAAAGAATACGTTGACGATGTTGATTTGAAAGTAAATGGCAATTTAGTGCAACTAAAACAAATACAAAGAGAATTGGATTGGTTGGATTGATGAATAATCATACAGAAATATGTCTATAACACCATTAAAAATATTGCAACTATATAAATATGTATAATGTCCTAACGAATATATAAATATATAAAAAGAAAACGAACTAAATTAAATAATGTCAATCACAAACTTCACTTTGGGCTAGATTGTTCTTCACTATCCTCCTCATCATTAGTTATGATAAAGTTTTGCATGGCAATTGAATCACGGTTGTCAACTTGCTGGTATTTTCCGTTTCTTTCCAAATCCCCTGTTGTTTGCTGTGATTGTTTCTCAGAATCTTCTTTCTGGGGTTTAAACTTGAGAATAATTATTGCATTTCCAATAATTAATGTAATTCCCAATAAACTTAACATGCCTGGGAAATGGTGCCAAATACTAACATCCCAAACTACAGCAAAAATCATACCAGAATATGCCATCAAGGATGCTCTTGAAGCTTTAACTCTTTGAACACCAGCTGTCAATGAAAACTGCATAAAGAATCCCGATAATCCAATGATGAGGAATAAAGTCCATTGGTAAGCATTTGAAGGTAACACAAATGACAAACCTGGAAGTACCAAAATTGCAAAAAATGTAACAACGCAACAAGTTAATGCAAAATAACTGACAGATAATAACGGATGGGCATGCATACCTATCTTTCTCAAAATGATGTAAACACAAGAAGCACCACAAACACCAACTAAGCCAACTATGGTTGCTAAAATTCTCTTTTCAGAACTTGAACTTTCAACACTTTCATCACCATTGGATTCTGTATCTGAGGCACTACCAAATATAAAAGTTGGTTTGGCAATTAATACCACCCCACCTAATGAAAACAATGAACATACTGCTTCCAATATAGAATACTTCTCAGATAACATTAAGAATGCTAAAAATGCCGTCACCATCGGTACCAAAAATGTTAAAGCAACAGCGTCTGATAAACTCAAATATTGTAAAGAGAAATACATTCCAAAAACACCAAAAAAACCCACAAATCCTCTTAATAGTAATAATTTTCTAATCGGTTTAGGACCTAGTGGGGCTTCAGGAACAGATCTTGTAATGCCCATATACAACAAGCAACAAATGTATGTAATGAACATTCTGACAAATAAGATTTGGGCGGGATGTATAGGTTCGTTGGAGCCTTTATTGGTAACTAATAGTTTACAAGTTGTAACCATAATTGAATTTAAAAATTGTGACAATAGCAAGAGAGAAATCCCAATATTTGGTGAGATATACTTGTCATAAAATGATAGTACGGATTGTTTGATTCTTTGTAATGTTGATGGAGTTTCAAAAGTACTGGTTGATGCCCAATCATGATCTTCTATGGTAAATGAATCAATAGAACTTGCTTTACCTTCTTCATTTTGTTCTGTGTATATTACCTCGTGGCTCTGAGGATGGTTTGCATTTGCCTCGTTGATGGTAGAATCGGTAATTACTATTGGATCAGCAACAAGAGGTTGGTCTCTTAGCACTGTATTGTCTGTATTAGATGACATGGTACAGGTTCTAATGTAGATAACTTTCAATCACTAGCAAAAAAAAAAAAAATACAAATACAGCAAAAGATCCGTTGGTGAATTAAGGATTGAAAAATAGATAGATTATTTTTTTTGGTTTAGTTTCGTTTTGTTCTGTATCTGATAAAGACTTAATTACTAAGATTTTCTTTTATGTAGGGCCGCAAAACCAATTGGAAAACTAAAAAAAAAAAAAGATAAAAATTCCGCAATCAGGGTGAACATTGAAAGGGGCGTATCGGGAGTGCGGTTCCTGCAAGTAATTTATTCCAAATGATGGAATTTTTTTCTTTTAGTTTGAATCTTGAATAAGATATTAATTATCAGAGAACACAATCTTAGACTTAGTATGTATCTATACGTAGACCATTGATTACACATAAATAATGACATTAAAATGGTAAACCTTAATGGTTGTTAAATTGGAATCTACACCACAGTTCATGTGTTCTTTCCTTTGCCGCGGAAAAACTATATAGGTATTCCGAACAATAGCAATTCCCCCCCCCCCCAATTTCAAACCCCCTCTTTGAGAAGTTTAATAGAGGGGGGTGCATGCTTTTCAATGAGTCAGTCATAGGAAATAAAAAGGAGAAGTTCGTGTTTTTCTCCATCCTGTCTAATGCAAAGTCGATGTGATCTCTTGATTCATCACAGTTTGGTACGTGGTTGATTTTAGTTATTGCCGAGCAGCCGTTGTCTTTCTTTCTATCAAACTCTCCCATTGCGCCTTTTCTGGTTCCGTTTTTTTTTTCTTGGCCCTAGCTGATACGAAAAAGCAATCCACAGTTTATTACGATAACATCAAGCATTGTTAACTTGGTTTGACATGTTGATTCATATTGTGTCAATTTAAAGTGAAAAGTATATATCAAAACAGACATGATGAGATCTAGGTAGAATGATTTTCGAAAAGTACAAGAATCGTATAATGCACAGATATGATATATTACGTCGTATGCAATCATGACTTCAAAAATAATAAACAATTCACTATCAAATAGTAATCAGAGATCAAATGTAGTTGTTAACAACGCATTTAGCTCTATAAATGAAGTATGCCTGTGATAATCTGCAAATATACTGTATATCACATAAATTTCGCAACATTTCATCATGAAAAAAAAAAAACTGAAAGATTTTGTATTTTAATGGTGTAAAAACTCCGAAACTTGGAATGTTTTTTTTTTTTAATGCTATTAGTATTTGCATACAATCTATCTAGCTATAATACAAGTTAATTTAAAATCATAGAATTGTACAACATCCTTTACTTGGTTTTTCATTATTTAATAAACTTGTTCGAACAGCAAATTCAAAAATATCATCTACACCTTCACCAGTTAAAGCTGAACTTTCTAAATATTTTTTAGCTCCTATCACATCAGCCATATTTTGACCTTCATCAAATTGAACAAAATTAATTCTATCATTAACATCGGTTCTTAAATCTTTTTTCAATCCACATAATAGATATGGAGTATTTGGACAATATTTTTTAACTTCAACAACCCATTTACTTCGAGCATTATCTAGTGAATCAGGTGTATCTAAACTAAAAGCAATTAAAATTATATGGGAATTATTATAACTTAATGGTCTTAATCTTTCATATTCTTCTTGCCCTGCTGTATCCCAAAGTGCTAATTGTACAGGTTTACCATCAATCCTACAATCAGTGACATAATTTTCAAATACTGTAGGATGATATTCTGAAGGAAATTCTCCTAATGTGAATACATAAAGTAGTGATGTTTTACCACATGCTCCATCTCCTACTATAACTAATTTTCTTTTAACTGGATTTGACATATTATGATATTACAAACTGACCAACAAAGTGTATATGTGTGTGTGTGTGTGTGTTAAATGTGTCAGTGGATGTTCAAATTCAAATTCAAATTCAAATGAAATTGATTTGTTTTTCTTGTCGTGTTAGTTTTCTATTTTTTTTTTTTCTTTTTGTTTCTAATTTTTATTGTCTTCTTTCTTTCTGGTTCTTTTTCCGTTTTACTTAAAGTAGAAGGGGAGGAATTGAATTGGTTATTTATCCATGGTTCTATGGAAAATACTTCCTCTTTATATATTATTATTGGGGTGTTTTTATTATTACTAAATTCAATTATATTTATACATTAGTAATTAAAAAAATAAACAAATAAATAAATCGTGATAACAATGTGGTCTATTTTTAAACTTCTTATTTATATTTCCACAAAACATTGGAATGGAAAAAAAAAATATACATGATGTTAATATAAAATAAAAACTAAAAACTGGATCCAATTCGCAATAGAGTAAGAGAATCTTTATCACAACGAACCGAGTATGAATAATTATGCAACCACTATGAACCATTATCCATTCTCGCGAACAAGAATCGTCATTAATCATTAATAAACACCATTTCAACAATATTTGGCTTGCATCAGAACACTTCTCTATATATTGACGTTTGATTGTAAAATGAAAGAAATATATTCAAATCTTTAATCCCAAGAATACTAAAACTAAAACTAATACTTATAAACTATACTTAAATCACTCGAAAAAGGGTGAGATTCCGGCACAAAATCATTTATGCTGGTAATAGAAACTCTACAACAAAAAAAAAAATAGGGGCTTTAATTCCATAATTTTCTGCTCAATCCATTGGAATTACCAGTATTGTTTGTCAACTCTCCAATTGGACTCAAAAACGATGAATTAACCCCATTTTGATCACTAAACAATCCTGGTGGTGAAGAAGTATTGACAAAACTGGACAACCCTCCACCATTAACTTGTTGACCAGATACGGGTGGAGGAGAAGCTCTTGGCAAACCATTCAATACAACATTAACATGGGTAACAGCACCAAATTCATCATACTTGAGGTTAAATTGATAAATAGAAGTTGCATTAAATGATGTACAACAACTAATAAATTGATTGATAGACAAGTTTGGCATATTCAAAATAGTCTTCACATTTTGGAAAAGGTTCACCAATGGTGCAAATCCAAATTCAACTTGCCCACTATTCTGTAATATTTGAAAACAATTAAAAGTTGTTGATTGGATTAAATCAACCTCAGATGAATTGGTGGTAGTGTTGCCATTATTGTTGTTACTATTATTCCAAAGACCACTACCATTGGCAGTATTTGTACTAATTAATGATGGTTCATTAGGATTGCTCCAAATTGAGTTACTACGAGAACCAGTTGTTCCCAGATTAGTTGTTTTACCATTTCCAGAATTCATCCAAATGTTGTTGCTATTACCACTTACTGGAGTACTAATAAATGTGTCTGTATTCAACGGATCAGCAAATGCATTGAAGGGACTGAAATTGGTTGAAGATTGAGCTGATCCAACACCCCCAGCAACAGTGGAGCTTGGTAATGTCGAGCTTTGTGGATTTGATGAAACAAACTGGCTACCTGTTGTGGCACTGAATGGTTGCTGAGTCAGGGCAGTTAAGGAATTCAATCTCGATTTACTTGACCATGGTGATAACGTATTACCAGCAGTAATAGTAGCATTACCACTGCCGCCATTTAACCCATTGGTAACCGTGTTTGAAGAACCATTATTGAGCAAATTTATTAAAACCGTTTGAGGAGAATTCATTATTGAAGGTTGTTTCAACAAATTAGATCCATTTTGAAAAGTATTAGAAATAAATTCCGAAGAGTATTGATATTGTTGTGATATTGGAGGTTGATGAGTAGAAGAAGAAGGAGGAGGTACAATAGACTGTTGTAGATTTTGTCCTTGAGGAAGCGATAATGGAACTTGTTGAGGCTGTTGTTGCAAAGGATGTTGGCCAATTAATGGAGGAACAGATTGCAAAGCAGTCAAAGTAGGGAACCCATCAGAAGTAGGTGTAGTTGGCATCGACGTAGTTGCAGCCTGATATAAATGATTCAATAAAGGATTACCATTAACAAGTGGATCATGTGGATTATTTCCAGTAGAGAATTTGTACCTTTCACTTTCAATTTGTCTAACAATATCATCATCATCGTGATCCTGAGCTTGTAATCTCTTTTGTTTTTCCTCTTCTTCTTTCTCTTGTTGTTCTCTTTTCAATCTTGCTTCTTCCTCTTCCTTTTTCTTCTTGAGTAACTCCTTTTGTCTCTTTTCTTCTTCCTTTTGTTTTTTCAACATCTCCTTCTGTTTCTTTTCTTCCTCCTTTTGTTTTCTTTCTTCTTCTGCCTTCTTTCTACGTTCTTCCTTCAATCTTTTGGCCTCTTCTTCACGTTTTTGTTGTGCTTCAACCTTCTTTTTATGCTCCTCTTCCTTTCGTTTTAATTCCTCCATACGTTTCTTCTTTTCTTCTTCACGCTTCAATTTCTGCTCTTCCTTCCTCTTTTTCTGTTCGGCCTTCAACTTCTCCTTTTGTAACCTTTGTTCTTCTTCTTTAGCTTTCAATTCTAATTCCTTTTTCTTTCTTTCCTCTTCTTTGGCCAATTGTTGTAGACGTTTCTTCTCTTTAGCCTTTTCCTTTTGTTTCAATTTTTTCATTTCACGCTCTTTCTTGGCATTCTCTTCAGCTTCCAATTCTTCAATTAATTTTTGAGTTCTATCTTGTGACAATTTCTCTTTATAGGCATTTTTCAATCTTTCTTGGAATAATTTAATGACTTGAATCAAGAATAATCGGCGAATTTCTTGCATTTTTTCTTCTTCAGAGATTTCAGATTCGGTATCGCTTGCATCTTCATCTTCATCGTCATCATAATCTTCTTCATCTTCCTCCTCGTCTTCATAATCTTCCTCATCATCTTCATCTTCGTCTTCCTCGTCATCGTCTTCTTCTTCTTCGTCAGCATCTTCTACTTCTTCTTCTTCGTCATCTTCAAATTCTTCAAATCGTGGTGTATGATGATGGTGGTGGTGATGGGGATTGTCACATGTATGTACTTCAATTTCTACCTTATCGTCTTCATCAACCCATGCATATTTCAGCAGTGTGTTATGTATCGTGGCATTTGGGGATTCTTTTAACAATTCTTCTCGAGCTGTTCTAGATTCAGAAAGTGCTTCCATCATACCAATGAATGAATTGCCATCATTTTTTAACAAATCCTCTGCAAAAGTTGATAAACCTTTTGATATTTGATCATCAAGTCTATTTCCAATAACGGATCCCTCAACTCCATTCCTAGCATTAATTGCAGCAATGTTGGAGAAAAATTTACCCATATTAGAAACATAAGATATTCCTTTCTGTAAATTTGCCTTATCAACATTATTTAAATCTCGAACAATCTCTCTCAATGAAGTTGCCTTTTCCAAAATATGAATACTATTGGAATTTTCTGGATCCAATTTAGAAATTTCTTTCATTTTATCCAAATCCATACTTTCTAACGCTTCAAATAATTTAGGATCAAGTAGTTTATTAAATAGTTGTGATTCATTTGAATTCTTTAGATCATTTTCATCAAAACTAGTTCGCAAATGAACTTCGGTAGACTTGTTAGAAGACGGTTCTCCATTCTGTTGATCACTAGCACTAGTCAATTTTTCAATATGATTCTTGAACTTTTCCATCTGATCTTGAATAAAATTTACTTTAATATCATTCTGAACCTGTGTCGGGTTTAAACTATGCAGTTTCGCTTGTTGCTGTGTTGGTGGTGGCAATTGGTGATTATTACTATGATGATGATTGTGTTGTTGGCTTTGAGCCTGATCCCATTTTTCTTTGAATTTCAATTGCCGTCTTTGTAATCTTCGTTCTTCTTCTAACATATGAAATCCACCAAATAACAATCCTGGCAAAGCATTCAAATCATTTATATCTCGTACATCGTGAATGAAATCAATTATATCATCAAAATGATTATCATAAATATTTTCCAACTCTTCTTCGATAATATTATTTCTTCGTCCACAGTATTTGCAAGTACAGAAATTGTTACCATTACTTCCATTATTATTGGATCCTAAACCACTGCTGGTACCATTGTTTTGCGACAGTAGTTGTTGCAAGTGTTGTCTCGTTTCACTCTTGAACATTTTCATGATGGAGTCTTTATCAATTCTAACTAATTCTAATTTCTTAGATTCGCCTAGGGATTCCCAAAACTCTTTCAAACGTTCCTGTTCTTCAATAGATGCACTATCCCATAAATTAGTATTTGAGGATGATGAATTCTTTCGCGTATTACATGAAGTTCCATTACTAGAATATTCACAGTCGTCATTACGTTTATCTGAATGATGGCGTCCATGACTATGATGATGGTGGTGGTGATGTTGATGGCTGTTATTGCCTAAACATTCTGCATTATTTTCATCATCTTCGTCATCATCATCTTCGTCGTCTTCCTCTTCTTCTCCATCCAAACTTTCGACTATTACATCCCCATTTGGTGCTTGCTTAATAACTCTTGAGGTAGGATAATCATCTCCTGGATTATTCAAATGGGCATGGATTGTAGAAGCAGCAAGCTTTGACTTATTTTTCTTATTTTTCTTTTTCTTTCTTTTAGATACAGAACTTGCTGATTCTTGATTATTTGATACTAGTCTCTGTTTCGATTGATCTTGAGAAATACCCAGTTTCGGTTGATTACTCGGGCTAGATGATGATATTTCAAAATGAATATTATCACCCAACTTGAATTTCGTAGTTGAATTCTCCAGTCTATCCATTATATCAGACATCGTTTTATTCTTACTTTACTATATTAATCAAAATAAAAGTACCACAAGGAAATCTTAATCTTAATCTTAAAAATTAACGCCTCTTGTACTTTATAATTCTCCACTTGTTAAATTTCAACTTGAAAGATATTTGACTAGTAATAGTAGTAGTTGGTGTTGTTGTTGGTGGTGTCGTAAAGGAAAAGCCTGACTTGACTGAGTTTTTTTTTTTCTCTCTTGTTTAACGGTTAGTATGTGGTATTTTTTTTTTCCTTTGGTGGTCAAATTAAAATTTTTCTTCCTTTGCACACTATGTCTGTTTCTCTGTTTCTCTCACTGCCTTTCCCTAAATAAATAAATAAATAAAAAAAAAGGAAAAAGAAAATAAAGAGGTTCTTGCTGTCCCACCCAACAAAAGGAGAAAGACACACACAAGTTAGGATCAAAAATTGAAAGACTACTTGAGAATCTTTAACACAATGTATAATAAGTTCCTCCTCTTTTAACCAATTGACTTTGATTCTAATGATTTGTCTTTGCTCAGTTAATTTATTGACGTAAATAGGCTGACGAAGCAAACCCCATTTAATGCAGGAGAGAGGGAGATAGACAAAGAGAAAAAAAAAAAGGAAGACAAATGGTGTTAAAATTTACATCTATATTTGTTTTGTCTTGCCTTGAATTGTTAAACAACCAAATTCTCTGTTATGACAATGAACGAAATCTACTCAGTTGAGTCCAACACATAGATCTCATTCTATGTCATTTAATTATATTCTTAGTTTACACTCTGTCTCTACTTGTTAACCAATACGGTAGTAAAAATTAGAAATGCCCGTAAGAAGAAGGAAAAAAAAAAATCAATGAAAATAATATAGTCGTGTACTAGATCAAAAACAAAAAAAACTTATATGCAAACCATGATAATTTCTCCACATTGAAAATAATTTGTTGCAACCAAAAAGGAAATTATAGTCGAATTCAAATGAATTTACTTACTTTCCTCAAGCTTCTTTTTTAATTCCTTGTTTTCTTCAACAACAACTTCCAATAAAGCAGTTAATTTATCGATTTTTTCAATGACTTCATAAATTTGCCAATTAACTCCCATCTTGTTAGCTTGTTTCACAGGTTTAACTGTCTTTTCAATTTCTTGATTAAATTCGTGAATATTAATCATAAACTCTGGATCTTGGTGTTCGCCAATTCTTTGAATCCTTAATTGTTCGTTGATTTCCAGATCTCTTTCTCTGATAGTACTCATGTGATCATCACCTTCGGTTGAATCATCAAATCCATCGGTCAAATCCCATTCAGTATCAACTTCATTGGCATCGTCCGGTAATCCTTTAAATCTATTGTAACTAATTCTTCTAGCATTGACTAACTCATCGGAAGTAATATATGTAAGCAAAGGAGCATAGATGATCAACATTACATAATAATTTAAATCTTTCCATGTGTTTGCTGGTAAAAACCAACCTAATGGGGTGATGATAACTTCAATCAAGTTGAATGGCGGAACATACAAATTTTGATCTGGGGCTCTAATATATCTTAAAGTCTTTTGAGCAACCAATGCAAAATATTCATCAGTGGCATTTTCAACAATTGCTGCATAAGCAGTGGAATACAATGCAATCAAGATATTCATCAAAATAACAGTCAACATGAACGAGTACAAGTAGTATAAAACTGAAGCGTAAGGTGGAACCAACTTACCCATATCGTCAAAGGAGGAACTGCCAATAACAGCCTTGACCAATGAGATTAAGATTCTTCTAGTGGCTTCATTCTTACCATCTGATGAATCAAGACCAATGAAACCTTGTAAAAATCCAATGATGACAACTGCCAACAAGAAAAAGAACAAAATGGATTCCTTCATCATGACTTTCAAAACAACAATCATGGCACCAACAAATTTATAGGCATCCAAAAATAATAACAATCTAGACCACATCATAGGAGAAGCACAAGCCAACACTCTGTATGATATTTCGTCATATCTAGCTCTCAAAGCATCATGTGAAGAAAGGGAAACACTGGCTACTCTAAATGCAAAGGCAACAGTTATGATTGTGTACATGATATCATTGAAAACATTCCAAAATCCTAAGTAATTCCAACCAACGTGATAAATCTTGACAATTTCGTCGTAGATGTAACTAATTGTAAACAAGTACAATATAACTTCAAAGGCGTCAATACCTTCAGTAGTTGAGGTGTGGGTGTTGACAACGATGGTGAAAACAATTAAATAAATGATACTCAAAATTATTTCCAACATGTTTTGGTAGATTGGGGACTTGACCCTGGCAGGATCAAAATGGGTTCTAATGGATTGAGAAGCAATACCTTTGTACAATACATATGAATGAGGATCAGTAGAAGATTGCACAATCCAACCTCTCCATAACCATTTGATACATCTTTGGTATCCAGAAGATCCAATGATAATAGTTGAATGCATATCAACTGCCATTTCCAATGCACTAACCGGAGTTGAGTCAGTACCGTTGATGCAAATGCAGTATCTATGACACAACATACTCAAGAATAAATACTTATCATTTGTTTCACGTTCGATGATGATTGCAGCAAGAGTTTGTGCAGTCAATGCTCTTAATGAGAATAATTCATTATCAGATAACTCGAATTCGGATTGTTGCCAGTACCAGTCACAGACTTTTAATAAACAAAAAACTAAAGCCGCGCGGTACTTACGAGATGATGTACCTTCTTTGCCATCTCCTTTCCCACCAGCAGCTTTGTAAACCAAGTCAATGACAGGACCATTCAAGATAGATGAATCTGGTGCAGTGATTTCTTCTTCTTTAAAACAAATTGGGATGATTTGATCAATTAATGACTTCAAATTGGTACAGATTCTGAATATTTGACGAGAATTTGGACAATAAATCCCTTCGCCATAAATTGATCCTTCATATTCTTCATTATTTCTTTGTGAAGGTGGAATTAAAGGATTGTTTTCTTCAAGGTCAGCAAGTTGGGGCATATGGAAAAGTTTATGGTGAAATCAAGAATATAATAAAGTATCCCCTTTTTCTTTTGTGTGTTCTAAACAAAAGATAAAGAAAAAAAAACTTTACAATGATTAGCAAAAAAAAAAAATTTTTATTATACGTTCGTTCTATTTTTTCTATTTTCTTTGGTGATTCAAAAAGTGGTCTTAGGTCGGTCCAGTTGAAATGAGAGATTATCGTAGTAAACTCGCAGGAGAAACTTGAAATGAAATTCCAGTGAGACGACGACGATGACCGTGTTTTTTTTGTTTTTTTTAATTTGCTATTGGGTTTTGTGGTTGCCAAAGGTGGAGATTAAGAAGGAGTTAGAACGTGACTCCGGTACGCGCTTCTTCTCTGCTTTGAGGTAAAGATAGGAGAGAGCAAAAAGAAAAATTGTCTAATAAAACAAATTAGCGCATTCTGCAGACTGAAATTTCACTTTCCAACGATAATATCTACCACCAAGGAATTGATTATCAGTTGGGTAATGCAAACAGAAACTTATTAGTTTTCATACCAACTTTTTGATATTAGCAGGATTATTGAATAGTTAATTTAAAAGAAATAGTGTATAATCACGACTTGTTGCACTTGCTGCACTTGTTACCACCCGTTCGCGTCGTTTATAACTCCCTTTACTTTTCAGAGATACAACAACGCGAATTATTGTATAATTTAGTTTAGTTTGGGTGCAAAATCTAACTGAATTTGATTGACAATATTAGTTCATAAACATGGATATTCTTCAATTAACATCACCATATTATTATGACGTATATCACAAGAATCGTAAATCTTTTATTAATTTTTTTGAGAACTCTCTTCTCTACTTTTCCCCCTCTTTTGTTTTACAACGAGTTTATTATTATTATTTTCATTTAATAGATTAGCTATTTTTTTCAATGTCAATTCACTATAGTTAAGGGATAAAAACAAAAGAAAAATAAAGATCAATTTGTCTGATCCTTAAAATAAACCAGAATGGAAATACTTTAGTTGATTGTCTACCAAGAAGATATTGTTCCTTTTTAAACGAATGGATTAGTAAAAGGAGCAGCCAAAATGGAAGAAATCCTGATCCTGTAACAGATGGTGTTTAAGTATAATCCCCCCTTTCTAAAACTAACAATAACAATGAACTAAATGATGTACAGTATGCTTACAATATAATGACATTAAGAATGACGTACGGTTTAGTTGTTAAAAGAAATAAATATTTAGTTTCACAGAGGATAAGTTCAGTTAATCCTGTCTCAAAACTCATGATCAAGAGTTCTCAAGTTAAAGCACATTATCATCATTATTCTCAACATCAAAAAAGGAAGGAACGTTTGGAACCTTGTTCTCGTCTATTCATGAAATAATGGAATTGGTTTTTGAAAGACACTCCTCGTAAGTTCACACGTTATGATATTCTTTTCTTTTTTTTTTTCTTTTCATAGTTTCTAATTTTGGTTACTTAAATATCTAGATAACACTTCATAGTTAAAGGAGTTTGGATTTTCAATGATCAAAATGATCTACACGATCAACAGCCTCAATTATTGATTAGGGAAGTATGATCTAGCCACAGAGCGACTTTCTGCACCATTCGAGTGAAACGAAAAAGAAAATGCAAACTATCAGGCGATATTCCGCCCATTATCGACCCGCAAATTTTTGTTTTAGTTCATTTCTGTTCTAGAACTTTAATGTTAAATAGGTTAATAGTGATATGTACATGTTAATATCCTAGTATTTCAATTGTTTTTCTTTTGAATTAATTTCCTTTTTCGTAAGCATTAAAGGCAATTCCTACATATGCATAAAATTCTATATGCGTAATTCTGCCCAGGAAGTAAAATTTTCTGGTAAAACGTCGTGACCCCTCATATACAAAATCTCATTCAATCAAACAGTGAGGCGCCAGAATTGAAACCCTTTAATATATCAAGCATAAAAATTCTTTAATAAAACCATGTCTAATATTAGTATGGTCCAAAAAAAAGAATAAAACAAAAAATTGAAGTCAGACAAATTCTGAAACTGTTCTGTACATCGTTACTGATGTGCAATTAATTTTTGTAATAAACTACACAAGATGTCAATGATCATCGCATGTTACAAATTATTTATTCAACATAGACAACAATAAAGAGTGTAATCACTCAAGCCAATCTTTGTTTCAATGCCAAACATCTAAGCAATCTAAAAGAATTTAATTTCATTTTGAGTACAAATAATTGAGAGAGACACTACTGGTAAGGATTATGATTTTGTCTGGCAAAACTTACAAACTCAAAATAACAATACTGCATGCTACCAATTTGTAGGAGTAAGGTATCTTTTGCTATTGTATTTTTAATTTTTCTTTTTTTTGTTTTGCTTTCAAGCTTAAACCTTGCAAAATTTGTTAAAACTGACAATTCATTTTGTGTGTTTTGGTTTCTTTTACAATTTAGACGATCTGCTATTCATGTAATCTTTTATTTTATGTTCGTATGTGAAATATAAATTTAATGGCGTAGGTAGTGCGTCCTTGGAGCTTCGGTTCAGTATACAGTGAGAAATAAATTCCGCTCACTACGGTAATGCAGGGTTAGAAACTGATGTCGCTATAGAAAGAAAGAATATACAAATGCAATACATCACAAAACCACTTCTGATTATTTTAGTCTTCATGCTTTACGATATCTTTGTTACTCAGGAAAAAAGAAAACTGTATTAATGAACAGAGATTAACCTTCTCAGTTACATAATCTTAATAATAGCTTTAACCTTGTTGCTTGACCATAATGCGGAGTATGATTACTATTATTATTAATCGTGATAATGTTATTGATTGATTGCAGAATAGCTTGTGGTTTGTTATATTGTTAATGTCTAATTTTGTGCAGTCTTTAAGACAATAAACAAGGGGGTTAAAAAGAACAAAGAATAGGACACTGTTTTAAGTAAGACTTGTATTGTGCAGCGGTGAAATTAAACATAGGAAAAAAAAAATTTATCATAACCAACAGAAACCTTTGTGGAACTCAAACTGCAATTTGCCGTTTTATAGGTGATTAGCAGTGCTTACCTTGTTATTTTTCTTTTTGATTAATATCGACTAATTTCCATGCATTATGTTCTAATTTTCCTTGTTAATTTTAGAGTATTTCTCTATGAATTTAGTCTGGTATTTCGTTTCGTGCTTTTCATTCTTGTACTTTTTTTTCTACTTTTTAAATGTTTATATTTATAACCCATAATTCTTTGTTTTTTTTTAATCTAATCATTTTTTTTTTTAATTTCATTTTGTTCTTCTTTCACAACGGATAAACCATCATTTAACAACACTATAGCCATGATACATGATGAGTTAAGCACCTTGTCTAACTATAAAACAAAAGACCTACCCTTACCTCCACCGCCCATTTATGCAAATGAAGATAGCGCATCTTCTACTGAAACATCCACCACTGAAACAACTTCTTCTTCTTGTGGAAAAGAAGAAATTTCTTTGAGTGAATATAGAGAAAGGTTATTACAACGACACAAGGTGTATGATCCATTTACCAGACGTTCTGGAAGTTTATCAACACGACAGAATATACAATTATTCCTACATCTTAACCCAACTGACGATATCACAAAACCAACTACTTTAAAGAGAATTGACCAGGATGACGATGCCACAATTGAACAAAATAAAACGCCCACATTGCCAAAGTTTCATATACCTGCTGCTCATAAATCACCATTTACTCCAGAAGGATCGAATGAAGCTTTACCAAGTCCCAATATAGATAGTGCTGCTTCGCCACGAGACACTACAACCGCGGACCCTGAGGTACTATTTCAAGGGACAGAAGAAAAAAATGAGTACACGGACAACGTTTCATTTCAGCAGTGTGTTATCTCGCCACACCAACAGGAGTTTCTTAACCAGGTAATTAGCAGAAATTCACAACTTGAAGAGCCATTTGAATACGATCCATCTGAAAGTGATATCTTATCTCCACCTCCTCCAATTCTACTACAGGAACAGGAACAGCAACAGGAAGAAGAAGAAAAGCAGTCGCAACTACACAGCTCAAATTCAATCAAGCGCTCGTTGAAGAAAATTTCTGGAAAACTAAAGAAATCTACCAGTGCACCAAATCTAAAAAAATCCTCCTCCATTCGTACATTCAAGACTAGTGTATTGCCAGATTTACCAAAACAAGATTATTCCACATACTCTAATCAATCTAAACTCGAAGATCAGTTATCAACGTTTACTGCTAGATCATCGACAACTTCAAGAACAAGTCCAGTCACATCACCCCAATACTCGTTTACACCGCCCCCTCCATTGCCCCCTAAATCACCACAATATTCATATACGAGTAAATCTCAAAGTATCAACACAGTAACAAATACACCAACTATTACTTCATCTGAATTCATGGCATCACCCGATTCACCATTCTGGAAATACCACATTTTGAAATTTGGGAAGGATCTCTACTTGACAACCAATCCTGGAATGAAACATATGTATTGCAGAAATGCGCCAGGATATTTCATTGAAGTAATTAGCAACGATCCTAATTTGTCAACACCAACTTCCACATCTGGGTACACATTGATTTTCAAAGACTCAAGTAGATTGAAAGATAATGCTGATGTACCATATATGATGATTAGCAAGAAGTCACAAGCAGAAGGTGGTTTCTTTACATTTGGTGTACCAAGGGAGAACTTTTTGAATCAGGGTACAATTATGAAATTCAAAGATGAGACTTCCTATCATGGTGTTTCTTATAAGGAGTACATAGATAAGGAATATTTCCCTTATGATAATCTTAGAGCAAAATTCCCACAGTGCTTCAAGAACTTTGAGGTACGAGATTTACATGGTGTACCATGGAATATAGGTTCAATCCCCAGGGTGAAAGTCAGTAAAGTTAATAAGCTACGAGATAAAATTTCTGGCTATTACGATCATTCACACCAGGGACATCATGAAGATGAGTTAAAATTCATTGGGAAAAGAAATATTTATTTCCATCAGAATTTTATACCCCAAGATTGCCAAGCAGTGAAGTATAAGGAATATGAACCAAAATATGTATATGGTCATGATTATGGTAAGAGCTTCCCTCCAGTTTTGGCAATGTTTAGACCATATGAGAATAACATGAGAAAAAGAATGATTCAGAGAATGAAAAACCACAGTGATATTCATGGAGCATACCTTGATGGTGTGCAAGATGACTATGGTACCGATACCGATAAATTTTACCAGGGAAGTGATGGATTGTATTATGTTAAAAACACAAGTGATGATTTACCTGATGAAAATAAGTTAGGATGGATAACGATTTACGAAGACAATGAAACTTTTGGTGGAATCAGCAATAGAGGAATGTTCGATCTTGTCATTGGAATGACTTTAGCTGTTGGATATGATAGTTGTTTGACTGATTAAATATGTATTCAATCTAATAGAATGTACCATTTGTTTCATTTGTCATCCCCATTCTAATATCTAAAAGCTGCATCGATCTTTTTAACCATATTTTCAAAAACATCCTCTTTGAACACTTTTGATAACAAAATGACTTTCCACCAAAGCTTTGCACCGACGTTATCCTTTTTGATGTTTGATTTATCAAATTTCCATTTTAGTAACTTACTTCCGTTGATCAAAAAATTCACATGATCAAATGTTTTATCGACGGCTTGTCGAATAACCACTCTAGAATCATATTTATAACTATAATCTTCTTTGATGGATATATACTTATCCCAATTGTTTTCAACTTTATTACTTTCAAAAAAACCAAAATTGAATCTTTTAGAGTCAACACTTGGAGTAGTCAATATTGGAATATGATAAATTAAATTTAATTTATAATTCATTTCAACCCAATTTCTAAATATATTTGATGCCATCAAGGGGATACTTTTTAATACTGATGATGTGTTTAAAGGTTTAAATTGTATATTATCCAAATCTTCACCATAATATAATGAACCTACTAAAGTATTGGGCATGAAAATAGGTAAACTTCTCAAGGCAAACGATTTTCTTCTTGCTAGAATGAATGTGTTAGAATGTTCAGTTGATGAACTACTAAAATTAATTGGCATAGTCCATGGAATTGTTTCATTTAGATTTCTATCATAAAGAAGTTTGTTATCATTACAATAAAGTAAATGGTAATCACCTTTAAAACTGTAGAGATTTAATTGATACTCTACTTTATAACCAGTAAAAGGAATCTTTTCATTTGTTACACATGATTGAGATTGATCTGGAAGTGATATAACTGTATAAATGAAGAATAGCAAGATTATCCATGAACAACGAATCATGTTCTATTTTTTTTTTCTTCGGAGTTGAATGGTTAGTGGTGATAACATTAAATGCTATTCTTTTTTTTTGCAACACTTATCTCGCAACCTATAAAACACAGAAGTTTTGCAAGCAATTTCTTCTCTTGTTCATGTTCATGTTTTTTTTTTGTAATTTATATACATTTTTGAACTCATTCTAACTATAACTCTAACAATGTCTGCTACATTTATTATTCCCCAATCAATCAGAGAAGTGTCTACCAATTCAATTACTTTACTAGAAAACGTCAACAATTCAAATTTAGAAAAACCAAACTATACTGAACATCCTGCTCAAGGATATCTCGCTAGAATATCTAATCTACCGGCAGTTACTGCAATCAATGGTATGATCTCGTCTTTTCCTGTAGTTAAAATATTTACATCCAATCTTGTTCCAGTATTAGTTGCTAGAGAGCAAAGAAAAGAAACTCAACGGTTAGAGAAAATAGTTGAATATCAAAGAAAGTTAACCAAATAGATTAGAAGCTGGTGATCTGTAATTGTTTTGTTTTGTGTCGCTATTTATAAGAAAAAGGGGAATCAAACCAACTACTAAAATAATATACATTTATATTTCTTCCATATCCGAATCCGTAGATAAATTAAATTCAGCAGCTTCATTGTATTCCTTTGATACTCTCCGTCTTTTATTGCGACCATGAGTCAATGCTTTCTGACCTTTCCTCATTTCCTCCAACATGGTGCTAAATTTTTCGTCCTGTTCGATTTCAGATAAGTCATAAACCATATCAGCATCCTCAATTGTTTTATTGGATATTCGAAATGGTTGTTCCTGTTTTAACTGAACACGTGGCAGACCAGTAGAATCCAGTATTTCATTCTCACTATCAGATATTTCATGATTATCTTTTGGTGCTTGTACAATTTTTCTTTCCAAAGCTTTAATCTGTGATGGTTCTACTGGCTCACTTATTTCATTTGATGAACTCAGAGGCTCATAGTCAATATCTTCTTCTTGTTTCTCTTCATTGTCAATTTCCTTTTCCAATACCTCAAATTCCTCTTCCACATCTACATCACCAATTTCGTCTAACACATCATCATCGTCATCATCATCATCATCAAGTATTCGGATTTTATAATCATCCTCCTCATCTTCTTCAATATGCTCTTCCACTGAATGCTGTTGCCCACTTGCATCAACGTCATCAATAAAATTATCCACGATGTCTGTATTATTCCTCTGTGTGTTATCTCTACCTGTCCCCAAACTTCCAAGTATTGGAGCTAATGACGTATTATGTATCTTGTTATCATCTTCTTGCTCTGTCGGTGAGAATAAGTATTGGTAATAAGTAGACGTTTTCGGGAGAATTCTAATACATGATCTTTTTGCTACCCTCTGATCTATCAGTCTTAAATGATCTTCCAGAACAGTATCTCCTATTTGGGATTTAACATACTTATCCATTCTTAATAATGGTTTGTGTGATACCAGTGGAAATTGCCCTACATTTTCTGTCAAAAGATCGTTGGTTTTTGGTTTTGGTGTTGATTTAGTTCTTGGTAGTCCAATCTTTCGATTTGGAATTGCAGTGGATGAGCTAGTACCCATATTCTTCTGTACATTCAGTGAGGTGGCGTCTATGCTTTGATTAACAACTTTGATTATCTGAGGTGTGACGTGTAATGGTCTCTTTACTGGTGGATTCTTTGAGGGTGTTATAGGTGGTTCCTTTATAACTAACGTCCTAGCATTGACAACTCTTCTTTTTGGCGTTGGGATAGTATTAACTGAATTCCTTGGACCACTGAATGGTAAATCTTGAGTTGCTCTGCGATTCACTCCAAGACTTCCATTTTTCTGACTTCCTTGGCTATCTTCATTTTTCACTCGTAGGTTTACTTCACGTTCGAAATCACGTAATTTCCCTTGTATTTGAATGAGAAAATTGGCATTGGGTAGTTTAAATTCATTATTTTCAAAGAAAAGTTTTTCTAATATTACACCAACGGGTTTGTTTTTATAAAAATCTGTGGCGATTAGATGTCCACTTTCATTATGAATTTCAATTTTTCTATTAAATTCATAAAATTTAAGTTTCCCATCATTCCATTTTTTTGATTTTTGAATCACCCGTGCAGTGTATAATATTTCATACTCGTGTATAATCGAGGTAATTGTACCTTGACTAGTCGACATTACGAGGCCGATCACAATGAATGTTGTGCTATCTTCGATCTTGATAAATGATGTCTATGAGACTGTTTATTGTTTTTTTTTTGTATGTGTCGCGTCAACGCAGCACACGATATCATCTCATCCTCACTACATCTAAACATACATTTACACACGAAATACTATTTACATTGTATTAGAAATAATTGGAATATTTACAAACTATTGACTCTTAGAAAATGGGAACCCATAACAACTAAGTAAAGTTTTAGCATGAGCATCGGTTTGTGCGGTGGTCTTGAAAGTAATATTCAAACCATTCAAGTTTGGAAACAATTCTTGGAAATGCTCCAATTCTGGGAAAAGTTTACAATCTTCTGGAGTCAAACCCATAGTAATGTTACCATTTTTGTCACCTGAAGTGATTGGAATTCCTTTAAATGCTCTAATTCTTGGTAAAACCAATTCAGTCAAAGTACTAATAAACTGAGACATATCTCTGTCAACTAATTCAACTTTAGCACCACAAGCTCTACCAACTCTTACTTTCCATGGTAAAATATTGGATTTACCATAAAGGATTTTTGGTTTAACATTTGTGATAGTGGCTAGTTGCAATCTAGTGGTGATATTCAACCATGGTGAGTCCAAAGATTTCTTATTATAAGATTGAATGACGATACTTTCTAATTTTGGGATATTAGTATGTTTTATTGGATTAATATTCTTGGTTGGTCTTGTGCTTCCAACAGGTTTACGCAATTCACGGTACAACTTATATGGAGAGTCGGTACCCCAGGTACGCTTCTTGTTACCAACAATAGTTTTGGCTTCATGGTCATATAAATGCAACAATAAATCAGATGCCAATACATTGTCGTAATATTCTTGAACTCTGTCTTGAGCTACTTCTGTTGGTTTGAATTTGTTGGATTGAATGTCATCTTTTGGAACCAAGACTTCTTCATAAACTGGTTTCAATTTAGCCTTGTCAACTTTGACTAAATGATGCACTGGCTGAACAGTCGAATAACCAGGTTTCAATATTATACTGGATTTAGAAAATGAACGAATGAACTGTCTATTCATCTTTTATGGCTGATGTCGTTTGAGGTATGGCGATCTCTTTAATGTTTGTTCTCAAAAAATTTTTCATCCAAAAAAAAAAATCCTCTCTTTGGAGTTCTAATATTGGTGAGAACGAAAGTCGTGTGTGTGTTAAGTTTTCAATTTTTTTTTTCTTCTCCTTTTCTTTTTGATTTCAACTGTTTCAATGTGAGATGTAATTTTGTTTAGGTTTTCTCTTCTATTTGGCTTGAACTTTATACATCTTGACGCAAACAGCCTAACCACAAGTCACAATGGTGAGATATGGATTACCAGATAATTATGATTTATTAGTTGATCCGATTCCCGAGCCAGTTACCCTTTCACTAATCAAAGCACAACCAGAACCATCACCTCGACCTAGTACAAACAAAGCTTTTGAAGATGCGTATCAAAATATTGAAACCTGTATATCTGCATTCGTCGAATTAACTGTAAAGGAGCAAGATTCAAGAAATGAAATATTAAATTCAAAGATCGGAAAACATGATGCTTTAGCAAATGCAAATATTTCGCATTTGGCTGATGATTTCAACACTAGATTGGAGTTACAAACAAAACAAGTTAGAGACGTGATTCGACGAGAAAAAGAACGTGTTCGGATTGAAGAAGAACGTAAGCGTCGAGAGGAAGAAGAACGTAAACGCAAGGAAGAAGAGGAACGTAAGCGCAAGGAAGAAGAGGAACGTAAACGAATTGAAGAGGAGAAGAAACGTAAGGAACAAGAAGAACGTGAACGGAAAGCAGAAGAAGAGCGTAAACGTAAACAAGCAGAAGAAGAAGCCAAAAAGAAACAAGAATTAAAAGAAAAACTTGAAAAAGAAGAGAGTGAAAAGAAGAAGAAAGAAAGGTTATCCAGTTTGGCAACAACGAATCCTGCAAAAATTGAAGAATCTTTCCTCAAATATAAACAAGATATTTTGGATATCAAAAACAATATCGTTCTAAAATTAAATGCAAATAAAGAATTGAAAAAGCTTGTTAATCAGCACAAGCGTAAAATCAACCCAAAATTTGGTCAGTTATCAAATTCAATTTCACAATTGCGTAAAGTTGGAACTGAAGTATTGGAATTAATTAAACCTACAAAGGCCGATGAATTAGTATTCAAGTGGATTTTAAATTTTGTTGCCAAGGCTATCATAGACCAAGCTGAAACAGAAGTTATTGTTCGACCAAATTCTGCCCTTCCATTAGCTCATTTGGCTTTCACTATATTGCACACATTCCCTGAATTCGAATACTTTTTAAATGCCAGATTTATTAAGAAATGCCCTTATATAATAGGATACACTTGTTCAATTGATTCTGAAGAAGGAAGAAAAAGAATGGGATGGAAGCGTACATCAGACAACAAATGGGAAGACGAGGTCAAGTATGATGAAAGAATGGGTGGTATAGTAAGTGTATGGTCAGTCATGACGCGTTTAACAGATTACAATCTTCAACTACCCTTGTATAATATAGGATCGTCCTGGACATTTTTGGCAAGAATTGCTAATTTGGATCAACAATTATTGTCGAACACGCATTTTGCAATTTTAGGTAATTGGTGGGAAGCATGTGCCGCCCAGTTTGCTAATGCTTATGGTGGTCAAAGTAAGAAATTATTATTTGTTGTTGTCACACAATTGACCGATGTTGTTGCCAACAAAAAGTTTCCATCTGCGGCAAGATTAAGAATACTAGGAGAGGATTGGCAGCAACGTGGCCGAATGGAATCCTTAAAGGAAATGGAGCCATAAACAAACAATTATACAAACATTCCATAAACATTCCATAAACAAACAATTATACAAACATACCAAAAAAGAAGAAAAAGCACATAGAGAGAATACAAGCGATATATTAGACAAATTAGATCAAAATATTATTATTAATATACACAATTATACAGTATCACCGACAAAAGGAAATTAAAGGTCAAGTTTACCGGTATCACTTTGATCACTATCATCAGACATGTTATCATCCTCTTTATCAAAGTCAGATTCGGAGTCCGATTCAAGTTGATCCTTGTAGCTCACTTTACTGGTTGCTCGAGAACTTCTTCTTGTAGGTTCTACGCTGACCTTTTCTTTAACTATCTTAGCTTTCTTTTTGGTTGCACGTCGTGGGTTAACCGACCTTATACGTTTCTGGCGATCCTTCACAGCAACAGAAGGTTCGACACCTTTTTTCATACTGGAAGCTGTACGCAATCTCTTATTAATCAAAGTCACCAATTCAACTTGCTGTGATTCTGGAATAAATATTTGTGTGACTACCCATTGTGCCTCCTTAGACGATGCCATCGGAGCATAAATATCCAGTGGTAATCCAATTTTTCCAGGCCATGTTTGCATTGGCCAATTCTTACTATCGGCAAAGTTCTTAATCACCAATTGAGCTAATTCGGAAACTCTGTATAAGTTCAAAATTTCTTCACTCGGGTCCTCAGCCTCGTAGTCAGATGTTGCAATAGTAGCATCTCTGTGTTGCTTAACTCTACTGGCAAAATAATATAACAATGAAACATTCTCCTGAGTCGCAATCAATTGAACATAGAATATCAAAATCCTCGATGCATAGTTGAACGCTGCAAGCTTGCTTTCATCGTTTCCATCTTTAATAATCTCTATAAATTGTTCATGGTGTGCAATAGTATGAATCAATCTAACCAAAGCCTTTTCAAATTTCATATCTCTCTTTGATTCCAGGCGTTTAAACATGGAAGTAATCCACATAGTGACATCGTTTTTCAATTCTTGATTTTGCTCTAACCCACTGAAAAATGTAATGGCTAAAAATTTCTCCGAAATCAGTTTGTCATACAATTTCTTTTGCAAGCTTTTAATAAATTCAGATCTCACATGATAATCCTCATTATTGATTAAAAATGTCAACCTCCTGACGCTTGCCAGTAGCATGGTTTCACTATAGATTGGAATCTTGGCTAATTTCAACATGTACAATCCTGCAGTTAATCTAAACTTCAGTTTATATACATCTGGTGTGGGCCAGCTTGGGTCCTTTTTATTGACAATTTCCCCATTATTACCTATTAACGACATCAAAAGCTTAACTACAGGTAATGCTTTCTGCTTTGCTTCTTCCTTGGCATCATCAGAACTATTCTCGGTGTCCAAACTTCTTAAACTATTAACCAACAATCTTATTGAAATTAGTTTCTCATTTAGGCAAGGATATTTCTCAATATCGTCGTCACCTATCCACTCTTTTGTGATCTCACTGTCACGACCAAGATCTCTATTAGTGAGCAATATCTTTTTAATGATTAATGGTGTCAACTCATTTTCTTTTTCCAGAATGGCTAAATTATCAATAACAAATATTTCTGCCATTGCACTCAAATGGGTGGCAAATTTTTCATCATCAATATTAAATGGATAGATGGAGTCAATAATACCAGAGCAGCATACTTCCTTCTTGTCACTCAAACCAATTATTTTAACCGCATATTTGGCTTCTGAAGATGTTCCAATAGTTGCCAATTTTCTAATGGAATTCATAAAGGAAACTTCTTTTGGAAATGATTCTGGATACTTTTTTACGAAATGATAAATCGTCTTCAATGCATTGGACTTGTTCGTAATTTGATTATGTTCATCGACCACTAAATTTGTTAATGATCTTAAATGTGACTTAAATACATCTGGTATGGTTGTTGAAATTTGTTCTAGCAACGCGTTAGCAGCAGAATAATACTCATTTGAGCTATCCTTTGAGTAATTAACCAATTCCTCAACATTTGAGCGATTATAGATTAATGGTGATGCTCTCAACAATAAAAGCTTGAAATTTTCATACATTTCTGAAACAGTAACATTAGATCTGTCATCCAGCAAACGAATATTCTTGACGTCATTTAGTTTGTTGAGTAATTCCTTCATGGAATTCCTGATGGTGTTGAAATCTGAGTCAGGTGAAATGCAGATCTTGACTAAGTGGAAAAATCTGATACGATTCAACTTGTAGAATCTTTCCAAACACGAGACTGTATTTAAACCATCTGGGAAAGAAACGCAAATCCAATCAATAATTTTTTCCAACTTCAAAACATCTTCCTTGGGAACACTGGAGGAGTCATTCTCTTTATCATCTGAGACATTTTCTTTATTCAAAGATTCTGCTGTTTCAATAAATGTAAGTAATACCTTTGACAATTGTTGTTGTCTTTTATTAATAGCAACAAATGCTTCTATCCCCCTTTCATCTAATTCTTTGTAAAATCGTACCAATCTTTCAACTCGTTTGCTAGTATTGGATTCAGACACTTCCAATAATGTCTCAAAAACACACAAGTCGACCAAAAATGTAATATTCTTATTATTAATATAAACCAATGATAGAAGCTGGTTGGGGATGCTTTCGATTAACTTTTGTAATTCTTCTGAGATTTCTTCTCGGTCTTCGGATTTCATATTCTTTGAATAAATAGAACCCAATATTTGAACTGAAGTCTGTCTAATGACTACATTTTTCTCCCTGATTAATTGGAATAAGGTCTTCATGATTTCTGGTGTAGCAAGCTTGCTCACAAATACTGGGTAAGTAATATCATTTATGCACAAGCAAGCTGCTTCCCTGACTCGTTCATCTGTATCAATTAAACATTTGTGCAAACAAGTAGATATTATTTGATTGATTTCGGTGGTGAGATACGGATTGGATGAAATTATTCCAGGTAATTGTTGAACCCATTTGCTTCTGACAGTTGCCGAAACATCTGCAGTTTTCTTCAACCAATTGTTCCACACCAGTTTATGGGTGATAAAAAAGTTAACCTTGTTCGAAACTGATGGATAGATTGGGGATGCCAACATTTGACCAATCGTAACTGTTGCCAATGTTCTCACTTTATCATCATCTGCATTCAATTCGTCATCGATAAGAGCCATCACAGAAGACAATACGGTGGGGATGAACTTCCATAACTGGATAGATAAGTGATGCACTTTCTTCAAGACTTCGATTGCTTTGGATACACCATGGTTGGCTTTTGATTTTGTGGACGCGGTATGATCCCCGTCCTCAACAATATCTGTCTCTTCCTCGATATTATTTGTACTTTCATACAAGATTTCAGAAAAATATTGTGCAACTAACCTAGACATTCTATCCATATTATACTCACAAATTGCTAATGAAAAATTAAACTCTGGGCTGGAAATGTTGCCCAGTAATAATTTGCTCGGATCGTGATTTGAAATCTTCTGCAATATCAATTGTAGTACTTCATGGGGAACAACTTCTGCTTCTGATAAAACTTCGGATAATATATCCGTAATTATGAGTTCTAACTCAGTAGGAAACCCTTTCAGAGCTAGGGTATAAAAGGTATTGAATATACTGACGATTAAAGCTTCCAGATCAGGCAAATCGGTGATCAAGATTGTTGACTTTGCTTCGGCCAATCTTTTTAACAAATACACGTGTTGTTGATAAAATGGATCGTCTTTCTTGTCTGTCAACCTCGCAAACTGTTTGAAGAAAAGTTTGAATATATCCGATAACTGTTGTGCTGAATATGGTGCGTTTGGAGCGAATATACGCAAAACGTCAGAAATACAGCAACATAAGTATGCTTGAACACCAATGCTTGAATGGCTTAATAATTTTTTATTAACCAAATTTGCAGTATAGGAGGATAAATCAACACTTGAATCATCTATATTTGATAGTTCATCATGTAAGCTCGCAAGTCGATTGATTAATTCCTTATTTGATATTGGCGCTTTAACAGTTGGTACGATTGGTTTATCAAACTTAACTGACAAATGGCCATCATTATTATCCTTTGCAACCATTTTCATATATCGATGAATAGTAACCTTAGAAAACTGTGGAAATCAACAATCGAATGAATATTCAATTGGTTGTAAGAATCAAATTAAGAAAAAAAAAAGTGATAGAAAAAAAAAAAGAAGAAAATAAAAGAACCTGCAAAAGTTTGGACGCGTATGTCGCGCAAGACAAAAGTCGTAAGTATTTGTTACACACAAAACCAACAACATTGAAATCATCGGGATTATCTGTTTTTTTTTTTACACCAATGATCGTAACAATGATTTCTCTTCCTGTATTATCTAATGAAGCGAAATATTAATATTTTTAACAATTCAGATGATGAAAGTGATTCAGATAATTCCCCTTCCAGAGCACCTATCACGAAGAAGAAGTTTAAAATACCAAGTATTGATCAAATAGATGTTCAACAAAATTCTGGAGTCGCCGCTGACCAAGATTATATGTCATACATTCCTGATGATGATGGTGATGGTGATGACGATGATGGCCTCAAACAGAATGCCAATCAGCCTAAGTCAGTGGCTAATGAAAACAAGATGAACAAATCCTTATTCTTAGAAAACAATAAGTCTGTAGGCTTAACAATTATGGAGAGAATGGGGTACAAGGTTGGAAATACATTGGGTAAATCAAATGAACGTGCTATAATGGAACCACTAAAGGTATCAGTCAGAACTGGTCGCCGTGGTATCGGAGGAGATATAAAGCCTCGTGAATATAAACAAGAAGACGTCGAAAAATTGAAACTAAGTTTGGTATCTTCACAGAAACAACGTAACGATACAAAAGAAATTATGAGAATTATGAAATTAGCATTTGAATTGAGTGGTGAATATGACGAATTTTTAGATGGAAAAGATGTGGAAGAAATAAACATGTTATGGAAACCTTATGTGTATTTTATGCAACACCAAAAGGATAAAAGAAAAGTACAGTCTAAAGAATCCAAGTCACGAACATTAAGTCAGTATCATTCATCACCACAAGACAATGAGATAGACGATCCAGGCGAAACACTATCTAAACTACTAGATTATTTGAGGGAGAGACATAGTTATTGTTGGTACTGTGGGGTTAAATATGCCAATGAAGCTGATTTAAATCAACATTGTCCAGGTAAGGAACGTAGCGTGCATTTACTTTAGAATAATGCATCATCTAGCAAATTTTCTATATATGCCTTACGGCTCGCATTTAATTCGTTGATTTGATTTGTCAAAAGCAGTGCATTACCACAAGCACGTTCTGCAAATTCGGATATTTCCTTCCCCAGTAGTTTATCAAGCCTTTTATAGTTGTAATCCGTAGATGTATATAGAGGTGGTGCTTTTTTGGCCTTATCATAGATATCACCCAGAATGTTTGGCGCAAAATTGGTCTCCGATCCCTGAACGACCACGCTACTTCCCCAGGATATTTGCAAACGACAATCATTAATAATATAGCCGTGTAAATTCATAAACGCGGTTTCTGCTGCTGCTCTTGAATAAAATTTGACATATCCTGTTTGGTAATCATTTGAAACTTGACAGTAAATTAAATCACCAAATGCAATGAAATGTTGCTTGAGTTCTATTTCTGTAATTTGTGATGCCAAACCTCTGATTGTTAAACTATTATTGTTCGGATCGGTTACCTGGTTCAATGGTGGTTGCTGTTGAGCAATATGGATTTTATGATAGTCAAATTTTGTTATTGGTTGTGTAGTTGAATCTGTGGTTGATCCAGCTGCCAAGCCAACCCTAATGGCCTTGGAACCTATTATATAACCTTGCATTTCTGTCAACGCTTTATTCATAACCTCGGCGGTGAAAAACTTAACAAATCCAAATCCTTTACTTTTCTTTGTGTTTAAATCCACAATAACTTTAGCTTGCTTTATTTGATTTGGATACTTCGTATTAAACTTGCTGAATAATGTTGCATCAGAAACTTCGGGAACCAAATCACCAATAAACATGGAAAAATCTGCAATATGTGCCCCGTGATTTTCTTGTCGTCCTGATGAATGTTTCCCAGAATGGTTCAATTTGAAAAATCTATCTGAATCGGGCACTTTTTGACCATTTCTTTGAATAGCTAAATCGACGGATTCTTGGTCCTTGAATGTAACAAAGCAATAACTGGCTCTCAGTGGATTTAGTTTGTCTCTCATAAGCTTAACGTGTTGTGGTTTTGATACCAATTTTGTCCACAATTCAGTGATCCAATCTTCTGTCCAATTAGGATCTAAATCCCCCATCCACAACTGTAGTTCATTCTGTCTTGTATTGATACCATGTTGTTGATATAGATTTTGTCTAGATCTATAACTTCCCGTGTAACCAGTTGAATGGGATGATGATGACGATGATGATGATGATTGTTGGGGTCTACCTCTATAGCCGTTATTGTAATTGTCATATCTTCCTCCGCGACTGCCGCCTCTACCACGTGGGTAATATCCAGATGAGTATCCTCTAGGTCTATAACCACCTGATCCTTGATATGATGACATTACTTCTAACTATTATATAATGAGCTGTTTCTTCGTGCTGCGTTTCTCATCTTTAGTTGATTTTTTTTTTTCCGTTTTTTTCCTTTTCCTTTGGTTTTCACTAACTCACTCGCTCGCTCGATAGGAGATGTACTCGTTTTTATGCAATCTTTTCGCGATAGAATTTTTCAAGTTTTGGCCGATTCAATTTTATCCAAATATGTTCAAAACATTCATTGATATCCATTCGATTCTGAGGATCCACCAGGAGCAACCTTTTAATAAATGATTTTGCAGATTGACTAACTTTTCGAAATTGTGGCTTTTCAAAATTCAAGTTCCCACTTCTAGTTGCACAAATGATACTTTCTCGACTGTCAGAGTAGAATGGTGAGATTCCGGATAATAAAATATGGGTTATTACACCTAATGACCACATATCAGATTTATAATCATAAGGTTGAATTGATGTCTTTCCATTTATATCAGTTTTGAATACTTCTGGTGCACTGTACTCAAGAGTACCAACAGAAGTATTTGTTCTTTTGCGACCAATATATTTTGCAATCCCAAAATCGCACAAGTAGACTTTGGGCTGTGGGAGAGGTAATTCAAGCAATACGTTATCAAGTTTAAGATCACGGTGAATGATATGCAAACTTTTATGTAAGTAGTGGATAGCCTTCATCAACTGGAATACTATCAATATTGCTTCCTTTTCAGGTATAGATTTCAAATAACCATCACAAACAAGATATGAGAATAAATCACCACCACAAACAAGATCTTGAAATATAAAAATGTTAGAATCCCTCACAATTGTGTCGTAGACTGTAATTATATTGGGCTAGAGATAAAAGTTAGTAACCATTGAAATTTATCTAGGTGGGTGGAAGTGGTTAAACAATTACGTACGTGTTTAATTCTTGCTAACAATTCAGATTCATGAGATGTCAAATAACCACCTGAAAAATAAGAGGAGTAGTTTTTCTGAATAATTTTAACGGCAAAAAGTTGTGACGAATTTGTTTTTCTAGCAAGAAAAACAGATCCAAATGATCCACTTCCGATCAACTTATTTGTGATTTCCCAATCTTCAAGCAGTTGATCAACCTCGTTAATTGATGATGCGTGATCTGCAATAGCTTTAAATGTAATTTTAGCAGCCATTTGGATTTCAATAACATCATCGTCATTCAAAATAGCTATTTTTCCTCTACCCAATTCGTTTCCATTGTGTTGTATTGCATTTCTGGATTGGTCGTGAAGATATACCACTGGTGCAGAGTCTTCATCGAATTGGGTAGACCATATAACACCGTGATTCATGGACACAGTAGGATTGTTGAGATGGATATTTTTTGTGAATGATCTTCCAATGGTCAATACTTGTAATGGTTGCAAAGGTATCAAAGTATGATTCCCTGGTAGTGATTTCTTATTTGCTTTGTGTTTTCCCGGTTTCTGGTTTATAGATACTTTAATTTGGGTCTTTTCTATTGGTTCAATTTTTAAATAGCCTATACAATCCATTCTTAGTCTATGGACTATTGGTTGTCTGAGTGTTTTAAGCTGTATAATTTGATTTTATTTCTCCTATGTAAAAAAAAAAGCATGTTACAAGTTTTGCAACAGCAACCACAATGTGCTGCCTTCTATAGAAAAGTTTGTACAACCCGTTTTCATCATTTTTTTTAATAACAAACTTTCACTAAATTATATGAAAAACCAAATCAAATATAAAATTCTTTATCTATATAGATATAATATCACTAGCATCTACTTACCAATCTCTGATAGTATATTGATATAACAGAAGATAGGATAACAACAACACTGAACCTAATTCTGGAAGCGCTTAATAAAAAAGTCGTGTACAATGCACAATAATTCTTTCTTCATCTATAGGTTCGTTAAATATGAATTTTCAGTCAGAAAAAAAAAAAAATACAAACAGCTCGATTACAACATAAACCATTTATATTATAACGAAATTGTTATACAACCACCGACACATATACATATATATATATACAATGTTTGCTAGATCACTGAGAAATTACGGTAGAATAATTTTTAAAAGACTTCAACACACTGCTGAAGCTTCTACAAGCGAAGCTGCTCCATTCACTAATAAATTTGGATTTGATTTGAACCCACCACCAGTGCATGAATACTGGAATATTCGTAACTCAAGTGTGGCATTTGCATTTGTTCCAGTATTCCTTGGAATTGCTTTTTTTGCTAAGTACATTGGTAAGAGTGTCGACACTAATGGTGCATACTTGGGTTTTGCTGATTCAGAAGCATCCCCTGTCAGTAAGATTCCATTTGGTCAAGCACAAGAAACACCTAAACATGATTAAATAACTCATTGATATGGGAGTTTAAACATTGTCTTATTGCATAGGGATACTTATATTTATTTTGGCAGAGGGGAATTCAATCTAGAACTACAGCTTTGACTTCTTTGAATAATTATTCAGTTTGAAAGTGAATTCTACACAGTAATTCAATTTGTATATTATCATCTTCACTTATTATAAAAATAAAAGAATAAACAAATATTTCGTGAATTCTATAATGAAGTAAAGCATGATTTGTAATTACCTTCATCTCAGGTCATTGTAGTTGGCAATCCTTAATCGATACTCTTCTAAAAACCTATGGCTCTCCATATTGTCGCTATTTTATTCTCGCGGTGCACGACCTCTAGTAATTTTTTTCTCAGTAAATATTATTGGCTGAATGTTTTCAAACAAACCAAAAAAAAAATAGAGAGAAACAGAGGTCAAGAAACAAAATATTCCATTCTCAAATTTGAGTAAAATATCTACCATATTTGCATTTCATACTTTACTAGTTCACCTACCCGTCACAAGAATGATTTCAAGATTAGGATTAAGATCTTCAAGACTCGTGTTTCAAGCAAACAGGGGTGCTTGTATCAATAATTCATCAAGAATCTGCCTCACAAGAACCTATGCTTCTGCCAGCAGCACTAAAGCAACAATCTACGATCAAACCAATGGCCAAACTATTGAATTGGCAGATCCAGAACATCCAGAATTTGCCGATTACAAGAATCCAGAATTTGTTTTGAAACAAACATTGAGTCCATATGCCAAGTATGATGATCCACAGAATAGAAGAAACAAAAACGACCCTATGCATACTGATGAAGATTTGTTAGATATGTGGTCTCCTGATTACTATGATTATGTTTCTGACTCCACTGCTTTGAAGCATAATGCTGTCTTCTTTGGTTTAATTTTTGGTGTTGCCAGTATCATTTACTACTTCCAATTATACCCAGAAAAGCCAGCCATGATTAGATCTTTCCCATACAATGGTTTGGCTGACTCTTTAGGTTCTACTTCCAAAGAAGCCGCTCCATTCTATCAAAACAAACCAGATTTAACTGCGGAAAGCGAATGTGGTGTTTTGCCAGCAGACAATGACATTGTTAGCAATCAAAAACTTTATGAAACAGAAAATGCCGATTTTATCAAATCGGGTTCTGCTTAAATGACTTGAAAGAGATGGGAAAAGAAAAATAAAAGTTAAAGTAGAAGGCAAGACTTCTGGACGTATCTATATTCCCCATGGTTGTTTCGTATCCTTTGATATTAAAATTGGGTAATCTTGGGTATTTTATCTCGTACTTTTAATTGTAAACTAGTAGAAAACATATTCTTTTAGTCATTATTATTTATGTTATAAAGCAAATATATATATATATTACATATTCACTGTACTTTATCGATGAGTATTGTAGTTCTTCCCTTTGTATTAAAATTAAAATAAACTACAGATAATGTAGTATTTTATCTTCTCTAAGGGTGTAAAATCTCCACTTGGTGCGCCATCTTTCACGCGCCATCTTTCACCGAAAAATTTCAGTTTTTCTTTGCTTTTCGCTTTTCTTTAAATTCTTTTTATTTTTTAGTTTTTTTTTTTTATTAGATTCTTTTTCTGTTTTTATTCTCACTTTTCTTCCACCCTCCAGAAGATATCTCAATACAATCCGATATTTATAATTCAGAATTGTTAGACATTCCTATTATCTTGTTTGGGAAAATTAAGAAAAAATGCCAGAAAATGGAAGATTGAGAAGGAGTCTGGCAAGGCTAAGTCAAAATGGGTCTTCGTCGATACAATATAATGGAAAACGACCACATAATGCATTAAATGAAACACCAGCAATCAAATCCAAACGAAGAAAGATGGAATCAAGAAGTAAAGAAGACAAACTTGCCGATATTATAGTGGATTTTAACTTGGCTGTAAATGAATTGTATCATTTAAAAGAATATAAATCCCTTCTATCTTGGGATCCACAAGAAAACTCGAGTACGAACAGTAAGATAATTAAAGTGGAACTTGATGAATTCATCAAAACAAATAAGTATAAACTAACTTGGGATGGTGAACTTGAAAGCAGTTCAGACATAGAAAGTCTACCTTTGAGATTTCAGAAGAAAAAGCTAGCAGAACAGGAACGATTATTAAATGAAAAATATCCCTTCAGACAAGAGGTTCTAGCGAATAGTTTAGAAATTGAAAATAGTATACTCCATAAAATAAAACCAGATCAACTACTGAATTTACAATCAATTAAAATAAAAGCAAAACCGGGACCTAAACCCAAGATCCAACAATCAACAGAAGCACAAGATAGGGTCAACCGAAGGAAAGGGAAAACAACAATAACAGTGACAGATAATATAGAAAAGGATAATGAAGAGCAACAGGAGGATGGCGAAATGGAGGAAACGAGTGATTATGAACATGAACAACAAGAAGATGGTGACCAAGAAGCTGAGGAAACGGACCAGCCCCAAGAATCTGAAGATGAATCTAGCAGCATTATTGAAGTGGTTGATAATAATGAAATCGAACAGCAAATGAATCATCGAATCAAAAGCATCAAGCGTACCATCCCATTACCGATAATCACCCATCCATCACATATTCCAAGATGGAGACCAGAACATCAAGTCAGGAATTCACAAATCCAGGGATCAAAAGAGGATGATAAAATCATTGATTTTAACCCTATACCATTAACAATTACTCAAACTCGTGAAGAAACATTGGTTGCACCAGAATTGACAGTCAAGCTTCGTAAGTTTTTGGACAATGACTTCAAAACCCCTATTATCGATGAAGGAAGTATGCCTGATTATAATTTTACCAGTGATGAGTACAACAATATAATGTTACAACAAGAAGAATTGCTAGAAAAATTGCGTTATAAAATTAATGTCGAGAAGAGTCTTCAATTAAATGGTGACAAAGTTGAACAGCGTAAGGTTGTTCTACCACAATCTAATATCAAACTCACTGATCCATTTAGAAATACATCTTCAGTGTCACCCAAAATCCAAGGTATATCTAATAATGCGACACATCAAGATCACTTGCTTGCACAAGGTATTTCATTTTCCAAAGTACATCAACAGATGAGAAGACAACATCAATTGAGAATTAGAAAAATTGCCTCTATGATAGAACAGCACTTCAAAAAGAAGAGAGGAGAAAAGGAAAGGTTGGCCAAGGAAAGAGAACAAAATCTCAAGAAGATAAGCAGAATGACTATGCAAGCTGTAAAGAAGAGATGGAATCAAGCCTACAAGGTTTACCAAGTAATGCAAAGTGAGAAAGAGGAGGAGCTTAAAAAAATTAAAGGTAGACAACATTTAAGCGAAATGTTGGAGCACTCCACCCAGTTATTGGAAGCTCAGTTAACTTCTTCCAGAGAAGCGACAACAGAACCGGAAAGCAGACATTCACTGTCAAGCGATGAACAAGAAAATGTGGATTCAGATGACTACATGTCAACCGACGAAGATGAAGAAGATGAAAAACACTTAAATGGAACTAAAGTGGATGTTTCAGCACGTGATGAGGATAATGATATGAAATTATCTGTGGAGGAATTGCGAAAAAAATATGCAAATTTGGAGGATTCATTGGAACCTGTATCGTCAAATTTAACTTCTGATCGAGAATTGAGTTCAGGTAGTGAGAATGGAGATGTCAATTCAAATGACAGCGACAGCGACGACGAAGATGAAGATGAAGATGAAGATGAAGATGATGATGATGATGATGATGATGAAACAGATGTCACGCGAGGTCTTGCTTCGTTATATAATGAAGATGAGGTTTCTCAAAGTCCTGCTCCAAATCAGGAATACACACAAGAGGAGAAGAATTTAATTGATGAACTCAACCGAGAGAATACCAGTGAAATGGATTCTATATTGGATTCTGATTCCGATTCTGAAAGTTCTATTTCAGATAGTATGTCTCTGGATGATGAGAACGAAGAAGCGGAAGAGGAACTGCATGGTGAAGATAATGGAAATGGGAGTACTTTTACACAAAATGGAAGCAGTCTTGCAAGTCTATTTACCGGTAAAGGCTTCGATTCAGATGATGATGATGATGACAATGACGTTGATATCTCAAATGAAATGCCAGAAGCCGATTCCGACGAGAATATGACTTCTTCCTCTTCTGATGATGATGATGATGATGATGATGATGATGATGATGATGATGATGATAATGATGAAAAAGTTGTAACAAATGGTCTGTTGATTAAGCAAGAAACGCCACCATCTGAAGATGATGATAGTCATGTTGAGGTTATTAATGGCTCTAAAGTTAGGGATGTACCACTTCCATCGCTTTTGCGTGGTACATTGAGACCTTATCAGAAACAAGGTTTGAATTGGTTGGCTAGTTTGTACAACAATAATACGAATGGTATTCTTGCCGATGAGATGGGTTTAGGTAAAACTATTCAAACAATTTCATTATTGTCTTACTTGGCATGCGAGCATCATATTTGGGGACCACATTTGATTATTGTCCCAACTTCAGTTATGTTAAATTGGGAGATGGAATTCAAAAAATTTGCTCCAGGTTTCAAAGTGTTAACGTATTACGGTTCTCCTCAACAAAGAGCACAGAAGAGAAAGGGATGGAACAAGCCAGACGCGTTCCATGTTTGTATCACATCTTATCAATTAGTTGTTCAAGATCAACAATCATTCAAACGTCGAAGATGGAGATATATGATTTTGGATGAAGCGCATAACATTAAGAATTTCCGTTCCACGCGTTGGAGAGCATTATTAAATTTCAATACCGAAAACAGATTACTTTTAACTGGTACTCCGTTGCAGAACAATTTGATGGAATTGTGGTCATTGCTCTATTTCTTGATGCCATCATCCAAAGTCAACCAAGCTATGCCTGAAGGATTTGCAAACTTGGATGACTTCCAACAATGGTTTGGAAAACCAGTTGATAAAATTTTAGAACAAACCACAACGGGTAATGCAGATTTAATTGATGAGAATGAAAGAGCGACACAAAAAATGGACGAAGAGACCAGAAATACAGTTGCTCGATTGCATCAAGTATTGCGTCCATATTTATTGCGTCGTTTGAAAAAAGATGTCGAAAAACAAATGCCTGGTAAATTTGAACATATTGTATATTGTCGTTTATCAAAAAGACAGAGGTTCTTATATGATGACTTTATGTCGAGAGCCAAGACTAAAGAAACTTTGGCATCGGGTAATTTCCTTTCTATCATTAATTGTTTGATGCAATTGAGAAAGGTCTGTAACCATCCTGACTTATTTGAGGTGCGCCCAATTGTTACATCATTTGCTATTCCCAGATCAGTACCATCATTTTATCAAACCACAGACCAATTGATAAGAAAACAATTTGAACTCGAGGATGAAATTGACTTTAGTGTTTTAAATTTGGATGTAACCAGTTGTGAGGATATGAATTTTTTTATTTGCCAGTCTTCTCGTAAGTTAAAGTCATCCGGACCATTACAAGAGCAGATCAACCAATTAGAAGAGTTGGAAAGTGGACTAGAAAAGGCCGATCCTACAAATCATGTGAATTACTACCAGCACCTCAAACACGAAAACCAGATGGATGTTAAAGAGAAATTGAAACAGACGTTATATTTAAACACATTGAGATGTGACAGAAAACCAATATATGGTAATTCCTTGTTGAAGCTACTTACATTAGCACAACGTGACTATACGGATATGCCCTTCAATAAGTACTGTAAGAGTATAACTGAAAGAGCAGTTTTCATGGATGATACCATCGAGAAGTTTTCTATTGTTACTCCTGCTGTTGTTGCTTTGGATATGAAGGATCAATTGATTCCTATTTCAACAAGACGAAGAGTAATGAGTGATGTAGCAGAGAATAAAGTTGAAAATCCATTCCATAAATCTCAAGTCAAATTATCCATTGCATTTCCTGATAAATCGTTATTGCAATACGATTGTGGTAAACTTCAAAGATTAGCTACCTTGTTACAAGACTTAACAGCTCATGGTCATAGAGCTTTGATCTTCACGCAAATGACAAAAGTTCTAGATATATTGGAACAGTTTTTGAATATTCATGGATATCGATACATGAGATTAGATGGGGCTACTAAGATTGAGGATCGTCAATTGTTAACTGAAAAATTCAACCGTGATCCTAAAATCCCTGTATTCATCTTGTCAACGAGATCTGGTGGTTTGGGTATTAATTTGACAGGTGCTGATACTGTGATCTTTTACGATTCAGATTGGAACCCTGCAATGGATAAGCAATGTCAAGATAGATGTCATAGAATTGGTCAAGTTCGTGATGTCCATATTTACAGATTTGTTTCAGAGTACACAATTGAATCAAATATTATTAAAAAGGCAAACCAAAAAAGACAGTTGGACAATGTTGTTATTCAAGAGGGTGAATTTACAACCGATTATTTTGGTAAGTTCTCTGTTCGTGATCTTGTTAGTGATACCACAGCCATAGCCAATGATATTAGTGATCGTACTATTGACTTTTCAGGCGATGCTAAAATGGGTACTGTTTTGGCCCAAGCGGAAGATGAGGAAGATAGAGTCGCAGCTGGTGCAGCTTTGAAAGAAGTTGCCATTGATGATGATGATTTCAAGGATGATACCAAATCTGCCACCACGGGCGGTACACCAGCGCCATCAGATGTCAATTCAAATGGTATTTTTGGTATTGACGACGAGACTGGATACGTAGATGTGGACTTTGATGAAGGTATTGGTCATATTGATGAGTATATGTTACGTTTTATTGCAGATGGATATTATTAAGAAAATTAAGTATTATTTATATGTCCTGTATATACTTAAAAATGTACATAAAATTTCAGCATAAATGTATTCAGAAATAAGAAATAACAGTAATGAGCCAGCCGTGTACTTGGATAAGATCCAAAATTCTTCCTGATAAACTAAATTCTGATAAGCAAAATATCTCCTTTACGTATTTCCTTACATGAGATTTGACTATCAAGAACACTGCCTGATACCAAATCTCGTGTAGCATTTACTTTGCTTTGTGGTACTCAAAGAATCACGGAAGAGATTCCATTATTTTTTGATGCCAGATCTAATTGAAAAACTATTTGCATGAAGTCACCAGTTGGCACAACTTTTTTTTTTTTTTTTTGGTTTAGCCAATAAGCAAATGCTTTTAAACCGCAATTGGCTATGATTTATAAACTATGGTTAGGAATGTATGAGTTCGATATCCTATTGGTTAAGCATGAAAGCTCATCAAATGGGCTGATAGTGAAAGCACATCGTTCATTACTTTGCTCGTAAAGTGAGCAGTAACCTTGAACCATAATATTGGAGGTCAAGAAAAAAATAACACAACGATTAGAAGACGACAAATACACAAAAGGGTTACACATAATCGGAATAATAAATCTAAAAATAAGACAACTTTACTTCAGATTTAAATTTCCTATTGAAATCTTGGATCTGGTTTACTTTTCTTTTTTATTTCTCCTCTGGCCCTCAGCTGATCAGGCTTAGTAATCGAGTGGAAAACGACACGACGCGTCTTGACGTTTCTTTCAATTTTTATTATCAATATGTTCAAAAATAAAAAAAAAACACGCGATGTTTATACCAAGCATCAAACATCATCATTATAATTATCAAGGAGGATTACTAATTCAAGATTCCTGATCAAGGAAGTTCAATAACATTGACAAAGCAAATGACAAGTGGATTGTAAAGATTGCTGGACCAGTCGCGCGCGTCAGCTTTCAATCGCATGATGTACTTTCTCTATGAAATGTATAGGAACAAGAGAGAGAGAAAAAAAAAAAGAAAGTCACCAAAATTTCACTAAGTGCAGTTTTAACACTAAAGCAAAGAATCTAAGAGATGTGTTAGAATTTAATGATTATTTAATCATACTTTATCCTCGACTATATAAAAATCAGATGTAGTCCATATAAAAACTAGTTATTTTTCTTTGATCTTTCCGATAGATTTTTATTCTATTTATCCTTTTTTTTCCTGCGATTATCACCTTCTCCACTATTTACTATTACTATTACTATCACCTTCCCTAATAATGACAGCTAACACAGACAAAATAAAACCTGAATCCAACGTAAAGGACAATGAAGATACAAAGCCAGTTACTAAACCAATGCCAGATAATGTTGATCCAGAACAACACACTGAAGCATACAGAAAGCATAGAGAATTTTTGGCCAAACACGTTGTCCATAGACACAAATTGAAAGAATCTGAAATGAATGAACCATTATTACGTGAAGATCCATCTCGTCGAACTGTGTTTCCAATAAAATATCCTGAAATTTGGACTTTCTACAAGAAATCTGTTGCATCATTTTGGACAGCAGAAGAAATTGACTTGAGTAAAGATTTTGATGATTGGGAAAATAAAATGAATAAAGATGAAAGATTTTTCATCTCAAGAGTTTTAGCCTTTTTTGCTGCATCAGATGGTATAGTCAATGAAAACTTGGTTGAAAACTTTTGTACTGAAGTTAAACTTCCTGAAGCCAAGCTGGTTTACAAATTCCAGATCATGATGGAAAATATCCATTCAGAAACATATTCCCTTTTAATTGAAACCTACTTCAAGGATCCTAAGGAGGCCGATTTCTTGTTCAACGCCATTGACAATATTAAATACATTGGTGAAAAAGCAGATTGGGCTATTAGATGGATTCAAGACGAAGAAGCCTTGTTTGCAGAAAGATTGGTGGCATTTGCTGCTATTGAAGGCATTTTCTTCAGTGGGTCATTCGCTTCCATTTTCTGGTTGAAAAAAAGAGGGTTGATGCCAGGTTTAACTTTCTCAAATGAATTGATCTGTAGGGACGAAGGTATTCACACCGATTATGCTTGTTTACTATTTTCATACTTGGAGAATAAGCCGGATCCTTCCATTATAGAAAAGATTATCACTGAAGCTGTTAGTATTGAAAAGAAGTACTTCAGTGATGCGCTTCCAGTTTCTTTGTTGGGTATGAATTGTGATTTGATGTGTCAATATGTGGAATATTGTGCCGATAGATTGTTGGTTGCTTTTGGTAATGATAAGTATTATAACGTGACTAATCCATTTGATTTCATGGAAAATATATCCTTGGCCGGTAAAACCAATTTCTTTGAAAAGAGAGTGTCTGATTACCAAAGAGCTGGTGTCATGGAAAAAGCAGAAAATAAAGGAACTGGTATGGTGTCTTTTGATGAAGATTTCTAGAATCGATTATTGTGGGAGTTTAATTTATTATTTAGTTCTAAAGAACTTGATTTTCTATTATTAAGTAGCTTATAATACTCTTTTGTATATGACGTTTTGTTTTTTGTTTCATTTAATTGATTGTGTTTTTCCATATATCAGTGGTTTCCTCTTACAGTAATTCTTATCGGACTTATGACCAAGTGGTTGAAAAATAAAAAATAAAAATATGTTTGTTGTGCGCATTAGTAAGCAACATAGTTAGCACAGGTATTTCACCGGAAGAACAGCCCCACAAACTCATTCCCCTCCAAAAGCAAACAATGACAAGTCTATGATTTATTTCCAACGGAAATGACAACTTCGTTATATAGTTTATACTACTTATACAACTAGTTATCTGCTACACACTAATAGCAATCGATGCCATTGATGTTACTGTAGCAAAAACACAATGTGTGGACTTATGGATCAAGATTCAAAATCCAGTTCACTGCATGAAAGCGGTACAAGCGTGCGAAATAATACCAGTACCTTGCGTTCCTTTTTGAGAAAAGAATTGATTGATGATTTCCATCCAGTGTACTTTGTTGCAAGTTTGGGCACTGGGATAACTGGTAATATTTTCTATGGATTCCCATACCCTGGTAAATGGCTTGAAGTCATTGGGATCATTTTCTTTTGCTTGACGGTTGCGTTGTTTCTACTTGCAAATGTTATGTTGGTGGTAGCGTGCTACTATCATCCCCAACGAATATACCGCTATCATACAGACCCAACTCTTTCTGTATTTTTTGCTGTGCATTCAATGTCATTTAACACGATTATCAATGGAATCCACTTGATCACATGGAATAGATACCCAATATTTATGTGGTGCTTATGGTGGATTGGGGTTGCAATTGCACTTTATAATGCATTTATTCTATTCTTTTTGTCTTTCTTGTCAAAGCTAAATAAGCATAGTTTAGATGGAATAACGGCGGTTGCTATAATGCCAGTTGTTTGTCCCGTTGTTGTATCATCATCTGGTAATTTGATTGCTCCGAATTTGCCAAACGACAATCTCAAGAAAATCACCGAAATCACTTGCTTAATGCTATTATTTGTATCATTAGCATATTTTCATGGATTGGGTGCCCTATACTTAACGAGATTGATGTTAAAAAAAATCCCTAAAACCGAAGTAATCTTCAGCCAATTTATACCAATAGGATTCACTGGCCAATGTAGTTACAACATTATGTTGTTCGGGTCCAACATGTATGAAATGATTCCTGATAAAACACTTGGCCAGATATTTTTGGTTCATTCAGCAATGTTGGCAGCTTTTCTATTGGCCGGAAGTTACGTGTATTTAACTTTGGCCATTGCCTCAGTGTTCTCAAAAATGAAACCATTTGCCAAAAAACTTGATCCAGACTATACAACAAAACGATTGGGTTTAATTAAGTGGAACAAAGGATTTTGGGTAATGACATTTCCTATTGGCACCATGTCTCTAGCAAATTTTGAGATTTCTAAAGGATTAATTGGCGGATACGAATTGGAATTCTTCAAAGTTATGAGTGCAATATTTGGTGTCACTTTATTTTTGATTTGTATTGCAAACTTGATTGGACTTTCCTGGTGTGTTGCAAATAAGATTATCAAAGCATTCGTAGTGACAAATAAGAATAGAGATACACTGTATAGAGTTTAGTATATATTATATAATCGTGCATTTCACGTACACCTGTAAATAATTGATTGCTACCAAACGTTCAACTCACGAGCAGAAACGAGACACAGTTAGTATCACAAGTGCACGACTTAATTTATGCTGCTTCAAAGGAAAAGAAAAAAAAACCACCTGAAGCAAATATTCCAACAACAACTGATAAAAAAAATTGAGAAAGAAAAACGAGAGAGATTGAACAAATTACTCAAATAAATTATCATTCCACCACTATCATCCAAACACCATGTCATCTGGAATTCAATCATTATTAAAAACCGAAAAAGAAGCAGCAGAAATTGTCAATGAAGCTAGAAAGTACAGAACCACTCGTTTGAAGTCAGCTAAACAAGATGCACAGGCTGAAATTGATAGTTATAAGAAACAAAAGGAAGAAGAATTGAAAAACTATGAAAAAGAACATGAAGGATTAAACGAAAAGATTGATAAAGAAGCTGATGCTGAAGTTCAAAAAGAATTGACTAGTATTAAATCTACTTTTGATAAGAAGAAAGATGCTGTTGTCAAATTGTTGGTTGAAGCAACTGTTAAACCAACTCCAACTTTACATGTTAATGCTAGCAACTAATTTACTTTCAAAGAATATATACACATTACATTGATTGTTTTTTTTTATTTTTATTTCTGTCAAAAAGCAATAAAAATCGTTTTAATAATGATAATGTACATGTAATAAACATCAGGTGAACTACATAATAAATTTAAGCACCACCCTTAGCCAATGTTTTGAATGCTTTGATTTTATCCCATATGCTATTATCATAGCCTGCGATATTCAAACTCTTTACAAAATTCCAAGATTTTTTATCGTCTTGAATAGGATAATCAATGGCTGGAGGTATGGCTGTTGCCACTCCCAATAAACGCAACAAAGGTTTATCCATGATAACAGATTTGGCATTACACAAACCTGTCAATCCCTCTTCACCACCAAATTTTCCGTAACCAGATTTCTTAATACCACCAAATGGTAATTGAGCAACATAAAACGTTGCAAAGTCATTAATAGCAACATTTCCACTATCTAATCTGTCAGCAATCGCATTGATTTGAGCAAAGTTATTACCAAAGACAGAATTACCCAAACCATATTCAGTACCGTTGGCTAATGAAATGGCATCGTCGACATCGTTGGCTTTAATCATGGTTAATATAGGACCAAAGACTTCTTCTTGGAAAATTCTCATAGATGGATCAACATCAACCAACAATGTAGGTTCGAAATAATGACCTTGTGGATAGTTTGGATGGTTGAATTGCTTACCTCCATGCACCAATCTAGCTCCTTTGCTGACAGCATCTTCAACCAATTCTTCCAATTGTTTGAATCTATTATCTGAAATCATGGCACCCATATCTATTTCGTCTAATTGATCAATATCAGAACCCAATCTAAAACTTTTGATTCTTTCAGTGAAAATTTCAACCAATTGTTCATAGGATTTTGGCAAACAAATGACTCGTTCAATACCAATACAATTTTGACCAGCACTTTGAAATGTTCCTCTCAAAATTACTGAAGATAATGCATTAATATCCTTAACATCGTCAACAACAATAACAGAATCTTTACCACCTAATTCAACAACACATGGTGTTAACTGTTTAGCAGCATTACTTACAACGTGGTGAGCCACTGGTTTTGAACCAATAAAAGTAATATGTGACAAACCCGGGTGTGAAACAAAATACTCGGCATCTTCTGGGTAGCAACAGCATAATTGAACTAAATTTTCATCAATGTCCAACTCCTGTAAACAAGTTCTGACAAACTTAATAAACCATTGAGAAGACCATACAACTTGTTCTGAGCATTTGACTATAATTGCATTCCCGGTAAATAATGAGGCAATAATAGGACCCATCAAGTTATGAAATGGATAGTTCCATGAAACAATAGCAGTGATAACGCCCAATGGTTCGTATCTGATTTCTGCATTCTTCATTAATCCAATTAAGAAGTTAGATGGACCTGGACGTTGAGAAGGTCTTAATGCTCTTTCACCATTCAGTATAATCCAATTTAATTTTTCTAAAGTAACCATTATTTCACCCATTGATGCATCTAGTTTGGTTTTACCAGAATCACGACATGCCACACGAGCTATATTTTCCTGATTTTCCAATATAAACTTAGCCATGGTTTTCAACAATTTTCTTCTTAAACTGAATGATGATTTGGCCCATTTATTTTGTGCCTTTGATGCATTTGAAATCATTTCATCCATGTCTTCACGTGTGGTACAAGTGAATGTTCCTAAATATTGGCCAGTAGCAGGACAATAACTTTGGATTTTATTAGGTTCATTTGGTACAGAAATCAGAGGTGGGTATAACCTTTTACCCTTCCAATGTGGTCTAGCTTCCTCAGGTATTGGAAATGTTATTTTAACTGGGGCTTCAATCTTGTTATAATTATTAGGCTGAGTTGTAATATATTTGCAATAAATATAGTACAAGGCTGGTAAAATTACTCCAATAAAAAATGTAGTAGATATTTGGTACTGCCATTGCCATTGTCTAAATTCTAGATCAATTGCAATCATCTTAGCTAGTTCTGTGCGTGTGTGTGTGTCTTTCTCTTTCTCTTTCTTTCACACTTAGTGTTGTTTCATTTAACTAGACAAAGGAAATGGAAGAGTGGAATATGATGATGGATCACGGTTTCTTTTTCTTTTTATTTTTTTTTTTTCCATTGCTCTGTTGACGGTCCTACAGGAACCAAACTAAGCGATCGTTAAAATTGAGAAGAAAAAAATGATTATTCTTCTTTCGCACTTGCTGCAATTTTTGTCAATTGTACCAAAAGGAACATCAGGCAACTTGATGGCCAAATTGCATTTACATTTTGGATTTATTGTTCGCTTTATTGGAATACTGATTCATTAAGTATCTATATATATATATATATCAGTTTTTATTCAGCATCATCATTCACATTCTGCATTTCGATACCTCTTATAATTTCATCAAAGTCTTGTTCTTCAGCTGTTCTACTTTGAATAATGGTTCCTAATAAATTTTGATCAACATAATCGATCAAATGATCGATAACCTTGGTATTCTGTTGAAGCATACCAAGAATCATAGGTTGCTCGTTTTCCATATTAGGTGGAACCAAATCATATTCGAAAAGGTCATTTCTTGATAACAATTTTTGCGGTAATTTTGCAATGATTTTGTTTTCACCAGATAAAATTGCAAATCTTAATAAATTAAATGGTACTTCTTGATTCACTGTATCACCACCAGAGAAGCCCAATAATCCAAATAATGAGGATGTTATTGATTTTGACTTATCGGGTTTCCAACCGTCAAACAATTTCTGCAAAGCGTCATGTAAGAATTGTCTATGACTTTGGTCATTCCACATGATTCCACATCTGACTAGATAGGTTTCTGTTGCAATCAGTATCTCGGTTGTAACATTAAATGACGATTCAGAAATTGCCAAGTTATCACCTAAACCTATGAGTTGGTACAATTTAAAGGCAGTATATGGATGGTGTTCAAATGCTTTCTCTAAAGCAGCTTGTGCTTTATCGGTTTGGTTTAATTTCAAATATGCCAAAACTGTTGAAAATGCAAGTCCTGGAGTAAGCCATTTAGTATATGTTTGAACCAATGGCGACTCAGTGAACTGGACCAAATACTTGAATTCTTCACTCATTATCGCATAAAAATCAATAAAGTATCTAACCCCAAGGGGATCTTCAGCAGGGTTTAAACTTAATAATAACTTACAGTAAGTCAATGCAGTGTAAAAAGTAGATCTTTCACCAAGGGCTACAATGTATCTGAACAAGTACAAATGGAATTGACGGTTCATAAACCTTTCGTAAGGCAATCTTACTAACCCATTAGAAGCCTGGCTCAACAATTCATGGAAGTTTTTATGGAATGAACGATCAAAGGCAAATAAGGCACGTTCAATCAATGCATTACTGGTGGCTTTATTATCACCCTGACGTAATAAAACCATCGCAACTTGCAACAATGTTTCAACATGATATGGATATTGCTGTAAAAGTTGCATCAATGAATCTGGATCAGGGGTCATGACAACACTGGCGTAGAATCTTGTGTTAGCTACTCTTTCCTTGATATCGTTAATCTTGGAAAATTGGAAGTACTTGACACCTAATTCAGCTTCACTTTTCACTTTCATTTGTAACTCTTCTACGCTAACTTCTTCTTCCTTGTAGTCCAAAAATTTAACATAATCATCTGCTCGGATTTCATCCATATTCATTGGTTTCAAGGTGGTTGGTAACCAGTCATCTTTGATTTTGGACATTAACAACTTTCTTGTGGTTCCAGGAACTCCTCTTCTATCTTTACCACCCCAACCACGGGTCAATCTTGCTAGCCTTTTAAATTGTTGCAATACCTCGGGTGAAACAGCTAATGCGGTAGATGCATTGGCATCATCAATGGCTTCCATTGATAAATTGCCAAATAGATTTTTATATTCATTATCCTGATCCAAATTAGAAAAAGAGCCAATTGACAATAAAGGTAATGATTTCTTTAATCTATTTGTCGTAAAATATTTGAAGTTGGAATCGTAAACTTGTTGTGATTCTGTAATCAAATCTAGTTCCGCTTCAAAATCATACGAATCCAAAAGTTTTGAGTCAGGTACTTCCAGGGAACTTTTTGAATCATCATCCTTTTGTTTCATCTCCTGTAAGATTTTATCAAATTCATCATCACTATATTCATCAACTTGCTTCTGAGTTTGTTTCTTCTTTGCTTTCTTTTTTTTCAGTTTTTTTGACGACTTTGTTAAAAGTATAACAGGTTTGATTTCATCTTTTTTAATCTCTGGTTTGCTTGAAATCTCTTCATCACTTTCATTTTCACTTTCGTCTTGATCATTTAGTAACGCAAAGGCATTCACTTTTGGTTTAGCTGGTTGTTCAAACTCTTCTTTATCATCAGACGCATCTTGGGGCTCAGGCGTACTCAGTAATTCTTTTTCCAATTTTTGACGTTCTAATCTTCGTAATGCCCTCGCACTCATATTGCAATTTCCACTCTTCAATCAATGACTAATATTGGTTTTTGATTCATTCGATATATTTTTTTTATATCTTTTTTTTTTTAATTGTTCATATTTCAATCGCAAATGTCTCATTTTCATGATTTCATAATACGACATTGTCGTACTCAAACTATGCTTCGTGTTGCAAAAAAAAAAAAGAAGAGTAAAAACTAAAAAGGAACGATTCAAACACATAAAATATTCATATCAAATTAAGGGAAAACATACTACACATCAATATTAAGCTTTTTCTTTTATAATGCTGTTTGATTTGTCAAAGTTGCTGTTTTTGAATACCAAACTGAATTCTGTTAATTTTGGTCATACTCCAATAGCACCGGCCAGTATTAGAAATGTGCACAATACAATTTCACACACGAATATTCAGACAGCGGAAAGTATAAGGAATGGATCATCTGCCAAATTAACGAACACTCTGTCACCCAATATTTTTGAATCACTGATACCAACAACTTCAACGACCTCGGTAACTGATGTCATTTCACCGGTCCCAGAAATATCATTCTCACCACAAGATCGTGATAGTATAACAACCAAGATGACTTTGTCGCGTTCAATTGAAGAACTAAGAACTTCGGAATCACAATATCTATCTGATTTGAAAACCCTAAATCGAGATTACTTTCAAAAGTTGATTGAAGATGTCAAAATTGAAGTACCTGTCCCTATTAAAATTGTACACAATATTCTTACCAAACTAATTGAGTATCATGATAGAATGAGTAGATTGTTTGCAAAAATCTCTGATCGTGACTTGTGTTCTATGTGCAGTCAATATTGCCGCATAATTTCAGATAATGGTATCAATGTTTTCCTTTACAAGTGGTATTGCTCCCAGGTTATTTTCCATGATTTTTCCCAATTTACAAAATTACCGACTCGGGCAAACTGGCGACAGATGATCGTTCCGACAGTTGATTCGTGGTGCAAAGGATGGCAGAATTTTTTTGAGTGTCAGCAACCACCACGTAACAAAAAGGATTTTTCTTTGATGTCTCTTCTACAGAGACCTATTGATAGAATTACAAAGTATCGTTTGTTCATGGAAAGTATTTGAAGAATTTTGTTAGATTGGGATATGACACAGATGAAATTCAACAAAGCTTGAATATAGTACTGGCACAGCTCAGTAAAATTAATAGAAACTTGGAGAATGGATTCAATAAAGGAGATTTGAATGGTTTAATTGACTTCAATGACTTAAAATTCCAGAACTATCAATTGGGATGTCAGTTTTTTGGAATCCCTTATTTTATTGGATCATGCTGGTTGATCTATGTTGAACACAAAACCCCAAAATGTCAGAATGTACCGATTATACTATTCAAGAGTCATATCCTACTACTTGAATATCATTTCTCAAAACAGCAAAAGTTTGGAGTTAAATTTGTAATTCCTGTCACCAAATGTCATTTGGATTCAAATTCACAAACTTCGACACATGGTCTACATACAAGGTATTCGTATTGTCTTAAACTTCAATTTCAGATTCACTCGAGCAAATATGAAGTTTTATTATGCTGGGTGACTAAATCGGACTATGACAATTGGCTTGATGCATTGACCGTTATAATCGAGTTTGTTAATGGAACAGATGATGCTCGTAGTGCGTCTGTTGATATGATAGAGTATTTGTATCGAATACCAGAGAAATTATCACCATACGACGTGCAAACAAATTCTCCGAATTTTTGGAAACAAAAGGAAAACTGTTACTTTAGTGATTGCTACATGATAAAAGTCGAAATGGATAGAGCCACAGTAAAACTATCTGATCATCCTACTGGTTCATCTTCACAATCTAATCTGTATGCATTTCAAAAGTACTATAGTAATTCATATATTATAACGCTCAAACTGAGAGAATTGTTTTTGAATGAACGGTATTTTAGGAACTTGTTTAGCGATGGCTTGAGGATTTACTCAAATGATAATACTAAATTTGACTTTTTCTTGAAACTAGCAAATAAAAACAAGAGCTATAGATGACTTAAATAGAATGATGAATCAATTCGACTAAGACCGAAGAAATTATTTAAACTAATTACCACTATCACCGGCACCTTTAGAATCATTCTTGGAAGCAGTAGTGTCACCAATGGCACCCGAACGTGATTTATCATCACCCTTATCAAGAATAATCTTAATAACCAGATCGATATTGGAGGTACCAAAATCATTCAGCAAATCCAGCTTAGAAGCTTCATCTAAAATACCATCTACTCCTTTCTGTCTATTCACAAATACCTTGAATATGGAAACCAAGTCGATTATTGGAACAGTGGATGAACCTTTGGCGTCAATCTCTTTTTTGTATTTAGCTAACAATTCTGGATCATCGATGAACAAAACAAAATCATTTTCCTTTCCTTTATAGAATAACTTATGAGGGGATCCTTGTGGCATTATTGGTCGTTTATGTGTTGTTGTGGTGGTTGTTTTAATCAATTGAAATTATAATATACTATTAATAATTAAACAGATAAAGTAAAAAAGTAAAAAAAGAAGAAACAAATATAATAAAATGAAAGTTAGAAGGAGAAATCATTGACTTTATATAAAGAATGAAGTTGAGCAAGCAAGGGAGGAGAAATCATCCATACCATTCGTGTAGGGATGCAAAAAAAAAAATTGGCCATGCAAGTTAGCAATCGTGTCGTGTGCTAGGATATATTATTTTTCAATGTTCACACTCGTTTTCTTTTTGTGGACGTAATTACCACACGAACATTGTAGCAACTTAAAATAGAACATTGCTAAGTTACATAATATAAAATAATATAATGTGCAGAATATATATATATATATATATATATAAAAAAAAGTGGAATTACATCATCATATAGTGATGAGCATTTTAAGATCTAAATACTTGCCTTATGTATTTCTGAATAGGTTACTGGATGAATGGCAAGGTAATCCATTTTAAGTAAAACCAAACATGTAAAGAATCTAATTTTGTTCGTATTATTTACTAGGTTTATGAATCCCATGCCCCACAGCCATACGATGAACTAAATCTGTTAGAGTAATTAGTGTTCATTGATGGTTATATTTGGACTAACCGTCATATAGATAATTAAGCCAATAGTGAACTATCGAGTTCTTGATTGCAGGAAATTTGCTTATGTGTGATCTATGACGTACCCAGATCTGAACGATCGACTCAAGCACAGAGAGGAAAACAAAAAAAAAAAAAAAAACGAATTGCAAAACTGGATCATTAGCAAGTATAATGAATTGCATATGGCAGAAAACTTCAGAGCCACAGTCAAATGTAACTATCCATAATCATAATCCATTCTCAAGTCCTGAGGTCATACAACATCTTTGTATATTAAAAAAAGGTTAAGTGGATAAGTTTTGTTAGTGTATGATTCCGCGATTATATGATCCAGTCACGTTAACCCGAGTTTTATATCCGATCAACCCTTTCCCTCATTTTTTTTTTTTGCTTTGTTCACTGACTGATGTCTTTCTTTAACTTTCCAAAAAAAAAAATATATATATAGAAAACAGGAGAACTACATAGGTCACTGCTACTCAAGCATTTAAGATACCCTTTTTGACAAGTTTATATTTCCTTTCAATTTATCACTTTGATTGTTGAACTTGTATTCGTACTTGTCCTTTTTCTGAGTACAACTTATAATGGTGGCCGACAATTTGAAAAATAACATCACTCAATTCGGATCAAGTATTGGAACTCACATTAAAGATGGCTATAAATATACTGGGAATGAATTAACGCATTTGTCTTACAACATCAAGGATACTGTTACTTTCCATAAACGAGACTATGATAAAGACGATGAACTACTTCAAGTGTACAAGCATGATATTAAACAAGCAATTTCGGGATTGAAATATATTGTGTCACAAACTCACCATTTGGCAAAGAGCTTTTTACCCCATGTCCTATCTACAAACATAAAGATTGTCAAGAATTTTATTTCTTTAATTGGTCCTAACTCCTTGTATTTTAAGGATATTAATAAATATTTCGAAGCTTTTGATGAATGGCAAGCGACTCAAGAAATCCCCCATATTCATCCGAAGGAAATGCAATTTTTGAATGATACCATTAATGAAGAGTTGTATAATTATTTAATAACAGTTGAAAACTTAAAAATAGAATTGGAATCAGAATGGGAAGTTCATGATGAATCTACAAAGTTAAGAATTGGCGAAATGGTCAAATACTTGAAGAAATCATTGAAATTACTTCTGAAGAGGGAAAGACATAGAACTGACCAGGACCACTTACATCGTAAAATTGAAAAAATAAATCAAAAAACCACCCCATTGGATGAGAAAGAACAAAGAAAACTTGACAAGTTACAAGAAGAGTCTGAGCAAGAGGATGATAAATTTGATAAATTAAACAAAAAATGCCTTGACTTGTTACCAAATGTGGTAGCTCTCTTGGATGAGTTTGTTGAACTGGTCACCATTTTATTTTTACATCAGCAAATCGATTTATATCAGACTTTACTGAAGTCATTTGATCATTTTGCTGTATTTTATGGTATGTTAAAAACGGAGGATATTTCATATCAACAGATTATAGATCAATGGGAGGCAAACAGCACCACAACTCGATTGCAAATTGAATCATTCATCACAATTATCCACAACAAAAACCCAGAGTTACTTGACCAAGAAATCGATGATGAAGATAAACTGCTGAAGTATTACAAATTCTGGCGCAATATGAACAACAAGGTTATTGAGAAAAGACACCCGATTAAACCAAAGAATGCGCAAAGTGGGATTTTTAATGATACTTTGGAGATAGATCCTATAGTGGCATTCAAGGAATACAATGATCCTACGGCAAATGTTTCTGAAACTTATCATCCACACAAAATGGTTTCTCGAGAGATTCCAAATCCAGTTGTACATCCTGGCACACCTCCATCATTACCACCAAGATCAAATATTTCACAAATACCTGTGATGAAACCAGCACCTCCAATTGCCACGCCTATGTATTCAATTGATACAGATAGTTCCTTGGATTCCCTTTCCCTTGACGATTATGAAGTGGAAGATGAATCATCAGATTCTTCTGCTGCTACTTCGATAACCGAAAGCGCTATATCAAGCTTTACTTCATATTCAAACCATGAAACATCAGATGCAAAATTGAGGAAATTGTACAATGGATGCAAGAATGACATTAAAGTGACTCCTATTACAAGTAAAGATTTAGGATTGGGTTTTGCCCAAGTACCAGTGAACCAGCCTATGAGTTTGAGTTATAAATTGGACATGATGCAAAGCTTTTTTAACAAATTGGATATTCATAATGGTGAAAAGATTATCAAAATTGCTAATCATGATTTTTCTGGTTTAGAACCAGGTGATTTGTCGTTCAAACAGGGTGACAAGATTGAGGTGCTTTTAGATTTCCAGAATATTGATACATTATATAATTCAGATGGTGCTAACTGGGTTGTTGGGTTATCAAGAGTTGATGAAAACAATTATAGAGTAGGGTTCGTACCCAATAATTATATCGAATAGGGGACCTTTTTGTTTTATTTAGTTTATAATATACAAATATCTTGTGCTATTCTGTTTTTTGGTTTATTGGCGTCAACAAGAGTTATTAGTGGGGTTTATCTCAGAGACTCGCACTTTATGGGCACTGAGTTTACTAAAAAAATCATTACATACTACAAGAAGCAAAAAAAAAAAAAAAAATTTGGATTACCATTTTCTCGAAACTAAACCAATTTTCAACAAACATCACAATGATTCCATTTAGAAAGACCGAGACACCTTTCAAATCTGATCCTATATCACGAGTGAATTCGTCATCGAGATTAAACCAGCTAGGTAATAATACATCAAGTCCATCAACGCCGAATCCCGCATCGTATGTCACATCTTCATTAAATCCACAAAAGAACTTACCAACCAATGCAACCAACGTTAAACTGAAACTACAAACCCAAAAGGATTTAGATATATTTGAACAATTACCTATGGTGCAAAAAGTTAAGGAATATGAGACTTTACTCAATGAATTATCTAACGATATTTCACAGTTCAAAGATGATCAACTTCAACTGAAAATTGAACAAATAATTGCTTGTAATGATGTTTTAAAGCTACAAATTGAAGAATTGAACAGACATAGAAATTATAGTCATCAAGTTGATAAATTGACAGAAGAAAATCAAGCATTAGAAAATAGTTCTAAAACGATATTAAAAGAATTGGTAAGTTATAGAAATGAATTGAAAAAATTACCCAAGTTACCAAAACCAGATAAACAATTGAATAAATCCGTCGAAGTTGATGATATTTTGAAATATGCATTCAAATTGGCAAAATTTACTAAAGCGCCAGCTGCTATGGCAAATATGCCTTTTCAAATACATCCAAATAATTATATATGGCCAGCAGAAGATTCTTTAAGACGTGGAATGTTGGCACAAGCATCATTACAGTCTGATGAAATAATTCGAAATGAATTAGGAGTTTCAGAAAAGGAAGAAATTGAAAAACCTAAAGAAGATTCAGATGAAGAAATGGAAGATGTTGTACCATCAGTAACAGAAAATGCACCACCTGCACCGGATAATAGACAACAACACCGAGGCTCATTTGGATCATATGATAACAATAAGAAGCAAGAAGAGCCACCAGCTGCGCCAGCTGATCTTAATTTGGACTTGTTTGATCCTGATGATGAATATTCGGATTGATTTATTGGTGAGTTTTTTTTTTTTTTTTTGATAATCTATTTATGTAGTATAAATATATGTAAAAACTAAAAACTGTACAAGTTATTTTTGTTTGCCAAAGAGTTCACTTGGATGTTTAAAGGTTCCAGTAGCCTTTTCGCCACCTAATATACAGTCCAATTCTAATTGTTTGGAATATATCTTTCCACTTTTCAAATGATCTTTAACCAATTCAGCTAAACCTTCGATGAAAACTTCGTTATCGTTCAATGATTCAGCACGTTTAATTTTATGTGGATTTTCGGCATCTTCCATAATTTCAATATCCAATTCATGCAAAGTTTCAATATGATCAGATGTGAATGCGACAGGAACCAAAATTATACCTTTCACATCATCACGTTTTTCAAGCTTATCGATAATTTGAGCAGTTTTACCCCCTAACCATGGTTTTGGTCCAACTTGTGATTGCCAAACCAAACGATAAGGGTTTGAAAATTCCAATTCTTCCATAATTTTATAAACGGTGGCTGCAACTTCTGCAGGGTATGAGTCTCCTAAATTAACAGTATCCATTGGTAATGAATGTGCTGAGAATAACAAGATAATATTATCTCTATCTTCAGGTGGGAATTCGGCTAGTTTTTCTTTAATATTGTTAGAAAATGCTTTAACTAAACCTGGCATTTGTGGCCATCTATCAATAAATGACCATTCAATTGTTCTTTCAGGATCATGAACTAATGTTTGACGATATAATTCATTCATTGATGAACCACCTGTTGAATATGAAAATTGTGGGTATTGTGAAAATGCAACAGCTTTGGTAACACCATCTTTTTTCATTTCATTTAAAGTATCTTCGGTCAATGGATTGGCATATCTAAAGGCAACATATGGTTTATGAGGAGCAGTTTCTGGACTTATATCATCCAATATTTCACAAACCTTCTTACATTGGTATTCTGACCATTTTCTAATTGGTGATCCTCCACCAATTTCTTTATAGTGTTGTTCAATCTTTGGCGTACGTCTAGTAGCAATGAATTTTGCCAATAAGTTTTGGAAGCGACCAAATGGAATCAAGTCGCCATCGGAAAATAATCTAAGTAAAAAATCATAGGTTTCTTCAACTTTAGAAGGACCTCCCATATTCATAAATAAAATACCGGTCGGCGATTTTGCACTTTTGGTGGAATTAAATCTATAACATGATGTTCTTTGAAAAGCAGTCCAAGCTCTCACACTAGGTCTAAAAATCATTATGTATTTGTTCAGTAGGCTGATTTCAACAAGAAGAATGAGTTAAAAACTTGATGAAATATATGTATATAATACAGTGAAGTGAAGTAAACCACGTTACTATTTATAGGATTGCAAGTAACACGTAAATCAGTTGTTTAACTGAAAAAGAATGCTAGAAATGAAGATCTGTGGAGATAAAGAATTTTGACTTTTATTTTATTTTTTTCTTTGCCCTTGAATATGTGCTTGCTCAGTGGGTGAAATTTTTCAAGAGCGTTTTACGATTGCCTCGCATTTTACAAGATTGCTACTGAGTTGGAAACGACACACTTGAATAATAGAGCACTACGAATTGTACCTCTCTAGAATACATGTTAAAGTATAAATCTTGTACTCTATAATTAATATAAACATGAAAAGAAACCTGAAAAAAAAAAAAAAAAACTACAAGCTAAGTACTGAACTGGAGTGTTTGTGTTGTGATTATCGATTTTTCTACAAAGCGCGTTATTGTTTCGCAGCATACATTCCTAGGTAAAACCAAAACTCATTCAATCCAGTTTTGATTGTGATTTTTCTTCTGATGTGTTGTTATATTCAGCTTTAGCTTTTAGGAATTCTTCCTTTTTACTTTGGAAAATGTCATTAATTTCATTCGTAAAATTACTGTAAGCATCCTTTAATCCCTCAAAATCATCGTCTGTAATCGATCCTCTACGACCTCTAAACGACTTCCAAGCCACGTTAAACTCCTTCAAATCATGATCAACCTCTTTTTTATCAAACTCTTGAAATACATCAAATGGTGGTAATCCCAATGTTGGCGAATCGTATCTCTGTTCCAATTTCGAACCAACAACTTTTTCGACAATTTTTGACTCTTGTGGGTTCAACTTTTTCTTTTCCTCCTTCTTTTTAGATTCAAGTTGAGCAACATATGATGGTTGTAACGACTTCAATAACATGGTAACTTGTTTAGCAAATGGACCACTAAATGCAAAGAATGTAGCTGCAACTACTCCGATCAACCAGAAATAAACTGTAGCCCAACATTTGATTGATTTTGGCAATTCTAAAAATACAAATGGTTGCACAACGAACCCAAAGGCCAATTGAGTGTTTATCCAACAAATAAAGTCATATACGGGCTTTCCACGTCTTGGAGTTTTGCCATCTGCCATCAAGAAAATTGGTCTAAAGTTTCTTCTGTAAATTTTACCCAATGTTTGGAGGAAAGCACCCAATACAAAAGTCAAGTAGTATCCTGGACGAGTGCCATGCCAGAATGCACTAGTTGCAAAAGTGAACAAGGTACTTTTAAATCCTGGTCTTCTTCCTGGTTTAGCAACTCTTAAGTAAACATAGTTTTTCAACCACTTGTTGGTATTTTGATTCCAAGCTTCTAAACAAGTGTGGATATTCTGACCCAGTTCAAAAGCCCATGGGTCAATGTTTTGTACTCTATTCCATTTGAATTCTCCGGTCTTTGAATCAACACCATTATAACCAATACCACATAAAATACAGGCTCCTTCTGCCATGGTCCAAATTGCATAGTATTTCAATCGGAACGAGAACCCTAAAATCCACATGTAAAAAATTCTATAAATGAAACCGTGTTTGTTCATAAATTCAGGGCCAAACATATAATCAGCAGTAACAAAATTGTCGCTTTTAACTAATAAGAATGCCCAGAAGAATCCCAAAAGTAACTTTTTGGTTGCTTGCAATCCCGATCGAGGAATTCTTCTTTGTTTTGGTCTCTTTTCTGATGGCACATCATCAAACATGGTAGAATGAATGAATCTTTCATAGTCAACAAAATCAAATGCTGGACCAGTCAATAAAGAAGCATAGAAAAACACATAGCCAATATAAGGTAAAAGATTAGGGTGTTTGTAAATAGCTCTTGATTTATTATATTCATTTAAGGACAGTTTTGGTTGTTTCCCATCATAAATATTCCATCCAAATGCAGACAATTTCATAACTAGAATCATTTGAGCTCCAGTGATATCAATTACAGTACGATCATAGTCAGCAAAAAATTGCAAATGGATATGACTGTATGCCATATGAGACATCAAAAAGATAAAATTTATCCATGGCATTGAACTAGTACGAACATATCTTGTAATGAAATAAGTACCACTTGCTGAAATCAATAATGTCACTATACCTGAACGTAAATTGCAGATACCAAAAATATAAAAACATGAAACAAGAATATTATATAAATTCTTCAATGTATAATTGTTATCTGGTAATCTTTTGAAAATAATACTGAATGGAAATGACAACAATGTACAGATTAAAATCTTCAAACTTGCACCATCAAGGCCAGTCAATTCCAGTAGATTATTGATTCCATTTTGAATTATTGACCGCATTATAACTGTTGATCTATTAAACTCAAGAAGGATGAATTAAAGAAAGAAAGAAAAACAAAATTCTTCTTAACGATTATGATAGAAAATATTGAATCTAGATACAATTTTTCAACTCAAGTCGATGGAATGCTGCCCCAAATTGATTGTCTAAAATAATGTTGGGTTGTTGATTGTTTGAGTAATGCTTCAATATAATTTCAGGTGATCTGTTGTCGTATAATTTGGACGCAAGAGAAAAAAAAAAAAATTATAAAAAAATTACAAAAGAAAATGTCACATGTCGCAAAATATCTCATGTCGCAGAAATGATTTCATATGTATTACGAGAATCTTCCATTACATCATTGCTTAGCCAGAACCAATTTGAATCCTTCATCCAATGCACTTGTTATAGCATCATTCTTGTATGCAATGGTGTTCAATACGAATGCCACATCTTGCCATTGACTTTCCAGTTCACATTTAGGTAATCTTGCCAATAACTTCTCAGCCAATTGTTTTTGATGTCTTTCTTTGTCAATGAACCCTACCAAAAACTTGATGATTCTCTTAAATGCATCCTTAGACAAGCTTGCATCATGAGATAACCCACTGAAAATATCAATGAACCCATTATAGATAGCATTATCTTTCGTTGACAATTCAGTAAAGAATAGTCTACACATATCACTGATTCCTTGATCTGGATTCTCCAAACATTTAGCCATCGATGATAATTGACCTTTGACCTTCACTTGCCCTGCCAAAATTAAGAATGTGACTGTCATCAAACAAGTTCGTTGAACCATAAGACTCTTATCAGTTAAACGACGGTAAATGGAGTCTGTATTCTCATCGACAATATTGTTGAAACAAACCGCCATATCTCCCAATCCCAAAACACAATTACATCTTATTATTGGATCCTTTGAATTCTCCATAATTTGAAGCAATAAAGGTAAATTCTCTTCACAATATATAGAAGAGACACACATTAATTTCACGAGACACAAAACAGCTGATCTCTGTAAAGTTTTATTTCTGTACTGTTTAGAATGAGCACAAATATCTTTCACCAAGGGTCCAAACTTGGCCAATAAAGATGTTTCTCCATAAAGTATTTCTCTTTCCTTCACATGAACAACTGCGTCTGCAAAATCATCTTCTGAAGTACCACCAATCATTTCCAATTCATTTTCGCCTTCTGCTTCTTGACCATTATTTGTTGATGATCCTTTAGAGCCAGTACCCTTATTTGTCTCAGCATCATGCTTCTTCTTCTTGAATTCCCCCTCAAGCTTTTCAAGATAAACTATGGATTTCAAGGCAATGTGACCAACTATAAATAACAACTGAGACAATGCAATGGCTTGATTTTCTGTTGGTGAACGATTTTTGCCAAATACTGCGATTGATTTCTCCTTTATGATATCAGAGCATATTTGATCTGGTTTAGATGCTATTTGATAAATTGCAGAAATGGCTTGTTCTGTTAATGAATACCATTCAGGCTTATCGTTGTATGCAATTAATATCAATTTCAATTTTTCAATTGCCTCCTCTTCATTTGGAATTCTGATAGCAGTGGAGTTTCGTTTGGTACTCGTTGGAACAACTCTTTGTAAAGCAATACATGTGTATCTTGCAAGCATCAAATCATCTTTTCCTGCGTCACCAAGACCAATATTCAACAAAGCATCAAATCCTTTAACCGCAATTTGATTGTCTTCAAGAGCAAGCATTCCCAAGACAATTATAGCACCTCTTCGTTTGCTTTTCATTTCCTCGCTTTCCTCATTTATACTATAGATTTGCCATAGAACATTTATGACTTCAAAGTTAATCATCATGGAAGCATACATCAATCCTAACAATTTCTCCAAAGATGCTAAATCCGCTACTGAGGCACTGTAAGTTAATCCGATTAAATTCTTGGCAATATAAGCAGCCTTTTCCATTCGGCTCGCAGAATCAGGAGCAATCAAAAATAAATGCTTATAACAATCAATCAAATGAGAAGCAACAGATTTTCCTTCATCACTGGATCCCTTCATCCATACTAAATGTAACATCTTCCGAATTCCTATCTGAGCATTTTCGATACCATATGCATCTGCCAAAACAAGGAAATCCATGGCATCAATAGCCTCATTTCGATTCTTTGAGAATAATAATCTCGAAATTACATCAGTACCATGATGCACAGCTTCTATGAAATCAACAGCATCTTTGCAATAATTAGCTGTCAATTTAGCTCTTGCCAAAACTGTAACATCAGGTAAGTTCTCTTCCAACATAGATATCGTACCAGTTTCCTCTTCTTCATTGTCTTCATCTTGTACCTCATCTGGTGGTTTCTCACTGCCGTCCTCGCCTTCATTTTCTTTATCCGAATGTTCACTTTGTTCGTCTTCATCTTTGCTCTCTTCAACTGCATCTAACTCGATTTCGTTGGAATCTGCATTGGAGCGTCCTTTAATAGGGGAATTAGAAGGTGGAATATATTTTAACAACTCTGCTTCTGCTTCATCTAATTTCTGTTTCCAGAAACTCAATTTCAATTGTGTACCATGAGAGCCTTGAAACTGGTGTTTTAAAATCAATTTGGACATTAACTTAATGACGTTTCTTCTAACTAAAGCACTTTTATCATCTAATGACCTTACTGCAGCCATCATCATTGATTGTCTTCTTTCTGTCAACTTAACCTTTAAATCAGCTACTTTAGTCAAGGCTTGGAATGCCTTGGTACGTACATATGGGTTCTGATCCAAAAATCGTTCCTCTAGTAGATCCAAAAGTTTGGCAACCTGTTGACTGTAATTGTGTGTATCTTCATTTTCATCTTGTTCTTTGTTGCTACTCTTGATCATATCAACGACAATATTCCCACATGCTTCCACCACAGAGCATCTTAATGTTTGGTTACTATTGTCCAACAACTGGGAAATACTCGTCATCTGTCTTAAGATTAATTTGGGACTCAACTCTGATAATCTAATAAGAAATTCTGACACTGCCTTAGGACCGGTTGTATCGTTAGAATTGAAATGTGTTTGAGAAATTTCACGTAAAACATCTTCAGTCAAAGTCATATAATCATATTTGTCTGTCAATGTATGTAATAACGCAGCCATATATTGAGGTAAATGGGCATAATAGGTTAGACATTGAATTATTGAATGCTGAAGCATTGTACCATGACCATGTTTGGTAACGGCAACACATAAGACTTTAAAAATCAACATCCTAATGGGAACTAACTTCATTCTCTCTGGACTTTCCATTAAATTAACTATTGGTCTTGAAAATAACTCGATATAAGCATCTCTTTCAGGGGTTGTTACAAATATTTTACTGAGATCCATACTCAAAATCGTTCCAATGGCAGACAATCCATTTTCGACTTCAGTACAGTTGGATTTCCATTTTGCAGACAATTCACGAGGCACGGACTTTTGAGACCTGGCATTTCCAATTTGTGAAAAGTCCTGTTTTCCAAGATATTTAATAAGAACGAACATAAGATACCCATATTTTTCTAAAGTTGATTTGATTGTGTCAATGTTATCAAGGAAATCACCACTTCGTATTGCTGTATCAAAGGTTTGACCGATGGTATTGAATGATGAAGTCACAAGATATGCTACTTGATGGCATTGTTTATCTTGTAAAACTCTGAATCCATGAACTAACTCAAGAACGTCTTCAAATAACTCATTGTTGAAATTCAATGATTCTGGGTTGTTTGCCAATGAATCAGTGATTGATTCTAATTTGGAATCTACGTTGGAAAATTCAACTTCGTAATCCTTATCAACATCAAACGCGTTGAAATAAGATGCAAGTGTGAAATCCATGACTGATAACTACTATTCGTGATGAGATTCCAAGTGTTGTTGTTTTCAAAAAAAAACAATGTAAACAAAAAAAAAGCAAGAGAAGGAAAAAAAAATGAGATCAACAAAATCAGATTTGTTTTGATTTTTTATTCGCGTTTGCAATTTTTTTTTCCATCGCAGTTCATGGTTCAGATACATGAAAAGTATGAGAATAAATTACTATACAAGCTACTAATACAACTATTAAATACTGTATGCTTAGTCCTTCAATTTTGCATATCCTTTAACAATGGCGTTTCTGGTTCCTCTTTTCTCATCTTCTATTGCTTCCAATAAATCTTTCATAACGACTGAATTTCCTGACCTTATTTCTCGAAATCTAAGACCATTATCACCACGGATTGAAATAATAGGACTTTCTTTTCTACCATCTTTGGAAGCCCCATTTCCAGATTTCCCCAGGTCTGCTCCACCTCCGCCTCCTCCACTACCATTTGAACTTGTCATCCAACTATATTTCTTCTTACCGAGGTTCATAGTCATCATTGCGGCAGTAGCATTGGCTGCACGGTGCAATGTTTCTTCGGCTCCCGCCTTAGAATCTCCATTTTCACCAGTATTAGAAGGATCATTGGGACTCTTTTCTAATCCTAGCATAACTCTTTTGCTAACTCTTTTTTCTTCTAATTCTTTTTGTTTGATAGCTAAATTTCTCAATTCTTTTGAAATTTCAGATCTTGGAACTGAACTACTACCTGAACGTTTACCAATTTTAGGAATACCTCTTCTTCTATGACGGGATAGCATCATGGTTTTAGTTGCAAGTCTGCTTAACCATGTTTCACATGCGGCAGATACTAATTCCAACATTTCTCCATCCATTAAGAAATTTTGTTGAATGCCATTCTCTTTCGCCACTTTATCCATGAAGGCAGCCAAATGATAATTGTTTAAAAAAGAGGGTGGTTTGCTTGATTTAATAACATTCTTTAAATTCGACGTCATACCATCTGTTGATTTTCTATTCAATTGTTGTTGTAATAAGATCTCTTCTTCCTGTTGGATATCAACCCCTGCTGCAGCAATTGCATCATTTAATTTTGATGTATCTTGGTCATAATCTTTCGTGTTGGATGTAGTTGTTGCATTGTTGTTGCTATTATTGTTGCTATTATTATTGCTGTTGTTGTTGTTGTTGTTGCTAGTGGTTGTTTTATCATTAGTGTTATTATTATTATTCGTGGCAGTTGATGTAGATGCTGGAGTTGTAGCCGTGATTGTTGTATCATTGGTTGTAGTGTCATTTTTATCAGTATCTTTATTGTCATTGTCATTGCTGTTATTAGTTGCTGGTGAATCTACATTTGCACTTTGTAGTAATGAAACTGGTAAGCTATCAAAATCTGAGTCTATAGATGGGAAGCCATCATCATCATTATTGTTTTCTAGTTTTATTTTCTTACTAGGTGAAGTAACTTCATTTTCTAGATGTCTCTTTAGATTAGATTGGTCTTGTGGACTCGCTGACATTGGGAATGGTAATGAGTGTTGGATAGATATGCTTCAATTGTAATTCCATACTCTACTCATTTTTTTTTCTTTACTTTTCAACTTATTCTTGTTGTGGGTAGGTGCGTCGAACGAGCAAAATAAATTTGAGCCATGTACACGACCTATTGACTACAATAGAAATGATGCTTCTGGTTAGCAAACGAAGCAGCAATTGATATCGAAGTCGTAATTATTTAAAATGTGGTTATTCAAATTGTAATTTACCTTCATATTATATCTTGTGACCAACTCTTGATTTATGAATGTCCAAGAGCAAGGCTTCAATTACGTTGCTTCACCATTACCAACTTTTTTTTTCTAAAAGTTATCTGAACCATACGACAGCTTCAAGAATGAGCAATACTGGCGTTAGTTTGCCATATTGCTTACTTATAACCTTTCACCAGAACGGGTTGACATAAAACATATGGTAGCGCAGTCTAATTTTTGTGATGAGCTTCTAAACTATCAAGACGCTGAGAAGAAGACGAAAAAAAAAAAATTTCATGAGACTGTTAATGCATCTCAAATATCACTACACTACGTTACAAGTACAACCAACAACAACTATTACTAATGTCAAGCGTTAAAGTAGATAAACCTATTATATTTGAAGGTCATCGAAATTTTAGATTAAGATTGGTGTTGGCCACACTTTCTGGGAAGCCAATCAAAATCACCAAAATTAGATCAGAAGACATGAATCCTGGTTTGAAAGATTATGAAGTTTCATTTCTTAGATTAATGGAAGCTATCACTAATGGGTCTCATATAGAGATTTCATATACTGGTACTACTGTGATATATAGACCGGGTATTATAATAGGAGGAGATTTGACACATAACTGTCCTGATTCAAAAGTTGTGGGATATTATATAGAGCCAATGTTGATGATGGCCCCATTCTCCAAAAAGAAATTCAGTATAGTTTTTAAAGGTTTGACTAATGCAGAAGGTAATGATACTGGTGTAGATGCCATAAAATGGGGGTTGTTGCCAATAATGGAAAAATTTGGAGTTAGAGAAGTTTCGTTACATATTTTGAAAAGAGGTTCTGCACCATTAGGAGGTGGTGAAGTTCATTTGTTGTGTAACTCATTGATTGCTCAACCTATTACTATTCATGCTTTGGATATACCTAAATTCTCGGCAATTAGAGGTATTGCCTATTGTACAAGAGTTTCTCCATCTACAGTTAATAGAATGATTGATTCTGCCAGAGCAGTATTGAAACCTACTAAATGTGAAGTCAATATAACTTCCGATGTCTGGAGGGGTGCCAATTCAGGTAAGTCTCCTGGATTTGGAATTACATTGGTGGCTGAGCTGAAACGTGGATGGAGAGTACTTGCAGAAAATGTTGGTGCTGCTGGTGGTTTACCAGAAGACTTGGGTGAATTGACTGCCTATCAAGTTTTGGAAGAAATTACAAATAGTGGTGTTGTTGGAAGATATCAATTAGCATTGGCACTTGTATATATGACTATTGGTAAAGAAGATGTTGGTCGTTTGAAGATCCACAAAAGTGAAGTTGATGAGAATTTTATAAACACTTTAAGAGATATAAAGGATGTTTTTGGAACTGAAGCATTCTTGAAAGAAGATGATGATGCTGATGGTGAGGAAAACTTTTTGACTGTTTCTATCAAAGGTGTTGGTTTCACAAATGTTTCCAAAAAGATTGCTTAATTAGGTTATATAATAGATGTCTTACAATAGAAACATAAATCACAAGCAACTTGTCACGCTATTGACAAAGCCCAAAAGAAAGAAAGAAAGAAAAAGCATGGAACAATATGATTGACATGTAACAAGAAAAAAAAAATACACTAATTGGCTTTTTCTTTCCAATCTAGTGATTACCAGCTATCAACGTTTTCCTTCCTTTGTTTCTTTCTCTGTTGGTTTCCGTCACGCCAAATATTTTCAATCGATAAATCGAGGAAATTTCAAAATTTTAGTATATGTGGAAAGAATTTATAGACCGTTCTAAAAAATACTTATGTAAGCAATGTTATTACTTCTATTTTAGTAACCCAAAAGAAAGGGAGACAAAAGAAAAAAGTATGGAAATGGGTACAGAAGGAACAGTCGGATCTCACGCTCCAAAAACAAAACTAAAAATTTGGGAAGAGCATCTCCAAACGAATTCCCTGTGCTTCTAAATATATATAAAGTCATTTATTTGTCTAGTGGTTATTACCAATTAACAAACCAGTATCAGTTAGCGTTTGTTTTTCTTTCGAGACTAGATGAAGTAATGACTGGCTCAACTACAGAACAACAACAAAATCCACGAGAGCAGGAACATGAGGTGAAAGGAGATTCATATTTTCCTGCAAGAGAAGAACTCTACCATGGTTTTTTTATTAAATATTTGATTATGTTCATAAGTGCCTGTGGCTCAGTATTCTATACTACTTTCTTGTGTAGTGGAGCAGTACTAAATCATTGGAAAGATAAACTTTTGGGACGAGAGAAATTCCTTCAATCTGATATCGAACAAAGAAGTCATGGATATGTTCCACGTCAGCCCTATGATAACTTATCCACGATGAAGCCAAGTCGGGATCTAGAATATTATTTGCAAGCCTTGGGATTGGACCTACAAGAATACAAGGTGACTACATGTGATGAGTTTATATTGACAGTCCATAGAATCATTGATCCAAAAGAAACTGAAGAACAAAGAGCATGTAGGAAGCCTGTGTTCATGCAACATGGATTATTGTCATGTAGTGGCACCTGGATTGCTAATGGGAAGAATTCGTTGGGGTACTTTTTTCATGAACAGGGCTATGATGTCTGGTTGGGTAACAATAGAAGTTATTTTAAAGCACAGCATGCATCATTTCAAGGAGATTTGTACAATAACGAAGAATATTGGAATTGGGGTGTACAAGAGTTGGCGTGCTATGATCTACCAGCCATGATAGGTACAGTTTTGGACAATAAGAAGAAATTCAAGAAATTGATTTTAGTAGGGCATCTGCAAGGTGGATTGCAAAGTTTTTTGATGTTGAAGAATCCATATTACACTCCTTTACATGAAAAAATTGAATTGTTTGTACCAATAGCACCGGCAATTTACCCAGGTTCGTTGTTTTATACACGTGATTTTATTAAGTTTGTCAATCGCAGGAGTCAGTTTACCTGGTTGATGTTATTTGGATGTTGTGCGTTTATGAGAAACTTATGTTTGGTTAGACATTACATCGCAGAATATTCCTTATATGGCAAATTGTCTTATTATATGTTTAAATATTTATTTGGGTGGAATGGTTCTAATTGGGGTAAAGATAAAAAAATTTGGCATTTCTTGTTTATCTTCAATATGAGTTATGCATCAGTTGAATTGATGAAATACTACTTGTCACAACACTCAGGATGTGGGTTCACTAGAATGTTGCAACCGAAAAATGCCTATAAGAACGATGACCACTTCAATGTGAATGTTATCGATGACGCAAAGAGTTTCTTCCAGTTTGATAAAACTTGGTTTACTGAAGTGAAAGTTCCTATGCTTGTATTTATTGGAGAAGAGGATTATTTAGTTGATGGTAAAAAAGTTGTATCACATATGAGAAAATATGAGCCAGGGTATGTTGAGGGTCAAAACTTTGAAGCAGTTGAATTGCCAACCTATAACCATCTTGATGTAGTGTGGGCAGAAGATATTATTGGATCAGCGGGGTATGTCATTATGGATAAGTTAAAAAAGATGGAAGAAAGACTGACTCAAGAAACACAACAACACATGGATACAGTACATACAGAAGAGCACAATTCACTGGAACAAATACCTATCGTGGCGGCTTCATCAGAGGAGGATGCACTTAATGAAAAGGATAATACATTGGCAGAAGAGGATCTTGGAGAGAATAAGTTTAATTTAAAAGATAAACCAATTGTTCCCGTAGAACCATTAATTGCAGACAATGTCACAATTCCTCAAAGTGTTGCAGCAAGTTGAAGTTCAGTGAATTGTTACATATGAGATACAGGGTAGAATCAATCAACGATGATGTTATGTACGGTTTATTATTATTATTATTATTATTATTAGTTGTATTATTATGCAAATCCCTTTATTTTAAAGTTTTCTTTTCTAACCTCTCAGTTCGTGTTCTGTGTATAATCCTATTTCTGTAGTGGAGGTCTCGGAATATTCGTCCCGAATTGTAGAAAAAAAAATAAAAAGGTTAGCGCATTCTGTTTGATTCCACTGAGAGGGGTGGCACCGTTGTGCACCGTCATTCATTACACCACAAAGTTTGACAACAAAACCGGGGGAAAGAACTTCACTTCACAATGCTTACATCATTAATTCAACTCCACTCTTTTAAGATATAAGAAGGGTACGAAATCCTTATGATTTTTTGAAGGAAGAAATAAACAAATAAATCAAAAAAATCCAAGTTGTCCATCAGTTTAAACATATATAAAACGCAATATTCAGCCTTTGTTTTTACACTATTGTTTTCATTAAGTTCTTTGCTACCTTGTTGAAATTTATAGGTAGAAAGTAATAATTTTTAGCGATTTGACACACGTCCTTTTTTTCCGTTGGATTTTTATCCTTTTTTTAACTACCCTTTTATATTGCAAGCCTACTATGACAAAACAACCCATTCCCATCTGGCTAGATTGTGATCCAGGTAATGACGATGCATTTGCGATATTGTTATCCTTGTTTGACACTAGGTTCCAGCTTTTGGGTATTTCTACTGTACATGGAAATGCCCCTATTGAAATGACTACCCATAATACATTGAGTTTATTGGATTTACTACATGTGTATAACAAAGTGAAAGTTTACAAAGGATCAGAAGCACCATTAAAGACTGCACCATTATATGCTTTGAATGTTCATGGTAGTAACGGGATCGGTGGCGTGGAATTCCCTGAGAATACCGTGAATCAAGTGGTTACAGAAAAGGACTACCTCGAGGCAATGAAAGAGGCTATCGAAGCTTATTCAGGAAATATTTGTTTGATTTGTACTGGTACATTGACAAATGTTGCAAAATTAATTGCAAAGTATCCTGAAGTTACCGAAAGCTTGAGATATGTTTCAATCATGGGCGGAAGTTTTGGGTTTGGAAATATTACACCATATGCTGAATTTAATTTCCGTGCCGATCCTTATGCAGCCAAAATTGTTCTTGACACTTTGAGCAATAAAATAATATTGGCCCCATTAAATCTTACCCATACGGTCATTGCTACTAAAGAGGTCAGACAACAAATTTATGATGCAAATAATGAGAAACGAAACTCAAATGTAAGACACGTGTTCTATTCAATAATAAATTTTTATTCGAAAGTCTATGGTACAAAGGGATTCACAGAAGGTCCTCCTGTCCATGATCCCTTGGCTGTTTACAGTTTATTGCCATTTGTTGATAAGACAGATGATTATGGCTACTCGTTTGTGAGAAAGAAAATTGATGTTGTTGTGGATGGGGAACGAGCTGGGGAATCTGTGGTACTGGATAATGATGATTCAAGTGAAGGTATTTTCATTGGAGAACAATTTAACAAGAAAAAGTTCTGGGATAGTTTATTATTGTCTCTTCAAAATGCAGATTTCTACGTGGCTTCTAATTTATAATATAGATCTATCAATAGTCTAAATAATAATAAAGTAAAAGAATTACCAAAGAAAATAAACGGTTTTCTAAAAATTGCTTCTTCGAGTTGTATATATTTGTATCGTCAGACTCTTAACATTCTAAATATCATCACCAACTTCTTCAACTGGAGTAGTAAAAGCACCAGCTAAGTAAATAGCTGGTTCGGCAACATTGTGATGTTCGTAACTCAAAACACCGACACCACCAGCATCCAACATTAATTGTGGGTTACAGTTCAATTCACGTTGAACCCATCTGGCAACAAGACATCTTAAAATATGACCATGTGCAACAACAATGATATCTGAAGGTTCACCTTTTTCAATGGCTTCTTCGTGGATCTTGTTGATCTTTTTAATAAATCTATCTAATCTTTCAGCAACTTGGAAGTGTTGTTCACCACCTTCACAACCATCTCTCCAAATAGACCATTTACTATCTGGGTCCAAACCTTTATCTTTTCTCAATTTAACAATTTCGGCTGTCTTTAAACCTTCGTATTGACCGTAATCCCATTCTCTAACATCTTCATCAACGGTGAATGGAATACTGTTCTTTATTTTTTCATCGACACCTTCAAATAACAATTCAGCGGTGTGTCTGGCTCTTATTCTTGGGGAGACAAAAACATGTGAGATGTGTTCTGGTTTAACCATTTGTAAATCACCAGGACCAATTAAGCCTCTACCAGTATTTCTCATTTGTCTAACACCAAATGGGGTCAAATCAAGTTCGGTAACGGAAGTATGTTGACCACTTTTAGACCATTCGGTTTGACCGTGACGTACAAAGATCAATCTTGGACAGTGTTTCTTGGTCATCGTTCTAGTAGCAGTATTATTTATTATGATGTGGGGAGGGAAAAGAAGAGTATATCAATGTAACATAAGAAAAGAAAAATTTTTTTTTCAAGATATACAGTTTGGTCGAGGTGGTGGTGAGACGGGTCGATATTTATACAATTTAGAGTTAAATCGGAAAAATCTGTTTGCAGCAGAAAAAAAAAAAGAAAGCAAGTGAAAGAAACAAGTAAGAAATTTATGAGTACCTGCCTCGTGGATTGTTCTTTTTTTTCCCATTGTAACGTTTTTTTTAGTAAGCGATTACAAGTAAGAAAATGTGTTGGAACAATTCCATCCCCCCTCCCTTACTCCCTTTAATCAAAAAATGAACAGTCCGAATTTAGTAAGGGATTAGTTATCGACTCCACATAACCGGTCGTGGGCTTTTGTTTTTTTTATTTTCTTGACATAACAATTGACATCATAAACGAAGTGCTAACAATCGCTAATAGCAAAAAAAAACAAAAAAAGGGGGAAAGTAGAAGAAACTGGATCTCTTTTATGGGTCTAGATTGATTGAGCTTCTAGCTTGTTCTTATCATACATGATTAAATATCTGTATTCCTTGCGGAGGAGTCAACCTTCGATCCAGATTTGACCTCTTGGATATCATTTATTGCATTTCTTTCACAAACAAACTTCTACTTCCGAACATATAAAACCGGTTATTGCGTCATAAAACCGGTTCTTAGAGCAATGTTAGGAATGCAGCATAGCAAATGGTGCTTTCCTATATTCATCGAGTAGTACCATATTTTAACGAGATCAAAAATTGAACCTAGTGCACTACTCAAGTGAGTTTACCAAGTGAGAAGTGTGGAAGAAAAAAAAAATCCATCCAATATCAGAAATCTACAAATCACATTCTTCTCGAATCATCAAATCTATATCCAAATTTAAATATGACATCAAAAGTCGAAATATCGAAAAAAATAATAGCATTATTAAACACATTACCAAAGGAGAAATTAAAGCATTATGCTTCATTTAAGGATTCCCAGATACAAAGATTTTCTAACCAAAACCTTGTCAGTCAAATTTCTGAACAAGATTTAAAATTACAATATGTTGCCTTGAAGAACTTATGCAATGACAAATATAAGAACTACTACGAGTTAGATGATAAATTATTAAAACCTAAGGGTAATCCACAATATTATCAACGTATAATGGATGAGTTGAATGGTGAAAGAAAAGAAAACTTGATGAGTGCTATAAGAACAGTGGTCTTCGGAAAATAAGGTACATTGGAGTACACTATACTATGTATATCTGTTCAATAATTAAAGTCTTGTAAATAAATGAGTAACATTTCTGGTAAATGAAAAATTGTAAAACTCTGCTTGCAGATGTTAGGCGCACTTCATGCAGCTGGATCGACTCCTCCAATTCCACATATATTAAGGTATTGTCCCATTATGACCAGAATGCTTCTGTAGACGGTATTTCCTATATATTTTTTGTTTTTACTTTGTTTTCGCTGGTCCGTAAAATCGGCTTTTGATACTTCTCACAAGAAGCTCTCCCTCGTTAAACAAAGAACGAAAGAGAAAAATTTAATTAGCGGTTGTGTCATGCACATAAATTTTTTGTATGAATTTTTTTTTTCTTCTATTTCTCCTTCTTTTTCATTCCTACGAAGTTTGAATCGATATACAATCAGACCAAAAAAAAAGCCTTGTTCTTTTTTGATACAATCGAACGTCCAAATGTCGTTTACAGTTCATTCAATTAAAAGATCACGACCTTTGCAATTGCTCATCGGGATTGTCGTTTTAATTTTAGGTTATGGAGTTTTCTTTACCGAATGGTTTTTCTCAAGTTCGGCAACTTACACTCCTGAAGAGATCAACAGTTTACTTCAAAACAAAGAATCACATATTGTCGCCTTGAAAAAAAAGGAATTAATCGAGCAATCAATAATCAAACCCTATTTAGATGAATCAAAGTTCCATGTCAAGAACTGGGATTTAAATGGTAATACCTTGGTTCGAAACAATGAATTCATTAGATTAACTTCCAATTCTCCACATCAAGCTTCAAACATGTTTAGCAAATGGCCACTTCATGCCGAATCATTTGAAATGGAATTGACTTTCCATATTCATAATGAGCAAGTCAAACATGGTTTGGTGGGTGATGGTTTGGCCATTTGGATCTTGGACAAACCTAGTGATATTGGTGATGTTTTCGGTGTTCAAAACAAATTTAAAGGATTGGGGATAATGTTGGACACTTTTAAAAATGGAAAACGTGGTCAATTCCCATATGTGAATTTAATGATGGGTGATGGAAACACTGCTTACAACAAGGCAACTGATGGGTTTGAAACAAGATTAGCAGGTTGTATTGCCAAACAACTTTTGAATCCAGAGTCTAAGGAAACCAAAATGAGATTGGTTTACATTAAGAATGGTTACTTGTCAATTGATTTCAACTATTATGGTCGTCATGAAGAATGGCAAAACTGTGTTTCTTTAACTGATGTTCAATTGCCAGCAGTTAAGTATTTGGGATTGTCTGCCGAAACTGGACAATTGGTTGAAAATGTTGACATCATTGAAAACAGAATTTATGCATTATACAAGCCAGACGGCACATTTGTTGAAAGTATCAGTGAATTGCAAGAATTGATTCAAGAACAAAATGAATACGAAAGCGAAGTTTCTTCTGTGGCTGAAGCTATCAAAGAAGAAGAAGAAGCCAAAACCCAAAGAGGCGGTGGTAGACACCGTAGATTTAAGAAGAAGTTAAGTGGTAAGAGAAGAAAATCACTTAAGAGATTGGAAAAGGCAGAAAAGCGTATTAAAGAAAGAGAAAAACAAATGCGTTTGGAAAAATACGGTAGTGAAGATGTCGGTTTCTTTGGCTACTGGTTTGGAAAATTTTTGACTGTTTTGAAGTACATCATCTACCTTTTAATACTGGTTGTGCTTATATGGTTTGCCTTGATTATTTTTAGAATCCAAAAGCAAAAGCGTAAACAAAAGACTACTGGGTTGTTAGATTAATTATCATTATTATTATTATTATTATTCTTTCATAACTAAAATATTATTAATTTAGACCAATACTATACATCACTTTGCATTTTTACAGTTTTATTCAATTTAGTTTCTCTTTCTGACTTTTAAGTCTTTATTTGATAACGCACTGTCTTTAATCATATCAATATCTTCTTTGGAAACAGACAACATTAAGCCAAAAGTTATTCTGCAAACATTTAAAAACTTGTAAATTCTTTCTTTAAATCCATAAACGGCCAGATCAAATGGATTTAATTGGAAAGAAACATCAATAGGTCTGAATCCATTTTCTTGTAAGGTCTTTTGAAATTCTGGATCAAAGGAATATGTGTCAGCAGTAATTAAAATTGAACTATTTTCAGGTGGTGCCTTTAACCCATTAGAAACTAAAAATTCTTGATACAATTCTCTTGTTCTAAGAATAGCCCATTCAATTAAAACTTCATCAAAATCAACTTTTTGGAAAACTTTTCTAACATGAACTCCAGTGATTTTAACAACAAAATTTTCTACAGTAGATTGATCTTCATCAACAACTAAACTACCAACAGCTATTGGAGATTCACGATAAATTATCAATTCTGTATTTTGACCCAATTTAGCTAATTTCTTATCTTCATTGTTATCATTCTTAGCAAAAGCTCTAATATTAAAGCCAAAAACATAATCACAATATTTCTGAGCAAAATTCTTACTAGCAATCCCCATATCTTCACCAACAATGTAAGCTAAAAATCCAAAAATTCCAAAAATACTAGCAAAAAGTGGGAACGCACTCAAGATGGAAAATATAAAATCTTTCTTATCCTTCTTGACCAAATGATAGAATTCAAGTAAATTTTCACTAATACTAACGTAATCCCATACGGAATAAAAAAAAATAATTGGTACCACAGTAGTCATAGCCAACATAGCATATGGATGCCATAATACGTATTTGGTTAATTTTGCTTGTAATTGTTTATAACGATCACCGTGTAAAACAATGGCAGATTTAGATAATTCTGGAGTCAATATTGTTTTACCTAAATTTGGAGCAGCATTGGAGTCTAAAGGTTTATTTAAGTCAAGTTCTTTCTGAACGGCCATGATGACGGGTGATAATATAAATGAAGAATGAAAGTAAAAAAAAAACCAAAAAAAAAGAAGGATAGTGTCAAGAAATATTTTCTTCGGAGATTTTTTTTTCTTTAAAAATAAAGAAATTTCAGATTTTAATGTTGTGGGGGTTAATGGTAGGGTTGATGAGTTGGTGGGAAAAAAAATTAATTCATACTAATTCCACGCACGTGGCCTATTTCTAATTTAAGCAGAAGACGCGGCGTGCCTTCTTTTGTGATATCTCGTTTCGAATACCACTAGGAGTCAGGTCAATGATGGCGTTATTAACTTCAATGTTATGTGAACTTAGTTAACAGTATATTTTTAAAAAAAAATAAAGACATATCAGTGATGTGTACAATTCTTGTTGGTGGTGCTTAATTCTAGTGGTGTTGACATTTTGGTTATGATTTGCAACTAAATTTCCATAAAAAAAATTTTTAACAGATTAGAAATATGAAAAGAAGTAAACTTTAATGGATACATAAAACGTATATAACCAGTCTTATACTGGGTTTATATAGATTATTTTAGTAATAGAAAATAATAGATGGGTAATATAACCAAATAATGTTCTATTAGTATTTCAGAATCAATGATATTCCGTTATCTTTTGTTGTAAACCATAGTCATGTGTAAAAGTATGATGAAAACACTTCCATCGAATCAGCTGGATAGTTCAGTTGGATTTACAACAGCTCCGTAGTGTAGTGGTATCGCGCGAGGCCCATAACCTCGAGATCCCAGGATCGAAACCTGGCGGAGCTAATTTTTTTTCTCTTCGTCAGCGACTTGTTGGAGCTACCAATTCCCTTTAATTTTTAACATGTATTACTTGGAGATGTACCTAATTCATCAAATTGTTTTCTTTGGTTGTGGTTATATATTAACGAATGAACGATACATATTATTTGTTTTTTATGATTTTATTGACAGCGAATTCGTTGAACGATTGATCTATTCGAGGTAAGTCTTAATACATTTGTCGTTCAGATTCTTCTCTATTCGATCTATTAGAACTGTTGAAGAATTGTTATCATTTGGTAAGTAACGTAGGAAATACAAATATATAACCAGATAAAGGGTATCGTTTTGTTAAAAGAATAGAGAGATGAAAAGTGTAGGCGCTTCTCACACCACTCGGTTTCCTGGTGTCTTTTCAGAACCAATCTGTAACTTGATATTTCATTGATAAACAACATCTTCGATATTGTACCATTAGAAGAGTTATCGTTTTGGGTTATTAACGATAAATCTTAATTGTAGTAATGTAAATAGAAAGGCGAATCTTTAGATATGAAGTAAATAATATATTGATACTTTATAAATGTGGATTAAAGATTAATCCCTATAAATCTAGTTTGTATAAATTATGTTATCTCTGTGTCTCTTTATATACTGAAGATGTCACAGAAAGACATCAACTGATGCCATTTAATATATATAATTTGATTTGTTGTTATTATTGTGTAATTTGGTAATCACGTGAAGCACGTGCTCTTGTTTATAATACATTGTAATTTGGAAATATTACAACAAGAAGCATTAAATAGTAGAATCAATTCCAGCTATGAGACTGTTGTTAATCCTTAAATGTAGAAAATATCAAGTAAAAATTAAATTAGTGCATTTTACTTTAAGTGAACTACCGCACTAAAAAAAAAAAAAAAATTAGCTCCGCCAGGTTTCGATCCTGGGATCTCGAGGTTATGGGCCTCGCGCGATACCACTACACTACGGAGCTGTTGTAAATCCAACTGAACTATCCAGCTGATTCGATGGAAGTTTTGGCACCATGGTTCAGGTAGTGACTCCAGAACTACAACTATTTCCTAGTTTTCCATTGAAAACATACCAAAATAAATAGGAAATTTTTAATTTTGTGTCAAACTTCCTAAGTATCAACTACCGAAGTATCTTATTCTTTCCAGTAGTGACAACTATATGAATCTGCTATGATTTCCTAAGAAAGGTATCTCAAATTTGCCGACAAAGTATATTTATACATCCCAATATGTCTTGAAATTGCAAGAACAAAGAACAAATATAATCATATCCTTCAATCAAACTGTCATGTCTTCTGATAAGCAACAAGAAAAACTTGAGCTCAATCACTCTGACAAAGAGGATTCGGATTCTGAAACCATTGGATATCCAAATGACATTGAACAATCCAGTCCTCCTGTATTTAATGAAAGTTTTCCGAAGAACTTGGTCTACACTTTTGATTGTTTTACATACTCGTATCACATAACAGAAACATTATTTAAATTAAAGGGTGATTTTGATACTTGGAAATGGTTCAATATTGATGATTATTCAGGACCTGAAGAGGTTACAGTTCCGGTGATTCATCAACGTCAGACATTACTTTGTGGAGGGCCAAAACACACAAATGATATTTATACCAAATTGATTGAAAAAGTACCATCTATTAAAGATCTTTTGATTCACATAGCAGTGGCTAAATACAAGACATTTCAATATTATGTGATTTGCATGAAGAAAACATCAAAATGTTGTGTTGGTATTTATTTTTTTCCAAAACCAGATTTTGATTCATTTCTTAAACATGCTCTGGAGAATTTTTCAGTGAAAACAAGTATCTCATCCGGTGTTTACATAGAATGCATTTATTATGAGTTGTGGTCAAATATCTCCAAAATATCTGCATTCAAATGGTTTAATATTGCTTTTGTTATACTTGAAAATAAAACCAAGGTCTCTCGTCCAAAGAAGAAGTTCAATTTTGGAAAATCTATGGTGGGACGTGAACAGTGGATAGTGTATAAAGGACTGAATTTTTAAATTTTAACGATAACGATATTGTCAACAATGATGGCAAAGATAAATCTGACTTACGTAGATGGTTGATTGTTGAGTATCAAAAAAATTTATAAACGGGTCGTGCTAAAAGTGACTTTTCTATCCAATATCAGGTTTGAATTGGTTGGAAACTTCTTATCGTTAAACCGAGTATAATAAGAATTGCTACGATATATTTTTAATAGTAATATTTTTGCATTAGCACAGTATATCCAAATTTGCAATATATATGATTCATACGGTGTGTAATGTGCAACCAAAACAAACAAACAAACAAACAAAGATGAGGGAGAAAAAAAAAACATAGTGCTCTTATACAACGAGTCAAAGAGGTCTCACTGAAATTTTTCTCTTCCTACTTAACACTTCTACAGCTTACATTAACCATGTCCACAATACAAGATGATACGGTTTATATACCTATACCACACTATCCTCCGTTCAAGTTAAGATCATCATTGATAGATAAGGATCCAGTTATTTGGGTTCATTTATTAGAAGGCTATATCAAATTAATGCAATTTTTATTAGATGTTAATTCTCCTAAATTAACTATTAAATCCCAACAGCAATTACAGTTGTTTCTTAAGAATTTCCTAGTTGAAACAAGTGAAGAAGAAAGTAAGATTTTTTCATTAGGTGCCATCAATCCTGAAATCAAAACAAATACACTGATTTTGAAAATCTATGTATTTCAATTGATTAAAAATTATAGTTTTGTTAAATTAAACTTGACAGGTGAGATAATTTGGAAATTTGCTAGGATTTATGCTGAAAAGAATATTAATATAGTTAGAGGATTAATTGATGGAAGTTTTAAATCCAAATTCAATGATAATAAAAAATCTGGTAATATCTCATCAATTTCAAGTGTTCAGAAATATCTCGATACTTTGATTAAGAATGGTAATTTCACTCACGAAGATTTAACTAGTTTGTCATTATTATTAGGACAAAATACCACCAAAACAAGTACATTTGCGATGGGTTCAAATAGAAGTATTAACAAGAGACTGAATAGATCATCACCATTTGCAGAAAATTTTGTCAACACTACCTGGATCGAAAACTTGGAACAAAGCTATGTTGGAGGGAAAAGTGTTAATGCAGAGACAATTAAGAATGTTATGATTATTTCTATTATATCTTTATCTACAGCTAAATTGGCATCTTTAACTATGAGTTTAGGTATAAGTTCTGTTGATACATTGAAAAGTTGTCCTTTGTTTAGTTCAATTATAATTTCTGAGCCTTATAGAGAAATGATTCCAAATTTAGAGGAACGATTACCATTTCTTAGATCACTTGATGAAGAAGAAGATGATGACGAAGATTATGATGATGACTTTGGATACGAAGAGAATATTGAAGCTATTTCTTTGTTGGTTGATTTATTCCCTGGAATGACTGAAAAGAAAGCTAAAATCGTGCTTAAGCAAAATAATGGAGATGTTGAACATGTAACTAATATGTTGTTAGAGAACCCAGGTTTGATTGATCAAATTGAAGAACAACAAAAGAAGAAAAAGAAGAAACCAGTTCCATCAAATAACAACTATAATGACCCACGAGTGTTGCAAAGTAAAAAGAATCAAAAATTCAAGTTAGGTCAACCTAGTGCTGAATTGAAGAAGAAAACATTGAGTGATGCACTTCGAGTAATGTATCAAAGTGATGAAGATGAGCCAGATGATACATATGATGATCAAGAGAAAACTACTGGTGACGATTTGTAAGTTGTATGAATATAAGTAGGGGGGAAGAGATTATGTAATATAAAGTCTGGTGCACGCGAACTTTTTCTATTTCACTGTACACCTCCTATTCTGCCACTGGCGGACCTAAATCATAGGAGTGTTGCTTTAGATTAACGTGAGGAATAAATTAAGAAAAAAATCAACAAAAAAAAAAAAAAGAAAGGAGCGAAAAATCGATCGGAAGTTCTGGCGACACCAAGACAGAAAAAAAAAGACGATTCGAAAATAAAGAAAATACAAAACCTGAAAGGAGAATTATCAACTGATTTACTACTTACATTCATCCAATGATTACAGCTTTGTTTATATACGATTCTAAAGGAGATATTTTAATTTCTAAGTTATATAAAGATGGAGTGAAACGTAATATTTCTGATGTTTTTCGTATTCAAGTTATTAGTCAAGCATCGTCAACCAGATCAAAAGAATATCGATCACCTGTTTTAACTTTAGGTTCTACTTCATTTGTTTATATCAAACTGGATAAAATTTGGATATGTGCAGTTACTAGATCTAATCAAGATTGTTCATTAATTTTGGAATTTTTATACAAATTTGAAGGATTATTACGAGTTATTGTTGGTAGAGATAAGAAGAAACAAATTAATGGTTTAACTGATGAATATATTGTCAATAACTTTGCGGTAATATATGAAATATTGGGTGAAGTAATTGAATTTGGATATCCTATAAACTTAGATTTGACTTATTTACGAAAATATGTCGATGATATCAATCATGATGATAGTATTTTCAAGATTGCTCCATTAAAGAGAAGACCATCAACTAAATCACCTACTAAGAGTACATTTGGGTTTGGGATGCATAATAGCAATAATAGTAATAATAATGGCAACAACAACAACAGCAGCGTAAATAAGGAAGTTGATGACGAAAGTGTGACTTGGAGATCTTCTGGAATCAAGTATCGTCGTAATGAAATTTTCCTTAATGTATCTGAACATATCAACGTTTTGATGAATTCACAGGGTGATGTATTGAGAGGTTACATTGATGGATCCATTCAAATGAAGACTCATTTATCAGGTATGCCATTATGTCGATTTGGGTTCAATGAAAATACAATTCTATTATCTAACGATCAACCAAGAGATGGTGCTGTAACTTTGGAAGATTCTAAATTCCATCAATGTGTACAATTGAATATTTTTGAAACAGAGAGAACAATTCAATTCATACCACCAGACGGAGAATTCAGGCTAATGGGATATAATTGTAGCCTGAATATCAATATTCCGTTCAAAGTCTATCCTCAAGTTCAACAAGTTGGACGAAGCAAATTGATGTATAAAATAAGAGTACAATCTTTCTATCCAGAAAAGTTACCAGCAACAAATGTGATTTTAAAGATCCCTACACCAAAGGGAGCCGTATCAACTAATCTTTCATGTTCAATAGGTAAATCCAAATTCCATCAAGAAGAAAATGTAATTATTTGGAAATGTAACAAGTTTTTTGGTGATCAGGAACATGTTTTAACTGCTGAAGTTGAAACCAGTCTGAATTCAGATGAGTTATTATATTGGAACAGACCACCTATTACTTTAGATTTCTTATTGGATATGTTTTCAAGTTCCGGTTTGACGGTCAAATTCCTTCGCGTACAAGAAAAGTCGAATTATAGAACTGTCAAATGGGTCAAATATAGTACACAAGCTGGATCTTATGAGATTAGATATTAATCATAAATATATGTATAGGTGAATAGAAGGTAATAATGATTTTTATACTTTTGGGAATAATCCATTGGCATTTGGCAGCATTTTTGGCAACAACGTGTATTCAGGCAATCAACGTGCGAAAAATGAATACCCGTAAAAAAAAAGAAAAAAAAAAAAATTCGAAGTCAGAACCACAAGAAAGAAAAAAAAAAGCATCTCTCTATCTCATCATCGTCGTCATCATCATAATAACCACCACCACCACCACCTACCAACATCCTCGACGGATCTGATTTATATTTATATATATATTGAATGAGAGATTTAATTGTGTTAGGAGGGTCTTCACACCCTAATTTGACAAAATCTATATGTCGTAATTTAACCATAGAACAAAGCAGAGTTGACTCACGTAAATTTGCCAATGGTGAAATTTCCATTGAAGTCAAAACCAGTGTACGTGAAAAAGATGTTTTCATTATTCAAAGTGGATGTGGACATGTTAATGAAAATTTCTTAGAATTGTTAATTACCATTGCAGCTTGTAAAACTGCAAGTGCTAAAAGAGTCACTGCGGTATTACCATTATTTCCTTACTCAAGACAACCAGATATACCATATTTACCAAGTGCAACTGGTGCCCCAAGTATATCTGTTAAGAAAGATGAATATACTTTTGAAAGCCTTCCAGGAACTCCAAACCCATTATCTCAACCTGATCAAGAAAAACAACTCGGTGTCCCATCTACACCAACTTCATCTGATGGGAAACTTAAAATGCCAATTCCTAAAAAGTACATCCCTAAATCAATTGTTACTAATTCAGCAGCAACCAATTTCTTACCACAAGTTGATGCTCTGGGTAAAACTGAAAGTGGATACAAACAATGGATTTCACCAAATGGTACTTTGATTGCTAATTTGTTGACAACTGCAGGGGCTGATCGTGTCATTACTATGGATTTACATGATCCTCAATTCCAAGGATTTTTCAATGTCCCAGTAGATAATTTGTATTCCAAACCAATTTTGAAACATTACATTATGAATTTCATTCCAAATTATAAAGAATGTGTAATTGTCAGTCCGGATTCTGGTGGTGCCAAGAGAGCCACTGCTATTGCTGATAGTTTGGGTTGTTCATTTGCTTTGATTCATAAGGAGAGAAGAGCTAAAATGCCAAAGAACCCTCCACTGACTTCAATGACCAATAGTTTACTGACCAATACCAAGAACCCAACCATGGTTGCCACTACTATGTTGGTTGGTGATGTTCAAGATAAAGTATGTGTTTTAATTGATGATTTGGTTGATACTTCATATACTATCACTAGAGCAGCTAAATTATTAAAAGATCAAGGTGCCAAGTACGTTTATGCTTTGGTCACTCATGGTATTTTTAGTGGAGATGCCATCAACAGAATTGAACAAAGTGCAATTGATAAAGTTGTTGTTACCAACTCCACACCACAAAGTGACCATGTTGAAATTTTAGGTGACAAAATTGAAGTATTAGATGTAAGTAGAGTTTTTGCTGAAGCAATTAGAAGAATTAATAATGGTGAAAGTGTTAGTATGTTGTTTGATCACGGTTGGTAAGATGTCAGTTGTCTATTTTTGCCTATAAGACACTGTGTATAGAAGTACTTAATAAATAGTTCATTATTGATCATTTTGTTGGTATTTTTGCAACAACACAAACCGAAACTTGGAGAAAAGGTTCAAGTTTCAGGAATATGGAGGGGAGAGGAAAGGCATTTCTGAAATTCCGGGGAAGTGAGATGAGAAATAAAAAATCTCGTTTTATTTTTCTTTTTTTTTTCTTTTTTTCACTTGGTTTAGAGGTATTTAATATTTCATGTCACAATAGGAATAAGTTAGCGAGGAATTCCAAAACGTGACATCGGAGTTTCATCAAAAATGCCACACGAATAAATAGTGACTGTATTTCTACTTTAGCGCATATTATAATAAATGCCCCACACTTTTGGAGTTCCCAATTTCAAAGTAAATGAAATAATAAAAAACGTTGGGTCGGATTAATACACCACACACATATACACACATCCATATTTCGACAATAATAACGTGGCCAAGAAAATAGCTGTTGAGGAGGGGGTGGGGAGGGAGAATGAGAGATGAGGGAATATTAGAGGCGTCTAATGAATTCAAAAATTTTACAGATCTAGATCCATAACCCTAGACTAATTTTTTTGTGGAATGTAAGGGCATCATTATAATGGATTATTCTAATGCCTTACATTTGTCCATGACACCGATCATCTAAGCGGCATTTTTTTTTCTTTAGTTTGTTCATAAGTTGGTTATGCCACACAGTACGAATTGCAGCAATTTTTTTGCTGGCATCGTTTTGGGAAAATTCGCGCCAAAAAAAAAATTTAGTTACAACCACTTGCTTGTGCTCCACATTTCAGTGAGAATGTCAGATCTCAATTGTGGAAACTTTTTTTTTTAAATGACCAAACCAGTGGTATATATTTTTTTTTTGGGATGTGTCACTCAACTCTAAAATTGTGTACTCCTCTCGAATACCAGATAGTTTATTTTAGTCATATGGTCCATAAAATACCAGCACAATTATGTCAAGGTCATGAACCCAATGATCCATTTATTTTTCAATTCGTTTCTGTAGTTTAGAAAGCAATGACAACTTGGCCGGAACAATTTTATTTTAGGATCCCGATAAGAGAGTGCGAATACGTGTAAAAACAAATCCCAATTATTGATTCATAATTCAAAACTAAATCGACGTAGTATACAATTTTAACCAACCCGGTGAATGTTAAATGCCTTGAGGTTGGGGGTAGTTCAATATACAAGAGCAATACAAACCCAAAACGAACCACATACCGGAGTTGTGGAAGAGAATCAAGAGTTTTTTCTTCTTCTTTTTGAGTTTAACTCAATATCGGGGTGGGGAGGAGAGAGTAGATACATTTGCATGTTCGTCAATAGTATAGTTTATTCTCTATTTCAATAATTAGCTATGAGTAACACTCCTTGTATTTTTAGAGGAATGGCATTCCCGTAAACATACAAAAGCTCTCATATGAATCTCTTATCTCTAAATCAGATAATTGATTATAGAAGCACGATTGTCGATAACGCGATGGCACAGAGACAACAACTCGTAAGAACAAAAAGAAAAAGGAAAAAAAAAAAAATTCATTTGAGGTTTGTAACCACTTTTAAGGACCACTGGTTTGTCTAGATGGAAGTATTCCTCTAGATGTACTTTCTCGGAGACGTTTGTTGTAACCAGTTGCATTTGATGGAGTATAATTTTATTTTCTTTCTTTCTCTCTATGCGCCTTGCTTTTTATTTTTTGTTTTTTTTCATCATCCCTTCCCCCCCCCCCCCCCCTTGTTGCTCCTATATAACCTGGAACAACACATTCGTGAACCCACTAATCAAAATGAAAACTCAAATCAGGCAATAAAAGTGTAACAAAAAAAACAGAAGAAAGAGAACATCGACAACAACAGTTTCAATGAATGCGGTATTTATGAGCAAGTAGAGAAATGAACAAAATAAAAAATACAAAAAAAAAAAAAACGCCACTAGGTTGGGGAGTGAAAGAAAAAGTGAAAAACCTGTCTTATATGGAAATGATTATGTAATAAACTTGTGCTACTATAATTAACTCCATACCCCAAAATATTTTTATTATTACCAATAACTTCAATAAAATTAACAGCAATAAATTCCTTTACAAAATAAACGAACTACTTCCCCCCATTGACAACAACAACTGAAAAAAAATTTTCAACTATAAATATCACATCAATTCTCTTGACAACTTTTCAATTAATTTTATTTCATTTCCTTTGATTCTTTGATTTTAATTCAATTTATTAATTAGCTAATACTATTATTTATTACAAAACTCCCTTCCTCCTCCTCCTCCTCCTACTATTACAACTCCCCTTAAAAACACAATAAAAAACATGACTACTTCACTTGAAAACGGGGTATCTCATTTGAATATCTACAAAACTACTTCCAACACTTCAAGTCAAATCAGTTTGAAACATGATTACATTGACTCCCCATTCAGCGGTAAAAAAGACCAATTCGAACAAGTTTTGGATGTTTTGGACTCCACTGGTTTTATTCCTGAATCATTGATTGAATCAGAAACTAAATGGTTTTACGAAAGCTTGGGAATTGATGACGTCTTTTTCGCTAGATCTTCTCCAGAAGATATTGCTTCCCATATCCATGCTTTATACTCTTGTAAAGTTCAAGCTTACTCCAGTTTTGGTGAACAACCATTGATTTCTTACAAGAGAGAATCTGATGATCATGCTGTGTTTTTTGACACTGTTGATGCTGAAAACTACAAGAGAAACCAATTTGAAGAAAGAATCGATGATAAATATATCGATCCTTCCAATTCCACCACCAACAGTTATAGAACTGAATACTATAGTGCTCCCTTAAACTACCAAGTTGATCCAATTTTACTGGGTGTTTACCAACAAAATTCTGAATTGCGCAATCAGTTTGTCAGATTATTCTTTGTTTACAAGAACCAATATATCCAAGCCCAAGTGGATAAAAATGAAACTGATTTAGAGAAAATTGGTGACAAGACTTTCTTGCAAATTGCTTCTGACAACACCAAGAATTTATACACTTCAATTGTTAAAGATGTGATCAATACTACTGGTCCTGTTATTAGACACTTCCCAATTGAAGATTCTGAAGAATACAGAGTTGTTATTGGTTACAGACAAAACTCAACTGCTAGATACAATTCCGCTTTGGGTGATTTGGCTAACTACTACAAGTTGCACGTTACCAGAAAATATGTTGAACAATTTGCTAATGGCGTAACAATTATTTCCATGTATGTGACTTCTAAGCTGAGAAAATCCCCTGTTGATTTGTCCATCTACCAAGTTATTAAGGAAGCTTCTTTATTGTACTGTATTCCTCACAATTTCTTCCATGACAGATTCATTCAAGGTGAATTATCTTTGCAAGAATCTATTTATGCACAATCCGGTGTTATTTTTGTGACACATTTCTTGAATCGTTTGGGTCCAGAATACTCCAAATTGTCTTCTTTGTTGGATCCTTCAAAATCCATTGAACATGCTGAAGTTTTGAATAGTTTGAAGAAGAGATTGAGAGCTGAAACTTATACTCAAGATTACATTAAAGAAGTTTTCGATACTAGAAGAGACATTGTTAGAAAATTGTACCGTCAATTTGCTGATGTTCACTACATTAGATCATCTATGGAAAAGACTTTGTCATACCAAAGATTATCACAAATCACCCCAGTTGGTTCTGAAGAAGAATTTGAAAAATTGTTAAGCAGAGAATGCTCTCAAAATGAACATCATGCTGTTGTTTTAAGAGCTTTATACACTTTTAACAAGTCTATTTTGAAGACCAATTTTTACACTTCCACTAAAGTTGCTTTATCTTTTAGATTGAACCCATCTTTCTTGCCAGAATCCGAATACCCAGAACGTCCTTACGGTATGTTTTTCGTTGTTGGTAGTGATTTCAGAGGTTTCCACATTAGATTCAGAGATATTGCCCGTGGTGGTATCAGAATTGTTAGATCAAGATCATTGGATGCTTATAATGTCAATGCCAGAAACTTGTTTGATGAAAACTATAATTTGGCCAATACTCAACAACGTAAAAACAAGGATATTCCAGAAGGTGGTTCCAAAGGTGTTATCTTGTTGGATCATGGCTCAGCTCAAGAACGTCCACAAGCTTGTTTTGAAAAATATATTGATGCTTTGATTGATTTGTTGTTAAAACAACACATTCCAGGTGTTAAAGACAGCTATGTTGATTTGTACCAAAAACCAGAAATATTATTCTTGGGTCCAGATGAAGGTACCGCTGGTTATGTTGATTGGGCTACTTTACATGCCAGAGAAAGAGGTGCTCCATGGTGGAAATCCTTCTTAACTGGTAAATCTCCAGAAATTGGTGGTATTCCTCATGATGAATACGGTATGACTACTTTGTCTGTTCGTGCTTATGTCAACAAGATCTACGAAAAATTGAACATTGATGATGCTACTATTCGTAAATTTCAAACTGGTGGTCCAGATGGTGATTTGGGATCTAATGAAATTTTGTTATCCAGAAAAGAAAACTATGTTGGTATTGTTGATGGTTCTGGTGTTATTGCCGACCCACAAGGTTTGGACAAACAAGAATTACTCAGATTGGCTAAAGAGAGAAAGATGATTGAACATTATGATAGATCTAAATTATCTCCACAAGGTTATATTGTTTTGGTTGATGATATGGATGTTAAGTTGCCAAGTGGTGATATTGTTACCAGTGGTGTTGCCTTCAGAAATACATTCCACTTGAAATTGAAAGAACAATTTGGTACTAACGGTGTTGACTTGTTTGTTCCATGTGGTGGTAGACCAGCTGCAATTGATACCAACAATGTCCATGAATTGATTGATGAAAAGACTGGCAAGTCTGTTGTCCCATACTTCGTAGAAGGTGCCAACTTGTTCATTACACAATCTGCTAAATTGATTTTAGAAAAAGCAGGTATCATCATCTTTAAAGATGCCTCGACCAACAAAGGTGGTGTTACTTCCTCATCTTTGGAAGTTTTGTCTGCTTTGGCATTTGACGACAAAGGGTTCTTGGACAATATGTGTGTTGATCCAAAGACTGGTGCTAAACCACAGTTCTACCAAGATTATGTTAAAGATGTTCAAAAGATTATTGTCCGTAATGCTGAAGCTGAATTTGAATCCTTGTGGAAATTGAAAGCTGAAACTGGTACTCCATTCACTATTTTGTCTGATAAATTGAGTGTTGCTATTAACAAATTGGGTGATGAATTAGCTAATTCTAAAGAATTATGGGAAGATGATATTGAATTTAGAAATGCTGTCTTGTTAGATTCTTTGCCACCACTATTATTGGAAAAAGTTGGTATTGAAAATGTTTTGGCTAGAGTTCCAGAAGCATACTTGAAGGCTATCTTTGCAACCCATTTGGCTTCTAAATTTGTTTACTCAAGAGGTATTGATTCCAACCCTGCTAAGTTCTTAGAGTTCATTAGTTCAATTAGAAAAGAATTTGTCAAAAAGGGATTACTCAAATATTAAGCAATAATTCATAGAAACTGTTTTTGATGTATAGTAGTTAATTTAGATAATAATACTAATGATTTTAATATTAATGAATAAATGATTTATTGATTATTCTGTGTTTAACTATTTACAAATGAAATAACGTATGGTGTTATTAAGAGTTCTGAATTAACTCCTAGTCTATTTCTCATTGGTTGACAATCTTGCTTTGTCGAGTTCATCGAGTTCTTTTCTTGCTTCCACTTCTGTCGCAAGTCTTGTTGTAATATAATCACCTAATAATGCAACACCCATAGTTGAAACCCCAATATAAAAACGCACCTTCACGGGAAGTGACATCCATTTAGCATATAATGACATGATTGATCTTTGTTTAGTAATAAATGGTTTTGTAGTTTTGCAACAAGGGGATCTAAGAAACAATAATTAGCTGGTTATTTTTTTTTCCTTCTCTATTATTTTTTCATTTCCTTTATCTTGATTATAGTGTATTTGATTTTTTTTTTTTTCACGATGCAATCATTCAATAATCCGTCACAACATGGAAGAAATACCGAATAGTAAAAGATATGCCGTTACCAAGACAAAATTACCACCATGCTGTCTAAGAATTCATCCTCAAGATCCAACAAAAATTTTCATTGGAACTTATAAATTAGAAGATAATGGAACTCGTCATGGATCTTTAGATTATTATACTTATATTGATCAAACACTTACTTTAATTTCAAGTACACCTACTAGTAAAGGAGCTATTCTTGATGTTAAATTTCATCCAAGTGATTTTCAATTATTAGTTACTGTTCATTCGAATGGTCATTTATTAATTTGGAAATTTATCGATGATTCATTAAATTTAATTCATGATGTATTAATAGATGAAGATACTTTAATAACATCATGTTTTTTCAATCCAAATATTTCATCTTCATCAACTGCTAAAAATCAAATTTTATTGACTTTTACAAATGGGTATCTGGGAATATTCAATATTGAAACTCTTGAAATGGAAACATATTTTGATTCATGTCATTCATTAGAATGTTGGACTGGTTCATTTGGTGAATTTGGTGAATTGAAAAATGTAGTGTATACAGGTAGTGATGATTCAACAATAATAGCTCATGATTTAAGAACAAATGAAGAAATTTGGACATTACGTAGAGGTCATGAAGCTGGAATAGTTTCTATTTTATCACCAAATGAAAATTGGAATAAATCGAATCCTCATGCATTATGGACAGGTTCATATGATGATAATTTAAGAATTTGGGATTTAAGAGTTATTGATAAAGAAAATCCAGCATTGATGTCGGGATATATTCCAAAGAAAAAATATGCAGAGAATTTGGGTGGGGGAGTTTGGAGATTAATTCCAAGTCCTTTAGAAAATGATGATAGATTGTTAGTTTGTTGTATGTATGATGGGGCTAGAATTATTGATGTTGAAAACAGGGATGACGATGAAAAATTTAGAGTTGAAAGATATTTTAAGCAAGACCATCAAAGTATGTGTTATGGCGGGGATTGGTCTTGCGATGGGAAATATGTCGCTACTTGTTCTTTCTACGATAATGTTGTTCAAATTTGGTCACCTGATGAATGTAAATAGTGTGTATAAATATACTTGCGTTCTATTGAAGAACTATGAAAATAGACTTAAATCAAGAGGAACTGATGATCCTCTTCCACTAGGATACAATTTTTGTGTTTGCCCCTTTTCACCAAATCGTCTTGGGTTTGGCAATGCATTTGCATTTACAAATTTAAACCTTCTATCCTCAATAACCAACTTCTCGGCCTTTGAATCTGCTCCATGTGTATTACCAGTTCCATTTCTTGGATTGATTGTGTAATCCAGAGCCGATATTTTTCGTAAATTAGAACCGGCATTTTGTTTTGAATCCAATTCACTATAATTCGAGGAAGATATACGAGATGTCGAACCACTTCCACTTGTATGTCCCGAAGGAGCTGGTTGTGGTGGTGGCGGAGGGGGTGCTGCCTTTTTAGTTCGTGGTAATGATGGTGCCGAACTAGATGGTAAAGGTGGTGGTGCCATAGTAGGTAAACTTGGTGATGGTGTTTCAAAACTTTCTTCAATTGACTCAGGCAGAGGTGTTCTTTGTGGTACAGTGTGCTGTGGAATACTATGCTGTTGAGGAATTATTGGAATTGGTGCAGGTATTGATGGTTTGCTCTGTTGAGGTGGAATTGATGGTATAGCAGGAGCGGGTGGTGCGTTATGAGGCACTGGTGGAGCATTCTGTGGTACTGGTGGGGCATTTTGTGGTATCGGTGGAGCATTCTGTGGCAATGGGGGAGCTTTATTTGACTCCTCTTGTTTTTTATTGTGATGCGAAAATGGGTTGAAGGACATCTTGTGTTTTTCTGCCAGTGGCATAGAAGGAACCGGTGGTGCACTAACTACTGGTTTTTTGGTGCTAGATGATGATGGCGGTGCTGATGTTGTTGATCCAGATTCTTCATTCTTTGTAGTATATCCACTGTTACTTCCATCAACAACAAATGCGTCATTTCTCTTAGCATTGATTTGAGCTAAGAATGGCAAAGCACCACCCGGAGCCACTGGTGCAGCTGTTGTAGAAGATCCACCAGCTAAAGAAGATTTGGTTTCTGGTTTTGGTGCTCCAAATATTGGTGGAGCTGGTCCAGGAGGAGGAGGAGGAGGAGGCGGTGGTGGTACACTACCAGAGGGTAATTTTGGTGCTGAAGTACTAGGTAATGGTGGTGCAGATGGAATTGATGAGGTACTTGGCAAAGATGGTGCTGGTGGAATTGAACTGTTAGGTAATGGTGGTGCTGGAGGCGGAGGTGGAATCAAGGATTTAACATTATTCTTACTGCTATTTGAAGTCGAAGACTGTGGTGGTTTTGGAATTGAAGGCGGTAAAGAACCAGGAAGTGGAGGTGCTGCAGAAGGTGGTAACAGTGGTGGCACCTGAGGAGCAGAATGTGTAACAGGGTGCTTGCTTTGTGAAGCCGTTGTTGAACTTATGACATTCTTATCATCTCTTTTAGCATTGATTTCCGCTAAAAATGGTAAACCACCTGCTGGCATTGGTGGAGCTGAAGGTGCATTATTGTTCTTAGGTGGATGAGAGAGGGGAATAGATGGTGCTGGTGGCGCTGGTGGCGCTGGTGGTGCTGGTGGCGCTGGTGGTGGTTGGATATTACCTGGAATTGGTGGTGCACTTGTTGGAATAGGAGGTGGTCCCGATGGTAGTGGGGGAGCCTTTGAAACCAGCTCATTTGATCTACTCGAATTGGCTGATGCATTAGACCTAATCGAATTGACAGATGCATTTCTCACATGTAACGATTTCTTTGGTCTTGTTGGTGGTACCTTGGGGGTCACTGACGGTGTCACTGAAATTGTGGGTGGTGGCGGAGCTTGACCTGGAATTGGTGGTGCGACCGACGGGATTGGTGGTGGTGCTGTACTTTTTGTTGGTCTTGATGGTATCAGTGGAGTGCTAATACCTGGAATTTTTGGAGCGGATGAAGGTACAATTCCTGATCTATTGTCTACGTGTTTCAACTTTGGCATACCTCCAGCAAAAATATCTCCCAACTGAGGACCAGAAGGAATTGAAGGTGCAGATGGAACGGATCCAGATGATGTACTACCAGATGATTGAGGTGGGCCTGTGGAAACTGAAACTTTTGCATCTATCATTGGTTTTGATTTATCCACAGTAGTTGCTTTCTTTAACTTGGCTCCCTTTCTGATATCACCCAACAATGCGTCCCTTCCTGGAGGCATTGAAGGTGGAGGACCAGGAGGCAAATTACCTAAACTTGGAGGCGGTGGAGGTGGCGGAGGTGGTGGTGGGGCTGCCATTCTATATATATGTATATACCTTTATTATTCTGAAAGTGGATCACTTGCAAATCAAGCGTATTGTTGCCTTGCGTTGACTTTGCAAATTCTGGAAATAACAAATTATCAGAAAAATGAAAGAGAAAAAAATATGTTGTTGCTCTTGTTTGAGATTCAATATTTTCTGGAGCAGGAGACTAAAACAAAATTGACAATGCGCACTACCACAATCGTATACAATGTAAGTCTTTGTATTATTGTAATCTATAGGTGAACAAAATCTATAAAATATCTCCATTATTTCACTCCCCATGATAAGTTATCGTAACCAAACAACCATGGACCAACTGTGTGTCTAGTAACAATCATGGATACACCAATTATAAATTGTAAGGCTAAAATGACCATACATAAATGATCTTCACGTAATGGGCCAAACCAAACCAAAGTGAGGTTGATAATAGTCATATTTGAAAATCCAATTATTTCCTTCAGTTTTGAATCTCTTTGAAGTTTCACGAGTTTCAACATCTCAAGAATCTTTAGTAAATTTACCGCAATAAAGGACTTCTTCTCCAATGTTGCAAAACTGGGACGCATAAGGCCATCTTCTGTGGTAAATTTTGGCATTCTGTGTCTTGGACATGGAACAAGGTGGAATAACTGTGGTACCGAATATAAGAAATTGATAATTTGAGGTAACAAGAAAATCAAAAGCGTTTTTGAAAAATGCCCTAAGATACCAACAATAGCAAATACCATTCCACTGAAATAACAATAAGTGTCCCCTACAAAAACTCTAGCAGGGAACCAGTTGTATTGCAACAAACCTAATGACACACCAACCAAAGGAATGAGAAAAACGACAGAAAACATATGGGAATCGTATGCTGCTTGGGATACCTTTGATGAGCAAAGATAACAGAAATCATTAATCAAGAAAATGGCTGCCAATACTAAGGATTGGCCCACTTCTAAACCATTGATACCAGCAAGAATATTAATTGAATTTGGTGAAAAAATGGAAACTGCAGACATATATCCATAGTAAAATATACCTAAATCAATCAATTTTGGAGCTTCATCAGGAACAACATAATCGGTTTGCAATGTTCTAAAAGATAATCCGGTGATAGTGGTAACAATATGATTTCCATACTTTATCAAGAAATTAATTGCATTAACAAGAACATATCCACCAGGGAAATCGGTCACAAACTTAGGAATTACAACCGATGTGACACTGAAATCGACATAATAAACAATCAACAACGGTATGGATGCCACTGCTGGCAAAAAGAACTTGTGTCTCCACCTAATATCAAACAAATCATCAAGTAAACCCAAAAGTATGGTACATTGTAAACACAATAATGCACTCAAATATTCAGCTAACTTGTTGTGAGGGAATAATCGATTGTTTGTTAATGATTGATATTGTTCAATGTAGTTTTTTGTCATTACTTCGTCATTGGATAAGGAACTGAATGACACAAGATATTTGAAAAATATAAACGGAATAAGTCCAATCATGAGAAACATGTACGTGATAGATGCAACCAATCCCATGGTTTCTGGAATTTCAGTTACTGGGGGAGGTTTAGACAAGTCTTTTCCTTTGAGACCAATCTTTATGAAACTAGGTCCCACTTTCGGAATCAACAGACTTGTAATGATATATCCAATAACAGCGAATGCAAGCAGTGTACGCAAAGGATTATTAGGAGTAATTGTGGTTATGGAACCCACAATTACCGCCACCTTTAGCAACCTCAGAAACATATCTTTATATATATATATATATACTTGGGGTATATTAGTTGAAGTGAAGGAGAATCTGAAAAGTTAAACGTAAACAAGAAAGAAAAAAAAAATCTCGTCTCTGCATGGCGAAGTCAAAGCGGGAAAAAAAAAAAAAAAAAAATACAAGTGCTTCAAAGATAGCCAGATAGGCATTTTACATAATCTATAATACTACAACCATGAGTTTAAAGCCGTTCATTACAGGACATGAGGAATTGATTCATGATATCAAGTATGATTTTTATGGAAAGCATATAGCAACTGTTTCTTCTGATCAACATATTAAGGTTTTTGACTTGGATTCAGCAACATCGTCCTGGATATTGAACGATCTGTGGAAAGCACATGATTCACTGATTGGAAAAGTGTCCTGGGCACATCCAGAATTTTCAAGTTCCAAAATATTAGCTTCCTGTTCTTATGATCGAACTGTTAAAATATGGCAAGAACAGCCTGATGAAATGCCAGGTTCAGGAAGAAGATGGACGAGATTGGCAACATTGGCACAAGAATCATATGGTCCAATTTATGATGTTTGTTTTGCCCCTAACCACTTGGGATTCAAATTAGGTTGTGTTGGGTCGGATGGAATATTTCGAATTTATGAATCGGTTGAACCTAATGATTTGACAAGTTGGGTTTTAACGACTGAGATTGCTATCCTTACACTGCTGTTACCTGCAAAAAGTTTACAAAGTAGTTTTGGTATCGAGTGGTGTCCTTCCAAATTCACCAAAACTGAAAAGTTTATAGTGGTTGCGTTAGATCAAGGTTTTGTCTATGGTAGTGTACCTAAAGAAACCACTGAAGATGAAACTTCGGGCGAAAAGTATATGAAAATCTGTAACCTTCCAGAACATAATGGACTAATAAGATCAGTTAGTTGGGCACCATCAATGGGAAGAAACTATCATTTGATTGCTACTGGGTGTAAGGATGGTTTTGTAAGAATTTTCAAGGCTTCGGAACAACCAAATGGTGATCTACGTATAGAGACTTTGGCAAAGCTAAATGACCATAAGCTGGAGGTATGGAGAGTTAGTTGGAATATGACTGGAACTATACTTTCATCTGCTGGTGATGACGGTAAACTACGTTTATGGAAGTGTAACTACTTAAACGAATGGAAGTGTATGAGTGTTATCAACACTAGTAATAGATCGGATAGTCGTGGTATTGAAACTGAAAAATCTATATAGCTTGCTTCTTAGTAGTATCTAACTCATTCCACAATTCTTCATCTTCTTCTTCTTCCTCTCTCTTACGTTTTCTTGTATCCTCATCCTCTTCATCTTCATCGTCCAATACCAAGAGAGAAGACACTTCAACCCCAACATAAACTTTGACCAAAATTTCACGAGATTCCAAATCAAAAACTCGTAAATATCTATCTAACCCGGCAAATGCAACTATATCTTCATAAACTTGAACTCCAAAGGTTGCACCAGTGTTTCCACCACTGAATTTCCCTAACAATTTCGGCACTGGCTTGATAATATCCCCGGCAGAAGCAGAATTTGTCTTGAATGCTTTTTCATCAATCTTAGTTAAAGAATACTTTGCCATAAGACTATGAGTGTCGGTGATAATTATTTCTGACTGTTCATCGTTGGCATATGATAAAGTGACAATGGTCTTCTCAGTAACCTGATAATCCTTTCTGGGCTTTCTTCCCTCAGTGGTATCATATAAACGGATTTGACCGTATCCTGTTGATGTAATAAGTTTGTAACCCTTTTCTGATTTTGAGAATAAAATATTGGTTATCCAAATTGGTACCCTAAGATCTAAATGATCATTCTTGACATTCTTGGCCTTGAATACAATTTGCGGAACAAACTCTTTTTCATAATTCTTCTTCTTAAATATAGTACTGTTGATCTTGGAGCTGAAAAGCTGAATCACTTGTAAATCAAACTCTTTACCACCAACTGCTATTATATTCTCGGCTTCTGGGTTGACAGTAAATGCACTAATTGGTTTTGCTTCAGGAAGCTTGATTTCCAATGGTTTGAAATCAAATTTATCATTTATGTGAATCAAAAAGATTTTGCAAGATTTGAATGCTACAATTACACTTTCCAAAATTTCCACTTTCACTAATGCAATTGGCTTGTCATCTTTCTCCACTGGTAATTCAAAGTTATGTAATAATTTGTACTTTTCGTCCCCTTCTTCGACTTCTTCGTTTAAATCATATACGGAAACTTGACCTCCAAGTCTAGTTCCTATAACGTATTGATAATTGAAACTGAGAAGATGAATTATTCTTGTTTTCACTGTAGCACTTGGTTCAATGAAGTAATTGCTTATGGAAATTGGCTGAGTAGCATCTTGTTTTGAAGTATCAGTTCCTCTGTTACAAACAACCTCTTTTGCTGCTCCAGTATCGTCTGCAGAAATAATGAATTTCATGGTTGACTTGGATTTAGTTTAGTAGTGTTAGTAGTATTGATTATACAACCCAAAAATGAAAAAAAAAATATGAAAAATAAAAAAAAAAGTTAGAGATGAGGAATGAAAAACTTAATCAAAGAGTCACGTGACTATGTGATCCTAATTTTGCAAATAATTCATTTTCCATTAAGAAAAGCATTTGAGGATTTAAGATCAATAATTCAAGATAATTACTGAAGTAAATGTAAATTCTTAAAAGAAGGAATTTTAAAGTCCGGTGTTCATGATGTGTATTGTCTTTTTTTCAAACATTTTTATACAAAATTTAATTGAATTTTTTAACCCAATGACATGTTTAAAAATACTCAATAGACACGATTAAGAAATAAAAAACCACTAGAAAAGAACATTTGAAGTTTTTTGACAAAAATTTATCACATTGATAATAATATAGATCCAATTTTATGTAATAATTCGTTGGTTTATTGGTTCATTTTTATATATTTAGATGAAGGTATGAAGACCCCCATTTGTTTCAACCTCAACAGAAAGCCTTCTATAGTATAGTTGGTTTTGCAGTGGTCCCTTGGCCCAGTTGGTTAAGGCGTGGTGCTAATAACGCCAAGATCAGCAGTTCGATCCTGCTAGGGACCATTTCTTTTTAAACTTTTTTTTGGCAATTTTTACATTGTGAATAAAGAATCTACTATATATCCACAACATATAATCTAGGTCATACTTTTTATTTAGATACGTTCAAGAAATCCATTCAGGAGAATACAATTCAATTGAAAAAATTGTAGTGAGAATCCACCACATTATCTTTGTGTTGACGCGTGGTTAATTTTTTTTTTCTTCTCTCATACATTAATTTAACCCTTTTGGGTTTATTAATTACAGAATTTTCAAAGGTTTCTCGCACTTCACGTTTGAACAAAAAAAAAAAATAAAAAAATTTAAAAAATTTAAGAAAACTCAACCAAAGCTTTTTCCTTCTTATACCAACACCAATCAGTATCAAACATGTCATTTGAACGTCCAGAAGTTTTTTCAGCACACGTGTTGCCAGGTGAAGAACCATCTGAAAATTCCAATAATGAAATTACCAAAGCTTTCCGTACTTTTATCTTAGAATATAGAATTGATTCTCAATTCATTTATAGAGACCAATTAAGAGAAAATTTATTGATCAAAAACTATTTCCTAAAAGTTGAAGCTGACCATCTTATTGCTTTCAATGAGGAATTAAATAAGAAATTAACAGATGATCCAGCTGAAATGATCCCACTTTTCGAAAATGCCATCACAGATATTGCTAAAAGAATTGCTTACTTGTCCAACGATGAGATTCCTCAAGATTTCCCTACTTGTCAATTAATTTTATATTCCAGAGCCAACGAAACAACTATTAGACATTTGGATTCAGAACACATTGCCAAGATTGTCAGAGTCAGTGGTATTATTATCTCTGCGTCAGTTTTAAGTTCAAGAGCTACCCAAGTGCAATTGATTTGTCGTACTTGTAAGCACACAATGAAGATTAAAGTTAAACATGGATTTGGTCAAATACAATTACCCCCAAATTGCCAATCTCCTCACAATTCTGATCCAAATTCTACCGAGGAGAAATGTCCAAGAGATTCATATGTGATTGTACATGATAAATCTACTTTTGTTGATCAACAAATTTTAAAGTTACAGGAAGCCCCAGGTCTGGTTCCTGTTGGAGAAATGCCAAGACACATTCTTTTACAGGCTGATAGATATTTGACAAACCAGGTTGTGCCAGGTACAAGAGTTACAATTGTTGGTATTTATGCCATTTACCAAACCAAATTTGGAGCCAGGAACAATACCACTTCTAACGTTGCAATCCGTAATCCTTACTTAAGAGTGTTGGGATTTCAAACCGATATAGATAATGGCGCCAATGGCCAGGGTATTACTTTCAGTGAAGAGGAAGAAGAGGAATTTTTAAGAATGTCCAGAATGCCAAATTTGTACGATGTGTTCGCAAACTCGATTGCTCCATCGATTTATGGGAACCAAGATATCAAAAAGGCTATCACCTGTTTATTGATGGGTGGATCAAAGAAAATTTTGCCAGATGGCATGAGGTTGAGAGGAGATATCAACGTGTTGTTGTTGGGTGATCCAGGTACTGCTAAATCTCAATTGTTAAAATTTGTTGAAAAAATTGCACCAATTTCTGTTTATACATCTGGTAAAGGTTCTTCTGCTGCAGGTTTAACTGCTTCAGTTCAAAGAGATCCGCAAACCCGAGACTTTTATTTGGAAGGTGGTGCTATGGTTTTGGCGGATGGTGGTGTTGTTTGTATTGATGAGTTTGATAAAATGAGAGATGAAGATAGAGTTGCCATTCACGAAGCAATGGAACAGCAAACTATTTCTATTGCCAAGGCTGGTATCACCACAATTTTGAATTCGAGAACATCGGTATTAGCTGCTGCTAACCCAGTTTTCGGAAGATACGATGAATTCAAAAGTCCTGGGGAAAACATTGATTTCCAAACAACAATTTTATCTAGATTTGATATGATTTTCATTGTCAAAGATGACCACAATGAAGCGAGAGACATTTCAATTGCACAACATGTTATGAACGTTCATGCTGGAGGTAGAAATCAAGACTTATTACAAGAAGGTGAAATTCCTATTGATAAAATGAAGAGATATATCCAATATGTTAAATTGAGATGTGCTCCACGTCTTACAGCCGAAGCTTCTGAGAGATTATCATCACATTTTGTTTCCATCAGAAGACGTTTGCAGCTTAATGAATCTGAAATGAATGAAAGATCATCAATTCCAATTACTGTCAGACAGTTGGAAGCTATTATCCGTATTACAGAATCCTTGGCCAAGTTGAGACTTTCGCCGGTTGCAACAGAAGAACATGTAGATGAAGCAATTAGATTATTCACAGCCTCCACAATGGATGCAGTTGATCAAGGTCTTGGCAACACCACCGATGCTACATTGAACTCAGAGATCAAGAAGGTTGAACAAGAATTGAGAAGAAGATTACCAATTGGTTGGTCTACTGCTTATAGAACATTGAGAAGAGAGTTTGTTGATTCAGGTAAAGCAAGTGCTTCTGCTTTAGAGAAGGCACTTTACATCATGGAAAGACACGAAGTCATCAAATTCAGACACCAACGTCAAAATGTTTTGAGAATTGGGGTTTAAGATTATTGTTCCTGATGTTCGTTTAATATTAGTGGGTTTCTTGTTTTAGTGTTTTTTTTTTAGTGTATTTATTTCTTTCACCTGTAATATTTATGAGTACAAACTTTTCCTATCTCCTAAGCTTTCAATATAATAATCACCGAATCCCCTCTTAAAAATAACTTTGAAATGAATCGTTCTTTAGGTACACTTTTTATTTTTTTCCCTTTATTATTCTTGATGTCTTCTGACCATAAATCTTTAACATTTTCCAAAACCAAATTACAATGTCTATCAAATGCTCTTACCTTCCCTATTAATTTATGATTATTACGACATGATATGATTATTGGCGTATTGTTTTTCACTGCATTATTTAATATTGACATTGGCCCATGATTGAATTCATACTCTTCTAATGCTTTCAATTCCAATTCTGTTAACTCAGAACGAGGTCTATCTATAAGTTCACTAAAAAAATATGTTAGTACAATGAACCTTAACTTCACAAAATTTCGATTATTAAAAAGTATAACATACCTCATGCTTTTGGTTTTTGGTGTAGATGGCGTCTTTAATCACTGGTAGGAAGTTTCTTCGTTTCTGCCTTGTCTTCGATATGTGAGAAACCAAAAAAAAAGAAAATAAAATAAGAAGAAAATCGCAACAAAAAAAAATACAACAGGGAATCTAGCCAAAGCACACGACACTATTTTACATTTGTATTTACAACACTATTTGAACCTATACACTTTTGGTGTTTTCACTCAATGGAGCTGTTAATAGACTTCCACGTTTGAGAATATTCTCAACACGGTCTTTCAACACTCTTGAAGAGCATTCTACCTTCAATGTTCTGTAGTCAACATTAGCAATTGTTTTACCAATGGTTACAGTAGCTTTGTCTTCCGGCAATTGTTTAAAAGCTTCACCAAATTGAGCTTTTAATAACAACTCTATTCTTTTCAATCTATTTGTTATATCACTAATTGCATGGGCTTCAGCTGGTTGTTTGACCCCTGGTTCGAGCTTTAATTTTGTTTCAGTGTCATGACTGTGGCTATGACTATGACTGGATAATTTGACTGACGCAGGTGAGGAATCAATCGAGTATAAGATGGCAATGACACTATCAGCCAAGGAGTCAGTCATGAGGTTATCATTAATCCATTCAACGGTTATATACAAACCTGGTCTTTTTGTTTTGTCAACAAAAATATCAACGACATCCATTATCACACATTCCCATTCACTGTCCGATTCTTGTACTATATTTATGTAGCCAAACATTTGCTCCAAGTGCCAAACCATCAATGGAATATCTGCATTGACCTTCAAATTTATCTTTGACTTCACGATAGAAGTCGACAATTGGGTAAATTCATGCAAGTCTTGCAACTGAACAAGGTTCAAATCAAAGTCTTTTGAAACTAACACCCCGCTAACTGCTTGTCCAGTTCTCAAAACATCAACTGCAGCAGCAGCAGTAGAAGAATTAACAATATCCTCTTCTTTTTTATTGGAATCAACTTCCATATCATCTCCGTCTTCATCAAGCTCAACAATTTTATTATTTTCATCTTCTACTTTATCTTGGATAACTTTTTTTAAAATTTGTATTTGTTCTTCAGCTAACGATCCCAATACCTTAGCAACTTTCAAACCCTTGAAACCTATCTTCAATTCTTCACAGTTCTTTGGATTATATACTTTCACTTCTTGATCCGTTCCTTTACGAGCAGAATATTTACTCAACAATGCAGATTTCAATCTACCCATAGGCACAGAGTCACCGTGTACCAAAATAATCTTGGATGGTGATACTTTATCTATAAACTCTGAATTCTGCTGGAAATCAACATGTGCTGCAAATGAAATTTCTTCAATCCCAATTCTTCTTGGAATTGTTAAGTCGGGATTTGTTGCTGATTGAATCATGGTTGGCTCTTTCAATAATTCTTTTGCCATAGTACCTTCGACGGAATAACCAGTCAAAATCACCAAGTTTTTATTATCAGGAGCCCACTTTTCTAATAATTGTCTTGAAACACCAGCTTGTAACATACCCGGAGTTGCCACAACCACAGATGGGCCCATATCTTGAAATTTCGACAAATCCTTGATTGATTTGATAAACTTCAAATCAAAAGGATTAGATTTCTCACCTGAAGATGATGAAAGTCGAATTTTGTCATTCATAATACCCGTGTAAGTTTCATAAACTGCCATACACTTTTTGGCCAAATTAGAGGCATAAAAAACATTCACATTTTGCAAATCTTCATTCTGACTCCAGTATTCATCTAGAATCAACAATAATTCCTGGGCATTCCCAAGTGCAAAAACAGGTAATAGCACTCTACCACCTTTTGTCACCGTTGCATGGATATGTGTAGTTAATTTCCTTTCAAGCTCAACTCTAGGTTCAAGAGTACCTGTCCCAAAAGTAGACTCGCTAATTAAAATATCAGGTTTCAATGGTGGCACTTCAGCTGCATGTAAATGTCTATTTTCTTCTCTTGAATAATCACCAGTAAATAACACCTTTAATCCACCTATTTCAATGAAATACATACATGCCCCTAAAACATGTCCAGCATGATATGCAGTGAATCTTATTCCATCAATTTCCATTGTTGAGTGATAATCGATGGTTTCTATTCTATCAAATGATTTCATAATATCATCGTCAGTATACAAGTTACTACCTTCATCTTTTCCTCCTGCTTCAGCCCTTGAACTGCCAATCGATGTCACACGAACAAAATCTTGCATTAACCATCTATAGATCGCCTTTGTTGCATGGGTCATGAAAACTTTTCCTCTAAAATTAGATTGTTGCATAATATACGGCAATGATGCTGAATGGTCAACGTGAAAATGACTTATTAATAAAATATCCACTTTTGATATATCATATTCATCAAAGTAAGGGAATGATGCATGTCCACTGAGTGCTGGATGCATCCCACAATCCAACATAATTACTTTGTTTTTGTATTCAATTATATGACATGATCTTCCTACTTCATTACATCCTCCCAAACCAAAAAACTTGAAACTATCTTCATCAGAAAATTCACTCTCAACAGTCATTATTATCCCAGGAGTGATATTACTTGATGTGTGTGTGTGTGTGAATTATAATTGTTTTGTCTTCGGGAGTTGTTCTAGAGTTGGGTTCTTTTTTTTTTTTTCATGAGGTTTTCTGTATTCATCGAAGTCGCGAGAGACATTACTGTAGACGACATTATCATGTCTTCGATTTTTTCTTAGTTCCGCTTTAACACAGTTAACGCGTGTTTTTGATTAGCAGCAGCACCATACAGACTCTTCTAGATTACCATCCACCACGAACAAAATGCGATTAAAGCTTATGACAAGGAGTACTGAGACGTTAAAGGAGACGTTATCTTTAATTTCACATATACGAAAGTTTGTTATACTAAAATTTAGTCAACAGCAGTTGACTATTATTCTGGTAAATGGTCAAACCATCAATCTGGAGCCCCAAGTCTGGTGCAAATTAAACATGTCTTCATTATTTGAATCCATTCAAGTTGAAAGTATTCATGGAAATACTGTACTGATAGAACTCAATATTGACTTGCTTCTACAGACACTAAAGAATTTCGATAAGGCCAACAGTGAAGGGTTAAACATACGATTACAACGAACTGAAACCTCGGGTAAACAAGGAATTAATACCAAAGCAGGAAGAACCGCGTCACTAGCATTATTCTATTCGAATTTGAATATTAATGCCAACGTAATTAATCACACATTCAAAATCCCAGCGAAGATAGTTAAGGATCCCATTAATGTTTTACGTGAACCCACACATTCTGACCTTGGGTTGATTATGAAATTACCAAATGAGTTTGTTACGATGTTCAAGAGATTAGAAAAATTCAAGAAAACTCCATCCAATGATTCAGTTACAATAAAGGCAAGTCGACGAGATGGTGGGTTTTTAGGGTTTATTCTAGAGGAGGAAGGTAAGTATAGAGTCACCATAAGTTGGAATAACAGATTAGAAGTCCAAAAACAAAGTGCGAATGAAAGCCAATCATTGAGAGATACAGTTCATCAGCTTTCAAGTCAAGATGGGCCCACGATAGATGAGGATGATGAGGAAGACCCCACTCTGGTTGAAGACATAGATTTGAACGTGAGGTTGAAAGATTGGTTACTGGCGTCAAAGATTGTTGGTAGATGTAAAATAGTCATTGTAAATATTGGATTAAGGGAATGCAGCTTGCATTGTTTTTTGGATGACACAGATGATGTTGAAATTGTATATTTTATCAATGGGTATAGAACTAGCCAGTCATAGAATTGTATGTGTATGTGTTTAGCATCGTTTGAAATACGAGGATCAGAGTCATAATAATTTTTTCAACTCATTTAATAGAATGATATTACTCATACAGCGAACAGAGAACAGCGAACAGAAAAAAGAATTTTCCAACATTTTGTTTTTTTGCTACCAAATTCGAAACAAAGATTTAAAGCGATAATTATGACTTATTTCTGATAAAGCAGAGTAAGGAAAAAAGGAAAAAAAAAAAAAAAAGATGGTACTCTGAAAATTTTCAACTTAACTAAAGCTACCATCAAGGAAAGTCTCCCTTTTTTTTCATCAATTCCAACTGAAACAACATCATTAACAACAAAATGTCCGAACAAAGAACATTAGAACGTGAAGAACCAAACTATTTTGGTGCTGGTCCAGCATTGTTACCAACTTCTGTCTTACAACAAGCCGCATACGACTTGATTGCCTATGAAGGTGACAACATCGGTATTGGTGAAATTTCTCATCGTTCTAAACCAGCTATTAAAGTGATTGATGATACCAAGGCCAATTTAACCAAATTATTGAATATCCCAGATACTCATGAAGTTTTCTTTATGCAAGGTGGTGGTACTACTGGTTTCTCATCAATTGCCTACAACTTGTTTGCCAACTATGCAAAGAAAACTGGTAAAAAAGGTAGAGCTGCTTATGCTATTACTGGTTCTTGGTCTAAGAAAGCCAGCGAAGAAGCCGAAAGATTAGGATTTGATATCGATATTGTTGTTAATACAAAGGCTGACAATTTCGGTAATACCCCACCATATTCAGAATGGAAACCAATTGCTAAGGACACTGCTTATTTGTATGTCTGTGTATAACTGAAACCGTTCACGGTATTGAATTCAAAGATACTCCAGATGCTGACTATTACCAGAAGGCGTGAATGGTGCTGATATGTCATCTATATCTTGTCTAAGAAGATCGATGTCAGTAAGTATGGTGTCATCATGGCTGGTGCCCAAAAGAATATCGGTTTAGCTGGTTTAACTATCTATATCGTCAAAAAAAGTTTGTTGGAACAAGCCAGCGATGATGAATTAAGACAATTGAACATTCCATTGTCCCCAATTGCTTTCCATTACCCAACTGTTGTTAAAAATAACTCTGCTTATAACACCATTCCAATTTTCACTTGTTATATCTTGAAACTTGTTACTGATAAGTTGATTAAAGAAGGTGGTATTGAACACATGGAAAATGTTAATAAAGAAAAGGCAAAGATTTTGTACGAAGCCTTGGAATCATACCCAGACTTTTACAGTTTGCCTGTTACTAATGCCAAAGTCAGATCTAATATGAATGTTGTATTTAGATTACCAAACGAGGAATTGGAAAACAAATTCATCAAGGAAGCTGCTGATAGAAAATTAGCTGGTTTGAAAGGTCATAGATCAGTTGGTGGTATGAGAGCATCCATTTACAATGCTGTTACTTTAGAAAGTGTTCAAGCATTGGTCAACCTCGTCAATGACTTTGCCAAAGCAAATGCTTAAGTAGTATAATTTTCTTGTACAAGCTTATTTTAATGAATGATCCATATTAAAAGATGTATTGATTTAGAAGACTGTAGATATAATTCAATTGTCTCCTAAATCACAAATAGATGTTATTAATGATACACTAGATCAAAATAAATATATAATGACAGTTAATGCACCTGCTTGTAGTTTACTGATATTATGTATTTCTTCAATTCAAATTTTCATCTATACACTCATTTTCATTTTAATTGGAGGATATGGTTCGTATCCAACAATTTGAAAATCTTCAAACTCGAAATCGTCGATTGATTTTATTTCATCTTTTCTATCTTCTTTAATAACTAATTTAGGAAATTGTTTTGGAATTCGTTCAAGTTGTTCTTTCAAAGCATCCACATGATCCAAATACACGTGAGCATCACCCATAGTATGAATAAATTCACCACAATCCATATCAACCACATGAGCAATCATCTTAGTTAACAAAGCATAGGAAGCAATGTTGAAAGGAACTCCCAAACCCATATCACAAGATCTCTGATACAATAAACATGATAATTTAGGTTTAGCGTTTTCTGGGAAATTAACATAGAATTGACAAAAGACATGACATGGAGGTAAAGCCATTTTATCAAAATCTGGTGGATTCCAGGCACTCATGATTATTCTTCTATCATATGGGTTGGTCTTTAATTTCTTAATGATATCTTGCAACTGATCATAACCTTGTCCAGTATAATCAGCATCACAATCTTTATATTCAGCACCAAAGTGTCTCCATTGGAAACCATAAACTGGTCCCAAATCACCTTCACGACGATGAGTCAATCCTAACTTATCTAAAAACTCACGAGATCCATTACCTTCCCAAATTTTAACACCTTTGTTGGTTAAAATTTTAGCATCGGTTGATCCAGCAATAAACCATAATAATTCATGAATGATACCTTTAGAAAAGACTTTCTTGGTAGTTAACAATGGAAATGTATCATTTGATAAATCAAATCTTAATTGTGGTGGAGCAAAAAGTGATTTAGTTCCTGTTCCTGTTCGGTCTGGACGGTGTTCACCTTCTTTAATTATTCTTTCACATAAATCAAGGTATGCTTGTTCAGCTGTATTTGGTGGTACGGTCATCTTTTATTATTTGTTGTTGTTTTGAGAGAAGAAGAGTGAATTTGTAAAAAAAAAAAAAAAAAAAGAAAATTAAAATCACTGATTACTTCTTTCAGTACGCGACCGCACGACACGCATCAACAAAAAAAAAAAAAAACATATCGCGTACGCGCGCAACATAGATTTCTGCTACCAATTAATAGTCAGATCAAAAATCATTTCTACAAAAAATAGTATTGAAGTAGTTAAATTTATATTGTTAAAATAGATATAAAAAACTAATCTAAAACAATCAAAACACTAGCAAAAAATAACAATAGGAACCATCGATATAACAATAAAAATATAAAAATGTGGTTCAGCTTAAAGATAATTCATTACCAGATGAATGGAGCTTACTTGGAAGAATCACCAAAGATAGCATCAGAAGCCTTTTGGACAAACGATTTGTCGTTTTCAGAAGTACCTTTACCAGCAGCACTGTCAAGAGCATCAGTAGCCTTGTCAGCAAATTGTTGTGGAGTGGATTTTTGAGAATCTGGAGTCAATTTAGATTCAACTTTATCACCAATATCTTTTCTACCAAAATCGGACATGTTTGTTAATTTGTTATTATTTGTTTTTGTTTTTTGTTGTAATGAAAAGAAGAAATGAAAACCCAATTGAAGAGGGATTCATGGGTCTATTTATATTCCTAAATTTCCTCAAAAATCCATTCCTGATTACTTTAAGACCCGGGTGTAGGGACACGGGTAGCAATCAATTGGAAATAGCAATCTTAAACAAACTGTGCCACCATTACGTAACAATCCTATTGTGTCATCAATTTGGCAGTTGGGGGGGTATGGTCAGGGGTGCATTATGGGTTTATTTGATGAAATTTTATGACAAACATATGGATACTATGAAACGGTGTCTCAACCTGAGATTATGAACTCATACTTTAAATTGGGTCCGCTTCATGATTCAGTAAGATGGGTAAACCGTATTCTGGTTTACAAGAGGAGTCGCAATTGTATCTTTCAAAGGTATTCGCCACTAGAATTGGCAAGCGTACAGATCTCCCCAACATGATGAATAGTTGCTACCAGCAAGCAAAACAAAAAACTTTTCTGATATTGATTCCATGCGTGTGCATTGCCAATATGATTTTTTTTTTTTGTTTGGTTGCTATGCACCAATGCTAATAGAGCTACAAGTGTGGCTTTGTGGCACAAAAATCAAGGAATGGATTCGTACATACAAACCCGAGTAGTATCTTTACAACAACATTTCCTAAAAGAATTGTATATATCATTCATTTAAAATTTTTGCTACTCTACACACAAAAAGAGTCAAAGAGAATGCTCAACATACAGCCTAATAGGGGGAAATAATTGGAAGTGAAAACCTACTCGTCATGGGAAAACTTATCAATTGCCCTACAAACCGCCTTTTGAATACATTGTTTCAAAAATAAATTAACCGGATTTATAAACGCAAAGAACCAATAAATATTTAACAATAGTAGGTACAATGACGTGTAAGAAAATTCTTTGGATTCTATCATACTTGTAACCACCTAAAGTATTTGAACCATTTTGGCTCCACGAGTACACATCTGGACTCGGCAATTAACAACGGTTTCTCAGATTTGTTCACAGGTAAGGTTTCTAAATACCCTTCGATCACAACTTTTCGCCCCTTATGTTCCTTAACTTTGGCATGTAATACAACTGTGCTCTGAGGTGGGGCTTGATTCTTGAAATCAATCAGTAACTTTGCTGTTACGCCTTTCTTGGATGGTAATAATGGGAACCCAGCCGAGCACAATCCTTCATCTAAAATTGTTGAAACCACACCGTTATGTATTTGACCATCCTGAGAGATTAATTTATCTCCTAAATGATAGAAACTTGTCAATTCCCCCACATTCTCATCAATAAATACTACCGGATCTATTTCCATTAAATCAGGACCAAATAATAATCCTGTATTGACGTAATTCTTATGATGTTGGTCTGGAAACTTATGACTTGAGTTGTACATTCTTAGATTAGTATTGGCACTCAATTCTTTGTATATATCACTGGATTCGATTTGTTGTAATACAGAATCGTTGATAACTAATAACTTCTTATCACCAAATTGGCCCTTTCTCCAGTCCTTTGGGAAAGCGGTTAATCCTACACCAAATGCAACCAATGGTACTGTTTTTCTGAATATAGATTTAAACATTGGAAATTGATCGTCTTGTTTGTGTGGGGTTGAGCTTGGTGGGTTGTGTGAGTGAGAAGTGCTTTCCAATGTTCGATAAAGTGTTGTAACAGACAAGAAGGGAAAAAAAAAAAATTGTAACCCATTGCACGACTTTCTTCTCGATGCCATCTGAGAATATTTTTCTTTTAATTTTTTTTTTTTTTTGCAAAACTTTTCTAGAACCATACACTTTAAGTAACTTTTATAAAATTGCACAACAGCATGGGTGTTAAAAATATTAAGAGCAAGGGTACAAAGCGTGCTGCCCAAGAAGAAACCAAAAAGGTAACCAAAAAAGCAAAAGTTTCCAAGAAACTCCCATCACCACCATCAGAAGATGAAGAAGAAATCCAAGAAGAAGAAGAAGATTTAGATGTCAGTGAACAATCCGAAGATGAATCCAGTTCTGAAGATGATTTAGATATTAGTGAAAGTGAAAGTGAAGATGAATTGGATAATTTAGATGAGGAAGAACAACAAGAAGGTGATGATGATGTTGAAGAAGAAGAAAAGGATGAAGAAAATAAAAACACAGAAGTTGATCCAAATAAGAAAACATCTGCTGAACAACACTCTGAACAAAAGAAATTATTAGCAGAACGTAAATTGCAAAGAAAATCTGGTGTTGAAGTTCAAAAGATTAAAAACTTATGGGAAAAGTTAAGAGTCACTAAGCCAACTCCACCAAAAGCTAAACGTGATGAATTATGTGACGAAATCTGGGACTTGGCTAAAGATGTTATTAATGATCTTGTTTTAAAACATGATGCTTCTCGTGTGGTTCAAACTTTGGTTAAATACTCCAATAAAGAAAGAAGAGATATCATAGTAAGCTCCTTGAAGGGTACTTTTTATCAATTGGCTACTTCCGCTTATGGTAAATATTTATTGATCAAGCTTTTACATTACGGATCCAAAGAATCCAGAGCGTTAATTGTTGATGAATTACACGGTAAATTACGTAAGCTAATGAGACATAGAGAAGGTGCATACGTCGTTGAAGATTTATATGTCCTTTATTCTACAGGTGAGCAAAGACAACAAATGATTAGAGAATTCTGGGGTTCTCAATATGCTGTATTCAGAGATTCTGGTAAGGGAAAGACAGTATTGGATGTTGTTGGGGAACTGGCTGAGAAAAAGCAATTGATCATGAGCAATTTGTACGGTACTATCAAGGCTTCAGTTGAAAAGGGTTCTACTGGTTTCCAAATTTTGCATGCCGCAATGAGAGAATATGTGACAATTTTAGTTAATGATATTGATGCTAATGAATCTGCCATCCGTGACTTCATCGACTTACTTGCAGAACAGTTTGCTGAATTGGTCCACACACAAGAAGGTTCAGAAGTTGCTTGTAATTTAATTGCTTTGGCCAACGCTAAAGAACGTAAAACCATTATCAAAAGTTTAAAGACTCATACTAATGAATTAATCAAAAATGAGTATGGTAACATAGTCTTGATCACTTTGTTTATGACAGTCGATGATACTGTTTTGATTTTCAAATCATTTGGATCTGAAATTTTCTCCAAGGAATTGGTTCCAGAGTTAATTCAAGATAAATTTTCTAGAAGACCAATTTTGTATTTGTTAAAAGGGTTAGATGGTAAATATTTCGCACCAAACGTAAAGAAAGCAATTTTGGGTTACGAAGAATTGGCTTACAAGAAGACTTCCAAGAAGGATAAAGAACAAAGAAAATTAGAATTATTGGAAAAATCAATAATCCCACTTTATAAATCTATATCAGATGAAGAAACTGTTAGCCAGTTGTTGACCCTGAATATGGCTGCTCAAGTCATTGCTGAATTAATTCTTACTCCTACAACCTTTGCTGAAGTGAATGATAAATTAAGACCACAATTAGTTGATATAATCTTTGACAAAACTATTAGTGGTGATGTTCTTGAAGATTACCACTTGCTTAACAAAACTCCCTTCGTTTCTAGATTAGTCAAATCTTTAATTCAAGGTAACGAATTTACATTTGATAATGCATCCAAGAAATTGGTCAAAACTGGTAATGATCCAATTCCAAGTGTTGGTACCAAATTTGCTGAAAGAGTTGCTGGTGAAATCAATGTCAAAGATTGGATTTCAGGTCAACCAGCTTTTGTTCTTGTTTCAGTTGTCGAAGTCTTGCAATTAGCTAAGTCTTCTAAAGTCGATAAATTGAAGAAATCCATCAAGAAATTGACATTATCAAAAGACGACAAAGGTGCTAAACTTTTATCTACTGTTATTTAGAATAAGAATATCAATATTTTCATTTTGTACATTAATATAAAATTACATAACTTCATCTGCATCGAAATCCTCTTCTTCACTATACTCATCCTCACTGAATTCATCGGGACTATCTTCATCAAATATCGCTGATCTTTCACTTAAGTGTCTTTGAATCTGTGTGCCACTTTGTACTGGTTCATAAGGTTCAATATCTTTCTCGCTAGCAATACTAGCAGATTCATCATCTTCATTATCCAATTCCGGATCGCTTTCTTCCTCAACTTCTGGTTCAATTATTATTGCATCCAAATCTACTGCCTTTTCATTAGCCCCAAATTCTTCAAACCATTCCAATCTTTGACCACAACGAAGACAAGGTAAATCTTCGTTATTCATTCGAATCATATTGAAACGAGTGGCAATACATACATAACAATAGACATGACCACAATTGCTAATGTATGGATTAGTGACAGGTCCCGATGAAGGGAAAATTCGACCACCAGTTGCTGCTGCTTGATTGTTGTTATCGTGACAAATTGCACATTCTGAAACCGGCAAATTTGTATAGGCCGTAACAAATGGTCCATTTCCTGATTGAACTTCCAATGAGTTTTTGGATTTTCCAAATAGCTTTCCCGCCATTTTTCTTAACTTTCTCAATTGCAATAATGGTAAGATAAACACAAGAAATTCTGTCATAACATTCCATACTAATTGACGATTTTGGAACTCATAATTCACTGTACTTCCGTCAAATCTGGATATATCCGATGTTATTGGAGTTTCCGATATTCTTAATAGCCTGTAAATTACTGAAGAATATTTACCATTGATAAGAAAAATAGTAAAGTTAACCAAATTGGCAACTTTCACTAAATTATCAATTTTTGAAAGTATCTCAAGTCTATTGGAGATAAAATAATTTCTTATTCTTCCCAAAAATGAATCTGTATTGTTAGTTTCTGAGTCATCAAGGGAATACAAGTATGCTTCAAATCGCTTATACAAATAGCCACCGATTAATAATGCACCTAATAAATATCTCTTCGATTTGTCAATAACTTTACCAGTTCTTGAATCAGACAACTTCAAATTCTGTAACAATGATCCATACGATGATCCTGATTTCCATACAGTAAGTTTGAATATCAATAAATTTAATGCTAACGAGTATAATTCAGGGTGCTGAATGAAAGAAAATTTGCTGTTTGGGTGAAGCTGGAAAATGGATGAAAGTTGTTCTTTTAACAAAGTAAATAATTCACCATCCAAGATACCAGCATCTAATTGCGATACCCTTGGTGATGGGTAGGATATTGGGATCATCAGTAGGTATGTTAATGTAATAGTGTTTTGTTTTCTTTTTCAAGAATTCAAGAGTGTGGAGAAATTTAATTGACAAAAATGTAATTTTTGCTCACCAACAGAATCTTTTTTTTTTTTTGCTATTGTACCGCGGATCATCAATCAAACCTTGGTGAGAGCAATAGATGTTTTACAATTGACTTTTTTTTCATTAATCGTATTGAACATTTATTAAAGTAATCTAATTTGTATTATCTACTTTATCGAATAAGCTATCAACTGAAGCCCCTAGGTATATTCTCAATGTCTTTCTAGTAGCAGGGAGAATCCTCGATTTAACCATAACTTCTTCTCCTGTTTCCTTTGAGATTCTATCATATGCTTGGAATCTATGACAACCACCAAACGCAAAGTAATAATTCTCACCATTCTCTCTGATTTTGAAAACGTCAATTGGTGGCAATTCTCCAGCTGTTATATCTTCAACTTTGCAGGTAGCAGATGCCATTGGTGTTCCTTTCAATGTTGACAACATTGCATCTATTTTCTGGTAATCTAAAACCGGTGGAATGGGTCTTTTGATTTCTGATAATGGAATGTATTCGGATTTTAAACGTGATGTGTACATAGACATTTTGCGGTATATGTTTGTATGATGACAATTCTTTGTAATCTTTTCATCAAATGGGATGGAAATCGACTTGATATATATAGTAAAATATTAGCAATGACTTTAATTCTTGGTTGATTAGTTATTCATTGATGATGTTCTCGAATTGCTTTGTCATCTTGTCATGTCGCGTAAGCAAAGGGGAAAAAATGTCACGATGTCGCGAATCTAGAATATTTGGATTTGTAATTCAGAGTCACAATTTTCTACACATGGGAACAAAGAAATATAATCATGAAATCACATTCCTATGTAATTTGACCTATGCTGGTGATCCTTGAGATACGAGTTGACAGGGCTAGGTGATTAATACCGATATTTCCTAAATCCACTCTTGCACGATCTTAATTTCCATCGTAACAAAGTACAGTCTAATGACATGGCTCTAAAAAAAAGTTCGCTCTTCCGTAATCCTCCTTTTTTTATGTTGGGTTTTAACTCTTTTTAAATTAAAAAATGTCAGCGCCATGGTAAAGATAAGAGCCACAATGGAACATGTGCTTACATTTTTTGCATAAATATTCTTGGTCTTAAATTTATATATACAAAAAGATCAATCATATACCACTTTATATAATCAGTCGTTGATACACACAGTGAATCATTACAAAATCGTACTTCAATCTCAAAAGAAGAAAAACAAAAAAAAAGAAACAGAAATCTGAATTATCTTTTAAATCTCAGTCCAAAAAAGTACACATTTCCGATCCGGATTCCGAGCCAAACTGAGGCAAACAAGGAAAAAAAAATTTTCTTTTTTTTTTCTGTTTGTTTGAACCTTAAACAGATCAAATAGATAAATATATTTACCATTCCTGACGACTGATTCGAATGATCTGAAACATATTTCCTTTCCGTGGTCATAGACAACAAAAACTCACCGTCACTAATTTTACTATCATCATATCATGTATTACCCAGGCGTTTGGACATCTATAGTAATAACTATACTACTACTTCCGTTCTTGATACCCATACGGTTAAAGAATCCTTTCTATAGAAAGATCAAAATCATGCTAATACTATGTTTATTAGTATCAATTTTTGTTTCAGTTTCTCCAACAAAAGCTCAAACTGGGGCTCCTTTCCATAAGTATGGCAAAGCCAAGATTGCATTTTTTGGATGTAATTATCAGATCAAATTGACACAAGCCCAATTCTGTCACCCCAGTGCTTCTTTGGAATGGTGTTATTGTAACAATTTTTCAGCATTTGCTACAATTGCACATTGCTATGATGTGGGTCACAAAGAAGAAGTCAGTTCTTTACTTGGGATGTGTAAAGAGTTTAATAAAACCTTAACGAGAATAAATTTTGATCATGCCAATTCCTTTTATAATAATAACGCCATTGATCCAATCCCAAATTTTCCTGGTGAAGAGTATGCCAGATACCCTGTCAAGCTTAATGATTCTTTGATCTATGTATTCAAACAGTCATATGAACAATTTTTGGGTAACTATGATTTATCTATAGATTATGGTGCTTATTTGGCATATTATTGGATAGTTGTACTTCTACTTGCTAGTATTGGTAATTGGACTAAATTGTTATTCCCTGGATTAATGAAACTACTTACAGATCCACTCAGTAATTGGTTTAGAAAAAATATTAGCACACCGGCAGCTGGATCCAGAAACAAAACCAATGAATATTCCATGGGAGGTTATTTCGACATGTTAGTGCCAACAAGATTAGAAACATTGGTGTTGCTCGGTGCAACTATTTTAGCTGCTAGACTTTTCATTGTGGATATCAAATATGTTGATGGCGATCCGATTTTCCACACTGAATTAGATGCCTACTTAAGGAACTATGCTGTCAGAGCAAGTTTGATGGGGAGCTCCCTAATGCCGCTATTAGTTTTGTTTGGTGGTCGAAACAATTTCTTACAATGGGTCACAAGATGGGATTATTCAACTTTCATTATGTTTCATAGATGGATGTCTAGGTTTGTGGTTCTCCTTTTCCTTATTCACACATATTGTTATAGAGTGTTTTTTATCAGAATATCCAAAGAGTTTGAAGCTTATGTTTATTGGGGTGCCGCTGCTATGACAGCAGGGATTGCCATATTAGTCCAAGGAATGTTGTTCTTAAGACGAAGAAATTATGAAGTGTTTTTGATTTTGCATATAGTTTTAGCTGCTGTTTTTATTTTTGGAGCATGGATCCATGTTAACAATTTATATTGTGTCTGGTTTTACTACACTTCAGCAGCAATTTGGGGATTTGATAGAATTATAAGAATTATCCGACTTTATGCATTTGGTTTCCCTCAAGCTGATGTTTATTTATTACCAGATGATACTTTGAAAGTAGTCACTCCTAAACCGGAGGAGTGGGAAGCTGTTCCAGGTGGACATGTATTCATTCATTTTTTAAAATGGAAATATTTTTGGCAATCACATCCTTTCACATATGTTGTATCACCAGATAACAAAAATATAATTTTATATTGCAAGATAAAGAATGGTGTCACGAAAGCATTAGGTCAACATTTGGCAAAACAAATAGGGCAACAAGCCCGAATTAAAGTTGCAGTGGAAGGTTCATATGGTGAATCGACTCCAGCAAAATATGCTGATAGTGCTGTATTTGTTGCTGGAGGTAATGGTATTCCTGGCATTTATTGTGAAGTAATGGACATGGCAGAAAAATTACCACCTAATTCTAATAGACGTATGAAATTGTACTGGGTGGTAAGAGATTACAATTCATTGACTTGGTTCCTAGAAGAACTTAGAGCTTTGAAGAATACAACAATTGAAACTACAATTTATGTTAGTAGACCATTGAATGCTTTGAAAATAGCCGACAAGACTCGGGAAGTCCTGGAATTACAACCATTGTTGCCATCTAATTTACAAGAACAAACTCTAACTAGAGAAAGTTTGAAATTGGAATTATCTCATATTCAGATATGTGAAGGAAGGCCAAATATTGAGAAGCTAGTAAAACAAGAAATAGATGAGTCCCGTAGTTCAACTGCATTTGTGACTTGTGGTCATCCTGCAATGGTTGATGACATTAGAGCAGAATGTGCTAGACATATAGACAACATAGATCACAAGCGGGTAGATTATTACGAGCAATTACAAGTATGGGCTTAGTTTTCTAACAAAAGCTTTTTTATATTTTATTGTCTATAGTTGTGTGTATACCTTTGTTAATTATTATTTATTCATTCTAGAAAAGAAATCAACTTAAATTGTAGTAATTACTATTCAGAAGTCCACATAAAATATAATTTTACAAAGTTTAGCACAAAAAGTTAAGTAAAAATTTTAAAGCAACTGTCCTTGATTAAAACTAGTCTAATATGACATAAATTGTGACCAAAAAAGATATTATTATAGATAACCTTCTCTTTTTGAAGAATCGTGTTGAAGTATCATTACCAATGCTTCTTAAATAATCAAAAATATCAACTAATATCTTTAAATATAACTAGACCAGTATATGTAGGTAGTCACCAACTTTTGTTGTATTCTGTGATCTAGATTTGGATCACAATACATTTGGATTATTAATCAGATTTGGTATTGTGGTACATTCCGGAATGTTTTGATATTGCTTATGGAATGTTCTGATATTGCTTATGGAATGTTCTGATATTGCTTATGGAATGTTCTGATATTGCTTACGGAGAATGTTTGATATTGATTACTAATGCTATTGCTTACTAATTGATGTTGAGTATGACTCATCGATGAATTCATCTAATTACTATTTAAGTAGATGAATTCCCTTTTATTTTATTTTTAGATGTTTCTTTTTAGATAATCAATCAATTGTTCTATTGTTTCTACTGAATATACTGCTTTAAATTTACTGAAGAGTTATAGCTGTCAATTGTTCTACACTACAAATTGCTATATCTGTTATTGATTCATCCGAAGGACAGTTATAAACTAACTTTCAACAATTCAGCCATTTGGCTCAGTTGTTACAGGCTTCTCTTGTAGTTTAACGGTCAGAATACGCGCTTGTCACGCGCGTGATCGGGGTTCGATTCCCCGCAAGAGAGCATTTCTTTTTTTGCCTCAAGAGACAGTTTTTATGTGTCTTTTTTTGTTTCTCAGTTTATTATGATCAATGATGTTTTAAATACGTATATTAGATCTATTTATTCTAGTAATTCTAGAAGCTCTATAGCAACTTCTTCGATCAACAAAGAACTTTTTCTCAGCTTCAAGGATTCCAAACAGGTTCTTATTGGATTTGCAAACTTCAACTTATTCTCTGAATCATCAAGATCAGCAATCAAACATCGCAAAACTTTCAAATACAGCAATTGTATCACAGGATTTTTGCTGTCATGGACAACTAATTTCACTAGAATGCTATTTACTATAGGCATGTTTAGCATCTTCTTTGTCAATACAACACTGGATGTCAATAATTTCACGTAAATTTCCAATGTGCTTTCTAAGTTAGACACTTTTGTCAATAAAAATCCTCCAATCAAACAATCCACTGCAATAGGGGATTCTAATTGGACATAGTCTGAATCTAATTTATACCAATAGTAAATAGAATCCAAAGAGTTGGATTGCCAGTATGGATCCAATAATAAATTAAAATAAACAGTGAGCATTCCGTGCTTCTTCAATTCACGTCGAACATGATTATCACAATGTACAAATTCACAGATGATTGGCAATATAAACTGTCTGAATGGCAAGTTGATAATTGACAAGTTTTTCAAATATGGCAAACCACCCAATCTCACAAATTCAGATTCACGAGAATGGTTCAAAGCCAACATATTATATATGATCTGTGCTACCACGTTAATTACCTCTTTGTAATTGGATTTTGACGGAACATAAATTTCTAATAGTTTTACCAAAAACTCCAAAGCTTCTGCATGATAAAGATTTTTTAAAAGATCGGAGATACAAGACATCGACTTTACAAACTTCAAAACTGTTAATTGGTCAGCAAATTTCAAATAATCAAATGAAGCAAAAATTGCTTTAAAAAAATCAACTGATCCAATAGCTACTCTGACTCGTGTCTCTGATTGACCAAAATACTTTATAATGTCAACAATATTCCCAACTGTTGAATCAATCTGGACTGAAGTTAAATTTCTAGCACCATTACTAGTCAACAAGCGTGCTAGTAAGTCAACCAACCAAAACAGTATACCATGCTTGGCTAATATTCGACATAAATCTGACTTAGATCTACTTAAATCTTTAACCAAAATATTGTGAACTGATTCTATACCTACCAATTGGAATGCAGGAGTGACATCAAAATCTTCTTCCACAAACATGCTAACTAAACTAAGTCCACCACATGATACAAACATAGACAAAGCTTTATCTGACAGATTCAAGATACCAATAAATCTTGCAACTTGTAATCTAACTTGTATTTCATAAATGTTATTCCTGAAATTGGATACAGTTGGAATACCACCAAGAAAGCAAAAATTTTCCAAGGTCCCAAGGTTCCTCTCAAAGAGATAGTTTAGAATTGAAAGGCAATGATACCATAGTTGTTGTTGGCCCTTTATTTCAGATGCATTTTCCAATAATTCCAACAAGGACAAAATACCATGATCTCTAATCAATGCATCATGCAGAACTGGGTATTTCTTAATGAGGTGCAACATTCTTCCTGTTACCTTTATTAAAGCGGGAACCACCTCATCTCCTGATAAATGAACTGCCTCTAATTTACGCCCTAGTCTTGCAACCAAATATTCCATTTTACTTTGCACCTCCAACTCATTTGTATCAAAATTTTCAATTTCTATATCCAAGAAAGGATCTGATTCTTCTAAATCTCCGGAAATTGCATCTGCATTGGATTTCATTACTTGGATGGTACTCACATCGGTATTCTGGAAAGTTTCATCATCTCGTTCACTGAATTTTGTCAACAACTCCTTCTTAGAATACTCGGTGCGCTTGTAATCAGATGGTTCATTTTCTATTTGTAATTCTATTACAGATGGTTTAACACTTTTTAAATTGGAAAATTGAGCTTCGACAAAATCAGTATCCCAGTTTTCGTCATTTGTTTCAGAATAGTTTTTAATAGATCTGAAATCCCGGCTTGGTTGCTTTAACAAAACAGACATTGATGTTTTACCAGTAGCACGATGGTTTAACCATTTATGTTTTAAAAGGAGCTTTGCACTTATTCTAAGATTAGGTTGCTTTTGAAAGCATTCCAAAAGAAAATCCCTTGCTAAAGAAGAAATACTCTTTGGCAAAGGTGGGTGTTCATCTGTTCCAATTGCATGTAACGTTGCCATAGGATTTAGATCATGATACGGAGGGTTTGTAGTAAACAATTCAATTATCGTGGCTCCCAACGACCAGATATCAGAAGCAGTACATATACCTTCACCACCAAGCACAGTCTCCGGTGCCATCCAATTGGGTGTTCCGACAACAGTGAAATGCTGGGAGTTTACTTTTGTTGCCACTCCAAAATCAGCTAATTTGACATCACCCTTATCTGTCAACAAAACGTTTGCCGCCTTGACGTCCCTGTGTACTACCCCTTGTTCATGCAAGTAAGCGAGTCCATGCAAGATTTGACCCACATAATTTATAATTTGAGTCTCCGGTAGCCCCTTCTTTAACTTTTTATACAATTGTCTCAAAGACCCTCCTTCACAATACTCAAGGATCACGTTTAAAGAAATAGAAGTTTTCACAAAACCATGATACTTGACAATATTTGGGTGTTTCAAAATTTTCAATAAATCAATCTCTCCCATAAGTGCCCTGACATCCTGATCCTTTTCTATTCGAATTTGTTTAATGGCAACCACTTGATTAGTAGTTCTGTTGATAGCTTTATAAACGCTAGCAAATGCACCATTCCCGACCAATGTTATAAATTCAAAATTTTCAAGAGCATTACACAGACGTGTGTTGCTTCGCTTTTCAAATCTCTGTGCTGGTGTCAAGGAAACTTTAACAGATGATGTACGTTGGTGTTTTGGAGTAGACTGGATCTTGTTAATGGCGCGCTTTTGGTTGTTAAATTCCGCATTGTGGTGGTTGTCTTGTTCCTGTTGTGATTCAGCTTCTTGCTGTTGTTTACGGAGCTTGTTGTTGTTAATTAGAATCTTGGATTTACCATAATCTATAAATGGGGAATTACTATTCTCGTCATTGTTTTGATATTCAAGTATGGGATAGACAGTTGGGTAATACGGTTTAGTAGTGTCTCTGTCAATTTTGACATTCAAATCTTGTTGTAGTTTTTTCACAAATGGCGATTCAAATTCTTGTGAGTTGGCTTGTTGTACATTATCCTTAATAAAAACAGATCCACCTGATATATTAGAAAACTTTGAGAATGATAACTCCTGTATGCTGTCAAAACCCTCTAGATCATCGGCTTTGTTGTTTTCTTGATATTTCTTTAGGGAGCTTTCTTTGTCTATTCGTGATTTAGATCCAGATTTATGTAAAGAAGAACTAGAGTGATTCAGCTCGTCTAGTTCCGGTAAGATTGATAATTGTTGTTGAGTGTAAGCCAGCATTTATGCTACTATGAACATTGCTAGTAAGCTTTATTGACCTGATCTAATGAATAGTGGACTTCGATAGAATTTTTTTGAAATGTAAATAAAAGTCTACTACTTTTTTTTTACTTTCTCTCTCTCATTTTCCCTTTCTGTGTTTGACAACTTGAGAGACACAGATGTGTATTTTGATTGTTTTCTTTTTTCTTTTTGGTGCGCCATACGGCAAACGTGCAAAAAAAATATATATAATAATTGCAGCACGAAAGCAACCACAATTGTCAAAAGCAATGAATGGTATACAACTTTGGTTATTAATATACATTCCGACTCTTCCTCCATTCCCCATATTTTGAGCATATGTTCTAATTTTTGTATGAGATCATTATATATTTAACAATTTTATTCTATTCTACATTATTTTCACTTATTTTACTTAACCCAATCAAACCATTTAGTAATCAAACTGTCTAATCAACTTTAATAAGTAATTTACCGTTTGGTTTATCACCTTCAAACAATAAGTTCCAGATAGCTGGAATTCCTTCCAAACGTTTAGCAGCGCTATCACCAGATAATTTTTCAACATGGTAAGCACCATCAGTCTTAAGTTTACCACTCTTAATAGCACCAACAAGAACTGGGATGGCTTCGGCAAATTGAGCGGCGAAATCACCAACAATAAAACCTCTCAAAGTTAATCTATTAGTAATGGCAAATGGAAGAGTACCAACAGCCAAAGCACTGTGATCGTTGTAACCAGCAATGGCACCACAAAGAGCAACGTGACCAAACTTGTTCATCTTAGTTAAAGCGTAACTCAAAATCTTACCACCAACACAGTCAAAGTAGACATCGACACCTTCATTATCCTTAGCCAAGAATTCATCGATTTGTTTTGTCCAGTTTTCAGTCTTGTAGTTGACACACAAATCAGCACCTAAACTTTCAACCCATTTACATTTGCCATCAGAACCAGCAATACCAATAACTTTAGAGGCTCCCAACAAATGTTTGGCAATTTGGACAGCGGAAGAACCAGTGGCACCAGCAGCAGCAGAAACCAAAACAACTGGACCCTTTTCACCTTCTTTTGGACCATTCAAGTACTTTTTCAATTCAGCAGTTTCGGTTAAACCAAAGAAAGCAGTCAATGTGGTCATACCTAAGACAGACAAGTAGAATTCCAATGGCAAACCAGCGGATTTGTCAATTTTGTTGTAGAAAACAGCGTCTGGTAAAACGGCGTAGTCAGCCCAGAAGATACGGCCACTGACAATATCACCTTCTGCGTATTTAGTAGATTTGGATTGAACAATTTCAGCTAAACCTAAGGAAGCCATTGGGGTACCTTCGTGAACAGGTGGCAAGTAACTTGGGGAGTTATCACCGGCTTTTCTCAACCAGGTTCTTTGAGTTGGATCATTCGACAAGTATAAAGTTTTAACCAAGACTTGACCGTCGTTTAATTCTGGAATTGAAACTTCTTTGACTTCAAAAGTGGAGTCAGATTCGTTGACCTTTGGGTTGATGAATCCAGTTGGACAGTTTTTCAAGAATACTTGAGTAGCGACTTTTGGAGCAGACATGATTGATTGGCTGTATAATAATTGAGTTCAATTGATGAGTAGAATATATATATATATATATTTGTTGAAGAATTAGCAAAAAAGTCGAAGAAGGCTTGCTACTCTTCCCCCCTATTTATATTCACCAAAGGATGTGTATCTCACCGAGATTTTTCATGCATCTCGCGGAGTTTGCGATCTTTGTACTCCAATAATTATTAAGCAGAAGTAAAGTATGGAAAAATTTCAAATTTCCGTAATTCATCGCGCAAACTCTTTGGTGCGAAATCAAACAAACTGAATCCAATAATTAGCAGCCGGTTTACTTTATTATCCGTACAAACGAAAAAACAGCATTTGTCAAAGAGTACATAGAAACTATCAAACATAAAATCAATGAAATATACTGATATACGGATCACGGATAATACCCATGCTGTCTTCCTAAAGCAAAATCAAAGATTTCTATGATACAATCAAGTAAAAGAATATAATTTCAAGTTACAAAATACACAAAGAATTACTAATTGGTCACTTCTCGAATCCTGTTGAAGAACCATCTCCAGAAGCAGCAGCTGCTGCACTCTGTTCATCGCGCTTGGTTTTCTCTTGATTCCAACTAAGTAAATTGACGTCACCGGTTTTTCTAGGTTTAATGAAGTTGATAACCAACAATGTTAAACCCAATACAAAACAAATTCCTCCAGCGACCATCCAACTTATGCCCAAAAAGTCGTTTTTTCCTCCGATGACAGAACGCTGTGTTATATATAAGTACTTCTTACCATTATATGGAGTTACAGGGAAATGTAAACCAACATTAATTTGATAAATACCTGGTTCCAATGAAGCACTATCATTACGTAAAGCCAACTTGTTAAAAGTGGCCAAGGCAGAAGGACGCATCCAATTTTGGAATTGTGGCCAAGTTGAAATATCTGGAATATTCGTTTCGTTGTAACCATCTGGAAACATTTTGTACCAATTAGGTGGGGGAACAATCTCAGTATAGTTGTATGTAGTTTTTTGGAATCTATTTCTATCAGTTGACCACGCAATGCCATTTTCTGTCAATGGGACAGTTTTGTCCTCTGAAGTTCCATTTACTGCAAGGAATGCAGTTGTGAAAGTATCATTAAACAATGAATTGGCAATTAAACCACATGGATAAATTCTAGTACCATTAACATCTGATAATGGCTGACAATTTTGACCCACAGTGTTTTTGATTGTATCCAAACTGGCGGCTTTTCCATTCAATTGATCTTCACTAAATGATTTGACAAAACGACGATGATTGGCATAAAAGTTGTGTAAACGGTAGTAAAGATAAATAGGTCCCTTCATGGTCTGAGGCACTTGGAATTGGACTTCACACACTAATCTTTCATCTTCAAATCTTTGAGTTGAGTCGTTGGTCAATCTCCATGAGAATTGAGGATCCGGGACATTCTTCGAATTGTTTCTGAAATTATAATCAATGTACTTATCTGGAATAGATGTCCAACTATTTGACAGAGCCAAATATTCACACTGAGTGTATTCAATAGTTATGTCTTCAATTCTATCAGATGCATACCACATGGCTGCCCCAAGGGGAACAAAAACAACTGCAATGGCAACTAGCAATGGGATAACAGTCTTTGCAGTCAACACTGGATTTATTGACTTCAATCTTTGCTGAGTAAAAGCATTTTCTTTTGGTCTTCTTGATTTCTCTTCACTAGTATCTATTTCCGATTCGGCTGATGATGATGATTCGTATCCTTCTTCCTGATTGTAATCTTCAACAGCCCTGTTTCCAGCCTGTCTCTGTTGTAGTTCTTGATCTTCTGTAAAGGCCATGATTGTGTATATATGATGTGCTATCCAGTCTACAAAAATGGGAAATACTGAGAGATTACAAAGAAGAAAATTAACTCAGCGATTATTATACCCGATTTGTCCTTAAATTTTAGGCGGAGCTTTTTTTTTTTTTGTTCGAATTTCTATTTTTTCTTTTTCCTGTTGTACTGTTGTAGTGTAATTTTGCATTTGTATGAGCAAACAGATTCATGTCACGTTTCACACGACCCCCATCAAATTTTTTTTTTTTTTTTTTAATTTGCTTTGTTCGTTTTTATGATGAAACTTTTTTTTTTTCTCGCATTTGTTGTCTTTGAGCTGCAACAATCAAAATTTTCATAGAGACCCGGTGTAAATTTTTTTTTCTTCTTCTCTTTTCAACTCTTCTCTTTCTGTTGAATAACGTTCCTGGTGAAGAATATTTACAAGTTTATACTTTTATTTTTGAGAGTAAATAATAGACTAGAAAGAACAAGATGTCCGACTCAGACGCTGAAAAGAATATTGAAATTTGGAAAGTCAAGAAATTGATCAAATCCTTGGAAATGGCTAGAGGTAACGGTACCTCGATGATTTCTTTGGTTATTCCACCAAAGGGTCAAATCTCATTGATCCAAAAGATGTTGACTGAAGAATATGGTACTGCGTCAAATATCAAGTCAAGAGTCAACAGATTATCTGTCTTGTCTGCCATTACTTCTACACAACAAAAATTGAAATTATACAACAGTGTACCAAGAAATGGTTTGGTTGTCTATTGTGGTGATGTCATTACCGATGAAGGTAAAGAAAAGAAATTGAACATAGATTTTGAACCATTCAAACCAATTAATACATCCCTTTACTTGTGTGACAACAAATTCCATGTTGAGGCCTTGAATGAATTGTTGGAAAATGACGATAGATTTGGTTTTATTATTATGGATGGTAATGGTGCCTTATTTGGTGCTGTTAGTGGTAACACTAGAGAAGTCTTGCACAAATTTACAGTTGATTTACCAAAAAAGCATGGTAGAGGTGGTCAATCTGCTGTGCGTTTCTCCCGTTTGAGAGAAGAAAAGAGACACAATTATGTCAGAAAAGTCGCTGAAGTTGCTGTGCAAAATTTTATTACTGCTGATAAAGTCAATGTTAAAGGTTTGATTTTGGCCGGTTCTGCTGATTTCAAAACTGAATTGTCTAAGTCTGACTTGTTCGATAATAGATTACAAGCTAAAGTTATTAAAATTGTTGATATTTCCTACGGTGGTGAAAATGGTTTCAACCAAGCCATTGAATTGTCTGCTGAAACTTTGGCTAACGTTAAATTCGTCCAAGAAAAGAAATTGTTGGAAGCATATTTCGAAGAAATCAGTCAGGATACTGGAAAATTCTGTTATGGTATCGAAGACACCTTGAAAGCTTTAGACTTGGGTGCTTGTGAAAAAGTTATTGTTTATGAAAACTTGAATATTGTCAGATACACATTGAAGGATATTGAAGGTGAAGAAGTAATTGCACACGTTAATCCAGAATTGCCAGATAAATCATGGCAATTGGACAAAAAGACTGGTACTGAAATGGAAATCGTTAAAGAAGAATCATTCTTGGAATGGTTGGCAGAAAATTATAAAAACTATGGTGCTGAATTAGATTTCGTCACTGATAAATCTTCTGAAGGTGCTCAATTCGTCCAAGGTTTTGGTGGTATCGGTGCTATATTGAGATACAAAGTTAACTTTGAGCAATTGGCCGACGAATCAAGTGAAGATGAATATTACGATGACGATGATGACAGTTTTATTTAGATTGGTTTTAATTGCATAATTCATATCATAGCTTTTATTTTTCTTTTACTTTTTCTGTTTTTTCTTCTTCTGATTGTTTTTTTATATTATCTACAACTTTTTTTTTGTTTTCCTTATATATATATAATCATTTCTTTATTATACACTAAACTCTATTTCAGGGTTTTCTTATTAACAGTCTTCTTTTTGGTTACTTTATTTTTGGTTACTTTATTTTTGACATTTTTTGATCCTTTCAAATCTTTCAATGCATTAACCTTTTCATGTCCTAAAACATCTTCATGATGAGCGCCAGTAACCATTTGATGGGCAAGGTTTTGAAGACCACTTGTGATGTAAGATCTTCTAGCATTTTTCTTTATTGGAGCAGCCAATAGACTCTTCAACTCATATCTAAGGACTTTTGTTTGATCTTTTGATAACATTTTGGCTTCTTTTCTTTTACGTTGTTTCTTAATAATATCGTCTTCAAAGTTATCAATATCTGATAAATCATCAACTCCTAAATCTTCTGCCGCTTGTTCAACCCAAGATTTTTCCTTTCTTGTAGCAGTGGCAGAAATATTACCATCAGCTAATTTTGAAGAAATGTCAACTCTCGGTTTGATTTGGGAAACAAGATCCATTTCAATAGGAAGTAATTTGACATCATTGTGCATATTTAATCTGGATGCCTGTTTTTCTGAATTTGCTGCCACTAAACGACGCAATTTTCTTAATGGTCCTGATGCTTCTTGCGGAGAACAAAACATAACAGACACACCCTCTTTACCAGCTCTAGCAGTTCTACCAGATCTATGGATATAAACATCGGCTGATCTAGGCAAATGATAATGTACAACATGATCGATATTTGGAATATCCAAACCTCTAGCAGCAACATCAGAAGCAACCAATACAGCAACTTCATTCTTTTCACTAGCTTCTTTAAACTTTTCCAATGCTCTCAATCTTTGTTTTTGAATCATGGATGAATGAATAGAAAAGGCAGGAATGTTCAAATTATTCAAAAATGGAACCAATCTCTTTACAGAATCAATAGAATTAGCAAACACCAAAGTTGAACCTTTATACATGAGCAAGAAATAGTACAAGTATAAATCACGTTCAGTTGGACCACATTCAACCAATGCCTCTGTAATTTGACCAGAAACGATTTCTTTTGGATTGGCATCAACCATAGCTGGTTTCTTGTCTTTGAATTTCAATTTATCATTCAATAATTTAACAACCTCATCATTATGCATCAATGAGCTTGTTTTACCCTTTTGACGTTTATCCAATTTACCAAATAAATCTCTAGAAAAAGTAGCACTGAAAACCAAAGTTTGCCATTTCCATTCCGTCAGTTTATTTCTTGGTCTATTTTTACCAAACAATTCTAAAATCTTTTCAAATTCTTCAAAATGTCCATCTTGTAACAATCTATCAGCTTCGTCAAGAACAATAATATCAGTAGATGCTAATCTTTTACATAATTCGAGGTCACCTTGAATCAATTCCAACAATCTACCCGGAGTTGCAACAATGATCCCGGGTCCATGTTTCAATAATCTTTGTTGTTTTTGTATAGATAACCCACCTGTGATACTTACAATTCCTCTTGTAGATAATGGTGAATATTTAGCCAATGCATTTAAATGTTCCACAACCTGATGAGCTAATTCTCTAGTTGGAGCAAAAATTATACCTGTTGGATGATTGATCTTTTTATCTTTATTATTTTGTTTAATTGTATTTAAAGATTGGATGTACTTTTCCAAAATTGGGATACCATATGCCAATGTCTTACCGGAACCAGTAGTAGCTTTACCAATGACATCTTTTCCTTGTAATGCGATTGGGATGGTTTCCTTTTGAATTGGAGTTGGTTTTTGAAATCCTAATTGTGATAATCCATTAAGTGTATAACCACTAATTGAAGATCCTAAATCTCCCTTTTGCCAGATTGGTAAGTTGATTTCATTATCATCTGGTAATGGCAAATCAAGGTTTGCAAATGATACAATACCAAGTTCCCCGTTCTTGTCAGAATCAGCGGTGGAAGGTTCATCTTTTTGTTCATCACCTTGTTCATCCTCTTGTTCATCACCTTGTTCATCCTCTTGTTCATCGTCTTTTTTATCATCTTCTTCATCTTCAAATCCTCCAAATTCGTCTTCTTCCATAGCCTCATCGTTATTTTCATCGTTATCATTATCGACTTTGATATCATCATTTTCAGGAGTTTTCTTCTTCGAGATCTTCTTTTCATCAGTAACAACAAATTCCGCTTTCCCGTCAACCATTTTAACATCAACTCCATCAATCTCTTCTAATCCAAAAAACCCTTCATAATCGCCCAAATTATCTGGAATTTCAACTGGTGTCCATGCTAATTCATTGATTTTGACAATTTTGGATTCCCTCTGAAGTTTTTGCTTCAAAGATGGTGTCTTTCTTGGTTTCGATATCTTCTTCTTTCCTTGCTTAGATATCTTCTTTTTTCCTCTTTAGCCATTGTTTAAGAGGAGTGTTAGTGATGTCGTGTAGACTGTTAGTGAAAAGAACAGTTTCAATAAGAAACCAAAATAAAAAAAAAAAAATTACAGGAAAATTCGCAATGCTCATCTGAAATAAATTTTATAAGGACAAAAAAAAATTGGTTTGTCTACAATGAAGATCAGAGTTAACTACCAATTGTTACACACCAATCATGGCAAAGAAGAAGTCCCGATCTGGGTTATTGAAAGCTCCTAAAACAATTACTGGGAAACTTGGTACTCCTAAAAGTTTAAAACCTCAAAGAACCAGAGAAATTATACGTCGGTTTCATGTATTACAGAAAAGTAAGACATTGGTAATTATAAAACTACGAAAATCATATCCTCAAATCACAGTTAATGATTATAATGTAATTCAAGCAGATGCAAGTTATAAATCCGCTTTTAAGAGTTTCATTGCTCCAACGAAATATTCTGATAATCCTATCTATAAAATTGATGATACATTGACAAAGTCAGATTTAGTTCAAATACTAGCCAGGATTGATTCAGAAATTGAACAACGTGGTGGAATTGAGTCTTACCAGTCTGCATCAACACAAGGTCAAACTAGTAAAAGAGGTGGTGACTCGTCAAAAAAATTAGTTGAATGGTTACAACTGGATAAATATGAAAATAAGCTTAACGATGTTACTGCGTTGGAAATTGGTTGTTTAAGTCCTCATAATGTTATTTCAACCTGTGGTATTTTCAAAGATATCGTAAGAATTGACTTGAATTCACAAGATCCCTTGATTCTTGAACAAAATTTCATGGATAGACCATTACCAGAGAATGAATCTGAAAAATTCAATTTAATCTCGTGTTCTTTAGTTATAAATTTTGTTCCAACGCCTAAAGAAAGAGGAGAGATGTTGATTAGAATGACTAAATTTTTGAAAAAACCAAAGAAAAATATGAGTTCTTTATTTTTAGTATTACCATTACCTTGTGTATCAAATTCGAGGTATTTTGACAATGAAAGATTACTTGAAATGATGACCATGTTAGGATTTCAACAAACATTTTATTATGAAGCAAAGAAAGTTGCATATTGGTTATTTGATTGGACAGGCAAGACCAAATTGGTTAAAAGTTTTCAAAAGAAGGAACTACATTCAGGATCATCGAAAAATAACTTTTGTATTACTATATCATAAATCTATTATATACACCTTTTTTTGGCATTTCTTTTACTATTATTTTTATTATTGTATTTTTCGTTTATTCGTTATTATTATTATTATTATAATTATAATCATTCAACATGTTTAGAAATTATCATTCATCAATAAATCATTTGCAATAGACAGAGTCAAATGGACATTAAAAAAAAGTAGGGGAAGAATGTTTGTGAAGTGAAAATCATGGAGATTCGACAGCAGATGGTTTAGCATAACCAGTGGAGTGTGCCATTTGTTCAGCAGATGGAGGAATCCAGTTGGCAGATTTCCATGGCAAAATATTTTGAGAATACATTTCATCAACTTCTTCCAAACTCAAACCTTTAGTTTCCATAATGGAGAAGTAAACAAAGACAAATGATGCGGCAAGACAACCGGTGAAGACAAAACCGTAGTAGAAGTGGATGGCATTAATAATGAAGGAAGTGAAGAAAGAAATCAAGAAACCCCACATCCAGTTAGAACCAATAGCAACAGCCATGGCCTTACTTCTGACACGTAATGGGTAAATTTCAGAAAGAATAGCGTAAACACCACCAGCCCAAGTTGAAGCAAAGAAGAAAATGTACAAACAGGTAATGAAAATCATAGCTCTACCAGTGGAACGGTTAGTGACATCACTATCAAAATCATTGTTTTCGTACAAGTTAACAGAACCAAGAATGGAGTAGATAATGAAGGCGACAAACATACCAGCAGAACCAACCAATAAACAAAGTCTTCTACCCAATTTTTCAATGACGTAAATGTTGACAAAAGTGGAACCAAAGTTGACAGCACCCAAAATCATAGAAGTTTCAAAGGAATCTTCCAAACCGATAGCTTTGAAAATAGAGGTAGCAAAATAGAAGAAGTAATTGTTACCAGTCAATTGTTGGAGGGAAGCTAAACAAACACCAGTGACAACTCTCTTGAAAATTGCTGGTTTACCGCTAAACAATTCACCCCAAGAAGCACTACCAGCTAATCTTTCTCTTTCAACACCGGCTTGGATCAATTGCAATTCAGCAAAAACAAATGGATCTTCTTGGTTCAATTTGTTGGATCTGGCAATGGAAACTTTTGCATCATCAATTCTGTTCTTTTCAACCAAGTATCTTGGAGATTCTGGCATAAACAACATACCGCAGATCAAGAAAATAGCCCAAAGGAAACACAAACCTAATGGAATTCTCCATTGAGCAGAGTTATCCAATTTCTTGGTACCATAAGTACAACAGTAACCAATAAAGATACCCAAAGTGATACACAATTGGAAACAACAAACCAAAGTACCTCTCAAAGCTTTTGGAGCGGATTCACTAATAAACATTGGAGAAATGACAGAAACGGTACCAACAGCCAAACCAGTAATGGCACGTCCAATCATAATTTGGTACCAAGCGTGTTGAGCAGAAATTTGAACAATGATACCAACAACGTAAATAGCCATAGAAAACATCAAACCGATTCTTCTACCATACATGTCACCAACTTTGGCGAATACTAAACCCCCAATACAACAACCAACGTTGAAAATGGAAATAATTAAACCAGTACGAACATTAGACAAGTATCTTTCACCAGAACCATTAATTTGACCAAATCTTTCGAGGAAATCAGTCATGTTGACGAACCCAGAAATGGTACCAGTATCATATCCAAAGACAAAACCACCAAAGGCAACCAAGAAACATAAACATGAAATTAAGATATATTCTTTGTATGACTTCTTAGCCAAGGTTTCATCAATGATTTGTTGCAAGTCATCACCTTTAGCGTCAGCTTCTAAGATGGAAGAAGATGTGTTGCTTGAATTTTGTTCGGAATTACTCATAGTCCTATTTTTATTTTTATTTTTCTCTCTCTCTCTATTTGGTATAGACAAGATATAAAGTGAGTATAGATCTGTAGAATTAAAAATAAAAATAACAAAATTCCTTGAAAAAACTTGGGGATAAATGTGGGTATTTATGGGAAAATTTGTGGGACATTCATTACAATTTACTCTTCATATCAAAATACTACCTGAACAAAAGAAGAAATAGAAAATAAGGCAACTGGGAATATTCATCGGAAAAACTTATTGTGATTTCTTTTTTTTTTTCTCTTACTTTCATCAGTTTTTTTTTTTGTGCATGGTTGCAATTTCTTGGCCACAATTTCAAAAAAAATTGCAAAAAAAAAAAAACAATTCGACTTCTTGGTACCAACAATTCATCAAATTTTTGTTAGTTTGGTTTGTTTCCTTAGAATTCTTTCTTAGTAAACCGTTTGATATTAGACAAGGTTATGACCAAACCAGAGGGTTTCGAGTTATGAATTTTTCTTTGGTGTTGATAAAATCAACTCACCATTGCAAACAAAAAAAAAATAAAAATAAAAATCTCTGTCAATTCTTCTTTATATTGTATCATAGAAACATTTAAAACGTTGCAACTTTAAAAGAGTCAAATTATCATGTATAAGAAAAGAAAGCAGCTGATATCGTTTCGGCAAGCATTCGGGATCAACACAAGAAAATAGAAATATAATGAAATTAAGCCACAAATAAACTTTTCAAAAGTAATTCAGAACCCCATGGTTTTGTGGGTCACTCCTTGGGGAGTAAACTTTAGTGGTGCATTATTGAAGAAAAGAAATGAAAAATTTGTCCTGGGCAAATTCTCATCTATGGTTTGTCCAGTAACAGCAGAAAATAATAGAACATTAGTTGAGCTTAAAAACTCTCTGGAAACAAAAATAAAACCTAGTCATTCTTAGTCATTCTCAGTGTACTTTTTTGCTTGTGCTCTGGTTTACATATATTTTTTTTGCTTGGTTTGTCAAGTGACTTTTCTTTTGTTTTGCAACTATAGTTATTGTAAGTTCAATGATATTACAATAATAATTTTCCCATAATTCGGAAAAACTTTCTACACAAAAAATAATTGGGCATATGCACGCACATACAGAGAATAGTTCACAGTACATTATTCGCAGCAATGCCGCATGCTTTCCTTCTCCCCCTCCCCCACCATTTCATGTATTGGGTGATTGTTCAAGCGTACATCAATATCCGGGTAGTTTTCTATTTTTTTTTCTTTTTATAGAACATCTCTTGAATTGGCGTTGCATTGTATTGTTAGCACCGATGATTATTGTAGCATAATCACATTGAAACAGTGTTACAATTCGCAAGCAAAAATAGAAAGAAAAAAAAGTTTTGCAACACAAAAGTAGTAAACAAAAAAAAGAGCAACAGCCTGCCGCATATCTCACAAATTTTGCTGTTAATTTTTTTTTTCTCGTTGGTCTTGTGGGTGACTAGACAAAAACACGCTCCATCATCGTACGACGATTCTCCACCATGTTCAACCTGGGGGAATGAATGAAATTGATCGCTTGATATTACTCTTGGTATTTAATTTGTCTAAGTGGTTATGCATTATGTTTCAGAAAAAATTTTAGCTCACTCGGATTAATTTGACAAATATTCCCGTATCCGCATGTCGGTAATTAACTTTGGAAAAATAATTCCACTATCCCAATGTCTTCTGGAGTGACTCCGTCCACTTCTCTTCTTTTTTTTTTCTTTGTCTCTAAATTAGATCTTTAATCTGGGCAAGAATAAATGGTAAGTTGAAGGATTTATCATTGATTCGCTCATTTTTTTTGTCCTCGGAATATGCCAAGCAAGTTGAGATTTCACTTCTCACAAGTTATTTGAATAGTATGGCCAATACCCCAGTGGTATGATGGATATTGTTGATGGTGGGGGAATTCTACCCTTACGATTAATTCTGGAGTTACAAGAAGTAATATTAATTAACTAATTGTCTGTTATGCCAATGCTGTTTTTACTTGTAAGTGGACTTTGTTATGCAGCAATACATAATAAACACAATGAAAAAAAGGGGTATATTAAATGAAAGAGAAAAGAAATAACAGAATACATAAATATAAAAGAAAGAAAAAAATCTAAGCCCAAACTTGTAATTGTTCATAATAATCGACACGTTTGTTTCCTGCATTGGTAATATTTTTGGTGACTGCATAACGAATATCATCAACCATTAGTGGATGTCCACATGCAACAAATGCAACGGATTTTTGACATTCATCTACTTCAATAGCAACAATCTCTTGAATATCAGGTCTGCCTTCTCTAAAATGAATATTATTCAAATCACGTTTCATTGTACTGAAAGCATCATTATCACTGGACCCTGGTTCAAAATCAGATTCATCAGTTCTAGTATATTGGTCATATTTCTCCTTCATCGAATAATCTTCCTTTTCGCCTCCTTTATCATAATAATCTTCAAAACTAGAAGCAGAATCTGGCTTTGTAACATAAACAGTGGTTTCAATATTTGTATTTCTTAAAGCTCTCAATTCATTGTAAAACCAAGCAACCGACTTGAATTCTCGAATAACCCAAATTAATTTTACAACTTGTCTTGATTGGTCACGTGATTTTTCGCCCAATTGGATGACTTCATTGTAAATACCTGGAATACCATTACCACCAGCAATGAAAACAGCGGTGTCAGCAAATCTTGCTCCTGTTGGTTCACCATATGGACCTTCAACACCAACTCTGATTTTAGCACTTCTTCCTGGACGAGCTGATAAGTATTTGTACAAGCTACTGGTTAAGCCACCTTTGACTTTACAGAAGCATACAATATGACGATCTTCCACAACTGAATCAGTAAATGTAAATGGATGTGATTGCCAGAAACTAGAAGGACGCAAGAAATGAATAAATGCATGACCGCCAGGAACTGATGTCCAATAATTAGAAGTTGGAATACTGACTTTAACAGTTTCATCAGATAACAAAGTAACTTGAGCCAATGGGAATCCAAACATGAGCAAACGAATAACTCTAACTAATCTGTCAAAAAACCAAACTGCCAATACTGGATACATAAAGTAAACATAACCTAAATCTTGAACATGTATCCATGCACCAGCAACCCACATTATGGCAAGAACGATATGACCAATCAAAAAGACTTCATACCAACGTCTTCTCAAATAAAGAAAACCTTGCATAAGCATAACTCCACCGGAAACAGTTGCAACAATACCAGCTTTCATATATCCTTCCTCTATAGCGGTGTTGTAGAAATTTCCAAGTTCTTTGGTATAACCAGCAGCATGAATAATAATCAAACAGTACATTACTCTAGAAGTCCAACGGTGGAAAGTGACAAATCTAGAGTATTGCCATCTTGTTAACCATTGTAAGAAATTATTACGACCAGCAAATAAGAATACCAATGGCATCATCATGGTAGCAATAATACCACATCTGTCTATAACATATCTTAATCTAGCAGCTGCGCTGGTGAATAAAACTGGATCTCCTGGGATATATCCAGTATTAACAGAAAGGAAAATTATCATCAAGATTAAAAATCCAGAAAGCATTAAAGATTCAACTCTTGAAGGAACAAGGAATTCAATAAATGAAATAGATTTAGCGTTGGTCTTTGCTTTACCAACTAAAGCTGGAAGAGTTATATTCTTTCTAATCCCATTGATGAATCCATTTGACGAGTATAAACCAGGGAATAAGTATCTGCTCCAACTTACAATTGATCCCATAACAAACATTAATAACCAGTAACCATAAATACCTGCACCATAGTACAAGGCATCATCATAATTGCCCAAGTATTTGTCATAAGCATCTCTGTATAATTGTGTTTCGTATTGACTTAATAAAACAGGATAGTCAATGACCTCGGTACTGTTGAAACCTTTCACTGTTGATGTATTCTTAGCATTTTCCACATACTTGGAGTATGCATCTTCTAATTGAGGAATAGTTAATGAAACACCACCTTGAATTCTACAATATCTAATTAAACCATTCAAATATGTTGTGGTGTTCTTCTTGTCATATGCAAGACATCCCATAACTGATTCAACCCAACCTGGAGATGTACATAAACAAGTATAATTTGTATTGAAAGCACTGGTACCAGCACAATAGGTAGCAGCATTATTAACCTGTAAATTACAGGCATACGAAGGTATCATATTGGAATATCTAATGAATTCAAGGTTTTTGACTTCAGGCACATTAGATGCATGTGCACCCAATGTTGCCAAGCTAAGTAGAAATAACAACTTCATTGAGGCGTAATAAACCGTGATTTAACGTTAATAAATAATAACAAGTATGTTCAATCCCTCCATATAAAATAATCCAATGGGGATTCGCTTAATTATTTATACATTTAAGAAATTAGAAACATCCCAGAATCTATTGGGGGAACTGTAAGGCGAAAAGTTGCAAAAAAAAATATAGTCAAAAAAAAGACAATAAAATAATAAAAAAAACAGAGAATAATACAGATTGTCAAAGAGATACGTTCCTGTATATAATACTAACATTCAAATTGAAAACAGATTGCTTCGATACATGAAGCAAAAAGAGATGAAATTGTTGTTGTTCATTTAACGTCGATCGTTTCCCCTTTCAATCGTGCGTAGATCCGGAATTTTAAACAGTATTTATTGTTAGATACTAACATGATAAAGAATGTTGTAAATCGAAAAAAATAATTTTGAAACGTTAATCTTAGTCTTCTTTCAATTTCAATTTCCCTTCATCAAGCTCTTTGATACAACAAAAGAAGATTGGCATTCAAGAAAAACAAGGTAGGTGAAAGAAATAAGTTCTGAGAAAAAGTTTTCTGCAAAACTTGCGAGCAGGAAAGTTGTACACTTGGTAGTGATATGTGCACGCGGGTACATATTTGCGGCCACGTTGTATAAGGAGGAGAAATGAATTAACCAACAAGTAAGTGATTTTCACAGTCATTGTAAATTTCAATTCCAGGCAGTACGTTCATGGATTACAAAAGAAATTCGTTAAACAATCATGATCAGCTGGTAGTATTTAAATCTTATGCACCATAAAGCCAATGGGATATCAAGTTTATTGTATATTGTAAAGTTTTGATTGTTGTTTTATAAAAGAAGATATAACCTAATTTAACAATGAATTGTACGGATTTGGTTAATTACGATGCTCCCCGAATGTAATCGTAACAAAAAAGAATTTACTTTCAATCATTGAATACATTTCAAACAGCAAAGGGGTAGATGTAATTTGCTATAATTACTTTCCGTGAAAGCAATCTTCTTTAATTGAATGACAACTTCTTATCTTTGAAACCCCCTACCCTTCATTCTCTCCACAAGCCAAGGTTTTATCTCCATATACATCCTGGGAAGACATAAACTTAAAGAATAATAATAATAAATCTTGACTCGTTGATCTATCAGAATTCCTTGTTCTTTGTAATTTGAACAAAGTAAATGTTTCATGTTAAAACGTCAAATTTTTTATTAATTGTTTCAACGCCAATGTCGATCCTTCTCTCTTGATTCATCATCAATAATATCCTAGCAAATTAGATGAATTTGTCAGCTTAGTAAAGTTCAATATTTGTGCTTAACAATACAATTCATCATTATCTGAGGTTTGTAGTCTCAAACGATCTAATCGCCTGGATATTCAAAGGGATAAAATATACATGTAAATCACCGTTCTTTGATTTTTGCTACTGAGTATGAAAGGCACACCACCACTCTACAGTCTACTTAGATATTCATGATTTGTAAGAAAAAAAATTGTGACAATGATGGGATAAGTAATTATCCATGGATTATTTGTTGTTTCATGCTTTTTTTGTTGGACGTCTGATGGTTGAGCTGTTTGGTGTCTAGTTACGCGTCGGTGAAACCGGTCTGCACGAAACCCTTCTCTCTCAAAAAAAAAAAAACTTGAAATTGAGATTGGAATTGAGATTGAAATTGAGATTGAAATTGAAATTGAAGATCACATCGAGCACACCCAGTTCATTATCGACCGACAACCATGCCACGTCTGCAGTCTACTTTAAAGTCTCTACTAAAAAATTGGGAATATAAAATAGCTATATTTATTGCTGTGTATTTTCTTTTCTCGCATGTTCTTTTAGAAACAACCGATACTGTTAAGGAAAAGGGGTTGAAATCCCATCTCAAGCTTTTACCAGAAGAAGTTATTGAATACTACGAAAAACAGCCATTCCCCCATGATGTTGAAAAATACGCCTATATGCAATATGCTACAAATTATGATTATTTAAATTTGGCAATTATCAACTTTATTCACTTACGTAAGTCAGGAACCAAGATTCCAAACTTGGTGATTATCTACGATAATATTCTTAATTTTTATGCTAGTGATAAATGGAGTGATTTATTTCAAGTTGCCAATCATTATAAAATTACTTTGAAATCGGCTCCGTTGATTAAAGCAAACTACAAGGATGAAACAAACTGGGCAGCTTCGTTCACAAAGTTTCATGTTTTCAATCATGATGAATATGAAAGAATTGTTTTCTTCGATTCTGATTCAATGCTTGTGGATATCCCTGAAGAAATTGATTTTGATAATATGGAAAGCAAGTTCAATAATATTGATGAATTGTTCAAGATTCCAAAAGAAATATCATTTGCCTTACCACAAGCATATTGGCTAAATAATGTTGTTGAAGGTAAGAGTGCTAAACCAAAAATAAAAGTGGAAATTCCAAACAAGAAGAGATATTCCCTTAGAATGAAGAAATTGGTTAATGATTTACAAGTGTCCCAGGATTTTAACGTATTACCCCTGATTATTTATGAAAACCATTATTACGATAACCTGAACCATTTTTTTGCTAATCACATCATGGTTCTAGAACCCTCAAAGAAGACATTTAACGAATTGATGAGATACGTGAACAACCCATGGTGGTGGTATATTACCAATAGGGCCAACCTTAGAAAGCATTCAGATTATGATATGGAAATCCTCAACAAGTATTTGTATAATGAGTTACGAAATAAAAACGTAAACGTGGGAATATTACCTCATAGAGTCTATGGAGTTTTGACTGGTGAGTTTGGAGAAGAATGGCACGAAAGGTTTGTTGCTGAACCTCAATATTTGCCATTTGTAAAGAAGAAATCTAACAATGGATGGAACGCTATTGAGTTCTTTAGAAAGATTAAACTTGTTCATTTTTCGGATAGTCCAATCCCAAAACCATGGGAAGAAGAAAGTAACAAGGATCACTATAACACAAAGAAAATTTACTGCGCCCATGGTGACATGGAAAAGTATAATAAGGAATATCCGGTTTATAAGCCAAGATTAACTGCAGATTGTGACAGTGTTGATATATGGAATTGGTTGAGAAATCAATTCTATAGAGAAAGACAGGGATACTGGTTGGTGTAGTATAACATAGGTTTGTACATTTATAGGAAACAGCCATAGATCATCTCAAATCAAATAAATTTTCCTGCATCTTGAGCGTTCCAGAATTGTTTATAGTGTTTCTAAAAATGGAAGTGCAAATCAAATCACATACGAAAAAAAAAAAAATGAAACGAAAAAGAAAAGGGAAAAGAAAAAAAAAAAAATTTTAATCTTACTAACCACCATCAAAACAAATCTGATCATTTAAGGGATATCCTTCATAACTAAGTGTTAGTGAGAATTATTCATTTAAAGGTTTTCTTTGACTTAGGTTTTTAATAACACATTCGCTTACATACATATCATATACCTATCATGCCATTTCAGGATCAAATAATTGGAGTTACAATGACTACCGTGGCTGCGGTTATCAAAAGAGCTGATGATGATTCCACCACAACAACTAGTTTACCTACAGTTTCCTCCCTGGGTATGCCAACTTTATCTGACCCAAATGCATACACTACCCCAAGTGTCACTGTGCCACCAAATAGTGGTAACCCTTTCATAATAAGACAATCCAACCCGGCTGGAACTGTGTTTATTGCTGTCGGGGCAATAGTCGGAGCTATTTTACTAGGTTTTATCTTGTACCACTTGATTGTTTCTTTGACTGCCTCTAGATTGGCCAAAAGAACTAGTGCTGATGATAAGAAATTATATGAAAAGTATCAACACAATAATAATAACGCTTATGGATTCTCTGGTATGACACCACAATCTACTTTGAACAATTTCACCACCGAGTATGGTGGTTCTGTTTCCAAATTGCCTTTGTTGAATAAATCATTTGGTAATATAAATGGCTCACAAGTTGGAGATAACTCAACAATTTACCAATCCGAAGTTGGTGCGGCTGTGACATCAAAACACGATTTAACAAAGATGTTTGTTTCACCAACAGCTGAGGTTATGCAACACAAGAGAGTCAGATCTAGTCATTACAATCCATCATTAAGTAATTTGTCTTTTGGTGGTTCCACAAGTAATTTAGTTAATCCATCACCTGCTACAAATAGACATTCACAAGTGGTACCTAACTTGTACATTAACCAAGAGGTCAACAATAGTGATTATTCCTTATCTCAACAAGGTTCTATGGCAGCATCGTCCCAACAACAAAGTCAACAACAGCAACAACTTTCTACTCCATCCAATAGAAGAACACTTCCTTCTATGTATCTTGAAGATTTAATTGATAAAGAATAGGTGGGTTTTATAAGTATGAATCAAAGGTTTTAAGGGGACGTTTTTTAAACTAAAGGGTTATGAATATGAGAGTATTATATGATCAATATACCTAAATATATATATATTATTATTTGTATACCTAACTGTTGGATCATAATTCGTGTTGTCGTGTACTGTAGGCAAATTAATAAAAAAAAAGAAAAAAAAAAGACGAATTGGGAAAAGTTACAGAGAAAAATTTATTAGTAAACAACAAACACTCACACACAGACAGACAGAACACGATAATAAATTACACACACGAAGATTCAATTTTCAATCACAAATTTTTTTTTCTTAACATTTCAGTAAATTTTTTTTTTTTCTTTTTCCCATTAGGAAAGTACTGTTTAATTATCCTTTTCTACCCCCTTCCAACAGTTGATAGACACAACTGCTCATAGAACAGATTAGCAGGATATAAGAAGAAGAAGAAGATATGCCTCTTTGTGGTGGTGGTCAAAAGACAAGTATGTACACCTGTTATTATCACCATTGTATTCCCCCCAAACCAGAAGAGAAAAATAAACAAAAACATGAAAAAAAAAAGAAATAGAAAATAAAAACCGTCTAACTAATATTGGAATCAATGTCTAATTGACAATAAATGAATTGAGAGTTACTAACATGAGTTCTTAAATAGTTCAAAGAAAGATAGTTATTCTTGGGGATGGTGCATGTGGTAAAACTTCCCTTTTAAATGTGTTTACAAGAGGTTATTTCCCACAAGTTTATGAACCAACAGTATTTGAAAATTACGTGCATGATATATTTATTGATGGTCAATCCGTTCAATTATCCTTATGGGATACTGCAGGTCAAGAAGAATTTGATAGATTACGATCTTTGTCTTACTCGGATACACATTGTATTATGTTGTGTTTTTCAGTAGATTCTCCAGATTCCCTCGAAAACGTCCAAAGTAAATGGGTAGGCGAAATTGCTGATCATTGTGAAGGTGTCAAATTAGTTTTGGTAGCCTTAAAATGTGATTTGAGAAGTAATGAAGATGCAGAAGAACAACAACAATCCAATCCTTATTCCTCCCAAAAGAGATTAATTACATACGACGAAGGTTTAGCCGTGGCAAAGAAAGTTGGAGCATTGAGATATTTGGAGTGTTCTGCAAAGAAAAACAAAGGTGTTAACGAAGCATTCTCGGAAGCTGCCAGATGTGCGCTTAATGCCAAACCTAAGGGAGCCAACGACAACGAGCCTGAGAAGAAAGGTTGTGTGATAATGTAATATACAATAAAAGAAAATTAGTTCCATTCATTCATTCATTATTCTTTTTTTTTTTTTCATTTTCTTCTTTTCATTTAAAATAAATATGTGTATAATCAAACATAAATTTAATGATATTTAATAGCAACCCATTTATACTTTTTTGAAAGGGTTTTCTAATAATTCCGTACGTTTATTCCATATGTCTTCGGAACTTCCTTGAGCTTTATCTTCAAGAAATCTTTTCTTGTAAAATTCTTGTACTTTAATACGAGCTTTTAACTCACTTTCATCCAATTCCTCAAGTGGTTTTTCTTTTTGATTCATAAATGTTCCATTCTTTAAAGCAAACCAGAACTTTTCTCTTTGTCTAGTACATGAATCATAAGTACCATATCTATAATAATTCTTGACTTGTCCTCCTAAGGCAAAACAAGCAAATAATTCATCCATAGCTGTAGTTAAAGAAACTTGACTGGGGTAATCATTCAAAGTTGTATCATTTTGAATAGCTTTTGTTATTGCTTTTCTTCTTTCTTGAATATCTTCAGTGGTGGAATCTTGAAAAAGTTTCCAAATTTCATTAAGCTCCTTATCTTCTTTTGACATAATGAGTTGTAGATGCAAGGGAAATGGAATTGACAAACTTGGTTCAGAATCTTTTTTTTTTTTTCATTTAGATTTTTTTTCTCTTTCTTTGTCTTACCTCAAACTGATCCAAGTTTGACATAGCAAATCAAATTCAAGTCATGTGAAATCCCCAATAATATGCATTGGTGGAAGTAAACAAATAAATTTATATGTAATTGTAGTATTAATGATGATCTGAAGATTGATGTGTACACTTCTTAGATCTAATTGGATTTGACTCTGTATTCATAAAAAAACAGGTCGATTTGATGATTCGGAAGTAAGAGTTACTCTGTTGAACTGTGTTATGGATTCAGTTATTAGCTTGGTGAATATGAACTGGCTTAAATATGACTAGAAATTCATATTAATTTGGATAGTTCATTTTATTCAATATTCCTGTCATTTTTAAAAAAATTTGTAAGGAATCACAAGTAAAATATTCTGCAATAATCAATTCTACACCATACAGCAATAATTCACTTTAGACCTATGAATGAAATAGTGATAACATCCTACATGATAATAGTGCAAAATAGGCTAATAACCAAGTGTCAATGCTCTTTACAAATTGGATTAAACAAACATTACCTAACAATTTGTAGTGTTGTCTTCAACACGGACGTTTCCGCTTCCAACAAGTTCAACTGTTTAGCACAGTTGGATAACAACCACATGAGTTGGTTTAAGTTCCGGCTCGAATCAGCTCTTGGGAGGACAGAAATCAAAGCTTCTATGGCCAAGTTGGTAAGGCACCTCACTAGTAATGAGGAGATCATAGGTTCGAATCCTGTTGGAAGCATTTCTTTTTTGCTTATTTTTTTACAACATGCAATTTATGCGAGTAATTATACTCGTTTTATAGTCGTATTTTTTTTTTTGTTTAAAGTTCACACAACAAGAAAATCTGAATAATCTATTTAGTTTAAATTACGTGTGTCTACTATCTTCGGTTTTTAAGTATGGGTTTTCCCTTAGAATTTGAGCTATTCTACTATTAACTATCTCCATTCTTTGGATAGACTCCTGTTGAGCATCCAAAACACTTCTGACGTCCTTCTGGAAGCTTGAACCACTTGACGAAGAGGTAATGTCGGCTCCTCTCCTTCTTTTGAGTGCAGGTCGTCTTAATATTACTAATTGCACATCTAATTTAACATTCTTTGCTAGCAAAAGTTGAATAAATCCGACATTCGATTGGTAGGATTTTATTAATTCATCAAACGCTGCATTACGTCTTTCTGGTGACCCCAATATCTCTTGTTTTATTTGTTCAATTGAATCAAGCTCGACTTGTGGGAATACCTCACATGTATCGTCATCATTTGATGCTTTCTCTCTAGGGAGGACAACCTCTTTTGGTTCTTTCTTATCGTGATGTCCATTCAACACACGAATGTAGCTTCGATTTGCTAAATCAACCTGTTATCAACCACCAATGATAACACGGCTAGTAAGCTGTCTATTTCTTGCCAGCTTGTACTTTTTCAAGAAATTTGCTTTGTTCATGGAACTTCTTTTACCTGCATTCATGATTTTGTTATTCTGCTTGGAATAGTCTGTTAGAACATTTACAAAACAAAAGGTGTCAATTGGCTGGAGGATATGCAGAGTAGCTGGAGGTAGGAGCAATGTTGTTACATTGATTTCACTATATGTGCCCAAGAATGCAGTCGAAGTATGTGAATTATGGTTGTCCATAATCAAAAACACTTCATCATTACTGATACCAGCATTTGTATGGGGATAAACCACTCCCGAAACCATTGAAGGGCTCTTTCATCATTTGACCAACCTGTATTAGATGCTTTATAACACCAGTATTTGCTCTTAACCTTGCTGATCCAAGCTTTATGAAGCTTCCTTCCTTTAAAAATCACGAAAGGGGGTAATGATTTACCATCCTTGCTAATAGTCACCAAAATAGTCACATATTCTAAATCATTGGCATCTGGAGGACACAAATCATTTTCTCCAACTCTCTGGAAAGTATATTTATTAGATTATTCCTTCAATTTTATGATTGTTCCATCCATATTGTACACGTTTTTGGGATCCACACCCTGTAGCATCAACTTTCTCTTTAAAAGACTCAAACCAAGTCTCAACCTTGTCATACTCACATCCCTTGAGACGTTCAGATGACACTCTTCTTGTCAAGCGACATTCAATGATGGGATTTCTAGCTTTGAATAACTGATATCAACCATCTACAAGCTTTGTATTGGATCCCCTAGCACACAAAATTTCATACCCGAGCTCTATCATTCCAGTTTTTGTTATCGTCTTTCCAGCATAAAGAGAACATATATCCAGCCCACTAATGTCTGTTCTTCAATTTTTGACAATATCTGCTGTCTTTGGTGCCAATTGTCAACAGAACCATCAGGGATTGCCCTTTACAAACGTGATTCCACAGTCTTGTAGTTCAATTTAGTGCCGCGTAAGTATTGCAGTAAATTAACCACTTTCCCTGCAACCTGATTTCTCTTTATGTCTCTAACAACTGTATTGATGTCAATTGGGTTATCAGAATTATTGATAACTATAGTAGCCATGTTTCTGCAATTTACTGGTGCAACTTTAGCCTTCATATATATTCATATCTGAGTACTACATTCTAGGAACATTTTTTTAAAAAATAAACCAAGTCACATCATGTGCAAAAAAAGAAATGCTTCCAACAGGATTCGAACCTATGATCTCCTCATTACTAGTGAGGTGCCTTACCAACTTGGCCATAGAAGCTTTGATTTCTGTCCTCCCAAGGGCTGATTCGAGCCGGAACTCAAACCAACTCATGTGGTTGTTATCCAACTGTGCTAAACAGTTGAACTTGTTGGAAGCGGAAACGTCCGTGTCTATGATAAGACCTCAGAATCTTGTAGAAAATTTGAAATGGATATAGATTTGTTATTCCTTAAATATTCTACAATTATTAAGTTGGTTTTAAAATACTATTGGTAATATAATTGTTAGTTTTGAGCTGTAGATTAGCGATGATCTATTTAATATGGTTCTGACTCTATTTTGTTAAGATTCTCTGTTAAGTATTGTTCAATTCGTAATTAATCACCAAATATGCAAAAAAGAAATAATTCTATCACAAAATAATACATTGAAATACCAATATACTAACCATCTCTTTTAATAAGTTGCCAGTCTAATACTATATTTCTCTTTATCTTAATAAATCCTATCAACTTTACAAAAATCGACCATACTGCACGACCAAACACACTGTACACTTTTTTTTTTTTCAGTCAATCAAATTTTCATCAAATTTTTCTCAGTGAGATTTTTTTTTCTTTCATCCAAAGACCAACAATACTACTTGACCTAAGAAGCCATTGATTTATTTAATACAATGTTCAGTCTACCTTCATTCACACAGAAATTCACTTTCAAGAATGTGAATTTCTTGACATCATTCCGTCAACTTGGTAAAATGGGTTATTTACAACCAAATGAAGGATCCACTCAAAGTTATAAAAGATTGGGTCGTGGTGCTTCATCAGGTAAAGGTAAAACTTCTGGACGTGGTCAAAAGGGTCAAAAAGCTAGAGGTAAAGTTCCTTGGTGGCTTGAAGGTGGTCAAACTCCATATTATAAACGTTTCCCAATGACTGGTTTTAGAAATCCAAACAAGAGAGAATTACAAGAACTTAATTTATTCAGAATTCAAGATTTTTGGAATAATGGAAGAATTCCTTTGAAAGAAGGTGAAACTTTAACTATGGATGTTATGGTTAAATGTGGTCTTATTACTAGAACTTTGAAAGATGGTGTTAAGATTTTATCCAATGGTTGTCATTCATATAATGTTCCTTTAAATATCGAAGCATCAAAAGCTAGTGAAAAAGCAATTGAAGCTATTGAACAACTTGGTAACTCTTTTACTGCTAAACATTTTAACAAATTAGGTTTAAGAGTTCATTTGAATCCGGAAAAATTTCTTTTGAAATATGGTTACGTTCCATTAGAAGCCAGACCATCTCAAAGAAAAGATATCGAATACTATTCTAACCCTGAAAAGAGAGGTTACTTGGATAAAGATAGATCTATTTTATTTGAACCTTTGGAAAAAGCCCGTGCTCAAGGTGTTCAAAAGAAGCAAACCAAGGTCTTGTCTAAATTTAAATCTTTGGAAGAACAATTGGAAGAAGCAAAGCTCCAAGAAAGTTCAGCATAAATTAAAGTATTTATATGAGTTTTTTTTTCATTCTACATGTATATAGAACAAACGACATCAATAAAATAAAATAAATAAATATACTAATATAAACCTATTCAACATCTACGAATAATTGTAAAAGACTTTCAACTATATCCTGTAAATCATTCAACCGAAGCGGTTTCTTAACCTCTGATTTCTTATTAAAACTATAATTTTGTTTTCTCAATGCAAACTGAGTAGCTTTAAATGTCATTTGGTGGATTTCTTTAACTGCAATTTTATCATTATGGGTTGTTACAAGATTCTGTGATAACCCACGCATTCTTAAACCGGATAGTATGATCCTGTTGATTGCATTATTAATTTGTTCTTGACTTGTAAGTATCAGTGAATTGTCAACTTTTGGAGGATTGTTTGCTAGTATCAGCGGGTTCGCTATGAATGGGTTCAGTCGTTGCTTCTTCTTTTCAATAATCTTATCAATTAGAACCGTGCTTGTACGTGCTCGTATTGGCTTGGAAAGATCCACTAGTGTATTAATAGCAGACTGTGATCTAGTGTTGAAATACGGTAGTAGTTTATTGAAATCGGAAAATGAGATTGTAATCATTTTTACTGCATCCTTGTCATAGTAAAACACGAAATATGTGTCCGTATCAGCCTTACATAATATGCCAAATTCGTTTTTGTTATTTGATAAGGGAACTTCAAGCAAATTCTTTTTGAAATAATCCGAAGTTGCCGAATCATTTGAATATATAGTAATTGGAAGTGAAGTTATTACATGTAATGGAAGTGCTGTATATCTTATCCATGATAAAGAAAAACACGATGTGACATTCGGCAACTTTAATGTTTCCTCATCTGACCAGAGCTGCACATCATTTAGAACGTTTTTAGAAGTTTCATGTATCTTTATTGTAGTTATATGATTCATTGAAATAAGGATTAGAACAAATATTGAATCTACAATCCTTTAGTGAAAATAATAATAATCAAAATTAATCGTTGTAGTCAACTTGTTGTAAATCGAGAGACAGATTTAAAACAGTGAGAATCTATCAATTCCAGTGTACAATCCCAAAACTGTGAGCAGGAGAAACAGAGAGGAAAAAAAAAAAAAAGAAAAGAAAAGTTCATGCATCACAGTAAGTTGAGTTCAACTTTTTTTTTTTCTACTTTTTTTTTGTCTGTTTGGGAAAGTTTCTCATTATTCAATTTAACAACACTTTGTTTGATTTCCGTCATCTTCATCGCAAGTTTAATTTGTATCAATACTTTCGATTCAGTGTATTCTTAGATTGGTAGATATATTTTTACATCTATTAAAAAGTGATTATACAAGAGTGTGTTAGATATCCACATCAGCCGTGACTTAGTAGTATTAATTTTCGAAAGAAGATAGATTCCACAAAGAGTTGTACAGAATGATAAGCTCCAAATCAAAGCCATACTCCTTAGCTAGAGTTTATGCTGATGCCAATGAAAACAAACCAACAGAATATTGGGATTACGAAAACCACAAGATATCGTGGGGAGATATTAAGAACTATGAAATAGTAAGCAAGATCGGTAGAGGTAAATATTCGGAGGTTTTTCAAGGAGTAAATGTATTGAACGATGAGCCATGTGTGATCAAAGTTTTGAAACCTGTTAAATTAAAGAAAATCTATCGTGAGGTTAAAATATTACAAAATTTAACCGGTGGACCAAACATTATAGGATTATTGGATGTAGTCAGAGATGATCAATCTAAAATCCCGGCATTTATATTTGAAAGGGTTAACAATGTTGATTTTAGAGTTTTATACCCAAAATTTACCATCAAAGATATTCAATATTACTTTACCCAACTTTTAATTGCATTGGACTATTCACATTCTATGGGTATCATTCATAGAGATGTGAAACCACAAAATATCATGATTGATCCCATGAACAAGAAATTACGATTGATTGATTGGGGGTTAGCTGAGTTTTACCATGCTGGTATGGATTATAATGTGAGGGTTGCTTCAAGATATCACAAGGGTCCTGAGTTGTTGATCAACTTGCAGCAATATGATTATTCACTTGATTTATGGTCTGTGGGATGTATGTTGGGTGCAATAATATTCAAGAAAGAACCGTTATTTAGAGGTGATTCAAACAATGATCAATTAGTACAAATAGCTAAAGTTTTGGGAACAGAAGATTTGATGGCTTATGTCAATAAATATGGTATAAAGTTGAGTTCTGATTATGATGATATTTTGGGAAATTATCCAAGAAAACCATGGAAAGCTTTTATCAATAATGATAATAGACACTTAATCAGTGAAGAAGTACTTGACTTAATAGATAGATTATTAACCTACGACCATCAATTAAGACCTACCGCTAAAGAGGCAATGGCTCATCCATTTTTCAAAATATAGAGAGAGATCATTTGATAAGTGTTACAAATAAGAGTGTCAGTACTAATTTTCACAAGAAATATATATGTATGTGTGTAGTAGTATCTAAACTACATATAGAAGGTTGTTGAGGAGCTGCAACAAAACAACAACAATAATAACAACAACAGAAGTGATAGCAATTAAAATTGCCACCTCTTTTAATTTTAATATTCCTTTTTTATTCTATTACAATTTAAAACCGTTTTCAAATCTTCGTATGAATTCCTTGATGTCATAAATTTTATCATTAGTCAACAGCAAATGGGAGTCCAATTTTTGTTGTAGCTCATCAAATACATCATCATCATCATCAAATGAATTGGAGGAGTTCAAATCAAAACTTGAATCATTTGGTGAAATAGGTGACGATTTAATAGGAATCAACCTTGTGAATAATTCCAATTTAGTATTTGAAAACTCAGGAGTAACTACTTCATCTTTTAAGATTCTGAATAATTCATCATGACGACAATTATTATGTTTGGTTATAACAGCTTTGAATTGGCTAAAAAGTTCCGGGGTCACTTGAACTTCAAGTACTTCTGGTGGTTCCATATATTTTGAAGTGACTCTTGCTTTTAATGAAGCTTCAAATAAATCAAGTTTATGTGAGAACCCCAAGAAATATTCCACCGTGATTTGACATTCCAGTCGTACATACTCATTTTTGGTTCTTGCTGATTTAAGAATATTCAATTTGGTGAATAATTCATCACTATTCACTGTGGAAATGACCTTTTTGGCTTGTTCTAGAAATTTTGAATCTAAAGAGATCAATTGATCTAGTTTTGTGGATAACGGATCTATGTTTAATGTTTTACTAGCTGGAACATAATCAATATCTGAACCAAATGATTGTAAAGCAATTTTGATATTTCCAAGTATTTGAATTATTTCAGGGTAGCTGAGATACATTAATTCAGGTTTAATGTCACATCTAAAATTTTGAAATCTTTGTAATATATTAACCAACGACGTGAGTTTTATGTTTAGAATATCAAAATTTTTCTGGAAGACACTTAATTTCTTAGGATCTATAATAGAATTCTCCAATAATTTCAAACAGTTTTGTAAGTCACTAGTGAAATCAACTTGCAAATTTTCGTAATCCAAAGTCAACTGATTGATTAACGTATTTAATTGTTTAGAAAATTTTAACGCTTTGTTTTCATATTTGCTTTTCAATTTAAAAATATCCAAGGTTGATCTTATAACTTGATCATATCTAATCAGGTGATCAATTGTAACTTCATTGTAACTCTTTTCGATTTCAAATATTTTGTATAATTCAACCAAGTAAACTATTATGCACTTCTCGTCCATATATTGGAAATCTTCAGGATCAATATATTTTGGTAAGGCAATAGTGTCTTCAAGATAATCCATCAATGTTTTTAAATCCATCCCCAGAGGTGCCAATGAATCGTAATGTGAAACAATCTCGTATATAATCACTTCTGGATCCATACCCCAATCCTTACTAAAATTTTTAATTGTCCTACTCGTGACACAACCATTTAACCATCTCAATAAAATAGTTTTCATAGTCAAGTAGGAAGGATTACCAGGGAATGTACTTGAAGTATTAAAAATGAATAGTGACCAGACCAAACCCAAGTTCAATTTAAGATCACCATCGAATATATTTTCAGGACTAATGGAAACAACATTGATTCCCAAGATCAAGTTTAAAAATTTTAGTAAATCCAGCAAATTCTCCAATTTCTGTAGTTTAAAAGTTGGTTTGCGGTAGATCGGTGTCAAGTAGTAAAGTTTGGATTTCTTTGAATTCATAGGATGATCCGGATTTAATGTGATTTCATAGATGATTCTATTGACAAGTTTTGTTAACACTAGACTATCTTGTAAATCACCAGTCAAATTGGTTATTGTTTCAGGAATGTTTGTGAAGGAAGAAGTCGGAGTTTGTGGACTTATGGTATCTTCAATTAGCTTGGTATTGACCCATTTGACCATAGTACTTTCTTGTAGAATTTCCCATGGAGATACTTGTTGATGATACATGTTTAGAATCTTAGGTAATGATAATTGAATAAAGTACGTTGTTTTTTTTAAAAAAAGAATGAATTACAAAACAAAATAAAAGGAAGATAAAGCGATTTGAACTTTGAATACTTGATTTGTTTTGGTTTTTTTTTTAGGAGGGTAGAATGATACGTGGGTATGATAAACTAACCAGAAACAATCTCGAAACTTTTTGACTAATTAAGGAATAAAGAAAAATAAACAAGAAACAAAAACGAAAATGGAAATTGAAAGACTGGTGGTTGCGAAATAATAAGGGTATATAATATAGAAAAAGTTAAAGTAGTAAAAATACAGAACTAGAAATACAAAAAAAGAAAAATAAAAAAAAGCACCAAAAAGTTTATCAAATGAAACCTGAAAGTATTTATATGGGAGTGGGATAGAGATATAGGTGAATTTCATTTAGAATGTAATAAACGCAAATGTGAATGTAGTATTAACCGGTTGCATAAATAATACAATATAATGCCGATCGTTTTTTGAAGAAATGAACAAAGAGCTAGACTTCATTGATGGGGGGGAGGAGCATGATAGAACGGACAAGGGTTCGCAATTAATTTTCGATGTCACAAAAGAAAATAAAATAAAAGACGAAGAGAACATTATGCACCGGCGCGAAGAAGCAACAAGGACTAATTTGTCGCGACGCAGTAGCAAAACAATACTGAGAAACGTGATTTTCACATTTAGAAACTCTGTTTCATCCATTACTTAATTTGAAACTAACATGATTAAACCAGTAAAATTCTCTTTGGTCTTCTTGAAAGTTTAATTACAAAGGATTTACAAGTAGAAAGAAAATTTTCAAAAGGCTGTGCTGTCTTTTCTCCTATTCTTGTGATAATATTGACAGTGAACAGGGTTGTAATACTACATCCATATTAAAAAAAATAATAATAGCAAAATATATGAATATATAAAACAGACACGTTGGTTTGAGAAACGAGGCAATGAGTAAAACAGTGCACAAGACCTGGAACAGACGCGAGTTATTAGAAGAACAGACGATGCTCAAACAAATTGTTAGTTTTGTCTTATTTTATTTGTTCATAAGCACAGAATATTTTTTAATTTTAGACATTAGTAAACAAATAGGCTAAATTGAGTTTGAGATTGGAATGTAAGTCGAAGACGTTGATCATTTTAGCTCAATTTGGTAAAACTTAATACATCTTAAATTAAATTCTGGATCCCTTTAACAAATACACACGACTTTTATTCCGTAAAGGTAGTGTACTTGGCTACAACAATCAGCAGATTTTCAATTCCGAAATCTCATTGCAAACAAAATAATATTGAGTTCTAACCGAAACAAAAAGCGAGAGAGAGAGAGAGATGAAATAAAAATAGGAAGGTTTATAAATACGAGGTCCAGAGACGGTAAATTAATTATTATAAATTACAAAGCGTTATTATAATGTCAAGTGATCCTTTAACTTCAAACGCACGCCCAGCTACTGATTCATTAATCACTGTCCGTATTATAAAATCATTCCCTTATAGAAATGTCAAAAATCATATAATCAAGGACATCGATTTGAAATCAACCACGCCAAAGGAGTTATTGGCAAAGTTAATTGATATCATCAACACCACAGGTGGATTAAGACCATATAGAAACATTGAATACAACACTGTCAAGATATATACCAAAGCCCATGGATCCAAATCTATGAATCTTGTGATCAATTTCGAAAACGATGATGATTGGGTACTTGTCAGCCCAAGTGTCGAAGGATCTGATAAAAGTTTATGGGACTTGGGTATTCAGAATGAAACTGAATTGAGTTTATTCAATTGGAATGATTATGTTGAGTATAAAGGTAATCCAGTTGAAAAATGGTAGCTCTAGTTGAGTTTATTTTTTTTTATACACGATTTGGCAGTACTGTTTGTATTATTAACTGTCAATAAGAATTTGAAATGATAACGACTTTTCTTTTTTTATATATATATATATACATTTAGCATTCTAAGATGAATTAAATGTAGTTGGGCCGTCTAACTATCATGAATTATCATAGGGAATCTCGGATATGATAGATCTTATTTTCTTTGTTCTTACTTATAGAAATCTTATCCAATAGCGTTCACTATAGATCAGTCTTCATGTCGTAAAATTATTGAGCAAAAAAAGTCGCACTTGTAGTCAAGAGAAAAAAAAAATTAGATTAGGCATGCGACATTTTCTCTCTTTTTTTTTTTGTATTTTCAACCAATAACATTAATGGTTTTACCCATTAGACTCTATGTGCAGTACCCAATAATTTCCATTGAAAAATAAAAGAAAAAGAAAGTGAAAATGAAGCAAGACTCTGGCTTGAAGAAAAAAAAAAGACCTTCAAATATCCAATTTCAACCCAGTTGTGTTAAAACTTTTCTTTTAGCAAACGAACTACGTGTGATAAACAAAGTGAAATAGGAATCATTTCCATTTATTAAATATTCCAATTAGTTTGATTTTCTTTTTGCAAATAAACCTAACCCATTTATTGTTGATTTTATTCCAGAGAGAAGAGATAAACATAAAACTCAACCTATTCCTGAAATCAAACACATTCCACCAAGAACATTTACGTTTTTTTTTTATTTGAAGAAAGAATAAGCAATTTAAATAATGTTTAGAAACGCATACAAAACATTGAACCAACCATTGGTTCAAAAATTCATTGCTGGAGGTGTTGGTGTCACTGGTTTGACTGCATCTTACATGTTGTACCAAGACTCCATGACCGCCAATGCCATGACTGCTGCAGAACACGGTTTACATCCACCAGCTTACAATTGGTCCCATAATGGTATGTTTGAAACATTTGACCATGCTTCCATCAGAAGAGGTTTCCAAGTTTACAGAGAAGTTTGTGCTGCTTGTCATTCTTTGGACAGAATTGCTTGGAGAAACTTGGTTGGTGTCTCCCACACCACCTCTGAAGCTAAAGCCATGGCTGAAGACTTGGAATATGATGATGAACCAGATGATGAAGGTAAACCAAGAAAGAGACCAGGTAAGTTGGCTGATTACATTCCAGGTCCATATGAAAACGAACAAGCTGCTAGAGCTGCTAACCAAGGTGCTTACCCACCAGATTTATCATTGATTGTCAAAGCTAGACACGGTGGTTGTGATTACATCTTCTCCTTATTGACTGGTTACCCAGAAGAACCACCAGCAGGTGTTGTCTTGCCAGCTGGTTCCAACTACAACCCTTACTTCCCAGGTGGTGCTATTGCTATGGGTAGAGTCTTGTTTGATGATTTGGTTGAATACGAAGATGGTACTCCAGCTACCACCTCACAAATGGCTAAAGATGTCACCACTTTCTTGAACTGGGCTGCTGAACCAGAACATGACGACAGAAAGAAATGGGGTTTGAAAGCCTTGATTGTCGTTTCTTCATTATACTTGTTGTCTATCTGGGTCAAGAGATTCAAATGGACTCCAATCAAGAACAGAAAATTCAGATTCGACCCACCAAAGAAATAAGTTATTAATAATAGATAAAGGAAATACATTACGTCTCCGTTATTTTTATATTTTAGTCATTTCATTGTAAAAACAAAAAACAAAAACAAAATTCAAAAACTAAAATGGTAAGGATTAATGAAAACGAAGAAGAAACTGGATATTAAATTCACACACATGTATGGAGGCTCTTTCTTTTCCTTTTTTTATAGTGTTACGCCGTGTTTTCTTCACTTTCTTTCTTGTTTTCTTTTTTAATCTTCTACTATCTTTAATCAAGTCTTTTTGTTATATATATATATGTGCAAATAAAAAGATACATTCGTGAAAAATATTTAAATTAAGAAAAAAAAAGTAAATAAAATAAATACACATGATAAACTTTTGATAAAAAGATATAATTCTGTATTGACTGCAAAAACAATAAAACACAATTTGGGGGAATGGGAAACTTGACCAATCATACGCAAAACAACACGTGACTCTTCGTTTATTTTTCCGTTATTTTTTTTTCTTCTTCTTTTTATTTTTGCCTTTTACTTGTTTTTTTTATTTTTCGGCGAGATCATTAGAACAATTTGAGGCAAAGAGATTTCGCCGAATGGTTTGAAACTATACACGACCACTTAAACCGTTAAATAATTAATGAAAAAGACTTTTAAGTGATAGTAATATGGGTCTTTAATGGAAGCTGAAGTTCCCAAGAATCATTTGATATGGTTATTTAATAAATAAATTATAAATTGGTGAATCCATATTTATCCGAAAGGTACGCGTACAATGACCCCCGCTCGGCGTAACCAATCAATTAGAAAGCAAAGTAGTAAAATAGAACAATGAGAAGAAAAAAAAAAAAATAAAGTGAAATCGAATGAAACCTCAACACAACATCCTAAAAAAAAATAACAATCGACAAAAAATTTTTCCTTTTTATTTTATTTTATTTTCCTTTCTTCTTCACTTGACGTTTATTTAAGAAGTTGAAAATCCTTTTATTTTTGACTTTATCCTTCAACTGCTTGATTTCTTTTTTTTTTCAGTTCTTTTACATATTCACAAGTTACCCTTGATTTATAGTTTTCCACACTTTCATCGATTGCGGTATTTAATTCTAACTACACCATGGGATCAACCACCAAAACACAAGCTGGTACAACAGCCAGTATAGTTGAGAATGAAATAAATTCAAGTTCAAGATCCTCGATTAACTCAGCAAGCTCATCGTCGAAGGGATTACTACAAGAAACTGTTAGCACTCAACATGGTACATTTGAAGCAACATCAGTGCAAATATCAGAATCTGAAGTCCGACCTTCTAAAATGGTCATTACTTTGACTTTGGCATCATCTATATCTGGTTTCATGTTTGGTTATGACACCGGTTATATATCTTCAGCTTTAGTTCAAATAGGTACTGATTTATCCAACAAAATTTTAACTTCCGGTGAAAAGGAATTAATCACCTCAGCCACTTCCTTGGGTGCTCTTATAGGGGCTATAATTGGTGGTATATTAGCCAATATTCTTGGTAGAAGAATTGTTCTATTAGGGTCCAACGTCATTTTTGTTGTTGGTACAATCATCCAATTGGCTTCTAAAACTGTATGGACTATGATTGTTGGAAGATTTGTTTTGGGTTGGGGTGTCGGTATTGCTTCGTTAATTGCACCATTGATGATCTCTGAATTAGCACCAGCAAAGTATCGTGGTAGATTGATTGTTACCAATGTTATGTTTATTACTGGTGGTCAATTGATTGCTTATTTTATTAATTGGGGTCTTACTAGAGTAGACCATGGTTGGAGGGTTTCTGTTGGCTTATGTATGGTTCCTCCTGTGTTGCAATTTGTTTTATTTTGGTTCTTACCGGATACTCCAAGATTCTATGTTATGAATGGCGAAATAGAAAGAGCCAAACAAGTACTTAGGCAAGTTCACATTGAACCTTCAGAAGCATTTGTCGATGCTACAGTTGATGAAATGGTTGCTTCAAATTCAAATGTTCCTGGTAAAAATCCACTTCAAAAGGCTTGGGAATCTATTAAAATCATCCACACCACCCCAGGTAATTTCAGAGCATTGATTCTTGCTTGTGGTTTACAAGGTATCCAACAATTTACTGGGTTTAACTCTTTGATGTATTTCAGTGCCACAATTTTCGAAACAATTGGGTTCCATAATGCTACAGCTGTTTCCATCATTATTGCTGCCACTAATTTTGTATTCACTGGTGTTGCTATATGTATTATTGATAAGGTTGGTAGAAGAAGAATCTTGTTAGTTGGTATGCCATGTATGTGTGCTTCTTTAGTTGTCTGTGCCATTGCATTCCACTTCTTGGACATTGATTTTGGCTCAGGTGAAATTATTTCCAGAGGAATTAATGGTTGGGGTATCGTTGTCATTGTTGGTATGATCTTGTACGTTGCATCTTATGCGATTGGTATTGGTAACGCTGCCTGGGTTGGTGTTGAATTGTTTTCAGATGTAAATGTTCGTTCTATCGGTGCAATGTATGCAGCAGGTACTAATTGGGCAGGTTCTATGGTTATTGCTGCTACTTTCTTGACAATGTTGGAAAACATTACCCCAACTGGTACATTTTCTTTTTTTGCTGGTTTGTGTTGTGTTGCATTTTTCTTTGTCTACTTTTTATTGCCAGATACTGCTGGTCTTGAATTGGAAGAAACTACTGACTTCTTAGCTAATGGATTCAATGTCAAACAAGCTTCCCAATTATCAAAAGAGAGAAAGAAACATTCAAAGTTTGCCAAGTCCAAACCCAACTGTATAGGTCTAGATGCTTGAATTTATATTTCATCTTATTCTAAAATAATTAATTTAATATATTTGTATTTATCGAGTAATAGTATGCCAGTAGAAATCCTCTGTTTTCATTTAGCAGCAAACCACAGATATCGCGGTCGTGTACGTTGGGATAAGAACAAGTTTGTTTTTTTTTTTTTTTTTCTGTTCTTGTTGTCGCACTCAGAATTGAACTTTTTTTTTTTCTTCTCTCATTCTGATTCCGGTGATTAAAGTGAATTTTCGACTTAATTAAACTATATTTGGTATTTCATTTTATTTTACTTATTGTTTATACCTAACTACATTTAAGATTCGGTGAATAACTATAGAGAGGTTTAATAATCTACCATTTAATTTGTATATTTTGAGACTGATAGCTTTTTTTTCCAGATAGACAATGTCAGTTGCAACAAGTCACAATGGCTCAAGACTAGATGATAAAGCATCTAAAGAAAATAATATAGTCATGCCACGAATTCCAGACACTCCACCTGATTCAATAGGTCATATTCGAGAGATGTCTCAGTTAAAGAACTATGATATAATTGAAAAATTGGGTCAAGGTACTTTTGGGGTAGTTCAAAAAGCCAAACGAAAAAGCGATGGTTCCATCGTGGCAATTAAACAATTACTAAATCATTCTGCAAAAGAAGGTTTTCCTATAACAGCTATGAGAGAAATCACTATTTTAAAACGATTAAGTCACGACAATATACTTAGCATACTGGATATGATTTTTGAAGAAGCAAAAGTAAATAACAATGCAGAAATAATTCAAAACAGAGGTTCATTTTATACTGTCTCTCCATATATGTCAAGTGATTTGGTTGGTTTACTTGAAAATCCTAATATCAAACTAGAGTTGAATCAGATAAAATGTATTATGCAACAACTATTTACTGGTATACAATATATTCATGATAATAACTATCTACATCGAGACATTAAAGCAGCAAACATTTTGATTGATCAATATGGGATTTTAAAAATAGCTGACTTTGGATTAGCAAGGGTATATCATGGATCAGCTCCTCGATTAGGAATGGGTCCTGGCGGAGGTGAAAAATCCTATACTGGTTTAGTTGTTACTCGATGGTATCGTCCACCAGAAATCTTATTGGGAGAACGAAAATATACTACTGCAGTAGATATTTGGGGGGTAGGATGTGTATTTGCTGAATTATTTACAGGGAAACCAATTTTAGTTGGTAAGACTGATGCAGACCAAGCCAAAATTGTTTTTGAGTTAATGGGTTCCCCATTAACCTGGCCCGATGCGGCTAAATTGCCACACAAATCAGAATACAACAGTGGTTTGGCTTGCACAAGAACTTTGGAATCGAGGTTCGAGAAAATTATACCTGCAGATGGTATCAAGTTATTGGCTGGATTGTTAACTTTAGATCCTTATAAGAGATTTAATGCGTTAGATGCCTTGAACCACGAGTTTTTCAAGAATGATCCTGTTCCATTGTTGCCTAAGGAAATGCCCAAATTTGAAGAAAGTCATGAAATCGATAAAGAAAGGTTTAAAAAGATGAAGGACCGTACTTGTCCAGTTAGTGAGTTGAAACCTCCAACTGAAATTCAGTATGATAATCGCACAGAATCCCAGCACAACACTGTGTACTCCAGTTTTGGCGGCGATAGAGATACTCGTTACACATCAGGTAAGAGTGAATACAATTATGCAGGTAGACTGCGTTATGAACAATATGAATCCGGAAGGCTGCGCCACGAACAATTTGATACTTATATCCCAAAGGGACCAGGTGATCACAGACATCATCAAGATAACCAAGATTTTAGAGGTCGTAATGACTACTATGACAGGAATGACAATATTCGAACGGACCGCGATCGTGACTTTGATCGTGACTTTGACCGTGATTATGGTCGCCATGATAGATGGGAATCTCGAGATAATTGGTCAAGACAGTATCGCGATAGCAGCTATAAAGATCATCATGCGTCAGCATCAAGTGTTAATAAAATTAGAGAATCAGGTGATCACTTCTATGGAAAATATGAAAACTACAGTAAATATAATGACAGGTCTAAACCAGAGTCACTGCAATTGCCGTTGTCAAAGAGTGTTCCTAGTTTACCGTCCAAGCCAGACATCCCTTCCAGTTTTGGAGCACGTTCATCATTTAATTCAAAATTATCGTCGGCTAATGCCATTAAGATTGTTCCAAGAGATGATAGACGAGTGAAATTGGGCGGTGTCACAATCCGAGAACCAGCCCGTGACCCGATGGATAATCAAAAGGAGAATGTTGAAACCAAGGAAGATGGAAAGAAAATGGACAAATCATCTGAATCAGTTAATGGTAAACAATTTCCAACGGGACCTTCGGGTCATAAGACACCTATGGAAAAAGTAGACCCTCCTAAAGAAACTGCTCAAGAAGAAATTATCAAAGCGGAAAAGACTATCACCAAGGAAGAATCCAATAAGAAAGAAGAGCTTGTGAAAAAGGATGAGACAACAAATAAAGAAGAACTTTTAAAAAAGGATGATGTCAAAGAGAAAGTGGAACCTGTTAAAGTATCTGAACCTACGCCAGTAAAGTCCGGTGAACCTGCTAAAATTCCTTCAAAACTTGATACTTTAAGAAGCACCAAAGTGGGTCTGATAAACTTAGCTATGCCTAAAACCAAAAGAGCAACAGCAATTGTAGCTTCCAAACGAACAAAGACAATATCGCCATCTCCGTCGAGAGTTGTTAAGAGAGGTGCTGAAGCTTTAGCGTCATCGAGACCCGTCAAGAAAGCCAAGGAACTGAAAAGAAATTCTATTCTCAATATAATTTCCGATTCTGATATCAGTGATGTTGAAGAAAGTGCTGATTTTCAAGGAGATAATGAAAGAGTCTTTAATGATTTTGTCAATCCTGGAAGTATGATGACAGACCCTCAATTGAAACCAATTCTCCGAGAAAAGTTTCTCTTCAATAAAAGTAATAAAAGTACGTAGTGAATTTAAATCAGTATATAATATGTAATAATTAGGGCGTTTAATAGAACTTTTTTTATTTTCAGTAAGTTAACACAAATGATGGATTATTGACTTCCTAGTAAAAATAAATTAAAAAATAAAAAAGAATGCAAGAACCGGGAATCGAACCCGGGGCCCAACGATGGCAACGTTGGATTTTACCACTAAACCATTCTTGCAACTGAGCTATAAGCTCTTTCTGTTGAAGGTCTCATGGGTATGGTATATTAATATAATTAAATATACTGTACAATGATAGGGCCCTAGAATGAGAAAAGGCCAATAAATTAGAATCAATACTTAGTGATACACATTATTTGTGTGATCGAATGCAAACTAAAGCAAGTAAGAATATTATATTTGTGTAGTTATTCTTGCTTTTTGGTTTCGCATGGTTTTAATTTAAGATGACGTTTGTGACATCTGTCCTTTTGCAGCAATTTCTGGTTGTCAGAAAACTTTGGAAATAATTCGATTTCATCAGGAATAAACTAATATGCTTTATAGGCCACGACTTTAAATACAAGTACCACCTATTGTCATGATATTAGTTTTATCTAAAGAACAAGAATAAGTGTTGAATAAATTTGTGTTCTCATAAAATTTCATATCAATTTTCACCCAAATTAATTCAAAATGTATCCCATCGTATAAACAAGTACCACATAACAAATGCCCATTGGTTTCATTTTTCATCCCATTGTTGTTTCGCATATAAGGCACATAATGACATATAGGGCTTAAAGTAAGCAAGTATTGGCGATAACTAAAACCAACAACCAACAAAAAAAAAAAAAGAAAAAAAAGAGTAAAATGTCTATAAAACTAACAGACAATCAGCAAACTCAAGAAATTCAAATCAATATTTCGTTCTTGAAAAACACGCCTTTTTTTTTTATTCAAATGCAAATTGCCAAACTCTTAAGATGTTTATATTTATCTTGTTGATATCATTTGCTCTAGCTTGGTCGCCTACTAACTCGTATGCTCCTGGACGGGTGAGTTGTCCCCAAGGTTCTATGGTGCGACTGGTTGATAACAGAATTTCACAAGAGGAATATATGTGGGTTAACTTACGAAACACAATAACCAATGAAAATTTGAAAAAATTCCCTAAGACATGCTAATATAACTGGAATTGATATCAATGAGTTTATATCAAGTTCATCAATTAAGATTGGATTAGCCTTTTCTGGTGGTGGATACAGAGCTATGCTTAGTGGTGGTGGCCAAATCTCTGCGCTCGACAATAGAACAATAGGTGCATGGGATCATGGATTAGGTGGATTATTAGAGTCAACTACATATGTTAGTGGCTTATCAGGTGGGGGATGGCTAGTTGGATCGATTTCTTTGAATAATTTTAGTTCATTGGAATCAATTAGAGAATCTGGTATTTGGGATCTACGTACATCGATATTTTCATATGGTGGATTGAACTTAATTAAAACTTTTAATTTCATGAATGAAATAAGACAGGATTTACAGGCCAAACGACAAGCCGGGTTTGCTACTTCATTGGTAGATGTATGGGGCCGTGCATTATCGTATCAATTTTTCAAAGACAGTGGAGCTGCTTTGACTTTTTCCACATTACAAGATATGGACAAATTTAAGAACGCAAACATGCCATTTCCTATATTAATAGCAAATGGAAAAGTTCCAGAATCATGTGTTGCTAATGGAAATTCTACTGTATTTGAATTCAACCCATTTGAAATGGGATCATGGGATCCTTCGCTTTATCAATTTGCTAAATTAAAATACATTGGAACAAATATTACTAAAGGTGCACCTATTGATAATAAAATGTGTGTTGGTGGATATGATAATGCAGGTTTTATAATGGGTACATCATCATCGTTGTTTAATGTTGCATTGTTAAGAATTGATGATTATACAATATCATCACTCTTAACCAAAAAAGCTCCTGTAGTGTCAAATGGTCATGAATGTAGCAATAATGATACTTTTGTCATTGGGAACGTCACAAATCCCGATCAATGCGTTGGTGGATTTTACACCAATGGAACTATTAGAGGAAGTCTGGACACAATATTCAGTGTTGATAACCTGTTAATCTTCAATTCAATTAAGTCCATAATCAAGGGAATTTTGCAAGATTTATCTGATAATAATAAAGATATTGCCATTTATGAACCAAATCCTTTTCATGGAAACAAAGCAGGCCATTCACATAAACTTTCATTATACAATTCATTGTATCTATGTGATGGAGGAGAAGACGACCAAAACATCCCACTTCAACCGTTAATACAACCCGAGCGTCAAGTAGATGTTGTCTTTGCTTATGACAACTCAGCAGATTTTCAAAGCTGGCCCAATGGAAATGCCATGATAGCTACATACCAAAGACAATTTAGTCATCAAGGCAATGGAACACATTTTCCATACGTCCCCGATGAAAATACCTTTATAAATTTGAAATTGACAGAGAAACCAACATTTTTTGGCTGTGATGCTAAAAACTTGACATCATTGACTGGACTGCTAGATGCTGCCTATGATACACCATTAATTGTATACACAGCAAATCGACCATTCTCGTACTGGTCCAATACATCAACATTCCAAATGAGATACGATCATGACCAACGAGATTCAATTATTAGGAATGGATTTGAAACAGCATCTCGGTTGAATTTGACCTGGGATTCAGAATGGAGAACATGTGTTGGCTGCGCGATTATTAGAAGAGAACAAGAAAGACGGGGAATAGAACAAAGTGACCAATGCAAGAGGTGTTTTGAAAGATATTGTTGGAATGGTAAAACTGATACCACATTTGTTTTTGCTAATTTCATTGATGCATGCGTTCAATTTTTAAAGCGTCAATTTAAAACACTTCAAAATAGTACGGTTAGATGGGTTCCATATAACCCAGTCTCCTGGTTCAAGTATTTGTACACTAGAATTAGATGGTATTTGTAACTGAGTCATATAGATGGTGAATTTAATTTGCTTATCACTATTTTTATAGATTGAGAAATTAAGAAATATCAATAAACAAAGCTTCAAATATTGATGTTGATTTGTGTTGTACATATTTTTAAAATAAACTACTCAATCAGTAAATCTAGCTGATTTTTTACTTTCAACAATTCAGCCATTTGGCTCAGTTGAAACAAACTTCTCTTGTAGTTTAACGGTCAGAATACGCGCTTGTCACGCGCGTGATCGGGGTTCGATTCCCCGCAAGAGAGCATTTTCTTTTTTTAACGTTCTAAGTTTAAGAGAGGTATTTTTTTTGCTAAATTAAACATGTAGTAATTTATGTGTAAAACAATATTACTTCCGTTCTTGGTAACCTATTTTTTTATGGTTTCCATTAACTAGTTGAAGACAATACGAGAGGTACTCCATGTCGTGAAAAATTTCTCGCCAACACCGAACAAGATTAACAATAGCAGAAAGAGAAGAAAGAAAAAAAAGAAAAATTTAAAGAAAAACAAACTGTGAGAGAAAAACAGAAACAAAAAAAAAGTGAGCTTTCAAACAACTTTCATTGAGATTAAATCACATATTTTTAGCGATTTATCGGTTCATATATTATAAATCACGATAATCATGTCATTTACATATTTTAGTGATGAAGTGATTGAAAGTTTTGGAGGGAGTGGAATAGATCCACTTTTTGAAGTTATTGAATCATATCAAGAATCAGACCCAGAGTCAGAGGAAGCTCTTGCTGTATTATTTACAGAGTTACTTCTTGTATTTGACGAGGGCCAATTAGATGTCAATGATGTAAAGAAATTTTTATCCCAAGGTATCAAGTCAGATGATCATGCTAGAATTTTCTTCCAAGTGCTCAATTCATTTGCAGTTTCGAAAAATTTACGAGACCTCATACACTTGTTATTCCGAGACAATAAGATCAAACCTGAAACTTTGGCGTTACATCTTCATTCAGATTTTATAAAAGAGGTGGAAATTGTACAAAAGGATTATTTAAATAAGCTGATATCTCATAGTGTTAGAGATCAATCTCTTACCCAAAAGAAATTCAATTTGCTCCATGAAGAAGTTGAAGGTTATTCCAAATTCGTTGCCGAGATATTTGCAATTTTTAGAGAACAGGATACTGAATTTAAAATAGATTATGCTTTACAAATTGTTGATAAATTAATTGGTCATTATGATTTGGATCCTAATAGATGTTTAGAGATTTTATTAGAGATTTTCGGGGGATCAGTTGTTTCTAGCTATCGAAGTATTTTGAAATTTCTTAAAAAAAGTAGGTGGTGGCCAAGAGAACCAAGTGATTGTTCTTCATTATTGAAATTGTCCAATGGTGGGAGTGCAACCGCCGCTAAAATTATTGGTATGAAGATAAAGGCTTCCGCTTCTCGTGAGTTAGGCGAAACAAGTAAAATGTTGTTTGCAATTTTAATCAAGGAAGGATTCGTTAGTTTTGGATCAGTGTACAAGTATTTAGCTCCTGATGACGAGAAAATGAAAAAGCTAGAGGAAGAACATAAGAAAAAGATGGATCGTGATGTTCTAATTGCAGGAGCAAACGCGCTTGCACTTGCCGCTCCACTTGCAGACGACGAGGATGAAGATTCGAATTCAAAGACTAAAAAGAAAACCACCGCGGACCAGAAAACTGAAAAGAATGAAATAAAATCTTTACTAGCAGGTAATACAAAGTATCAGTTTTTAAAGGTTTTCCTCACACTTGGACTTTATTGGCCATCAATATTCATACTCACAGAATATCCTTATTTGGCACAAATTGATGAGACCATACCGGTGTTAATCAATAGAATGTTTGCAGCAACTATTGAACCATTGTATAAAGAGGGAAGAATCTTAACCAATGAAGAGGTACACAACATGCATGAGTCAAAGGGGATTGCATTCAGTCGTTCACATAACTCCGTCAATATTGAACATTCACCTTTACAGTACCTCTTGACATTTAAGGCTCCGGTTAAAGATTTTGCTGGTAAAAGATTCAAGTTTTTCTATGAGGAGTGGACACATCAACTCCCGAAAGTCCAAGACATTGACTCTTTAATTCAAGTTTCCAAAGAGTTATTAATTTTCAATGGTCCTAATTTAGCGCAAAGTACTATTATTTTCAATAAGCTTTGTGAGGTTATTCAAACATTGATGACCAAAGAAGAAGACAAACCAAAAATTTATTCCTATTTTAGAAACTTCATTTTCCCAGCAATGCCATTGATTGAAGAAAATTCAATTGCCATTGATAAAGCATATGAAATATTAGGAAAGTATCCAATCGAAGATAGATTTAGTTTATATGGTGAACTTTACCTCGTACTCGCCAAAAATAACCCATTGATTAAAATAGCATACAGTAAAGCAGAGAAATCAACGAAAGATGTTTTAAAGAGATTGTCTAAAGAAAACGTCAGACCAATGATGAGAAGGTTGGCAAAAATCAGTGTTTCAAACCCGTTGCCTTGTTTATTGACCATCTTACAACAAATTGAAAGTTATGATAACTTGAATACTTTGGTCGTTGAAACGGCAAGATATTTTAATGCGTATGGTTGGGATAATTTGACTGCGGCCATATTGATGAGACTTGCGTCTACTAGAAGCAGTACTTATAATGGTATGTCTGAACGTCAATGGGCGCAATCATTAGCTTCATTTATTGGTAAAATATGCCAACGTTATCCACGTGCCATAGATATAAAGACAATATTGTTATACATCTTGAAATCATTCCATTCTGGTGAAACTATCGGTTTATTGGTGCTTAAAGAAATGTTTATTTCCATGGGAGGTATCCAAACTATCACCAACTTAACCTTAAACCAAATTGATTTGATCAATTGTGGCTCTTCTTTGCAAAAAATCGTTTACAATACTATTGATGATTTAAGATTTGAAAGACAATATACCGGGAAGTATCTTATAAAGTGTTTGGGTGAACTAGATGCTATCAATGAATTGCTTATTTTGCTTTGTCGAATTTCCAGTCAATTAACGTTTACTGGTGATGAAGAGTATTTAAAAGTTTTGGTGAGCAAAAGCGATGATTTAAATTCTGTTATTAGATTATTTGTCACTTTGATAAGCTTATATGGCCTGGAATTAAATTTGATGTCAGTAAAGGAATTGTATGATTTGGGAGTTCCTTTGCCATGGGCATTTGAGGTTTGGAGAGCTAAAGGAGAAATACAAATGGACCAATTACCAGAGGAGATCCAAAGCTCTTTGTTTAACAACTTTTGGAAATTATCCTTGCATGACATCAACTATTCTGATGATCTTTACGAACAAGAGACTCTGAAATTGGAATCAAATATCAAGAGTTTAACTGATTCAATTGCACTCAATATCAAAAACAAGGAAGTGTCACGTGCAACAATTGACAAACAAAGAAAGGAATTGGATTTCAGTAAAGAATACGAAAAAAGTTTACCACAAGAACGTGATTCACACAAGGAAGAAAATAAGATGGTCAGCAAACAATTGGAAGAAGTTTCTGCTGATTGGTTTGAAAACTTAAAAGTCGAAGATTTCATTCAACAATGTATTTTCCAAAGAACTGCCAGTTCATCATTTGATGCTGTTTATTCTGCTAGATTTATATTCAAATTGCATTTCTTAAAGACAAAGAATTATTCATTGGTAAATGTCTTGAATTTGTTATTTAAATCAAGAATTTTGTTTGGTACATTGTTTACTTCTACACCAACTGAAGCTGAAAACATTGGATTGTTTTTTGCCGATATTTTAAAGATTTTACAAGGTTGGACAAACGAAGATAAGTATTCTGAAGTTGAATTGAAAGACAAAGATGGCGATACAATATCATTTGACGACTTTAGACAATTGCTTTTTGAATATCATTCTGTAATTTTGGAAGAAGTAAAAATTGGGTTGCAAGTCACCGAGTATATATCCCGTAATAACACCATTACATTTTTGAAGAACTTATTGGGAGTTTATCCTGTTGTGGTCGAACATTGTGAAAAAGTGGTGAAATTGATTGAATATTTAGCTTCTACAGAAGAGAGAAACGATTTGAAATTAGCATCAAACGCATTGTTGGTCCATATCAAGTCAAGATCCAAGGAGTGGATTCCAACTTGGGATTTCATATTAATGAGTGAAGAGGATAAGCAAAAATTAATTGCTGCTAAAGAGGAAATTAAAAGACGTGCTGCTCTTAGGATAGCCAAGGAGAAACAAGCTAAATTAAAGAAATTAAAAGAAGAACGATTAGCTAAAGAAGAACAAGAAAGGTTGGCTAAAGAGGAAGAAGAAGAAGAGAGGAAACGTAAATTACTTGCTTCAACGGCCATGAACTATGATTCAGGTGCAAGTGGTACAAGAGTTGCTAGTCGAGGTTCAACTATTGAAAGATCATCTTATGAGAAATATGCACAAGCCAATGATAATAAACAGGAAACTACTAAATCAGGGACTGCCAATGCCTCATTAGACAAACAAACTCCAGCTCCTAGTGATTCAAAGGTTGATGACAAACAGTCAAAAGATACTACTAGTACAACAAGTGATTCAGCTTCCAAGGAGTCTTTACAAACAAAACTCAATGAAATGAAGAAAGCATATAATGAAATGAAATCAACAGATGACGATAAAAAGGATAACCATCAAACTTCGAAGACCGAAGAGTCCACAACAAAGAAAGACGTTGAAACGCGCGATGAGAGATCTTCAACCGATACCAATGGTTCACCAGATAAACCAAATGAGAATGTTTCTAGAAGACGCACACCATTGCCACCTCAGGAGGCGATTATTAAAGCTTCAAATAAAGATATCACAAAGGAAAATGGAGAAACCAAACGTTCTCCATTGCCTCCACAGAATGAAATAAAGGGTGGCCGTTCAAGTTTCACTTCTGCAAGACAACCATTGCCTCCACAAGATAGAGTGGTTAGAGGAAATGTACAACAAGGAAGATTTGATTCAAGATCAGGTAGAGGTGGTGTATCACTGTTACCCCTTCCTCCACCTTCACCTCCGCCACCACCACCACCTCCTCCACCAAAGCAGCAGCTTTCTAGAAGAGGTGCCGGGGGAAGAGGCGACAATTATGGACGTGATATTGGTTCTAGACCTTCTAAACTCCGTGCTCCAACATATGACAATAGACAAAGAGGATCAGGACCAAATGGGGGACGTGACCATAGAGGTAATAACGGTAGATCTGATAACAAAAGAAAAGGTGATGGGTTTGGTGGTAGAGGTTACGATAAGAGGTCTAGATATTAAACAACAACAAAAAAAAACACTGCATTAATATATTTTCTAATTTCTTTTTTCTTTTTTTTTTATCTCTATTATTATTTTTTTATTACATATTTACTTAATACATATCATGTAAGAATACGTTTTATATAACATATGTTAACTAATATTTACTGCTTCTTCTATTTTAACTCTTTTCAATGGTGGCTCACCTTCCGGTGTTTGCTCTTTCTCTAATGTGTTTAAAAACAGTTCAATTTTTATTAAATTTTGATCATGCCATTTCAAATGACGTTGTAAATCATATTCACGAGCAAATGTTCTTTTACAATTTCCTTTTGGACAAGCAAATTTCCTAGTGGCTTCTTCAGATATAAGCTTTATAAGATCTTTACCATCATTCAATGAATTTGTCAATGATTTAATAGATCTTTGAGCCAACAATGAATCAGATCTAATATCACTTCGTCTATCATCATCGTCATCATCATCCGCCTCATTTATTTCTTCCACCTTTTCTTCTTCCTCTGTTTTATTCAAAGTATCTAACAGTTGAAGATTCCCCAATTGAGTCAAACTACTTAAATTTGATTTATTTTCCAAGATTTTTTCCAATTTCTTTAAATCATCTTCTTTTAATAAATCTTCAGGTACATTACCATCATGAAAATCATTATAATGTTGAATTAAATCATGTTTTTTAGAAAATTTCCCAACTTCACAATAATTACAATTCCAAAGTTTAATAACTTTAGATTCATCATGACTCAACATATGAGATTTTAAACCTTTTTTACCAACACAACCTTTACCACAAATTGTACACTTAATTTTAGGATGTTCTTGTTTAACATGAAATTGTAAAGCAGACCAATTCTTGAAATTTTTAAAACATCCAGGATTATCACATTGATATGCTGGAGAAGCACCATGATGTTTCAAGTTATGTTGTTGCAATTTTGAAGGTCTTGGGAAAGTTTTATTACATTCAGAACATGTTAAGGAAGATTTTTCATGAGTAGTTAAAATATGATGTCTTAATGATTGATGTTTATAAAATGCTTCATTACAATTATCATAAGTACATTTGAATGATTTTGTATGAGTTATTTCATGTCTTTTTAAATGTTGTTTGGTATTCACCCCTTTGCCACAGATGGAACAATGGTATGGCTTATCATCTGAATGAGAAACAATATGAGCTTCTAAATGGGATTTTCTTAAAAATGATTTATCACAATTCTCTATAGTACATTTAAAGGGTCTATCATTGCTATGTGATCGCAGGTGTTGTTCCAACAATGATGGTCTATTGTAGGCTTTTCCACAATTTTCAAATGTGCACATATACTTCTTTGGACGCGATGATGACGTTGTAGATGTTAATGAAGAAACTGATCTGGCATCGTCTTCTTGAGGTTCATGTATTTCCTGAGACATTATTATTATTATTATTATTATTATTTTTTCAAAATTTGTTAGCAAGACTGTAAAATACTAGAATAATCGGAGTTTCTAAATGAGATAATACCAGATGAGTATTATTTACTCCATCTATTTTTTTTTTATTTGTTTGGTGTCGTACGAATAAACTTGGAATATTTACACAAAGACGGGTTGGAAAAAAAAAACAAATCTTGCACCGTGATTGTGTAAGTCACGTGATATCAGCGTGCGATCACCACAGACTTACATGTCTTATTATTCTTTTTATTTTTAGTCAAATGATGCAATATGAAAGGGAAGAAGCAAAATCTCGCAGGTACAACGGTTGTAAAATTGAGCATAATTTTATTGATTTTTTTTTGCCACCATAATATACCTTTACAAGTTTTTATAGTGTAGCTTTATCCGGAGATCACGTTTTTTTTCGGTTGTAATTTATTTTATTGGCAATCAGATACTGCTTGAGCTTAATCTTAATCCTGGAGACAGCTTGTGCGAGCGAGCGAGCGAGAGAGAGAGAGAGAGAGAAACCGGAAGTTCCAGAATTGAATGCATCAGATTTTTTTGATCATTATTGGTTTTGTGTTTAATTAACAAAGAGAAGGGGAAAAAAACAAAAAGAATTCGGAAAATGTTCTTAAAACTTTCAATTGTTTAATTTAATCATACTTTGCAACACACAGAGAGTAACTTTTATTTATTACCTATTGCAGAATAACCAATTGCAAAGATCGTCGGTTAGTGTACATTGTTGCATACAAAACCTCTTGAATATTTGATTCTCTGGCCAATACTGGTGAATCTAAACGAATAGTGTGTTTCCACGGAGAAAGGAGGCCATAGAGAAACAACAAGTTTGCTGATTGAACATCTCTCTTTGCCAGTCAGTCACACCTCCAAGAAAATAAATTAAACAACAGGTCAAAGATGAAAAGTGAGAACAAAGTAAGAAAATTATACTCTCAATTGTTGAGTTATACGTGGGTCGTAGAATTGGTTGTAATAAGTGGAGTGCTGACAGGGTACAATTTCTTCAGATCCTTTGTGTTCAATACCAACTGTTAATTTCAATTATTCACAACAGAGTCAGACCAATTGTTTCCTTAAAGCTCCTTCTCGAAAATGCCTACCATAATCTTCTGATTATGTCATCCAATTTTCAATTTTTTGAGTTTGGAGTCATTCCATCAAGTTGCAATACAAAGAAGAAAAGAAAGAAAAAAAAATATGAGAGGGAAAATAGAGAGAGAATAGGAAGAAAAAAAAAAAAAAAAGAAAGTTTAACAAAACCAGAAATTTCCTTTGCCTCGTTCAATTTTCACCATCACCACCACCACCAACACTAACTACTTTTTTTTTTTCCTCCCTAACGGAATCAATTTTTTTTTAAACCACATTCTTTCTAATTACAGCATTTTCGTATTCTAAGTTTGGTTGATATCACAGTTAATCAACTACAATAATCAACAACCATTACTATTTAAACACTTTCATCTTCATTATCTCCCCCCACGAAAATAATAATTGATAGAAAGAAAAAATGGGTATCAATAATCCAATTCCTAGAAGTTTGAAAAGCGAATCCAAGAAAGCTGCTAAAATTTTATCATCTTTTATCAAACCAAACCAAATTGCAGGTCCAGAACAAGTTATCCCTCCAAGAATTTTAAAGAATGCTAAAGGGTTAGCTATCATTACTGTTTTCAAAGCAGGGTTTTTATTCTCTGGTAGAGCAGGTTCCGGGGTTATTGTTGCTCGTTTACCAGATGGTTCTTGGTCAGCCCCTTCAGCAATTGTCACTGCTGGTGCAGGTGTCGGGGGTCAAATTGGTGCCGAATTAACCGATTTTGTTTTTGTTTTAAATACCAAATCTGCCGTGGACACTTTTGCTCAATTGGGTTCTGTTACCTTGGGTACTAATGTTTCTGTTGCTGCTGGTCCTTTGGGTAGAAGTGCCGAAGCTGCAGGTACTGCGACTGTTGGTAGCGTTTCAGCTGTTTTTGCATATTCTAAAACCAAGGGTTTATTTGCTGGTGTTTCTTTAGAAGGTTCTGCAATTATGGAAAGAAGAGAAGCCAACAGAAAATTCTATGGTAATAACTGTAAAGCAAGAAACATTTTAGCTGGTCAGGTTGATATACCACCAGCATGTGAATCATTGATGAGAGTTTTGGATTCAAGAGTCTTTAGCAACAGATTGCCATACGATGACGATGATTTCTATAATGATAGTTACTATGATGATATTCCAGATGACTTTTCCGATTCAACATCAGAATATGGCTCACGTAGAAGTCGTCGCGGAACTGTCTCTTCATCAAGAAGAAGAGGAGCAAGAAGAGATTCAGATGATTACTATTCCGATGAAGATGACTATTCGGATGATGATGATTACATGGCATCCACCAGAGCAAGAAGGTCGTCTACAAGAGGTACATCGACAGGTGGAAGTTCTAGACGACAAGCATCTTCATCCACTTGGGAAGATGATGTTTATGATAATTATAATGGCAATAGCCCTAATAATAGAAATAGATCAAGAGGTAATAGTGATGTGGATAGATTGGGTACAAGATTAGGTAACTCAAGAATATCGCCAAGAAGAGCAGATTCAGGTGCTCCATCAAGACCACCTGTTGCTTCCAAGCCTAATTTTGGAGGAGCTCCAAAGACAAATGCTACACAGGCTATAGCTTTATATACATTCAAAGGAGAACAAAATGGGGACTTACCATTCAAGAAAGGAGATGTTATTGATATTCTTAAAAGGACAGAGACTGTTGATGACTGGTGGACCGGTAGAAACAATGGGGTTACTGGTATTTTCCCAGCAAATTATGTTGAATTGATTTAGAATGAATGAATGTGAATTGAGGTAATCCTTGTTATTCTTTTCCCCCTACTGTATTGTTATATTCTAATTTTTTTTTTTTCCTTCTCCTTTTCTTTCATTTTAATTTTATATATATATATATATACTATAGTATTAGCTATTAATAAGTGTGCTCATTGCATCATTTAAAAGATAATTGTGTTGTAAAAGATATTTAATTGACTTTTTGAAATTTCGTATTTTTGGAATTAGATCTGAATAATTCAGAAATCTTGAATATTGTAGATATATGACATGAAACTTGGTAGTTTTACAAGTAGGTGCGAAATTATAAGATACTAGATTTCCAATATTTTTAAAGAATTGAATCAATTGGATACGATGGATTTTAGTTGGGATACCTAAAACAGTTATTATGATTCTTGGATATTTTAATGGGACAAATTTTGTTAATTGTAAATTCATTTCAGCAAATATTTTAATTAAATTATAGTTATGTACCAGATATAACCATTCTCCATTGGATACAACCATTTGAATTCCAAAAATTGGTGCAATTAACTTCAACATTGAATAATGAAATGATGGATATTTGGAATGAATTAATATTGCTGATTGGTCTAATTCTTGATAATAATCAATATATGAATTGATATCTTTATATAGTTGATTCAATAAATATTGACCATTTTCTAAACGAACATATATTAATAAATAAACCTTGTATTGTGGTAAAAGTTCAAGATTCCATAAACATGATTTATATTTAGGTGATTGAAAAATATCATAAATTGGTATAGTTGTATGGATGGTTTTTGTGATTGGTTGTAGAAATTGGTTGCAAGATTTAATTTTATCAATATTTTGTGAACCACTGTTGTTGTTGTTGTTGGTATTATTATTTGAAATCACGAATGCAGATTTATCTCTATTGAATCCAAAGAATGATTTGATTGATGCTGATTTGGATGATACTATCATCTCATTCTCTTTATGGGCCTTAGATTTAAACAATGACATCATTAGATAAATTAAGTTAAAATGACGATTGCAAAGTAATCTACATAGAAAAAAAAAAAACAAAAATAAAACAAAAACAAAAATATAAATCCTCCTAAAATAATTAACATTACAAATATATCACACCTGTATTAATATCATATATCTACTCAATTTTAAAAACTTCGTTAATGAAATGTCTAACTATAATCTTACCTTCATCAAAACTTGGATCTTCATGTCTGACTATTGCACCACGATGAGTTTCTTTGGTTTTTCTCATTATAACTGGAAACTTCTTCCATCCAAGAGTATTCAATTTCTTAACAATAAATGTTTGATCTTTACCTAATTTGATTGGTGGGAATGTTGTGGAATGAGAAACTTTATATCCCATAGCATCGTACATGTCTTCAACTAAAGTTTCTTGTTCATCTTCAACAATATGAGAAAAGCCCGCAAACATAGAAGGATGATGTTGATTGTCTCCATCATTACTCTCATCATGTTCATAAAGATGTAATAAGCTGTTTGATTTATTCTTGAAGAATTCCTTTACCCTTTTTCTATTTTTGATTCTTTGAATAAGTGACGAAATGACAAATGCTGGAAAGTAAACAAGTGCTGTACCAATCAATTTGATCCAATTTAATGTTTTCCAAAACCAAGTAAATCTTTGAGTTGGAGCCTTCACATTAGGATTTTTCTGATAATAGAGAGGTTTGGTAATATCAATCACATTTGGTTCGTATCCTTTGATATACTCACATTTGATATTATCAGGCTGTTTGTTATATTGAGAATTAACTTTATCATCGAGGGATATAAAAGATGTATACCAAGAGCATCTTTTATCATTAACCACATTAGAATAAAGAGTCCTGTATTTGAATTTTAATAAAGTTTTAAAAAAAATCGAACGTGGATCTGCCATCCAAACCAACAAAGGTTTATTAAATTCCCCAACTTTATCTCGAAGGAAAAATTGTGCACCAGTATTTGCTAAAAGGAATGGTGCTACGCTGTTGTAAACTCTGACAGATAAATTATTGGATTGTGGAAGCAGAATACCAACATGAGGTGAACAAAATGTGGTGATGTTAATTGGTTCAATATTATCAAAATATCCTTTACTGCTGAGATATCCAATACAGTATCTAGAAATCAATCCACCTAAAGAATACCCAACAATAGAAAATTTTGTAACTTTATCAGTTCCATTTTGTTCAATCAAATTTGTTTGTTCCCAAACTTCATCAGATATTCTTTTACCATTAACATCAATTCCATCGTATGTTAAATAACCTTGATGAGAGCCTGTTTTATGAGTGTAGATCTTGGTTCCATCCTTGGGGTCTATATTCTCTTTAATTTGCTTTTCAATGTAAGCCAAATGAGTTGAGTTACCCCAAACACCATGAACTAATATAACTAAATGATAATCGACCATAGTATGAATGTCAGCAAATAATAGGGGTATTTGAAGGCAATAATGTGAGCTATAATATAGTATATATATATATAAAAAAACAATTAATTTAAAAGTAATAATCCCTTTTGACTTTTCCTTCTGGTTTTATCTATTTATGGTTAGTAGATTTTCTCTTTTTTTTATTTTTTTAATTTTTTAATTCTAGATTTTTAGCCTTTTGCATCTGTTTTTATAAGGGGAGACGGAGGGGGACGGTGGCAGAGTCGCAATCGAGACGACGGGTAATTTTGACCCACAAAGACCCAAAAATAATTAAAAGTGAGACCCAAAATCAAAAATTACAGTTTTCATATGATAAACATTAAATCCGACAAATGGGGAGCAACACACACACACACACACACGCCTAATGCCTGTCACATGCACGTGATAAAAAATCGTTCTACTATATACATGAATTGTGTGTATTCTATCTATTTACCAATACAGTTTTGTAAAATAACACCTGTTGCTACACCTACATTCAAAGAATCAACAATTACATCATCAGATCTATATTTTGGAATACCAACAAGATAATCAGATCTTAATTTGACATTAGTTCTGACACCTTCACCTTCACTACCAATAACCAACATGACAGGTGATTTTCTTAATATAATTTGTAAATCTTCCAAATCAATAAATTTACTGGCTAATTGACTTATTGTTTTTGGATGTTTATCTGCCAATTCATCATTGCTTACTTCATCTGGTTTACCACTAGTACTGATGACATGCCATCCGTTTTTACGAACAGAATCAATAAATTTCAAACTTGATTCAGTTTGATAAAGGTCAATTAAATCTAAAGCACCTGCTGATGCCTTGAATGCAATTGGACCCAATTTTGCAGTTGAATGGTCTGGTAAAATAACACCATCAATACCAAAGAAAAATGCAGATCTTAAAACAGATCCCATGTTTTGTGGATCAGTAACTTCATCCAAATATAACATTAATGGATACAACTCTTCAGTTTCATCTTTTTTAGCGTCACGCAATACCAGTTTGGATTCTTCAGATATAGTTCCATCTTCAGAATTTTCAATTGTCAAGGTATACTTTCCATCTTCTGCTCTTCCCAATTCTTTAAGATAAGGAACATCAAGCTTTCTAGTTTTCAATACAACACCATTATGAACACCATTCTTACATAGCACATTCAAGGCATGTTTATCTCTAACCATTCTTGGAAGTATACCGAACTTATTCTCAGCTAATTTTGTAATCTCAGGATCAACATTATTATATGTATATAATTCAAGGACTCGACGTTTTCCTGCAGTCAACGCAGCCTTAACAGCATGAGTACCAAAAATGTAATCAAAGAAAGTGTCATTTCTTTCAAGCAATCCAGCACTTCCTGAAGATGGTGAACTTTTTTTAGACATCCTAGCCATTTGTCTTGCGTTTTCCCTCTCCTCTCTTTCTTTATCTCGAAGTGCCTTTTCATGAGCAATCCTCATCTCTCTATGTCTTCTTTGTCTAGCTACTTTTTCATCTAAAGCTTTTCTCTGTTCTGGAGTAATATTACCATACTTTCTCATGAAAAATTCGTCTTTAGAAAGGTTTTTCTTCTCCCATGGTTTTAATTGCTTTTTGGACTGAGGCAAGTTTTTTGAAAATGATTTAGCAGTTCCTTTTGGGTTTGCATGATGTGGTTTAAACACCGGATTCAAATCTGCTGATTTTAAAATCACTGAAACTATTGAAAAAGATCTCTTCAGACTAATCATGATAGTATTGTATTAGATTATAATTGTTTCAATTAGTTTCAGTTAGAAAAATTTTCAAGTACTATTATCATTATTTTTTTTTTTTTTCGGTCCAAACCTCGCGATGCAGTTGATAAATTATTGTACCATTAATGTTATCTATACACACGAACTTAATATAAAACACCTTTAGTACTTGGAACATCATCTTTACCAGTTTTAGAAATAGCCTCTTTAATAGCAATTGCCAAAGCTTTAAACGCACTTTCAGCTCTGTGGTGATCATTAAATCCTCTTAAGCAATCAACATGAATAGTTATGTGTGCGGAACCAGCAAAACTTTCCAAAACGTGCGGAATCATTTCAGTTGATAAATCACCAATTTTTTCTCTTTTTAATCCCAACTCAATAACAGCAAATGGTCTGTTTGACAAATCCACTACGGCTCTACTTAATGCTTCATCCAATGGAGCAAACCCACTTCCAAATCTTTTGACACCTTTTATTTGTCCTAATGCTTCTTTAAATGCCATACCCAAACTAATCCCCACATCTTCAGCAGTATGATGGTCATCAATATGTAAATCTCCAATACATTCAACAATTAACGACCAACCTGAGTGTTTGGCCAAAGCATGAATCATATGATCAAGGAATCCAATACCTGTTTGAACATTAATATATTGACCTCCAGAAACTTGTTTAGCATGTTCTTCTTCTACTGATTTGTTTGGGAAAATTGATTCTTTCAACTCAAGTTTACCACCATCCAAGTTAATGGCAATTTGAATCTTGGTTTCATTGGTTATTCTATTAATTAATGCTTGTCTTGACATTGTAAATGGTTTGTAATGAATGTAAAATGACTGGCTGAAAAAAAAAAATAAAAGGAAAGAAAGAGAATAAGAAAAGTGAAAAAAAAAAGAAAAGTAAAATTATATAAATCACCTCGATATCTGAGTCACAACTCGCACGGTGCGATTCAGGAATTCGTGCCAGATTTGTAGATCCGAGTCCGCGGTTTTCCATTTTCTTCTGTTGCGTCGAATATTGTAAACATCCAGGACGCACAACACAGAACGCAGAACGAAGGCGAGAAAAGAAGACAATAGTATGAAACCAAAAAAAAAAAAAATCAAAAACTAACAACAAAAACTAACAACAACCAAACCACAAGACCCACTTCATCGACTAGGTCAACTTTCAATGTACACATATATGGAATATCTACAGAAATGCTTTTACAAATCCACAAATTGGAATGAAGATAATATTTTCTCCAACATAACAGCCACTTCTCAAGCTATACTAGAATTTCCTATACCAAATGGGTTTAAAATCGATTCGTCTTCAAAAACAACAGATTATCTGGCATCTTCTTTTACTTTATCAAATAATCACCAAATAAATGGATCCTTAGCTTATTTGTACTCATCAGTTCCATTGAAAAATACAATGGGAACAAAAGATGTTTCGTTACAGGATGCCATTGCTGGGTTTAGAATTATAGAACCTATGGTTAGACTTCAACCTAAATTCAACAATAAAGCACCACATAGTAAGAGTTCTTTACTTTATGGAAGAATGTATTTCCCAGGATCTGCATTAGAGGCAATGATAATTAAGCGAATTAGTGAGAACACACAATTGTTAATCAAATGTGTCAATAACCCACATCTACTGAAAAATGGAACCATGATTGTTTACCTTCAAAATAATACTGCGAAATACCTGAGAGAATTCATCTACTCCACAAATGAATCATTAATTGGATTAAGATGTTTATACAATTTAGGAACTCCTACTTCATCTTCAACTGTATCTAGTTTCAATCCAAGAACTATTCCTAAATTTGATAATTCAGTGGTATCAATCGGTACGGAGTTGTGGTTTGCCACAAGATCAATGAGTCCAGGGTTATCTGGTGCATTGAGATATTCTACAAGATCCACATCAACAGGGAAACCGTTGACCATGACTTTGGCAATTAACCCAATCTTGGGGCATATTTCTTCCACATATACAGTTAAAACTTCAGTTGCATCCACATTTTGTTCCAGGTATGATTTTAATGTCTTTTCATATGCAAGTAACTTATCCCTTGGGTTTGAATTATACAGTTATGCCAATAAGAAGAGGTCAGATTTCTACAATCACGAAATATATTCATCAAGTGAAGAAAATAAATATTTGAAACAACACCCTGAATTACAAAAACATCATAGAGTACCAATAAGGGCATATAAACATCATGACAATAGAACAATCATCAATCCTATACACAACTTAGATAATGTGTACCATATAAACCCAACTTTACTTTCAACCACTAGTGGATCGGGTCATACAAGTGAAACTGTAACAACTGCATTCCAGAATTTGGTTAATGAGAGTGATTTTTCAAGTGTTTTGAAATTCTCGACCAGTTTAAATGACAAAGTTGTTAAAATACTATGGGAAGGTAGACTTCGAGATTTTTTAGTTAGCACAGGAGTTAAACTATCGTTGAATCCTGTTACCAACACTCCAGAATTTAATAAATTAGGTATATCATTTTCATACGCTTTATAGAATAATCATAATTGTAAGTAGTGTAAAACACAATATTCTTGTACACACGACTTTTTTTTTTTTTTCCAATTCTCACTCCTTCAATAAGAGGAAATGAAAAAAAAAATTCTTCAAGTTAAATTATTGAACATCCAAAGGAAAACAAACCAATCAACTGTCAAAACATGTCTGGTAGTGGGAATGAATTATTTAATTTGGTGAAAAACTCCAGATTATCACAAGTGGCCCAACCACTTCTGAAAAACATGCGTGCTAAATCAAATATCCCAACACATCAAGTCATCTTTACACCAAAATCAAGTGCAGCAAGATCAAATTATGGTTTGAAAACAACTTTACCAAATAAGATTGGATCATCTTATATTTCATTTAATGATATTGATAATCGTCAAAGTATGCCTGATGTTGAAAAAAATTCCGGTTTTTATTATAAACAATTGATGTTTAAAGAATTGGGATTACCTGTTAAAACTCATTATACTGGTAAAAATCCATTATTTCCAGATGAATTAAATAAATCAGATAGACCAATGAGAGATGGTAGTTTAGCTAATACTTTAAATTTACCAACTAAAGTTCAAGTTTCTGAAATTGTTAAAATTTTGAAAAAGAATCCAGAAATTTATGATCAATTTAATAAATTTTTAATTAAAAATCATCCAAAGATTTTATTAACAACTGTTTCAAATCAAGAAATTATTGAAATTTTAAAAGAATTTTTATTAAGTTCTCCTGAAGTTGTTAAAAAAAGATTAAGTTTGACTACTCAACATAAAATTAACCCTAAATTTGAACAACGTCAAATTCAAGGTACTGGTGGTTTTTCATATAATCAAAAGGGTAGATTAAGAAATACTCCAAATGGTATTCAATATGGTACTGTTGTTCCAGGTAGAATTATTGATAATAAAGAAGCTGCAATTGCTGGGTTTGTTTCTAGTGTTACTGATCGTTCTATTGCTTTACAAACAAACTATGCTAAAAATTATCCAGGTAAACATCATAGACAATTTACTGTTCCTTTCAAGATTAGCGAAGCTGAATTGTCTGAAGATGGTTCTGTTAGATTGTTTGCTGAAGGTATCAAGAGTGGTAAATGGATGGAAACTAATGATAGATTTACTCCTTCAAGAACTAACTTTGCTGGTTCTTCAGAAAGAAATAAAGCTGATGGTCAAAGTTTGGAAAGTTTATTAAACTTGATTCTTCCTACCAAATAGATAGTTTTAAGAAAAAAAAATAACTCCTTGTATATATACATTATTATTATTATTATTATCACTATTAGTACAACTATTTTTTTTTGTTTCTATATATATTCATTAATTAGCATCAATAGTAACTACTTCATCTAGCTCTTCCTTAGTCTCTGTTTCAACAACGTCATGTGTAGTAGAATCATTAGTTTCTTGATGTTGTTCCATATGAACGTCTTCTACTTCATTTTCCTTTGAATTGTCGTCATTTTCGTCTTCATTTATAGCTTGCTCATCCTTTTCATTTACAGCTTCTTCCGAAGGTTCAATCCCGTCCTTGTTATTCTCCGTATAATTTTCTCCATCGTTCTTATTTTCTTCATCGTTCTTATTTTCTTCATCGTTCTTATTTTCTTCATCGTTCTTATTTTCTTCACCGTTCTTATTTTCTTCAGCATCATCAGTTTTGACCTTCTTGGTATCAGTTTCATCTTTTGGTTCTTCCTTGAGTTTCCTCTTCTTTGGATATTTCTTAGGTTCAGGAGGTTTCTCATGTTGCGATGTAGGAACACCAGTCATTTTCTTTTCTTCTTGGTTTAATTGAACTCTTATATCTTCAGCTAGTTCTTCATCCAATTTACCATCAACTTGATACCACAAATTAAATGAAGGAACTCTTGTACCAACAGCAAGGATATGTTTCATTTTTTCTTGAACTTCTTCCAATGGCTTAACACTATTTATAAACATAGGAACCAATTTACTTTGAATTCCATGGATCATACAAGACACAGTAGTATATCTATATTCTGGTTCAACTGGTGGTTCCAATGCTTTCGGTGTAGCTGGTTTTCTTGGTGGTGGCATCTTACGTTTTTTCTTGCCTCTTCTTCCCGGGCCTCTTCTTTTTGCAGGAACAGACTCTTGTTCTTCTGGCTCTTCAGTTGCTTCTTCATCTTCCACAGTTGTCCCATTACTATTTGATGTAGTTGTCGAATCAATATCTTCTTGTTTAATCTCAACAATATCAGAATCTTCACCAGGAGTATTTTCGCGACCATTCGGATTTTCCTCCTGCTTGACATAAGCAGCATCTTCAATTGCCTTTTTAGATTCATCTTCTTGTTTCTTCTTATCCTCTTCCTCAAGTCTTTTCTTTTCTTCTTCTTCCTTCTTTTTTTGCTCCTCTTCAGCCTTCTTTTTATTATATTCTTCAAGTTTTTTCTCATATTCGTCAATTTCCTTTTGATTATGTATCCAAATGAAACTCATCAAAATATCTTTATTATCAGAATTATCATTATCCTCTGCATTGATCATGGTTGAAGGAGGTAAAACTTCACAAATAGCATGTGTCGGCAATAAAAATCTTACATTTGGATTCTCAACAAATTCAAACAAAATGGTAGCATCTTTCAAGTATCGTTCTTGAAAAGCAGTCAATTTTTGATCCTTTGGAATCTGGATCTTTGGGGGTTTAGGTGGCTTTTCCTTCTTAATCTTTGGAGGCTTTTCTGGCTTCTCCTTTTTCACCTTGGGAGGCTTTTCTGGCTTTTCTTTCTTTACCTTTGGAGGTTTCGGAAGTTTTTCGGGTTTCTCCTTCTTTACCTTTGGAGGCTTTGGAGGCTTTTCAGGTTTTGGAGGTTTTTCCTTTTTAGGCTTTTTCTCCTTTGGAGGAGGTTTTGGTTTCTTTTCCTTTGGAATCTTTTCTTTAGGCGCCTTCTTCTTTCTTACAGGATTTTTCATATACTCTTTCCAAAATGTTTCATCATGTGGAGGAGGTCCCATTTCTCTTGCACGCTTGATATATCTTTGGAAAAGCTCAATTTCCTTCATTGATGCAAAACCCAGAGCCACTATTTTCATTAATTGGTTAAGAGGTTTATCTCTTTCTGCAATCAAATTCAAATTTCTAATCATTATTTGATTTTCCTCTGAGTTCAAATTAGTGGACGGAGAAGGTTCCTTTGAAGCTGGCTCTATTGGACGTTGTACCACTGAAGAAGAAGAACCTTCTTGCAAATCTCTTTCGGTTGTAAAAACATCATTAGTCGCCTGTTTTTGAATTTTTAGGATTTCGTTTTGAAATTTAGTCTCTTGTTTCGTATCTTCGGTCTTAATATTAGTTTTTTCACTTTTGGGTTCAGGAGTTTCAGAATTTTCATTGTCTAAATTCTTTCTGGATGATGTTTCGGAAGTTTTTTCACTTGATTCTTCAGAAGTCTGTTTCGATTCAGTTTCTGGACTGTTATCATTGATTTCCTGATCATTTTCGTCGTCATCACTGTTTGTTCGATCACTAGTCTTGGATTCATCATCTTCATTCCCTTTTTGTTTCAGCGCATCTTCATCCTTGTTGATTTCATCAACTACTTTGCTCTCTGGTTCTTGGTTCTCGCCCTTCTCCTTGTCGTTATCTACCTTATCATTTTCAACGTCTTCTTTCATTTCAGCATCCTCTTCGATTAGGCCGACTTTTTGTACTTCCGTAGTTTCTTCCTCTTTGCCCTCTTCCTTTTCAACTTCCTTTTCAACTTCCTTTTCTTCCTTTTCTTCCTTTTCAACTTCCTTTTCTTCCTTCTCTTCTTCTTCCTTCTCTTCTTCCTTCTCTTCTTCTTCCTTCTCTTCTTCCTTCTCTTCTTCCTTCTCTTCTTCCTTCTCTTCTTCCTTCTCTTCTTCCTTCTCTTCTTCCTTCTCTTCTTCCTTCTCTTCTTCGACCTTCTCTTCTTTCTGTTCATCTATTTTCTTTTCCTCTTGCTCTTCTTTTTCAACTTTACCAGCCACAACTTGTTTTTCTTCTCCTTTTAATTCAGATCCATCTGTTTTCTTATCTTCATTATCACCAGTTTTCAAAGAATCATCTTTCTTGTTGATATTTTCCAGCTCTTTATCCTTTTGAGCTTTCTTCTTTGAATTATCCTTTGCTTTTTCTTTCTCCAATTCCTTCTCTTTCATCTTCTCTTGCTTCAATTTCAATTTCTCTTCCTTCTCTTTTTCCCTTTGTCTATCACGTTCCAATTTTTCTTTTTCTCTTTGTATTTTAGCTTCTTGTCTTAATCTATCTCTTTCTTCTTTTTCTTTCAATCTCATCAATTTCTTTTCTTCTTTTTCCTTCTTTTTAATCTCTTTAATTTCATTTACATCCAGCCTTGAATCTTTTGCTATAAATATTCTAATTTCAAAAAAATGTGGACCAATACTTAATCCAGCATCACATAATTTAACCATTATATCTCTTGCACTAGTTTCATTATTAAGAATAGTTTCTCGATTTAAATAAACATCATTTTCCATTGATTTAGGTAATGGTTTATCTAATTCTAATAATTTTCTAACATATGAACTTTGTTTCACCCAATATAATCTAAACATTGGGACATTGTACAAGATAATTATTTCGTGATTTAATTAATGACATATATAAAACTCCACTATCTTTAATTGTTAATGGTTGCGCTAGTACTGATGTTGATACTGTAGAATATGAAACAGGTAATGATTGAGAAATATCAAATGGACGAACAATCGTCTTTGATAATTCTTCTTGTTCCTTTTCAATTTCTTCTCTTTTCGAAGACGTTATTCGACGTCTGATTCTTGGAGGCATCTAAAAGACTAGGATTGATTAATAAATAATGAATTGTTGTTTTTTTTGTTTATCAATTTGAACTTGTTTTTTTGTATTTTTTTTTTTTTTCATATCTTTTTCCATTTTAGTTTCGAATAGTATATATGACGACATTGTTTGTTGCGACATCAACGATTTACGACATTCAAAGTTACGACCCACAAAGAATTGCACTTTATTCACCCTATTTAGAATGTCTATTTACCCCATTGTAAAATATAAAAAAATATATAAGTGTAAAGAATAAAAAGGTTATAAATAAATATAAAAGTAACAAAATCAACAATCAAATACCAATGAACTATAAATTCTCTTCAAGAACTTCCAATCCTTGATTGAAAAGTTTAATCATGACATCCAATTCATTAACAAGTTTCTGTTTCCCAACACTATCCAAGAAAAGTTCACCATTAATAGAAGGAATGACAGGAAAGTTACCAAAACCATTAGTATTAGAACTAGTTCCGTTCATATTAAGATTTAATGGTGCACTCACAGAAGCTCCTCTTGATAAAAATACATTAGAATTCACTTGTGCACCAGCACTTGTTGAACCCAAACTAGACAAATTATGGCTCGATAAATTGGCAAGAGATTTCTTATGAGCCAGCAAACTATTATGATGTGATCGACTTTGACCTGTTGCTGCTCCACTCGATGCCGCATTTGTTGTTGTTGTTGTTGTTGTTGATGTTTCCTTAGATTGTCTTTCATTAGATTCATCATTAATTGATGGGAAAAATTGTGGAGGTTCCTTCTCAGTAACCGGTGTCATAGAAATTTGCATTGCTGCAGCTTGTGCTGGATTTATACCAAATTGATTCACGTTTTCGTTATCCAGAGGCTCATTTGTTAATGCTGACAAATTATTCATAACATTTGAAGGAGTTGGCATCTGAATAAAACCTGGTTTGCTTCTTTTACTCTTGAGATTACTGGACTGGTGAGATAATGATGAAGTTGTAGGAATATTTGGCATTGACTGTTGATTTATCAACTGTGGATGTGTGGTTGTATTGGAAGAACTTGTAGTGCTGGTGTTTGTTTCCAGCTTCATATTAATCGGTTGCAATAATGGATTGGAATTTGATTGCAATGCTTTCATCTTGGACGGAGAGCCAGTTTTACTAACACTTATGGCATTTGTTAACCCTGCTGCGGATGGCACTTTAGGTGATGGTGTTCTTACAATATTTGCTGTGCTATAGGGTGGAGTATGTGGTGTAGCCGAGGCAACTGCTTGTTGAAGTGGGATACTCAAGTTGGTACCCATAGTATTCGATATTGTCTTTTTTCTGGTTCTTCCAGCAGCTTCATTTGGAGACGTGTTGACAGAGGAGAATCTTGACTCCAAGCTACCAGATGCGGATTGAGAATGGTATAATGTGGGAGGTTTGTTCAAAGGAGGATGAGATGTATTGGAAGTTGCTGTTGGTAATTGAGAAAGACTATCCATATCAGGAATTTCAATTGTCGGTGATTCTCTTCTTTCATTGAGTTTTGGAATTGTTGGAGCTGACAAGTGTTCATCTTCATCAATATTATCTTCAAACAACATTTGTAACGACTTTGGTACTTCTGTAGACGTTTTCCCAGTATTCATTGATTTCAAATTTGTGTTTGAATTATTTCTGCTATTCATTGCCAAAGTGCTCTGGTTTCGTCCAAATGTAGTAGTTGCTTTCAAAGTTGGTAATGTTGAATAGTTATTATAATCTCCAGTCTGTTGGGCGGTGTCGTAATTATTATTATATTGTTGATCCACATTGTCTAAATCAATATCATTCTCCATAATATATTCTCTACTACTCAATGAATCAAAATCCCATTTAACTTGTATTTGATGATTTTCTGTATCATGGTTCACACCATCAAGGTTCTTGTCGACTAAAGCATCCACAGAATCTTCTTGTTCGTCTTCCAAATTAATGAATACCGAATCACGAGATGCATTTCTGTCTCTCCATAATAAGTATCTTGAAATAACTTCTTTTAATATGCTCGTTGGATAATTTTTGTACGCTTTCATTAATCTACATTTCAACAAATCCTCAGCCGAGGGTCTTTCTTCAGGGTTTTCATCCAAACATAATGCAATACATTCTTTCAAAGCCAGAGAATATTCTCGTCCTTCCAATCTCGGTGGAGTTTGTTTCGAAATCAACTGCATTGCCCATGAAGCATCTTTGTCACAATACGGCGGGTTACCGGTGGCTATCTCGTAAATAGTAATACCCAAAGACCAAATATCAGCTTTGCTATTGTATGAATCACCAGTTCGTATGACTTCTGGCGCCATCCAATATGGAGTTCCTGCCATTGTTGTTCTCTTTGATGAATTGGATGTAAGTTTGGCGGCAACACCAAAATCACACAATTGAACATTACCTTCTTTAGAAATTAAAATATTGGCAGCTTTCAAATCACGATGAATAACACCAAGTTTATGAACTACGTTTAATGTGGACAATAATTCTCGAACAACAATCGCAATGTATCTTTCTTCCAAAACACCAGCTTTCAATAATGTTCGTAAAGATCCGCCCGCACAATAGTCCATAATAATCCATAATTTAGTATCATTCAATATCGATCCATAGTAATGTGTAATGTTTGGTACATTTTTCAATTCAGTTAAAAATTGAATTTCTTGTTGAACATCAATAAGCTCATCTTCATCGGTATCTAAATTAAGTACTTTAATGGCCACCACTTGTTTGGTTTGTTTATTATAAGCCTTATAGACGACCCCAAATTTACCTCTTCCAATAACCTCTGTTCGTTTATATAATGATGTTGAATTCATGATGTCTGAAGTTCTTCAGATCATTTAATTTATACTTGGAATGTTTATTGTTTAGTTTGTGTGGTCTTTGTCTACTGTTTAGTGTTGAGTGTTGTGGGGGGGGGGACGAAAGGAGGGAAAATAGTTGATCCAAAGTGTCTCTTTAAAAAAATCAAATGAGTAATTGACAAATCTGTATTTTATTGTAACTCCAAAGTCTTAGACCAAATCAAGTAGATATTGACGGGATACACTTAGGTAAGTTGATAAATATGACGAAGAAATGAAACTGAAAAAAAAAAAAAAAATTGAACAAGAAAAAGAAAAATGCCAATGACAAGATCTTTAACTATGAACTTTTTTCTGTTGTCTGTTTGCCTGGTTTGTCTCGCGTGGTTAAATTTTTGTTTGCTTCAAATAAGCTACTGTTGTTTCAAACTCACAGTGTTGTTTTTACAACCTATCGTTACTCTACCTACAGTAAAACAATAATGCACAGAAGATACAAACAAAACTGAAAGAGACGGTAGACATTCGACGGAAGTGGACGAACCATCTGAATGCATTTTTATAGGGAAAGAGTAACTGAAGATAATCAATTTGTCAAGCGGAAATTAAATTAATGTTAGGTAGATTTTTGACGATAAGAAAACTTCAAACAACCACACAAAGGTGAAGCACAACTAAGAGTAAACAAAGTATTTACTCATGTGAGATCAACTCATAAGTATTCGTATATAGATTCCCGTACTTTTACTCTATGAAAAATTTTGCTTTTCTGTATCCAATTTAATGTACAATTATTCTCTGAGATCCAACAGACTTAATAATTGACTTTGTTCAAATGAAAGTCTATAATTAGTACTTGGTTGACTAGATATCATGGAAATATTGACTGGATCATCAGTTAATTCAATTAAAGCTTCAATATTGTTTTCGCAATCAGCATCATGCACATGTTGTTGTTGTTGTTCTTCTTCTTCTTCATCAACTTGATCTAGAAGCAGCCTTTCATTAGCTTCATCGATAGGGACATGTGACTTATTAATAACCAGGGACAAATCAGATGAAGTTGCACTTGACTCTCCAATGGCACCAGAAAACTCATCAACATTACTAAGTAAGCTGGGACGATGGCTATTATAAGGAAACTTCATTCTGATCAAATCATTGTCATCTTGTTTAGCATCTGCTTCTTCATCTGCATTATGGAAAGCACTATCCCAACTCAAGATAACTACTCCACATAAAACACCAACCAAGCCAAATATAACCCACATTAATTGCGCTACACTCATTCTATGGTTTGCAATCAATGAATTGAAAATCAAATCATTGATCAAATTGATCAAATTATAGATTAAAAAGCATAATGGGTACAAAATACCGGTTGTGATCTGTGCTAATCCCAAATTAAAAGCAGTTAATTGCAAACCAACAATGGCTAACATCACAGCAAGTAATACATAGGGCAATGAGTTGGATATGGAGAAAATATTACTAAACTTTTCATGTAAGATAGTTTCAATAACAACATCAATTAAAGATTTAGCAAATAAAAAAGTGTGTGCTGTCAAAGTTCCACTAATAATCCCATAGTTGATTCCTTTCATAAATTGATACCTGTTACAATTAATGACTGGATTATTTCTTAATACAATAGGTTGCAGGTGTATTTTCCTGTTTAAGTAGGCATAATTTACAAGCAATAAGACTCCCATCAATACAAAAGTACCAACAAACCAAACAACAAAACCTGGGTTTGATAACTTTTCTAGAATCTCGTGAAATCGTTCATCAACGGTAGGTAACGGATCAGGTTGAGGTAAAGGAGGTACATTTCCATTATACGCAATGATACTAGCACCAACAGCAATAATACCAGTTCCAAGCCATAACTTGTTTGTGAAATGATCACCAGGTAATAATAAACAACTCAACATAGAGTTAAATATTAACCCAATACTTTGTAAAGGAGATAGTATAATTAATGGTAATGTACTTATTTGAATAATGGATCCCAACACATTGGCAACAATAAATAGCAAGAATCCAAATAGCCACATATTTCGTTTATATTTTTGCTGTTGATGATTTAAGTGGATAATATTGATTTGTTGTTCATTTGGTGGGGCATCTAATGGTAGGTATTGAATATGTAGTAAATGAGATTTTCTTTGTAATGTTATCCCCAATGACTGGATCCCTGAAGATATTACTGCAACAGAACATCCCAAGATAATAGATGAAGTAGAAGACATTGCTTGTAGGTATCTGTGAGATGGTTGAGCTCTGTCACTTGTTTTTTAGTTTCTTTTTACCCACCACTTGATAAAATTTAAATCTGGATATCGTTATAAATATAGCAAAAAAGGGAATCAATAACTTGAATACTAGTAACGAATGTTGTCCTCAAGTTGAATGGTAATTAGTTTAATCAAAAAAAACAAATGAAAAAAAAGGAACAAAAAAAAAAAATAAATCACTGGTGGGATTTGTTTGACTTTATCAATATTTACCAGCGTACAAAAATGTTTCTGGTGAATCTAGACAAAAAGAAATCAGACAGCAGAATAGTCGTGTACATTGGAGAAATGTATTGAACAATAATGCAATCAATTACCCTAGATGGTAAGGCTGACATTAAACGAAATCAGAATTATAATGTCCAATTATGAGAGCAGAAGAACTGCATTTGATTGGTCAAATAGAGTAGAAGTTGTTGAAGCTAGTAATTGATTAAAGACAAATATCAACCAAGGCTTGTAGGTACGACGACGAACGGTGGAAGTCTATTTTAGGAAATTCTTCATTGATGACATAATATCCTCAACTGCCAGGTAAACAGAAAAAGAAAAAAAAAAAATGCAAAATTCAGGGGGGGGGGGGGGGGTACGTTTTTTTTATTCCCGCTCGAAAGGGCGCAAGCTATTTACTGTGTAGACAATGTACTAACAGTAAACTACGGGTAGATGGTAATTCACAATAAAAAAAAATATTAATATTCAAACATATATATTCTAAAAATATGAAATATCTAATAAAATGAGTGTTCAGACTTTATCAATTGCACGTACACAGAAATAGAATAGAACCATCTAACACGAAGCAGTTTTATTTTTTCTCACAAGCAACAGGTATCACAAAAAATAATAGATTAAAAGCGAAATAACGGGTAACATCAATAAAAGGAGAAGTAGACCAGCTACACAGCATTTCAGTTTGTTTAGAATGGGTTTCCATTTCCAACGATATCATCTTCATGAAAGACTCTCATTGAACCAACATAACCATAAATAAAACGTACTTGTTTCTTTTTCTCACCATATGATGGTTTTTTCAAGCAGCTTTTACGTTTGGGAGGATGTTTTGACTTTGATTCAAATTTTCTTCTCTTTGTTTCAATTTCATTTGAAGATGGCGATTCTTGAATATCACGTTTTGTTGAATTATGGATCTTTGGTGAAGGAGGTGGAGTTGTAAAGTTAGATTCCACAGCAGAAATGGGTGGCAGTGGCGATGGTGGAGCAAATGTAGATTTTGCAGCAATTTTGTTGAATTCTGGTGAAACAACCAGATATTCAGCCGTCTTAACTGATTGGACAACTCTAGTAGAGTTTTCATATATAACAGGACACAGCGCAACAGAATCAGTCATCGCATGTTGGAAATGTATATTGTTCAGTTGTAAAGGTTCGTATCGTTGCGTGTACTGACGATTCCAATATCTTGGAACGTTGTTTCTTTTATTTCTATTTAATAATGTTTTCGAAGAAGGATAGAGATAACCCGAACGAGATGGAGAGATATATCTAGCAGGTCCAGTAGGACGTGTATTAGTTCTATCCAGATTAGTGTGGGTTTTAGAAAAATATGGACGTTCCATGATTATAGAGAATAACTATTAATACGAATTTGCAAATAGTTCTGAGGAAGAAGTAGAAAGAAGAAGTGAGTAACAAGGTCATGTTTTTTCTATTGAGGAATCTAAGGCTTTTTATAGTGCCCCATGAAGAGTAAAAAGATAAAACCCGCCTTTGAAAACCATAGGTCGTGTTGAACTGGCAAATTTCGAATGTCTTAGAAATTGTTAGAATCATCTTTGGAACTCATTAAAAATTGATGATATACTCTTTTTTTTTTACAGTTTGTTAATAACATGTAAATTATTGACTAAAAGAAATAACCTCTATTGAAAGTGTGTTGTTCAGTATCCTGACAATTCATATTTTATATTTGTGAATAAATATTGTTGCACGTGACTCGTCTCTTTTTTTGTACAAAATCAAAACATTCTCTCAAACACTCCATACCAGAAATCATCAAAAGAAATAATTTACTTTAACCAACAATAGTAATCGGCTACTTTCATATTACTTATTTGCTCATTATGGATAAAGATATAATTGAAATAATAGATTTATTAACATCAAATGAACTACCTACAATTTCACAAGGATTAAATGAATTAAACAATTTATTAAGTTCTTTAATACCATTTATAAAACAATATCAAACTACATCGTCAATTTCATCCAAGTTGGAACAATTTGAAAATCTACAAAATAGTTTCCAATATAACTTGGCTCAACATTTAGTTCCTCTCTATTCATATGATTTAAATGTTGATCAATTTTTGTTGTGCAATAAACTTCTTCAAGGATTGTTGTTGATTCATCCTAATTCAAGAAGTATTTTTAATTTATCTAAAAATATGAAATATGTGATTGACTTATTAGAAAGTAATTTAAATATCAAATTAACTATTTCTTTAATATCTACATTGATTCATATATTATTGAAAAATTTTGAGAATTATAGAGTATTTGAAAAATTAAATGGTTGTAGTGTATTAATTAAACATTTTAAATTAAGTTCATTTGAAAAAATTCAAGATGGTAATGAAGAGTTTAATAATAATTTAAATTTCAAAATCATCGAATTTTTAATGCTTTATTTGTTGGAAGAACCTAAAGGTGGTAAATCTATAAATGAAAAGTCTCAGTTTTTTGTTAAAGATTTCCCTGAGATTGATTCCTTGATTGAAAATTTAAGTCAATTATATAATCTATAGGTTGTTATGTAAAATTAAATTTAATATCAAAGTTCTTTTCAAATTTAGCCTGAGCCTTGTTGACAGTTTCTTGTGAATATTTAGATGAGATATTACCATCACGGCTCCTGCTTTTCAAGAAATTCAATCCTGCGGTACTTTGATTACTTAATGCTGTTGGATCTTGCTTTCTGACTTGATATAAACTTTGGTTTTTCACTACTTCTGTGGTAGGTTTCTTGTTGATATTAAAAACAGAATAATCATTCAACTTGTTATATTTTGGAATTGGTTTGTATGGCTGTTTACCTTCGTTTTCCAAGTCATATCTTCTTTGTTTTAAAGTCAACTCAGCCTTTTCATCAATAACATAATCCTCTGGTACATCTTTAACTCTTAAGCCAAGTAGTTTACGCTGATTGATACTCAATGGCAAGTCATAACATTGATCCTGTCCTTTCAACAATCTAATCAATGGAATAACAATATTTATTATAAAATAAACCACGACAATTTTACTCAATAAAAGGATGTAGAATTCCATGGAAGATGTACCATTTTGTTCTTGTTGTCCATAAACATGTGGTTGAGAACTTTTTAATTTTAATTCATAAATAGAAACAAATTTTGAAATAGAAGATTTGAAAAATGAAAATACCAACAAATAGAATACATTTTTTAATAATACTTTAAATTGGTATTCAAGATCAATTTGCCTAGATAAGGCTTTCTTAACAATTGGATTTTCCCAAGATCCAGTTGGTTGATCACCCACATAATCATCTAAATCTCCTTCATCAAATTCTGCTCGTATACTGTTCAATATTTCTTGTGGATCTTGTTTTCTCACCTCACGACTAACAAATATTGGAATTCTATTCTCATTTCGCCTATCAAATTTTGATTCCTGGTCTGATAGTTTAACATTTGGTGGGACGCAATCCTTAATACCATAGAAACTATCCTTGAAATTTGAACTTGGTGGTTTATAATACATAGGACGATCCAAATTTCTTACTCTATCCAATTCTTCTTGTTCTTCTTTCTTATGCTGCTTGAGGGATAATTTTGTCTGCAATACTTTAAAACTTGCATCACGAAGAATTGATGATGATGATGTGGGTAATGGATTGGTGATTGCTTTATCTTCTTGTTGGACCTGTTGCTGTTGTTCTTGTTTAATGTTGCCGAAATTTAAACTGGATAATGAATTATCTGGTAATTTTTGTAGTATTGTAGGGGTTTTCACTATTGACGAGTCGATTCTAGGATATACTCTATTATAAGGTTGTGTAAAGCTAACCGCATCTTGATATACGGTATCATTTAGTGTAGATTCAGACATGACTGCTGGAGAATGAGTTTTACTAGTAGAGATGATTTCGGCTGTTGCGATTTTTTTTTTTCTTTTTGTTTTGGTTTACTTTGCTTTCTAAATGGATCCAGTTTGTAAGTCGTGTACTAAGATCAAAGGTAGTTCAACTATGAACTGACGACATGCAATTCAAGCTATGCTTGGTTAATTATAGTTCTTTCACTTGATAGACTGTATGTCAGAAGTCTTCTGGGAGTGGTACTAATTGGTGAATTACGATGGCATAGCCATCAATTACTCGTCACTTAACTATCGTAGTACAAGCTCCTAAAGATTTATACAAGAGAAGGGTTAGCTCATGTTGCATATGTCACTCCCCCCCCCCAATTCTATAACCATATGATAGTTTTATATCTATAGACGAGACACCAACAATATTTAGAATGATAATTGCAAAAAAAAAAAAAGAATTAAAAGCTGTACTCTGTAATACACTTATGTGGTCGTGTAATGTGGTACATTTTATTGTTTGTATGAACTTCCAAATTGTGGGAGGAAGGGTAATTAAAATTAAACTAATTTAAAATTAAAATATGGTGAGAGTCAAAATACACCGAGACAGGCAAGCACACAAACTCTTAGAGGCACCAGGAAATAGCAAAAGCAAAAGCAAAAGCAAAAAAACTGTACAAGAGAGAGAGAGAGAGGACAAAAAAAATTTTCTCACATTCAAGACAGATTAAGAGAGACAGACAGTGAGAGAAACAAAAAAAAAAAACAAGAAGAAAACCAAAATCAATACTCAACCAGTTTTTCTTTTTTAATATTCATATAAAAGGATTAAATCATTTTCATCTTTTATTTCAGTTTACTTTACTTCGTTCATCTATTTATTTGTTCTTATATACATACACTAACTGCTAATTGGAATAATACAAAGTGTTTTATTTCCTTTAATTTTATATTTTATTTTTTTTTCACAAAGTTTTCTCCCCATTTGCTATTTACGTTCATTAAGTATCTATCTTTTGAAGTACATACCCGTAAATTGTTCAACTACTCCTTAGATTCCCGTCCTACTGTCTGTCTAGTAAAGTAATTTATTAATAGAAAATTATCAAGATGTCTGATCCACGTCATCCACTCAATTCAGGTGAAAATAACAATAATAATAACAATAACAACAATAACAGTAATACCAACAACAGTAATAACACACACACGATTTCAAATTTATCAGCCGGCTTAAAATCAGTTTCATTGGCTGATCAACAACAGAATGAAGTAAATTTAAACTTGTTACAACAACAGTTGCATCGTGAAGCTACTACTCAACAACAACAATCAAGAATCACACAATTTTTCCAAAACCAACCAGCAGAAGGGTACACATTATTTTCTCATAGATCTGCTCCGAATGGATTCAAAGTTGCTATTATATTATCTGAATTAAACTTGCCGTTTAATACAATATTTTTGGATTTCAACAACGGAGAACAAAGGGCACCTGAGTTTGTTACTATAAATCCAAATGCAAGAGTTCCTGCCTTGATTGATCATTATAATGAAAATACATCTATATGGGAGCTGGGAGCCATTATTTTGTACTTGGTTTCCAAATATTTGAAAGAAAATGGCGAATGTTCATTATGGTCAGATAATTTAATTGAACAAAGTCAAATTTCCTCGTGGTTATTCTTTCAAACTTCGGGGCATGCACCAATGATTGGGCAAGCATTACATTTCAGATATTTCCATTCATGTCCCGTACCAAGTGCTGTGGAAAGATACACCGATGAAGTTAGAAGAGTTTATGGTGTTGTAGAAATGGCCCTTGCTGAAAGAAGAGAAGCATTAATCATGGATTTAGATGTTGAAAATGCCGCTGCTTATAGTGCTGGTACTACACCATTATCACAATCAAGATATTTTGATTATCCTGTATGGTTAGTTGGTGATAGAGCAACTGTTGCAGACTTGTCATTCGTGCCTTGGAATAATGTCGTTGATAGAATTGGTATTAATTTGAAAGTTGAATTTCCAGAAGTTTACAAATGGACTAAATATATGATGAGAAGGCCAGCAGTTATTCGTGCATTGCGTGGTGATTAAGAGTGAAGTGTAAAAAAAATGTCGAATTAAATACATCTAAAAGATGAATACTAAAACAGAGCACGAGAATCAATTGATTATTTGTCTATGAGTTTAATGCCTTTTCTGTAGTAATAATAATAATAATATATACATACATACGTAAGCAAAAAAAAAGAAGAATTTCATACAAATAGTAGTGTTCATTATAAATCGTTAAAATGACATCACAGGTTTGACCCACGTGATCATTTGATTAGGCGGAATCGCAAACCCGAGCATTTTTGATTTCGAGAGTTAATTTTTTTTTTTTTTTTTTTGCGATTTTATTTTGATGCCCATCTCTAAATCTGTCAACTTGAACCAATAACAATAAATGACTCCAGAACAATTCATACTAGGAGAAAAAGCATATAAAACAGCAAAGAAATCCTTACTTTCATTAAAGAAGCATCATGAAAATGATTCTAAGACATCAATAAACTTAATCATAAATATTAAAATTCAATTGGTTAAAACAAAAGATTATAGACCTAGGATTGTTCCAATAACTTATAAATTAGATAAAGTTACAAATAAATCCATATTACTTATTACTAAAGATCCATCTAATAAATATAGAGATGAATTAACTAAGAAAGATTGTCCTACTGAAGATACATTTCTGGATATTTATTCATTTAAAAAATTGAAAAGTTTAAGTAAGAATAGAAAAAATTTAATTAAAATTTTTAAAGAATATGATTTAATAGTTTGTGATATTAGAATTCAAAAATTTTTACCTGATATATTAGGAGAAATATTTTATTTAAAAAATAAAAAAGTTCCATTTATTATTCAAATGGCAAAACCTAATAAAGATGCAGAATTAATTCGATCAAAACAAAATAAATTAAAAGATGAAAGATGTGATTCAAAATACGTCAATTTACAAATTAATTCAATTGTTGAAAATACAAATTATATAGCTAGTTCAAAAGGTGATTGTTTAAGTTTAAAAATTGGTTATTGTGATTGGAAATTAGATCATTTATTGATGAATTTAAATGATGTTATTGATTATTTAATTAATGAAAAATATCTTCCAATTGGTGGTGTTTTAAAAGCATTAGATAATTTAGGTAATGTTCATGTTAAAACAAGTGATAGTATCAGTTTACCTGTTTATATTAAACATAAAGATGGTGAAAATGATACTAATGAAGACGATGATGATAATAATAGTGATTTTGATTTTTAAAATACTGATTAAATAGATTACTACGTGTCTGTGTATACATTAGTTCTATGCAGGGAATTGTGAGTATAAGACCGATTTTTCATTTTTTATTTTTTATTTTTTAGGTCGACCCGGCAATGCGGAAATCTTCGTAGCAAATTAGCCACTATTTCTATGACAAGCCCAGTTCGGCTTGGTACTATTATTATTATTACCACTACCACCATTCTTTTTTTTTCCTTCCTTCCTTCTTAAACTCTTCATCCTTCAGGGAGGTATTAATTATTGTCTATCTCAAATAACACCTGTATGGCAACTGATACTTCGACCAACCCTCTGGGGTTAGGTATAACGATGAGTCCTCCTCCTCCTCCTCCTCCTTCAATACCGTCAACTACAGATTCAAGATCTAGATCAAACTCATCGATCGAGACACCTCCTGAAACCCCCATCTCGATGGCATCGCCTTCATCACCGCCTCCTTCATATACATCCAATATATTTGAAGATATAGGTTCACTGGCACCAGTACGATTTCTTGGTCATTTGATAAGTGAAGAAGATGATCAAATTGAACATGTAGAACATTTCAAATATAAACAGGATTTAGAACGAAAATTAACTGTTACTTCAGTTATTGGATTAGGATTTTCTGTAATGGGTGTACCTTTTGGATTATCTTCAACTTTATGGATTTCTTTAATGGATGGTGCAAATGTGACTATTTTATATGGTTGGATAGTTGTAGGGTTTTTCTCCATATGTGTTATTCTAAGTCTTAGTGAAATTAGTTCAAAATATCCTACTGCTGGTGGAGTATATCATTTTAGTGCCGTATTAAGTAATGAAAAATATTCTTCAATACTGAGTTGGTTCACGGGATGGTTTTTATTAATTGGAAATTGGACTTATGCTATTAGTATTATGTTTTCTGGTGCACAGTTCATCTTGAGTATATTTGGTTTGAAAGATGTATATTATAAAGAAGATCGATTTTGGGTCCTTGGTGTATTCTTTTTGATATTAGGATTGGTTGGATTTATAAATTTTAAATTTTCAAAGCATTTAGAAAAAATTAACAAGATGTGTATCGTGTGGACAATTTACACCGTGTTGGCAATTGATTTCTTGTTAATTTTTTTTGCTAAAAGAACAAATTCAATTAAAGAAATTTTAACAAATTTTGATAATTCAAGAAGTGGTTGGCCCGATCCATTAGCTTTTATAATTGGTTTACAAAGTTCTTCATTTACTTTAACAGGATATGGTATGTTATTTTCCATTACTGATGAAGTTAGAAAACCAGAGAAAAATGTCCCCAAGGGAGCCGTTAGTGCTGTATTTATGGCAACTGTTACTGGTATTATATTTATCATTCCAATTTTAACCATTTTACCTGAACTTGAAGTTTTATTAGATGAAACCCCAAATATTATGCCAATCGATTTGATTTTTAAATTGTCTACTGAATCATATATTATTTCCTTTTTAATGGCTTGTTTAATGATTGGTACGGTGTTATTCCAAAGTATTGGATCTTTGACTACTGCGTCAAGAAGTACATATGCTTTAGCAAGAGATGGTGGTTTACCATTTGCACATTTATGGACCGAGGTTAATTCAATTGAAGAATACACTATCCCAAGAAATGCATTGTTTTTATCGATGCTGGTATGTGCTATATTATCATTATTGTCATTAATTTCAAGATCAGCCTTTAATGCATTTATGGGAGCAGCAGTTGTTTCTTTAACATTGGCCAATGGACTTCCAATTCTATGTTTGATGGTGGGTAAAAGGAAAAAGATTAAAGGAGCCGCGTTTAAATTAGGTAAGTTGGGCTGGATTATCAATGGTATTTCAATATTTTGGGTTTTCTTATCAGTTATTATTCTTTGTATGCCACCAGTGATTAAAAATCTAAATGCATACAATATGAATTATGCTGTATTGGTTATTATTTTATTTTTTGCCATTGCAAGTTTAGGTTATAGAACTTGGGGTAAGAAAAGCTTCACTGGACCAGCAATTGATACCGATTATTTTGAATTACATAACCTTGAATCTGCAGGAAGAAGTAATCTTGCTACAATTGATGACAACAATTTTGTTATCACTGGTGATGATGATGATGATGATGATGATGATGATGATGTAGATGAATTTAAATATGGTAGTGATGACAAAGAAGAACAAGATATTACGGATAAACCGATTGCAAAAAAAGTTAAAAAAGGAGGATATCAAAAATTAAAGACAAATTCTGAAGAAGTAGAACCAAGTTCTAGTGGATTATCAACAGCAAGTGAAGGTGAGGTACTTTTTGATTCTAATAAAGGTAACGCCTGACACTTATAACAGTATGATTTTATTTTATGATTGTATTCATGCTTGCATTTTCTTTTTATAGTTTTGTATTTTGATAGAGTTTTTTTGTTTAATATTTATACACAAATTACGTTTTAGAATTTATTATCTTCTTATTCTTAATTCTTCATTAAATATCAATATCGTACATAAAAAAAACCAGGATCAAATGGTCATCTATAAACCCCATTTTCTTTTTCTTTTCAAAAAGTAATAAAACCTCTTACCTAAAAAAAAAAAAAACAGTAAACAAATATTATCACAGCCAGGAAAATAGCCCAATAGTAACAGGAATCCTTCAAATAAAGAAAGAAAAAAAAATTGAACAAATAATAAATTAAAGTATGTACAAGTTGTAGTAGTAGATGTTATTGTGATTTCTTCTTTATTTTTCTTTCATTAAGCGGCAAGCTTTGGAGCTTCTTCAGGATAAACTGGAGCCATAGTTGGTTGAGCTTGTAATCTTTGCATCATCATACCAACCCCTTCAAAAACACCTAATAAACAGGCACAAGTAATGGCAGAATTTCTAGTATGTTTCCAACCACCTCTAATAGCTAAAGCACCACCAGTGAAAAACCCAGCTATAACTGCATTCCAAGCATCTTCTCTTTTTCTAACGGCTTTAACAGTACAATCAAAAGTAGAAAATAAACCACCCCAAACACCAAAATTACCTCCAACAACTGGAGCTCTAGCTTTAATTGCTGAAAGGGCACCATATCCTCTTTCACCATGAGGTGAATTTCTGAAACCTTTTATACCATGCCATACACAACCACCAATGACCCCCATGGCAAATGCACCACCAAAATCATTTAAGATTACTATTGGACATGGATCTCTAGTATGGTCAGCAGACATTTTGTTTCTATTATTCTGTGTATGATTTATAAAGTACTTGTGTGAAGAATTTTAATAAGTAAGAAATCGGGAATTGAAAAATTTCTTTACTTAATAAAAAAAAATGAATGAAAACGAAAAATTTTTTGTGACTGAATGGGAAAAAATTTTGGTGTGATGTACACGACTCGCATAGTTTGGGATTTTGCCTCTGGTTTAAGAATTGCAAAAAATGAATGGGAGGGATTATTGCAAAAAAAAATTACAGACCCTAATGATTCAAGCATATCAATGAAATTTCAAAAGGGTATAAAAAAGAGGGTTTATTATGGGTAGTCTATTTTGGTTTAGTTTATTTGTTTTTTTTTTTTTTTTTTGGATTAAGCTTATCCTATTGACAAACTATTTATTCAACCCATCATGGATACATACGATCAAGCATTAGTTTCGTTTAATTTAAAACCATTTTCAAAATATGATCAAGGACAATTAAAAAATTTACCATTTTTTGGTAGAACTGTTAGTGATTTACAAAATAGAAGATTTATAGAATTTGATAAGAAAGGATATATTAGTATTAAATTGCAACAATAATATAAAATTTTGATTTTTAATTGTACTCAAATTGTTCAAAAATTGTGTTTATTAATTAAGAATTTTTACAAAATTAACAAGAATTTATTTAATAAATTGGGAGAAATTAATTGTTATACTAAGCAATTTGTTCATTGTATAGAGTTGCTAGTTAATAATCTGGCATTCCTAGGAAACACTGAGATAAGTAATCATGATTTGGTAATATTGAGGGAATATTTATTTGATGATATGTATACGAATGATAATATCGTTCTTAGTAAAGATTTTCAGAATAGAAAAAAAGTCAGAATATCAGAAGGTTTAAAAATTCAATTGGAGAATCAATATGGATATAGGATCTATTGTCAGAAAGGAAGTTTGGATCTTTTTAGTTTGATTCTAACAATTTACCGATCAAGAATGAAGTCTGGTAAAGTTTTAAAGTGATTTACTATACAGTCCATTGATACTATTATCAACAGAGTGAATCTAAGGAAATCAAGTTCACAGAATCTTACTTTGTGGCTCTCTTGTTCTTTCATATTTTCATTATCCTTGATTCAAGTTTGCCCTCTTTTTTTGTTTGTACAGTTTTTTGTATTATTTTTATCTTTTTGTTTCCCTGAGAAATGATGTAATACATATAGAACTAATGTTCGTAACCTTTGTTTGTTTGTTGTAAATGGAAATACCGGAGATGTGATTGTACAACCTTATCTTGATATTCATGAAATAGCAAGCAAATGTGATTAGAGACTATGACTTACTAAGTGACTGACGTATTAGGTTAATTTCTTGTTGCCGTGTTCATCAACATCATGTTCATGATCTTGTTCTACTGTCAACAATATACTTTACACTTTGTACCTTAATTATTATTCTTTTTTCTTTTTTTTGTTGTTGCTTACATTCTTTCTTTGTCGTTCTAGCTCCACTTTCTAATCTCTCTTTGCTCGCCCCAATCCATCTCGTGCCACCACCGACCACACTCCCTCATTTCCTCATTTCCTCATTTCCTCACTCCCTTACTCCCCCCGCCTTATGTCTCCCTGCCTCTCTCACTCCCTCTTTCTGTTCCCCCGCGCGCGAACAAATTATTTGTGTTGTTTGACCCACAAAGATAAAGGAAATGGGCAATTTAAATTTCACTCCCCACCGTTTAATTAATACATTCACACCCCCTTACACAACAGGCAGAAAGGGTGTGTATGATGGAGAGAGTGGGGTGTGAAGATAAGAAACGAGTAGAATACGATTAATCAACAAATATTACACAGTAGAAGACAAATGTGGAGAAGGATACTTTAGTAATACTTGCTTGTCATTCATTTGTCGATGATGGTAAATTCATCTTAGACGAAAAAATGATCCATATATACACGACCTACATAATTTGTATGCGAACAAGTGAGTGAATGTATAATTATTATTTAAACATGTGTGTGGATATTTTTAGCTGACTTCTCTCTAGTAAATACCAGGTTGTGAATCTTAGGAAGAAGGAGAGAGAGATTGTGTATATTGTATATTTTTATTATTATTATGGTATGAAATTTCAAGTTGTTTTATTTTTTTTTATATTAATTTAAATATCAGCAAGAAGAGTCGAATTTTTTTTTTTTTTTTTTTATAATATTTTATTGAGTAATTCCTTACTGTGATTCAATTCTCAACCACATTTAGATCAAATTACAAGAGGTAATATTTTTTATGGTTTACAAATTCTAATCTTGTTTCTACCATTTAAGATTTCATCAGATCGCCTGCCTTTAATTTCCTTTGGCTCAATTCTGTGCTAATAACAACTATATTTACGAACCTTTTTTTTTCCACCTACAACTAACTCCAAGCAACGTAACTTTCACTTAATTTAACTAACTGTTACTGTAAAACTTTGTGAGGAAAAAAAATCACTCAAGAAAAATCGAAATTCCTAATATTCAATTCCCCTTTTTTTTGTTCATTTTTTCATAAATCAATTCTTACAATCAATTTATAAATTATGGCATATAATAACTATAATTATAATAGGCATAACTCAATAGGTGGGAGTTGGCACTTGCCTCCCCCTTCATACCAACAACAACAGCAACAACAGCAACAGCAATCTCAGAATCCACCACATCTTCAACATCAATCACTGCATCCTACTTTAAATCAAGATGTATTAGGAAATCCAAATGATCAATATCAACGTCCTAATCAGCATATGTCAGGTTTCAGAAACCCGTGGTATTCCCAACAACAACAGCAACAGCAGCAGGCGAGTCCAAGTTCTTCCTTGTTATCTTCATCATCTTTATCACAATCACCAACAAAATCGCATCAGATACCGTTGTTGCAACAGCAACAACAGCCGCCATTGAATAAGCGGTTGTCATTCGCCAATCAGTTGCCAACAACCTATGAATATGAGAATGATAATAACGTTCCTCCTTTCATTCATCCACCAACGCGTGCTGACAACCCATTCAACCAATACTTTGCAAATCAAGAAGTGTCTCTAGGAAGCAATGATCGTAGGATGTCTGTTGCTATAGATGGAACTCATTATAATCCATTTGGTACATTTGGCCAACAAAACAATGCCTATCCATCTGGTCCTGCAGGTGTAGCTGGCCATCAATACTTGAACAATCCAAATTTGGGAGCCATTCCTGGAGCTAACAGAAGATCTTCATTAGCCGTTATGCCCAATCATTATCGTCAACAACAGGGTCCACAACAACCAATAGATCCAAATTCACCAGCTGCAGCATATTACCTACCACCTGCTCGTCTTGGTAGATCAGCTCTGATCATTCAATACCAGCAATATCAACAGGCTTTACAAAACCTGAAAGTCAACAAGGCATATCGACCAGCACCAAAAGCTCGCAAGATCTACAACAAAATGGAATTAACACCGAAATACCACCAACAACCTAAATATCGTCGATGTTCAGTTAATTCCATCCACATTTCTCCTGTTAATGCATTATCGGTATATTTGACCGAATCGTACAGCATATGTCAGCCACGTAAGTTCCAATATTCAAAATCCACAAATCCAAAGAGAGTATTGACCAAACCGCTGGAGCCGAAATTTAATAATGGGTATGATAACGAAGACAGTGACTATATCTTGTATGTTAATGATGTCTTGGGCAGTGAAGAAGGAAAGAAGTATATGGTGTTGGATTTATTAGGATCAGGAACATTTGGACAAGTTGTTAAATGTCAGAATCTTTCTAACCAAAGTGTTTGCGCGGTCAAAGTGATCAAATCCAAACCTGCATACATGAATCAATCGCTCACAGAAGTCAGGTTATTGGAGTTTTTGAATACCAATAGTGATGGGAAAAGTTTCATCCGTTTGTTGGATACATTTATGCACAAGGAACATCTTTGTTTAGTGTTTGAATTGTTGGCATCCAATTTGTACGAATTGATCAAACAGAATCAATTCCAAGGTCTCAATATGAAACTTGTTAAAATTATCAGTAAACAACTTTTGGAAGGATTGGCTCAGCTAAAGAGTTTCCAGATGATACATTGTGATTTGAAGCCAGAGAATATATTGTTAATAACTGGAGATAAACCTACGATTAAAATCATTGACTTTGGGTCTGCTACGTTTTCAAAAAATACCATATACAGTTATATTCAATCTCGTTTTTATCGAAGTCCAGAGGTTATTCTTGGATTGAGTTACGGAGAAGCTATAGACACTTGGTCATTAGGATGTATAGTAGGTGAACTTTATCTTGGTCTTCCATTATTCCCAGGTACATCTGAGTACAACATGCTATGGAAAATACAAGAAATGTTGGGTCCACCACCTCGTCATATGCTTCTCGGACGAAACTCGATGAATTTTTATAAGAAACTTCCTGGGAAAACACCAGACGATAAACCAAATTATCAGATCAAGACCTACGAGGAATACTGTCAATTTTTAGAACAAAAGAAAGGATCAAGTGCTCATGAAAAGGAGAATAAGAACTATTTCAAACACAAATCTTTGAAGGATATTATCATGAATTATAGATTACCATCAAAGAAAATGACAAATTCCATGGTTGAAAAAGAGATGCGTGAACGAGAATTGTTGGTTGATTTTCTTACAAAAGTACTCAATTGGAATCCTATTGAAAGATTAACTCCACAAGAAGCATTGAAACATCCTTGGATGAATTCATAGATTTATTGCATATAGGTAATGTATAATTGTCCCCCCTTCTTCTCCCGACAAGAATGATCCAAATGTAAATTGATTTTGTAAATCTTGCAACACTTGTGATTGTCTGTAATATTTTAGTATTATCTGCGAGTATCACGTGAAATGCGTGTGTGTACCATAAAAGTAAGCATTCCGACTCAACGAGAACCAACAAAGAGGAAAAAAAAAAAAAAAGAAAATCTTTCAAAATATCACCAACCAAAAAAAAAAATAAAACGAAAACTCAATCTAGACAACCAGTTGAAGAATCAAACTAAAAACTCAAAACAACAAAGCAAAACCACTGGATTTCAGATTTGTTTATAAGTGAAAAAGAAGATCATCTTATTTGAATTATTATTTCATTTATTTATATACCTTGCATTATAGATAGACCAAAGAAAGGAGACAGTTAATAAAAATTTCAGAAATATAAACCATGAATGTATCAACAAGTGCCCTTGGAGTTAGAAGAAGAAAAGTAGCTACACAAAATATAGATGATGAAGAGAATTCAGCAGTTTTAAAATTAGGACCAGAATTTCAACTAGATCAAATTACAAATCAAGGAGAGAAACAAAAATTGATAGCATTAAATGTATCAGAAGCAAGATTATTAATTCGAGCAGCATTAAAAGAACGTAAAAAATCTAATAATAAGAAAAAATCAGTGAATAGAAATGGAGGCATAGATGCAATGGATGAAGATTCTCATCATAATAATAATCATAATAATCATCATCATCAAGATGGAATGGATAGAGATGTTGATGAAGAAGATGAAGATGATATTGATGAAAAAGAAGACGAGATTTCAAATATTGATTTAGCTGGACCAAATTCAAATGAAGTTGTACATAAAACATTGAATTATTTAACTAATTTTTCAAGATTTAAAAATACTTCAAGTGTTGAAACAGTTGAAAAATTATTAAATGATTTTAGTGAACATTGTAATGAACCTTTACATCCTTTTGAATTGGCTCAATTGGGCACTTTAGAATGTGAAGATTCTGAAGAAGCAAAGAGTTTAATACCTAGTTTGACAAATAAAGTATCTGATGTTCAATTACAAACTTTATTAACTGAATTAAGAAAATACCAAACATTATCTTAGGTTATCACAGAAGAATTAACATAAAACAAGAAAAAAAAAACAACAACAACAAGAACGAGGTTAATTTACTATTGATATAGTTATATAAATATATATAAATATCCATGTAAGTACTTCTATAGTGTATTATTTAAATCAATATTTCAATCTAGATATCAACGGATGAAAAATTTCGCAAACTTGCAAACTTGCAATCTTGCAATCTTGCTTTGATGATGATGATGATGATGATGATGATGATGTAAATTTTCACCTAACCACAACAAGACAAAAAAGAAGAAAAAAAAAAAATGAGAATAAACAGTACGAAAAATTAGAACTGGTTGAATATCAACTACACATACAAGACCAATATGGACTCAGACGATGATTTATATGATGAATTTGGTAACTACATTGGAGGATCAGATGCAGAGAATTCTAATGACGACCTACCATCTGTTATTGACGAACAAAGTGACCATGAAGAACAACAAGAAGAAAGAGATGAGAATCACCAATCATCAAGTACATCATTAATTAAATCTACAATTGATTCAAATACATCAGAAACCATTTATATTGGACAAGATCAAGAAATATCAAATGAACCAGTTATTAAACCAATTGAAGAAAAAAAAATGAAAATAGAATATTCTACAAATAATTTAAATAAATTACCTGAATTGATTTATTCAAGAGATTATCTTATATCTACAATGAATTCAATTCCTGAAAGAATAAGAAATTTAGCAATTCTAGGGAATTTAGGATGTGGTAAAACTACATTTATTGATTCATTAATATTATTTACTCATTCACCTTCAATTTCAATTAAAAATAATTTAAAAAATTTCAAGCCGTTAAGATTTATGGATAATCATAAATTAGAAATCGATAGAGAAGCATCCATTAAATCAAGTTGTGTTTGTTTATTATTAGAAGATATGAAGAACAGGTCTCACGTTGTCAATTTGATAGATACTCCTGGGCATGTAGATTTTAATGACGAGGTATTATCGACATTAAATACAGTTGATGGAGTTGTATTAATGATTGATGTAGTCGATGGATTAACAAGTAGAGATAAGTTATTGGTTGATGAAATTATAAAAAGAAATTTACCTATTGTATTAGTACTCAATAAATTGGATAAGCTAATCTTGGATTTAAGATTACCTGTTAAAGACAGTTATTTAAAACTACAATATATTATTGATGATATAAACGATTATATTGAATCACATCCTTTGATCACTACGTATTCCAATCATAAAGAATTATCACCTGAATTGAACAATGTTATATTTGCAAGTTCCACATTTGAAGTTTCATTTACATTACAAAGTTTTGCCAATTTATATAATTCAGATGTTGAATTTAGCGGGAAATTATGGGGAGATTATTATTATGATGTAGAGAATTATAAATTTACTACTGATTCACAGAATAATAAACTTCCAAGACTGTTTATTTCATTTGTCTTGGAACCTATTTATAAAATTGTCACATATACGATAACTGCTGAACCAAGTGATAAGAAACTTGGCAAACTATTATGGGATAATTTTGGTGTTTCATTACATAAATCAGACTACAAAAAGGATCCTCAAGTATTGTTGAAGACTGTATTTAAAGCCATATTTGATAACCATTGTGGGCTTGTTGATGTAATTACCAAATCTTTACCATCACCTCAAAAACTGAAAACAAGATTATTACGTGGTACCCCAGATAAAGATATTCCCGTGGATGTTCTTGCGGAGGTTACAAAATTAATCGAATCAACTGATGGGAAATCATTTAATTCATTGGTTAGAATTCACAAAGGAAGTATTAAACTTGGTGATAAAATCAAAGTATATGGTGAAAATTTTAATGAAGATAAAGAAGATTATAAAATAGAAAAGGTCAGAGGAATTTATCTACCATGTGGAAGATATAAAGTTCCAATAAATGAAGCTAATACTGGTTGTATTGTGATTCTTGAAGGAATTGATTCAATAATTAAAAAAGGAGCAACAATTACAGGATCAATGGAAAATCTAGATTATATTTTTGATATACCCAAATATTCTATCAATTCGGTTTTCAAAGTTGCTATTGAACCCGAGAATCCTTCTGAATTACCTATATTATTAGAAGGTTTAAGAAAAATCAACAAGAATTATTTATCAAGTATTATTAATGTTGAAGAAAGTGGTGAACATATAATTCTAGCCCCAGGTGAATTCTATATGGATTGTATATTACATGATTTAAGATTTTTCTTTACCAATGATTTAGAAATTAAAGTAAGTGATATAATGGCTAAATTTTCTGAAACTTGTATTGAATCATCATTTACTAAAATTGGAATTTCAAACCCTTCAAAAGATATTAAAATTTCAATAACTGCTGAACCAATTGAAGATTTCAAATTATCCAATGCAATAGAATCTGAAAGAATTAATTTAGATCAAATGTCAACTCGTGAAATTTCAAAAATATTACGTCAAGAATTTAATTGGGATTCATTAGCATCTAGATCAATTTGGGCATTTGGACCAAATGATTTAATTACTCCTGATATTTTACTTGATGATACTTTAGAATCTGAAATATCTAAATCTGAACTTAATAATTATAAAAATTCAATTATTCAAGGTTTTAAATGGAGTGTGAATCAGGGACCTTTATGTGATGAACCAATAAGAAATACAAAATTTAAAATTCTTGATGTTATTACAAATAATAATGATTTATCATTAATAAATGGTACCAATAACCTTGCATCTCAAATTATTCCAATTAGTAGAAGAGCATGTTATACTGGATTTTTAACAGCAAAACCTCGATTAATGGAACCTATTTATAAATTAATCTCAAAATGTACTCATAAATCAATTAATGTAATTAAAAAATTATTACAACAAAGAAGAGGTTTTATAGATTCAGTTGAACCTATACCTGGAACTCCTTATTTTGAAATCATTGGTTATTTGCCCGTTAATGATTCTGCTGGTTTAACTACAGATTTGAAATTACATTCTCAAGGTCAAGCAATAATGTCGTTAGTGTTTTCGAATTGGGAAATTGTTCCTGGTGATCCATTGGATGTAAATGTCGAATTGCCAAATTTAAAACCAGTACCGGAAGAATCTTTGGCAAGAGATTTTATGTTGAAAACAAGAAGAAGAAAAGGATTAACAGGTGAACCTACATTACAAAAGTATATTGATTCAGAATTGTATATAAAATTAAAAGAGAAAGGATTTGTATTATAAAACTATTCCAAACTAATATATGTATGAGATAGAGGAGAATTTTTCTAAATAGGTTGAGAAATAAACAAAATACACATACAAACAGTCAAAAACTTCAAGGTTAATATCTTTTCTTAATCTATTCAATTTTTCTTTTCTTTGATACTGGTCCATCTTCATCATTTTCTTCAATATGGATATGATCGAATCCACCATTTGTACTATCCTGGGAATTATCAACAAGTGCGTTGTATTTAGTGATGAATCTAGGTTGGGTAGTCAATTCAAACGTCAATTGCTTAGGTATTTTAGTTTTATTTTTAGTGCTGTCACTTAATCTTCTAAATAAACTCACAAAATCACCAATGCTAATATCTCGGCAGTATAAGTTATCTTCTGTCATTTTTAGGTTTTCAAATTGAGGAATTGTAAGTATAATTTCTTCTGATATTAAAAATGGTTCTACTTCATTCAATTGTTGGTCCTCTCTAAGCAGTGCAAAAAACTCTTCAATTGATTTTTGTAAATAGTCTTCGTTCTCATAGATACAATGAGTATCAGGATCTTCGTCATATGGGAATAATAGGAACTTATAACTAAAGTAGTTTAAATATATTGGGATCTTTTGAAAGTTCGTCGATTCGCCTGTTGTTGTCAACTCTGTTTCCGGCTCTATTGGTTGAGCAAATTCAGGATCTTCGGTCAAAGTAATCACATCATCCAAATCTTCATTGATTGTATGTTCTGTTGATTTAAGTGCTGGTTCTTGTTGTTGCAGTTGAGGTACCATTTCTATATCTTCGATTGAATCCTTAGACGCGTCAGCAACTGGGTCATCTTCCTTACTTTCAACTATGACTATGTCAACTTCTTCCTCTTCCTCTTCCTCATCATCATCATCTTCTTCTTCTTCTTCTTCTTCTTCTGGTTGGCCATTATCATCATCCAGTGAAAGTTCAATTACTTGCTTCTCTGAAACTTCTTCATCCTCTTTATTGAATGATTCCTGATATGCCGATTCTTCTAGTATTGACTGTGATTCTTGATCTTCACTCACTTCGTGTACTTCTTGTTCTGATTCATCATCTATTTCTTCATATTTGGACTCAATCTCTGCAATTTCTCTATCCTCGTCTTCCTCATCTTCTAGTTCTACTACCTGTTCGTGAACATCCTTGTCAATATCGTCACCATTCACGCGTTCTTCTTCTCTTTGCTCATCCTCCACTTGCTCCTCATATGTATTGTCCTGATTAATGACAAATTCATCATCATCAAATTCCAACTCTTCTTCTGAGTCGGCTTGTTTTCCATCCTCAACTGTTTTACGATTATTTCTAGTGTCAATAATAAAAAGTCCATTCTCATCAATTTCATGTTCATTATCATTTTCCACAACAACCTCCTTTGTAAGAGTTTCAATAGTTTGTTGTGTATCTGTCAATATAGATGATTGATTCTCCTCACTCATAATTTTGTAATATTAAATCCTTCAACTCTTTGATATATTGCTATGGTTTATGTTGTGGTTAATTTTTCTAAGAAACAACTAGTATTTCAGAAAAAATAAATACCAACTATATTAGTTTTACTTTTGAATTAATATATCCGTCAAAAAAAAACTACCCTCCTTAATACGTACCCAAATATTTCTAAATATTTGATGATTATATGGGCTATGAGTTGTTGATTGATTGTCAATATAAAGAAGAAAATATGAACTCAAAAATGAACTTGCAACAAACAAGGCAAAAAAAATGTTAAAGAATCTTGGAGGTTCACATCATGGGGGCACCGAATTTGTTTCGGTTTCTGAAACACGACTTTTTCCAGTCATATTCAAACAATTATGAAACTACACTTTCGTTTTGTCTTTTTTTTTTCAATTAAGAATTAGTATTAAATTACACCTAATTAAACAATGTATATACTATATATGCATGTATAAATCCAAGAAATGAAAAGTATTAAAATAGTTACTCTTTACAAATAAATTCTTAATAGTTTGTGTAGATTCCTTCGCTTGTCCGCCATCTCTTTTATGGTGCCCATATCTTGAAACTTTGGGGAGCCTTCAAAGACAATGGGATCATGTTGTCATCTTGCACATCAGAACCTTGATCAGTATTCAGAGCAGTATTTGATGTTCCCTTGGCTGCATCTGTTTCTTCTAATGCCTGCCTTGTTGGCTTGTATAATAATGATTTAGCATCATTTAATAAATTACCAACGGCTTCATTACCACTACCTTCAACCAATTTGATAGCTTCTTCTAATTTTCTAATCACTCCAATTGTGGATTTGGTCAACGCTATTCTGTCTATAAATAATTCTTCTTGTTGTTTGGCCAAATGTTGTCTCTCACGTTCGTAAATCTTTTCTAATTCTTCAACCTTGTTGAGCTTGGTTTCAATTTTAGAAATTTCATGATTCACTATACTAGAACTGATTTTATGCATTTCTCTTTCTTCAAAACTTGAAAACAAATGGCTTCTGCCACCAATTATACCAAAAGTAGTAGCAATAGCATCTTCGGTTGTTGGTTCTCTTTCCATGGCCCCATTAGATGATTCTTGTTTTTCTTGGGTTTCGTCCTTATTGGAGTTGTAGACCTGAGCTACTTTCTTTTCAATGCACGCATCCATGGCTTTTGATGCAGCTTCACTGGCAGCTTTGGCAACACTACTATCAACTAATTTGGTCATGAATGCTAAATTGGATAATACTGGATTGTCGATAGAACTGACCGGATAATGTGGAGCATATTTCAACAAATTTATACTTGCACTATCGTCATCTTTAATTGGATTAAATTTATCTTCCAATGGCAATTGCAAAAATTTGAGGATACATTGTTGAGGAGTCTTGTTTGAACCAACAGCATTAGCAATTTTATACCAGTCATTCTTGAATAATTTCACTGCATTAACCAAAGCATCATATTCAGCATCGGACCAACCATCATTTCTCTTCTTACGTGGTGGTTGTTGTTCTTGTTGTTCCTCTTCTTTTACTTGTTGAGGAGTTTCATCCAGTAAGCTATGCTTCTTGTTGTTACTGTTAGTTGTGTGTTCAGTGTTGTTGCCATTCTGATCAACAGTACTATTAACATCACCTTCTACTAAGCTCTTCAACTTTTTAACATCAATTCGTTCAACAGGTATTCTTGAAGTGTCAAATGGAAACAACCCACGAGGAGTATCAAACTTGACGTGATAATCTCCTGTATATGGCAAATCAACTGGCTGTCCATTTGGCATTTTCTCAAGTGCATAACCAGGTTTGAATTGTGGTTTAACTTGATAGTTTATTAGACCCCATTTATTTAAAAACCTGTGAACTCTCATCAAAGTACCAACATCACCAACTAAGTTTCGACGACATGAGGTTAACGTTAAAAACTCATTTGGGTTTAATCTATAAGAATTTATCATAAAGTTTCTATAATTGACATAAAGTTTTGGAGACTTGGATGGATGAGTGGTATCAAAGAACTCAGGTAAGGACTCCTTTTCAATCTTATGGATCTTCTTCATGTTAAACCAGCTTGCATAGGATGGTATAATGATCAAATGTGTTTGCTTGTATACTGGTTTCTCTCTGGCAGGTTCTTCTGGTTCATCTTCATTGTTTTCTTCCTCTTCTTCAGCTTCTTCTTCAACGACGTTGCTGATGTTATCATTATTACTATTAATGACAACTTTGCTTTCAGCCAGTACTGGAGTTGGCTTAACAATCTCTGAAGCAGGAGTGTTGATGGTTGAATTTGAAGCAGCGGTGATTAGTTCAGATTCTGGCACAATCGGATCTGCTGCGATTGGTTTTGGTTCTTCTTGCTTTTCTACTTTAAGTCCAACATTAGCTGAATCCATTGGAACTTCAGTTGGAATTTGAGGTGGTGGTTGTATAACTGCAGCCTCTTGAGGTTGATCAACAATTGGCTCTGTAGCAGTTGGTACTTCTGTTGACGCAACTTCTTCGCTTTGTTTAGAATCCAAATCCATGTTGTCATCATTCATCAAGACAGATTTTTCTAATTCATCATCAGATTTGTTGTAATCATTGACATTGTAGTTACCATCAAAGGAAGGGTCATCTTGTTGAATATTCTTCAATTCTTCATCTTCTCCTAATTCTTGTTTAATTTCTTCCTCTTCAAACTGTCTATTCTCAGATGCAGAAGGTTGGAACGCAACAGGTGTTTCTTGAGGAATATCAACATCCATTTTATCTTCTTCTTGGACTTGTTCAGTTGACTCTGGCATGTCAGGAATATCTAATTGAATGTCGACTTCTTCTTCTTCTTCTTCCTTTTGTTGTTCTTTTTCTTTTACTTCTTCCGGTTGCTGTTGCTCCTGTTGCTCAACGTTGTTGTTATTGATGATTGATGCTGAAGCAACTTCAGAAGAGCCTTGTTCAGTAGAAGCTTCTGACAACCCATTAATTTCATCATTTGGTAATGAACTACTTTCTGGGGCTACATGATTTGTTTCAGTATTTTGCTCTTCAACGAACTGATTTACATTCTGCTCCGACAACTCAGGAAGGTCCTTGGCTTCGATAGTTGGTTCTTGTTGTTCTTCATTTGCATCTACCACTGGTTCTTCCGGCAAATCATTTGAGTTAGCAATAGGAGCTTCATTTACTACTTCTGATGCTGCCTCCTCTTGTTGTTGTTGCTGCTGCTGTTCATTATCTTCTTGAACGGGAATGTCTGATTGATTATCATTCAGTGCTGATGGAGAAACCAGCTGAAGCAAACTTTCACCATTACCATCTTGTTGGTTAAGTGACACAATCTCTTCCATTTGTTTTTCATCCAATTGGTTTGCATTTATTTCCTCTGTTGACTCTATAGCAGGAGGAATATTATCAGTACTACCAACAGCAGCCACATCTTCTTCTTGTTGTTGTGGTTGCGGTTGTTGTTCTTGTTCAAGTATAGTATGCGAAGGAATATTTGCAACATTTTCATCCTCTGCAACAGTTGTTGTTGTTGTTGGTTTATTTTCTTCCCCTGGTGAAACACTCATATTGGAATAGTTTATTATTATTGGTGTTGTTGTTGTTGTTGTTATTATTGTTTTTTTTTTTCGTTCAATTTTCTCTGGTTCTTAACTGTCCCTTGTAATGATACTATGATTAAAAGAATGTGGATTATAGATCAACTAATTGCTTGATTGATACAAATCAGTTTGATTAACCCTGATTTAATGTTTCCAATACAAATAAATTTGGTTGTAAAAAAATCCTTAGGGGAAACGTTATCCAACTAGAAAAATTTGTTTTTTTTTTTGTTGTTTGTTAATTTTGAGAGAGAGAGAGAGGGAATTTTTTTGTCGGTTTTTTTGCTTTTTTTTTCTCACTCTCGTTCTCGCACATTGATTGTTGTTTTGACTCAATTCACACGTCCTCTGTGGTCGTGTATAAAGTCCCGGCACGTGACATTATCACGAATATTTGATTAGGTATGTTTTCTTTTTTTTTAATTTAATATCTCTGGGATGAAAATGCTCGTAGTTGATTAATACCGAGCAACCATGCATCTTAATAGCATGACAGGACTTGGAGTGATACACATTTAAGGTATCAAACAAAAAAATTACTGAGCAAAACGAGGGAATTTTTTTTTTTGCCTTTAATCAAAGATTTTATAATTCATGGGAATGACGAGTTAATTTAAATTTTTTGCTGGAGGGTTGGGGAGTAGTTTAAAAATTTACTGAATCAATCATAGGTCTGGTATATTTGGGGTATATTTTCCCTCTGTGCTTTTCTGTCTTTCTCTGACTATCTCTCTCTCCTTCTTTTCCATCATTGGTAGGATATACATTTGAAACTCATACTGGTTGATAAAAAAAAATACAAACAAAAAAAATGAGACGTGAAATTTTAAAATAAAGATTGAACAAGAACAAACAAAAAAAAAATTGATTTTGAAAAGAAGAAAGTGAAAGGAATAAATGTGATTTTATATATATTTACATAAACTGAATTTTAACCAGGAGGAAAGGGAATATAAATATTCCAAAAAGAAAGAAGAAAAAAAAAATGTGTTTAATGCAAATTACAAAAAAAAAAAAAAAAAAAAAAATCATAAAGTAACACAAAGAACCAATTATGCATCTTGGTCTTTTTTTTACCTATTGAGTTTGTGGCACTTTAAAACAAAATTATTATTATTATTATTATTGTAATATTCTTAACAAGGAACTTTGGGTCAAAATGAGAGATACTTATAAAAGAATTGACATTTTTTTTGTATCTGTTACAATCAATTTAGATTATTGATATATAAATTATTGGTATTTTTATTAGATGATTCTAATCATTCGTTGTCAACTTAAATAGAAAGGTAGTGTAGATTTGTTAAAAAGGTTCTTTTTTTCGGTTTATTGATTTCATCTAGTTTTTGTTTTTTGCAATCTGTAAGTTAAAGTGAGAAGTGCCAAATAGAATTAAAAAAAAAAATTAGTGTGTACAATAGAACAAAAAACAAATTCCCTTCGGATAAAAACGATAGTTACCAGTCTATGATTGATTGTAGGTTTATATGTAGTTGGTTGTGAATCCTTTGATGTAAATTAGAAATTAATTAGAATATGTCGATACAAAGAAAAGACACAACTACAAAAAAAGAAAATCAAAATGAAAAAGGGAGCAACCAAATTTCGAACAAAGCACAAGCCCTCCAAGATACTTTTAGGCTTTTTACTGTGCATTTTGTTTTTCTTTTTTTTATGTTTAAGAATTTAATTTTTGGTTTGAATTGTTGTAGTTGAAAATGGGTGTGAGAAACAGCCAGGTTGTAGTAGTCGTCATCGTTATTATTAAAAGATGGTTCCTTTTTGATGTTGTTGTTTGTTTGTTGGTTTATTAACCCTTTGATCATGAGCCAGAATAATAACTGGTCGAAATTGTGAATTGAAAAGATAGATAATATAATATATAAATCTACCATTTTTGTACCCACTGCAAAACTAAAACAACCAACAAATAAAATTTAGAGAAGGAAGAAGATCGATGGAAATGACGGGGATACCTTTTGGTTTTCCTAATTTTTCTTTCCTTCTCTACTGGTGTTTGTATTGTACAAAAATTATAAATTTGATTATACCCGCTACTTGTTCATCATAAAAATCGAATATATCACTATAGTAGTGTATTTCAATTCATTCAAATAAAAGGGCAAGGAATCAAGAAGGAAAATACTATCCCACCTTGGTTTTGATTTTCTATTTCCTTTCCTTGTTTTATTTATTCATTTATTTATTTATTTTTTAGTTTGTCTATTTAAAAGTAATAATTTCAAACGATTATGCATGGATGGTTTTCTTCTTCCTTCTTGATTAAAGCATTGAATGAGCCATACTTTATGTAAGCAAAAGAAAAACAAAAAAAAAAAAACTAAAAAGAGACAAGAGTGAAACTCAATGACAAGGAATAGGACAAAAATCAACATGGCTCGTAGATCCATTAAAAAATGACTGACCTTACTTATTAGCACTCCTATCGGGTTAATTTCATGTATTCCATTCTGCTTTCTTTGCAGTCAGATATCTTTCATTACGCAATTCTAGCTCATTGTTTCAAGTTGATCAGCAATTTAAAAATAAAAATAAAAATAAAAATAAAAATATGCTGTCTGTGTGATGTCTGCTTCTTATAAATATGGGGAGCTCCACTGATAGTAGTGGGTTAAATTGCTAGAAATTAACAATCTCTCCACTTGTTCCATTTGCTTGTTTCCCACAAGTTTACTACAATATTACACTGAATGCGGGCATTCTCATTAGATAATCAATGTAATCTTGACCGGAAGGATTTCCTTCATGTATTCCTATTGTCTCGTAGTCATACTGTAACAATTTTTTTTTTTTTTTTTGATTTTTATTTTTTTTAATTATCACTATCAAATGAAGTACAAATTGATGCACCCCTATCCTGAAATTCTTTTTTTGCTTAATACATGATTTGCATTTACAATATCGTCAGTTGTCAATACCTACATCTACCTTTAATAGTGATGGTATTGCCATTAGTATGAAAGAGTTTTATGGAGAAATTACAGCCCAGCCTGTGTACCAAACTTACTGTTTCTTTTTTATTTGTATAAATATTTTTTCGCTGTAAGTTGGTTTATCGCGATGTGGGTTAAAATTGTGCCCTGATCTACTCGAAACAAAGAATTATTAAGTGGGAAATTATTCCTTACTTCTTGACTCACTGATTATTTAGTTCGCCGCTAAATTTGACTTCACTTAAACTACGAAATGTAGCAAATACTAGTGGCAGCTTTATAGACGAAAACCAAAAAATGGAAACTAGTACATGCCCGTAACTAACAGCAAATCAATAATTTCAGTTTTAGAAAACGATTCAGAATATATTTTTAACGACCCATCACAATAATAACCTTTCCTACATTTACTTTTCCATTCTTTCTCCAAAAAAAAGTAGATGGAAATAATCGCCCGTAGATTGTTTGTGTAATGTTTAAATTTGTTTTTTTGTTAATTATTGTCTATTTAATGCGATTAATATTATTCCATTTTAGATTCTCGGCCTGATACCTCGCAATTTGGTGCTTAACGATGTCACACAATTCTATGTAGTACTCACTCATCACCAACAAGTCAAGTTATTTTTAACATTCTTGTTAATTCAATGTTACTTCTGATAAATAATTTTCGACTATAATTATCATCTTTATAAATGTGTATTAACAATGGAATATCAAACCATGTTAATGTTTCAAAAAACTTTTAATATTAAAGAGTTTATCTCAATATATGACGTAGGATTTTAATTGTTCCAGGTGCACCCCTTAATGAGCAAAAAAAAAAAAAAAAGGAATTGGCACCGCCCTAGACAGAAACAACAAAAAAAAACTAAACAGTAAAGTATGGGAATATACACCAGCTAGATTCTTTATCAAACTATCTCAATTAAACAATTAAAGTGGTGTTTGCCAATAACTATAGTTCATAAGTAAGTTCAAGCTGAAACCTATTAAGCAATATCCTCTTGTTGACTCTAATTATACTCATAAACCTTAAGTTTGCAATTCCGAATATGGAATCGCACGCATGTTAAAAATCGCCTATAAAGATTTTGTTCGCACTAGGGTTATAGCCCTAATTCATATTTGTGCGCACCCAGACTTCAATAGTTAATTAATGAATTCGCAATAAAAAATTGTTGTTTTTTTGCTCCATGTACACGTACACACATACTAAAACATTTTTTCTGCCATACAATTTGTCACTATAACCAATTTTTTTTAGCCACATTCACACTACGCCCACAATCCGAATTTCGCACGATTCGCACAACCAAACTCACAGCACTCGCACACACACACAGACACACAGTGCTTCGCACTCTCACAACTGTACACTCTAACAAAATTAATTTTTCAAAAAAAGGTGAAAGAAATTTTTTTACAAAAGAAGAAACCTTTTACTAGATAAACTAATCAACAGAATATCAACAATGGTCCGTTACGCTGCCACTCCTGCTAACCCAGCCAAGTCTGCTTCTGCCCGTGGTTCTTACTTGAGAGTTTCCTTCAAAAACACCAGAGAAACCGCCCAAGCCATCAATGGTTGGAAATTAGAAAAAGCTCAAAAATACTTGGATCAAGTTTTGGACCACCAAAGAGCTATTCCATTCAGAAGATACGCTTCTTCTATTGGTAGAACCGCTCAAGGTAAAGAATTCGGTGTCACCAAAGCTAGATGGCCAGCTAAATCTGTTAACTTTGTTAAAGATTTATTAAGAAATGCCCAAGCTAACGCTGAAGCTAAAGGTTTAGATTCTTCTAAATTAGTTATTTCTCACATTCAAGTTAACCATGCTCCAAAACAAAGAAGAAGAACTTACAGAGCTCACGGTAGAATTAACGCTTACCAATCCACTCCATCTCACATTGAATTAACTTTGACTGAAGAAGATGAAGTTGTTGAAAAAGCCGTTGAAGAAAAACAAGTTAGATTAAACTCAAGACAAAGAGGTAGATTAGCTTCTCAAAGACGTTTGACTGCTGCTTAAACATGTCTGGTTGTTTGTCCATAATGTATAATATAATATAAAAAATTTTATTATTTACGAAACAAATCCAAAGAATAAACAAGAGGAATTTCTCAATATAAATGTTAAACTATCATTAATAAGACAAGTAGTATTACGGAGCAAATATTACCAAGTGATGGGTGTATTATTGATCAAATGCTACTTTTTATCTTTAGTTCTTCTTTGTCAGTCTCTTAATAATAATAATAATAAATTCTTAATGTATAAAGCTTATTCTAACCTTGTCTTCTAGATATTAATAGTTTTCTGTCCGTCAGTATTACTACCGGATTATCTTATCTAATTTTGCATCTCTACATGCCAGCAGTTGTTGAAATCAGAAAACGATCTGTATAATTCTTGTAATTGCAATGTCGTATTAGGGGTTTCGCTTCTATCCCTACAGTGTTAACCATACCAATCCATGAAAACCCTATATCTACGTCTATTCGGGCCATGTTTCAGTTAATGGTAGTCACTTCTGTATGTCTATGGTTATTCATTGAATCATTAGTAGGCACACGTGATATATATTAACAAATTCCTGTATATAGTCCAACCAATAACATGAATCCAAAATTGGATTTGTCTATTTCTCACCATATAGAAATGAGAGAAAAAAAAAATGAAGAGCGTTTAATTTCAAAGATTCTATTTTACTCTTTCAATAATCCAACCATTAATAACTAATAATAATAATAATAAAAATGGCCGGACCACCACATGCTCATTCATACTTAGGCTGGTGGGGTAACTTGGGTTCCCCAAAGCAAAAATATATTACTCAATATACTATTTCTCCATTTGCTGCTAAACCATTGAAAGGAGCTGCTTATAATGCTGTTTTCAATACTTTTAGAAGAACTAAGAATCAATTCCTTTATGTTGCTATTCCATTTGCTGTTGTTTGGACTATCTGGACTAGAGCTAGAGATTACAATGAATACTTGTACACTAAAGAAGGTAGAGAAGAATTGGAAAGAGTTAACGTTTAAGGATAATTTCTGTATTATGGAATAGTTTATTATTATTCATTTGTTTAACGTTTACATTACATATTCAAAAAGAGTTGAAAATAAAATATAAAAAAAAAAAAGAAGTTATTAAAAACAATTAGATTTATTGAAGATTGTACGTTTTTATCAATTGGAAATAATCGAATTAATGAATAAGTATTTATTCTTAATTTAGATATTTACTCAGTTTTATGAACTCTATTTAGATCTCTTGTAAACTTTACCTAAGAAAGCAGTCAAGACATCTTTTTTCAAACCTCTTGATTCATCAATTTGATCAATTTGCTGTCTCAATTTAGCAACAATTGATTCTTTATAATCATGGTAGATTTGTTCAATACCCATAGATTTGAATAATTCTTTACATCTTTGTTCGGATTCATCATCTTTTTTACCATAATTATCATCTAATAATTTACGTTGTTCTGGAGTAGCATGCAATAAAGCTTGGTTAACAACCCAAGAACATTTGTTATCTTTAATATCAGTACCAATTTTACCAATTTGTTCTGGAGTACCAAAACAATCCAAGAAATCATCTTGAATTTGGAAATATTCACCTAATGGAATCAAAATATCTCTAACTTGTTTCAAATCTTCTTCACTATTAATACCACTCATGTACATGGCTAAAGCAACAGGTAAATAGAATGAGTAATAAGCAGTTTTGAAAATAACAATAAATGAATGTTTATCTAATGAAAATTTATCCAAATCAACAACTTCTTCATCGGCAGTAACCAAATCTAACAATTGGCCCAATTCAGTTTGGAAAGTAACTTCATGGAATAAATCCAATAAATCAACATAATAAGGATCTTGACGGAAATGCTTCTTCAATAAAACATAAATAGCACCTTCCAACATAAAAGAGTCATTAATGGCAATATTACCAACACCTTCAACCAAATACCAACATTTTTGACCTCTTCTAGTTTTAGATTGATCCATCATATCATCAGCAACCAAGAAATAAGCTTGTAATAATTCAATTGCCCAACCTAATAATGCAACTTTTTTATATTGTTCGTCATTTAATTTATCAGCAGTTGTATTGTTTAAAATTGCAAAAGTATCAACAACGGATAATCCTCTATTTAATTTACCACCTGGAGTATTATAGTTTAAGTTTTTAACAAACCAATCAATGGCTTCTTGTGGCATTTTATAAGAAACTAAAACTTCTTTCAATTCTTCAACGGCATCGTCAAAGACTGAAATGAATCTTTCTCTAGCAGCTGCTTTATCAGACATTGTTTATTGGGAATTACTTGTAATTGGATGATATTACTGTGTGTATAGATTAAGAAAAGTTTTTCCTTCAGATTTTTCTTATTCTCTCGAGATCAACCCATGGGAGTCTCAGATGATTTTTATACGACTAAAGGAAAAAAGAAAAAAAACGAAAAGTGGTCTCTCACGCGCGCGCAACAGCGCACGCTCGCACGCACGCGGTTACCAACAGATTCACATTATGAATATGCACTTTCATGTCTATTTTCAAATTAAATATACAAAAGAATCAAAAATAAAAAACAAAGATGATAAGAACTAGGAAAGAAAGCAATACTTTATCATGATTAATTTCTTCTACGTTTACTTTTACCTGGTCTAGAAGAAGATTTACCCTTCATTTTTCTAGTTGAAAACCCACTAATATCAGCAGATGATTGAGCATCATTTTCTCTCTTACCTCTCTTCTTACCGCCAAAACCATATTTGGCATCTTTAGCCAATCTTTTAGAATTTGGTTTTCTTCTTTTATTATCTCTATTATCATTTTCTCTAGTGGCTTCTTCTAAAGCAATTTGGAAATCATCATCATTACTGATTTCATTAGCTCCTCTTTTCTTTTTCAAAGAATTAATTTTTTCCAAAGTTTCCCTCTTTTGTTTAGCTCTTTCTTGTAAAGTAGCATTTTGAACTTGTTTACCAAATTTCTTCAATTGTCTTTGTTTCTTTGCATCTTCACTAGCTTTTTTGTTAGCAGCTTCAGTTAACAACTTATTCTTTAATTTATCCATATGTTCATCACTTTTAACCATTTCAGCAAAATAATCCATTGGTCGAGAAAATGGAACTTTTAATTTCAATAATGTAGTTCTAGCTTGTTTAACAGCATCTAAACCTTGTTTATAAAATGCTAATTCTCTTTCAGTATCATCATAAATATCCTTAATTTGAGTTTCAATTTTATCGGCACTTATTATGGATTGATGTTCAATAAATGAATGTTTACTCCATGGTAATTCAATACGTGCTAATGATTCTCTTAAGGCAGCCATGTTATTTATGGTTAATTTAGTATGTGGAACAATATCAGCATCTGAATCAACTTCAACATCTGATAATGGAATATCTTCTTGTTCTTCTTCTTTGTCGTTTTCCTTTTCTTCGCCTTCTTCTTCTTCTTCGTCATCTTCATCTTCTTCTTCATCATCGTCATCATTGAGATCACTTTCACTGTCACTTGCAGCTAATCTTTCCAAATCTAATTCTTCTTCTTCTTCTTCTTCTTCTTCGTCATCATCTTCAGATTCTTGTTCTTCTTCTTCAATTTCTGCTTTAGATTGTAATTTCTTTAACTTTCTTTGTTCTTTCTTAGACAAAACATCACTTTTATAATCACCATCATCATTCTTTTTGGATTTTTTGGATTTTTTAATTTGTGCAGAAGTTAAAACTACTGGTTCATTTTCTTCTTCTTCTTCGTCTTCAGATTGTTCTTGTTCTATGACTTTTTTGGCAACTGGTTTAGTTTTAGCCTTATCTATAGCATCCAACAATTGTTGATTCTTTAATTGTTTCTTTAAAGTACCTTTAGCCATTATTAATTTGTTTGATGTGATGAAAGGGTTAATAATGGATTTGAATATATGAATATTTTTTTTTTTTTTTTGGTTTTATTTGTGAGATGAGGAAAGAGAAGATTTGGAAAATTTTAATGCTGCGACTTTTTGTTCTCTCTTCACCAATTCTCGGTTTTACCACAACGCTCTATGTACTAAAAAAAAAAAAAGACTGCAAAAAAATATTGATCATCTATTGACGTTTATAATCTATTTCATTTAGAAACTTTTTACCTGATCCATATTTCCACCATCTAGGTAAACAACTATATACATTAGTATCGATTGTTCTATTGATCTCCTTTTCAGCTTGTCGTGGTTGACAAATACATCTTTTCGAACTTACCACATCTCTTGAACTTGGACAACTTAAATAAGGAGCATGATAATATCCAATATCTTCAAAATGATGTATAGAATTCTTATCTGCTAATAAACTCAACCCAATTGTATGTACGGGTGCATCACCCCACCTTTCATAATAAAAACCCCCACTTTTACTCAAATATTTAAAATATGTTTCATATGATTCATTTCTAAAAAAATTCAAGTTTCCAATTTCAAAATTGGACCAGAAATGACATAAATTATAATCTGTTGAACTTTCAATCATTTCAATATAGTGGTTGAGTGAAGTTTCATTGGTAGTTATGAAATCAATAGCATTATTAGGATGTAATAATTCAGGATACTCTTTCATAAATGATTCAACTGTGGGCCATAATGTAGGAATGGTATTTTCATATTCAGTAATGGCTATAACAAATCCATAAACTTTATTATTGACCCGTAATAATTCAAATGGATCATATTGAAAATCACACATATATTCAACATCAGGTTCAACTCTAAAATACCAATCATAATTTAATAATCTTTTTTGTTTATAAAAAAAGCCTGAATTAAAATGACACATATTTCTATATGATCTTACACCTCCATATAATACACTTTCTCGAGAATTAATTAAATTTTCAGTTAATTTAGTTTGATTTATATAACTTGGAGGTTGCCAATCGTCTTCAGGAATTAATTCATAAAATGTTTCACCACTTGCCATTAATGAAGTTTGTTCAATAAATTCATCATCAAATGGTACATCATTTAAAAACACCCATGGATATTTATAATATTTATTAAATCTATCTTCAAGTGATCGAATTGATTCTAATGCTCCTTTAAGTTCTCCATTTCGTACTAGCATAACCATAGTGGCATTCTCTTTACCTATTTGTTTTCTATCTTCATAAGGGAATTGTTTGAATAAATATTGGTTACCAGCTAATTTGGGCTGATTTTTCAAAAGGGGATTATAAATAGTCTGTGAATATGAACTGATATACTTATGAACATAATAATAGTATAAAGATAGTAGAATTCCAATAATTATCAGTGTAATCGTTTTCTGAGTTGTCATATTTCTCGTTTTTATAAAGTTATTATAACGAATGTCAATGAATGAAATGTTTGTATTGATGCAATGTTTGAATAGTTGAAATTATATTTTTGGGGGTGGTTGAAAATTTTTAGTAGTGCGGATTTTTTGTTGTTGTTTTCATATACAAGGCTAATTTAAGGCAACATTAAATGTGATGGGAGGGATCGGTTAATGTATAGACGATGATCATTTGCTGATTTTTTTCTGTTACTTCTTGTTCTGTGTTGCTTCATTGCATTTACTATTGAAACAATCCGCCTCCTTCTCTCTTTCCTCCCCGCGCCTCCAAAAATAGAATTTAAAATTTTTTTGATTGAGCGTACACGACTTTTTTTGTACAAGTAAACAGAGACGCGACACTGGTATGATTTGAAGCATTGATTACTTCATCTGTCTTTAATGGGACAATAATGGAGTAACTATTATGGGGTTTGTGTGTTATGATATGTTAGATCATGTAAATAAAATATCAAATGGTGTAGAAATTGTATTTTTCTAATTGGAGTGATCGTTACTGAGTTTATTGCCATTTTGTTGCAAATTTCTACAGATAATCTTTCAAAGGTTCATTAGTTCTAAATTGTAATACCCACACATACAAACGACAATACAACAAGCTGGTTATAAAACTAGATAAAAAAAAAAGATCTTTAACTGTGGATTACATGAATATATGAGAGTAAACTGTGTACTTAGTTGATTGACCAATCAGCGTTTATGGTAAACTTACACGACCAAACAAAACCTGAGACTATAAAAAGCAAAAAGCCATCATAGGAAAAAAAATCCAACCTAAGTATTAACATATCTTCATTTGGTGATTATGAGCTAATCAGGTTGTTATTTTGAATCTACCAAACGTTTACGAATAGTCAGTTTTTGTATTTACTAATATTTGAATTTTCTGGCAATCAACTTATTTATTATTTAATATATGTATTATCATTTGTTATTGTTGATTTCAAACTTCAACTGTAGACATTCGACAATAAATGTGCCTTTCTCTAAGAACAAAATTGGAAAAACAAAAAAGGTAGTGTACCTATTACCGAATTGAAAGCGAGAAAGAAAGAGAGAACGAAAAAAAAAAAAAAACGCAACGAATCGTAGGGGGAACAGAAAAGGAACAGAAAAATTAACGAATAAAATTGAAGGAAATCCTCGTTACAAAAAATTGCAACTTTTCACACGACTCCCCCTCCATAATTAATAATAATAACAAGCAGAGGGAAGAAAAAAAAAACTGAAGAGAAAAATTCCAAATACTAAAAGCTGACTGGACAATTGAAGTTGATATTTATCCATCAACCTACTCATTAATATAAATCAATAACAAAACATTACTTTGAAACATGCTTCGCAATTTCAAAATACAGCCTCGTACAATGGTACGTGGATTAGCCACTGCAGCTGATCCAGCATCTATCCCAAATAGAGTACATGGAGGATTAAAAGATCAAGATCGTATATTTCAAAATGTCTATGGTAACTATGGCCATGACTTAAAATCAGCACAAAAAATGGGTGATTGGTATAAAACCAAAGAAATCATATTGAAAGGTGATAAATGGATTATCGATGAAATGAAGAAATCTGGTTTAAGAGGTAGAGGTGGTGCAGGTTTCCCATCTGGTTTGAAATGGTCATTCATGAACCCACCTGGTTGGGAAAAGAATGTAGGTCCAAGATATTTGGTTGTCAATGCAGATGAAGGGGAACCAGGTACTTGTAAAGATAGAGAAATTATTAGAAAAGATCCACATAAATTGGTTGAAGGGTGTTTGTTGGCTGGTAGAGCCATGAATGCTACTGCTGCTTATATTTATATTAGAGGAGAATTCTACAATGAAACTGTAATTTTACAAAATGCCATTAACGAAGCTTACAAAGCCGGTTTAATTGGTAAGAACGCTTGTGGATCAGGTTATGATTTTGATGTCTATATTCACCGTGGTATGGGTGCTTATGTCTGTGGTGAAGAAACCGCTTTGATTGAATCTATCGAAGGTAAAGCTGGTAAACCAAGATTAAAGCCTCCTTTCCCAGCTGGTGTTGGTTTATTTGGTAGACCAACCACTGTTGCCAATGTTGAGAGTGTTTCCGTCGCCCCAACTATTTTAAGAAGAGGTGGTGATTGGTTTGCTTCTTTTGGTCGTGAAAGAAACTCTGGTACTAAATTGTTCTGTATTTCTGGTCACGTCAATGAACCATGTACTGTTGAAGAAGAAATGTCTATTCCATTAAAAGAATTGTTAGAAAAGCACTGTGGTGGTATCAAAGGTGGTTGGGATAACTTGTTGGGTGTTATTCCAGGTGGTTCTTCTGTTCCAATTATGCCAAAAGAAACCTGTGACCACGTTTTGATGGATTACGATGCTTTAAGAGATGTTGGTTCCGGTTTAGGTACCGCAGCTGTCATTGTTATGAACAAACAAACTGATATTATAAGAGCCATTCAAAGATTCTCCCATTTCTATAAACATGAATCCTGTGGTCAATGTACTCCATGTCGTGAAGGTACTACTTGGTTGCAAAGAATGATGGATAGATTTTACAAAGGTCAAGCCACTGAAAAAGAAATTGATATGATTTTCGAATTAACCAAAGAAATCGAAGGTCACACCATTTGTGCCTTGGGTGATGCTGCTGCTTGGCCAGTGCAAGGTTTGATCAAATCATTCAGACCAGTTATGGTTGACAGAATTAAACAATTCCAAGAACAACACGCCGGTGATAAGATTGAATATGGTGGTTGGGTTGAAGGTGGTAAAGTAAAAGACGGTGTTGTTGTTGACAACCCAATGCCATCTGCTCATCATTAAACAATATAGAGGATGAGTAAAGATTTAGCCAATTTTTTTCATTTTTCTTATATCTTCTTAATTTTGCATTATATTTATTTGAAGGTAGAGGGGGAATATCCTTCTATAAAAAAAAGTATCAGTACAATTTATCATGACGGTTAGTATTTATTTGTCTATTTTTGAGTTGTAATTATCTAAACTATTCAACAGGGCAACAAAACCTCACACACACACATACATACATATATATTCTTTTATTTTAACCATTCTTTTAACTGATTTATTTATATATTTAATAAAACGAAACAATTTTTTTTTGACACGAATAAATACTGCAAAAGCCTTAAGGGGGTTATGAAATATTCAAGCCGTGAAAATCGATCCGAGACTGATTGTTTTGTGAGACGACGAATCAGAATCACCAAAATGGTAATCATCACGAGAGGGTTTATATTTGTGTTATATTCGAACCATTAGAGTTTATTCCATGGGTACCTTTGCGCATTTAGCTTCGGCAGAACTGGGCATCTTAGGAAGAGTAGGCGCAATTCGTTGAACCGACTTTACTTGATCCATGGATACATCGACGAGCAAGGTCTAATACCAAGCTCTAAAAAAAAAGGAATACATGAATGCCAGCCCTAAATTCTGAATCGGCCCAAAAAATAGGAGGGGAAATTTTTCAAAGGACACACAGGACCGTTTGTCTCTCTGGACAACAGCGACACGTTAACATGTTCTACAAAATTTTTTCTTTTTTTTTTTCCTTTTTCGCTCCCATCATTACAAAGTTGATAAGCAGAAGAATTAAATCACTTTGATAAATCTTTTACTTTGTTGTGTTTGTTTTTCAAATTTGATATTTTGATAGTCGAAGTAACTATAGAAGGTCATTCCTCGTATAAGAATCGACAAACCCACAATTCCCTTCAATCCAACTAAACTCCGATAGAAGAGGCACCAGACAAAGAGATCGCAAAAAAAAAAAATAAAAATAAAAAGAAGTTGAAAAATATATCACACAGTACGCCTTTTTCTTTTTTTTTTGTCAGTCATAAACCATGAAGTTATCCAAATTTATATTCACATTATCATTACTTACAACAGCTTGTGTAGCTGTTGTTGAAAATATTGATGGGTCTGTTGATGATGTTGCAGCACCAGCTGTTGATAAATCTTCTCATAAATTGGGTATTCAAAAACTCGCTGATGAAGATAACGCTCCTGCTGCCAAAGATGCCAAGCAACCATTAGATCCTTATAATAATGGAGGTAAAGTTGCTGAACCATCAGCAGAGAATGAACGTAATGATGAAATGGACGAGTTTCTTATGTCTTTGTCCATGATTGTTGTTTCTGAAATTGGTGATAAAACATTTTTGATTGCAGCATTAATGGCCATGAAAAATTCCAGACTTGTTGTTTTCACATCAGCTTTTGCATCTTTGGCTATTATGACTGTTTTATCCGGTGTCATTGGTAACACATTACCTAACTTGCTTTCCAGAAGAGTTACCCAATTCTTAGCTTCCGGTTTGTTTATAATTTTTGGTTACAAATTGTTGAGAGAAGGTTTGGCCATGAGTAAAGATGTTGGTGTTGATGAGGAAATGGCTGAAGTTGAAGAAGAAATTGTTGCTAAGAGATTAAACAATCAATTGGATGATGCTGAAGCTGGTGGTGCTCCAATTAATAAAGTCAAGAATACTCCATTTTATGTTGAAATTGGTAATCAAATTCAAAACTTGGCTTCATTTATTTTCACTCCTATTTGGATTCAAGTATTTGTTATGACTTTTTTGGGTGAATGGGGTGATAGATCTCAAATTGCAACCATTGCTATGGCTGCTGGATCCAACTATTGGATTGTTATTACGGGTGCCATTATCGGTCATGGTTTCTGTACTGCTTTAGCTTGTATTGGTGGTCAATTATTGGCTAAGAAGATTTCCATGAGAACCGTTACCTTAGGTGGTGCCATTGCATTTTTCATTTTTTCATTAATGTATTTCTACGAAGCATACTATGATCTTGAAGGTTAATTCATTTTAATTTGTTATTTTCAATTTAGATGGCATTCAAAATGGTAGACTAAATGATGATATAGAAGAACTAAACATGAAGTGATTTCACTCATGACAATGTCACATATTATAGAGATGTATATTAGTGTTTATTTAATTCTATTGTATTAGTTATAGTGACTATATTTGTCCTTGACACATGAATTTCAAAACTTGATTAGGATGTAAACTTTTCTTTCCACCAGAGGTTATTTTCAATTCAGCTTGATCACGTTCATGTTCTTTATCTTTCTTTTCTTTAGCTTCTTGTTTACCTTGAGGAGTTTCCATATAATCCAATTCATCAACGGTATGAAATCCATAAAATTGAAATTCATCTCTTAAATCCTGTATTGTTGCAAGACACCAAGTTATCAATTCATCATCTTTTAATAAATTCAAATTTTTATTCTCCATTATTGCTTTTGAATTATTTATCCATTCATCTACTTCAGGAGCAGCTTTCTTTCTTAATAAAGTTGTCAACATATTTTCATGTGCAGTTGTAGGAAATATAGGTGTTGGATAAACATTAGTATTTTTGAGTAAATCTTCATTATTATATAATTGACTTGCTATTGAAGTTAATTGAGTTATTAAAACTTGAAATTGGTTTTGAAAATGCAGATAGGATGGAAGTTTAATTTTATTTGGATGTCGATTATGACTATTGATTTGTTCTGCTAATTTAGCTAATGATTGACGAATTTGATTTAATCTATTCCTTATAGATTCTAAAACATCATATGGAATTTGTGAAAAATCTCCTTGAAAAGGAACACTAGGCGAGTTAGGGTTAAATGGAGTCAGACTCATTTGGTGTTGATAATGGTTGTTGATGGTGTTTTTAAATGTGGAAAAGAAAAGAAAAGACAAAAAAAAAAAAATATAATTAAATTTAATGCGTATTTGTTTTCAAAACGGATGAGAAATATCATCATACTAATATGATACGAGGTAATTGGAATCTAGCAGATGAATTCAAAAAGAATGAAAGGAAGCAAGTTTCTAAAATACAACAACGTCAAAAACATCAACATAAACTAGAGAAATTATCTAAAACTGATCCTATAAAGCTTTACTACAAGATTCAAAGATTAGAACAACAAGATGATAAATCAGAGCAAGACAAGTCATATTTAGAATCCCTAAAAGAAGATTGGTCATTTATAGAAAAGAATAAACTTCATGAAAATAAATTAAAACCATTCCTACAAGATATACAAAAAAAGGAAAAGGAAAAACTCAAACAACAAACCAAACTATGGGGACTGAAATCAGTTTATTTTAATCCAGAATTGAATCCCTTGGGTAAAGTTCCAGTTATAAATAATTTATCCTTTGAACTAAATCATCCACTACAGAATCTAACAATTCCATTAAAGGGTAAGCAAGTTAAATATGAACCTGATCCATTGATTAATGAACTAGGCATAAAGTGTCCATCTGGTGAACCACCAAAGTTTTTTAAACTTATTCAGAATACATCCAAGTCCAAGTTCAAACCAAACCAAAAACCTAAACAAGAAGAACAAGAACCAGAACTAGCTAATACTGAGGTTCAATTGAAGAGTTCAGATGAAGAAAATTCCTCAGATGAAGAACAGCTGCATGCAAAACGAATAAAACTTACCTGACTGGTGATTACTATATATCTATAAATAAAGACTCTATGTACATGTAATAGATAATATAATATAATACAAAAAAAAAAAATAAAAAAATCATCTATCAATCCTAGTTTAATAGGGCAAGTAAATTAAAACAAAACAACCCACAGTAATAAAACAGAAACACCATCACACCCGAATGAAATCATCACACGAAATTAGAACATTATATACAAGAAAGAATTCAAAAAAAAAGAAAGATTAACGAGGCTGATTCAGGATAATCCCCTAACAACTAATTCCCAAGTACCA